CCCCCCCAACATCAGCCTACAAGTGCTCATTCCACTCAGGCATGCCCATCAAAACAAGGGTCTTGGTGTTTTGGAGGCCTCTTTGCTGGCTCCGCACGACCCAGGCGCCACTTTAGCCTTCTTCACTGCTCATTCGCGCACAAAAGTCCCAAGCTCCAGCATCGCCGAGTCCGCCATCATCGTCTGCTGCGGTCCACCAAATCTTCATCCACACCATGACTCCTGCGTCTGCAAGGCCTGTCCTGCCCATGTCAATTGTCCAAACCTGAATTGTTCATCTCGCCTTTGCCTTGTTTGTTTCTCTGACCTGCCTTGCTGCTTTCCTCCCACCCGTGAATCTCACGTGGGAGGTCTCGAGCCAGCCGTGCAGCGTCTTGAGGGCCACGGAGGCCTCAGCATCCCGTACGGTCCCCATTATCTGATCCTCCGCCCGCAACATGGCCGCGGCCGACGGTACGTCGTTCTCGACACATCGGCGCAATCCGAATTGCGAGAAGAGAATGCTGACAAATGTGCGTAGTCACGGCCGATCCGTGTCTCGACCCTCCGCCTCCGCCCAACCCTACGCTAGACCGCGTGGGCTCCTTGTTTTCCGACCCGGGCTCCGCGAGCAACATTGACAGCGGCTTCTACGTGCTCGGCTCGATCAGTAGGCTCTGCAATGAAGTCGACGACATCACGCTTGAGAGTGGCAGCTCCCGCACTGTCGCCGGCAGCGACAGTCCCCAGCTGGCGCCCCTGCAGCGGGTTGCCACCGCGTACGACCGCGAGACGCCCGTCTTCTCGTGGGATTCGCGCACGTCGACCATGGTGGACGACTGCGTCTCGCTGGAGGACATGCTGCGAAAGCGACGGAACCCAGGCTCGTCCCTGGCGCCGCAGTCGAGCTCTGATCCGTCGGACGACGAGAGGAGCGAGGCCCCGAGCGTTGGCCAGTTCCGTCCAGACATCCCCTTGATCCAGTGTCCCGTCCAAGGCTGCGAGAGGGTCTTCAAATGGAAGAAGAATCTGCACCACCATATCAGAGACAAGCACCCTACCGACGCCGCCGGCCTCTCTGTCATGCGCATCCAGCCCGCCCACGTAGGCGCAGCACACAACGGCTTTCGACTGCAGAATATTGCCATTGCGCCGCCTCCTAACTCCGTGCCCATACCACCCAATGGAGACCCTAGCTTGAGGTGTCCGGAGTGTCACAAGATCTTCTCCCGCAAAGGTGACCTGGTGTAAGTACTCTCTATAGGCAGCGGCCCTGTTCCCAAGCTAACGATTATCGCCATTAGACATCACAAGCGATATCACACGCGCAGCAACGAACGGCCGTACAAGTGTGAGCAATGTGGCCAGGGCTTCATACACCTCAAGGATCTTGCCCGACATATGCCCCGACATACCGGCCAGCGGTCTTTTCAATGTCCTTTTCCGACATGTCACAAGAACTATACGCGTAAAGACAATCTAAACAGACACATGAGGCACGATCATGGAGGTCTAGGCGCCTCGGATGAGGTCTGGTCTGGTGTCGACAACGCGCCTCACATCGCACAGCCCTCACCCATTGCTATACCCATGCCCGTGGAACAACCTGGGTCGCAACAGATGCAGTATGAGCCGCAGGTAGACCACGCTGTCCCGGTTTCTTCGCATCTCACCGCGATCGCCGCGGCTGCCACAAATCACACCTTGCTTCAGGAAGACAATATGCAGCATCAACAGCCGCTACGCTTCGACTTTGCGGAGTCGAGTATGCATCTACTACAGCACGACCCTACGAGCACAACGCTCCTTGAGCCGAAGATGGAGTCCTCTTCATCGGAGGCAAGCATGAACGGTCAGCCCAGCCAATCCGCTTTCCGCGAGACTACTCCATCGCTAGGAAAGCGGCCTGCTGATGACCTCGAGCGACTGGCGACAGGAATTAAGCCCAAGCGAAAACCAAAGGAGAAGTGGGCGCATCGTCTTGGTTGCCCGTTTAGAAAGTGTCGGAGTGACGTGTTCACCACCGAAAACGGCTTTCGCGTGTGCGAAACAACACCCCACGAATTTATTATACGTCTTATCGAGCACATGAAACGAAATCATGACCTTTACGTTTGTGGTGAGTGCTTCCTGGGCTTCAAAACGCCAGACACACTCAACAGCCACAAATCGACAAGCCATCACTGCGGCAAATGCTACATGTCCTTTCCTAGTAAGGAAGCATTCGTGGAGCATGCCCAGTCTTGTATGGCTGTCGATGCAGCAACTCAGGAGGACATATGGCAGATTCTGTACGAGACACTCTGCGGGGACGGAGTCCGTCACAACCCCTCCTTCGATGAAGAGGACGGCCATGTCGCCGGGCCGATTCAAGCCAACAATCGCGTTCGCATGCAGCTGCTTGCACAGACAGTGTTGGCCCCGGGCCAAGTCCCATCGCTTGCGCGCCAATTGGGTGGACCTCCGCTGGAGACGGGAAACGGGGTGGCGCCTCCGGTTCGACGAGCTGAATACCGCCAACAGTTCGCACCGGTAGGCGCCACCACTTCACCAGCGGCACCAGATCGTGCCTCAAGCCCACCAGGATTACGGAGAGAAGCGCAGTTGTTGCGTGAGAACCAGGCCCAGAGAGACACCATCCAAGAGCTTCGTGGTCTGCTTGCTATGGAGACACAGACCAGATTTGCGGCAGAAGTCAGGGTAGATGCCTATTCAAGATCCTTGCGTGCGCGTGACTTTGTCCACGACGCCGTAAGACGTTTTTTGATGTCCATGAGACGACCAAATCTAGATCTAGCCAAGCCCTTACGCTACGGTTCTGGCTTGGTCGAAGAACTTCCCGAGCTGTGCGATGCTATGGATGATGATGATGTGGTAGCTCTGGTGCCTTCTAGGACACCTTTCAGGATCACAGACGTCGACCCACCGTCCAAATCCAACATTTCACACGTTCTGCCCATAAGCCTTCTGCAAGCTTCCGCCTGCGAGCTCCTTGAGTGTCCCTCTCTAACCTCAGATCAGACGGCAGAATCTGTACAAGAATTCACTCTGCCTCCAGACATAGGGCGATCCTTCTCGGAAGCATTGCTCGACATGCACAAAAATGAAATCAGCTTCACGTGGAGTCAGCAACCATGGGATTGTCAGCTCTGCGGTGCGGAGTTGCAGGATGCATGTGATGTCTTCTGCAAAAACTGTGCTCTAGCGGCAAAGCCGTAGAGGCTTGTATTTGACAAAGTTTTCGTCTACGGTTCTGCTAGATTGTCATGCGTTTATGCATTGCGTCCATTTTCTACCCTGTTTGGCGGGTTATTTTTGCTGCTGTAGTTTTAGCGATTAGATACTCCCCCACCCCTGTGTGTTAGCTACGCCAGCTAGCTGCCCATGATTTACATAGTTCGGATTTGAAACGGCATTTCAATGATCACATCTTTTACTCTTCATGTTAGGAACTCGGAAGACTTTTTTCTTTCTTTTTTGAATTCCCGCCTTCTGAAAGCGTAAGCCTCGTCAACACTAGCCACACCTCGTGATAGCGCGTCTCCGACGAGACACTTGTGAACTTCGTGCCCGAGAAGAAGAAAAAAAGAAATCGTAGACCATTCTTTTCTTTCTACTGCTCGTAATTTGGACCGCCAGAATGGGTGACACATCTGCCCCGACACCATCGACCATGTCGGTGGTTTCAAACAAGTCAAGAGACACACATCGCGAGGCAAAAGCAATGCCTTACAGACTACGACAGGCGGTGGCAGTATACCTGGAAAACAAACAATGTTCGAATCTTCCTACCCGTCAAGTTCATCTCTTGTTTCGTTCCGACGTTACTGACGCAACCTTGCAGTTCTGGAAGGCTTCACGCTTCTGAATTCAATACTCGCGACAGGCCGCTCAGCGCCATCGGCTCCGCCGGTGTACGTGCCGCCAACTTCGTACTTTGAGCTCGCCGCGACCCTCGTCGTGCATCCATTGTATACGACGCGTGCCAGGTCCGACGAGGACCTGCGGGTCGCAGACGAAGCGCTGCGCTATCTGCGCGACACGTGCACCGTGGTCGGGCCGGTGCAGGCGCAGCTGGCGACGGCCTTTCAGTTCCGGGGCGCGCGCGCGATGCGGCGGAAGCGCAAGCGCGAGGCTTTCGACGAGGCGTGTGCGAGCAACGTCAGCACGAGCGGCGACGACGAGGACGAGGACGAGGACGAGGGCCAGCTGCGGACGCCGTTTGCGGGGGAGAAGAGCGTGTTCCGACAGCGCGGCGCCGACAGCTTCTGGAACGTGGTCGGCTGGGCGTTCAACTGCTCGGTGCGATGGAGGAAGCGATGGGAGAGGTGGAGGCTGTGGCTCGAGGTCATGATTGACATTCTGGAGCACGACTTCGTCCTCCGGCTGCAGGCGATCGATGTTGAGGACGCGACGGCCCAAGTCTGGACTAAACTTGCACACGAGGCCCTCATTGCGCAGTATCTGGACGGCGCTGGCGGGCGGGCCGGTAGGCGAAAAGTGATCAGCGCTATCCTGGCTGACGGCGAGGAGAAGGCGCTGAGAGAGTTTGGAGAGGTGTGGAAAAACGAGACGAAGGAGAGGAAGGTCAAGGACGAGGCCAGTCTGTGGGACCGGAACAAGAAGATCAACCTCGACGAGAACGAGTGGGCGGATTACGCGGCGACGGAGGATGAGGACGACGTGGTAGAGGATGGGGATGACGACACGTTTGACGCCGGCGAAAATGCGGAACCCGATCTTGGAGGTCTCGAGAGCATGAGGCTGAGACAGAGACTTATGATACTGGCAAGTTTCGCACTACCATAACTGCCGCTACATCATCGTTGCTAACATGCTCGACCAGCTGACTTGCGTGTCGAATACACTGCCGCTGCATTTTACGTATTCCGAAGAACTTTACGACGTATTCACCGAGCTTCTTCGGCCACTACCACTACCCGTCTTCAGAAACTTCCTGGCTACTCTGCCTCCGGAGCCCGGGCCTTTCCCTCCGCACTGGCACATCGCTCTGCTCATCAACATGTTGCTGCCCTTCCTGGCAGCTCCGCCTCGGAAAGCCCAAATCTTCAACGTGACACAGAACGACCTGATCAAGCACTACCTTCCGCACGCTGCAAACGCAAATTCGGCGGCCGAAAACGCAAAGATGAGCCTGCTGGTCGAGCACATATTGTTTTATATGTTCAGCGAAGGACGATTGGAGCCCAGCATCGAGTTGACCAACGCCGTGGAAAAGGGAATACGCGCTCGAGCGGTCAAAGCGACCGGCGATGCTAGGCGGAGGGGCAAGGGCAAATCCCCAGAGGAACAGGCCGCCAAGGGCGTACTCGATATGAGTGCTGAGCGCATCAGAGTGCTGCTGGGAATGCTCGATCCTGCCACCAGCATCGGTGGTATTGCTGACGCGGACGCGAGTTTCTCGTCGAGCCAGCTTTCAGACCTCACTGCCACGCCTTCGGTAGACGACGAGGAAAACTGAGACGGCACTGCTGTTGCGCCGTAACTTTGGCCGATGCTGGCACCACTTATCTGTCACTCGGTGGATTTCACGTCATTGCCACTCTCATTTTCGATGAACAACATCACTCAGAGCAGATCAATGTCAATCATCGACTGATGAACTTTTGCTATCAAGCATCTCATTTGGGCGTCAGAGCCCTCTAAGATTTGGATTCCTACCATTTTGGAGCGTTTGCATGCGCGAAAACTTAGAATAAGACTTCTACGATGATTCACGGCGAGGAATACGCAGATGGGGACTCCCGCCATCAAATTCCGTCGCACGCGGATCACAAGCGCAAAGACTGCGTTATGAGAGATGAAAGCTAAAATAGTAGGCGGGAAGAATATCTGTAATTTATGTGATATGATAAAAGGAGACGACGAATCAAGAGCACTGAGGAAGGCATAAGGAAGACTGAGGGTGACCGTGCACGTGCCAAGCGATGGCTGACGACCGGGACCTCGCGAACCAGCCCAAGATGCCGCCGTTACGTCTCACAAGCAACGTCAAGCCCCAGGGCCTTGTCACCAACTCTTCAGACTACCTTCAACTCTTACGCCTGTCAGCTTTTGCAGCTGGCGGCTCCGTCCTTGTCCATTGAATTGCTCCTAGTCCTCTGTTGAGTCTTCGTTTCCTGGTTGGTTTTACCCTGCCAGCAGCTTCGGCCACTCGACTCCCTGACATCCCACGAACGTTGACACAATTCCCTCCCGCCACGTCAGGCCATACGGTTCTCGTCGCGAAAGAGCTTATATTTCGTCTCACAAACGCGTATCGCCTTGCTGAATGCTCTCCGGGCTCAGTAGAAAGGACAAAGGCGGCGCTACACTCACTCCAAGGAGCACGGTTTCCAAGGCGGGGAGCTGCGTCAGGATCTCAGAGCCAAATGCGTAGATAAAGCTGAAAACATGGGTTTCGTTGGCGTATATAGAGCAATCTATGACTACACGCCTTCTGGCGAGGGCGAGCTGGCCATCGCCGACGGCGACTTGCTCTTCGTCTTGGAGAAAGACGAGGACGATTGGTGGAAAGCGAAGAAAAAGGCAGCTTCGGAGGATGAGGAAGAACCAGAAGGCTTGATCCCAGCCAATTATGTGGAAGAGGTAGGTGTATTTTTCTACCCAAGTCGTGATGTTGCGTAAGCACACGACGTCCAGAACCCTCTTGACCCTGTATTTGCGCCGCTCCTTGGAACGGAAGAGGCTAATGCTGTGGAGGCACAACCGCTCGGCCAAGCAAAAGCTCTCTACGACTACGCGAGACAAACTGACGAGGAGCTTTCCTTCTCTGAAGATGCCATTCTGAGCGTCTATGACAAGTCAGATCCTGACTGGACGCTCGTTGGGATCAATGGCGAATTCGGATTTGCACCGGCCAACTACATCGAGGAGATTGATGCGCCACCGCCTACACCCGCTCGCTCACGACCGGCGGCGGCGGCGGAACCCGAACCGGAGCCTCCAGGTCCACCAACTCCGGAGTCCTCACCAAGCCCCGTGCAGACGCCGGCGGCTGCTTTAGCTGGCATTATACAGCAGAGAACTGGCGGGGGGGCAGGAGGAGTAGCCGCTAGACGGCCGGTGTCGCCGCCACCAGCAGTAACACTTCCGCCCCGTAACGTACAGTTCACACCGGAGGAATCAGAGGAGGAAGCACCAGCTCCCAAGTTGCCACGGCGTCCACCCTCAGATGCGACGTCTCCGCCCGCAACACGCAATGTGAGATTTCAGTCACCTACGTCACCAGAGCCGCCTGGTGTCCTGGCGTCGCCACCCCACAATCGTCGTGTCTCTATGCGAGAAGAGCAGGAGGAGGCCTTGCACTCTCCGGGTGGATATCACATCTACAACATCTATGAAATGGTTGAAGTTTTGGGAAAGAGAAAGAAAATGCCCGTCACCCTAGGTATTAACATTGCGAAGGGCATCATTATGATCTCTGCGGAGAAGGAGCGCTCGTCTAAAGAGTGGACGGCCGATAAGTTAACACATTACTCGATCGAAGGGAAACACGTCTTCATGGAGCTCGTTCGGCCGTCAAAGAGCATCGATTTCCACGCGGGTGCAAAGGACACTGCGCATGAGATCGTCTCAGCGTTGGGCGAACTTGCAGGTGCTGCACGAGCAGAGGGGCTTAGAGAAGTTATAGAAGCAGGGTCCGGCTCAAATCTGAAGAAAGGGAAGATGTTATACGATTTCATGGCTCAAGGGGACGACGAGGTCACAGTGGCAGAGGGTGACGAGGTCATTATCCTGGATGATACAAAAAGCGATGAGTGGTGGATGGTCAGACGTATCAAGAACGGCAAGGAGGGCGTAGTCCCGAGCAATCACGTCGACATCATTGGCACAGTACCAGCACCTGCATCTGTTACCAGTCCTACTGGTCCTTTGCCGTCCACGAGATCGATCGTCGAGCAGAATCGAGCAGAAGAGGAGCGTCTTGCTCGTGAGGCAGCTAGAAGGAAGAGGGAGGTCGATCCGGTCGACCCTGCTCCAGAGGGATCTTCGGGCCTGCAACTACCGAAGAGACATAGCAGCTTGATGGCATCGACTGATGAGCCGACAAGATCGCGAGACAAGCGAGCAAGCAAAGACACGAAATCCGATAAAAAGTCTCTGCCGAATCCTTCCAAAGTGCGAACATGGACAGATAGGACTGGTGCGTTCAAGGTCGAAGCCGAGTTCTTGGGCTTGCGTGATGAGAAGATCCACCTGCACAAACTCAATGGTGTCAAGATTGCCGTCCCCGTGCCAAAAATGTCTCTCGAGGATCTTGAATTCGTGGAGAGGGCGACCGGCATTTCTCTCGATGAACTCAAGCCACTGTCTGACATCAAGAGAAAGAACTCGAAGAAAGTTGGCCACGCTGGCGCATCGATACAAAAGAAGCCAGATCATGACTGGTTCGATTTCTTTCTCGCTGCCGGTGTCGACGCTCAGATATGCGAGCGATACTCACAGGCCTTCAATCGGGATAACATAGGAGAAGAGAATCTCGAGGATATAACTCCAGTGTTGTTACGCACTCTGGGCTTTAAGGAGGGCGATATCTTGCGAGTGATGAAGAGCCTAGATATTAAGTTCAACAGGAAGCGACAGGTCAGCTTGGAGGATCAGGCGGCGAACGGAAGTCTGTTTTCCGGCCCAGGTGGTGCATTGAAGAACAATACTGCCAAGGGTCGACCAGCTCCTCCCACGGAAACGAAGAATGAACTTGATCCCAGTCTCCTCCGACAGACTACAGGTGAAGAGAAGCAAGCACCGCCGTCAGCGAATGCACCAAAGCCCGAAAAGGTTACGAACGGTTTCGATGACAATGCATGGGAGCCAAGAGAGTCGAAGACAGCTGCAGCACCACCTCCTGCAACAACAACAACTGCTTCGTCGCCGCCGCCGCCGGTGCAGCCCGCCATCACCCCAGGCATGGCGGAACTATCATTACTCTCACCTCCTTTGCAACCAACTCCAGCCCCTCAGCCGGCCCCAGCTACTCAATCTCCTCCGGCCGTGTCCGCTCAACCGGCTCAACCAGCTCAACCAGCTCAGCCCACTGGAGCAACACCATCATTGTTCGAACAACTTGCAAAAGCTCAGCCTGCGCAGCCAAAGCAGCGACCGAATCAGCCGCAGAACACCCAGAATCTGCCCGTGAACTCTCTCATTTCTCCTCCCCCCGGTCGATCCGCGTCGGCTCCACAGAATCCAAATCAGCAGGGTGGCTTCCAGCCCCCTCCCTTGCAGCCACAGCTTACTGGCTACAATCTACCTCTGAGAATGCAGACGACGGCTGCACCGCCTGGACAAAGTCTGTCAGATTTAAATCAGCAACGTTTGTTCCAGCAGCAGCAGGCCGCTTTCTTGCAAGCTCAGCCGACAGGTTTCCAGGGTCAACAGGGATTCAATCAATTCCCGCAGAATGGTCTCATGCCTCAGCCTACGGGCTATGCTGGGCAATTTATGCCAGCTCAAACCGGCTTTGGCGGATTCCAACCTCAGCAAACTGGCTTCCAAAACCCAGCTTTCCAACAAGCTATCATGAATGGGCAGCAGAATGGGTCGCCATTTGCTGACCCACCTCGTGCTCCCTTCCAGCCTCAGGCGACTGGCTTCCAACCTCAGGCCACGGGCTTTGGACAGCAGGGCTTTGGGCCCTCGCCACTGCAACCACAACCAACAGGTGTCAATGCATTCCTGCCTCCAGCTCTGCAGCCTCAGGCCACTGGAGTTGCTGCGAATCAATTGAACAACAATCAGTTTAACAGCCAGTCGTTCTCTCCCCCTCCAGTCCCACCCATACCACCTCAGCAGCAAGCTCCTGCACCGCTCATCCCGCAAAAGACTGGACCTCCACCGCCGGTGAGGTTTGGAACACAGGGAGCCAAGAAGCTTGCTCCTCAACCAACCGGCAGGGCAAACTTGAGCAAAGCTAGTAAGTCTCTATACTTCTCTTCAATCCTTGGTCGTACGTCAAGCTAATTGATGTGATAGCCCCGCAAAATCCCTTTGGGTTCTGAGCCGTAATTCTCACGTATCTCATTCAGTATACACGTTTTCAAATACCTAGCGTTCAATCCACTTTCCTCTTCTCTGAACTCCTTGTAATATGTGATCTTTCCCGTGCATATCTCGTTCTTTCTTCTTCCCCGAATTAACACGTGGCAATGGGTAGGCATGACGAAATACGAGATGACTTGCATTGTGAGCGGTGCATGTACAAAGCGATTGTCTCTCATATGTTGTTTTTTCTCTTTTGAATTGCTGCTTCACTTGTGCGTGCATGTGTTCAGGGTGGTGGCAGGCTCATTTTGTGCGTCTCTTCACACGTTGTATGTAGCGTAATCTCATCACTCTGCCTTGATAACGCCGTGCCCAGCCCCTTTCGCCGACACTCTATCCTTCCATCAACGAGACAGCTAATCTTAGCACCGTCATTTCGGTGTGAGCGTTAATGATCCTGAGTATGAATCCTGGCCTTGTTTGCCACTCGCACAGAGCAAGAGCAATCGCAGTAGTAGCGCAAGTCAGCATGAGTGCCGTACATCTGCTTGGGCCATGATTCTTGCCCCTTTTCATCCACTCAGCCCTTCCACAAGCCGCTCGACTTTCCTCCGCAGCTCTTCCAGCTCCGGGTCGAGACCTTGCTCTTCGAGCTTGACCTTGACATTGTTGTGTAGATCCACAAGGTCCTTCGCCCTCTGAAGGTCCGGATCAGCTTCCTCTGCGCCGCTCTCAGCACCCTCCCTGGCCCCGGCGCCGCGATACGCCATCACCAGCTTCTGCGCCGCCGCGCCGTCCTGCGTACAGATGTTAGAAGAGTTCGGCTCCCGTCTGAAAAGGTTCGGGGGAAGATCAAAAAAATAAAAAACCCAGGCACGTACGCAGACGCGCAGGGACGTCAGGTCCGACAACACGCTCGCCACCTGCATTGCAGTCCAAATCCGCGGATCTCGACTCCGGCTAGAAGCAAGGTGTTCGCTCCTCTGCGTAAGGTTTCTGCCGGTTTTGGCCAAGGTTCTGGAGGACCTGACGGCGCTCGTCTGAAGGTGTATGTGGTTCGGGCGGAACACCCGAATGTTCGCCCAGACACGTCCGACGCTAAGCGTACCGAGCTCCGACGTTCGACGTTGACGTCCGCCATGCCGAGCGCAGCATACGAAACATCTTGCAACGGGGGAATAACTTAGAAAGCCACCCCAAAGGTCCTTCTGTGCAGCTGCTGAGGGAAGTTCTTAGCAAGCAGATATGGCATCAGCCGCATCCTTAAGGGCCAATTGCAGAAAGGTCAGTGTAATGCTGAACTTAAATCCGCCATGAATCTTAACGCTAACAAAACATGTAGATAATATGCATAGGTCGAAATTACGCGTAGGCACTGTGGGCGTCGTTGGGGCACAGGATTGAATTGACATTTTTTTCACGCAGCGACCATATAAAAGAGCTAAATAACACGAAACCGAAGCAACCGTTCTTCTTCCTCAAACCCACGTCGTCTATACTGCCACCGAGATCCGGACCTGTATTACGTCCTAAAGGCGTGAATCTTCACTATGAGGTTGAACTAGGCCTTATTATGGGCAAAACCATACGGGACTTTGACGCAAGAGACGAGAAGGCCGCAATTGAAGCTATTGATGGTAAGCTGCAAGCGTCATACTTCCCCAAAAATTCAGGGCGACGGGAGAGCTGACCGCCTCATTTCTCCTAACAGGCTATCTCGTGGCAATCGACTTCACAGCTCGGAATGTCCAAGACGAAGCTAAAAGGAAAGGGCTTCCTTGGTCAATAGCCAAGGGCTTCGACACCTTCTGTCCGATCAGCGATATCATTCCGAAATCTCGTATCCCTGACCCACACAATGCCTTACTGTGGCTTAGCGTGAACGATCAGATGAAGCAACGCGATAACACCGAATTGATGCTGTACAAGATTCCAAGGCAGCTGCAAGACATTAGCAGAGTGATGACGCTGGAACCCGGTGACCTCGTCCTGACTGGCACGCCGAAAGGTGTAGGTCCAGTGAATCCAGGCGACAAGATGAGATGCGGAATTCAGGTTGATGGAATAAATATTCCAGAAGGCAATATTGAGGTTGAAGTAGTGGAGCGAGACGGTCCATATCAGTTCAGAGAGACGTAGCACTATGCATAAGCAATGAAAGCAGTCTCAAGAGAGCTATCATGGGCTTGGAGGTGGAGGCGTTGGTGGAAGGTTAGCTTCTCGCGCGCGTCTCCACTTAGACCGCCCAAAGGTGGCCACAGGCATCAGGTACATCTTTGCCCCGTCTTTCAAAACTGTTGGGCCCGCTGAGGGGTTTCGTGCAGAGAACAAGGACTGAACCCCAGGTGCTTCGATTTCTGAAGGGTGTATGTTAGCTAAATGCGCTCTTGTTGCTGTCTCTTGCATTCTGGCTAACAACATACCCTTTGCTTCAGTTGACATTTCTTTACTAGCACCCATTGCTCTGAAAATACGAGTATTCACTGTATATCTTGCTCCGTTCGTCTTCTGTGCCAGCTTTAATCGCTTACTCTTCTGAAGATGGCCATTTTCTTGTTGACGTGAAGAACGTCCGTTGTCTTGATCAATACACTCTCGATTCGCCTGCATATCTGCTCGTGGCCCCTCACCCTCTACCGCGTCATTAAGAGGGTCCATCAATGGTCTATCAGTGGACTGGTTTTCAAGGCCATCATGTTCGGGCCTTGTACCAAATTGAGACCATCCCGAACGGCCAGCTCGTGTAGTTCTCATTCGCCATTTGGGAGCAGCGTCCACAATCAGTGGCTTTTGATCTTTCTTAATTTCCGCATTTCTAGTGTTCATCAGTCTACCAAGATGCGAGCGGGCACGTCATACAAGGCAGCACTTACGGATTCTTCTTTTTACTGGCTTTGCTCATATACGACTCGGGGTCCTTTTTACTTTGCACTAATTGTCTTCGTCCCTTCGACTTAGTTCCCTTTGCGCTCATCGCGTTCTGCTTCGATTCTACGGCATTCTCTGTCTTGTTTGCAACAGTACTCTTTGCAGACTCTGTATCATTTAGCGGCTCTCTGAGGCTGCTGCTTGAAGTGACTGTATCAGTCTGAGTAGTAAAGGAAGACGTTTGTTTGACCCTGTTTTCCAGCCCATTCTCCTTTCTTGAAGTCTGAGACACAGCCCTTGACTGTGCAATAAGCTTTTCTACCTTCTCTGTAAGATTTGAGACTGATAGATTCAGACACGAGCTTGCTTGACGCACAGCTACCTTGGTAGACTCTAGTTCAGTTCTGAAGTCTTTGCAGGTTTCGAACAGACGCGAGGATATCGTATCCAGCTCGCGCACACGGTCATCCACTAGTTTTTCCATCTCACGCTGCTGCTCGCATCTCTTGAAGAACTCCTCCGTTAATTCAGTCAATTTTCCTTCTGCGACGTTCACTTGACGAGCAATCTGTTCATATTTCTCTTCTACTGTGTGCAATTTCTTGCTACAATCAACATCAAATGCAGCGAAGGCTTGCCGTTGACTCTTTTCGCCTTCTTCTATAGCTGCAACACGGTCGCCCAGGTCTGCAACAGCCTTGAATCTAGCTTCTGTTGCGATCACACGATGCGTGAGTTCCTGAACCTGGGCTTTAAGCTCGTCCTTCTCACGGAGGAGCTGTGCATTGTGCTGGAGTAAACGCGCCTTCCATAGCAAAGACTCGGAAGCTGGACTGCCCGAACGGACGGGCATCGTGTTCTGGCTGGGTTCGTAGCCAAGCGGTGTTTGTGAATGGTGGGAACCTTCTGCAAGTGCAAGACGACAATGAGAGAACCTGAGGACAGTTGAAGTTGAAAGAGTGACTGCCATGGAAAGAGAGAAGTTCCGCGCACCAGACCGCCGGAAGGATGTTGATACTGAGCACCTTCCCGTCGTGTTAGCCTGGTGTCGTCCTTCCTCTCTCCAACTTCGGTTGCGAAACTCTTGGCACGTACACTCACCTCATGACTGCACCGCGTGAGAAATAGAGAAGGAGCAGATCACGAAACGAAAGCAGGAAAGGGCAGACGTGATTTGGGAACGCCATTTCTCTATTGTGCGAATAATTACAGTCACCTCCAGGCGCTCCCCTAGCATGAGCATGAGAAGCACTCCCTGAGTAACCAAAACGCATGCATGCTGTGATAATGGAAAACAAACAAAACTGACAAAAGAAATGAAATCCATGGACTGAGAGCGAGGGATCAAATACATCGCGACCCATTCCCATCTAACTGTCAAAAACCATGAGACTGCTGCAACCCCGGCTGACGAACAAAGCATTTTGGACAAGTGTCGTCGAAACAAGCTCAGATCGTGTCGGACAAACGCCGTAATGCTGTTCCCCGCCGTCATGTGTGTTGTATACGCACGCGAACGAAACTTTTGGAGACGAAGAAAGTCGGCACCAGTGCCAACCCTGATGCGGTTGATCTGTGATCGTGCCACCCTTTCTCTAGCCTGACAATCCGATGCTTTCTAGGATATCAGAACAGCGAGAACGGTGACTTAGAGATACGAAACTCGTAAACGTCGTTTAGATAAGGTCTATACCAGGTTAGCTGTCTCCATTTCAAGGTTTTGAAGACTACAACATACCAGCCACGTTCATGGGCATCTCCTCAATTTGTGTAGAGTAGAACTGCTCGATCTCACGCATCATGCGGACATCGTCAGCAGTGACGAAGTTGATAGCGACACCCTTACGACCGAAACGTCCGCCACGGCCGATTCGGTGAATATAGTTCTCGCGGTTAGCGGGGAGATCGTAGTTGATGACCAGCGAGACCTGTTGCACATCGATACCACGGGCAAGCAAGTCCGTAGCGATCAGCACACGGGATGAGCCGGAACGGAATTCCTTCATAATCACATCACGCTGAGCCTGGTCCATGTCGCCGTGCATGGCAGAGACAGTGAAATCACGAGCTGTGAGCTTGTCGGTGAGCCAGTCAACCTTTCTGCGAGTGTTGCAGAAAATGACGGCTTGTGTGATGGTGACTGTCTCGTACAAGTCGGAGAGAGTGTCCAGCTTCCAGTCCTCCTTCTCGACAGCAATGTAGAATTGCTTGATACCTTCGAGAGTAAGCTCGGCCTTCTTGACGAGGATACGGACCGGGTCACGCATGAACTTGGTCGTAACCTCCAACACATCCTGTGGCATGGTGGCGGAGAGCAGGACGACTTGGGTCGACTGCGGAAGAAGTTGGAAGATGTCGTAGATTTGCTCAGTAAAGCCACGGGACAGCATCTCGTCGGCCTCGTCGAGGATAAACATCTTCATTGAGTCGGTCTTCAGAACACGACGTTGAATCATGTCCTGGACTCGGCCTGGAGTACCGACGACGACCTGCGGGCCGTCGGCCAGGGCTTTCATGTCCTCACGAACGCTTGTACCACCAATGCAGGCATGGCACTCAATGTTCATGAAGTCGCCGATAGCGACAACGACCTTCTGAATCTGCTGTGCAAGCTCTCGGGTTGGGGCGAGAATGAGCGCTTGGCAGCCCTTGACGTTGGGATCAATCTTCTGAAGCGCGGAAATTGAGAAGGTCGCAGTCTTGCCGGTACCAGATTGGGCCTGGGCGATCACATCGTGGCCTTTCGTTTCCATCAGCATGCGGTGCCCTTTCGTGTTCGGCTAAGGGGGGCCCACTCACCTTTGATAACTGGCATGATAGCGCGCTGCTGAATAGCAGATGGACGCTCGAAACCATATGCGTAGACGCCACGGAGAAGCTCAGGCTTCAAGTTCATGGCGTCGAAGGAGTCGACGGTCTCATCGTAGTTGGACTCGATTTGGCCTGTGGAAAAAAGAGATTAGTCTGTTGTTGCAATTTTTCACCGGGGCTGCCGTCGCATCGCAAAACGTCGCAACTGGCGCGCAAACACCCGACTTACCCTCAGGAACCTCCTCGAGACCTTTGGAATCAGCCATGATTGCGGTTACAGAGAAAGGTGATCACAGGCGCTTGCTGTGATCGTGGAAGGTGCGCGTTGAAAACTGGTGGGGCGAGGGCGTTTGTGTGCCGTCGCCTTTCGTGTGTCGGTTGCGGGTATTAAGTACAACTAGATATCTGACTCTTCGTTCAAACGAGAGTCAAGAATGATATCTAGAAGAAAAAGTGTGTATTCGCTTGTTTGTAGTTGGATTTGGATTGAATGGATGAAGTTTTGGCGATGGTTTAGATTTTATTTTCTCCTTCTCAGAGCAAAAAAGGTCCGTGCGCCTTGCGCCACATTCGACCCGGAGTCAGATGCCGCCAGGAATTTACTCACTAGAATTTTGTAGATGCTCGTATTCTTTGAGCTTCTATGACTAACTTTGGTTACTTTTGCCCTTGCTGTGTCCGCGAATTTCCGGGATTTTGGTGCCTTTTGCCTGCTTGCCACATCTCCCTAGTGCGTGTTGAAGCAGTGAAACTCTTTGTGGGCGACGCTAGCCCAAATTTTGCATTTCACTGCTAGCAACCAAGGTCCGACACATGGCGCCTGGCATACTGCTCGCCAGTGCGTCTGAGCAAGACTTCGATCAGCGCCCTTCAAAAAGAATTAGAAGCTCATTCTCTCCACAAGCTGGGGAGTGCCAGAGCGATGATGACAACATACCAACCCATCCGCTTGAGATCAAACCTAGCGGAAACGCATACAGCTCCCACGTCAATTCGAAACACAACGCCGGTGTATTTGCTGCGCTGCCTGATGAATTGACTCTACAGCTACTTGAAACCCTACCAGCCACAGGGCTTGTGGCTCTAGGCTCGTCGTGTCGCTTCCTCTATGCTTTCACCCAGTACGACGAATTATGGAGAGCCTTATTTGTAGCGTAAGTCAGGCTCCCGCACTCTGCCTCAATCATGAGTCAACTCCTTGAGAAAATGAGGCTCATGATATCCTGTAGATCGCAGCCAGCCGACTTCGAGTGGCTAGGAACGTGGAGAGCCACGTACTTGAAATTACCGCCAAACACATGGAGTAAAATTCCTTGTCCGAATGTGTATTCAGATGTGCTTCACCGGCCATTCTTCTGCACGCATACGTCTCTTAAGAAGTATGCACAAAATATACCGCGCCAAAATTTGATTGCACGGCTGGACGATCTGAGTTTCGAGGAATATTCTGCAAAATGGACCAATCAACCATTCATTCTTACCAATCCTGTGAAACAATGGCCAGCAGCCCAGAAATGGAACATCGACTATCTGCTGAAGCATTATGCCGAGACACTTTTCAGAGCTGAAGCCGTAGACTGGCCCTTCAAAAAATATGTTTCATACATGAATAACTCTCAAGATGAAAGTCCGCTGTATTTGTTCGATCGAGAGTTTGTGGAGAAGATGAATATCGAGGTTGGCAAGGAGTCCGAAAACGCCATGTACTGGCCCCCAGAATGTTTTGGCGAAGATCTGTTCGATGTTCTTGGTGACCAAAGACCTGATCGCCGTTGGCTCATCATCGGTCCCGAGAGGAGTGGCAGCACGTTCCACAAGGACCCAAATGCTACATCAGCTTGGAATGCGCCGTTGACTGGCTCCAAATACTGGCTTATGTTTCCTTCTGGCCCAGATGTTCCACCTCCCCCCGGCGTCATTCTCTCAGAGGATCAATCAGAGATTACCTCTCCTCTGTCCATTGCGGAATACCTTTTATCATTCCACGAAATTGCACGAGCCACGCCAGGCTGTCGCGAAGGTATATGCTACGCTGGTGAGATATTGCATGTGCCATCGGGTTGGTTCCATCTGGTACTCAATCTTGAGGAGAGCATTGCGCTTACACAAAACTTCGTACCTGCTGCCCGGTTGACACAAGTTCTGCGCTTCTTAAGAGATACGCCTGATCATGTGAGTGGCTTCCGGGATGAAGTCACAGATCCATATGGGTTATTCGTAAGCAAACTCCAGGAGAAGTATCCGGATTTGCTTGAAAAGGCGCTCAAACAGCTTGATGGTAAAAAGGGCAAATGGGAACAGGTCAAGGAAGTTAAACAAGAAAGCGCTGAAGGAGGAGGGTTCAGCTTTGGCTTTGATAGTGATGATGAGGAGGATTAAAATCCGTCCTAGGCAAGATTCGACAAAGGATTGTGGCTAGGGTCAAGCTCTTGCCCTTAAGAGTCTGAAAAAATATTTAAAGATCAATGACTGCCACGCCTACACAGCACCAACACCGCCATGCGCCTTCACATTGTACGCCTTACTTCCAAAATGCATCTAACCAAAATGCATTATTTAATTCAATAGTTCAAATGTGTGTATATATGGTCTTCGTTTTGAGCAATCTCTTGAGGTCACGCATCGTACCTGCACCGAAGCCATTTGTACGTCTTGAGCTGAAGTTGCTTGCATTCAATCAGCAAACGTGCGGATACTGGCATATTGGGAGATCCGAATTCGGTAAAGAGGAAGAGCCTTTTGAGACACGGCCATATACCGCCAATGTTGTCTATACTTGAAAAGTAGAGAGAGGCAAGACTGGGAGGGGAGAGCCTTTGACACATGAGTCTTGCTTAATCGGTTTTGGGGCAAATCACCGTGGCTATTGCGTTTTCCAAGCACTTAAAAGTCTACATTAAGAAGATAGGAAGCTGAGACTTTACATAGGAGTATTTCAGGCCCATCATATCTGCATCTCTCAGAATATGACGTACCTCCGGCATCTCCGCTTAAGTCCGAGATTTCTGCACAGAGATTGACAGACAGCTGGAACGAAGTCGCATCAAAGCGTGCTGGATTGTTTCTGCGGCTGTCGTGTGACTCATAGCATACGAGTTCTTTGTATTTTGACCTCTGGAAGCATCTCAACGGCTGGACGATGGCCGTGGTGAGAAGAGGAGGGGCAAGTAATGATGTTAATGATCAACCTGGACCCTTGCCTTTTCTGGGCGTTTAACTATCTTCAGTCAGCAAAGACCGTCAATCAATCCGTTTCAACACAACATCCTATTTTTCTCGCACTGCGCAAATTCTGTCGCAGCAGACTTGACTTGGTCTCCGTTTCGCAAGCCCGCCTGCCCTCTGGATTACTGCGATTGTCTCGTTAGCTTCGAGCAAGCGCTTGATTCGTAGTAGATTGCAAGGCCTCCTCGTTCGATTGCGCGCACCAAGGTGGGCCGACATCTTCGGTTGCCCCGACCCTAGACGCAGAGAGTTTTGCAAGGAGTGGTTGCCTGGACCGTTCAACCTCACTATCCTGCTGCCGCCAGCATCTCTGTTTGCTTGGGAGATCTCATTGCGAACGCAAGTCGAGCGCACCTTCGAGGACATCGGATGCTTAGGCAGAATCGGACACTTGTTGGCCCGAGTCAAGTCACCCCGCGGTCGCCTTGGATCTGAACCGCGCTCGGCGAGTTAGTGTTCTTGGTGCGCGCATCTCAGGTTGGAGGTTTGCAGAGTGAAAATTCTCTGTTGTAGCCAACAACGTGTGTCCCTCATTTGTGGAAGTTAAAACGGAGATTAAGAGTTGGATATCTGAAAATGACACCCACACCACCATCTTCGAACACATCGAATAGCGGCCAGTCGCCAGATGGCCAGTTCAGAGTCGTGCGCAAGCGCAATCGAATTCCCCTGTCATGTGGGCCATGTAGACATCGAAAGCTGAAATGCAATAGGTCGCATCCATGTGACAACTGCATCAAACGGGGAGATGTCGACGCTTGCACATATGCCGCTCCGAATGCAAAAAGGAAGAATACATCACACAATGGTACAGCTAGTGGAAATCCAGACGAGATGCAGAACCGAATCGATCGGCTGGAGAGCCTAGTATTATCATTAATGACAAATGGCGCTCAGGCTGCAGGACCTACTGCTGCAAACGCAGCGATTGCCGGAGTGGGGCCAGCTTCAGGCAGCAGCATTGGCGGTAGCTCGCCACGATTCCAGCTTGATGCTGAGAGCGTGCGAGAGGAGCCCGAGGACGCTGAGGATGGCGACGAGAGTGAGGTGGACAAGATGTCGAAGCAGATGGGCGTGATGAAGATGGACAGTGGAAAAACGATTTTCGCGTCAGAAGCGCATTGGTATTCAATACTTGCTGAGGTCTGAAATCAGCTTATAACCTAATTGTTTTAAATCAAGAGAGCTAACATTATCCACAGATTGCCGAAGTAAAAAATCATTTCGCAGCGCACAAGAAGGAGTTTGAGGAACATTATAACAACGTCAAGCAGAAGGCAGAGGAATTAAAGAGAGAGACGACAAGTTTCTTTCCATTCATTACTGAGAAGCCTGCGAGCCATAGCGAGATTCTAGCCGCTTTTCCAAACAAACAAACTACTGATGTTTTGATTTCGCGCTTCTTCAACACACATAATTACGATCCAGCATTCCGTATGTGCCCCAGACGTTGTCTTTTTGAATTTTCACGCTAATATTTCTGGGTGTAGATATCATCCATGGTCCCACATACCAACGGCAATATGATCAACATTGGATCAGTCCATCAGACACTCCGTTGATATGGTTGGCCATGACCTATGCAATGATGAGCATAGCTGTGCAGTCCTTCATTCGAGCCGAGGACGGCCCACCAGAATATAGGGAAGCATTACCCAAAATGCTTAGAGATTATCGCCGACTCACTGCCCAATGTCTCATTCTTGTAGATATTACGGCACCAATCACCTATATGCTGGAGACTTTACTTCTTTGTGTAATATCGGAGCTTGGGCGTACGCGAGACGCTGAGACAGGCCCTCTTCTAGGAGTAAGCGTCATTGTTCGTCTTGCGATGAGAATGGGTTACCACAGAGATAGCAGAGATTTTCCACAAGTTACGCCGTTCCAGGGAGAAATGAGACGTCGAATATGGACAGTCGTGCGGCATTGCGACCTGCTATTTTCCTTGCAGGCAGGATTGCCTCCAATGATCCGACCACACGACACAAATACGGCACCGCCTCTCAACATCTACGACGATGAACTAAGCGAGGAGATGAAGGAGCTGCCGGCCTCCCGGCCTCTGACAGAGACGACTCCAATGACCTATATCATCTACAAGAACGAACTCATTAACGCGTATGCGGAGATTGTAGAAGCAGTTCAGGGTTTCGCCAACTGCTCGTATGAACAGGTCATGAAAATGGATCACAAGCTACGCGAAATCCATGCAAACATTCCGCCATTGTTCCGCATGCGAAGCATGAATGAAGCTCTTAGAGATTCCTCCGCTGTAGTCATGCAAAGGTATATATTAGACTTGCTCTTTTTGAAGAGTCAATGCGTCCTGCATCGCAAGTTCATCTGCCCCTCCCGGGATTCAACACGATATGTATATTCGAGACGAATTGCGATTGACAACGCGATGGAGATGTTAAAGCATCAGGCAACTCTTCATAATGAGTCGAGGCCCGGTGGTCGTTTAAGCAGCGTTAAGTGGTTTGTCTCGTCACTAACAAGCAACGACTTCCTCCTGGCTGCTATGATAGTAGCTTTGGACTTATACCACACGGCAGAGGCCGAGCGTCAGGGGAGACGTGCGTCCAACGATTTGTACGACTGGTCGCACGAGCGGCGGACCAGCATGTTGCAGACTCTTGAGCAATCGCGCAACATCTGGGCCACGCTCCAGGACCAGAGTATGGAGGCTCTGAAGGCGTATGGCGTACTATCCGCCATGCTGGGCAAGCTGCAGTCACACGAAGAACAGCTCCGGCGTGTTGCGCAAGCCGCCAACTTCGATGCCAAGAGCTTCCACCAGAATGGAACAGATGGTGACGACTCTACGGTTGCTCCCGAGCATTCCGCTGCGATGACACTAGGCTTGCTCAGTTCGGGTGCGATGACCGGCGACGCAGCAAACATGTTTGCCCAGTATAGTACACCTGGGCAGCCGAACACTAACACATCAACGTCTGGAATGAATTCGAATTTCTTCGGCACCGCGGACACGACGAACGTGCCCATGTCTTCATCTAGTCCGTTCTCAAGTTTGTTTGGTCCTTCGAGCAACATGTTCAACATGGATGTGGCGGGCAACAACGGCAACAATATCGATTGGGTATGTGTGGAGTTTTGATCGCAATTCAATCGCGACTGTGTTCCATGTGCTAATACCTATTTTCTAGGACGCATGGGACTCGTTCTTGCAGAACGGGAACGTTAACATGGACGGCACTGCGGGTTCCACAAATACAATGACCACACCGAACATGTCGTCCGGCTTCGGCATGTGGCCAGGTGGTATGAATATGAACATTGACCTACCAGGCATGAGCGGAACGAACGGCACTGATATTTCTACTGGCGACGTGGGCAATAGCACTGCATCACAAACGCAATCGCCGTCACAATCGAGCGGCAACTTCCCAATGGTCAGCAACGTTTACTTGGGCGCCAGCACCCCGAGGAGCGCTTTTTGAGAGAGGCAGACTCCAAGCATGATGATAACCTGTGCACATTTAGCTTTTGAAGGCACGGGGAGACAGAGCGACCGGTCTCCCGCGACTGTGGCAGAGTACTGCGAAGGAAGGTCCTCATCGTCACAGCTTAATGCTCGGGACGGGTTGGCGGGCAGCACACCGACAGCTACGCGGGCGTTGAGCGAAGTTGGTTAGCATGTGGAAAACATATTCTAGGATCTCTCACATTTTCGAGAGGCGGCCCAACAGTGTCCAAGCTGCATCGATCAACATTGTAATTGCTGCCAAGGTATCCAAGGTCGGGATGAGCACGCAGACATGCATACTTATCCATTCGCTTCTGAAGCACACACTTACATACGCAAACACACGTGCAGACTCGCACGCGCGAAGGCCATGGAGGTTTCTGAAGAGAATAGGGTCAATTCGGATGCGATCGGAAATATTTTTCATTTACTATCATTTTCCATAACGAGCTTCCCCTTGACGCTCGTTGAGACGAATGACCGTCAAGTCCTGGACAACTGCGACGAAAGAGGTACAGGTATTTCACTCAACTCACAATTGTTACGTTCTGGTAGAAGGGGTTTTTTTTTCCTGCTTCCCTGTTTTATATGCGAATGATGACATAACACACTAGTACGTAGCGCAGCACCTGTTTTCACCCCTTGTTTGCTGGTTGGACGAGCAGTCTAGCGAGTTTTGATTGAGGGGAGAAAACTCTTCAATTGCAAGATTTCTCAAATTGGGGCTTTCCGAGACTCTACCTCAGAAAGCACTTTTCACCAAGCTGATTTCTCTCTCTCTCTTTTATAGATCTGTATGATTTTTTTTCTTCTTTCCTCCTTACAAACGTACGGCTACAACAAGCGTCGATAGCGGCGGCGGCGACGGCACCAGTAGCATCAGCGCCATCGTGACGAGAAAACATGCCTTGTCAGGAGACACCGAAGCCCTTCCAACGGGTCCTCCGTCTTCTTTTCTTCAGTGCAAGCGAATAGCATCGTCAAATGCAATCTTTTCGGCAATGTCACCGTCGCGAAGACACTGTTTTCATTTAATCCCTCCCTTTTTTTTTTTAAAAAAAAAAAAAAATGTACACTCTTCCCCCCCCCCCCCCAACCCCCCAACCCCCTCTTCTCCTCTTTTCTTCTTTTGCACACTGCAGGTTCGAACATCTTCCTGGTGACAGCAGAGAGAAATGAAAGCAAAGTCTGGTGTGGAAGATAAAAAAAAAGGTGAAGATCAGGGTAGGAAAAAGGTCATAAGGAAACAACGCTGGGGGCCGATTTAAGAAAGGAAGAGGAGAGGGGGGAGCCCGGAGATGAGACGTGAAGAGAGAAAAGCAGGGAAAGCGTAGAATCGGCACGAAAGCAGGATCGAACTGTTTGTGTTTTGACGGAACTGCGTAATGCGCATGTGTATGAGCGAGAATTTGCGCCTACGTAAGCAACGTTTCCACTATTAAAATAAAAACATCGAAAGTGAAAAGAGATACTACACCTCCGAGATGGGCGGAGAGAGGGTTTACGCGGTCCTGCCTATATTCCCACATGTAGACTGAAAAAAAGAGCTTTCCCATTCCCATCAGATGGAAGAGAAAAAGATAACAGGGCGAGCACCTGGATAAGCCGTCCAAAAAAAAAGAAAAGTTCCCTAATTCCCTGTGCTATGCTTTGCTGCGTTTAACCCCCCACCGGAGAGACCAAGAAACTGCAACGAATAGATCTCCATGCTAAACCACGTAGAAAGCCACAGAACCGACCAAAAAAAAACAACAGAAATAGCGAGTGTCCCGGGTTGCCCTCCTTGAAAATGTGTTGGTGTTTGGGGTATCTTGGGTTTAAAAATATATGGTGGTTAGATGTCGATGATGGTATTGATTGAAGTTGCCGTTAACCGTCGTAGTTCCCAGAGTTTCCCGCTTTGCACCCAGTCCAAATGTCCCCGTCCGTCAACGTATGCCGCGCCCGAAAATCAGATTTAAAAAAAAAAAAGGGGGGGGGGGGGGGGGGGGTGGGGGAAAGGAACTGCTTTGTATGTATGTTTGTGGTTTTTTTTTCTTTGTGTCTCTGTGCGTTCCCCAGGTACGAATCGAAGTCGTGACAGATATTTACTAAACAGAACCTACAGGTCGAATGAAGAAGAGTGTTGGTCCAAGGTGTGGGGAAGCGGTGTTTAAACGAGGAAGAGGCGGAAAACTGGAACACAAATATGTCGCTCTTCATAACGTCATAACAATTTGGGAGATGTTCTCACAGACGGAATGGAGTTGAGAGCAGCGAGAGACCTCGACTGATCAAGGTAGGAGGGGAGGTTTGGGTTAAGGGGGGTTTGAAGGAGGGAGCAGCAGTGGCGGCGGCGGGAGCGGCAAGCTGATCAACCGTCGCTGGCTTCGTCATCGTCGTCGTCCTCGTCGGCGTCGAGTTGTTTGACTGGGCCACCGCTCTTAGCTTTCTTCGATGAGCCGCTGGGGCCGGCGTCAGCCTTACGCTTGCCACTGGAGGTACCCTTGTTCTCCTTGTCAAATTCCTCAGGCACGGCCGTGCCCGCCTCCTGCGCCTTCTTGCGCTCCAGCTCTGCAACTTCATCCGAGGTGAGGAAGCGGCCACCGGGGCCGCGAGGTCTTCGCATCGCATGGTTGTGCCTGGACTCGTGCAGGTACGGCTTCCGTGCTTTCGAGGTCAGTCGCAACTGCTCTTCCAGCTTCTGCCGAGCCAATCTCCTCTTCAATATGCGATGGAACTGCTTGGCGTTGACGTAGAGTGGGGTGTCTTCTGCGCTGCCGCCGACATCCGGCGAAGGTTGGTGCTGTTCGACGGGGCCACCGGACGTCGGGGGTCGATTCATGACAGATTGCGGTTGCTGGACGCCGGGACTGCTGCCGACGTGGCTCATGCGGCGCTGCGGTAGTTGCTGGGCCAAACCGCCCGGAGGCGGCGTTCGTCGGCCGCCCCGCGGATCCATCTTCTGGTCATGGTGCATTGGGAAGCCCTGGCCGGGCATGTTGTAGTATTGCGGGCCTGCTGCCGCCGCGTTGGCCATCATCGCGGCCTGGGTGACGGACATGTTCTGCGGCATGCCGTAGCCGGTGTTGTACGGCATACCTTGGTGGTGTCCGGAGGTTGGCGCGCCGTGCTGACCGTACGGATTGCCCTGCGACATGAGCGGCGAGGACTGTTGCGGCGGAGGCATGGGCTGCTGGCTGGGCGAGGTAATCGGCGCGCCGTTCTGACCACCTTGGTACGGTCCGGGCATGTGCGATTGAGGGTGGTGGCCAGCATGCGACTGCGGCTGCTGATACGGGTAGCCTGCCGTCTCCATTGTGACGACGCGCTCAAGCGGATTGTTGAGCGTGCTGCGCTGGGGTTGTGCGGGGTCTGCGACGAACTGTAGCGAGCAGGAACGCGTCGAGCAGACAAAAGGTTAAAAGAAGGACGCGGCTGTCGCGATCACGTCACTTTCGTCGTCTCACCCGACGTTGCTTCGGTGGCTCCGGCTGCCTCGTGAACGCGCGACCTTTGGATGCTGTTTTGCTTGAGGCGGTGCCTGGGGTTGGCTGCGCCTCTTGCTGGGACGATTCGAGTCCGTTCTGGTCCTAGCTACGGAAGCGGAAGCTGTATCGATTGTGAATGGATCGGAGCGGCTTTTAGACCTGAACAGAGGCCAATGACTGTTAGCAGGATGCGCGCACAGGAGACGAGGCGATGGCGGCAATTGGGTGGAGCAGAGAGAGGGCATGTGCTGGCGGCACGTCCATTGGTGTCGATGAGTTGGCACTGCAGGCCATGCAGCTTCTCTGCATGAACAGGGGCCTCGTGCTAAGAAAAACGTACCTTGAGCTTCTCGGTCAAGGCGTGGCAGCGTATCCACGTCGAAAGGCAGGTGATCAGCGACGAAGTCGGGATCGACTGTTCGGCGCGCAGACTGGGAACGGGGTGTATGTGCGTGCACAACAATAAATTTCGACGGCGTCGGGGGTTGGGAAGACTTGTCGTCTGCAAGCGCGGGCGGTTAGTGTTGTTTGGCGTACGAGGCTTGGGGAGATGCATCGACGAAATGGCCAGGCTGGGGGGAGGGGGGGGGAGGGGTGAAAAACCCAAAAAACTGTTAGGAGGATAAAACGAGCTAGAATGACAGGAAAAAAAAAGCAAGTCGAGGGCTTGGAAAGCCTGTAAGACTGACCATCCAAACGAAGCGCGAATGGAAATGGTGAGCGAGACGAGCAGAGACTTGGTGAACGGGCGGGCGGAGAGGGAGGAAAAGCTGGGGATGGGTTGAGCGTGAAACAGAACAACGAGCGGACAAGACCAGCCAGCACAAAACAGCAGCAGCTGCGCAGAACAGAGCAGCGCAGAAGAAGAGCGCAGGAAACAGGGCGGCAGTCGAGAAGGAGGAGCGGGTGGTGGCAGTGGGGAGGAGAGTGCGCCGCGAGCATGCGTGGGCGGTCGGTCAGGCTGCAGACTCCTTGCGCGGTGACGAGAACAGAGCGAGAGACAGAGCGAAGCGATGGGGGCCGGGCCTTGGGCTGGGGTGACTGTGCAGCGCGAGCACAGCGGCTGATCCCGAGAAAGAGAGAAGAGCAAGACTTGCGGTTTCCTTCGCTCTTCTCGTCGCTCTCCTTGCTCGTTCGTGTCCGGACTCCTTCGTGCTTGGGCACAGCGTTCAAGCAGGCTGCAGCCGTGATGGGGGAACTTGCGCCGAGCGATGTTCGCATGCGCGGGAGGGTGCAATGCGGCGACGGGGCGAGCACATACTTGCACTCATATACTTGGCGACAAACGCACTCACTGAAACGCGTCGGCCTGCGCCTCGGCAGAGCGAGGCGGCACGGGCACGGGCGTGAGTGAGTGTGAATGTGTGCGCATATGTGTGTATGTGCGCGCCGTGACGCCCGTGCTGATGAAGGGCGATGACGATGGTGATGATCTGGACGATGAGGGTTGTGCTTGCGTGTGAGCGCGTGCGCATGTGCCCGGCCGACAGACGGGCTGTCAAGACGATGCACAACACAGGCGCGCGCACGCACACGCAGAGGGCGTGCTCGTGGGCATTTGTGCGTGGACGAGTGGACGGGCGTGCTTGGAGCTGTGAATGGCTACGGACAGACAACGTACCGTTTCGCGCCTCTCACACGCCTGTCGCCGCGAGATTCGCGCACGAGACGGCGTCGGCGGCGACGAATGAGCGCGCTATGCAGCCGCCTTTCTCTTGCAAGAAGGCAGGCCAGCGGCGGCCGATCCCAGAGCGCAGGAGCGACGCAAACGAAGAGCAGAAGACAGCGCGCGAAGCAGACCCGCGTCGTCGGGCTCTGAGCGGGCCTGGGGAGGGGCAGAAGACGACGAGCGTGTCGATTCGTCGAGGCGATGGCAAAGACGATGGGCTATCGTGCCAATGACAGAAGAGTTGGGAGGAAGATTGGGGTGCGAAGCCAATGATCGAGAAGGGCGAGGGTTCTTGTAGCCAGTAAAAACGCCGTTGCCAGATCGGAGCCTTGGCCCGAGCGTCCAGCCCGTGCCTCTGCTGCCGGTCCGCCAATCCTGCTTGCTGCTGCTGCTGCTGCTGCTGGCCTTCGCCCCGCGGCCGTTGCTTGGGCAGTCGTGCGCGGCCGTGACGTCCACGTCGAGCCCACGCACCCGGCCGTCGCGACGAAGGTGGCGTCATGCCAGAGCTCCCAGCCCGTCGCCATCCTACAGCCCTGGGTGCTGTCTCCTCTACACGGCGCGGCAGACCCAACTCTACCACCGCCAACCAATGCCTTCAAAAGACCACCTCCGCCACCGCTACCACAATCGCGCCTTGTCCGCCGCCATTGCGCGCGCTCCCTTCATGTCACGCGCAGTGCCCTCTCCCCGCGCGATATGCCATGCTGAGCGTGCGACCCGCACCGCTGAACGAGTACGTGAGGTACAGCACGAGTAGGAGAAGCAGTAGCAGTCGCAACACCTCTTCTGTGTAGTGGTCGTACAGCATTTCGCAGCTCGGTTGATTCTTGTGTGCCGACGTCGCGCTGAGGCTCTACTCGTCTCGCCTCTTGCCGCCGTTGTCTCGCTCTCCCTTTGTGCGCGCACGTGCGCCGGCCTTTTTTTTTGCGACTCCATTTTTTCTGTTTGGCCACCGCCCGCCCCGCTTCGGCTCCTCAGCCATGATTTTCCACTGAGCCCCAGCCCAAGCCCCTCGCCATGCTGCGCGATCACGCACGCACGCGCGTTCGTGCCGTCTCCAACCCACTGCTGCTTTTCCCATCACGTTTTCAATCGACTTCACTGCCGGCGATGCTGACACATGAATTAGGCTGGGTGGAGATCTCTTTTTTCTTAATCAGTTGGCTTTGGCTTTGCAACTCCTCCCAGCCCGAACCGACGTGTGCAAGTGAACGTCGGAGCTGGCGGTGTGCAGCAGCCTGACGTGGCCCTACGGCAGTCCTGTTCTTCTCCAAAACGAACCTCTGTGCAGCCAGGCGTGCGCCCGGCTGGCCTTGGGCGGTGAGGACCTGGAAGCGACTGGCTCGAACGTGTAAGAAGGGGGTGCTTTTTGGTCGACACCTCGAACAACCACCACCATGTACCCAAAATAAGACTTGCGATCGTACACATGCGCTGTGTGCGCGAGTGTCTCAGCTCTCGAACGTTCTTCCGAGCTCAGCGCTCGCTCACCGACGCACGCGCTGCACAGTACACAGTAGACGATTCCACGACGTTGCCCCCGCCGCCCCATCAGCATGCCGCTACGTTTTGTCCTACGCACGAAGCATCAGGCTTTGAAAGAACATAGTCTATCGTCATCCTCATCATCAGCATCCCAACAGCCAGCCAGCCAACCAACCAACAGACAGGCCTTCCGCATCTCAGAGCCCTACAGGAGTTCTCGATCGTTTTCCTACGCGCCCGCGCACGAAGCAAAAATATTCAGATTCGACGGTCCCACATGCACGCGCGAGTTCTGATTGGGTATCCGTCCCCCCTGCCCACTTTCCTCTTCGCCGCGCCAAAGCAGCGAAAAAAAATGACCCCGGCCATGATCATTCATCCCGCTCCATCCTTCTACTACCGCTCGTCCCTTTGCTTTTTCTCTTGTCCACTCTCATTCCCGTAGATCTGCAGCCCTGAAGAGGCTTGTTTCCTTCCCGCCCGCCGCCGATGTCAACAACAACAACAACACCCACCACCGCCGATCCCTGAGCCTGATCCGAATGCAACCTCTTGGACGGGACGGGTCTCCCGGATGCGCTTATGTTTTGATCTCTTCCCCCGCGCGTCCCGTCTTTGTGGAAAGCCCCCGTTGTGCACTTTGCCCATACCCCCGAATGCTGATGGCACCTTCTAGTGAGGTGTGTAGTTTGAACCTACCTCTTGCTGGGTCCTAATGGAGTTGCCTTTTCTTTTGAGCGCTAGGAAGGAAGCTGTTTCGTGCTTTGGATCATTAGACACTGATGCATCGCCTGAGTGTTTCTTCCCGCCCCATGGCTTCAAGCTGTGAGACATCTCCGGATCGTGCGTACACACAAACAGCCCTTCGCCCCCCCCCCCCCCCCCCCCCCCCCCCCGGCCTGGCCCAAAAAAAAAAGAAAAAACACTCCTTTCCTTTCGTCCATCTCATCACGCAGACTTCAGTTTTCATCTTGGTGCATCAAATCGGTCGAAAAGTACGTCAGAAAGCCACTCCGCAAGCACGTGCTGCATCCACTCAAAAGAGCGATTGTTTCCCCTTCCCGTCCCATCGCAAGCCTCGTCATTCGCCGTACCCACAAAAACGATGTGAAATGAGCGCAATTTTTTTTTTCTTACCCCGTGTCACCAGATGCCTCCCATAACCACACCCTCGATTTTCTCTTCTTTTTTCCTCACCCGTTGTTGAAGGGGCGCGCATCAAATTGGGCGCTCTTCCCCGTGACCTTCAGGTACCGGACGGCACTTCAGCTTTGTGAACGAAGAGATGTCACCTACAAGCTGTGCACAGCCTATGGCGTTGCGAAACGCTCGTTCCACGCCGTGATTGGGCCGCGCTTTTCGTCACAGCTTAGTCCAGGCTGCCGTTTCAGAGGCCGGGCGGCTACAAACAAAGAGCGAGACGCACACAATTGATCTGTAATCTCGTCTATTGTTTGTCTTGGAAGGATCGTCTCTCCATCGATGCGCTGCCGTCTCTGCCTTGATTTTCTGACAAGCCAACTACCATCCCGGGCCCTCTCCCCTCCCCTTCCCTTCCCTTCACCCTGTCCGACGAAGGTGACATGCATGCTCACTGGCTCGCTTTGCCTGTCTGCCTGCCTCGCTGGGAAAAGCAAGAGGCGTGACTTTCTGACTGATCGCCTAAGCGAACTGCAAGTCATCATCCCGAGCCACATTTCTCGTCCAGCGTCAAGATCGGGAACGGACGTAGCTACAGAATCGCAAACCTTGATGCTCCTTTTCTTCCACTCTCGCTAACGCACTTTCAGCGGGCACGCGCTTTGGCGCCAGCCCACCATGCTGGCGTCTACGTCCTTTTGGTCGTGCCTCAGGCGGTTCCACGCTTCGTGTGCGTTTTCTAGGTCGCTGCGGCTCCCACTGCTGTCCCCACATCGCAAACTTTATCGTGCTGACTATCTTTGCACCGCATCCTTTGTACTTGTAGAACCCCGGCGCGCCAGCAACCCTCCCTCGCCGCTCTCCCCCGAGGGCAGGGAGCGGGGGCAAGATGGGAATCTCCTGCCCTTGCGCTTCTCGGAAAGAGACGGGGGTTTCCTACGCTCGCACGTCAAACGGTCCTCCTGCCGCTGTTTTGCTTTGGCTCGTGGTTATCACCTGCAGCGTGCGCGGACCGGACGTGTCGCGAGGGGAGGGAAAGAAGAAAGGAACACAAGTCTGTTGCGCCATGCAGCCGGGCCGTGACGTCGTCCACATGCAGAGTTGGAAGAGCTCCGACGCTTCGTGTCGATTTTGACGTGCAGGCATGCTTTCAGCGAGTCTGCAAGTGTGTATGTGCGTGTGCGTCTTCTTCCCCAGCCGTGTACTTTTTCGAGCGCACAAACACACCGCTCGTGCTGGGATGACGTCGCACGGCTGCGCGAGCTGTTTTGCTACAACGGGATCAACCCTTTCCTCCACGAGTTTTGCAATCAGGGCTCTCCTCGTGCCTTGTCTTCATAGCGCCCGTCGGCTGCTTCTCCGACTCCGCAGCCTGTAGAGCCCGAACGGGAGCGGTAGCGACGCGAGGCTCCGTCGTGGCAGGTCCGCCTGCCCCTGTCTGCGTATGTGTGTGAGTTTGTGTGTGTGTGCCACGAGAGATGCCGGCGTCTGCGCTGCCGGAACACGTTTCTGTCCAGCTTTGCTCTCCGCTTCCAGAAGTGGCAACTATTCCTTCCTCGCCTCTGCTCAAAGTAAACTTTCCAGAAGTTCGAGTTGCCATACGAGAGACCAATGGGGTCTCTTGCCTTATCGGAGGCGACATCCTGGCCGCAGGTTTGGAAGTTCTGTCTGCCGCAGTTATAAACTCGGGCCTAGTGCCGCCCGCTTTCTCGCCGGGCGGTCTACAAGTACCTTTCCTCACTACGTGGCACCGTCGCACGCGGCGTCGAACCTGTCGCAAATGACGTGTTATACGAGCGTTGCGAGAGCTCATGATCAGGACACCATCGCAAAAGCGATCCCGGTTCTTCGAACACAGCATGAAATTGTCTTGGCGCCTCCACCGCTTCTTTGACTACGCCCTCCAGAGACCGGCACAGGCTTGAGATGCACCTTCATCTTTGTGTAACCATCTTAGATTTCGTACCCGCCAGCCGTGCAAGAACCTCTTTTCTGATAGTTTCCAAATACAGGGCTACTTTCTAGGCATCAAGAGCTGCCGACTTAAGCCTACCGAGCTTGAAATCGTTATGCCACCTTTGTTGCTAAAGCTAACGCAGTACAGACCTTGCGTCCTGGAGAGCTGCTGCTGTATTCTTCATACATTGAATTTAAAAGAAAACGACACTTCAACTACTTTGCTTCTCCAATGAGAAATCAAGATGCGCTTATCGCCTGCTTCGTCCATCGCCCTAGGCAAAGGGTTTCATCTCTGGGCAGCGGTGAATAACCAACATAAAAATATGAACTCCGAGTCCGGTTAGCATCTTTTCCAAACCATGAGCCATCCCAAGAGAGACAATCGTATTTGCTTATGTAACCTCTGAGCAGGCTGAAACCATGGCTAACTGCCTCTGGCACATCCAACAAGTGTGCCACGTAGCCTGATGATGAAGCCAAGGCTGTGAACATCTGTCAAACTTTGTTTCTAGATGAAACAAAATGAACGTCGGATTGGACGAAGTGTGAATATCTCTTTCCTATCCCTCAGCTTTGTGCTGCTCTCAGCCTTGTGCATACGCAGTCGTATTAAACCTGATTACACATTTTTTCAATGGCTACTAAAGTAGCAGTCATTGGCGCGGGCCCTCTTGGACTGATTGCCATGAAGATTCTTAAGGAGGACGGCTTCAAAGTGACCGGTTTCGAGGCGAGGCCATACGTGGGTGGCCTGTGGAAGTACTCGGAAGACGCAGCGTTGTCCGTCGCCGAAAGCACGATCTTCAACACGAGCAGGTATCGCACCGCCATCTCCGACTTCCGCTTTCCGCCTGGTACAGCCGATTATCCGACGTGGCAGGAAATGCACCGGTATCTGGAGAGCTACTGCGACGCGTTCGATCTGCGGCCGCACATCCAGCTCTGCAGCCCAGTTACCCGGCTGAGCCGTTCGGGGCGCCAATGGGTGTTACACATCTCTCCGCCGGACTGCGAGCCGCGCACTGAATGTTTTGACAAGGTCGTCGTAGCGACAGGGACATTCACGACGCCGAGGCAGCCGCATTTGCCGGGAATTGAAAACTTCAAGGGCTCTGTGATCCACGCAATCAATTTTCACCGGCCGGCTCTGTACAAGGACAAGAACGTGCTGCTCGTCGGGTTGCATGCGACGGCCCAGGACGTAGCCGTCGCGTTGCTCGGCCACGCCAACAAGTTGTATGTCTCGCATAGGAACGGCGTCTTACTTGTAAGTTCAAAAGCTGGGGCCCCCACGTGTTTTGCTACATAATGTTGCGAAGCTTATTAGCCTGCAGATTCCTCGCTACGCAGCCGATGGATCAGTCTTTGACCGCTCACAAAGCTTGATGGTATTCCGCCTCCAGCTCTTTCTGTCCCGATGGCTGCCCACCACCTACAACTGGCTCATGGACTTTTTCCTCTCCCGTCTGTCTGCGAAGGTTTTCCCTGGTATCCCGCCATCGTGGGGTTTCTCTCCCGCTCCGTCCTTCGCCTTACACCCACCTCTGGTTGCGGACGAGATCTATCCACTGTTCAAATCTGGCTTTGCCGAGCCTGTGACGGCCATTGAGCGAGTCACTGGGGGTCGGAGTCTTGAATTGAGAGACGGCCGTGTGCTGACTGATGTCGATGCCATCATCTTCTGCACCGGCTACGACACGTCCGTTCCTTTTGTCGACAATGAGTACAATCCATACCCCGTCGTCGGAGAGTCACCGCACCTGTATCGGGGCATATTTCCTCTTCATGCCGATGAGGAGGTCCGAAACTCGCTGGCTTTCCTTGGCCACGGCGCCTTTAATTTAGTCGGTTTTATCCAAGCGGAGCTATGTACAATGGCCGTTTCTCAGATCTGGCTCGGACACTCTGCGCTGCCCTCATATGAGGAGATGAAACAATGGCATAGTGGCTGGATGCAGTGGAGACAGGACCAGCAGAAAGCACAGAGTACGGAAGTTACCTTCTTGCCTGGCTTTGTCTCGGCGGAAGATCAGTTTCCTTGGCTGGACCGGACGGCCGGAACGGGATTAGTAGAGCATTTCAGCTGGTTCAGCTTAAGGTCGTGGTCGTTCTGGTGGCGCGACCGTAGGTTCTATACACTGTGTAACACAGGTTTCTTTAGTCCCGCACTGGTGCGGCTGTTCGACATGGGTAAAAGGAAGGCCTGGTCACAAGCGAGAGAGCAAATATACAAGGATAATGAGGATGTTGCCCGAGGGCAGCAAGAACGCTTGCGGAAACTCAAGAACGATTGACTAAACGATTTGGGTCGTTTCGAACGTAGCCAACATTAACTTCCTTGTATATACTGACATCGATTCGCGCAACTTTGGCGCAGACGGCCGGGGTCGTAAATCCGAAATGTTACTAAATTTCTCTTGCTCAGGTGGAATATCATCAGCCTCGAGTGTATGTACTGGGTGCCTGCACTCTTTATGAAAAGATGAAGAAGCTTGAAACAGTGACTTCATTTTCTCCAGATCGTTAGCCCTTCATCAACAAATCAAGTTCGCCCTTTAACAAGTCCCATAAAATTCGCATCAGCTAGGTTTCCACGGTCTCATTTCGTTGCATTGATTGTCCCATCTATACGGCTGGCTGCTGCCGACATTATATTGATAGTAATTTTCTGTGCCGCCCTTGACTAGTGCCTTCCGGAATGTAATGTTGATGCGGCCTCGGTCGGCTTCACCCCCTCTACGCTTGGGTATCGAATGGAGCCAGCACGACTGCGTCTTTCCTTTCATCAAGATCATGTCACCGGACGCCAAGGATAGCTTTAAAGGTTCAACATCTGTTACAGAGGTGTTGGTTGTGGACGGTGGATTCGGTTTATGTTTCATAAGAAAATCTCTTTTCGCCCCGAGACTGAAAGATGCGATCGCAGGGAGTGGGCCGAGAAACCTCTCATCGTCGCTGTGATATGATATGCTGTCATTGCCGGAAGCATAGTAGTTTACGAGACAAAAGTTGAAGCTACATCCTGTAGAACCTTCTGTGATAGCGCGCAGAACATCCAGGCACTGTGGTATCGGTCTGGGAGTACACTTGTAGCGATCCTGCGGTACGGGCTTCCTCGTCTGCGCGTCGATCAGAGAGCCGTCGTCGAGAAAGCGGGATGTGTCGTCAACACCAAAGACTGTTGTAAACCGGGGAGTGTTGACCTGCGTCTCCAACGTTCCTCGTTTGATCGTATATCTAACGCGATAGAAGAATAGTTCCCGTCGTAGAAATTCGAATAGCTCTTTCTCAATGTCTTTGGCAATGTAAGGCTGAAAATACATCAAATCAAGATCGGGTCGATCGTTGATCGCTTTGCCTTCCTAGATGCAACAGTCAGTGGACCGTCATTCGCGCGAGAGAAAAAGACCCTTCAAGGCTTGCCTGATCTGGGCCAAAATTCAACCGATCCACAATATGTTGCGGTAAATGGGGAATCGGGAAGGGATACGTTGGGTGAATGGATTTCTCTTCCGAGCCTTCTACGCGCTGTTTCTTGACTTCCGGAGGCCTAAAGAAGCTATCTAGTGTCTTTCTCTTCGACATAACGACCGCTCAAGTCTCAGTCTCCTGACTGCGTTCTTCATGTTTGACTTTCTTATGAAGTCTTGAGGAGAATGACCTCACGACATGAGCCGGGACCACCTTCGTGTTGATGCTTTCCTTTTCCAGGCGCTAGCGGGCAGAAGTTCGGAATTCTGGTTGGACAAGTTAAATTCAGTGCCAAAACCTCAGCTGAACCACCCGTTCAGCTGCAAGTGGCAAATGTCAGAAAAGTACACTTCTGAAGACCATCATCGACACCCAGCTGCCTCGTCACTTCGGATTGCCGGCTCAGCTTGAAGAAGTAGAAGGTGGTATTCCCTGCAATAAGGATTTTGGAAAGGCAAGCCACAGTTCGCGTCAATGCTTCGGCATAAAAAATGCGACGCGTGGATGTTAATGATCGCTTACATGGTACCCAAGCAGCCGCAGCTGAAAAAGGATTCTTGAAACCCAGAGAATCGCATCAGTAGCTGCCGCTCTTATCATCCCTCTTCTTTTCTCCCCATCGGTCTTAAAGTCTCGCAATCTTCGTCCCTGATCATCGTTTTGCGCTCGGAGCAGCTTGTCCAGCATGGGTATCTGGGATGCCGGATCTGGAGGCCCTTTCGACGCCGTGCGATTTTCAACTTCGTGGATCGTACCGCCGGTGGTTCTCTTCGCTCTTCGCGCGCTGATCTCTCTGTTCATCTTCACTAGCATCTTCACGATCTTGGGTATAGACGACAAGGTTGATCAAGAACATTACTTCAGCTACTTCACCAGCTTGACATTCTGGGGCTTGGGCTTCTACTTTCTCTTTGCTGCGATTCATACTGCCAGCTACTGGCTTACCGGAAAGCCGTTTCTAGCAAGATGGCCGCGAGCGCTCCAGATTGCGCATTCGATGTACTACACCACGATTACTACGTTCCCATTTGTCGTCACGAGTATGTACCTGCTATCATTATGTACGCCGTGCGCTATTAACAAAGACACGCAGTCATATTCTGGGCACTGCTCTTTAGTTCTTTCCCCAATGTCTTTTCTGTATTCAGCAACGTTTCACAACATGTCCTCAACACCGTCTTCTGCCTCTTCGAAATATTTGTTCCGCGAACCTTACCCACACCGTGGATTCACCTTGTTACACTTGTTCTTATTCTACTGCTCTACTTGGGACTGGCATTCGTCACTTGGGGAACGGAGCATTTCTACGTGTACGACTTCCTTGACGACCGACTTCACTCGCGAGGGGTGATTGCGGGATATATTTTCGGCATATTGGCGCTGACCATTGTGATATTCGTGGTTGTCCATTTCGTACTCCTAGGGCGGGTCAAGCTCACCGAAAATAAGTGGGGGAAGACTGGTAAGTTGGCAACGAAAGGCAGGACGGCTGGCGCTGGAGATGCTGAGCTTGCTGAGCCTATGGCGGAGAAAGCCTAGCTTGAAAGACGGATATTGTACTTTTTGTCTGCTCCTGCGCGACAAATTCATTTTCAATTCGCAAATTCTTAACATCCTCGAAGCCGAGATTCCGTTTGAAAACTGAAGTTGTGTTTTTTTTTTTTTGGTCCGACCTGGAATGGACATGCGACCGGCACTTGCTACCTGGTGCCAAGTCAGTTGGGTTGCATACAGATACGAGAACCTAACCTAATTTCTTGCTGCTTCGAGTCACATCACTTGACAGCGCGCATGCTTCGCGCGAGCGCCGGGTCGTCGTGGCACACGTTATTGGCTCTCTATCACGGAGCTGACACGACTACAAATACTCGCGCCCGCGTCGACCTGACTTTCTCCCTCATTCCCTCTGTGCACGTGTTAGACGGATCCCCGCCTTTTTTGAGCCTCATTAAGAGATATTCGACTCCGCTTGCGCTAGCTGCTCTTTCCTCCCGCGAAGCACCATGCTTGATCACGCAAGCATTTCGGTGCCGAAAGACCAGTTCGAAGACGTGATAGCTTGGTACATCAAAGCGCTCGAGCCGCTTGGATACAAGAAAATCCACGAATATGCAGGCCTTGCCGTTGGTCTCGGCGACCCAAAACCTGATTTCTGGATCGGCGCGAGAGACGAGGGGCGATCTGTTCAGCACATCGCTTTCGGGGCGAAAGGTACGTCGTACGTGGCATGAGCTTTACCATTGCAGTCTAAAAGGGAGCCTAGATCGAGACACCGTAAGAAAATTTTATGAGGCGGCAATTGCGGCTGGTGGAAAGGACAATGGCGGACCGGGAGTTCGCAGTTCGTATCATGAGCACTACTATGGCGCCGTAAGCTCTGTCGAATCGAGCTGCTTGCGGCGAGATGCTAATGAGGATGTATCACAGTTTGTCTTCGATCCAGTAGGAAACAATGTAGAGGCTGTCTGCCACAGCCCAGAATGAACGACGAGGTAGTAAACAAAGCAATATAGTTCTATTCGCTTGGACACATGGAGAACAATAGGATTACGAGTCCCGTGCTATAGTTACATATTACGTCTCTTTTAGGGGGAAAAAAAAAGAAAAAGAAAAAGAAAAAGGAAGCTCTTCGTATTCAGTCGTCAAAGGCCCGCTTTCATGTCGATGGAATTGGGGTGGGGAAGTCTCCGGGCTTCACGCCCATCCACTCCAGGGTATCTCTTTTATCATCACGCTTCGCCAAGTCTGAACCCGCAGATCCTGGAGCACTTCCCGGCGTCCTCTTCTTGCCTTCGTTCGCAGTGTTGGTAGCTGGTTTGATCGACTTGCCGTCGTCAAGCAGCCACGAGCTTCGGGCATGATCTGTAGCAGCTGGGGACATCAAATTTAGAGCCTCCTCCTGGAGCTTCATCCAAGCAAAGGTGGTGTATGCGGCAGACATTATGCGCACAGAGTTCTCTTTGCTCTCGCTGAGCGTCTGGTCGAACTTGTTGGTGTCAGGAATCTCGTCCTCTGCGATTGAGGCATCCTTTGACGAGGCGTCGAAGAAATCACCGGCGGGTTGGTCGGGGGCCTCCTCGATTTGATGGCTCTTCCTCCACTTCCGGCTGTAGTTTCTGGCAAGGGCCGGCGCTGAGCTGGATCTGACGTTGCTCCCGTTCCTCATTTCCTCCCTTAGTCGCCGACGCACAATAATCAGAGGATCTGCCACCTGCGCTGCCCGTGGCTGACGTGGTGGAGAATTCGACTTCAAGCTTGGAGCCGATATTTCTTTTGGCTGAGAAAAGCTTGTATTACTTCGCACTTTCCTCGGCACCGGAGTGGACATGCGTGTTTTGGGCGGTGTTGTCGGCACACTCTTTGGTATCAGGCCTAGTACTTCTGCGCTTTTGCCCTGTATTGAATATCCTTGAACTTCTGGGGTTGATGCCACGTATAGGCCATAGCTAGTGCTTGGAGCGGAGGCGACAGGCCGTGACTTGGGAAGAGCATCGCCACTACGCCGTGTTGGCGATGCGCTTTTGCGGCCAAGTCCGAAGCAGCCAAATGAAACCATTGAATCGTCGTCTTCATAAGTTGATCTTGGCTGTTGTGAAAAGGTATGCCTCGGTTCATACACCGTTGACATCTGAGCCGTATGTCCCATTGAAGTTTTGTCTAGAAATACGTCGTAGGATGCTTTCCAGGAAAACGTGTGTGTTGACGAGTTGATCTGGATATAATCAATGTTCGGAGGGTGAAAAAAAAGGAAAGAAAGAAAGAAAGAGCAATGAACTAAATAGAATTAGATGTTTTCACTTAAACGATCTCGTGACGATCACAGTTGTGTTGTACAGAAGCAAAGGCGCTTCGTGAAGAAACACGAGATGGATTGACGAGGGTCGAGAATGGCTTCCGAGCGCAAGAAGAACACAGTGTACGAGCATATATATGTGCTGGCGTTAAACATCACAAAAGAGGAGCAGCAGATGAGCCGACAAAGGGAAAGGGAAAGGAAACCAAAACACCAAGGCTCCTGCATACAAGCAACACACGACATTATTGCCGGGCATCAGGGCTGCCGCGGTCGAAGTTCAGTCGACACGAGAGCAGGTATCGCGCAGAGGAACGTCAGCATCCCAGCTGAGACTTGGCGGCGATGAAACGTGCACTCTCGACAATGACGAGGACACGCCCTGTTTGTTCTTGAATACGGCGCAGGCAGGGGCGGCGAATCTGCCCGTGCAAGACAAGCGCTGGTCAGCGTCTGGCTGAGAACAGAACGACCGGGCGCGTGCAGGCTGGAGCTGGACCGTGGGCCGCGTGCATGGTGCGTTTCACCTCAGAGGCCCGCCTCCTCATAGGGCCAGGCGTTTGAGGACGGCCCAGTGGTGGCCGTTTGTGGGCGTCTCTTCTGCACCGCGCCGGGAGCAAAGCACCGCCGACGGCTGCGAGAAACGAAGATGGCAGAGCCAGCGCGCTCGTCCGCGATGCCGCCGTCGAGCCAGCGCTGCTTGTCCGCGCCGCGCGATAGACGTCTTGGATGCCGCGACGGAGCCTGCTGCTGCGAAGCTTCTGGAAGGATGTGAAACGTCGCCGGAGCGCGGCCTTCAGCAGTTGCGCAACCGCGGGCGGGCGGCCTGACTCGCGCAGCCGACCGTCTCCACCCGCCGTCACCTCACTTGCACGCAGCCCGGGTGCTCGCATGGGCACACGCTCGCGCTATTTGCGGACCTGCCAGCCTAGAGCGCTCGATTCACGAAGCTTTTCGAACAGGACTCAGTCGTTGCACGCCAGAGACGGAGCGGCGGCTCATTAGTTCCTCGCTCTGCGACTCGGCGCCCGCGTCCGATCTTCCCACTCGAGTGACTTCCAACAGACTGTTGGAACACGCTTGAAGGGGGGACTGGCCGACCGTTCGAGCGCCGGATCACAGCACCGCCCGCTCGTCCTTCCTCTGTCACATGCTGGGCCACTCTCGCGACCGCTTCCTGCTGCCGTTGACTCGTCAATGCCAAACACTCCAAGACGAGTGCACCGACATTTTCGAGCGCGCACCTTGCTTCCAATCTTTGGTAGGGATCCAAGCTGGCGAAAGACTGCTTACAAGCGAGGCGAAAATTCATACGGGATGCTGATCAGGCCTGTGATCATCGCAATGCAGACGGACCGAGCCAGCGTGCTGAAGCTGGCTTGTCACTTCAGGTCCAACCTTCGACTTTAAGCAAAGGCCAGCGACGGTGGGATTGCCAGTCATCGATTTCACGGCAAGCCATTTCAATTCGTACTATTGACCGCCGGAGGTACGAAATAGGGACGATTGATACCCGACATATTGGTTCCGCGTAAGCAAATCAGTACTCGAATGATCGTAGCGTAAGAATACCACGAGTCGCAAGCATCCTGACGCTGCAGCAAACCCTGGTCCCCCCAGCCGACACAAGCCAATACATGATGTACAAGCTCAGCAAAGAGCTGCTGAAGAAAAACTCCGTACTCTGTCCAAACACCACGCTCTTTCCCGCCAAGTTACGAAGCTGTTGCCCGTCTAACGTGTATATGTATGTACGTATGTATGTATGCCAATCAACCAACAACCCGAGCATCACGGCCTAATGAGAAGGTTTTTCCTCTTTTTTGAAACAAGCCGTATTCACCTTCCTTCTTGCGTCACCACGGCCACGATAGTACATATGTCGTCCGCCTTTCCTCCTTTCCAGTTTTCGTCTGGATAGAGCCTCTGAACCTCCTTCGCGAATGGCCCGTCGCGCTTCGTATCTAAGCTCGCTGCCTTCGCCTCGTGTGTGATTGCAGTTGCCAATACCGCGCTCAATCCCTTCACACTAGCATCAGCGCTTGCACTGCCAGGGCTGGCCGGAACCTTAAGCGTAGCATTTCGCACAATGTCCACAAAGTCTGGGCTCACGCCTGGCGCTCCCTCTTCAGGGAGAACCCACGCCTTTAATTGCACCATTATGCGGGTAACTAGACGCAATGCGTCCTCTGCAGAAAGGTTGTCCCACACGCCATCAGTCGCAAATACAAGCACATCGCCATGTTCGAGGGTTTGTTGCGTGAGTGCCGAATCGGACGGAACTTCTGAGTATGGCTTTGCACCACCAAACAATGCGACCTGCTCAAGCATCTTCTTAGGCAATTTGGACAGCTGGAATGGGGTGTTGAAGCGGTGAGTTTGCGCAGGGGAAAGGAAGTTGAGCCGAAAGGGCGAAAGATGTATATATCCCGAGTCTCCGAGGCTACGACACTGGTTAGCATCTTGATCTGTCAGAAGACCTCTGTACAATTCGACCGTACTTTGCAACGTTGAGGAGACCATTCGACGATGCTGTCGCTATGCACGCAGTGCAACCTCCTGCAGGAATGGCTGGATCCGCCATGACTTGGTCATAGCCAATGTCTAGTAGGTCTACCGGCTGTAGTAGCTGGCCTCTTGAAACCTTGTCGAAGCCATGTGGATAACGTAGCGCTGCGTCTGCCATGTAATCGCACAACGAGTGGGCAAAATCGGCAGGGTCGACACCAGACTCTTCCCAGCCGCCCACACCGTCTACTACACCAAAAGCCACGTTGTTTGTCTCACCGATTGAACTTATGAAGAAAGCGTCCTGGCCGCTTTGAACCCGGGGTCTAGGCTCCTCGGCCTCCGCATGAGCAGATGCGCTTGATTTTCTTGAGCTTGGGTCAAACGAGAAAATGTTTCGTGAAAGGTCTAAATTTTGCCTCTTGTCTGAGTATGATGCGGAGATCGAGTATGTGAATGGTGCGGGTGTTGAATTTTTTGCAGGACTGGTTGAGAAAGCTCGAAGTGCGAACGCAGGAAGTGAAAGATGCGACAAGTTTGGGTGTATGCCAATCCGACCAGCAGCTGCGCTCGGCTCGTACACGCGGGAAATCGATCCTAGGAGGTTTGGAGGGCGTAGCACACTTGCGCAGTGTCTTCTTGAAAGTAGCGAAGATCTAAAGAATGTAGGTATTATCGTGCTCCGAGACATCGTATGTGCGCCAACGATCAGGAAAATGCAAGATGCAATTAGCTATTAGACGACTAGAGTGAAGTGAAAGACGATGTACCCGGCGAAGAGAAGAGAACGAAATACAGATGAGAAAATGTGATGGATAAGGTAAGGTAGTATCACAATTCGCCATGCGCGTCATTGCAGGGATTCCGCGCGCAGGCAGCCAGGTGGGTTTGGGACTTTTCCTTGGAGATCTACGATACCCTAGAACTTTTTTAAGTCGACTACCACGCCGTCAAATCGCTCTCTGCGTCCGTCTGAAACTTATCCATCGTACGTAGGCGCAATTCTTTGCTTATGGATCGCTGTGAATAGACTGTCGCGCGAGAATAAAGAAGGACATTTCGACGTCGCCGACAGGAGTTGTCATAGGACTCAAAGGCGAATTTCAATCTTGACAGGCTTTCCAATCCTCTGCGCAAGCTCCTGGCCAGTTCGGCCGCTAGACAGACGAATCGAGAACTTCGGATTATAGCCCACATCGCAAGTGCGCTTCATTTAGGACACAACCAGTCGCGAGCACGGGTGGAGCAGCGGTCGCAATGGCTTCGCGCAAAGCGTACGTGGAGGACGGCGAGCCCGAGGTAAGAGTTACCCGCGATCTTCACCTTCTGTCGAGTCCTTTGGGCATCATGAGATGCTCACGTGCCATTTTCAGCAGTTGCCGTCCACGTCAACGAGCTCGCAGCACGGCGAAAGATGAGAGAGCATGTGGACTGATGGAAGTACGAAATGACAGGACGCAGAAATGGGCATGTCACTCGATCAGGTCCGTAAGTACAACGTTCGCCGGGCTTGTCCTCGACATCACGAGCTCACTCTATGCAGCCATTGATCGTGACTACAACATAAGAACCGAAGGCGGAGCTAGCGACAAAGCTTCCAACGTGCTCGCTCAGCTCGAGCGTAAACGTTTCGCTCAGACCATTGCCGTACCCACCGATGACAAGAAAGTACGCTCTCAACTGCGCTCACTTGGTGAGCCAATAACACTGTTCGGCGAAGGTCCTGCTGAGCGACGAGATCGCCTGCGCGAGCTCCTTACCCAAAAGGCGGAAGGCGCAGATGGTGGAGATGTGGACATGCAAGATGCAGGCATGGTGCCTGCGGAGGAGGAGGAGGAGGAGGGCGAGGAAGAATTTTACACCGAAGGTACACCAGAGCTGCTTCTTGCAAGACAAGAGATTGCTCGGTACACACTGAGCAGGGCGCAGAAGCGAATAGCATTTCAAAAGGCAGAGACGACGATACCTTTGAGAATGCATGTCAAACATCGCAAGGCTATCAAGGAACGCTTACAAGGCTATGATCTCTACGGGTCACAAGTCGTGGCTGACAGACCGCTTGGCGCGGTAAGTGCTCCCCCCTTGAATGAGGATCTAGAAGCAATACATGACCCATACATATTGTACCACTAACTCAGCATAGGTTCGCTTTGCGCCAGGTGGTGAAACATTCGCTACAGGTACCTGGAGTGGCACGGTGAAAGTTATGGACGTAGCAACATTGGAAGAAAAGATGTCACTAAGAGGCCATACCGAGGTTGTTAGTGGTCTTTGTTGGATGCCCGTTGCCTCGCAAGCCAATTCAAGCGTCTCCCCCGGGAGCGTCAATCTCGTTTCCGGAGGTGGCGATGGCAACATACATCTTTGGTCGCTTGAGCAGGACACCCCCATAGGCACACTCACTGGCCACGAATCCAGAGTCGCTAGAGTAGACATCCATCCTTTACGTAAATATATAGCATCTGCCTCACACGACATGACTTGGAGGCTATGGGACATTGAAACAATGACAGAATTGCAATTGCAAGAAGGTCACTCACGAGAAGTCCACACGGTTGGCTTCAACGTAGATGGCTCACTACTTGCTTCGGCTGGGATGGATAGTGTGGGTCGCGTATGGGATATACGCACGGGAAAAATGGCTATGTTCTTGGATTCACATATCCAACCCATTCACACACTCGATTGGGGCACAGATGGCTATCGCGTATTGACAGGCTCTTTAGACGGTTACATCAAATGCTGGGATCTGCGCGCGATTCGAGAAACGGCGTCGATAGGTGCACACTCGGGAGGCGTGAACGATCTTCGTTGGTTCCGGGGAAATGATGGACCTGCCAATCTCGAACTTCCGCACAAAGATGACAGAGGCGACTATGTGCCGAAGAAGAGCGGCACATTTGTTGTGAGTGTGGGGTTCGATAAAACGGTCAAGCTATGGAGCGCAGACGACTGGGCATTGTGCAGGACAATGCCTGGGCATTCGAGCAACATAACCGGTGTGGATGTGACAGAAGATGCGAAGTGGATTGTTAGCTGCGGCCGAGATAGAACTGTGAAGCTCTGGGCGAGAGACGATGGCGAGGGTATCTAAACCTGAGTAATAGGAACACTGCCATATTCGCTCGATGCGCAGATGACTATGGGCCAAATTGTATCGAGGCATTGAAACACGTACAGACCTGTACGACACACCGATCCATTATGCCAAGATGAGGAGTTCGTCACCTCATCGAGATGATGGGATCTGTACACCTTAATGTAATAATGCAGCAGATCCATCAATTACTCTCTTTGAATGTTACATATGATGAACCTGAGCCTATATTTCGTCGTATATTTTTTCAAACGGCTTTTTCTTCCTAGGCTGATGTCAGCTGGCGCTGGCATAAGATCTTACTTGCTTTTGAACGCTGTCACTGGACCGCTTTTTCGGGTTAAGTCCATGTATGTTCGGATGTTACCTGCCACTTCTCGCGACGGCTTATTTACTGTGTTTGGTCGGATTTTTGGATGCTTGGGTAACGCTCTATCTTCCGCTTAATCAAGCAGTATCTTTGTTCTTGTATACCTTGATTCTGCACATGTTCTGAATGCGTTTCTTCCTCTCGTAGGTACGTTGCTTTGCGAAGAGGACCCCGAGACCATACGGTTATGGAATCCGCAAATCCAACCACGACTTTGCCAGTCGTTGAATCGCGTCGGCTTACCTTAGACGATGTTCAAATTTCGCCGGTGACTGCGAGGGATCTACTCAGCCTAGCAGAAGGCTATTACGCCTCCTTCCCCGCATCGTGGCATCGCAGGATGGAACCTCCAACGAAGAGCTCAGTCCCCGTGTCCGTACGAGCCGCGCGCTTTGCTAAACGCATGGAGCCATGGCTGAAATCACCGGATACGAAGTGGATGAAAGCTACCTTGCGGTCTGACCCTGAACAACGGGTCATAGGCCATGCCGGGTGGCTGATGCCAGTAGATGATGACGGAAGAAGATTTATCAAGCATCACTGGACGAGAGGTGCCGTCGAACAGCTGGGGTGGAAGGAGATGATGGGCTGGAGTGACGCCGAGGTAGAGGAGATGTGGGAACATGTAGATGTTGAACGATGGGAACGGAGCTTCAAAGGGCTGGAAGAAATAAGAGAGAAACGGATGCGAGGAATCCGGCATTGGTTTGTACGAGCACTCTGAAACGCTCTCTTCCGCGAGATGTTCGAAAAGCTAACCAAGGGGTTTTGTGTCGCAGCTTGCGCCGTTGTGGACGTTACCAGAGTATCAGGGACGAGGTGTAGCTTCCTTACTTCTCAAGGAAACACTGGATTTGGCCGATGCCACAGATCCACCGACGGCAGTATACCTGGAGAGTATGCCAGAAGCGAGGAAGGTGTACGAGCATTTCGGTTTCAAGGGAATACCTGGATGCGATATTCAGATGGTGAGAACCGGTCCGCAGACGAAACCTTGAGCCCCTGGGTCTCGTTGGCGCCGAATGGATTTGATTCAAACTTGAACCAAGTGCTTTTGATTTCAATTTAATCTGCAGCATGTACCCCCTGTTGTATCTCGCTTGTCTAGAGTTCGACTTGAGTCAAATATGTGAACAATCAATTCTGCTTAGCTGTTATTATCCAGCCTTCTTCTAACCTTGTAACAGAAGTCTAGCTCAACACAATCGACCGCCCTGCCTCGAAGGATGTCTTAGGTGGCCTCTTCATGATGGTATAATCTGCCAGCCAACTCTCCGTTTGAATATACACCTTCTCAACATCTCTAAAACCATTCGATTCGTACAAGTGATGGCCATCAGGAGAGGCCTCGACCCATGTTGGTACTAACAGTCTGTCCGCAAGGTCTGTGCCCCATTTGACATGTATCGATCCTGCACCGCATCGTTGATAGTCAGGGTGCGTGAACAGTATATAAAGCACTACAATAAGTGATCAGAAAGGGCAATAACCACAGATCGTTGTATGGTTCACGTACACACATGTGGGCTGCCGTATTGATATTTCTGTCTCCTCGCGATAAAGTCATTCGCGAGATGTTCAGCGTCGGTACGCTGCTTTCCTTCGTAAAATGGTGCTTGGAAAGGTTCAACCTTCTTCTCTGTCCAACTTGGGTAGATCTTCCATTGCGCGGCAGATACAATCCTACCCGTGGTCTCATCCACAAGCTTCATCCAGCAGTCTGAGATGTCACTCTTTGAATCTGCCATGAAGTGTTCTTTGACAAGCTTTCGGTTCTCCTTGGTGTTTGGACCAAAGAGCGCCTGATGTATGTCTACTGATTTAAAGGCCTCGTATTCGACCTCAAGAAGCTCATCCCAATCCTTCTCCTCGACGCGAGAGAGTACAAGTTTCATCTTCGGTGGTTTATCAACACAAGACTCATTCGGAGGTGAGACGGAATGAGGCATTGGTTAGAAGAGCAAAAGCCTAGGGATTTGAAAGAACGAAAGGGAATCCACAGTGTGAGCAAGAGAGTGCACAACTCGCAAAACGATTAGGAGATCGACGGCTTAAAAGAACGCATCTTAGGTATTATCTCCACAGCAGCTATCGTGTGGAGACGGGAACTCGCCCACAAGCTCTTAAGTTACTCCACCAGCCTAGGTGACGCCGGAAGGACAATCATGCTGTTGCACGCCACTCACAAGAGCGACCTTCGCTTCGGCAAACCAATCTCTCCTGGGGCGGACCGTTTTTGGAAGGGCCTCAAAGCTGGTGGTGGGAAAAAGAAAATGTCGGCGCTTTGGACTTAGCTTGTGCTCTGCAGATGGGGCTGCAGCTGGGTCACAAAACCACCAGGCTGCGGGAAGATTTCGACCCGCTTGAAAACGGAGGGCAAGATCCCAGCTCCAACCACGCTTGCATGGATTCAGCACTCGCACGAAATGCGTAAGGCGCCCTGGTCCTTCGCAGAAGAGAGCTGAGGCAAGACCAGAGTGACATGGTTAGATCTCGTACCGTCCTGAGATAGCCTTTGAAATCTGCATTATGCGTAGGCTCGAGGATTCCATTTTTTTCCCCTCTTTTGCTACGAGAACTTTTTTCTTTCGCATACCTTTAATTGACGCCAAGATCGCGTGAGCTAGTGTTCGTCCCGAGGTTCCAGACAGGACCTTGTTCCTGCATTGCATAGAAAAAAGCAGAGTGCTTCGAGGAAGCTTGGATTCGAAGTTGTGGCTATATTAGTTCTAGTGTCTGAGAGCCACATGTCGGGACTGTCCAGCCAATGGGATGGAGTTCCCTGGGACGTCGATGTCAGGTCATTTCATGTGCTATCTCTGCCGAGACCGTCGATTTCGGGGCGCGGGGAAACGAGATCGTTTATTATAGAAGCGAAAAATGTTCCTCATTTGTTTCTGCAGTAACCGGTTGTCGGTCGTATTGATTACATCTGGCCGTTTTGTATAATATTATCATTAAAGAATTTGGCCATCACTGCCCCGTGATTCTATGAAGGAATGATCTGCTGAAGGATTGATTCATAGCCGATTTAATCACAGTCGGCTAATGCTCATGCAAGTGTCACGATTGACATTGAGGCGTGACAGTATGATTGAAAATAGCTCAGCCTATTTTAAGGCATGCATTATAATTTTAAAGGCACAAAATCACCGTGTGCATTTATCAATTTTAACTGAATTCTTCACCAAAGGTTGGCTGATCTTGACGTCCTTGGCGAAGATCTTTTCCGCACTGTATTGGCAATAGATTAGAGGCTATAGCAGAACGCGACTCTCAGAGTGAATACCTTAGAGGCATCTAGATATTAGATTCATTATAGACACATGATTGCTCATGATATCTGTCCGTAAAAGTTGGGACCATGCGTCGAAAACGAATCATTATCAAATGTTGACTCCGCCACTCTGTACAAAGTCTAAAGTCAATCGCTTACGTTATTGACCACAATGTTGGGTCCTTGCAGATGCTTTTAAACTATGCGGATTGACCTGCCGCTTGTTCATCCCCCTTGATCCTCGAGATGTCGGAAAGGCAGGGTGATTTGGACGACAAAGATGAAGTGTGTTCCAGCTGACACCCCCAGTTTCCGGCTGAGGACTGCAATGTTATTCTTTCCACGTTCGGTGGTGCCCCCATTCCAATCTCGATTTGTGCCGCGTATGTGGCTAATGTACCCGTGTCGAATGCTTTGAGGAAGGGACGGAGACAAGGAATTGTCATTGCCATTAGACCATAGTGCATTTCCACCTGAGCCAGAATTATCGGCAGGACTAAATCCCACGTATAATCTGCTGTATTTTGTAAGTTGCTAAGAATATGTAGGCGTACCGCAACAACGACAATGAGTGGCAGCCGACTTCCAAAGGCAAATAGCACAGTGAATTTTGAGCTCCAAGGCATTCTCAATGGTAATACTAAAACAGCTAGCAGTAGGAAGAGCAAAATTTCGATCGCGACATCGATGACTCCATTTGCTAGCAAAGAAGAACTCTGTACGAAAATTAGCTGCTGGATGATTTACTGGTTACCAAACGCACCAAATTAGCACACTGGTATCTCATATCCCACGGACGCAATGGATGGCATGCTATAGCTATACACAACATAGATGCGAAGCCCCACAACACCGTGAGGGATGACAGGAGTCGACATGCTACTAAATGCTTGTGCTGCTGAGTTAGGCGAGCGATCAGTTCTGATGTAGCTGCTTTCGCACAAGCCAATGTAAGTGGGAAGAGCATGTCTCCTGAATACAAAAGCTGCATTTTAATTAATCCAGGTCCTAGAGAAGGCAGGAGCTGCTTACCAGCGCAGTTCGGTGAAGGCAGTGTGCACCGAGTTTCTCGACCCGCTGGCCTAACCCAGCACTATTCACTGCAAACATGACCACAACAGCCTGTGCAGAACCTAAAACGGTTGCGATCGTGGCAGCAACATCGTCGCTCGCAAAATAGCGGTTGTAGCAGGATCGAACGATGGCACGAATCAACCAGAATAGAATCGACCACGTCATGAGAAGTGCGCAAGTAATGAGAATATAGCCTCCATGATTGTCTTTACTGAGGGAATTTTGCAGTGTAGTATTATATGCCATCCAATGCCCGCACAAACTGAGCGAGCCGTTGGGGATCAGGTGGATATTTGAGAATTGTGGATTAAGAAAAATTGTGCGTATTGGGTACGTGAATCAAGCACATAAGGCGAGTGTTGACAATACGGGAATGAGTTACTCCCAAGAGATTCACCCGTCCTGGGTAATGCTTTCTCTTTGACTACTCACCTTTGGCAGGAAAAATAGATGATTATCCTCGCCCACCCCACCCCCCAAAAGGCAATTGAGCGAGATAAGCGCTGTGGGATTCACAGCCTTTAAATTGGCTGGTACCATTTTGGCGGCGACTTGCCAATTGTCCAACCTTCAGTTGGTAGTTCCCCTCCCCAACTGGGCCTAAAAGAAATGTGAAAAGTGGATACTAGGAGACGCAATACATAAGTTATCTTTGCTTATCGAGTCCAGTAGTTTGGCTTGCCAATCGCATGACACCAATCAGAGGGCCTCGACAGTTTTGAGTGTTCACCGCCTGAAAAAGACAACGAAATGACGCATCGCTCGGTTTCAAAATGGCTGCGATTCATTCCTCCGCGGGAAGCGCGCGGTTTAAGATCGAGATACTCGTTGATAAGAAAGAAAACTAGCATCAGAGAAAATATAAGCTACCTGAGGAACTGCCAGTTATAAGTTTGGAGCGCAGGAGCTGATGGAGATGAAATTTTTTTTAATTTTGGGAAAGGGAATGGACACTCGTATAGTCGCTGGCTGTGTCGACAAGGCATCCTGAGCACTGGTTGTTGGCTTCTGCGCTCTCAGAAGAGATTCGCGTGTGCAGAAACGAACACAGCCAAGGCTCTTCAACCTCTTTCAGGAAGCAAAAAGACGGCGGGCTGTAATCTAAGCGCATTTCTGAGCATCGAGAAAGTCACAAAATCAAGCTTCGTTGTAGGAACAGCGAATTTCTTAGGATTTCTTATTCCCTTACCGTTGGGATGCGCACTTGAGTGATGTTGAATTTGAGCAGATCAAGGTCTCGTTGGCTAAGAAGGGACCGGCCCATCACATCCGCTGCACGCTTCACCTAATCCGGTAATGGCGTGGGTTGCCCGTCGTGGGGTTCAGTATTTTTGGTTATTTTGGATCGCAACTTTCAGATGCAAGCCCCACTCGAGCACAAAAACTTCGATTGTGAAGGCTTTTGGTGGGCCTGGATCGAGTTGTGAACACACGTATGTATCGTGCAAGAAATACATGTTGGGTGGCATCATCTGCCCGCTGCCGCGTTTGACGATGATGTGCTCTGGCATGTCTCCTACCAAGACGCTCCACAACTTGTTAGGCGTGCATTTCTCTTGGAGCTTGGGCCGTTGATCCCACTAATCCTTCCCGCTCCCAAAAGCCTCCAATTCCGACAGACTGGTTTCGACGAACTTTGGACTCCATCCCCCTGGCTGTGGCGAGCTAGGTCGGGATATCGTCCCGCTTTGCGTTCTTCGAGCTGCTGGTCCGAAAGCACGAAGCGTATTTTGGATCGGGCTGGGATATTTCGGAGATGTCAGTGTAAGCGAGCTGTTCCCGGAAATGTCGTTACCAGCAGGCCAGAAACATGAGAGATCTTACGCCTGATTACAATCAATCGATGTTTGCAAGACTCTCCAATTGCAGGATCGCCATAACCGACTTGTAGATGATCGCGGTAGGAATCACTTCCTGCAGAGAATCTGTGAAACACCTGGTGCAGATTTGAATGAGGTGACCAACATACTTCGTGCAGACTCCAAGGGCACATACCTGGTCGTCTTCAAAAGACCACAAGACGCTAGTTAGCTTATTAGGCACCGATAGTCACAACCTCGCGGCTCATTGGCTTTGAGGCGTGCCGGAAAGCATGCAAGACGAAGCTCCAGGACGAGGTTAGCCATGGCAAAAAGCTGGTTGCCTGCTCTCCCTCCTCAGCTTTGCGGAACTTGGAGTGGCGCAACCTTTCATGCCGAAACAATAGGAGCTCTCAGCCAAATCCCATTCCCGCCAAGAACTCTCTCCCAAACAAAGACTTTCTGCTAGAGATATCGTTCGACAGATCCTTGTTGTACGTCAACTCCGGCACTATAGAGTCTTTGCTAGTAGGATAACCTGGACTTGACCGGCAGAGTCACCTTTGATGCTTGATCGTTGAAGAAGAGCTGATGATCTAGAACTGACCTTCTAAGCCCGCCCGCTGGGAAAAGCCTCGCGCGATTGGATAATCTCGCGTCCCTTGTTGATTAACAGGACGGCATCCGCCAAACGGCTGGGGACGGGGCACTCTGCAGTCACTGTTCTGCAGCCATTTGCAGTGCCGAGGCCGTTCACGCATTTCATGGCTACACTTGTTTAGCTTTGCGCCAGGTACCCAAGTATGAAAAAGCAAAGGTCAGAAGCCGTCGTGATATCACGCTACGACTCGAAACGAGGGGAAGACATCTCAACCACCCGGTTCACGGTTCGCTCCACCCATGCGATTTCTAGGCAAGGGCCTTTCGTGAACAAGTCTGTGATAGTGTGCGTCTTTCGGAAGACGAGGCGTGCCTTAGTTTCTGTCGACAACAATAGATTTCCGTCCTCACTAGTAGCCGTATATCTGGTCTGTTGTCCTTATTAGGAGCACTGATCTATTCGGTCTGTCAAGTTTGTTGATAATTGTTGGATCGTTCCTTAGTGGAGCAATCCGATTTGTCTTTCTTCTCTCTTTTTGCAACACCTCCCCCTACCTCCTTACGTTAGAGCCGTGCTTTAGCTGCTTATCGCGTTGAATATTGGTGTTTCATTCCAACGGCGTTCTTCACTGGTCAAGGTATCTTATCCTTATGAGCTTCACACAAAGCTCCAGCAACATGGAAAAGACCGGAGAAGGCGTCTACGATGTTCGCTCCGGTAGTATCGAACATGGTGCCAGCGACGACTCTCTCAGTGATCGCCACCATGGAACCTACCATGACGTTAGGGATATGAATCGACTGGGTAAAAAGCAAGAGTTCATGCGTAACTTCCGCTTCTACTCGATTTTGGGGTTTACCAGCACATTGATGGCGACTTGGGAAGCCATGATTGCGTAGGTATATGCTAGTATCCGATGTAGACATCGCTTACATATCGCAGCTCCTCATCCATTGGCCTTGTCGACGGTGGCACTGGTGGTCTTATATGGGGATATCTGGGTACTGTCACCCTGATGACTTGTGTCATTGCCTCAATGGCAGATATGGCGTCCATGGCCCCAACTTCTGGTGGCCAATATCACTGGGTCTCCGAGTTCGCCCCAAAGAGCATGCAGCGTTACCTTTCGTATATCGTCGGCTGGACCGGCGCCCTTGGTTGGCAAGCTGGCGTTGCTAGCACGGCATTTCTTTCCGGAACCATGATTCAAGGCCTCATTGTTCTTTGGGACGAGACTTATGTTCCACAACGCTGGCAGGGAACTCTCCTCACCATCGCCATGGCTCTTATCTCGACCTTCTTCAATACCTACGGCGCACGCCAACTTCCGTTGCTCGAAGGTTTCGTTCTCCTCTTGCACGTGTTCGGCTTCTTCGGTATTCTCATTCCTTTGTGGGTCCTCGCTCCCAAGCAGTCCGCCAAGGATGTCTTCACAACTTTCCAAGACGGCGGAGGATGGGGTTCAATCGGAACAGCGTGTATCATTGGCATGATTTCTCCGATCTATTCTTTCATCGGCCCTGATGCTGGTACACATATGTCGGAGGAGATTCGCGATGCGTCGCTTATTGTTCCTCGCAGTATGATCACTACGGCTGTTCTTAACGGAGTCCTTGGTCTTGTCATGACCATCACATACTGTTTCTGCATCACAGATCTTGACAAAATCCTTAGTTCGTCGACGGGATATCCATTCATCCAAGTCTTCCTTGATGCTACTGGATCCAAGGGTGGTGCGACTGCCATGTCTCTTATTATCATCATCTTAATCGAGACTGCTGGTGTATCTCTCCTCGCGACTGCTTCCCGTCAAACTTTTGCTTTTGCCCGCGACGAAGGCATGCCATTTTCCCAGGTCTTCCGTAAGGTCGTCAAGGTTGGCACGGAGATCCCCTTGAATGCGGTTGTTCTCTCCCTTAGCATTACGGTTGTCCTTTCCCTCATCAATATTGGCTCCACTGTAGCCTTCAACAGTGTTGTCAGCTTGCTTGTCTCGGCCTTATTCTCTAGCTACTTTATTTCAATCAGCTGTATCTTGCTAAAGCGCCTGCGCGGTCAGCCTCTGCCCCCAAGCCGATGGAGCATGGGCCGTATGGCTATTCCGATCAACTTTATTGCCCTGGCATACATCACATTCGCTTTCATCATGTCCTTCTTCCCACCGGCCAAGGCAGTTACCCCCCAGACCATGAATTGGTCTATTCTTGTCTGGGGCGCTGTTGTCATTCTCGCTACGATCTCCTTCTTTTTCCACGGCGCTGCAAACTATAAGGGTCCGGTCGTTTACGTCAATAAAGAGCTCGAAGTCCCTTCGAGCCGCCAAACTTCCAGAGACTAAACGAGCGTGTTCATTGCCAAGCAATTTCTCCACGGCGTTCTAGCGTTCGCGTGTATGTACTTTCATGTTAGTTACTGGATGCCAAGAACTAAGACTTTGAGCTGTTACTCTATTCTGCCTCGACTGTCTTATCATCCAGCAGGCAAGTCATCGCTACTGTTGAGATTTCGAGGAGGATGAGGCGGGAATGATTGGGTGCGTTCTGTGTTGAACAAGGCAGTTTGCGGTTCCTTTGCATTCCCGCTGTTGTGTTACATAAAATCAGGTACCAATTGAAACAATGATATTCATTGTCAATGGCTCCCATGGTCCCAACTTCTTCGGTCTTATTAAGACACCCCAATCCTCGCTACCGCATTTCATTCATCTCGAATCTGATGAGAAATATTCGCCATCTGCTTCTGGTTGGCGACACTAATGCCATAAGGTCCTAAGCCCTTGGTAAGGTACATTTGAACGCAGATGTTACCAGTCTGGTTGTGCATACCACACGTCGTTGAAGCCGAGTGGCCGAACTCGTTGAGGACACTGATCTATTGCAATTTTGGTCCTCTAATCGAATGGCGATCTTATGGTCTTGTACAGGCTCAACTTGCTTGCCTCCGTTCCGGACCGAACTTTCCCTGTCTCAAGCAGGTCGCCTCTTCACAAATTCTTCGAGATCACTCCTTGTTGCAACGCCCAGCACAAACCGCCTGCTGTAATCTGTCACCACCGCAAAATCCTGACTGCTCTTCCCATCCGGCCCACCATCGAAGAATGCTTCAAGCTCTTCGAGAGGGGTGTCCATTGTGATTATTTTATACACGTTGCCCTTCTTACGGTTGAATTTCAGCATTGCCTTGTCAACGGTGTCGGTCTCCTTGACTTCACCAGATTTAAGACGCTCCTTTAGCCGTGGGATACTAAGGTATCCTAGTAGCGAACGATTCTCGCCAGATACGACGGTGAGATGGGTATAATCTCGTTCGAAAGCACACATCAAGGCATGGGCTATGGAGTCGGAGGGCTTGATTGAGAGCGCAGAAGGTGGGTCAAGATCCGCCACTGTCGCCTGCAATTCCTTGTCAGTCTCCATAACACCATACATGTTCGGAAAACGTTGGACGGTGAAGTACCCCTCTATACTTGTCCGCCCATGCGGACATTTTGCGCTCAGCGTTGGACGTGTCTGCTTGCGCCATATTCAATATATGGTGTGCGAAAATGTCAACATCGGATTAAGGTTGTACTAAGTTTTGCTAAAATATAGACCCGGAGTTTTGACTCGCGTAGGTTAAGTTAGTGGAAACACCGACGCACGCCTCAACCGAAGATTCCAAGCAAGGGTGAGTCCGCAAAGTAATCTCCCAACCGGAGGCCGCCAGAAATGAGTTGAGTACAAAATCTACCATCTTGACAGTAATTGAGCCCTCTTCATGTAAGAGAGAGCCCGTTTTCTTCATTCAGACTCTCATGTACGTACTAGTGATATTCAGCAGTCCAATCAGTTACATTTGCCATTTTCTCGATTCCAACGGAACTCAATACCAGCGTAAGGCGCATTGGAATATGAATGCGCAGCAGGAACCGTGGCGATTTGAGGCGTGTTCTATTTTATCAACATGAAATTGAAGGTTTTTGATGCTCATGAGCAATTCATATCGTTGCGATTCTGCAGCACTTTGCCAGCATGGACCATTTATTTTTAGCATTCAAAGAACCTTGAATCTAAAATAGCAGTACGAATATGTCGCAAGGTGTCATGAAGAAACTTTCACACTCACATTTTGCTTCAAGCCTGCAATTGAAAGAGTTTGGATGCGCTGCGACGAAAGTCGACGATCTGGGAGGAAAGGCATGGCGTGGAGCAAACGGATGAAGAATTTCTTTTGTTGGATCTTTCTACAAACACCATTCCCATGCAGAATAAAAATTCACTAATGCTTCCAGAGATGGAAAAGAGAGCACCACGATAAGTAATCTTAATTTGACAAGACTTCACGCCCAAGCACCCACCAGGGCCATGAGTAAGGCACCTCCGATAACACTACCGCAAGCCTCATATCTTCGTCTCCCCCTCAGACTCTTATAGCTTGCTTCACTTAGGAAATCTTCAGCAAGCAACTGCACTAGGCCTGCGAACAGTAGCAGCCCGCTGCTAATGGCATTCATGACGCCGACAGTCAGCAAGCCAGTCTCACTCGCTGGATCATAAGATGTGTGAATTGCAAGTCCGATTGCCTGCCCGATTGGGGTCGTGGTTCCGTATGCCAGCGCCATGAGCCAAGGCTTGATCGAACCATTGGGGAAGTGTAGGGCCGCAATACGCGAACCGAGTGCGAGGCCTTCGAAAGCTTGGTGGAAGGAAATGGCTACGAGGAGAACGAGGAACGGAGGACCTGTAGATACGGATAGAGCCATACCGATGAATACACTGTGGAAGAGAATGCCAGCTTCGAGTAAGAGACACTGTAGGAGAGCTCTTTGGTTCGCAGCTTGGTCAGTCAAGTGCGAGTCATGGACCTCGGTGGAATGGTCAACGTGACCGCCCACTACTGTATTCTCGGGAGGCTCGTTGCCCTGGATCTGCTTTGCCTTGCCATTGAGGAGCCCAGCATTCGTGTTCAGCTCATCGAGATCGAGTTCCAAGTCTTCATCTGCGGAGTCCGTAGATTTGCGTGACGGGTTGCCATTGGGAGGCATCGGTGAAGGCTGGCCTATAGAAGGCGAGCGACCGTCAATTAGGTTGTCCGTAGACGCGTTCATATCTCCAAGCATAATGTTTGAAGGCCCCCTAGAGCGCTTTATGCCCCCTCCTCTTGTACGTCCGCCGCGCAAAGACCCGTTTTGGCGATCGTGGTATGCCTGTACATCATCTTCATCCGAAAGAACCACCTCGAAATCGCTGCTATGCACATGTCCAGCACCGCGCATGGCGAAGAACATCTCAATGCTGACTACAACAAATACGGAGGTCATAGCGATCAGCCCTGCCATAGGCTGGTACCGCTGATTCCAAAACGGAGGAAGGCATGGATCTGTCAGCGATACGTATGCGGTTGGAAAAAGGTGTACGAATGCTGTGGCTATCAGAACGCCTGTTCCAAAGTGTCGCGAGAGGAAAATGAAGTGATGTGGAACCGGGAAGCGAGGATAGCGGCGAACGATGACGGGGAATGCGCACGCTGTGATACCTATCAGCACGATGATTCAAACTTTGGGATACGCAGATCATACCGATGGTACTCAGCACCAGTATTAGAACCAATGCAAAGACATGTATGGGCGTATTGTAGGCTCCCTTGTTCTTTGTCCCACAAGCTGGGCGCTGCGGCTCCGATACATCTTGCCGTCTCGCCAGCTCAGCTCTCAGAATACTCGTGGGTATGTCGGCCCATGAGTATATACCTGGAAGCCAATCCAATTAGCATGTCGGCCCAAAAACGCGCGTATTCTCTTCTTCACCTCTGCCAAACAGATCATCGGTTGGCGACATGGCGCCCCTGGAGTGCGACCGTAATGTGCTATCTTGGCCTCCTCTGATGTAGTAAATGTGAGCAAGGCTACATGGTCCTCTGGAAAGCTGCGGTAAGAATTTGCGCAGGATGGATCTGCTCCAGTGGAGGACTGAGCAAGTTAATGTGGACAAGTACCCGTCTCCAGGGTTCGGATACCGAAACGTCCAGCCTTAGCGCCGATTCCTGACAAGGCTGAGCTCTTCCCCGAAGTTCCGGCTTTGCCTCTGATAATCTTTAAGACTACCATCTTCTTTTTACTACTTCTCGCTATCGCGACATCTTGCTTGAGTCTTTCATGCGATTACCTTACTGTTTTAGCATGATGGAGCCTGATCGCCTCGCATCCCAGCGAAACAGGTGAAGAAAAAGCAAAGATGATGGGACCGCCTCCACAAATCCCTAACTCTGGGGCGGCTTTTACTCTTACCCACTGTGATCCTAGAACCAAAATGGAAACCCTCCAAGGCTAGGATGTTTCTATCTTTTTTTTCTCTCCCCCTTCCCCTCCAAAATGAATGGCAACTGACAGTGCCTGTTCGCTTTCGAGCGAAGTAAGGCGATTTTCATGGGCGTGACAAATGTGATTGATGCCCTCAAGCGATCACATTCCTTTTTACTCGCCCAATACGCGCTTTTGTGAGTCAGGAAAAGAACGGACTGGCTTGAAAGCCATGGTTATATGCAGATGAAGTATACGATTCTCGCCGACTCAAAGTCCTTGGTCCACAATTTTCACTACGGGAGTTACAGCACCTGGGTTTAATAATAGCCTTTTGGCTGCGTTCCAAGTTTGGGGAGTACAATTTCTCAACTTTTGAACCTCGGATGCATGGCTATGTGACGAGATATCGAAAATGCGAAGGGTTCAAACGGCAGACACTTTTCGGAGCCTTTCTTCAAGCGGTGCCTTGAGAGCCTCTTCAGGAGCATTCTGATATGCTGTCTTAACTAAGGAGAATACCTTGCAGAAGCTGAGCGATCATTCTGTACGCGAAACACCTTCGTGGGAACAATACGTGTTCTAAATCTATGGCAATAAATCCTTCAAGAAATTCTCGCCTGAAAAGCACTGCTTTACTCAGCCGAGAGCGAGGATGAGCCAATCCAAGGTACTGTGCTCAGCGCTGTCATGGTCCTGGGCTCCAGTAGTTTAACTTGTGTTGTTTGGGGGAGGGGAGAACCGTTGATGCGCCAAATCAATGTCTGCCAGGACGCAGCTAGCTCAGAATACCTCTCGGGTGCTTCTTTATCTGGTGACGAGGCGAGACATCCAGCCTTGGAATTCTGAACACTGTACGTCTACACAGAATACCCGTCAACCTTTCCATAATGTCGGCAAATTTTAAGCACCGAAGCGAATGAATCAAATCAAATCTACGTATATGAGATCGGAAAACCGCAATGGTCAGTACGGTTTGGGGTGACTACTTCTTTTAGCGCTGACATGCAGACTTATCCAAGTTTAGGATTGCAAGCGTCTCATTTTTGAAGAGTGCTCGTTTCTGTCACGTCCTTCAAAGCGACTCATGGCCGTGTGATAAGTCTGCAGGTTTTCTCTTCTCCTTACCCCCCCTCTCTCTTATCTTTCTGTCTGTCTCGCCCTCTCTCTCTTCTATTTAGTGGAGGAGCCAAGACGAATCTTGGAAAGAGACAAGGTAGTTAAAGTCAAGTTAATTTCGTGTTGCCGAATACAGCGTCTTGGTCCTTGGCTTAGTCATCCGAGACCCACCGCCAGCCTCGTATAGGTTATGATCCAATGGAAGGGGCGTAATCGCCAGGAGGTTGGAAAGACGACTGCTGCGGTTGACTGCGTTAGAGATGTGCTCCGCAACAGAGGACAGGCACAGGTAAAAAAGCAAACCGAGCAGGTGCATCAAGATCGAACGAAACGTCTTACGAGCGCAGGAATGGCCAACGCCGAATACAAACCGCATTCCGTCGTCAAGGCGATCCGCCAATCGCCACCGGTCGACCTATCGAAGCCATATGACATTGGCTGGATCAAGGGAAAGCACATTCTGATCACCGGAGGCGCGTCTGGGTTCGGAGCTGAATGGGCGCGCACGTGGGCGAAAGCTTGGGCGAGCCTGGTGCTGGCGGACATCAACGCTAAGCTCGGCACGGAGGTGGCGGCGACGATTCGGCAGGACACCGGCAACGAGGAGGTGCACTTCGTCGAGTGCGACGTCAGGGACTGGCAGGCGCAGGTGAGGCTGTTCAAGGAAGCCGTGCGCCTGAGCCGGCACGGCGGCATCGACTGCGTGGTCGCCAACGCGGGCGTGGCCGGCATCGAGCCGTTCCACGACCCGTCCAACGACTTCGCCGTCGACGAGCCGCCGAAGCCCAACTTCAAGGTCATCGACGTCAACCTGACCGGCGTGCTGTACACGACGCAGCTGGCCCTGTGGTGGCTGAACAGGAACCCGGGCTCGAAACCGTGCAGTCCCGACACAGATCCCCGCCAGACCACCCGCGACAGGCACATCCTCCTCGTCAGCTCCATCGCCGGCCTGGGCCCGATCCTCACGCAGCCGCTGTACGGGGCGAGCAAGCACGCCGTGCTGGGCATGTTCAGGTGCCTGAGAGGCACCGCCTTTCTCGAAGGCGTCAGGACGAATATCATCTTCCCCTACTTCATCGAGACGCCCATCAACCCTGCCGTCGGGCGCGCGCTCGTCGCCGGCGGCGGCATGGGCAAGATCGAGGATGTGGTCGACGCCGCGTCGAGGCTCGTGGCGGACTCGAGCATACTCGGCCGCGGCCTTTGCATCGCACCACGCGTGCGGGTCAAGCAGCAGGACGACGGCGACTGGGTCGTCCTGCCGTTTGACGACAACGACGGCGAGGAGAAGGGCGTGTGGGAAGTCAACGCGCACGATTTCGACGACACGGAAATTTTCACGCGGCGGCTGGTCGTCATCCTCAACAAGCTCGCCGCGCTGAAGGGCTGGTACGAATTCTCGAGAGACATTCTAAAGGCTGTGAGATATAAAATCTTTGGCTGGTAGCTGATTGAGACGCGTGCAACGCGCCAATCCTCAGAAGATCTAATTCATAAATCATGCACCTATCTTTACCTATCAATCTTGTTCGTTGCGAAAGGCAAAATGTCCGAAACTTTCATTCGTCCGGGATAGCGTCCGTGTTTGTGGACGCATCAGCGAGAAAAGCTGATCCAACGCCCGAGAAGGAAAAAAAAAATGGCCCGAAGAGCCAGTAATGCGAAATTTTGTAGCAGTTTTCAACGAGAAATTCAAATCCATTCGTCTTCTCATACTCTTAGAGAGATAGATAATCTTCTCGTCGTATCAACACCACCTCTGTGATCATCCTACACAGAAGCAGCAAAGCAGGGAAAACAAATTGTGCTAGATGTATGCAAATCAGCATTGACGAGTCCAGTATGCTTCCTTCTCGCACTCTCCACCCCGATGTACAGCAGAGGCAGCAATGAGGGGTACAGTTTCGTAGTATACAAGGTTATACAGGTGTGGATGATCTCTTCACAGGGATCGAGGAAGTAGCCGACCAAGTGTTTCCTCCCTTTCCAACGCGCAAGCACGATGCGCGCAAGCCTGGATCTCCCACTATGAGAGCCACACGCGGCAAATATCATTAGCCGGCCGAGAATCTTGAATGCGGGAGTGCAAGGGAAGCGACTCGGGAAGTAACCGTCGTTGTAAACGTGATCTCGCTATCGTGTCAGGGAGTTTCGCACATCGAAACGTGGTAGCTGTGCAGGGTCTGTGTGTGTGTGTGTGTGTGTGTGTGGGATTGTGTGAAGGTATTTATGTCGTCGTCAAACGGATGCTGCGTCACGGGACCGTTTTGAATAAAAAGAAAATACTGCTGTTTTCCGCTCCCCGTCTGTTCGCACCAAGGCATCCCGTCTCAATCACCAATCAGCAACCTAATAAGGGGGTATCGTGTTGGCAAAAGGAAAGAATCCAGGCAATGCCCATAAATGTGTGCAGGTCGTTGATAAATCAGATTTAAAGACTTAGGTGTGTTATGTGGTGAAGCCATCTTCATCTGCCGTCGGCGGCCTCGAGCTGGGCTGGTGTTGGACCTGAATTGCTATTGTTGGGCAAGATTCGTCTGAGAGGATTGAGCACCCGCGAGGTGTTACTGCGTGATGTGTTTTCAGCTGCACCCGTATTTTGCTGCCGGTTGCCTCTGAAAGGGAGTCTTGCTAACCAGACTGGCTGAGACGTCGCATCTGATGAGGTAACTACGGTGTCCGGCTGATGAGATTGAGCGGTGTGACCATACATGAACGGAGCACTAGGTTGCTCTACTCCAAAGAACGGCACACGTCCACGTGGAATACCACCAAACCATGCGGCAGTAGGAGACTGAGGAAGATTCATACGAGGGTGACGTCTAGTTTGTGCAACACCATTGTCATTCTCGCCTTCTGGCTTCGGTTTCGGCACGTAGTAATCGGCCTTGCAAAGCGGGCAAGAAGCTCGACGGGTGGTGAGCCAGGGATCGATGCAGGCAATGTGATAGGCATGGCCGCAAGTCAGCCCTCTGACATCATCATCATCTTCAAGTGTATCGAGACAGATGGCACAAGTGTCGCCAGGTGCAGCGGCGGCAACGTCAGGGTTGACTGCCTCAGCGATGGGGACTTCCTCGTCATCATCACTGTGTTCTTCGCCATGCCTTTCGACGGCTGAATCGGGCTGCGTCGATGCTCCAGACGATGATTTGGATTTGTCAGCTGCAACGTCCTCCGTGGTGACGGCGGTAGGCTTTTCTGCGACAGGCTCGTTTTCCGGTATCGTCGATTGCTTGGGTGTCTCGACTGACGGTGTCGTGCGAGCAGTTTGCGACAACGATGAGCCAGGCCTATCGTCAGTAGAACTGCGTAGTTTCGCCTCGCCAATTGCGCCGTCAACGTCTTTCACGCTGCCGGCTCGACTTGGTGGGGTTGTGATTCCTCCTGCAGCAGGTAGGCCTTTTTGCTCACGGGACGCTCGCCACGTTTTGTACTTCATCAAGGGAAATCGCGTGTTGACCTCCTCGACGGTCATCAATTTCTTTTCCCTTCTTCTCCTGTGCGGTCGTGGCATAGCACCAAGGTCGATTGGATCGCCGTCGACTCCCTGGCCATTTCGCAGAGCCCTGTTGCGCTGGTTGTACCGGAAGCAATACTTGACACCGACAATGATCCTGCGAAACGATTAGTATTGCAGTCAGAGGAACAAAGAGGTCGGCACTCGTCGCACCAGAGGTTTGTAAAGACAACACCGAAGCCCAGAGCCACGAAGAAGAGAAGTGGCGAGCTAGCGGAGCCGCCGCCATTGGTATTGGTATTTGAGCCGGCTGAACTGGAGGCTGGTGGCGGCGAGGGCGAGGTCGAGGTAAGGGAGGCAATCGTTGAGGATGCGGTAGCCATTCTTCGCAGACGAGCGTTTCAGTCGCTCATGCAACAGACGGCTCAGAAAGCAGCAACAGAGCCAGACGCAGATCCGGATGCTGCAGAATTTCGATTAGGGCTGAGTCTGAGGATTCTTATCGTAGGTTGTGAAACTGGTGGTGGCCAAACGCAGCGTGCACGGCACATGAGCTGGCTTGGATGAAAGGACGGCGCGGAGAGGTGACGACGAATAATGTCGACTGCTGTGACGGCAAGATGTATATGTCAATGGTGGTGCGAACCGCGTGGGAATGATGGAGAATCGGTGTGGCGGGAGCGTGAGGAACGAGGTTAAAGTTGGAAAACCCGACGAGATAGCGCTTGGTTTGGTCAGCGACGAATTCTCAGCGACGCCACAAAAGCTTGCTGTCTTCTTCGGAAAAGCGATGGATGGAGGTGACACCGGAGAGTCCGGCGGGGAGGAGGAGGTGGAAGTGTAGGGACCGACGATGGGGTTGGGAGATGGGGGGGTGCGAGGTTGTATGATCAGGATGCGGAGGAGGTGGGCAGAGGTTCGCAGGTGGAGAATGGGATGGTTCTTAGGGCGGCAAAGGCCGTGGGCTGGCAGCGGACTGCGATCATCACCCAGCACCGCAAGCACGGATGCCAGTACTGCTTCTGCTCGCTACTACTCGCTCAGGTTAGCCTTGGGGGAGCCGGCCGAGGAGAGTTAGGGGGGGGGGAGCCGGCACGGGTCGTTTGTTGAGGGGGGGCCCCCTTCTGCTGAGTGGCAGCCAGCCCAAACGGTGGACGGGGAAAGGGTAGGGGGAATGCGCCCACGTACCGCAGTGCAGACACACACGCGCACACACGCACACACACACGCACAAACACACGCTGTCTCTTGCCCATCTCCGTCTCGCTCACACGCTCGCCTGCATGCGCAGTTCGTCCGCTACTGGCCAGGCAACTCAAAAATGCCTCTCGTAGGCTCGCCGCGAAACGAACGCATCAGGTTAAGCATTTCTCAGACCGCGCCACATACACCTTGATTCCACTCCTTCACGTTTCAAAATGCCCGGCACAGCGTGCTCAAAACACAGAGGTCTCCTTGATCTTATTTGCGTTCGGATGCCTGATCTTCCAGCCCTGTCCCGGATCCGTCGTCCATGTCGTTCTGCAGTGCGAGCAGTCTCCGTTTTGCCCGCGGCCACGTTCGTCGTGACTTCGACACCACGCTGCTCCTTTGCCACCGGCCCATGCACAACACTCGCGCTGCGAGCTGACCGACAGCATGGCTTCCTGCTGCGTTTGTGCAACACCACGTCAGCTGCCCCTTGACTTCGCGGGGCGTTCTCACTAGCACACGAATCGTCCCCGCCCGTCCTGGCCAGCTTGACAAACCGCCATTCTGTTGGAAACGAACCAAAGCCTGCATGCGGGCCATGGCTGTGATTGGTCCGTCTGCTCGATTCGCCTGCCACCGCCAGGTGCGATCCTTTCGAGCCCCCGGTGACGCTATTTCAGATCTGGCTGCAGATCTTCCGCATCCCAAAGAACCCGAGCCTCCGCCAGTATCAAAAAGAAGCTCTTTTTCATCCGTCCGGCAATCAGGCTGTGCACCAAACGAGTCAGTAGCACACGGAAATGGCTGCAGAACCCAATCCCATAGTGTTCTTTGACATCACGCTCGGAGGTGAGTGCCTTTTGACTTTCCAGCCGCCTCCACCTGTCCAGATGCTTTTTTTTGCGCAAACGAGGAAAACGAAGTCCACCTGCGCGAAGGACGCAGACCCTTCTTGGTTTCATATCAGACGTCCTGCTTGTTACAGGTCTAGGCACTGGAGTTCCAACCGTGAGAAACACCCAATTGACCGTCGCCATGCTTTGTAGGCGAGCCTCTCGGACGCATCAAGGTAAACTTGTTTTTTCCCGTCATCGCCGCATCTCTCCGTTTGCGTACGGTGCTTCTGCATGAGCTTACATGTTCTTCGCGGCGTAGATGGAGCTGTTTGCCGACGTCACGCCCAAGACCGCCGAGGTACGTTCATCCGTCAATCAATCTGCGGACGCGATCGCATTTCGATCCTGTTTGGAAGAAATGGGCGTGCTGACCGAATGACGAATTTGCCGCAAACAGAACTTTAGGCAGTTTTGCACAGGCGAGTCCAAGGACGCCAGAGGTCGCCCGCAGGGTTACAAAGGGTGCAAGTTTCACCGTGTCGTACGTCTTCCTACGCACACCGTCCGCGAGGCGCAGCACGCGAGCACCTCTCCCTTTTAATTTGCTCCTACTCAGACTCGGAAACTAACTTGCCTCGATGTCCGCGAACGCAGATCAAGGACTTTATGATTCAGGGTGGCGATTTTCTGAACGGCGATGGCACCGGCTCCACCTGTATATACGGCACCAACAAGTTTGCTGACGAAAATTTCAATCTCAAACATGATCAGCCGGGACTGCTGAGTATGGCGGTAAGTTCTGACCGCATCACGAACAAGCTACGCTATGCACCCGCGCCGTTGCTTCCTTTGACACCGTTGCGGTGCAATTTGACCTGTCGTGCTTCTCTTTCCCCCTCCCTTCCCCCCTAGTCCTGGTTTCGACAGCGTCTTTCTAGGGCAAAAACGTGCTGATGTGGCCCTCGGCACATGTTCAGAATTCCGGCCCGAATACAAACGGATGCCAATTCTTCATCACGACTGTGCCAACGCCATTCTTGAACAACAAACACGTCGTGTTTGGGAAGGTGGTCGATGGCATGGATGTCGTCAGGAAGATAGAGAATACGAGGACGACGAAGCCGAACGATCGACCTGCCCAGGATGTCGTTATCGCGCAATGCGGCGAGATGTGAGAGTAACGCGATCATGAACTCAGCCTTGGGTCTGTCTTACCTTTTTTTTTCTTTGTGGTTTAGCGCATGGATGGGGTATTAGATGACGCAAACGAATGAGCCTCTATGGCGTTCGTGAAGTCATTACACGCGCTCCGAACTTCCGACAAACGACAGGTATGACTGGCCAGTCGCGAATATGTCTCGCACGTGAAGGAACGGATAGGAAATGCATTACATGCTACAATAATGACGCTTGTAGACCGCGACTCTTCGTTGCAATGAGGTTTACATAGTCGACCTACAAGCAGTGATAGTCGAAGCGAACAATTGCATCCGAAAGTTGAAAGTTCAGCGGACAGCATGAAAAAAAAACCTAGGTGTCGAATCAAAAGATTCAGTTTGCTGCGTTCTATTTTGTGCACTACAGAGCTTCCATCCTTGTAAAAAATTTTTTCCTCTCATTTTTTGGAGAACGCTTACTCGTCTGCCTCACGCTGAGTGGACGCATAAGCTCAGAAAGCAGCGGCCTCGTTATTTCTTCTAGCTCAAAAACTTGGAGGCCATGCTCAAGAGGCCGCCTGCTCCTGAGCTTCCTCCGCCGCCGCCCATCTGCGACTTCATGTACATCTTGAGCGCCATCTCGGCCGCGTTTTGTATGGCGCCTTCCTTGCTGGCGTCCGCATGCTGCAGTGCGCCGTTAGCATTCATCGTACAGGGGCAGAGAGCGCGCAGCACGTCGTCGCAGAGAGCGAGCTTGAACTCACCGTGTTGCCGTTGGCCGACTGCTGGTCAAACAGCTTCGCGGCCTGCGCCATGGCCATGCCCACGAACTGACTCTGGCCGCCCTGCCCGCCGGAAGCGCCGCCCTGCCCGCCGGTGAACATCTTCAGCGCCTGCATGGCTGCCGCGGCGCCCATGCTGCTGTTGCTTGCCGGGCCGCCGCCTTGCCCGCCGTACATCTGCTGGTGGGCCTGCACGGCGCCCTGCTCGTCGATGTCCTGGTTCTGCAGGTGCGACTTCCTACCGACCACGTTGTCGAACACGTTCGCGAACAGGTTGTTTTCGCGGCTGTTGCCCGCGTGCTCGTTCGCCGCGGCCAGCGCTGCGGACGAGTCGAGCTCGCCTCCCCCGTAGCCACCACCGCCGTAAGGCGTGCCAGACGAGTGCTGTCCGCCGTATTGCTGCCCGCCGTACTGCTGCCCGCCCTCGGGACGGCGACCACCTGATGGCTCATCATCGTATCGCTTCGACTGGTCGTAGTAATTGTCACCAGCGGATCCCCCACCGCCGTACTCGGGGTCGTTGGAGGGGCGTCCAGGTCCATAGTTGCCGCTACCGCCATATCCACCCTCTTGACGGCCATAGCCTCCTTCCTGACGACCGTAGCCTCCTTCCTGACCGCCGTAGCCTCCTTCCTGGCGGCCGTATCCGCCCTCTTGGCGGCGACCTTGGTCTTCGTACTCATCACGGCGCTCGTGATGGCGGCCGTAGTCTCCTTCCTGGCGTCCATATCCGCCCTCTTGGCGGCGACCTTCATCTTCGTACTCGCCACGTCGCTCGTGGTGGCGGCCGTACTCACCTTCCTGGCGGCGACCTTCGTCTTCATACTCGCCACGGCGCTCGTGGTGGCGGCGTTCGCCTCCGTACTCTTCGTTGTAAGACATTGTTGTGTTTCTAAGTCTGCAACAAAAACCACGTGTCAACGCTAGCTTCAAGCTTTCTACGGCGCCGTCAGGCCATCTCGAGTTTTCAAGCTGACCACAATGAAGGTGGAAGAGGTTCTTGAAACATGAGCGATGATGCAAAACTTACTCTGTGGAGCGATAGACTCAGAGTGAACGGCGTGTCTGTTACCAAATTTTGCAGTGTTAGCAGTACGTACGTTCCATCCAAGCTTTGCAAGTGTTAAGCTTTATGGAGCTGGTTGGCGCATGAAGGAAGCCCCACCACGTACGTCAATAGAGGGGTACAGCGCAAGGGTTTTACGTGCCTACACCAGATGTATCGACCTGCTCCGTTTAATTTGGCTTAGGCAAGATCTCATACGCACTTATATCTCCATATTCAACGTTGGCCACCTTAATTATCACTGCCTACAACGCCTTGCTGAAGACACAACTGCCCGGTGATGGTGCGTGTGCATGACCGAATGACAGATCGCTCAACCCTGAAGTTGGCTTGCCCCGCAATTCCCCCCTGCCATCATACCATTGAACCACGACTGCTGGCAAATGTCATTCCTCGAGCAGTTCATCTCAATGCACTGATCGCACGCGATGTGGCAAGCACTCGAAAGGCCATAGTAGGCGTTACAAAGAATGTACGCGTCTCGTGTCCTGGCGCAGCCACTTGTTCCGTTTGCGTTGAAGCACGTCGAGCCTCATATCGTGCGCGCATTTGTGCGTGGATATACTGCCTCTCGCACTGTTGTTAGCGCGGATGGACGGTCTAGACACCTGGCTTGGGGGCTACGTGCAACTCGTCGAAAGAGCCGACGGGACAGACGCAAGCAGCAGCATTGTCGCTCTCATGTTTGGCGTGCAAAAGAGGACGAAAGGGCGAACCAACGTCGACGATTGCTGAGGTTGAACAAAGCATCTCGACGCTGTTGACCGGCAAGTTCATGCATGATGCCATCGTCTTCATGGCCTGCCTCTTTATCCTCGGCTTACACGTTGCTCTGCCCTTAAGCGCCCTGACGACAGTGTAATAACCTCGCAAACTCTGTGTTCACTACTGAGCGAAACGAGATTATAGGGCAAACATCCTGGGCCACATCATTTGTTTGATCTGGTGTGCATGTCTTGAATTACTACATCTTCAGCTATATTTACCGGATCGACCCAATGTAGATCTTCTCTTATCGCCTTTCCCATACTTGATACAAATTTCGCTCCTGCTGCTTGCATCACTTTGCTCCATTTGGCCTTTGTGGCAACATCGAAGTATAAACTCTGATTGTTCATAGAGATCTTCCCAGAGCCTTTTTTTGGCGTCCATTGCGTACATTTACATCATTTCACCTTGGGATTGTCAACCCATTCGCGTACCCTAAAGAAATATTCACAAAGTAGCGATCTATTTATTAGGGTTTACTTGCGTCACAGCAGCGGAAATCACATGGACGGATGTCAGCCGAGAAGAGGAGATGAGGTGTCAAGCAAAATTCAAGCTGTGATCATGAGTAATAGAAAACATTGCGACTCTTGCCTCATCTGAGGCCGACTTGTACGTCCAGTGAAGAGCTGAATGGTGATGACAATAGTCTTGTTACTATTCCTTTGATTTTTATTTTTGGCGCAAGCCACAGCTATTGGCGATCCCAGGTTTTTCGCTGTCAGGCATACAGAGAGGGAAGTAATTAAGCAGGACGCGCATGAGACCAAAACGTAAAAGAAGATTCAGAGTATTTCTTTAGGACGTGTATGTGTACATAAATTTAACAACCCGAAGCATGCTTCGGATTCGAACGCCTCCGTCTCACCCGTCATGCAATAGCAATTCAATGACGACCTCTGGGATGTTGTTTACCCCCTCGCCTCGTATACCGCTGATAGGCAGAGCGTACAACTTGCGTTTCCAAGCTTCGTCCTTTCCACTTGGATGCTGTACCTTTCCGGACTGAACGGCATGCAAATACCGCTGCAGTCTGAGAAAGTTGTCTTGCGTATCGGGAAGATCAGCCTTCGTGCCGACAACGAACCATGGTTTGCTTGACATGGGGGGCAATGTGAGTGGTGGAAGGTTCTTCTCAGCTTGAAAAATGATATCTTCTGCCTCTGAGAGATCCATATTCAATGGTGAGACAGGCGACGTGGGTTGCCAATCTGTTACCGGAGATTCCTCGTCATCAAAGTGCTTCTGCGAACCAAGATTCTCGTACTCAGCGACTTCGGTCCAAAGCGCTTGAAGCGCCTTCACCGCATCTCCTGCGGATAGGTCAATGACGAATGCAAGCACGCGGGCTCGTTCAATGTGCCTCAAAAAGCTTAAGCCGAGACCCTTGTCCATATGTGCGTCCTCTATCACACCGGGTATATCTGCAATGGTAAAACGCGTCCTGCCGCTCTTCCTACTCAAGTGCTGAAGATTCGAGCGTCCTTTGTAATCATCCAACACCACGGTACCAATGTTGGGCCGCAAGGTTGTGAAGGCCCAATTTCCAACTCTAGCTCGTGAATTGCTTACAGCGCGGAGCAGTGTGCTTTTGCCTGCATTAGGTAGTCCAACGAGTCCTACGTCGGCGAGGAGTTTGAGTTCCAGGTGGAGCACTATCTTAACACCGCCATCCCCCTTTGTGGCGATCTTGGGCAAAGGCTGATCTTTAGTTACAAAATATGGATTGCCGTAACCACCCATCGCACCTGGGGCGATCAGCACGGGTGTTTCCATATGACTATCAAGATCAAGTGTGATGGGTGCTTCTGGGGCTATTCTCGCAAGATTCGAACGGCGAGGCTCCGGTAGGCGAGGTAACTCTGCAGTCCATAGTCTCGACGGGTCTTCGCCAGGATACATCAAGAACTTGTCCCTCCTCGTGGGACCAAGGAATTCGAGTGGATCTGTACGCCTCTCGCGTTTAAGTTGAAATGCATCATCCGCGTCCTCGTCTTCCACAATCTCTCCGCTGGCAGCTCTTTTTTCGCGGTCCTTTCTTGCGTACTTTTCCTCCATATCTCTTCTCCTTCTTTCAAACGCCTCTTCGAGAAATTCTTCTTCCTCTACCGTCACCGGATCGTGCCTTGCTAGCTCTCTTACTACCGTCCCGACTGGCACGGTTATTACCACGTCGGTCCCTTTTTGCCCATTCTTGTTGCTGCCCTGCCCGTTTCTGCCTCGTCCCGCTTTCACTTCACGTCTTCTAGCCACCTTGTGCAGCGATGTCTCTCCACGCACGGCCTGAATATATACGTTACCGCCGGTGCCGCCGTCGCCGCCATTGGGAGGTCCATTTGCAATGAATTTCTCGCGCAAGAACGAGATACATCCATTGCCTCCACTTCCTGCTTCAACTGTAATGGTGCAATGATCGGTAAAAGGAGTGGCGGAAAAGTCATCCGGCGTTGGATTCAAGCGGTCATACTCTGCATCAACATCGCCGTCGTCTTGCGTGACTAGGGTGCTGTTCTGTCGCAAACATGTTACTCCCAGACGAGAAACTCGGGTGAAACGTTGTGCATATCGTGCTGCTTGGAATAGTTCGGCTTTTGAGAAAGGGTACAGAAATGGCATCAATGATCCTTGAAGCAGACACGATGGACGAACAGACATGTTCATCAAGTTGTTGTAGATGCGCAGTGGATGTGAACAAAAATCCAGAATGGTCATCTTGCTAACCGGTCGTAGGGCTGGCCAATAACATCTGATCCTCATCAGCATCAGCCTTTTAGTCAGCCTCATGCCTGCGGCATAACTTATGACAAGTGATTCCACGCCAGGTCTACTCTAGGAATTAAGGTACAGCTTGTTTTATAAATATACAAGAGAAAAAGTTTGAAGAAATATCGCCCACAAGAATGTCGCGCATTGTATTCATTGGTAACGTTATTCTCTGCTTGCAAAGCCTGATACTTGCTTCCTAAGTCGTCTTTACTTGCATCTTCACATCACTGTTTTCCCTTCTCATTCCTCTCTGTGCATTCTTCTGATTCAAGAAATGTTTTTGCACCATTCTTTTTCCGACCTTTCCTAACGGGGGCACGAGTGCTGTTCTTTCCACGGCTCCCACCGCTCGGTTCTTGCTTTTGGGACGTACGGCTGTTTACTGCTCTCACGTTCGAGCGATTTTTTTGAGGAAAACGCATGGAATCTTTAAGATAATTATGAAGTTTACTTTCCGTTGCGGCATCTCTGGTCTGCAGAACAGCAAGCTCGGCCCGAAGCTCCTCAATGCGCTTAGCTGTGCTGATGGGTGTCCTGTGATCATCCTGGGTTTTCTGGGAGCAGACTGATGGCTCTGAATCATCAGCAGATGATATAGTGTCCAAAAGCAATGGGGACGGAGATCGCGACCCACGCTGTATCTGTCCGACTGTTTTTCCGATGGATTCATTGTGTGGGACAAAGCGGCCGCGACGGAAAGAAGGATCTTGTTGAGGAGACTTTTTGTGCGCTTCAAGAGCAGGCGGTAAGCCTTCTGAATCTGTGTCCTCGACCGCACCTAAGAGATCGATTGCACCTGTGTTTCTAGTTCCTTGAGGCGTACCTGAAGACGGTGCGCTCGGATCTTGTGTGGTTTTAGCTGCTGGCTCTGTTTTTCCTACTTCAAGTGTGTCCGTAGTGTTTTGAATCACAACCCTCTGCCTCGTTTTTGGGGTGCCTGCTTCCGGCAATTGTTCACTAACGATCTCAGTTTCTTCGCTATTTCGTCGCTCTCCTATATCTGGAGAATTTCCCCAGTCATGCCCGAAATACGACGTTAACATTTTTCGGAAAGCATTCGTATCGTGTCGTAGCCTAACTGGCGGCCGTTCTCTCTGGATTTTCTCGAGCCACCACTTTGGATATCCCTTCGTGAAACCAATCTCCCTGAGTCGGTCAAGCGAAGGCATCTCATGTTTATAGCGACAACCCTGCTGGACGTAATCACATTCTCCAGTGCGAATCCAGTATGTGCAGTATTCTTTACTGTCACGGGTAGAAGACTCTGAGCTTCTGAGTAGATGATGATGGTACCTCGCTGAGGTTGTTGCAGCTGAAGGACATGGAGGTTTGTCTTTATTGCGGAGTTTGGAAGTGTTCTGGCTCACTAGGCTTCGGTCGATAACAGAGTCAACCCGTCGCTGGTAATCTACTATCGGGCGTCCACGAGAATTCCCTTCGTTTGAACAGAAACCTTCCTTTTCACTACATGCCCTGTCTGTAGTGTTGTTGATCCTGTTGATAGTAACTTGAATATCCGGGCACAGGGAATTGTCAAGCTCATAGACAGCGGCATGAGACGATGAACGAGACTTGAAAACGAGAGGGACGTATGAACCATCGGCGCATGCAAGCATAGGTCGCGGATGCAAGCTTGCTCGTACAGCTGGAAGAGGCAGACTGCGCCAATTGTCGGCCAGCATGTGGGCGGGTTGCGTGCCCAGCATTTTTGTCTTGGTACGTTTACTTTGGTGCTATTTGGGAGAGTAGGCTTTTTCTTTCTCGTTTGAGGACATGAGAGTGACTCTTTTTTTGTATAATACAATTTCGGCCCTTTTGATTGAGACTGGTCAATGCATTGGCTCCTGCAGGAGGTATACTATGGCCCTTTTTAATCACCAATATCCAGATTGAAATGACTTATTTAAAAGCTCATCACCTGCGTTGCGCTTCAAGAAAATGAAAATAAAGAACTCAGCCCACGTTTTGTCTCTCTGACAAAGCAGCGATACCAAGCGTTTGGCGGCCATCAAGCGCGCGTTCACATTGCAAACAACCCACACATAAGATCTGATACGCAGCAAACTGCACAAAATGAAACCTGCCGGAAGGACGACTGATGGAGTTTGTCATAGAGCATGTACATGCATAATGAAACTTGATAGTTCATTCGATGACCAACATGAATGCAGAAAGAAACCTAGAAAGCAATTTTGAAAAGCGAGCTGAGGATTTGAGTACATATCATATTCTTATTGCAAACACCATCAGTGAGTTCTCCGTATCTACCGAATTAGAAGAATTTCCGGACAACATTACTATCCAATACCTCAAAGTTCTTGAATGGCACTTGCTGCGATGGGCTTGCCTTTTTCATTTTGATCCTCTTGCGCCTTGGCTTCATCCTGTTCGCTTTCCAAGTGAAAAATGCCTCCAAGATCGCACCGCCATAGAATGCCAAAAAGATAGCAAATCCTACAACGCAGACAGTGAGACTACACGATACAATCCAGAACACGCTTTGTGAAGCCGTCATGTTGCGAATGTCGATCGTGTTCATACCAAAGAAACTCGACACGAAAGATAAGGGTAAGAATATGATAGTGACAATTGTGAAGACCAGAATTGCCTTGCCATGATCCTCGAGCCGGATGTTGACTAGCTGGATGGTGCGGTTGAGTAGGTTGTTTGAGTTGTCTCGCAGCTCGACGAGATCAGTGAATTCACGCTTCAGATTTTCGAGTAGCTGGGCCATAGGGTCCTTGAGCGTGCTGGATGAGTGCTGTCTGAATGTTGAGCGTGACGCATGAGTCACAACCCGGGCAGCCGTACGGCTGCTCCTTTTCTGTTGATTTGTTTGCGCAGTATCTAGGTCTCGCGTGACGGCTTCGTTTATCTCTTGCCAGGTGGCGTCAAGGTTCTGAAGCAACTCAATCTGATTCTGCATCACGCTGATAATGATGTTAAGCTCTTCCTGCACTTGCAGCAGGTCCATGACTAGTTTTGTGCTTGGGGAACGGTGCAAACGGTATTGGAGATGACCCAGATGGCCGGCGAAACGATCTGTCAGACAGAGTGTGATATCTGTCCAGAAGGCGCGATGAAGGATGCCCAGTGCGCCACTAAGGCATGCGATCACGTGTGTATATGCCGTATATTCTGGGTCGTCCTCTGCAAGTAGCAGGGTGTTACGTATGCCTCGAAATGACACCTCGGCAATCCGCCAAGAGACTTGTAGGGGTGGCCATCTGCTCTTCCACGACTGGTTCGTCGCGAAGGTGACGACGTGCCGCTCATCAATGACCAAGATCCAGAGCTCATCCACGTTGAGGACTGAGGGGTATTGACCATAGAAACGACGGACCTTTAAGTCCAATTCGCGGTCAGTAAGCCAGGGCTTATGCTTAGCGAAGACCTGCTGGTGTTCTCTGTCGCTTGTATCCTCAAGTCGGTAGAAGTGCTGCAATATGGACCGCATAAGGTGAGCAGTTGACCTGCTCGATTGATATCCCTCCCGAGGATCTATTTGAAATCGCAAAGGTGGCTAGACACGTCAGCGTGATGAATCAACATACAATCACTATATGGAAAGAGCCATACTGGGTCATCTGCGGACCAGTCGAGGTACGGCACGCTGATAAGCATTGGACCTCCACGTACGGGAGAAGCGTCACTGAGTCTATCGTAGAAAGGAGCAAAATATCTCCCGTGCTTCGAGAAACGCTCATTATGATAGACGGTATGCTCAAGTTGTCTGAGGCTTTCAGCACATGCGGCTGCATCACGCGCCCAATCGCTCAGTCCGAGAAGACAGCCGTGTAGATACTCGGTGAACTTGGAGGAGATGTGGATCCATCGTAGCTTTCGGTGGTCCTTTGGCGCGTCGAGGGATGTCTGTACGCCCTTTGAGCGGAGGCAATTCATCCAGCCATACTCGTTCAGCATTTGGCGCCATGCCGTCTGTTCGTGTCGGTTCTCGCCGTGGGATTCGATGTGTAGTTCGCGTGCCAGGCGGTCCCGATCACCGAGCGCCGGAAGCAACGTCGACGACAAAGTCTCACCTATTTCCAGAATGGGACCAACCTGCTCGTCACGGCCCCAGGACGCAAGGTGAACGTCAAAGATCTGAAGCTGCGCAGGCGACAGTCGTCTCCTGCGCCAGTACTCGTCTTCGGCCCAATTCACATTTTCGGCCTCAGCGCCCCCCATGCCGAAGGTCCTGGCACATCTGAACCAATGGTCATGTGGAGGCCGCACTCGATCAGCGACAAACGTCTGGAGGGATTAGGAGATTGGATGCCATTGGCAAACTTGACAAGGTGTCAAGGCGACCAGGCCCGCGACCGCTGACGGTTTGGCGGGCACGTGCAAGCGGCAAAGAGCCACGTCAGGTTGACCTAAGTCACCACAGTGCACTGCACTTAGTTGACTTGGCGTATCTTGCGTTCAGCTTTGATGGGCAGGGACACGGCGCGTGGACGGCGAGGTGGCTAGGGGAGGAGCCCGCCAAGGGACAGCCCCCTCCCCTTTGCTGCCACCTATCGCAGCCCCTACCCGTGGACCAGCCACAGGGCGTGGGGCCTGTCGACTTGACGCGCTGAAGGGGCCTCAACACGCAGTCGCTGGGGTGGTGTCGGAAAACGAGTCGACGAACGGCGGAGATGCTCCATCATCTTTGGCGATCCAGCGCCTGAGATCCGAGCTTCCTCTCTCACCAGCCCTCCTTGACTTTGATTGATCCAGTTGGACTGCAAACAAAGGACGTGCCTTCGCGGCAAGCGTTGAATCATCTGCGTCCACTTGGCCTTTGGTCTGGCGGGGCGCAGCACGTATCCCTCGTCCAGCCGCAACGAAGTTAAGGCTGACCGAAGCCCACCCTGGGTCAAGCTGGAGAAGCACTTCGCGAGAAGATACAGCGCCTCTGGACTTTCTGCAGTATATCTCTCCTGATCCCAAGCCACCTGTGCAAACGGCCATCGCGCCTTCTGCTCTTGCTGCTGCGATTGCATCAATCTCTCTGCGCCCTCGTCGAGACCGGGCGAGACTGCAAACAGCTAATTGAGTGTCACCACACTTCACGCTATCAATTTCTTCCACGCCGCTCTAGTTTCCTTGCGGTGACGGGCGACACGGTATTGCTTTTGCTGCGCATAGCTGCGACAATAACACCGTCCTTCGAGCCTTTGAAACCCCACATAAGACTCCATAGCCGGCTGCCTCTCGCACGTTTCTCACAACATGAGCTGTACCTTCACCCGTCCGAGCACTGAAACTGGGCACGAGACTGACCATATTCCCAGTGACGAACATGATAAACAGGCTGCACGGCCAGCCGGAGAGCTACGAAAAGAAGTATGGCAGCCTTTCACCCGGTGCACACAGCCAAAGTCGCACGTGCTAAGAAATATGTCAACAGGGCGAAGTACACATTCGGCAGGACGCTAGGTGCAGGCACATATGGCATTGTTCGAGAGGCAGATGGTCCCAACGGCAAATGTGCGGTCAAGATTATCCTCAAGAAGAACGTGAGGGGCAATGAACAGATGGTCTACGATGAAATGGAGATGTTGCAGAAAATGAAACACAAACACATTGTCAGATTTGAGGAGTGGTTCGAGTCGAAAGTAGGCTTGCAGTAGTAGGTTCCACATGTAGGAGGAGAAAAGGCTAATTTCGCGGTAGGACAAGTGGTACATCGTCACCGAGCTAGCTACGGGTGGCGAGTTGTTTGACCGCATTTGCGAGAAGGGCAAATTTACGGAGAAGGACGCTGCAGAGACGATTCGGCAGGTGCTCGATGCAGTAGACTACTTGCATAAAAACAACGTCGTACACAGAGGTTAGTATGCATCACGATACCACCGCATCCATTCTCTGCTGATGCAAACTCAGATCTGAAGCCTGAAAATCTGCTGTACCTCACTCGAGAACCAGATTCGGACCTGGTTCTCGCTGATTTTGGCATCGCGAAGATGCTCAATGACAAGGACGTCTTGACTAGCATGGCAGGGTCCTTTGGATACGCCGCCCCAGAAGTCATGGAGAAGAAAGGTCACGGCAAGCCAGTTGACCTGTGGTCGCTTGGTGTTATCACGTACACGCTTCTGTGTGGCTACTCGCCTTTTAGAAGTGAGACTATGAACGACCTCATCGAGGAGTGCCGAAATGAGAAGGTCGTTTTCCATCCTCGGTACTGGAACGGCGTTAGCGAAGATGCGAAGAATTTCATCCGCTCATTGCTGAAGGCTGATCCTAAGGAGCGGCTTACAAGCGAGGTGGGCTCAACACCGGACCCCTTAATTGCAGAACATCGCTAACTCGCAGGGCAGGAAGCGCTCAAACACGTATGGCTCACGGGCAAGACTGCTTCCGACCACGATTTGCTCCCAGAAATCAGATCTTACGTCAGCAAAGCTCGTCTCAGGCGCGGCATCGAGATGATCAAGCTCGCCAACCGCATAGAAGCTCTGAAGCGGCAAGAAGACGAGGGCGAAAATGGACCCGGCGATGCAGACGTCCCAGCCAGCGCGCTCGAAGCCACAGGTGAGGCGCTCGCGGCGAAAAACTTCTCCGGAACAGTACCCTCGACCGAGCAAAAGACTGGTGCTCACACGACTCCGAGGCTGAGCCGTCTCGCGCGAGGTGCAATCTTCCGTGAAGTCGTGCTCGCTAAGGTTAGGGAGGAAAAGGAAGCCGCGAAGCAGCGCGCTATGGAAGCCGACCCAGCATACGCCAAGGAAATGCTTGGGAAAAAGTAGAAATGTGGACCAATACGCCCATTCTTTCCTTTCCGAATAGGCTGACATGTTTCTACAGACATTGAGCATGTCTGGCGAGACGTTCTCGCGGCTATTGAAGGGCTTTTGCATGGATTCAGTGGGCATCGTAAGGCTAACCGCGAGCGAACTTTCGTGCGTAGCGAAATATATATCCTTCTCGTTGATTCCTCCAAGCAAAGGTAGTTTTGGACCCTGTAGAGCTTATCGGTAACAAATTCTCGACCTGATGACTCTTTCAATTTTTATCGTGCACACGTATGCGTTTTGGAGAGTTGAGCCTGGGGAAGCCACATCGGGAATGTAAAGCATGCAGTGATTTGGCACTGAGGCATGGTTACCTTACCCAGCCTTACCCAAAACCCGCAGCAAAACAGACACATGACCAACGAAGTGTCAGACGAAAGGACGCACAACAAAACTTTGAAGTAGCCAGAGCATCACAAGATCCCAAAACGCATGTGAGAGATTCGTGACCATCAGCCGTTTGTCCTGTTTCAGGCAGCAGCTGATGCCTTAGGCATAGACCCTGGCATGCGGACTTCAATCACTGCGGTAGACACCACCAAGACGCGAAGCATCTATTTCTACCCGGCATCGCCGCCTCCTTCGCGACCTCTGCGATCTATCTGACCCGTGTACTCTCGATCGCAATCTTGATGCGACACCGTTGAGATCATGAGCGATAGTGCGACAAAGCGTAAAGCGACTGGACCTCCTGACACGGAGTTCGGTTCGCGGAGTGCCAAACGGCAAAAGGGCGCGGTACGTCTTTCTTCTCCCTTTTCAAGTCGTGGTTGTGTGTTCTGCCGCGCTTGTTGTGACCATTGCGCGTTGTTTTGAGGGGTGCACGCTCATGCTGCTGGTGGATGCGAGACCTGCTAACAAGGTCTGGTCTAACCGCGACGCGCGACATTGGGGTACCAATGCCGCTGCTGCGATGCGATCCGGTAGATGCGGCCGCACAAACGTCCCGAAAGCCATTGTTTCTCCATTTGACATTATATCGATGCCGTCCCTTTGATCGGATACTGTAAATGCTGGAACTCCGAGCGCTGACAACATGTTTTGTGGTAACAGGGTGCGGCAGAGGGTTATGTGGAAACGCCGGAGACCACGACGGAGAGGGGCATGGAATTCTTGCGGACGATTAGAGCCTCGAAAGATAAGACGTAAGACTTTCTCAGCAACGGCTTCGGCCTGATTATTCGGAATGGGCCTTGGCGCCTGCTGCAGACAGTTGTGAGCAAACTGACATACCGTCATAGTGGCCGGAGCATCGTCGAGGCATTTCTTACATTGCCGAAAGCCGTAGGTTTCTTTTCTTCGATGATCCACTCGCTGCCGCTGATAAAGTGATTCAGGAGGAAGTACCAGGCTACTACGACCAAATCAAGTTGCCGATAGCTCTAGACACAATTGAAGTGAGCGAACCCCTCCCTTCGGTCCTTACTTTGAAACAGACACCTCAATCCATGACGGAAATGGACAAGAATCTGGACATAGAGTACTAATTTGAGGATCCGCAGAATAAGCTTAAGCAGCGCGCTTATCCTACCCTGACAGCCCTTGAAAGTGACTTCAAACGCATGGTTCAGAATGCGAAAGACTTCAACGACAAGCGTTCACTGATCTACGAAGATGCCGAGCGTGTGCGTAAAGGCGCTTCAAATTGGTTTGTGAGGAATAATCCGGCATACGGCGATCGGAACTACGTCGCGAAGCCAACTCCTATACCTGACGATGCTAATGGTGCTCCTTCCACACCCGGACCTATATCGCTCAAGATTACAAATAAAGCTGCACCAGTCAGGATGCCTGTTGTATCCACTACTTCTGCTCCAGCTGGCAAGGGAGACCAGGCTGAAGCGGATGAGGATGCTGAAGGCGAAGTTGAAGAATTACCAGATTTCGCAGGGAAAACTTTCCAGGAAGCACAAGAACAGCTGCTAGAGGAGCTCATCAATTATGAAGAGTATGTTGCTGTATACTCTCGTTGTTTCCGTCCGCTGACATTCATCAAGTGGCGATCTGCAGATATTTACTCCTTTCCACTTCCTGCCTCCCCGAGCATTGCACGACTATTACCAGCTCATCAAATATCCTGTGTCTCTAAAAGGCATTCAGAAGCGTGTGCGGGGCAAGCATGGCAAAGAACCTGCGACGGGAAAGTCGGACTTTCAGACGTGGGACGCTCTCGAAGAAGAACTCAGCTATATCTGGAAAAATTGTCGCGAATACAATGAGGATGGTAGCGACATGTACAACCTTGCAGGGGAGTTCGAGGAGATCTGCAAGCAACGGTTGGAATTAGCGAGATCACAGGTTGAGCAGCCAGCGCAGACCAAGATCAAGCTGAACTTGGGAGCCGGCAAAGCAGCACCGGCACCTTCTATCAAGCTCAAGTTCGGCTCAAAGCAAAGCCCTGGTACTCAATCGCCAGCCGAGACACCTGCTACTGAGCGTGGGACTCCAGGGATAACAGTTGACAACGATGCCCTGCAACGTCAAAAAGATATGGTTGCTGCAAGCGTGAACGGAGCACGAAGTGGCTCGACAGCGAACAGAAATGCCTTCGGCGGCTCGAGGTCGGGATCCGTGTCAACTCCTATACCCGGAGTGGCACGGCGTGCATCTGGAGCCTCCCCTCCAGTTCAGACGAACGGTGTTAAGGCTGAAGATCAGTCGCCCGCGCTGAGCGCAGTCCGTCCGACAACAGCGGCCTCGAATTCCATTGGCACAGCATCGATGCCGCCGCCTGCGGGCGTGAATTCTCGTCCTGTTAGCGGCAGCCCCCATCCCCAATTGCAGCCTCCTATATATCAAACTGCGCCACCACCGACCAACCAGTATCAGCCACCTCCAGCAGTTAACAACTTCATGCAGTCCAAATTGCGGCCTGAGGGTCAGAGTACGTTCTCCAAAAGCATGTCGCAGGGAAGATGCAGCACTAACGGTAACACAGCGATCAAGGATTCCATTCTACCCACACTTACCATCATCTCGCATCCGGGTATCCAAACCTCCACACCTTTCAAGCAAGTCATCAAGGCGCATCCGCGGCTTATCGAACAGTCTTTCACGTACACAGTCCCTGCGACGAAGTATTTATTTCACATCATTCCGTATCTGCCACCGAGTGTGACTTCGAGAGCGTACCGCATATTCGTGCTCGTCAACGGATCACGACTGAGTCCCCGTGCAAACCAACCAGGCGAGGACCAGGATAAAAGTCGACCTGTGTACGAGGCGAGACTGGAGCGCGGCACAGTGGGCAGAATCGAAGTCGAGGTTCTGGCGGAGAAGGCGAAGGGAGAAAGGGGCAAAGACGAGGTGGACAGGGAGAAAGTCAGTGTGTTCATGCATGTTTTGCGAAGTTGAAAAAAGAGCTTTCAAAATCGCTGTAGTTTCGAATTATGCGTTATGGACTTGCCACTCAGTCTGTTTTTGGCAACCAGGGGACAGCCGAGAGAAGGAGGCTAATACCAGGGTTCGGGAATATGGTGGTCTCTAGCATCACTGGATTTAGGCTGCGAGCGAGGTAGTCATGGCATCGGGATATAGCATACTGTCATAAGGTGCATACGTTAACAAGAGATATATTGCTCAAAGAAACCTAAAGACGGATGCACTCGCCCGATGCGTACGAGAACTTTCGTGCTCTTAGCAGGGCTTTTTGAAGCTGCTACAGATGTGCAAGCACACGGGTAGCACAAGGTCACGCCGCCGAACCGTCCCCTTTCTCTCCCGCAGCTGCTTGATCTTTCACACGCCTCTCACCCACGGTCCAGTGTTGATAGTACCTGGCAAAGAATCTTCGAAGCAGGTCCACTGCTCCGGCCAGCCATGCGACATCTTTGTTCTGAGAAGTGTGATGAAGATGGTCGAGAGCAGCGCACGCGACGTAAGGGTACATGGGGGGCATGGCATCGATTCTCGGCGTTGCGGCAGATTCGAGATGGGCGGCGCTAAGGAATTGGAGAATGTCGAGCGCCATCTTCGTGACGGTGTCAAGGGCTTCCCGCGACCTCTGTTGCCACTGCTCCAGCGACTGGAAATTGGCGCGGACGACCTGCGGCTTCTGGTCGAGGATGTGCCCGTGCAAGGTGAAGAGGGCCCTTTTGTTACGACGTTAGGCGATGTCGAATGTGATCACGTTCGGCGACGACGAACAAAAGGAGAAGGGTCGGAAAAAGGTTTGCGTTGTGGCTTGACTCACCTCATGGCAATGTGCACCACTGTGCAGTAGAGACCAGGCTGCTCCTGGCTCTTGGGCAACATCAACGTCAAGAAGCTTTGAAGATTTGCATCCAGTCTGTCTAGCTGGAGCAGCCTGGAATCGATGTCGGTAGAAGGAAGCGTAGCCTTGAGCACCTGGTCTAGGAGACAAGCTGCTTGCACTGTCCTGCCAAAGGCGCCCACACTTGGCGACGTGATACACGAGACAGGAATATTAGGCAGAGGTTCCGGGCCTCGCGACTCTAGGTGGTCAAGTACCTGAGGTTCAATTGGCAATCGAGCATTGGCATCCGGAAACACTGTTATCGTCGGCTGCTCTATCACTCCTGCTTCACAAAGAAAGATCCTGTTGCCAGTACACCATTCAGCATATCTAGCGTCGACAAATACGCCCAACACGGCCAACGTAAAACATACCTTTCGCATATCACAATTCCCCACCAAGTGTTCACCGCCTCTTCATGGAGCAGTAGAAGATCAGAATCGGGGGTTTGGCCACTTTCAGACAGAATTTGTGTCTCTTGTCCATTACATATGTGGATACGAGCGCAATACGCCAACCGTGTGACGCTTGCGAGGGTAATAAAGGCATCGTCTGGTCGCCCGTTTATGTACTCATACATCGCCAACAAAATACCTGCTTGTATCAAGGAGACAGATGGGGAACAGGAGACCTGGATTTGTGCGAACAGAGATTTGGCACTCAGGTAGAGAGCTTGTTTGGAGGAGGTCTGGGAAGCGTTGCTCTGGCTGGGCTGGCAGCCTGCTGCAGGACTGTATGTAATGAGACAGATGGCCAGGAGTAAAATGGAAAAATCTGCGGTTGGCGTTGATCCCAAAGTTATCAGGTTGTTGTAGAAGCGAGTGCGAGAGACGATTGGCAGATGACGATGGAATCCCTGGAAGAAGCGAGTGCTGATGTCCTCAACAAACTGCTCCGTTTCACGGATGAGGCCGTAGACCTCAAGATAAATTTGGCTATACTCTTGATTAGCTTAATTGCACCTCTTTCGAACACGTTCAGTCGTGGAACTCGGGCAGTGTAGAAACTGAGCACAGAACGTCTGAGTTTGATATTGAATGGGGGAGCACTGAACTGCCCAGTCTCAGCTTCGGTTGATCTTTGCGACAACACGGCAGCGAGCGATCTACGACACGATACAATCTCCAGTGACGGCCGTGAGCCCCAACCTGAAGCAGCATGACGGTGTTTGACAGGTTCCGAAGAATGTGTTTGGGGGACTGGCATGTATACACACTGCAATCCCTTCCTTCACGAACGTTTTAGCTTCCTCCATTAAGCGAGATGAATTCCTGGGCGACAGACCGTATACAGTACCCGCAAGAAGGTAGCAGTTTGTTGCACTTTTTCTTCCTCGTCTTACATACTACGCAAGCCTGGCGGGCTGAGGCGGCATTCATAGATCCGCCGTCGGCCGCCATTGCGAATACACTCTGTCGGAGGGGAAATTGAGCAAAAGGGTTTAATAGAATAGGCCATCTAGTTCCGGCAATAAAAATTCTGTTCAGCACATTGCGTTCGCAACCTAGTGAGCAATTACCATGCCCAAGAGGACGTGGGACTGTCGGGGTCTTTGTCGGCCGCCGTCGGGCCGCTAAGCCCAGCAAAGCAATATACATGCTGATCTAAACCCGATGCTCAAATCAAGGCGCGACAATCGGATTGTCTGGATCCAAATCTGTGTATCTAGTGACGGGGTTTTAGTTCGAGAGCGTTGAGGTACATGGTCCCGGCCTTTGTAATAGACCGAGCCTCAAGTGGTACATAAATTGCTTCAGAGACGAACTGTTACGGACATGGACGCAGAAGCTCCTTTTTCCAAAAATCTGCGAACGCTGACTAAATTCTTTTTCCGAGATAGTCGGGAGTTTGAGATATTGGATTCAGCTGCGTTATAATGACCGATAACGAGAGTACTAAGGCTTACAACGAGGACGGAAGGTCCGGCGAGGAAAAGAACAATGACATCTTCCCAGCATCCACCCAGTTGTACCCGGAGGAAGGCTTCAGAGGCTGGCTCTGCGTCACCGGCGCCTTCTTTTGCCTCTTCTGTTCCTTTGGGTTCCTAAACGCGTACGTACACATCCAAGAACACAATCTCTGTCGGCAGACGGGGCCGAGCAGAACAGGGAGCTGAGTTCTGGTGCCGCAGAATCGGCGTTTTCCAGACGATATACCAAGAGACGTACCTCAAAACCTATTCGCCGTCCGCTATATCGTGGATCTTCACCGTCCAGCTGGCGCTGCTGTGGCTACCGGGCCCGCTCTTTGGACGCGTTGTCGACACGTACGGGCCCGCGCCCATCCTGTACCCGGGCGTCTTCCTATGCGTGTTTGGCCTGTGCATGACAAGTTTGGCAATAAAGTACTATCAGATCTTCCTGTCTCAGGGGCTTACCTTCGGCTTCGGCGCCGGTGCGGTTTTCACCGCAAGCACCGTTGTCGTGGGTCAGTGGTTCACTCGTCGACGGGGCCTCGCCATCGGCATCGTCACGGCAGGCAGCAGCCTCGGCGGCATCATCTACCCCATCTTCATGAACAAGCTCATACCGCAGGTTGGATTCCATGGGGCAGTCCGCTACACGGCTCTTCTAATGGGGATTCTCTTGCTTGCTTCATGTTTTATGATCCGGACAAGACTGCCACGCCAGAAGTGGAATATAAACGTCAAGTGGTTCGACATAACTCTGTTCAAGGACAAGCAATTCGCCCTGTACACAGCAGGCAGCTGGTTGGTCATGTGAGTAAAAATGAGTCTCTACTCCCGCGAACGTCGAAGACCATCGAAAAGGCCCCTTCGTCCATGCTGACCTTCTTCTGAACCAAACAGGTGGGGAATTTGGTCCGCATTGAACTTCATTTCAAGCTTCGCGCAGAAAGAAGGGTTCTCCTCAAGCTTGGCGCTCTATCTGATTTCCATCATTAAGTAAGCTCAACGCAACCGAACACCTTGCATGGTCTCTTGCCGCCGCATACCTGAGAAGCTTACCTGCTCGTCTGTGAGTGTAGTTCAACGTCAGTCCCCGGGCGAATTATTCCTCCGCACTTTGGAGATCGAATCGGCCATTTCAACGTCATCACCGGGTGTTCCTTCCTGATGGGCGCTTCGATTCTCGCGCTGTGGCTGCCCTTCAACTACCACCATTCGCATGCGGGCACCATCGTCTTCGCCGCCGTCTACGGTCTCGAAAGCGGCGCCATCATCTCTCTGATGATACCATGCGTATTCAAGCTTGGCAGCCTGGAGACCCTTGGCCAGCGCTTCGGGACGTTCCAAATCGTGCTTTCGACAAGGTGGGTGCGCATGGTCCTGCGCGCAGAGAGCGCGAGCTTTCGTCAAGCCAAGTGTGCCGATACTGACGTGTGCTCCAGCATGCTGACGGGATTGCCCGTCATGGGTGCGATTCTGAAGCACCAAGGCGGCAACAACTTCTCAGGTCTGCAAATCTTTGGAGCCGTGTCTATCCTCTTAGGAGCTGTCCTGCTTGCTGCGTCTAGGTATCTCTTGTCTAAGTCACGCAAGACGTGGAAGGTATAGGGGCCGACTTGCAATTGACACATAGCCCACGAACAAAGGGCGACCTGGTCCTGTTGTTGTTTGGAAGATTAGCCACCGGTAGCTTTGCGAATTATACGAAAGGGAATAAGAGAAAGAGACGACTGTAACATCGGAGTATTGCACAGCGTGCTGAGAACTCAGAAAAAGTGTCTTGCTTTCTCATTTCATAAACCTTATGGAGTCATATGACGTGCTCTGCGAGCATCCGATCGCAAGTCACTCCATACTGAAGGGTTCTCAAAGTGGAGCAATGACTGCAGGCATCATATTTTCTACACTAGCACGCGTGCATCTTTTTGTTCCCCCTTTTTCCCTTCTCGTCCATTATATACGCCAGCGTCATCAAGCAAATCGCACACGCATCCTCAACACGCAGATATGTTCAAACACAAAAAAACAACGCCGATATTACGCTCAAACCGTTCAGGTGGTATAAAGTTATATTCGCCGATCAAAGAGAGGTGGTTGGGGTATCAGTAAGCAAGAGTCGTGAGCATGTGCAAGGCGTCATTCGTCATCGATCCCTATCCACGCCATCCGTCCTGCGTCGCTGACTTGTCAGCCTAGACATGAGGTCGTTCATCCAGTCACGCCAAGGCGCATCACGTTGCTGACGTTGCTGCTCACCCCGTTCGAGGTCTCGTGTGTCCATAGGCAAAGCAGCAGAAGGTGAGTCGTTTCTACTAGTCGCAACTTGGGCCTGCACTTCGTCGTCGTCTTCGTCGTCAATGTCAGAGAGCTCACGTGATGGTGTCCGTTCCTCGTACGAGCTCTGCCTACTTAGCACACCGCGCTGCAAGCTGCGCACCACGTCACCTTTGCAGATGGGACAGGTCCGCCGTCGAGTAGTAAGCCACGGCGTGCTGTTGATACAGTCAGCAAGGCTTCAAAACAAATCATATCTTTATGACTTACATGCATTCCGCATGGAATTCATGACCGCAGGGTAAGCTCATGACGCGACTGACGCCATCAACGTACTCCTCGAGACAGACAACACATTCTTTCTGTCTACCACCATATCGACGTCTCCACTCTGCCAACCCAGCCTCACGCTTCTCGGCTGCAGAAGGACTCTCTGAATTGTCGCCAAGTAATGATGACGTGCCTTGGGCGGGAACTTCAGATGTTGTTCTTGACCGCGGCCTCGATCTCGATGACGACCGCGAAGGTATGCGGCGGGGAGCAGGTTGCAAGAGAGGTGTGGTAGGCGAAGAGGCGTTGGGTGTCGCCAGCGACGTCGTGCTTGCCTCGCTCGCAATCGTGTGGTATGTGCGCACAGGTAGGCGATCAACAACTGATTTGGGCGCTCGCCAGCGACGCCGACGGATCCGTGAACGGAGGAGCAATAAGGCGTAGACGATGGTGAGGGTCACGAGAGGGCTGACGACAAGGACGAGTAAGGTATCGAAGAAGGGGCTCGAAGACATGTTAGTCGGTGTCAAAGTCACCCAAAGACCTTCATGCTTCGGAAGTCCGTCGTTCAGCGCTTTCGAGTCCGCCTTCGACGCACTGTGAGGTTTGGCCTTGCACTTGCCCCCTGCGCACGGCGCTGCCTTTTGCGCGCCTTCATCAAAATATTCGTCACCATGTGTCCAGGGAAGATGACTGAGCCAACTGTCATGCTCTTTCGAGTTGGCGTCGGACTTGGCCTTCGTCTTGTCCTTGCTCTGTGCGGAGTCGACGACCTTGGGCTTCTCGTATTCACCGCTCCCAGGTGTGACGATACCTCCCTTCAGCTGATTTGCGCCAGAATCTGGGCCCTTCTCATCATTCGTCTGTCGCGCCCCAACATCATTGCTGCTCCGGGCCGGCACCATGTCCGGATCGCGCCAATCGTGCACGCCTATGACGAAGCCGTCGTGGCCGTCCTGGGACCCCTGTGACCCCTGAGGGCTCTTGGTTTCCTTAGAGGACTTCTTAGGCTTCTCATCAAAGTCCTGGACCATGACCCAGTCGATGCTGCCGCTGCCGGGGGGTCTACGACTAACATCGTGATTGTCAGACATACCCACAATCCAGAGAATGAAGCGACGGAGCCAGCCATGCTGAGATTTCGGTTCCTCATGTTTGATGTTGCTTACGCTCGACTTGCCCTGTGAAGCGAGCGGTTCGTCGGTCGGCTTCGACACCTCTGTCGAGGTTGTGAAGATGGGCTGGTCGTCAGACTGCGCTTCTTTGTCCTTCGCCTCATTCAGCTTCGCAGTTATCTTGCCTAGGCCGACCTTGTTGCCGTCGACTGGAGAGGCTCCAAACAGGCCGCCGGACGGTATCAGCGACGACAGCAGGTGAGCCGTCGTGTACGAGGTGAAGAGTGCCGGCACTGTGATGTTCGATGTATCACCGCGGGCATACATCGTGACAAGCGGCCCGCCGCGAATGTCGTCACCGACGATCAGTGCTTTGCCACCACGCCGCTGCACCCATTTGACCTTTTCCAGGAAACCACAGCCACCTCTGCTTAGCAGGACTACTTTGCCAGCAATCTCCGCGCTCTCCTGCAATGACTGTATGTCGGCATGCTCCTTTTCACGGCCTTTGTTCGCCGCGTCCTTGATCGCGCTCAGGTCCGGGGCATGGAACAAGTGCTCGTCCGTACCGTCGTCGTCCTCTGGCTTGGGGATGGCTACATCCGTATCTTCGCCCTCTGCTTCCCCTCTCTTCGTATTCTTTGCCGTCTTCTTGTTCACGTTGCCCTTGTGCGATGCATACTTTACGTCTTCGTCTCCCTCGTTGATCACTCGGCCCGATGGCTTTCCCATGCTCTCATCCCATCCCGGGACGTCGCTGCAGCCGAGCTCACCCTCCGCCCGTCCCCCACTGCCCAGATTGTCCTCCCCAAAGCCGCTGCCGATCCACAACTGCCCGCTCAGCCCACTGCTCGGCAGCTTGGGTCCAAAAGCGGCAGGTCGGGCCAGGAAGAAGGTCGAATTATCGTCAGTGAGGCTGATGATGGCTGACGGCGGGAAAAGCGGTGTGTGAAAAGAGAAAAGAGCTCGCAACCCCGACTTCCTCTTTGACGAGGTCAGTGGCGGCGGCGTCGCGCGGGAGGAGCGGTTCGGTATGAGGTACAACAGGATCGTGAGCAGGACGAGCGAGGTGGTGAGAGTGAGGAGAAGCCGTGTGGGCCGCATGTTGACGGCAGCTGCAGTGGCAGCGAACGCAGTGGTGGTGATAGTAAGTGGTGGCAGAGGTGTCTTTCGACCCCCGTCAGGCGGGGACAAGGACCGCCAGGCCAGCAGCTAGAAAGCCAACAGCGTGCAAAGGATAATGGGGGAGCCGGAGATGAGGTGGAAGACGTGGTCGATGCGTGCAGAATATTCGTCAGGTTGGTGAGAAAGTGCGAGAAATGGACGGCGGAAAGGGAGAGAGACAGATGGGAGGGTGGGAGCGTGTGTGGTGTCCGCGCGAGCTGCGAGGTGCGTCCAGGGTGTGAGGTGATGATGTTCCGCCGCCGTCGTGTCGATCGCTGCTCGCCCTCGACGGCCGGGCCACGAATAAGTGCAAGGCTGGTGGGTAACAGAGTGTGCGACGAATCCAGCCGCGCCCAAAAATGCCCAAGCCCAGACAGCGGGTCCGCAAAAAGGAAAAGCACAGGCTCGATGCAATGATGATGATGATGATGACGACGACGAAGACAACCGTCGAACGGAAGCACGGAAGCGTCCCTTTCTTATTTCTCGTCGTATGGCTCGGGGATAGAACCCAAGCGAAATAGCCAGGCTGGAAGCAAGCGCAAAGTCACAAGCAGCCAAAAAGCCCTACGGTTGGACGTCCAGTCACCGAAAAGGTTCACCTCCCACGCCTCCTGCGCTGCGCCGGTCGCTTGCGTCTCTCACGTGCGCACTTTCTGCAACCGCGATGGCATGATGTGCGGCATGGGGTCGCACGCGCGCTCTCGCCGGTTGCGAAGCCGTGTCCTGCGCGAAAAGAAAACGAAGGAAGAAGAGAAACAGGAGGAAGCCCGTCTGGTGCCTTGGAAAGAATCGTCTGTATACTTGCGTCAGCACCGCTCACCGTGTCGCCTTCCGCCGTCGAACCAGTGAGCGTCACGCACATCAGGCCCCTTCGATCCTCGTTGACGATCGTCTCGCATCATGATTTCGTCCTCGCCCGTGCTCGACGTCCGTTGGGGCCCAGAGCATGGAGACTCAGCCCCAGCGTTCGGACTTTGTCCCCGCAGAGCCAAGCCCTACACAGGCGTTCTCCTGCAGCCAGTCACGGCGATCAGACAGCTTCGTCATTCTCTCGCGACAGACGACGCCCGCCTTGTGCCCTGTACCGACGGACTCGTCTGAGTTCACAAACGCGCGACGTCGTGGCGTTTTCATGGACAGAAAAGAAAAGACAAGCAGCGATGGCAAGGGTAATGAATGTGTCCATTGAGCCTGATGTATCCTCGAGCTTCCCTCACAAATTGACGCAATAGTCGCAGCAGTACCCGTTCCAGCACAAAAATATGAAAAGCCTTCCATCAACCCCGGAGAATTTATACAGCCATTGAAGGTGAAGTAAGCCCGTTCTATCGCCGCTATTCTCCATAGCCAACTCCAGCCCATCCTTGCCCACGTTTTGCATCGCAAATTCTGCCGTAGCAATTTTGTTCCCATCCTTTCCGCGGGCTCGGCAGCCCTGTCCGTTCGCACATTCTTTGTTCCGCCAGTTCTCTGCATCTCCATCTCGCCCTCCTCGCCCTCCTCGCCCGCTCCGGCCACTTGCTTCGCTGAAGCAGAGCCTGGCGCCGCGGCACCTAGTAACCCTCGGCCGTACCGTTCCCGTTGTGCACGGCGCCGGAGAAGGCTGGGTCGTAGCTGCCTTCGTCGAGACCGTTCCCGCCTAGTAGCCCGTTGTCGTTCTCGCTGTATGCGCCGGCGGCAGCTGCATTGGGACCTGCGCTGGTCCCGGTGGCGCCTGGAGCGCCGGATTTCTGAGTTGCGAGGAGGGTCTCGACGTTCCAATCAGTAAAGAGTTCAGTGACACGTCTTTTTTTATTTGTCATCGAAGAGATGGTGTCTTGGTGTGCGTGACAGGGGAGAAGATCAGGAAAATGGACAGTATAGCAAAGGGCGTTTGGTGCATCAAGCAGGAAGAGGGACACGGTAGCTTACCTCTCTGTAACGAGCCAGGTAGATCTTCAGAGCTTCGGCGTAGTTCTCGAAACCAAGCGACGTCATCGCAAAGAGAATATCCTCGCCATTGACCGTCTTCCGCTTCTCCTGTTGACATTTCTCGGACGCTGCGTACCGTTAATTGTTATGGCCAATCAGGGAGTCGAAGATTGAAACATTAAGGATCCATTGACCAATAACGGGCTTGGGCGTCGCCGACCATCAACAAACCAACGGCTGGTGAGGACGCCGTAGCCTTGCTGGCTGGAATTGAGGAGGGGTAAAAGCATGAAAGTGATAGAGATATTTTGTCTCAAACATACCCTCGCTTGTGATGAAGGAGATGAACTCGGACACACATTCCTGCATGCATTCCTTTGCTTCCTTCGCAATCTTTGCGTTCTCCGGCAACGCCGACTTCATAATTCTGGCAACTGGAGCAAAGTTACGTATGTTAGCGTCGTTGTCATATTTATGAGAGGAGGATGAGGTCTGATTTGCGGGCTGCTGAGAGGGTGACTGAGCCCCAAGCGAAGCCTTCTGTCTCAACGACATTACCGCTTGATGGTGGTTGGGCTGCACGCTGCACGTGTGTCCGTTATGGGTAGGTCCTGCAGCAAACGTGACGTTCGGAGTGAACCGACACCAATGAAAGCGATCTAAGGTTCAATTGATAGGTCGCGGCGCCTGTTCACTTCGCGAGTCAACGGGCTTTGTCTTCGTTCGAGCGTTGCGCGCGTGCGCGCGCTCGTCGTAAACAGTTGTGGTGGCCTCCTCGCTTGTTTGCAGAGCAGAGCGCACTTGGTCAAACGTTTGCTTAAGGGCGAGATGTATGAGTGGTCCGGGTCGCAGCAGCAGCGCGCAAATCAGAGCCTACGATGCGTCGGGTGTAGCATTAGAAGAGACACACATACCATTGGCTATGGGCAGCCATCGATCCTGTTCCTTAACTTCAATCTCGTGGCCTTGTGTATCCGATGGGTCCATGGGAGCCTTTTGACCGTTTTGATCGTTGATGTCTGGCGTCGTTTGGTCAACTTCCACGGCTTCAGCCTCTGCCTTCTTCGGCTGGGGGGACGACATGTTTTATTCGGCCCTGGTGCAGACGCCCACGAACGCGCTGAATGAGTTGTCGGTATGCAGCGTTATTCGCTGGCAGGCTGGCAAACACGTCACTCAATTGATGGTCGCGCTTCGACCTCGTCTAAGGCTAAGCCTCCTGTACGGCGTCCGTCGCACGAGCTCGGAATAGTGGACTGCACTATGCTGCGCCGTGGCTGCGCACGCCTTTGGTGAGCAGAGGCTATTCTGCAAGCTTTGGGTATGACGATGATCCACCTGCAGGTTTCCCGACTGTATGGTATGGGCCTTTTTTGCGCTTATGCGGGCCGATATAGTATACAGCCGCCACTACAGCTTAGTGGTTTGAGGGAGAGGCGGTAGACGTGTATACAAGGCAGGACGAAGTCAGGTCAGGGTTCTGCTTCGTTTCCCAAGCCAGGAAGTTGACGAAGAACCAGACAGGCCGATACGGTACAGTGGCACAGGTCGTTGCTGAAAGCGTAAAGCGCAGCCGATGCTTGTGGCACAGGACCAATACTCGATCGAGGATGTCGTGAAAGCCGAGAACGGATGCTACTAAGGCGCGGCAGGAAGAGCAGCAAGGTCCCAAGAGAGTATATGCGAGTCAAAGGGTGAAGCGCACCTCTGGCGGTGTAACACGTACTCTAAAACCACGTTACTACTTGCATAACACATCGGCGAACCCAGTTCACAGATCGCTTGTGCTTTTTTGGAGCTTTGGTGCCGCGGCGATCCAGAACTATGACATAAAGAGCCAGCCCGTCAAAGGCTCTTCCGATCTCTCTATTTTTTTTTCATCCAACGTCGCAACAAGTCACTCTTGCATGTGCCAGGATCATCTGGCGCTTCACTTACAGGCAGCTAGCTGTGCTTCTTTCCGACGTTCTGGGCGAAAGACGGCCAGGAACGTGATGTGAGGTGAAGTTTACCTGCAGCAAGGTATCGCTACCTAATCGATAGCCACGTCGCTTGGGACAGGGCGAGACCCAGCAAAAGACAACAAAGCGCCGGGCTTTGGGAGGATATGCGCAGCAGATGGAAGATGCGAATATGCCGGGCTACTGCAAGAACCGGCCTGGCGCGCGTGGGGTTCTGGTTGGTCTAAATTAGATCAAGATCTGGCGGGAAAAGTGGGAAAGGTGGAAGCCCGAGCAAAGTAGAGGCAAGCAGAGGCAGAGGATGATGCGCGAACGAGGATGTGTGCAGGTTGCGGCGGGAAGGCGGGAGTTTGAGGTGAATCGTCGCTGGTTCGCTCGGGGAAGAATCAACGGGAACGAAGAAAAAAACGGGAAAAAAAGGGCTGCTGAGACTAAACGTTTGCTCGCGCCGATTCTTTTGGGTCTGGCTGGTGCTGGCGGGCTATTGCGGGAAACGAACAACAACAATAACAACAACAGACGCAGAAGACACCACACGCACACGCACACTGGCCGGATCCAGATGGAGCCCCAGCCTCTGGCTCACGCAACCAGGCACGCGCTCATTGCGCGGTCGTTCAGCCTTGTGCGCGACGCCAGAGAGCGGCCACGGCGAACGCCATGGGCGGCAGCTCTCAGCCGACGTCGGAAGACGCAATCAGTGCGGTGGCGTGGTGAAGCTTGCGCGAGCGGCAGAGGACGAGGAGGCTGGGAGACGGGTGACGGGTGACGGGCGGGTATGTCTGTGTGGTGCAGCGTCCACTGCCGCGTTGGAGACTCATGGGACTACAGAAACATGACTTACTTACTCACTGACGTCGTCTGGTCGCCTTCGACACACGCGCTCGGTCAGCACGTTCGTTGAGTGGTGGAGAGGAAGTTAAACTCGGCCCAGTCACGGAAAGAAAAACACGCAATAAGCAATAAGCTCAGTAGCTCCGCCGGCCTCGTTGCCTTCGCTCACCAATCATAGCGCCATGACTTTCGCCCTCCGTCCACGGTCGGCACCTGTGGGACGGCCCATGCGATCAGCCCTCGACACACGCCCGTCCGAGGATAGACGCCATGCTGCTACTCGTCCTGGCCGTGATCGACGCAAGGATGTGGGGATCGCATGTGCGCTGTTACTCGTAGACGGAGAGGAAGGGGGTGGAGACGGGTGGAGAGGCCGTTGTGATCATGCTCTTGGGCCACTCACGACCTGCAGCCACCACCGCGTATTCTCATTCGATCCTCGCTATTCCTGTCAAATTTCGCATCCGTCGTGGTATTTTCCATTGGCTGCATCTCAGTCAAAGATCCCGAAACGGTCCTCTAACGAGATTCGAGAAAGCGTCCCACAAACTCTACACACACAAACTAACTCTGCGCACTCTCTGTCCTCTTCCTTGCGAAATGTCCGGCTGCCCTGTGATCTCAACCATGCACAGCTTCGAAATTGCGGTCAGCTCGGAAGCAAAGAGCCAGGCCCGCGGTCCAGACCTGCAGCAAAGCTGTCTAGTTGGCAGTGCATAGCCCGCTCCCTCCTCATCGCTGCCATGTCTGCTGAGCTGTTCACCTCGTGAAGCCCGAAAGTGTATGCAAACCAGCCAATCCTTCCGTCATCGCGCTGCCTGATGCGGAAGATCCCAGCCCTAACTTTCGTACGACTGCAAGCGTGGGAAAAAAAAAGAAACGAAAGAAAGGAATACGTCAATGTAGAGGAGGCTTCGTTGGCATTGCATTGATGAAGGGTCGCACAAATCCACAAGAACGACAGTACTCAATTCAGCCCTGTCCGATGCTTCTCTCATTTTCATCCTATTCGATTGACGTTGCGGCTCACGGTAGGGCGACCAGTCAGTTTGAAACATCGACCACCAGTTGTGCAGTCCGCAATCTGTCAAAAGACGCGTTCGGTACCCAGTCAGGCCTTTGCCCGCACTGATGGTGAACAGACATGGATGCAGCGCTGAAAAGATCGCTGCATCGCCAACGCATACGCAACATGCAGCCCGCCAGCTAGCGTTCTATGCCTTTGTCATGGGAACATGGGATGTTTCTGCGTGCGTCCACTATCGTCGATGCATTCCATGCATGTCACAGGAAGACTTTGCTTTCGGGACCTTGAGATTTTGCCTGGTTATTCTTAATCGGACTGCATTGTAACGCTACAAAGATGGTTGAGGTTTATGCTATTCTTCCATCCGAGGTCGTAGTGCCCGAAATCACCCATCAGGCGATGTGTGCCACGGAGATATTTCTCTCTTTCGTCCTTTCCTTGCTTACAAGTTTCCTTTAGCCGGAGCTAACGCACTGCAGTATCGCGACCGCAACATTCCAGTAAATGGACCCACCCGCTTGACGGCAGATAGGAAAGCGTGCCGGTCCTTTGATTTACCTACACTATCCAAACTAAATTGACTACGACGCGGCATGGACAGTAGTAATGGTCGTTAGACATCCCCATGGCGCCTTAGGCGAACCCGGTAGGGCGACCGTTGAGATTTCACAGTTCTAGTGACGGATTTCGCAGGTCACCTGGTCCTGGAAAGCGCAGCGCAAGCAGGGAACGCCTTTATTTCCTTCGCTGCGAAACTACTGCCGAAGCCCCATGATATCACGACGGGATGTGCCTGCTAGTTACTGTTGAACTACTTGCACGTTGTTTTTCTTCTGTAGGATTTGTTAGCAGCGGGTACTACCGTCTTCAAACATGAACCACTGTACAAGAACGAATTTGGTTATGGTAGGGACGTGCACAAGCTACAGCGACTTTGCGAGAAACGAGAGGAGAGATAGTTGGAGAACGAAAACGTACCTTCCACTTATCCATTTCCTCCTGTTTGGTTTTATACTGAGCTAGAAGGTCTTCAAGCAACTTCTTCAAGCCATCAGAATTGGTCCTGAGCGCAGGCACAACATCTTTAACCGTTCTCTCAACCAGAACTCCATTGATCATGCGAAAGCATTTTCGGTCTCCAGGGAGAGGCTCTAACGTCTCCAGAACAAGTCTGCAAACTTTGTCAGCGCAATTCAACCTGGCGAGCAGTCTTTGATAGCATTAATTAAGTGAGCATTTCAAAGGGGGCTTGACTCGCAACATGACATTGAGCATGGGCTGAGGCGGTGAGGAGATCCTCAGAACAGGTTTTGAAAGAAAAATAGATCACATCCGATGAAAAGAGCATGCATAGCGGTGTGACAGATCGCCGGGACATCCCCGAATCGAGGGAAAATTGCAAAGTGGCTACGAACTTGTGCTCTTCCATTTCTTGCTCGATGTCGCCGATTTTCTGGGCGAGTTGCTGCAGTATGCTCTTGTAATTCTGGTACTCGTTCTGCAGCTCTGTACACGTCAGGTCAGCGTCCTATCTCTGAAGTGTAGGAGGTATGAAGACACATACGCTGCTGCCTCTGGGTTGCTACTTGTTGCGCCATGGTCTTCTCAAAATTGTGTGATGTTGGTTACACATTTCGCAAGCTTCGCCTGATGCAGAATATCCAGTTGAGGTGGTCCGAGCTCCGACCGTGGTGCTTCCAGGTTCCTCACTGTCGGTACGCCTCACGTTTGCGACACAACGACATCAACTTTGGCGGTCAAGAACGGATACGTTCAAGCGCTGTATACATCAAGAAACAATGCATCCCTTACTTCATACAAAAGACAATGCCGGTATGTGTCGAGCACAATGCGCAGTTGTCATGGATTGTCCCACTAACAGCCGGATGCAACAGGATGCGAAGAAGTCATGGCGGCGCTAGAAGAATGTCATGCGCGTGGCTTTCTATACAAGGCAGTCGGCATGTGCAGCAAGGCGAAGCATGAGCTCAACATGTGCCTTCGAGCGGAGCGGTTGGCAAGAACGAAAGAAAACCGGGAGAAGGCCATGGCGAAGAGAAGGCAAACGGAGGCGCTCTGGGCAGATATTGATGAGAACTCATAAGAACTTCCACAAAAGCGCTCGCTGATTTCGTCGCGACTAGTGTCACGACTGTACAAATACTATTGGGATTTTTTTTTCTAGGCATAGCGCTGGCGTCCCACAGGCAGTGGACTAGAATCGGGAGCGTCATCATCTCAAGGTGTAAGAAATAATCTTTGCTACAATCATAAAGCGTCTCCATTTGAAAAGAAGCATGCCCGGAGTCTCGTGCAGGGACAAGGATGGAAGCGCGCCCCCATCCATCTACACAAAGAATTCAAAATGGCAATAATATAGATGGACTGAAGTCGACGGTTACCTAGCACGCGATATGAGCTCCCTATATGTGCGACAAGACGCAATTCTCCAATCTTCAACGTTGCCTTTCCAAGCGCAAATCCGATCATCCCTTTGATCAGTGGCGGGTCGTGGGGCTCTTCGTCCGCGACAAAGAGTTCCACTTTCTCATTGTGCTTCTGTCCGTATGTTGTCAGCAAAGGCACGAGCGATTTCACTGAGGATAAGTATTCTGTACCTTGAGTTTCTCCTGAATGTCCCTGACGCCATCGATCAGTAGCTCGTCAGCTCAACCAAGGACGAGCGTGTTCTCCACGGGAAGATGCCCCCACCACTTGGGGGTGCGTCTAACGGAGAGTTGTAATTGTCGCGCGGGTCGTCACCTATAAATGCATCAGACCACCTTTTCAATACTGGGTCGAAGAGTTAGTCCTTTAAATCATTGTTCTTGAAGGCTGGACCCGTCTGATCGAACGTGATCCATGGAGACACGAGGACTAGGCCTTTGAATGTGCCGGCTTCAACGAGGATCTTTGGCACGTCACTTCAAGGGTGCACGATCTGCGAAAGTAGGGCCATAACCAGGTTTCCTCCTGCAGAGTCGCCGCCTATAATCACTTGCGATGGCCTGAAGTCACTCTCACTTGTCAAATACTCGAGTGCTGTGGCCGCTTGTATCAATTGCATTGGAACGACGCCGCGGGAGCAATGTCTTGCGCGCGTCAGCCTCAGAGCAAACGCTCCGCCTACTTCGCAACTTTACAACATACCGTACTGTGGAATGAAGATGGTCAGGCTCTTGCCCTCCTTTTGGCCTTTGGTACGACTCTGTATAATAAGGTCATGTGAGCTGCGAAAGCCATGAACGCACATCCGCCACCTACAGGCATCAGGACTAATCTCTAGGGCACATCAATTGCTCGTACCATGCAGCCATAGAAGCACATTGCCAGATCCTCTACCCACCAAGCCAACCGCCCACCGTGTCTACAATCTTGACCATCTGGTGCGACAAAACCTTGGACTTCGCAAATACGATATACGTCTCAGACGTAGAAGGCGAGAGGGACCTGCTCGCGACAATCCGACGTCCTCATAATGATGGCATATCCTCGTAGACATCGTGCTGTATTTGACTGGTGCTTGCATTTTTCAGAAACGCTCTCATCGCAGCTTATTCAAAGTGATTCTTAAACGACGGCACTCCAGCCTTGTCGCGGAAGAGAGCCGTGACGGTGGTGGCAAGCACGGCAGCGACTATCGCGAGCATTAGTTTTGTGCGATAGCTTATCGCAAAGTCACTGGCCTGTCTTCGACAAGGATGCGACAAGCTTGATGTACTCCTGCAGCGTGAGCTCGGGTTTGACTCTCATGTTGAATTGGCGTCTCGTGACTCGAACTCAAATCGAATCGGAATGTAAAACGAAAATGGTAAGCAATCACGTCGATCAATTTGCTTCGTGCGGAATTGTACGAGAAATCTGACCTGGTACTACCAAAAACTGTAGTGCAAGTCTTGTAAAGTGTGGTGCAAGATTCGTTATATAATAATTGGTCCCTTATTTATGATGATACCAAAGAAGAACTGCGGTTATCAGTTTCTTATGTTCTTCGACATCACGGAGATCGTTATCGTCTATCTCGCGAGCACACTGTTGCCAGTTGATGATCCTTTGTGGGCTCGGGTAAGACTGGGGTTGCCGACGTACATTGTGTCGCGGTATCCCATGTGCGCCTTATGGAAAGGATGAACAGCAATGCGAGTCGCTGGCCTGTACTTGTCTACGGCAAGGTAGTGTAGTGCTGAAGGTTTTCCAGATAGGTTTCCTTTCTCGGAGGGTGACATCGGGAGCTGAAAGTTTTGGAAAGAACAATGAGAAGTACAAAATATGCTACGGATTGATTCGATCTTTGCTCATCATCATTATTAGAGAAACATAAAGGGGGTGGAGAGGGCTGGCACCCGTGCCTAATCTTTCGGCTTGCAGTGTGGACTAGTGACCCAATCAATACTGCCCAACAATCAATCTGGAAGAAATGACTACGACTTTATCTTTCGAGGTGGAAGCATTTGACAACGGGGAGTAGTAATTTAGATACCTTCAATGGCGCGGTAACGTTACAACAATGGCGGCTGTAAGATCTACGTTGAGCTTTAAACAAACTCGTAAAAACACATACGTGTGCGGAGGCAATAGTGAAGGATACTTTTTCGATCACAAAGCCCTTTGCTAGCTCCTGCTCTCAGCCATTGCACACCCATTCACGTTTAGCGACAGCAATGCCGGGCCCTTTCAACTTTGCCCTTTCCAAAACATTCCCACGCTGTGAATCCGACATGGAATCGTGGGCAAGTTCGCAGGGTTCAACGACGGCCCGCAAAAGTCCACCGGCATCTATGCAGTGCTTGACGGCTGTAGATTCAGTATCCCTTCTTCCTGTCGATGACATTGATGAGCGGCTCGCCTCTAGCCTTCCTCTCGAGGTTAAGCTCGAAAACTTGGAAAGCTCGTTTGGCGTAGTCATTGGAGTTGCCGCTTACGTGGGGCGATATGAAGGTGTTCGGGGCCTCCCACAGCGGGTTGTCCTTGGGCAGCGGCTCCGGCTCGGTAACGTCGAGAGCGGCGCCGCGAAGCTTGCCCTCCTCAAGCGCTTTCTTGAGCGCCGCCGAGTCGATGACGGGTCCGCGAGCGACGTTGGCAACGAACGCCCGCTTCTTCGACAGGACGTCGAATTCTTCCGTGCTGAGGACGTGTCTCGTGGCCGCCGTGAGCGGGACGCCGACGAGCAGGACGTCGATGTCCCGACCGAGAAAATGATGCAGCGACGCTTTGTCGGTGCCGGAATACCACTCGCTCGGGATGCTCCCGTCCGGATCGCCCGTTCCGGGAACGATGAAGCCGGTGTCCTTGCGTTTCTCTGGCGTGTCTCGTGGAGAAGCCGTGTAAGCAATGACATCCATACCCATCGCTTTTGCCACTCTTGCGGCTTGACGACCTATGCTGCCATAGCCGTACACGCCGAGGCGCTGACCGACCAGATCTTGTACCTTCTGGCCCAGCGACGGCTGCCAAAGTCGCTCCTTTTGTGCTTCGTAAAGTGCATTATACGCGTGACCAAAATTCAGCAGCGACATGATGAACCATTCTGAGATTTGTGGCCCGTGGATGCCGCTGACGGTAGCGAAAGGAATGTTGGTCTCCTTGAAAATGGGCCTTTGCACGACCTTGTCAGATCCAGCAGATATCAGCTGCACAAATTCAAGATTTGGGCATGAACTTGGGGATTGCGGCAGCGTGAACAAAGTGAGCAATGCCGTGACGTCTTTGTAGATGTCTTTGAGGGTGTAAATCAGTCGTCCGTGACCCGACTATCATTACGAAGGTCGACTGGGAAACCCTCAAATGAGAGCAATGACGCACCTTCCGGGAGCTGCTCCTGAAGCCCCTGTTCTCTATTAAAAGTTACTTGCTTATAGACAAACTCTGCTGTTGGGAATTTCTCTTCGAGTCTCTTTATCAGATCTGTCGGCTCAGGCCAAGGAAGTGTGAGAAGGATTTTCTCCGAGTCTTTGGGATGATCGCCCATGGCTCACATGAATTATGCCTCGTGCGAACTCAATCCACGAAAGCTTTGGGAGTGTTCTAACTGTTCGAGCCAAAAAAAAAAAAGTGTGATGGTGGGGTAACGAGTGCACCTGAAGCAACACCAGACGCGGAGCCATGGCAAATTTGATCGACTGCTGACGCGATCAAGCCTCGTTAGTCAATCATCGGGAAGACGGAGCCTGAAAAAAAGAGCCAACTCGCCGCACCCCGAGGACATAGAGATACGCATCACTTGAAACTTGGAAAGCTTCATGTTTCAAAATGTTGGGATGCGGGACCATGAGTTGTTCAGATGACTGTTTTTTTTTTTTTTTTTTTTTTTTTAAATTACTTTGTATCACAACGAAGCAATGTGGTTTTTGGACCACAAATCGCGGGACAGTTAGTTACTTTCGTCTTTCTCCCGGAAGTATCTAATCAGACTACAAACTGGATCCCAACTACGAATCTGGTATATAGACGTGAAAGGGCGGTCCTGGTGTTGCACTAGTAGTTTGCAGCATCCATTCCTTGCTGCACAGAGTGCAACATTAGGCCTCCAAAGACAAAAGCTCTTTTGGCACGGAAAAAAGATTATGAGCTGACAGTGGAGCAAGATGTAAGTTCTGAGGAGGCCAAAAAGCAGAGAAATTGGTCCGACCATCGTCTAGCACGATATATAATTAACGAACTAGAGCCTTACGTAGTGACCGTTTTTCACCAACCAGAGCAAGCCAGGGAAAGAAAAAAAAAAGTGTTCGCATGTTCCAGCTAGGCTGGACCCTCATATTTCCTTGTGAGAGGAGAGGGGTTCGACTGATGCATATGTCAGACATTGGAAGGTTCGCTGGTCGTACGGGATGAACTTACACCCTCGCTCTTTCGAACTGCGGATCTGCCATTTGAAATAGCCTAAACACAGCGCCTTAACCACTCGGCCATCCTCCCAGTAGCATTTTCGGAAAGTTTGGCCGACTTTTAACTAGATTGTGTGATGAAAATTGCATTTACGGTATCAAATGAGCACACTCAATTGGTTCGCACGTCAAGGTCTCGCGTTGCCTCTTCTGCGAAAGCTGGAGCGAGTATCGAGTTTCGGTCTCCGATTGCAAGCATTCGAAAGGCGAGCGGACCGGTTTCGAACACGGCCGTTGCAGGATCCTGTCGTTGAATATTTGGCCAGCCGAATTCTAGTGCTTAGACGATCGTATGTGACGTTTGCGTCGCCGTGTCCCTGTCACACGGGAAACGATGTTTTGGCGACTGGCTGCTCCTTGGACCGTTCTTGGACAAAGAGATGTGAGACAGCGCATCGCTGCTGGGTGGGATCCAACGCGGTCAAGAGAGAGGCCAAATCTCAAAAGCAGACGAATGGAAGTGAATCAGCCATACATTTCAGATCGTTCATGATGGAGCATGGACTCGTCGTCCTCACAGCGAGCGCTGCAAACCAGCGCTCGCTGCTCTGTCAACCCATGACGGCCACTCAAACAGACCGAACGGAAAAAAATAACACCAAATCAACCCGCTGAGTCTGTGCAGTCTGATCAGGCAGCCTTTCCCCCTTTTTTTTTTGACTTGTTTATTTATTTATCAATTTTTTTTTTTAAAAAAAAAGTTTTTATGTTGCAAATTTAGCACAATGGCAGGCGATCACCTCGATCTACGTCCTGCAGCGAGTCGTTAAAAAGGAACACAGTTCTCGCACATCAAACAGATGTACAAAGCGTGCAAGATCGTATGACCTCTGACCCTTTGCATCCGGACGCCCTCGATCTTTTCACGCGTGCCTGCGCCCAACTCGTAAGCCCCGTCCGCAGACAGATCGAACACGCCCCGAGGCTGTTTTCCACACGTGCGTCCGCGTTGGGCGGGTAATGCCGCAAAGTCGGCTGCTAAGAAAGCATCTTTGGTAGAAGTCTTTTTTTTTTAGAAAAAAAAAGGTGCTTTGTAACGATATAGTTTTTGACTTACAATACCCTCTTCAACAAATCGCATCAGTGGTTTAGTGGTAAAATCCATCGTTGCCATCGATGGGCCCCGCGTTCGATTCGCGGCTGATGCAATTCAAATCTTCTTTTTTTTCCTCCCACTTTTTTTTTCGCCCCACCTGGTCCTTGGTCACGTAACAGGCCTTGGGAACTTTAGCTAACAAGCTTTGGCATTTGCACACATGGGTAAAGGTTACTTTTTTCTTTTGTTGCCCTTAGCGTGTCGAAGGGAACAAATGGCAGAAGAAAGAGGTCCAATTGAGATCTAGGTATGGTTCAACACCAACACTTTATAATTTCGGTCTGTTTTTGTTGCTCGATATGGTCTACGGGAGGTGGATTCGTGCTTTTCTCCGCGCAGACCTGGTGAGGTATATACTCCCGCACAATTGAGAATCCTGTCTTTCCAAACGCAGAATAAAAGTGTCGTTTAAAGAAAAAAGGGAGGAGAGCGAAAATTCATCGCCTCGAGAGTGGGATGACAAAATCTGCCGCCGTTGCAGATAATTAAAAGGAAAAAGCCGCCATGAGGGTTCTCCTTGGCTACTATTGGTATCATACATTAACAACCTCCATACTGCACCCTACAGCACGTAGCAGTGGGCGCGTCATTCCCGCCTTATAGGCCTCAGTATCGTACAGAACTAAGGGACGAGTTTAGAACAAAAGCAGTTGGTAGATATGAACAGGAAAATAACCCGCCTTGGCAAGTATCCTTGCGTGAAACTGATCCTCCAAAACAAAAGTCCCATGCTTTTTTTCTTCGTCAACAGAACAATCCCGCCGCGAGTAAAATCATGTGTATCTGTATGTATTCACAAAGGTAATTAGATAGATAGAGAGAGAGAGAGAGAGAGAGAGAGAGATTATGGAGACTGTGCGGGAGGGAGAGGGAGAAGACATGTCCTATGGCGACGGCGTTCCAAAAAGACTTCAACGCCCTCCTTCTTCTCCGTATTCTATGATTGCAAAATCAGATGTTTATGCGTTTAATCCCCCACGGGCTCGCTAGACAGGAGAAGAGCCGGATGCAGCAGAGAAATAAAATGTAAAAAAGGGTTTAAAAGCGTCCAGAACACTGGCCACTTCGTGGGCCGAAAGTCCCCGGACATGCTAGACGATATCGATAGGTGGTAGTAGTAAGCCGTCCACAAAATACCTGTGGCGGATATATTTGAGTGGTGCACAGAATTATTGGAAACTCCCCGGTATCGTGAGAGAGAGGCGCTGCACGTCTTTAGCCGGGGTGGAGGCGTTCTCGTCCTGCTCGTCAACTTCCCGCACTGTCTCGGAGCCGCTAGATTTGGACGTGTACGAATGTCGCGCTTCATCTTGGAGCTGCTGAGCGGCCTGCTCCTCTATGCGCTTCTCTTCTTCGGCGGTCAATGTGCTGGTCGCGGCGGAATGACCGTCGTTGTTGGCTACAACAGCCTCGCCGATGGACACGCGTTTGGTTGCCTTCTCGCTTTGGAAGGGGTCGTCCTCGCTGTTGCGTGGGGGGAGGCGTGGTGGTAACTGCGGCGGCGTGCGTTGGGCCTCCTCGCTGTTCCTGCCCGACTCGCTCGCATGCTCAAACGTCGGACTTCGAAGATTCTCCTTATTCTGCATGTAGGCAGGCAAAACGCCACCTCCGAGCCTCTGCCAGAACATCCGTTCGCGGAGTTTGACGCTTTCATCCCAAGCGGCTTTGATCTCCTCGTCCGAGTCGGCACGCCAGTGCCCGTCGCGAATCATGCGCAGGAACGCGATATAGTCACACGACATGCGCACTCGGCCTAGGCAATAATCGCACAGAGGGTATCGTTGTGCATCTTCCGTCTCGGTGACTCTGAAGCAGAGCTTGCGTTGGTACGGCTCGGTCTTGCGGTTCTCGCCGCACAGGGCACAGGCATTGACGGGGCCGCGAAATCTGGACATTGGCGTAGGCATGGGCTCTACGACGAGGGTACCCGCGGTCATACTGTTCAGGATCGTCCTCTTGGCCATCCAACCGACGCCAGGTGCGCTGTCCAGACGCATGGTCGGTTCTATGTCCTCGGCCAAGGCTCTCTTATAGACAGGCGTATCTTTGAGCTGCGGCACGCTGGACGAAAAGTCCCTCATTTTCGGACTGCTGAGCACGGTGGGGAAGACAGGAGCAGCAGGCGACGAAGCTTTCGAGCTCTTGGTCGAGTCCGAGCGCTCCAGGCCAAGCACGTTGACACTGCCAAAGCTACCGCTTGCAACCCTGCTCGGGGCTGGAGTCGCCTTCGCCGCAGCCTTTATGAGGTTCTTGAAATCCTCAAAGGCCGACAGATCGTATCGCATGACCGGGGTAATCAGATGCGAAAATTTTAGCGGTTGGTCGGGTTGTATGTCGTCAATGCCAGGCGTGACGGGCGTCAGATTTGCAGATTCAAATAACCTGCTCATCTTGTCGTGTGGGGCCATGCCAGGCGTTGAGGGTGCGGTGGAAGTCTGCACGTTGCTCTCGTTCTCGTCGCGTTCAGAACTGATCTTCTCTACGACGGCTTTCAGGTCTTGCAGCTGCTCTTGATGGGAGCGTAAGAGCACCTCGGCGTCGTTCAGCTGGTTCCTGAGCGACTCGTTGCGTTTTTCCGATGCTTCGGTCTCCTTGCGCGCGTCGGCAACCATGCCGTTGGCCTCCTCGAAGAGCGCCGATGTCAAGTTCTCGAGCTCCTGCTCCATCTCCTTCCGCGACTTTTCAGCCGCTGCACGCTTGGCCTGCTCCCTTTCCAGAGCCTGGATGGCTTTCTCCTTTTCCTTCATCATCTCGGATCGCTCGTTCCGAGCCGCGTCAAGTTCTTTGTACAATTGCGCCTTGATCTTTTCCACCTCTTCCTTGCGCACGAGCGAACCGACGCGGATGGCTTCTTCATGCTGTTTTTTTGCCGCCTCGAGCTCGGCAATGACCCGTCTCGCCCGTTCGAGCTCCTCCCGAGCCGAGTGCAGCTGGTCGTCCAGGCTCGTCTGGAAGTTGATGGCTTTCACCAGTTTGGCGCTCAGCATAGCGATCTCGTCGTTTAGGTCGGGATGGTGCCCCGAGGTGGCGGAATCCGACCGCGACAGCGGCGTTGAGGGCGTGGTGCTGCGCGGGTTTGGCAATGTGTTCATGCCTTCACTATCCGACCGAAAGAGATGTTGGGGCACACTGGGAGGAGGAGCCACAGCAGCCATCTTGTCGAGCGCAGAGACGGAGGAAGACGACTTGAGAGGCTTGGTCGTCCCTTCGTCGCGCGTCTGGACGGCGCCCGTCGACGCTCTTATAAGTTGCTGAGCGCTTTTGGGACGCGGCAGGCCACTGGCGTCACCGAGGGCGCAAGCGAACAGGCTAGCGCAAATGTTAACCAGGCAGGAAGGAAAACAAAAGGGACGGGAAAGGCAAAGGGCAAATAAAAAATTGGCGATCAGTCGCACTGCATGGTTCGAAGATCGACAATAAAAGGCTTGCAGAAGAGCAAATACAATGGTGACAGCTTTCTTGCAGGACGAAAGGACGGGTTGAAGGATGGCTCGAAAAGTGATCACTCACGACTGATCAGCCAGCGTTGCGGATGAAGGGGCTCCACCTGGCCCCGGTCGCGGAGTACGGCGGGATTATCAGAGTGAGCTCGGAATCACTGGAGCGGTGCAGCCGTGAGGGACAGACAGCAAGCAACAAAACGAGCTCGCTGCAGGCGTGCACAGTGGAGGCGCAACAAGGAGGAAGAGATACTTCCGAGGCGGCGTCAGATCATTGCAAGGACGCACGAGGACCCCTGCAAAAAGTAAGTGGGAAGCAGACAGGCAAACAGCCTTTTTCGAGGCGATGCGTAAGTGTGTGTTTGTATGTTGGGTTGTACGTGCGTGCGTGCGTGCGTCGAGCGTAGACGGGAGTCAGCGTCCGTGTCTCTGTAGTGCAGGAGTGCGAGCGTTTCTGGCGTATGCGGAGGGTTGCACCAGCCAGGCGGAGCGATGAGGATGAGGAAAGAAAAGGTAGAAGGAAGACGGGAAAAGGACGCAGAGAGGGAAGACGAGGTGGAGGAGGAGGAGATGCCGGCTGGAAAGACGCGGCGAGACGAAGTCGGGAAGCGAGGATGCTAGGCCGTGCAGCGGGTGGGCAAGTTTAAGGCGTGAGCGAGGATGCAGCAGAGCGGTCGAGTGGTGGCGAGTGGGCAGGCGAGGGAGTTTGTGACGTTTGCTGGCACACACATGACCGACGCAGAGGGCGAGCGTTAGCAGGAACGGGCGGTCGTTGGCATGGAAAGGCGCATCACGCTTCTCTTGCTTGCCGGCTGTGCTGGGCGCCAGCCGCAGCTCCAGCAGCGGGAACAGCAGGCCGCGGCCTGGCGCAGAGCCCACGTTGTTCGTCCAGGCCCGCAGGCAACCCGCCCGCCCAGGTGCAGTCCACAGGCCGCTAGCAACGAGCAGCCCACCGCCGACGTTCCCTTGGGCCCCCCGGTGATCGTCGCTGTTTGTGCCTGGCCTTGGCTCAACCCTCCCGCCGGGGCCCTGCACCGCAGCGATTGCCTCAACCGCGTCGACTGCCACTACCAATGTCCACGGTGCCGCGACCAAAACCACCACCACAAGCGTACCACTACTGCAGCGCCCTGCTGCTGCTGCGCTGCTCGTGCCACTCGATTCCGAACCGCTCGCTGGCAGCTTCGCTCCGCACCGCTCCGCATGTCAGACCAAAGAAACCTGCCCAAACCGGACGCAAACTCTGTTCGGTCGCACGTGCTCGGCGACAAGCCCGAGCCACACATACACACCGGGCCTGGAACTCTCTCCCTTCTCTCCCCACGTGTGCGTGTCTGTCCTTTCGTGTCTGGTGCTCGGTTACGCCGACGTAGTTGCATGCACTTTGTTTCTTTCTTTTTAAAATTTCCCTCCCATCTTTACTTTTGGCACCCTGTCCAGGCCCACGTCTTCGCTCCAATAATTGCGTTGGGTGAACCGCCCTGTCACGCTGATTCGATACGCCGCCGACTCGGCCGCTTGACTTTTCTTGCTCGATTTTGTCCTTCACCCCGTTCTCATCTGCATCAGCGCCCAGGCCCCTCAGCCTTCTCCGCCGTCCTCCACCCAAGAAACACGCCGTGAGAACATATGACGTGTCTCTCTTACCACTTTCTCTCTCTCTCTCTCTCTCCGACCCTGCATGTACAACAGAACGGAATCATCCCGCCGGCCGCCAAAATCTGAGCCCTGTCCCGTCCTTTCTCCGCTCGTCGTGCACATCAGATTCATCTAGTCCTAATTGACCTGCGTTCCACCAGCGATCGATATATTACCTCCTGCACAGAAGCCAAAACAATTCATTTGAAACGGCTTTATTTGTTTATAATGGCATAGTTTTGTGCTCGCCATAGATCGTGTTCTTGCCCCCCGGACCATAGCCACAGCTGGGCGCTTCGCGCGTCCATGCAAGCGACGATCCGACCGCTGGGTCTACTCGCCAAGGGATCTGCCCTACGACGCACTACACAGAGCCCCCGGACGGTAATCAGCGCCATACGCGACGTCCCCAGCTGCGAGCCATTTTGGTTTCTTCTCGTGACGATGGCTGAGAACCTCTCCAACAAATGCTTTCGCCTGCACAAGCACACCGCATGCTTTTGAAAATAGAAACACACCACCAAAAAGGAGTCCAAACACAATCTCGCCTGCAAACCGCAGCTTTGACTGTGATTCAGGAAAGGGCGGCGCGGCAAATCAGAGAGCGTGGCGAGTCGCAAGGCCAACTCTCCTCCTTTTTCTCTTTCCTTTTTCTTCGCTTCACTCCTCCTCCCCCTTTTATTTCTTTTGTTTTGGTTCTTTTTGGTTAATCGTGAAGACATACGTCCAGCTGGTACGAAACGCCTGCGTCAAGCTGCGCCCGGAAGCGTGTCGCCCAAAAATGACAGCCAGCCTACCACTCAGGGGTGGTTGTGAGCGCTCCATTCTCGTGACTGCGCTACATTTCCCGTCCTCGTGGCTGGCCTTTTTCGATCTTCTTCCAGGCCCTCTTCAAGCGGAACTACTGTGTTGTCAAATGAGGCTCTGAACGTTATATGCAAATCTTCGTGGTTCGTGGTGTCGTGAATTAAAATGCACACGCATCAACACGCACTTCTTTACATTGACAGTTACATCACATAGTTCGCTTGTAAACGGGAAAGGAAACAGAAGAGTGACCTCTCCTTTTCTCGGTCGAGAAAACTCCACGCAGATGCGGCTGGTGTGAAAATGGAACCACTGTATGCACGACCTCGTTCGGCCATCTTGTGCAGTCGCTTTGGTGTCCATACTGACGTCCGCCGGGTTTCCACACTACATATATACACATGTACAAGAACGCGAATTGAGAAAGGACACTTGAGTGTCTTTGTTCGACCAGAAACCTCAAAGATTCACACCGCTGAACGAGAGCCCTTAGTCTCCGCTCGTCTCCCCCGCCACCTCCAAGGCACATCCAAAGGCGAACCGTCTTGACTTCACACGTCATTGAGCAGGTCGTCCAGGTCGTCGTCGTCCCAGCCGCCCTTCCTCCTGTTCACCGTGACCTTGCCCTGCTCCTGGCTCGCTTCGTGCTCCGACAGCTGGCCGAGCATGTCCTTGAGCTGGGCCTCCGACACCTTGGCGCGCAGCTGTCCGCTCCGAGCGAGCATGATCAGCCTGTTCTCCACGTCCGTTGCACGCGACGCCTTCACGAGCCGGATGCGGCCCAGCCGGTCCATTGCGTCCGGCTCAAGGATCTGGTTGAGGATGTTGGCGCGGGCTTCCGCCTCGCGGGCCCTGCATTCATGCCGTCAGATGCGTCCTTTCTCCGATATTTTATCTGCTGTCTTGTGGGGAAAGCATGTAGACGTATATATATATATATATATATATATATATGTGTGTATGTGTATGTGTGTGTGTGTGTGTGTGTGTGTGTGTGTGTGTGTGTGTGTATACGTTGGAAAAAGACACAGATCGTGTGTGAGCGAGTGAGTGTGTGTTTGCGTGTGCGTGTAGGTACGTATATGTGCATGTGCAAGAGCACGTGTGCAATGGACGGCTATGTACGTGAATGACGTGGGTGCGGGTGGTCGTTACTTTTGCTGCTCTTCGCCGTCTTGCGCGCTACCCGGTCCGCCGCCGCCGCCGACGGCCTGCTGCTGCTGCAGCTGCGCAAGACGCGCCTTTCGTATCTGTACGAACAAAGGAAAACCTCCACGTCAGCCCGCTGCGAAACACAATACGACGAAGCACCTGAAAAAAAAATAAAGGAGCGTACTTCTTCAAGGTCCGCGTCCGCCATTCGGTCGTCGAAAGTCTTTCGTCGTTTGGAGCGGTGGCGGAGATTGTGAGCTTCTGAACGGAGCGCTTCCGCTGCGAGAGTGAAGTTGCGGGGTTCCGCTTCTTGCTGTAGCTGTGGTACGGTATAAAGTTTTTGTACAGTTGAATTTCTTTGACTGAGCCCTGGCCTTTTGCACGGGAAAAGGTGGGGTGGAGGGGTAAAGCTCAGGAAAAGCTCAGGTGAAGGAAGCGGGCGCCGTGGGACGTGCAGGCTCGCCGTGTGGGCATCCCAGGCAAAATCATTTGTCTCTTCACCCTTCTGTTAGGCCGCAAATCGTCCCGCACACGGACAATACATACTCACACACACACGCGGGCACACGCCCACTGTTCGTCGACCGTCGACTTCGCACGAGGAAAGCCAAGAGCGGTTGCGTTGTCGACTCCACAATGGCCACAACAACCACGGGCACGGCTTCCAACGAGGTCGAACGCCCAAGTCGGACGGCCGAGGATCTAGTGCAGAGTCTGGACGACCTGTTCGAGCGCTACCTGGACGTCCTGGACCGCTATCAGAAAGCCCGTCAGGACCTGTCACGCCACTTTGCGGCGGGCTATCTGTCCCTTGCCCAGGCGAACTTCCTGAACAAAGGGCGCCGGTACGGACAAGACTACTACGACGAGCGGATGCAGGCCCAGCGCGTGGTGCGAGTCTCTACTTCCGGAGGGGGCGGCGATGTGTATGAGTTCACTTGTGTGAAGCGGGAATCTGCGCCAGTGGAGACTCCTGCGGATGCCGGCGAAGACGACGGCGACGACGCCAAAAAGAACGAGACGAAGCCTGCTTCGAAGGATCCTCTCCAGTGGTTTGGAATTTTGGTGGCGCAGCCGCTCCGTGCGGCCCAGGCATCCTTCACGACCGCCGTCGAGGGCTCCGTACCAGAATTAGTCACATTGCAGGTTCAGCTGCGAAACCTCGAGATAGAGATCGGGCGCACCAGAAAGATGCTCAAGAAACTAGAAAAAGTATGATTACGGCAACTACGCTATACTTCCGGATGATCTGTTTCCGACGAGGAATATCACTTCGATCTCCAGTGACATCTGACGCTTCCTCAAGAATTCATCGTTAGCGACATATGATTAGGTCTGTTGTCCCGTCTTATCCGCACTCTCCACTCAACAGCTGAATTTACACACGCTCCCCGGCATCTTCTCTACCGTTGACTCCGCGTCTTGATGGAAGTCCCCTATTTGGCGAGTTGGGACGTGTCGCATCGGCTCCGGGGTTTGCTGTCTCGTACTCGAGCATTTTGATGAATCTATAAAAGAGGACGGAGACGACGGCTCCAAGGAACGGCCCAAGCCAATAGATCCAGTGTGTGCTTGCGAATTTGCCCACTACAACATCTGGTCCAAAGGAACGCGCTGGATTGAGCGATCCACCGGTGAAGAGGACAGCGGCCAATTCACAGACGAAGAGACACAGTCCGATTCCAACAGGGGCGAGAAATGTGCCTTTGTGCTTCTCTGCGGCTAGCATGAATCTGTCTGTGATCAACACTTTTGTTCATATTTGCTAAACGTTGGCTTTTTCATCTAACATGGTGAATATCAAGAGCGCGGTGCAAAACATCTCGATAAATAAGCCACGCACTACTGAGGTTTTCGGCGCGACACTTAACGTTGTCCGGACAAGTAGGGGTCCGGGAAACAAGCCAGAAACGAGGGCAGCAGCAGCGATAGCCCCCAGAATCTGCGCGATAATGGCAACGGTCATTCTAAGGAAACCGATCGCACCGATCAAAGCCAAACCCAAGCTGACCTAGGCAATGAAACCATCAGTTATCAAAGAATATCGGAAAAAGGAAAGAGAAAAGTTAGAAGACTACCGCTGGATTGAACAGGCCACCGCTGATGCGGAAGAAAACCCAGACATTGACCGTCAAACTGAAGCCAAACGACAGCGAGATGTAGAGCAGGATGGATATATCTGGTTTCATGTTGAGATTTAACACGGAGACCATGTTCGCAACTTGAGTGCCGGCAAAGGCGAAGAAGAGGAATAAGAATGTACCGACAAATTCCCCGAGAAAGGCAACAACCTCATTTCGAGTCCTTGGCGATAGGTGGTGAGCAGCTGGAAGTGTTTTTGGTGCTGGAGTGTCCGACTTCTGTCTATTTGTAAAAGGAAGGGCAACTGCAGGATTGTCCGCTGGCTCAATGTTGTTCATTTCGATTGCTGATTCGAAGCTCTTGAATAGCCACCGATTGTGAGAGCTGGCTTGAGTTTGAGGCAAAGCCTTGACTGTTTACCTTCGGAACTAACAGGTACTCTGTCTTAGGATGCCAAGGGATTGTATTGAGACTATGATGAGGATCAGTAAAGGTTCAAGCAAACTCTGTAGTTGTGATGTAGAAACCGTATTTAAACTCAGGTATTTGACGTTGCGGCCGAGAGCTTGGAGGTTTGTTGATACCAGAACGCAGACAAGGGCTAAGATGAGGAGTCTCGACGTACTCAGAACTAGACTGCTTCGCAGGGTAAGATCGACTTGTCTGGAGACTTGTCGAAAGCTCAACTTGGTCACTGACGCGGAAACAACGGCTTACCGTTCTACGCAACAGGAACTTAAGTTCCACCGTGCCCAAGCAAGTGCGGAGATTACTCAAAATAATTCCAACTGCAATATAATCAAATCTCCATTAGAGAATCTATCCATAGTCGCGGGGGCGGATAGCACCCTTTGCTATCACCACCTCTTTTGCTCAACCATGGTCTTCGAAAGCTCGTGTACGAACTGCAAATAATAGAGCCTCTTGAGCATACGTTTATCTTCTTTGCGCACAAGAACGGCGACGTCCGATTCCAGTCAAGACAGACGGCTCGGCCTCTCCTTATACTTTTCATGACAGACATAATTGCTCCCGAGATGGCAATGCCGTGGGAAGGCTACCAGCATCCCCCCTTTGACGAAGATCGATTTAACAGGCTTGTGCAAGCCTTCAACGCTATACCCAACACTCCCGATGCGCGCCTCAAAAGAGACATTTGGCACCGATTGAATGCGCTCAACAGGAAAAAGCTGGACAGAATGGAGAGGGAAAATAGGCGGTATGAAAGAATACTACGCGAGCGAGAGATGCGGGCAGAACGTATCCGGGCTCGAGATGAGCGCGCTGCAGAGCTACGGTGCGATCCTGAAGAATTACCGCTCTTTGTGACTACGCATGTGCCGATTTCGATATGGTGGAGGGGCAAACGGAAGCAGTGGATCTTGTTCTATCGCAAACATATCATCCCCATCATCAACAAACTCTTCCGCGATTTGAGCTTCCTGGTCTGGCTTCTGCAGATTGTGCAATTCGAGAGTAGAGGACAGAAGTTCAGCCATCAGCTGGCTGTCGTCATGCCTTGAAACCCTACATCCTGTTGTACTCGTGCATAGGGCGTTTTGAAATATAACAATACAGCACCTATTATTTCCATAGTGTAGGAAGGCACCTTTGCGAAAACCACGTGACCATGAATACGTCGAATGAGTGCAAGGGCATTGGAAATTCACTCTAGATTCTCAGAGAGGTTGCATGATTAATCTTATTTACTTATTGCTGGTGAAATGCAGCTGCTGCTAAGAGTCAAGAGCTGAAAGAACCAAAATAGGTGCCAGGCAGGACGATCAGTCATCTTCAGCTTTACAAAGCTCTTGCAGCTCGGGGTCAAGCTACCACCACTCATCAACCTCATGCAAACTCCGGAAGGACCGTGTATACAGCCATCGTATACCATCCACGTTCGTCCATTTGTAATGTTAAATATGAGAATCCAGTTTCCAGGCCAGCGCCTCACATGAAGACATATTTTGCTCGCTGCAGGCGGCACCTCGGCCATGGTCCGAAGTTGGACGAGCGGGGACTGCGCGGCGAGTGCAAACACTGAAGATGTTGCACAGAAAAACCCACGACAGGACGTAAGACTACTGCTAATCAAGGGGATAAATGGCCACACATGGACAAGAAACACACATAATTTTCAGCCTCAGGGACTAGAAGAAAATACCCTTGGCGTTCCTGAAGCACGTGGAATGATGCAATCCGGGATCAGCAGCCTGAGGCAAAAACTGAGGTTTCGATAAACAGGTTTGGGACGGCTTTCGCCCTAGGTAAAAGAGCATGGACACGCGTTGGCAAATATCATCGCACAAAAAAGACGGTCAAGCCGCAGCTAGATAAAGAAGATACGACAATTAGTGAGCCTGCGGCATTCTGCCGTTCGATTTCTAAGATGGTTCTATTGGTAGGCGCGCAGGACTCCCCTTGCTGGAGGGCTATTGCGTGCTGGAAAGGAACGAGGTCGGACCGGAGCTAGCTGTGCGTGCGATGGCGTGCTTGCAGTCGGGTATCCAGCACAGAATTTTGATTTCAAACGAGGAGGCTACGGGGTTTTACCAGACAGTGGCGCCATCATATTCGCCTTTTCCTCCTTTCCAACACATCCAATCCTCTCTCTTCCTTAAATTCTTCACTGTCCGTTACAGGTGCTCTGTGCTTCTTGCTTGCATCAAAAGCATTCTAGATCTCTACGTGCCTGAACAGCCTGAGACTCTCCCTGCCGCGTTTTACTCCATTTGGTTCAGAAAACAGAATTAGTCCTACGGAGCGTGACGAACCTGTATCATCATGTCTTCTCCTGCGCTCGAGAGATCAGCCTCACGCGAGGATATCGAGTCTGGCTATGCCTCTGCCAGCTCAGAGAACGGTGGCTTGACTGATGTCTATTTCACCAAGCCTCACCTGAAATTCCTTAACAAGCAACTGAACCAGCTTGAGCCAGAAGGTATGTACACTATTCCGTCCATCCAGAGAGGGAGCATGTTCTCATCTGTCCAGATATTCTCAAATGGTGTGTCACCTCGCTGCCAAATCTGTTCCAGACCACGGCCTTCGGTCTCACTGGTCTCGTCACCCTTGATATGTTGTCAAAGCTCGACACACCTATCAAGCCCAATGTTGATATGATCTTCCTTGACACTTTGTACCACTTCCCTGAGACCTTGTCGTTAGTCGAGCGCATCAAGGAGCGTTATCCTAACATCAAGCTTCATGTCTACAAGCCAGAGGGTGCAGAGACTACCGCAGAGTTCGAGGCCAAGTATGGCGAGCGTCTGTGGGAATCCAACGAAGAATACTATGACTGGGTCGCCAAGGTTGAACCTGCCCAACGCGCCAACACCGAACTCAACGTCAAGGCGCTTCTCACTGGTAGGAGAAGAAGCCAAGGCGGCAAGCGAGGCGATCTTGATATCATTGAAGTCACCGAAGAAGGCATCATCAAGATCAACCCGCTTGCCAACTGGTCCTTCAAGCAGGTCAAAGATTACATTGACCAGCACAATGTTCCCTACAATGAGCTCTTGGATCGAGGCTACAAGAGTGTAGGTGACTGGCACTCTACACAGCCTGTGAAGGCCGGCGAAGATGAGCGGGCTGGGCGATGGGCTGGTCGTCAAAAGACCGAGTGTGGTATTCACAACAAGAAATCAAGATACGCGCAGTTCCTCATGGAGCAAGAAGCTAAAAGACAACAGGAGGAATTGAGCAAAGCTTTGGAAGCGGTAGAGGTCAAGGCATAGCGTAGGGTCGTCAATATTGGACATGCATTTGACGAGAAAACGAGTGTGATGAGATGAATATTTGTAGCATATTAGCATTGGAGTTTTTGGGGATTGATACCAAGGAAGAAATTCAAAGATACAGCCATGTAAGCTATTGCTTGATAAAGAGCGGTTGTAAACCGACAAATACAAAAATACTGTAGAGTAACCACCATCCTCATCGAAGTCAGGATGAGACAGCTGTCAGAGACAAATATGGTTTCTTCTATTTTCAATTGATTAGTATTTGTTCGAAGTGAATGTGGATGTTGCCGGAGTCGTGCCCGCTACACCAGGCTTCTGCGGTGATGTCGCCATCTGCATCTTTGCCAATCACGCAATTTCAGGGTGACATAACCGACCCTCGGCGGCTCAGAAATTTCCACTAAATGCGTCGCGGGCGGGCCTTTTGGAACCCATACGTCGGATCTTGGATTAGTTTAAGTAACGCCAAAAAAAAATCTCGCGACGTCAAGTGTGAGTTTCTCTTTCTCAAATCCCGCTCCTCCCACCCGTGCCCGTGTGTCCTGCGAAGCAAGCTCCTTTGCAAGCTCAGTATTGCAGGCCAAACACGGCATCAGGATCTTCCAAGCCCTCCTAAAGCTGAAGAGCACTACGGCGGCGAATTAATTTTGCCACCTTGATCGACAACGACCCTCAACGTATTTGTTCTCGAAGCAGAGCCGCGTCTACTTTGACAAAGATCCTTCACTTCGAACCAATATGGCGAATCCACCACACGGTACACGACTCTGAGTGCGAGAGGGACGGGCTTGGACTAACAGACGTTCACAGGAGGTCAACTTAAGGACCTGATTGCACGCGACGCGCCGCGAAGAGCCGAGCTTGAAGCAGAGGCGGAAACCCTTCCAGCCATTGTCCTGACCGAGAGACAGCTGTGCGATCTGGAGCTGATCCTCAATGGCGGTTTCTCACCACTCGAGGGTGAGTCATTTTCTCGTTACACGAATTCGCTGAATTTGCGGTTTGCTTTGGTGGACGTTTGTCGTCAACTTGCACATGCATGATGGCGGGGTGAAGCAATGCAGGTGAACGGGTGGGGCTCACTCATCACTGTGGCTTTCTGGCCTTGCCCTTCGGCCTTTCGACATAAGGGCTCCCTTTTCCCAGACTTTCGCTTTTCCACACGGTCAGAGGTGCACGAACGATGGCTAATTGAAAATGATCAGGATTCATGAACGAGAAGGACTACAATGGGTAAGCACTGGGTCTGGGTTGAGTCTAGACGAATACAGTTAACTCTGAGCACTAGAGTCGTGGAGAACAATCGTCTTGCAGATGGCAATCTCTTTTCCATGCCAATCACGCTCGATGTATCCCAAGAGACCATTGACAGTCTGGGAATCAAGCAAGGTGCTAGGATCGCGCTGAGAGATCTGCGCGACGACAGGCACCTGGCCATCTTGACGGTTGACGATGTATACCGGCCAAACAAGTAAGAGTTGTTCAAAGTGGACTGAGAGCAGAAGAACTTACAAGTATCTACAGAGAGAAGGAGGCTAAAGAAGTCTTCGGAGGCGATCCCGAGCACCCGGCAATCAAGTATTTGTTTAATACCGCGAAAGAGTTCTACGTTGGTGGCAAGCTTGAAGCTATTGACCGTCTCATGCACTACGACTATGTTGGACTGAGATGTAAGACCTTTCTTTTACTTCAAAGATGGCTTTTATTTTGACTAATGAGACGGATAGACTCACCAGCAGAACTGCGTTTGCACTTCGACAAGCTCGGCTGGTCCCGAGTTGTTGCTTTCCAGACCCGTAACCCCATGCACCGCGCGCACAGAGAACTCACCGTCAGAGCTGCTCGTGCAAGACAAGCGAATGTGCTCATCCACCCGGTTGTGGGCCTGACCAAACCCGGTGACATTGACCACTTCACGCGAGTGCGGGTCTATCAGGCGCTTCTTCCTAGATATCCTAACGGTATGGCCGTCTTGGCCTTGCTGCCACTCGCCATGCGTATGGGAGGTCCAAGAGAAGCAATTTGGCATGCCATCATTCGCAAGAACCATGGTGCAACACATTTCATCGTCGGCCGTGATCATGCTGGTCCAGGCAAGAACTCCAAAGGCGTAGACTTCTATGGTCCATATGATGCGCAGGTCGCCGTCGAGAAATACAAGGAAGAACTTGGCATCGAAGTTGTGCCCTTCCAACAAATGACGTACCTTCCAGACTCCGATGAGTACAGACCAAAGGATGAAGTGGAGCCCGGTGTCCGCACACTTGACATCTCTGGCACAGGTATATAGTGACCCAAATCGCTGAAGAGTTTTGGTAACTTACCCATCTGCAGAACTCCGTCGACGTCTGCGAACAGGCGCAAGCATTCCCGAATGGTTCTCCTATCCTGAAGTCGTCCGCGTCCTCCGCGAGTCACACCCTCCTCGAAATAAGCAAGGTTTTACAGTCTTCCTTACTGGATACCAGAACAGTGGCAAAGACGCCATCGCGCGTGCTTTGAACGTGACTCTCAACCAGCAAGGTGGTAGAAGCGTGACGCTCTTACTCGGAGAGACCGTGCGTGGGGAACTGTCCTCCGAACTTGGCTTCTCGCGCGAAGATCGGGACAAGAACATCGCTCGTATCGCTTTCGTTGCGTCTGAGCTGACGAAATCCGGCGCTGCGGTGATCGCGGCGCCGATTGCGCCATTCGATGCGGCCCGACAGCATGCAAGGGAGACCGTCGAAAAGTACGGAAGCTTCTTCTTGGTGCACGTTGCTACATCTCTCGAATACGCCGAGAAGACGGATCGAAGAGGAATCTACAAGAAGGCCAGAGCCGGCGAGATCAAAGGCTTTACTGGTGTTGACGATCCATACGAAGTTCCAACCAAGGCTGACCTGGTAGTTGACGTCGAGAAGACGAACGTGAGGACAATTGTCCATCAGATCGTGCTCATGCTCGAGGCGGAAGGCCTGCTGGATCAACTATAGAAAGATTTATGAAGAATTATAGATTCGGTCACGTCTTGAAACTTGACATTTTGCTTAGAAAGCGTGTGCATGTAATGAGCAATGATTTCTTCTTCTTAGAATAAATTTAAAAGAGGAAAGCAAGCTCAAAGCTACAAACTCCTCAAAATTTTGGATGGGTATCTAGCAATCCACTTTGGTGCGGCAAAACTCCCTTCGCCATGCGGTGTCGTTGTTCAGTACTTCGTCCAAATGTGTTTTGCTGAAGAGTAACTCCTTGGGCCTAGGACAATTTTGACATCCTCGCCTCCAACTCCTTTACCCAGCTTTCGACACCCTTGATGTTCTCCGCAAGCTCACTCTCACCGCTCTTAACCTTCTTCTCCACCTGATCAAGAGCCTCTCGCCACTGTTTGATCTCGCTTGCTTGTTCTGCCTGCCGCTTTTCTATACCGTCGAGTATGCTACCAGCCTCGGCTGCATTTGCGTGCAGTAAACGCAATGTTCGCATGCGGTCGAGAACCAAAGGCAAGGTTGGTGCGAGCGAGTCGATTGTGGCCAATGTGCCATGTAATGCGTTGATCTTCGACACATTCTCCGCATCGTCGGTCGTAGGATGGTTGATCGCATCATATTCTGACTTAGCCTTCAGAAGGTGCTCCGTCTGCTCAATCAGCTTGCGGGTCTTGCTCGACGCCGCGTCAACTGAGGCCGACGAATTCGTCAGAGTCTGTATTTGACGGTCGAGTGTAGCAAGGGTTTGCAAGATGGGCTTTTGTAAATCGCTGGATGAGCTTGACATACTCTCCCCACTCAGTCCAAGCGCATGCTCGAGGAAGGAAAGTCGGGTATCGAATTCAGCAACCTTTGCGAAAGCCTGCGCTAGTTGCGCCTGTTGTTCAAGCGAAGACGCCGTTGGGGGAGCGATGGGACCAGCTTGTGTTTGGGTTGACCGTGCTGGAACCTCAGAGGCACCAAGCTTGGATATTGTCCGTATCAAGTCTCCCGCGGGTCCTTTTCCAAAGCCGTTCCGAGACGTGTAAATTGCATCCAAAGCCTCACTAAGCTTGCTGATGCTGTCAAGAGTGTGCTCCTCCATATCGTCGTCAATTCTGTTTTCGGGAGCATCCGAAAAGAGTTCTCGATCTTCATCCTTTTCTGCTAGCTCGATCCGCGCTTCTTCGATCTCACGTTTTAGGCGAGCTAGCTTGTGGTCAAGTGTTTCTTCTTCTTCGTCGTCGCTCAGTTCGTCATATTCTCCATCATGTCCATTTGTGTATGCCTTTCTCCTTCGTCGTCGAGACGACGTCTTGTAGTATTGCCGGGAGCTGTTCAATCTGTCTGAGAAGTCCGCTTTGCGAGCATTGACCTTTGAATCCTGGAATCGTGAAAATGCACGGTCTCTATCTACTTTCGTTCTCACAACTCCAGACTCGTCATCGTCTTCATCAGCTGCTCTCCCGCCATCAGACCCCACAGAAGGTGAGCGGGCTGACGTTGCCTAGGTGTCGCTTAGCAATGCATGTCCGTCGCCGCCCCCTTAGCAGCAATTTGTTGTGCGACTCACGGGTATAGTGGAGACATCATCAGCCAAATCTGGAGTTTCGTAGACGTCGGGCGCTTGATCCTATAACTGTCAGGGAGATCTACCTTGATATCTAAATGACAGGGCAAGCATACCAAGTCTGGTAGAGCAGCATATTTCCGAGCTGCTGCCATGATTAAACTCGGGCCAAATAGATCATCAAAAATCCATCAAAATTGAATTGTAGGTGATCAGGAGACCGAACGCGTTGTAAAGCACGGAATTACGCGTCGCCGGATCGCATGTGTCGTGATGGTAGTTGAAATCAAGGGTCGTCTGTGGCCGGGCTTGGCGCGATAGAGAACGAATACTCGGTGGAAGCGTATAGCGATATTGTTCAAGGCTGACTAAATGTCAAAATTGACGAAGGAAACTGTAACGACTAGCTGGGCTTATTAGGACAAAGTCCGAGGTGCCAAGAGGTGTGTTTCGTTGACGTTGCCGTCGACGGTGATGGAGTGAGGTTCCAAAGTGGAGGGGATGTCGGACCGCCTTTGAGGGCCAGCATCTGCGTCCTCCCATTCACCAACCCATGATATGTTTTGCACATGGCTACTGCTTCTATACCTGCGATATCTGTTCTGAGGACTCATTCCCCCCCTTTTCGATGATGCGACTGAACTGATCTTGCTATTATTGCTGCGCTCTCTCCACCTGGCCGGTTTTTACGGCCGATCACACAATGGCGGACCAGTTCAATGGACTCGATAACTCATCGATTCTTTATCAAAACACAGATGATCTGCTATCTCATTCTATCCTAACTCCATTTTCGGAGCAAAAGTTTGATCTGATCGGAACAAAGGCAGATGATGCGCCATATCAGTATGAGGGCTACGATTCGCTAGGCATATACGACCATTATGATGATTCAGGACCATCTTCTGTGCATTTTGGGGATGGCATCGAGTCTTCAGAGCCTAGCGGAAACCACACAGGCTCCAACAATAACATTGTCAGTGGTGATATGCGAGCAAACGAATTGCACGACATGCCAGGCGTTGCTGGGGTGTCACTTCCCTCATCGAATTCACATGAACCGACTCTGCAACATATCCATATAAATGGAAGTCGCGCAAGTCCCTCTAAATCGAATGCACAAGAAGCGAATAGTCCACATGCCTCAAAAACCGATACGATGTCAATATCAAAGCATCACGAGAAGCCTATGCTTGATAGTATCGTAGTCCGAGGGTGAGCATTACCCCCTCTCTTTCAAGATCATCCCGTCTAAGAAATTTATAGCAGTGCTATTACCCCAGAAAGCTCCGACTCGCCTAAGCCAGTGTCGACTAGGAAGAGGAAAATATCTGATATTACACCCAAGAAGGCAACGGAAGAATTCCGGGCGAAGACATCTATTCCCGAGCATCTTACGTGGATGGAATATGCCCGTCAAGGCATATTGGCAGCGTATTCTTCGCGTCTAAACCCGTATGCTTTGCATCCTGGGGAGTACAGCTTACTACGAGAGCATATCACCCGCCCACAAGTCACGATATACCTAAACATTCGAAATGGTATTCTTCGCCTATGGCATAGAAATCCGATGGTTGGCGTTACGAGGTCAGAGGCTGCAGGCTGCTGCAAAGACTCTCGCTACTTTGGTTTGGCACAAGTTGCTTACGATTGGTTAATGCGCAATGGCTATATCAACTTTGGATGTGTCGAAATGCAAAACACCGCCCAATCAATACCTCGTCAAAAAGCAAAAGGCGGCCGAAGACGAACGATTGTTGTCATAGGGGCTGGCATGTCGGGTCTTGGTTGCGCCCGGCATCTTGAAGGGCTGATTGCTCATTATGGTGAAAAGTTCACGAGCAATGGCGAGCGGCCACCAAAAATCATTGTACTCGAAGGACGCAATCGATTAGGTGGGCGAGTCTACTCTCACCCATTTCAGAAACAGGCGCGAGGAACTCTTCCGGCAGGCTTGCGGTGCACTGTTGAAATGGGAGCTCAGATTATCACCGGTTTCGAGCACGGCAATCCAATGAATGCCATAGTACGAGGACAGCTCGGCCTTCCCTACCACGCTCTACGAGATAATTCGATACTTTACGACTACGATGGTCGTATGGTGGACAAACGTCGTGACATAATGGTCGAGCGATTGTACAACGATGTGCTGGAGCGAGCGGCGGTGTATCGCAACAAGTTGCCAACCGTACGCACAGTACAGGGTGATGAAAAATTGATACGTTTCGGGCAAGATCCTAAAGAAGCTGCAGAACATGATAGTGAGTTAATATCGTCTCTTGAGGATGCAGGCGTTGAGGTCACGGTCACGGACGGAAACCCAGTATCAACTAATAAGAGCAACGATAACGCGGCGGCTGGGGTGGTAAAAGAGGGAGGTAGGTCCTACCAGCTTGCTGGTTCTGCAGCACATCGTCCAGCTGCTGAAGCAGCTCGCATTCTTGGGTGGGATCTCCTTAAAGATGTGAATCCAAATCAAACACTGGATTTGGACTCCGTAATTAACGCTTCGCATCGTCCTACGTTAGGAGAGACAATGGACGAGGGAATACGACAGTATCAAGAAATGCTAGGGTTGACACCGCAGGATCTCAGGTTGTTCAACTGGCATCATGCAAATCTCGAATACGCCAATGCCGCCAATGTCAATCAGCTCAGTCTAGGTGGTTGGGATCAAGACATAGGTAACGAGTTCGAAGGCGAGCATACTGAGATCATTGGCGGCTACTCACAAGTCCCACGTGGGTTGTACAGACTTCCGTCGCCTCTTGACGTGCGCTTCAAACATGCTGTAAAATCAATTAAATATAGGACGTCCACTAGTTCACCAAGCAGCGCAGCAGTGGTTGTGGAATGTCGCAACGGCGAGAAAATTGAAGCCGACGAGGTTGTCTTGACTGTTCCTCTCGGTGTTCTGAAGGAAGAAGCCATCACTTTCAGTCCACCATTACCTGATTGGAAGAGCGACTGCATCAAACGCATGGGCTTTGGCTTGCTCAATAAAGTAAAACTTCCACAAACGTTTCAACGATGATACGCTGACAAAGACATAGGTCGTCCTTGTGTACGAATCCGTTTTCTGGGACGACGATCGCGACATGTTCGGACTTCTCAATACTTCAGACGATCCACTCAATCAGAAGAGCTATGCCAAAGATCGGGGTCGATTCTATCTGTTTTGGAATAGGACAAAGCAGAGCGGCCGGCCGACCTTGGTCGCTCTACTTGCAGGAACATCGGCATATTCGGCTGAAGAAACGGACAACGAAAGCCTTGTTCGAGAGGCTACAGCTCGTCTGGCAAAGATCTTCGCTCCGGTCAAAGTGCCTGAACCGTCAGAGGCCTTTGTCACGAGATGGAAACGTGATGAATTTGCTCGTGGTAGTTACTCTTACGTAGGGCCTGACACCATTGCTGGAGACTACGATGTGATGGCAAAACCAGTGGGGCCAATACATTTTGCTGGAGAGGCGACGTGCGGTACACATCCGGCCACTGTCCATGGCGCATATATATCTGGTCTCCGTGCTGCATCGGATGTAATGACTTCCCTACTTGGGCCGATCAATTTCGCAACACCCCTTGTACCCCGCGGTCCAGTCAAGGTTAAGAGCGAGCCAGCGGCGAACAGCTCGCCTTTTCCGGGAGCTAAGAAGCAAAAGGGCTACGTTGATATATGGGAGCCAATCCTTCCCCCACCAGATCCATCTGCCGAGGCAACATTAGAGAGTGAAGTAGAGGAGTACGAAGCTCGTCTCATCAGTGCCATCTTTGCAGAACTTGGAGATCGGCCAATCAAACCGGAGAAGGGAGCAGCAAACCCATACCTCATGTACCAAGACGACGAATGGTACAACATTAAGTCGCGCCTTGAGCAACAGACGGGTAGGAAGCCGACACGAAACGAGGTTAGAGTTGTTCTGGGAGCCGAGTGGCGCAACCTGCCAGAAGAGAAGAAGAAGCCATACATGGAGCGCAGCATCATCCAGCGAAATTCGCAAATGGAGAAGATGGCAGAGTATAACGAGAAGAGCAGGACTTGGGATCAAGAAGCGGCGCGTATCAGACGCGAGTTCATGCTTAAGGATCCACCCAGCCAACGTGTCAAAGAGAAACTCGAAGGTCGCAGCATCATCGAGTTTGGAGGCGGAGGGAACAGGATCGGGCGTAAGGTGACCGATCTGAAATAATGACGACAGAAGACATTGGAATGATTGTCCAAAGACGCGTCGAGTGTATTTCTTTTGGCATTTGCACAGCATATAAGCGATCCGCTCCGAAGCGTGGCGGACCGCAGATAGCATTTTATTTTCGGCAGAGTCTCATCCATCCATAGCATCGACCACGAGGCGTTTGTTATACTCGTGGAACGCTGAAGGAGAAGGGGAGGGGGAGATACTGTACACATATAAGCTGGCAGTTTGTTCGAGTCGTGTTACTAATGAAATCTAACATTCTGCAGCAGGGAAGGCACTTGCGGGAAGACGAAGTTAATCTAGCATATTAACTCGAAGACGTCATATCTTGTATTATTATTATCATCATCATCGTCATCATCCCCTTTGTATATTCTTCCTTGCTCCAGCGCAATGATGAACGGAAGAATAGTCTAAAGTACAGTAAGAATACCAAGCGCGGTGTTTCTTTTTCCAAAACAACAGTCCGTTCGAAAGACCTAGCGTAGTAACAGGAAAAAGCCGACCGATCCTTAAACAACCTCTTCGACAAGGTCGCCTCTGTAGTTCGTTCGTTTCCATTCGTCAACCCTCGCGTTAAAGCCCTTGTGCCCGTGCCAAACAGAGTCCATGCGTTGTCCCACCACAACAGCACGGTTTGTCCCGGTAGCGCACTAAGAATGGCAATGGCATGATCGATATGCTTGTGTCCTGGTTCCTTTTGGAGCCGTCTAGACCTGGCTCATAGCCGGACCCCGCCTGATGCCGCGCATGTTGACGGTGCTGCCTCCGCGGGCCTCCAGACCCGACATCACGGTCGAGGCAGCGTACGCGGCGAAGCCGAACCACAGGAATGCAGTTGACGCCTGGGCCTCATGACATCTTTTCGCGGTGTCGTGAGCGCCGTTGGTGATGGAGTTAGTGTGCGTGTAGTCCTACGCGCTGTGTCAGATTGGCTGCCCTCTTTTTTACGAAAATTTGAGATAAGACTGGTCTCAAAAAAAAAAAAGGTTGACATACGCTGTTACCGCAGCTGTGCACGCCCAGGTAGGCAGCGAGGGCAATGGCGCCGCAGAGGAAGAAGAGCGTGTTCAGAAGCTAAGAATGTCCCCGTTAGTCTACGCTTTGGACGTTCTGATGGGCAGACCAGCCGACGCCACTTACGTCTAAGCCAAGGGCGAGCATAGGGTGGAACGAGAAATCCGACTTGAGCGTGGTAGGTATCAGGTAGAAGAGGGACAGCATCGAAAACACCGTCACGAACATGGTGTAGTTGATTATCGATGGGTTTCCGGAGAAGGCGCTCGCAATCATGTTCCCCACCAAGGCCATGGTCAACCTGTGTTTGGCGTTAGCAGCGGGGTAAGACAATCAGCTCCAGGACGTCGTACAGAGTCCAGAGGAACTCGAAGCCACGCAGCGCCTGCCATCTGTTAGCCAAATCAGTCGATATTGTCGCGTTGTGGTGATGGCTGACAAGATTCACGACACGAGACATTGTGTGATGTTTTTTGATCGGCGGATCTTAGGCGTGTGCGCGGGAAGCAACGACGGTATTCGTTCTTTTTAAAAACGATCGAGAGATCGCGTCAAGGCCAGCAGGTACAATGGCACGGATGCTTGATGATGATTCGAGCAGTGTTGCAGATTGTCGAGATGAGAATTGGACGTGTGAGAGCAGGAGACGAGTTTATTGCGTCGCGAGAGCGGCAGGTCCGGTATATGACGCCAGAGGCCCGATGACGTCGGAGGGAGCCAAAGGTACTGTACTCAGCCCGGATTGCTCGGAATGACGATCGAATCACCTAATAGCCACCACGATTGCGGTTAGAGCAGAGACGAGTGCGACGCGGATCTTGGGTAATCTGAAAAGGAGGAAAATCTTTGCTTGCGGCGCAGATCGATAGCGAGAGGGAGGATTCTTTTGAATGTTGACAAAGTCGCAGAGCTTGTCCGCCGGGCTGTGTGCCGCTTAGTACCTCCTGCGGCCGCGTAACTTTCTCGCACGAGCAGTTGCTAAGCGCAACGAGCTGGCCATCCCTGCCGACGCGACGACCAATTGTCAGGCCGCATCCGAGAGAAAGCTGACCATGTCGCCGCGTCCACGCTCTGGGCTGGCCAGACATACAAGTGCCTGACGACATGTCGGCCCTGTCTTGCTGCCTTTTCCTGACGTTTCGCGCACGTTTCTTCTCGCGCCGGGCAGGGAAGGGTTCCAGATGCTGTTTCGTCGGCGTGGTACCCGACAATGCTGCCCATCTTTCACCCAATCAGTCCGCCTCTCGCTGGGCTCGCTGAACAGCAGAACACCATCTCGATCGTGCGTTGCTGCATGTCGCTGAGCTGCTGCAAGGGGGACTCCGTTCCGGGCGTGAATGGCTTGTTTCCCGCGAGGAATCGCATCTTTTTGCTGCCATTGACACGGCGCGCTGCCACCACTCCACAAGGCGGAGGATCTGGCCGGGCAATGAAGTGGTTTCCTGGTCCAGGTGGCCACATTGAGCGCCGCAGCCGGCTCTTCTGATGTCAAGACGATGTGCAAATGTAGCGAGAACACAATCCAATCCAATCCAATCCAATCCAATCCAATCCTGCGCGGTGCAGTGCAGTGCAGCGCGTGGCAAGCTTTTGACTAGGGCGCCGTATGCTGCCTGGTCTTTCGAGCCCCGTCATCTTTGCCATCATTCAAAGCCAAATCACAGGGTCACAGCACCCGGTTTGTGGCGAACAGCAGCGACATGTGAGAGTTCCAACGAAGCCTCTGGTGCCGCTTGCACAGATGATCGCCTCCCCCAAGAGTCGTAGCGTCCACTCTCGCTCTGCGTCGGCCACCGTGCAGACGCGGAACGTTGAGCCAGGCTCAGATCCATGTTGAAGATTGCGTGCATCACTAGCGCACACGACTGAGGTTGTTGTGGACCGAAAATGTCTGCAGCTAGCCAAATCCAAGGCGACCATGCTCTGGTCACACGATGGAGAAATCGCCTGTTGAGAAGGAAAGGACAGCTCAGCGGTACACGGCGCGATACGATCTCTGCGACGGTTTTCCTCTCACGATGGGCTCCCACTTCGGCATTCTGCAGCCATCGGCAAGTCCCTTAGCTTCCGCCTGTACCCAGGGAGGTGGGCGAACCTGCAGATGATACACAACGACCAGCGAGGGCCCGGACGGTTCGCTAGGCAGGCGGAACAAGGCGCAGAGAGACGCAGCGACAACCTTTCCTCATGCTAGACGGGGGGTGGACGGAGGGGCGATACACATGCTGCAAGATGCTGCAGGACATCGTGGGAGCTAGCAATCGGACGTCATGCCGCGCCGTGGGCACGGGATTTCGAAGCTGGACGCTGGGAAAACACATCTTGCAACGGAACAAAGAACGGCCCTGCGTCGAGCGGGCATCAGAGTGCGGGCGCTCGGCCGCCATCAGGATCGTCACCTGGCGCCGGATCGCAGGTCGCTCGCGAACAGAAGGTCGCCCCAGCCGTGTTGCGCTGGGTTCGCCAGACCCGCGAGCAAGCGCGTGACGGCCTGGGCCAGCCTTCCCCGGATTCGCGGCATGAGCGACGATGAGGACTGCGGGCCCCCGACGCTGCAGCAGGCCGACGAGCGGGCCCTTTTGCAGCGAGCGCGCACCGGACTGGCTTCGAGGATGACCTGCCCGGCACCAAGCCAGCTTGCCGTGCCCTGGTGTTGCAGGGCCGCCATCACGGCGCAGCCCATGTCGCCAGACGCGCCTCTCTCGCGCCCTCGCTCTCTCGCTCGCTCGCTCGCGCACGCCCTCGCCCTCGCTCACGGCGCCCGCCCGACCCGTCGTTGTCGCCGCGCAGCCAGCGGAGGGACTGTTCAGCGCTTCCGCCCATGCCGTCTCACGCGCGGGCGGAGGGACGGCCGGGCGCCCTGCCCAAAGTCCTGACAGAGAACGCCTTGCTTTCTGTGTTCTGGGCCGTTTCGAGATGATAATAGCCGTTACGAGATGCTTTCTCCGCGCACAGGACCTCGTTGCGACGAGCTCCCTCCCCTTTCGACGTTTTCGGGCTGCCGATCCAGAAAGACCTGCTGTGGCCTGTCGTGCATGGAGCCATGCGTCTACCCCACAATGGGATGTTATTAAAGCGTTCTGTCAAAGCTTGGCCTCGGTGGCGTGTTTATAACACAAAGGCTGGTGCGTGCCATGGGCGAGCGACGGCACACATTGGCTCGCTTCCCGTAGCGTTCGACCTCCGCCCGCCGGCTGTGTGAAATCTCTGTTTCTGTACGGCCCGGGAGCAGTTACGAGCGAAAGCGTCTTTTCCCTGCGCAGCATTTGGCCTCTAATACCCCGCAAATTTTCATTTCGACGGACGGCACGTGCATCTAGGCGAAGCCCCTGCTGCGTTGGCGGCATTTTGGGCATGCGATCGTCCTGCGGTTGAAGACACGGCCACTCGCCATTCATCAAGCAACGCCCGGCCGCATCGAATCGCTGCAAGGCAGAAAAAGAGGTTGCGTTGAGCGTCCCACCCATCGTCCTGTCGACCGCTGCAGTCCACCTTCGGGGCTTTTTCTTCAGTTCCTCTCGAACTTGTCAGGTAAGATCGAGCCCGCCCAAGTGCCATCGCCGCACAGCGCACGCCTCCACACGGCCGTTTCCTTAGCGCCCTGCTACGCCGACCACACACTGGCATAGCGCCAGTCCTGCCGTCGTCGCGCAAAGCCGCCCGCCCCACAGCCAGGCCTCTTCTTGGGTCGCGTCTCGTCCAGACCTGCACCTCGAGACCTCACCAGACCCCAAATCCCCCCTCCAGCTCCTCAGATCCTGGGGACCAGCGTCGCCTTCTTGGGACGACTGGCTAGACGTATAACCGTCGCTCAGGGACGGCCGGTGCTGGATCTTCTTCGTCGTCGTCGACCTTCATGTTCTCCCACACCTGCCTTTCCCTCCCGCGCGCATTCGCTCTGACACAGCACAAGGACGAACATCAGATCCTCCTCAAGAGCGCGACACATCCCACCGGGCGAACCCTCTTGACGACCATCAAGCTTTCTTGACCGACCGCTCCGCTCTTCCATGTGCGCACCATTTCCAGCCCACTTGCTTTAGATTGTCCCTGTACCGCCTTTCGAACGACGCTGCGATCTGCTGGGATAGAGTGGTTCCAAGGCGCATAACACTACTCCACATAATGTGAGTCCCCACGACCTGCTCGCCTTCTGCCCTTTGCCAGCCAACGCGCACCACCTCGGACGCGATCCCGTCTAACCCGTCATGCCTGACAGTCCTTGGACGCCTCCGTTCCGCCAAAAAAGCACGTGTATTAAGATAGATTGTTCTGTGTGAGTCGGCCAGCACCCCCGTTGACAGACACGACCGGCTGACGGGACAGACATTCATAGACCGATAGATTGCACAATTAGCCTCGTTTCCAGCTCCTGCAGGCACGTATCAAGGATCGGACGTGAAAGGTACGCAAAACCCCGCAGCGACAGGACCAGTCTCCGAGCTGTCGGCCACCGTGTATCTCGTGCTTTCTGCCTTTTCGTCCTTCCAGTTTTCCCTTTTCATTTCTATCTTCGAGTGCGCCTAGTTCTGCACCCCCGCCTCATACGCACAAACGGGGCCATCGCCATCGCACGCCGGCCGGCGCCTTTTCTGGTCACTCTCGACCGTTTCGCGCTTGTTGCCGCTTGCCAGGCGACGTGAGAATGCCAGTGACAGGAACAGCATCGAGTGGCAGCTTTGACGCACGGTTGCCCTTCTTCACCACTTGGCAAAGCCGCGCTCCTCACACTCTTCCAACATCAAACATCAGCGTCCATAGTCGTGGGTCAAGATTGTAATTTTTGCGATTTCTTAGTTACGATGCGCTACGGACTGCGAGCTCTACAAAAAGCAGGTGGTTTACTGACTTCTTGTCTAGTCTTACTTTTTCTTCCATTTCAAAGACGCTTTAAATTGCTAAGCCTCAAAAAGTCCGGAAGCCTTAGAAACGACTGCACAAGAGCTCCAGACTCTGCAACACGAGCTTGCTTTACAGGGGGGGGTCTATTCACCTCGTACGTACCTCTATATTCTCAATATCTATCGGACTTTTCCCTACCCCGTTCCAACATGCGATCGCTGTCTCTGCACGCAGTGGGGGACAATCTCCCGTCTTGTTTCTTGCTCGTCTTGAGTGTACTGCACTCGTCTCCCGAAACATGTCTCTTGGATCACTTTGAAAAACATTTGGCTAATCCAAGAACCTTAGCAAATTGCGCGAGATTTGAAAAGGACGCATCCGGGGCCCTTCTTAAAGTCACTCCTCGCGGCGCACCGTCGCAGGAATCGCGTGGACCCGTACCTGTTCGAAAGGTTTATGCGACGTCAAGGATAGTGACTCGAGCGATAGCCTCAGTCAACAGCCATAGGCCCTTGCTACGTTCTTTGCTTCTTCGCGCCTCGTACAGTCTGGGGCATAAAACAAAGACGCCTCGTGGTACGATGTGAAGATGGCTTCACCGAATGTTGCAACCGCAAGCAATGGCCAAAATGGCCATGGCCGCCCTCAGTATCCTAATCAGACATTCTTTGAGAAAAAGAGCATGACCGGACTACGAACATCGACGCCTCAATCCGAAGCCATGGAGTCTTCCGAGGATGAACGTGAGCCGTCTGCCGTCATGTCAACTTCAATGCATTCAGCGAAAAGCACATCTACCAACCCGGCGATGGCACAGCGAAGGCCATCATGGCTGAGTGAAGTTCAGCAGTCTACAGCCCAGTCCAAACCGGCAAGGAAATTTTCAGTCGGCGGCATTTCACATGCCTCGTCCGGCTCACAACCTACCACGCCATTGAATGAGAACGGCCCTTGGGAAACGTCATCCAACGCTGGCCGTCCGGGAACAGGCGGCGCAATGTGGGGCTCGCAGATCTGGCAGAAGGACAGGCCGTCCCGACTTGTTGAAGTCATGCCGTCGCCGGGAAGCTCGATTCATGAAGACTTGCGCTCGCCTACTTCGGTTGCTACCAGCGGTCTGCCTTTCGAGATCCCATTGGAGCCAAGCAGGAAAACCATCCGCTCACAATCCTATTCAGCCGGTCAACTCGAGAAGATACCGGGAATGGAACACCTTCAGCAGCAGGCTAGCTACTCGCGTATGCGCTCGGTAGTCCATCGACCAAGCCGTCCAAGCATGCTCGGTGAAGGCTCCCGAGACATGCTAGGCTCGTTGCGTGAGGATGAGGACGACACCGAAGACCTGAGCGGCTCCGACAACAGCTATGGTGTGCCTCTCCGCACAACAACAAGCTTGCAGAATCCTCCGCGAGCCCCGGCCTTCAGCGCGTTCACGAAAGCACCCAGCCCACTTCCCAACGGAGGCTACCGCATGCAGTCTCGCAGTGGCACCTTCCCTCTCTCACCTGGCTCGGATTATGCCGTTGCCGATGAGGACGCCAACGATCATTCATCGGATCTTAGTCGTGCCATGGCGCGCAACGTCGTAGGCAGCAGCAACGTCTCATCCACGACAGGCCTGACATCTCTCACCACGGCTGGTGCTCGCTCCAAATGGCAATCCCAACTGGGCTTTGGCATCGCTGAAGATGGTAGTCAAAGCCGACGCCACTCTTTTGCGGCTGAGCAGTTGCCCAGTCGTACTCGCAACAACTCGATGGCAACACCCACTTCGATGGCAGTTCCTTCAGAACTGGGGCAATCTGCACAGTATGGCGGGTACAACACTTTCAACTCTCCATTCGCAAATATGGATCAGACTCAACAGATGCCACAAGCCCTGACCCATGAGGAACGTAAGTATCACGGTTTCTCAAGTATAAACAATCGTCTTAATTATGATGAAATTTTCAAATGTCTCCCGCGTGTCGAACGTGAAGATCGCAAGCTCAAACAGAGGCAAGAGTTTGACAAATTTTATGCAGCATCCTACTTCGGTGGCGCCGAAAACATACGCCGAAACGTTCACGATGCGACGGAGACCTACAACCCCTTTGCGCTCCCGAACGTCTTCAGTCGCCCGCAACGAATTCTGTACCTGGTAGTTTTCAAATGCAGCCGCGCCGACATCTATTACATCCCCGAAAACACCGGCTTACAGGTGAAGACGGGCGACACGGTCATAGTGGAGGGCGACCGCGGTCAGGACTTGGGCACCGTAGAGGCCATCAACATCACCATGGACATGGCGAAGAAATTGAAAGAGGAGTATTTACGAAAGCAGTACAAGTGCTTGATGATGTTTTCTAGAATGTATCCACACATTGCTGCGATTGCGAATGACGACGAGCAATTTGAACAGGCGATCATCGCGTCGAAGAACATGCAGCAGAACGGTCTGCATGGAGGGCAGCCCCAGCAAGAATCCGAACCTCGGCCGAAGATGATCAAGCGAGTCGCTCGTCCGGACGAAGTCCATCTCCTTCGAGAGAAGGAGGGCAATGAGGCAAAGGCCAAGCGTGTCTGTCAAACCAAGGTCAACGATCACGGGTTGCGAATGGAGATCCTCGATGCTGAATTTCAACAGTAGGTCATTTGGAGGCTTTGGTTAGAGTAGATGAGAAACTAACGTACGCAGCGACTACCGCAAACTTACCTTCTTCTACTATGCCGAAGAGTATATCAACTTCAACGACCTCGTGACTGATCTCTTTAAAGTCTACAAGACACGTATCTGGATGTCTGCTATCAATCCTGCTTCATTCACAGGAGCTGGTAACCCTCATACTGGACAACGTGCGCAGCAATGGCCAAGACAAGGACCACATGTCAACTATATGCGACCTCAAGAACCGCAGTTTTCCTTGGATGGAGGGCGCACACAATCACCGAACGACTACGATACGCCTGCTGCGCGAGGCAATCGCGAGTATGAGCGTCTCTATGGCAATTCTGGCTATCCTGCGACCATGAGCCTGCCCGGGATGGATCGCATAGCACCTGTCCTTCATTCTGGTTAGTTTTCTTCTCTCCCCGAATACAGCCAAGCAAAATCTGACATGAAAAAGACTTCCCGCCGAACATGCCATCACCATATGGGCTGCATGGAGGTGCTGGTGCTCCTTTCAGTCCCAGTGCCAGTCAGTTCACTCCATTTGCTAACCAATATGGTAATATGGCAGCCGCATGGTCACAGATTCCCCCAGGCATGGGCCAACCCTACCAATATGCAGATCCTACCGCGAACTACTCGATTGCTCCCATTGGCGCCAACGCAAATCCACCTTTGAGCCAGCAAACGGGCAGCTTTACTCCACGAGCTTCCTTAGCTCCCGGGCAAGGGCAGGCCCAGCGCCAGAATCAAAGCCAGAATCAAAACAAAAGTCAGCCGAGTGGCAGCAATGGACATCCAACCGGTAGCGAGCAAGACTTGAGCGCAATGGAAGATCAGTTGCGACGTTTCAATTTGAACCAGCAACGCCCTCAGTGAACGAAAAATTCCACCGAAAAATAAAATTGCAATAGATTCAATACCCATAGACAAGATGCACTGAAAAGTCATCTTGGATTCGAACACACTTTTTACATCCAACACGAAAAAAATTGATCTGGAAATGAGAGAGCGATATAGACTTTTTGACGCAAATCGGCAACGACGACACGACTTGCATTCTCAGAGTTCATGCAGACGGTCACTTCTGGCGCACTGAGTGCAAGCGCTCTTTCTCGCGTTTGTTTCCTCCTTTTCCTGGTCTTCTGACGATGCATTCAAAGTAAAGGCGGGTTGCTGGCGTGACAGGTGCTTTCAATTTCATCAACGTTCCCTCATGTGAAGAACAAGCGCTAGGTCTTTCAGTTCTGTCTGACGTCGGCCACAGACGGTGCATTTCATCAGAACAGAGGTATTACTTTCATAATGTCGAAGAAAAAGAGGGGGTGATTTTTTTTTTTTTATTCGTTTCAACCTTTACTTTTGAGTGAGTCTCTTCTTTCGGTCGGTTTATCGACCAGACATCAAATTTGCTAAATCGGTGCACTTTCATACTCCTAGGTTAAAAGGTGATTGGGGCAGTTAAAAGTCTTACGACAACACTTACGTTTTTTTTTTCCCCTTTATGGGATACATAACAGTCATTAGATGTGGCAACAGCCTTTTATTTCTCGTTTGCAGGAGGTTATACTTAATCAAAATCGTTCGCTTGTTGAATATACTTCCGGCTATCAGGCAAGGCGCTGATTAGTTGTCATACTTGTCTCACAAGACTGGATCTACCCGAGTTTCTTTGGCTGCAGTGGCCTCTGCATTGTTTGAAGACGGTGGCTGTCTTTGAGAGAACAATATAGTGGCTCACTTAAGGCAGAAGAAGCCCCATAGATTATGAACAATACCAATGAGAAGACACCGGGAGCGGATATTGTGGTTTTCTTGAGAGAGTTCGGGAATGGCAGTTGAATAACACTTCTAGGAAGCTGCATAGAGACGTCATCATACTTTGTGTTAATCTTCTGGCTTCTTCATTAGAACACAGGAGTGCTGTGATGGGATCAGCCACATCATCTGCAACCGCAGCATCACATTTATCTGGTATACCAAAGGAGCTGGAGGCTTGAGGCACTGAGCTGACCAAGGCCCGGGGAAACAGTAGCACTTTTAGACGTGACGCTCGCAGAGGGGAAGATACATGAACATAATTTGGGCATGCTCCACCACCTTATACCGTACAATTGCAAATGATCCATGTCCGTAAATTGTGCCGAAGAGGAAGCAACCAAACGTTTATCGCTTGATTTTGCCGCACATGACCACATCCTGCCCAAACTGCTGCCATCTCACCTCCGCTAGACTCGTGGCGGCGCGCAGCGATCCGTCGCCGGAACGAAGCGCTGGGGGGCTCACGTTGACGCCGGCGTCGCCCAGCCAGACAGGTGCAATTGTGACTATGACCGCGTCGACAAGGTGGAGATTTTTCTCCTGAAGCAGGGCGTTGATGACCTTGGCGCCGCCTTCGACCATGACGCTGTCGACTCCTCGTCGCCCGAGCTCCGCAAGGATGGCCTGCCAGTCCATCTCGCCGTCCGTCGCAGGCACCGTGATGTACGCGCCGGAGCACCGCTCCGCGCAGCGCACCCATTCCGGGTCAAGATCGGTCGGGTCCTTGGACGTGAGGATCCACGGGCCCTTGCCCGTGCCGTGAAATGCCAGCGCCATGCACGCCGCCACCCCGTCGGGCCACCTGCCCGGGCTCCAGCGGGCCCGCGCGTCGACGACGACCGGCCGCGGCTGCCCGTCGAGACCGACGCCTGCCAGCCGGCAGTTGAGCGCCGGGTCGTCCGCCATCGCCGTGCCCGCGCCGACCAGGATCGCGTCGTGCCTCGACCGCAGGTAGTGCGTCATCGCCTTCGTCTCCGGCCCCGAAAGCGCCGTCTGCGCGCCCGGCGCGAGCGCCAGCTTGGAGTCAAGAGACTGCGCATATGTCAGCGTCACGAACGGCCGGTCGGTCCCGCCAACGCCGTCTTCGCGGTTGCCCTCCGCCGTGGGCAGGTACGGATCGATGAACGCCCGCGACGACGCCGGAAACATCAGCGCTTCTTTCGCACGAGGCCGAGCGGGAGCCCCCTGCTGCGCCATTACTTTTATATTTTCTTTTTTTTTTTTTATAAAAAAGTTCGAATTTTTCGTTTATTTTACTCTTCTTTGTTACGAAGTGGCCTCGTCCGATCCTGTTTCTCGGGGCGTGGGCATCGTCTCCGCGGCACGTTTTTCTCTCTAGTGGTAGGCGGGTGAACCGTCCAAAGATTCGACTTTGTTGTCGGTTGAACCGGCAGAACTTGTCCTATTTGTGGGTGAAGGGGAGGGCGAGGGCGTTGGGAACAAAAAACACGTGATTTTTTAGTGTGCGAAAGTGAGAGGAAGGCGTTCCGGAAAGACGGAGTGGGGGTTGGAGGGGGAAGAGTTCGCTGCAGGGTGAATACCACTACCAGCTTTCCCTAATCTCTTGCTTGCTCTTTCGCACGAATTTACATGAAGCGTTAGTAATTCGGGACTTTTTGCCGTGCACAAACGAGTTATTCTTTCTGGGCAGAACGAAAGCAGGCGCTCGAGCGTTGCTCGTTCTGTGGTACGATTAGTGGACTTAATACAGCTTTAGCTCTGAACATTTGATTGCAGGCCAATTTCATGCCGAAAGCTTCGGTTTCTATCAATACCAGTGCACTGGAGAAGGATTTGTCTTGCTAGGAAACTAACCTGAATTGATGTCATCGTTGAATACTGCTAGGATTAAAACCTAGCATGTACGTCAGTATCGCATGGCTAATGGTCTCTACTGTCTCACTTCTCATGAGCTATTTCGACCTAGAATCTACATGATTCATTACATTGCATGAAAGCAATTGTTTTGGCATCAATGAATCTGTTCAGAAGTCCGTATTTTCATGATTATTTAACTACGTTTGGTCGTTTCTGAAAGAAGGTCTGAAAAAAATATAAACGAATGGAAGTCGTGTTCAACGCACTGACCAATACAAAGGGATAGGAACGCATGGACTAGAGCTAGTTCCGGTAATGACTATTGCGCGTATCTTCTAGGAAAGTGACATAAGTCATAAATAACCCGCCTAGGTTTTCGCACTCTTCTGTTTGTTGAACTCATCGATGGCAGCGCCGGTAACCAGCACACCTTTCGGAGCATCAAGCTCCTTCAGCTTGACTTCTACAACCTATGTCTAATAAGCACAATGCTGTGTCTTGGCACCATCCAACTTACCTGGAAGCAGTCGGCACGAGCGGCACCACTTTCAATGAACTTTAAAAATTCTTCATTTGTCTTGATAGGACCGTGATATTGGGACTTGAACTGTGGCCCAAACGTCTTGGCCATATTGCTATAGTCCCATAACGCGACCTCGTTATAGGTTTCATGCTTGCCGTGGATAAGTCGTTCGACGGTATATCCGTTGTTATTAAGGATGAATCTACTCAATTCTCAGTCCATGTCTCTGCAGATCTGAATAAGCAAATGGTAGCACGTACATGATAGGCTTCAGATCATATCGGAGCATATCGGCAATGGCTTGAGCAGTGAGATGAAGCGAGCCTTCGCCAGTGACTAGAACGCCCCTCTTCCACTTTCCGTCACTTTCCTTAATGGCTTGACAGACACCGACGATAGAGCCAGTAGCGTACCCAATGCTTCCCCATACAGTTTGATTGAAGAAAAATGATCCACTAGGCATGAACGAATCACCCAAGCCGAAAGCACTGGTTCCGGTCTCGCCAATGATTACGTCTCCCGGCTGGAAGAATTTGCCGAGAGTAGCCCACATGAAATCTTGGGTCAATTCGCCAGTTGCGGGTAGGCTTCGCAGAGGGTAAGGATCCCACGTAACTGGGATGCTTTTCGCAAATGGTGTGGCCTTGAAATCAGCAATCATAGCCGAAAGGAGATACTTCATCTTCACCGGTACTGGCTCCCCTGAAAGCTTCGTATGAAAGCGTTGGACTTCGATGATCTTGTCTTCAGCGATGGTCATAGTGAATTCTGCGGTGTTGAAATCGCTCCCATAGCGACCAAGCCATAAAGCACAATCGGTGCCTTCAACAGCTTGCTTAATTCCTTCATGAGTGCCTGCACCAGCGTAAACACCTGCATAGTTCTTCAGTTCTTCGTTAGGCACAGATTTCCCCATAGCAGTAGTGAAGAACGGAATGTCAAGAAGAGTTTGCAATTCTTGCACTTCCTTGATACATTTGTTGCGATGTGTTACTGAAGAATCATCATTACTCGAAGATGCATTGCATGTTAAGTTAGATACTTACGACCATCAACGATAACGACAGGATAGGCAGCTTGCTCAAGGGCAGCACGAATCGAAGCGACGACTTTTTTGGTAGCATTCTCGTTGTCGGGAGGCAACGTAACGTCGAGGGGAATACTAAGGGTCGCTCCCGAAATTGGGGAATGAGATAGATCAGCCGGCACACCAATGTACACGGGCCTTGACTCGACAATCATCTTCGTGAGGACTCGATCGATTTCGGACGCTGCTGTGGTGGGATCTGTCAAGATTGTTGTAGCGGCAGAAATCTGCTTGCTCATCTCATGACAAAAGCTATGCAAAGTGAGACGAGGATGCATGAGGTCGAAGCATCAAGAGAACTCACTCAAAGGTGCCATCACCACGGGTATGATGCATAATTGCACCAGCCTTCATAGCAGACACACCAGGGTAGCCAACGATGTGCGCTACAGGCACATACTCAGCAAATTGGCCAGCAACGCCACAGTACGCGGACAGCTCCCCCGGTCCAAAAGTGGAAACAAAGGCTGCTGCACCATTAATGCGCGCGTATCCATCCGCCGCATACGAAGCTATGAGCTCGTTTGGATTGCCTCGCCACGTAAGGCCATTTCCAGCCACGAGATCAAGCAGGGCAAGTTCATAGTCTAAGTGCTTGTTTAGGAGAAGACCCGAGTATCGTAGTGGTCAAGCACCTACCGCCGGGAACGCCTAGAATTGATTGGACTCCTAGCTGCTTGAGGCGCTGGAAGAGGTAGTCCCCGAGCTTGACCAGAGACATGACGATGAAAGAGGCTGTACTTTGTCGTAACGATATAATATGCTTTTTTAATACGGAATAAAGATGGGACTTCGATAGTAAAGACATGAGATGGATTGATCGCCTATTTATATACGATGGAGGAAGGAACTACAGCTGTCACAGTGTGGTCAAGATGGCTGACCGCACCTACGATAGTGTAGTTAGTAAGCCTACTCTGCAGACATCTAGACGCAACGATCGTCGCGTCGCGTAGAGTTAACCGCTTGAAGCCGTAGCAAGAAGTAGGGTATCAACTCTGATTGAATGATCATACATGACTCTATTCCCTGTGCGGTCAACAGCGACGCTAGGCTAGGGTGGACATGAGTCTTAACCCTGCTAAGATATGGCAGGTACACTGCGGCGCAAAAGTGAAGTCCATGAATGGTGGCGATCGAATTCGGGGTAGTAGCTAAGCTTTTGATCAAAGGCTTGAATTAGCCGCAATTGCGTAGGTACTGGTCTACGGAAGCTTTGACAACGGAGTGTCCGTGTAATTGCTAGTTAGTTACTATGCATTCATGGTTGTGATTATGTCTCATGAGCTACCAAACAATATCCGCCCGGCTCCAACCTTTACAGGCTTTGTCCGAAAGGAAGAATTCCATAGAGCACGCTTCGGTCAGAAAGGATATTCGCGGATCAGAAATATCGTAAGCTTTGTTTAGAACGTCGGCATTGCGACGAGTTTTCTGTGTCTGAGGAAACCATCCACGGCTGGGACAATTAATCGGATTTTCATGCAACTGGATCAGTCATCGTAAAATTTGCTATTCGGCATGTTGTAACGGCCACGCTCCATTAGGCGACGCAAATATCCATAACGGTCGAAGATACACCGGGGCCTGAACTTAGATCAGATCTGGAGCCTTGATTCGGATAGGAGTACGGAGAGATTGAGACCCGAAATCGCACTTTGAGGCTGAGAACGGACCTAAAAATATCCACAATGTGTACGCGGCAATCTGGAATTTCGCTTTCGTGCGGGCAGAGGCGGTGAATTAACCATTTGGGTGCTGCACCTCGGCAATTTCATAAATCGAGTATCTGTATTAAGGTCATTTTGTTGTCGCAATGCTGGTGAAGATGACGCTGAAGTTGTTGTTGACTCGCGGCCGTAGGAAGCAAGCCGTTCCTAGCCGACGCGAATCCTGACCGAAATACAGTGAAATGCCCACGCTCTTCAGTTGAGACGGCTTGAATTCAAACAGTCCCACGAACATAACTTTCTATCATAGGAGACTCCAGGATCCCCTGGAAGCCATGTGATGATGAGATGAAATAGCTTGGAGGCAAAGAACGTCATGTTTGTCGAGGATGGATCTGTGGCCCTGCGTCGTCTGGTGGGACGGCGTCTGCTTAGAAGAGACCGTAGCCCTAACCAGGCTGACCAAGCCGAGACACCGCACCAAACGTTGACAACTCTGCGCGAGGCCGAAGAGAGTAAAAGAAAGTAGTACACGCCTCTACATTCCTCTCTTTTCTCGTTGATCGCCTTCATTCGTATTCTGGCTCCATTTCCTCGTCGAGCACTTGCTCGCACCTCTTCTAGCGCAATGACATCTTCTTCCGGTACAAGCACGCCCAACAAGCCTCCGCTCAAGATCCTCATGTTGCATGGCTACACGCAAAATGGGCCACTCTTCCGCTCCAAGACCCGGGCTTTGGAAAAGAACTTGCAGAAAGCGTTTCCACATCGTTCGGTACAGCTGTCATATCCAACCGCGCCGATCAAACTGTACAAGTCGGACATACCAAACTGGGACGACCCGAACGGCACGGCTGGCTTCGAAAATCAAGACGCTGGAGGAGAGGAGGCGCCAGATGCCTGGGGTTGGTGGAGGCGGAAAGGTGAAAAAGAGCCATACACATACGACGGCATGGAGAATGGCTTTGCGCGATGCGCTGAGGTGTTAAAGGCAGAAGGACCGTTCGATGGAGTAATAGGTTTCTCACAAGGAGGAGCCTTAGCAGGCATGCTGGCATCGGCCTTGGAGCCAGGCCGGCGAGAGGCATTTGAGAAGGCTCAGGCGCACGGCGGCATGCGCTTCCCCGAAGCTCTGGAGGAAGACACTGGATTTGTTACGGACGTGGTGCACCCTCCGTTCAAGTTCGCGGTTTCGTACTCCGGGTTTGGTGCTGGCAACAACGCATTGTATCGGGCCTTCTATGAACCCAAGATCAAAACGCCCATGCTCCACTACATAGGAACTATGGACACGGTGGTAGAAGAAAAAAGGAGTCTGAGGCTTGCTGATGCGTGTGAGGATAGGGGTAAGGAGGGGAGGATAGTATACCATCCTGGTGGACATTTTCTGCCCAGCAGTCAGAGGCAAGTTGTCGCGCCACTATTAGCATTTATCAAAGAAACAGTAGAAGGTCCGGAACAGGGCAAGAAAGAAGAGGACGCCGCAGATATGGACGTTCCCTTTTAGTTGATACCCGATCACAGCCATTGAGCATTGTGACAACAATATCGTGAAGCAAACCATCATAGACTCAAGAACATAGACAAAGATCTGGACATTATCGTTCTATCTCGTATCTGACTATTCTAGTCAATTTTTCAACATCAGCAATTCCTCCACGTCATCTTGTTCCCCATAAGACTTCTCTTGCTCGGCAGCCGACAAGTTCGTCGTAGCCAGACCCCCAACGCAGAAACAAGCAATGTTGAAAGGGAAAGGGCAACAATGCCCCGTCCAGCGAAGATATTGGGGTAGCGTACCCATCCTGGATGGTGGTAGTATGGAACGTGCATCGCTTCTGCAGCAACAAGTTTTGTCGCCGCTGGAATGTTGCCGCGACCTTCAGTCCGTCTTGGACCCTTTACCTTTGGGTAATGGAATGGGAAGTGGGAGAAATCCGTTGATGCTAGTGAGAGCAACCACGTGGGAGGCAAGTCTGCGGGTACGTTTGTCCTCGAGGTTGAGATGTCGGAGACCGTCAATGGGACTGTCAGCTGTTGATTGGAGTGAGATTGGGAATCCATAAAGCCACAGGGGGTTTCGAAGTCCAAGTCTTGATTGTGGCGGAAATTATTGTCTGCTTAAGCTGGCGTGACTAGGACTTGAACGTGTTAACAACTGCCGAAGGGGGCTTTTCTGGTATGCAGGGTAATAATCTTGTTAGAAACAGGCCCTGGGCGGAGTATTTATAATGTGTGTCTGCTCCTTGGTTATACCGTAACCCGTGTACAAGACAACTTACTGAGGCCGGAGCCAGGAATCACGTTCGTGCGATATTGGTACGGTGAAACCTAGCCGAAGAGCTGCAAGCAAACACGCTCTTGGTGACCACGAACAATCGTCGAACCGGGCCAAGGAACATGAACGAGGCAAGCAAGCTTGACCCTATCGGATTTCAGGAATGGGTATTACATTAGGCAAGTAATTTATCTGCCAGAAAGTATACTTTTCAATCTTTCGCCTGGCGATGCGATCCCTTTTCAAATGCCGACTGCTGTCCAAATCTAGCTTCAGATTCTCAAATACATTTTCAAGACAGCGATGCCTTTTTTCTTAATAGTCATACACGCGAAAGTGTATTCTGAAAACAAAGACAGACACATGCATGGATAAACCCGTCGAGCCGAACTGCGCCACGCTTGCTATAAAAGAATGTGTGGTATAATTGGTGGCATGGAAGAAGATTCGCGAAGAACTAGAGCATGAGGCCAAAGCCAACGAAAAGACCACCCACTACGGCAGCAAAACCGTAGGTTGAGGCGATGTTGTAGGCGGCTATCTTCACGGCAGAGCTGGAGTGCGAGTTGCTGCCTGAGCCACCAAACGTATCGAGGCCAGTGGAGGATGCTGTGGAGCTTGTTGCACTGGCGGTAGCTGAGGTGGACGTTACATTGACACGAGTGGGATCCTTAGCACCGCACGGGTGATCTTGTCTGCATAGATATATGAGCACTCCAGAGACAACTATGTTTTGGGTATGCAAACATACCGGCAGGCACTGGCACAAGCATTGTCTTGGCCGCAAGCAGAGACACACTGATTGTTGTACTCGGTGCAGATGAAGTACGGGATCGTTTGCGAGTACTCGCTGGCGTTCGGTGCCAGGCCGCTGGCGCACACGCATGAGTAGTCGAGCGTCTTAGGGTCGCAGGTGTTTGACGCGGTGGACAAGCTGCCAGTAGGGGACTGCTGGGCACACAGCTCAGGGCAAGAGGCCTGCTGGCTGACGCACCACTGGTCCCTCGTAGCAAGTGGCACCGAGTTGGGGTCGATAGTTTGGGCGCTCACGAGAGTGGCAAGGAGAGCTGCGGCAGCGAATGTGAAGCGCATATTGAAGGTCGGCAAAGATGATCTGGAGATTACAACGACGGGAGGAAGCGATAGATGAGGCTGTAGCACAAGTTAACACCATCGATTTCTTTGTCTCCGTCTGAATGGTCACCAGCCCGAGAGATCCAGTGACAGCGTTGATTCTCAGGAGCCATGGCTTATTACGGAAAACCTGGACATGGGACATACCTAAGCTGCACAAAGAGTATTATGCTCTGGACGCGATTGAGAAACGAAAGACAAGCCGCACACCAACGATCGTGCACAGCGAGATCTCTGAAACCAAGACAAGAGATGCAGCAAACGCAAAGGAGGAAGAAGAGAAGAGAATCTGTCGGCGTCTGGGGGAAGGTACAGCGCCGGCAACCGTGCGTATATGAGTGGCGGCTGAAGGCTGGCGAGATCCTCTTTCTCCCCCCCATCACAAAGGCACATCAGCCGAGCACGGACGAATCTGCATCGGCTTTCATGAAGACGGCCGCCGTGCCCTCGTTGCTACAAGGAGGAAGTCAGCTGCATGCCGTGAGCCAGGCTTTCCCTTGCACTTGATGGGAAGACGCGCTATCGTCGCAGAGAGCTTAGGGTTTTGGGCTCCGAGGATGTCGAAGGAGGACAGTCGGTGGTATTTGGGGAATCGTGCATCAGAGCGCCACATGCTTTGGTGTTGCAGGATGACCGGCGTGTGTGATTTGCCAATGGCGCCTCCGCCAGATTGTGCCGGCTAACCTGGTGGAGAAGCGCAGGCGGCGGGCGGTGGACCCGGTGTCGTCGCCAATTGTCCGCACAGTCAAGAGCGTAGCCGATCTCGTCCTAGGCCGACCAGCTGGGTTGGAGTGTGGAAAAAATAGACGGTGCATGGTCGACACAGATGCGATGCATGCAAGCATGTCGAACTGCTGCTGCTCGTCCGGCACGTACGGGCTGTCGCACAGAGCACAAAGCACCCTGCCAGAGAAAACGCTTGGGCCGACCGTTTCGTTGTTTCCAAACGGCTGATGCGCTTCGTGGGCGTTGTGCGGGACTCGAGGAGGACAAAACCGCCTCCCGCGCTCGTGGGAGACGGTGACGATGATGATGTTGAGATTCACGCTGCCCATGCTAGCGGCTTAGTTCACTGCTTGCGACCCAGAGCCGACGAAACGTCTACGTAGTCGGGCTCTGCAATCCTCCAGAGCACCAAATTCTTTTTTATTCTCTCAACCCTCCCTCTCGTGCAACGCCGTTAAAGGCAAATTCCATCCATCGAAGCTTTTCGAAACCAGTACTGGCACACCTCCCAAAAAAAGCTGGAGGGATCCCTGCTCGAGCTTGCATACCCGTTCTATCGATTTCCACAATACCACGCCGTTTCGTGAAAGCTATGCATGGAGGAACCCAACGGCTCGGCGTCGTCTCATGATGGACGATGGCTCAACCCTGCTGCACCATCAGACAAACCGGACGCTGAGGACGGAGGGATGAAGGAGAGCGACGCTCCGCTCGTCTCTCCGCCGTACTGGCAGACTCGTGCTCGGGGCGATTCCCTCCTAAGCGAGGTCGACACCAAGCGATGCTCGGGTCCGATCCGGTTGCGTGACAATACAGAGGAAGAGTCCGACTTGTCCAACGCCTGCTGGGCGCGCTCCGCACGCATCGACGATTATGTCATTGTGTCCGGGTCCGTGTCCAAAGCAGGCCTGGGCTCGTATGTGGTCTGGAACTGCACAGTGGAGACTTTGAACGTACGTTACACCCGGCCCGTATGAGTCGCTTATTTCTGGAATCTGTCCATCATGGATGATGTTCCGTCAAAACTAACGCACCTCTTTGGCCTCTGCAGGGAGGATCATTCAAAATCCGCAGGCGATACTCGGAATTTGACAGACTGCGTAACAATCTGGTCAAGACGTTCCCACACGCGGGAGCCGCGCTACCTGAGATTCCACCAAAGAGTCTTGTGCATCGATTCCAACCAAAGTTTCTGGAAAAGCGGAAGATTGGACTTGCACACTTTCTGAAGTAAGTACTCTCTGTTTGAGTTTTCGGCTCTTTTTTGGCTTCTACGTAGATCTTTACTAACTCTCGTGATACAGTTGCGTTTTGTTAAATCCTGAATTCACAGGCTCACCCGTGGTCAAGGAGTTCCTCTTTGGCTGAATGATATGCTCAACTCGTATCTGGCCAGACTGTTTCCAACGGACCATGCCTTTTGTCACACTTGCTCGTGACTGGTCTTTTGTTGGATAGAGTAGAGATTCATACGCCATCGCCTTTGAGCACCAAGCGCCAGTTCATGCCAACCGGCATCCTCAAATTGTATAGCAATAGGGTATCTCACGTAACGCGGGGTTCTGCCCCAAAGCATAACCATAATCGTAATCAAGCGTCGATTTCCCCACAGCACAAACTCACGTGGCTCGAGCAGCATTTCTCCAATACCTGCTCTCATAGTTGACGAGCATGGCGGTATCATAGTCTTCCTGTTGCCAACCCCCAAAATCCTCAAAGTCGCCTTCCTCCTCTCGCGCTTTCTGCTCCTCATCCAAGTGCTTCAAATTGAGCACCACATCGTTCCACGCCTCTTCTTGCTGTTTCCTTGCAAACGGAATCTTAGGGGTGCCATGGCCGCCATTGATGAGCAGCTTGCGCATAGCCCGCTCTGCTAGGACGCCTTCCTCGGTTGCCCGCTCACGAATCCTGCGAGGATCGTTTTCGCGTGTTGTGAAGATAGGCGTGTGCTGATAGGTGTGTTTGCTTGGTAGGTCTGGTAGATGAGCTGGCATCCATTTTTTCCTGGAGCCGGTATCCGCAAGCTGCCCTCCAAGAACGCCCTCCAGGTGCTCCACTGATGGATCGTCGTGTGCCGCTGATGCAATGGGAGGCTGTGTTATGTGTGGTGGAAGTTTCAGCTTGATATGCTCCAGCAGCTGGTGCGGGTATATATTTAAGTCGGCAAGCGCTCTGATAAAGTCTTGGGGAATGGGCTGCGTCCTTCGGCTGCTTTGCATGCTCCCACGTACGATTTGTAGGAAGTGTAGCATGTCTAGATGAAGTCAGTCAGCATGGCAAGAAAGCCAAACGTGTCTGTACTCAGAGAGCATCTCACATTCTTCCACTCTTGCTCTGAATGCTTCCAGCGCCGCCGGCTTGACGCTGTCAAAGCCCACGGCAGAAAGTGCGAGCGTGATCGAGCGCAATAGCTGCGCGTCGAAGAAGCTTTCATCTTGCGCGCCGCTCAGACATTCGACGCCGAGATCCTGTCTTATCGTCGTGGCATGGTGTACAACTGGCATATCGAGCTCGTAAGCTGTGTCTTATGGCGTAACAATTAGCACATGTCGTAATGAGTGGCAGGATCATGATGAACATTGCATGGCCATGTGGAATTTTGAGCTTTGACCATCATGCGTTCAAAGTGAACGCGTAGCCATGCGAGGCCTCCGCTGAAACTGCGATATTTGTATGCAACCAAACCTCCATGCTTGCTGGCTGCCACAACGGCTGCATTGGATTCGTCTTGCCTACGCTCAATCCAAGAATGCGGTGGTAATCTCCTCTTATCAGTGAGATAAGGCTCCCCCCCCCAATGCGGGCAGGCAGTCCTAGTTGAAGCGCGCATGGCTCCGATCACCCCGATCACTCCGAGTGACTTTGGTGACAAGTCCAGGAAAAATCTTCTCCAGATTCTGGAAACGGTACGCTTTACTAAGGGAAGGTGATGGCATATGAGATCTGACCTGGCTTTGGTTCACGCAGGTCCGAGGCAAGAAGAATCTCGTGATAGAAAAGTCACTTGCGGGACCGCTAGGACTTTTCGTCAAATTCTCAACGTTGCAAGAGTATGGAGTCGATCGCGTATTCTTTCTTGAGAATGACAACGTCGACTCGTCGCAGAAGAACGTCTTCTTTCTTGCAAGAGGAGAGAAGGCGAAGGTGGTGACGACAGTGGCTGGTATGTGACGATTCCGTTTATTCAATGCTGTCCTCATAGCCGAAGCAAAAAGAACCACCAGCAACAAGCAGATTCATTTTTATGGCTGTTCAAAGTAGGCTATGCAGAAAGTCTCATACTCTGCCTAGTCAGTCTTAAAGCCTAGATTGAGAAACGAAAATAAATGTAGCATGTTCATTAGCCTTCCTGCTTGTCCCATGAAGGATTTGTTATCAGAATCGTGCTAACATATTCCAGAACAACTCAAGCGATTAAGACACAATGGCCAAATTGAGCACGAGTTCGTGGTCATTTGGACACCTCGACGAACACTTATGTCGGATCAAATACTTGAGGACACTGGTGTTCTTGGTGAGGCGACGATTCATGAATATCCTCTGCAATTTTTGCCGCTAGCTGAGGATGTACTTTCTCTTGAATTGAATACTGCCTTTTCCGACTTATATCTCTGGAAGGATCCCAGCTCAATATATGCATCGGCAAAAGCACTTATGCAGCTGCAACAGCAGCATGGTTTATTCCCGCGCATTACTGGCAAAGGTGACAATGCAAAACGTCTTGCAGATCTCCTGTTACGAATGAGATTAGAGCTCAACGCCGGAGGTAGTGAAGGCGGCTCTCCTTTCGAACTAGCGCCTAGCCAGTCCATCGAGAGTTTAATCATTATAGACAGAGAAATCGACTTTCCAACGGTGCTCATGACACAGCTAACATACGAAGGTCTTCTCGATGAAATATTCTCGATAGACTCGAACCACGTTGAGGTTGACTCTACACTGCTGGGCAACACCCCAGCAGCTCAGCCTAGTTCATCCACCAATGCTGCTGCGCAGTCTACGAAGCGAAAGGTTCAACTGGATAACGCAGACCAACTGTACAGTACCCTTCGAGACACGAATTGCGCCGTTGTTGGACCGATGCTGAACAAGGTGGCTCGAAAGTTACAAAGTACGTATGACAGTCGAACAGCTGCAAAGACGACGTCAGAATTGCGAGAGTTCGTGGCCAAATTGCCTGGCTACCAAGCTGAGCAAGCGAGTCTGAAGTTGCACACAAGTCTCGCTGAAGAAGTCATCAAACAAACAAGATCAGACATCTTCTCAAGCTTACTCGAGGTGCAACAAAATATCGCCGCAGGCGCCGACCCTACTACACAGCATGAAATGATAGAGGAGCTTATAGCGCGAGATGTACCCCTTGAAGCTGTGCTTCGCCTTTTGTGCATCGAGTCTACATTCAGCAATGGCATACGACCACGAGATTTGGAAACTTTTAAGCGAGCAATCATTCAGGGTTATGGACACCAGCACTTACTCACTCTAGCCTCGTTGGAAAGAATGGGCCTGCTTATTCCCCGGATTGGTGGTGGACTGGTGGGCGCTGCAGCAGGGCCGCTCGGCAAGACCACAAATTACAATGCCGTACGGAAAAGCCTACATTTGATTGTGGATGAGGTTAATGAGTCTGAACCTGATGATGTAGCGTATGTGTTCAGCGGTTATGCGCCCCTGAGCGTACGTTTGGTGCAGTGTATACTCCAAAAGCAGTACATTTCATCTCTGACCACGAAACGCGGGGCCAACACACCCGTTGCTGCGGCCTCAACAGCTACGCAAGGCTGGCGGCCTTTCGAGGATGTGGTGAGGCAGATTCGCGGGGCAACTTTTGACGAGGCACAGTTGGGTGAGGAGAAAGCGGTCAGGGCAAGGCAAATATTGAATGGTTCAGGGACGGCGGATAGCGGAAAGACTGTAGTTGTATTCTTTCTGGGGGGTGTCTGCCGCGCTGAGATCTCAGCGTTACGATTTGTAGCAAAGCAGCTGAAAGAGGAAGGGAAAGGCAGGAAATTGCTGATTTGCACAACTGGTATTTTGACAGGAGACAGAGTTGTAGGCTCGGCTGTCGAGAGACGAGATTTTACGATCTAGAATTGTAATAGTAGTTTCAATATGGTATATACTAGCCACCATGGCAGAAAATATACTCGAGTCTATGCGCATACATCGAAGATGGCTAGTGCCAACGTGACAAGAACCTTCCGAATGCTAAAGATGCAAAGTATGGAATGCGTCTGCGAAAACTTTCTACAATATTGCTTAGTTAGCTAGATATCAGCTGGAAACACAAGAAATGTAGATTGAGGGAGAGTAAGTATCAGCAACCCGATTTATAAGCATCGACAGACGAAGCATTTCGCCAGCGCATCAAGCAGGACACATATGACGATGCGGGCCGCGAGCTGCCAGCGTAGAGGCTTCATCCATACCTTTTCCGGCTCTTCCTATTACGAAGTTGAAGGGTGTTTGCAACAATGCATCTCATCATGTATAAAGCAAGCAGGGGAGAAAACAATTGACACGTACCTCAGTACAATCCGCGGAATCTCTCTGATGGACTGTGTACATGGACGAAGCAACAGAGGAAGAGCGAGAGAAGTGAGCTCGTTTGGTCGGGATGAAGACATTGTTCACACGCGTGCCGATCCAAGCGTGTCATGCTGGAGTCCCCATGATGGTCGGGGATGATTACTTTCGAGGACAAACGTTTGGCGAGACTTTTTTCTTTCAATGAAGAAAGTTCTTGTGCTTTGCTGGTTTGGTACGGCGGTGTGTTCAGGCAATATACGAGGGAGCGTGTGCGCCGTGCGTCGTTTTGGCAGGACGCATTTTGCAGCATCGAGAACAGCTCGCAAGATGTTCGCAAAATTCGTGAAATGCTGGGATGTTTCTAAACGCTCTATGACGTCTTAATTTTAGCTTGTAATCCATTCAGAAGTTTGTAGCTGTGATCCACTTGGCCCAAAGCTGCTAGCAATGACGCCACGGGATATGTAGCGTTGTACATGCTTTGTACCAATGTCATCTAACTGTTGTAGTCACCGCAGTATGAATCGCCTTTTCGAGAAATGCTAACATGGATTTTGAAAACATAATGAGTACCAATTTGGTGTATCTCCTTGACAAGATTTGTCTGTGGATAAGATGAAGAAGCCGACGCAAGGATGAACGAACCGGGAAAGATAGTCATAAGCGCGAGTCGTTCATATACATTTTGAGCTCAAATCCACTCAAGCGTTCGTTAACAGATTTTGTATTTCAACCTCTCTACGTACCGAAACGCAAAGCTAAATAAGCGCTACTCCCAACGAAAGAGATGGAGAATTGAGTCAAGACATAAGGCTGAAAGGCTGTAATAACCTGATCAGGCTAGTTACTAACTCACGTTCTGGCCCCACGTCATACTCGACCTTGATGAGTGTCGTACGATGCATTGCATGGATTGATGCATTTATACAAAGTCTACAACCAATAAACTCCATCAATACCTTTAAGACATCAAGATGACTTCCGATGATCAGCACTTCCTTGATATCGTATGCAAATCTGACTTCGCGCACCTTCAATATGCTTGTCTACTAATGCTTCATAGCTCAGCAGCGTTTCCAAGGACATCCGGAAGTTCAGCGCGAATGCCTTTGATGCTGCCGACAGACAGATAGATGCCGTCGCATCATCTATAAAAGGCGCACTCGATTCAAAATCATGGCTGCCGCAGTCAATGAGACCCGAACCGCCGCCAACGAAACTTGCTCCTACCGCCGGCTACTGGGATAGAGTTGTCGACTGGATATCAAAGCACAAGGCCATTACCGCCGCTGCCATAGCTTTCGTTGGGACCGGAGGTGCTCTCATATACTACCAGAGCAATGTGCACAGTAGGAGGCGGAGGGCAAAGCGAGCGTCTAATGGGGCGAGAAAAGAGGTGGTGGTAATCGCAGGCCCAGCGGGAAGTCCTGTGACGAAAAGTTTGATGCTGGATCTGGAGAAGAGAGGGTTTATCGTCTATGTGGTCATACATACACTGGAAGAAGAAGACATGATCAAAGCCGATGGCGCAGGGAGGACCGATATACGTCCATTCCTTATCAACATCGCAGACGTACGTGTTATGTGTTGTCTTTGATTCATGCATGCTGACATGGCGGAACAGCCGAGCGAGACACAAGAGGCAATGCAACGATTCAAAAACCTACTTCTGAGTCGCCACCATGCATTCCCAGGCGCATCGCCTCACCAGCTATCGTTCGCCGGCCTGATCGTCGCTCCAGACCTCAACTATCAGTCTGGCCCAGTAGAAACAATAGCACCTCAACTTTGGTCTGACGCCCTGAACACCAAAGTTGTGGCAACAATAACCATCGCGCAAGCCTTTTTGCCCTCCATTTGCGAATTCAAGGCTCGACTGCTGGTTCTCACGCCGAACGTCGTAGCTTCGCTCAAGCCAGCCTTTCATGGCATGGAAAGCACGATCGTAAACGCTCTAGACGGGTTCACGACAACGATGCGACGCGAACTGTCGACCCTCGGCATCTCGGTGTCGCAGATCCGTCTCGGCAATTTCGACTTCAGTCGTGACGGGGCGAGGAACCATCTCCAGACTATTTCTTCGTCGCGGACGCTGGCTTGGCCGCTCAATGCCCGTCGACTGTACGCGCAGAACTACATCAACCAGAGTCGGATAGCGGAAGGCCAAGGTCTCTTCAGTGGCGGCGAGAACGGCAGCATTGCAAAGGCTACGTCGCCGCGGGAACTTCATCACACGGTCTTCGATGCGCTAACGCAGTCGCGCCCGAAGAAGGTGTATCGAGTTGGCAGAGGTAGCTTGGCATACGATATCGTTGGCCATTGGGTACCCGGCGGACTTGTCGGGTGGGTGCTGGGCCTGCGGAAAGTAAGTCTGGAGGAAATCAATGGACCTGCAGCAGGTTCGGGGATCGAAGACAGCTTCCACTTAACCGCGCACAGTTGGGAAAAAATCGAACGCGCGCAACCGGCCATCTGAGATTGTGTTTGCCCAACATTTTGATGATCCAAATTTGATGTACTATAGCTCTGACGATATCCACTACGCTTCCGACCATTTGAATATGAGGGACAAATCCATGCACAAAGCAATAGGGATCATACTAAAATTATCGCTACCTTTTTATCCTCGCTAAGCCATAATGCAGAAAACTAAACGTTTGATAAAAGTACTACTCAAAGTCCTCAAAAGACACACCGTCGTCTGTCAGACTCGAGCTTCGTCGCAAATCCCTTATGATGCTCCTAAGTGTAGCGGTGCTGATCTTCCGCCCATGCCTTAATGCCGTCTCAAGGATCCCCTCAATCTGCGGGTCGTAAGTGTCCACGTGCTTGTCACCATTTTCTCCAGCTTTTTCGTTTGGCATTCTCGAAGGTTTGTTCCATTTCGAGGAGCGTCGAATCTGCTGCCAGATTTTTCTTGCCTCTCCCTCATCTGCCTCTGCCGACGATCTGCTGTATCGCGGATGATTCCATACGAAAACAGTGGATGTGTCTAGGCTTTTTTCGTCCTCGGTGTAGAGGGGATTCGGAACCTCCTTCAAATACTCCTCGACAGTAATGTTTTCATTGTATGTCCGTCGGCTTTTTTCAAGATAATCCGAAGACAGGAGATAATCAATGAAGGTTGGATCTCCGAGGAGTGCAATGCGATGCCTGAGCCGCCGCTTTAGAGCATCTACAAAGCCTTTTACACCCTCAGACAGCGTCTCAGATTCAACCTTCTCCAGATCAAGTAATGCCTCCGCAGGCGGCTTAGCTGCCGCTTTGCACAGTGCAAGTTGCTTCTGGACGCGTGGGTTACGTTTCAACAGAGACAAATCTTTGCGTACCTGTAAGTCAAGCTCCTCATTCGTCGTTGAGGGAAGATTCCGCGACAACCAGCAGCTTTCGCGTACTTCAAGCCGAGTGCTTTTGGGGAAGAAACTATGGTTATAGGTGATGTGTACTTCGAAAAGCTCGCTGAGATGGTTTCCAAGGGTCAATTCTAGCTCTGACATGGCGTCTACTATGGAATGATGACGTGAGCTCCCAAACTCAGAATTGGATCCAATGGAGAACCTCGGATCGAGCGGATTGATTTGAACTCGGATAGGTATCGACACCATTTGACCGGGCAAAAGGGTTTGATACGACAAACTACCGTTTATCTCTTGAATTTTGGCACCATCACTCTCATTGATGGTGATAGACAGGTTGCTTACGCTGCCAGCATTTGCTTGAGATTTCGAATACAGTATGGCGTCTGATAGTGAGTGCGAACGGTGGCTGCTACAGTCGCTGGCCAGGCAACATGTGGAGTCGATCAGCCAGCCGCTAACAGTGTTGTCCTCTTGCTCAAGATTATCATGTGAATAGGTAGAATCTCGCACATGTTTCAACTGCGTTGCCCTCGTGGTGACAAGCTGTTTTCGAACCTTATCCGAATATGGAATTAGGCTAGGATTGACCATGTGTACGCGAAAACCTTCCAATCGTTGCTGAAAACACTCGGCTATGCCGAGACAGCTTGAGGAGATTATAACGATGTCTTCTGCTATTAGAGGCACCATCTGCTCATCGTGTGATCGTATTGCGCGAAGATCCTGAACTGCTTGTATATATGCATCCTGGACGCGGAAGCTGTCTCTTGACCGTTGCGAGACCTCGTCAAGCTTCGATCGAAGTACTGGGATGCTCAATGGCACAGCTACAGAAATAGCGCAAATTTCTGTTATATTTGATGCTGACGTGCAGTACACACCCAGGTGATCGACCCCTTCTTTCAACGAGGCAGCAAGAGACATAATCTCGAGACACATTTTCTTGACGTCTTTTCGAGTTGCTAGGCGCCTGAAGATCTTAGTTGTCGTTATAGGGCTGAAAGCATGACAACTCACGAGTTATCCAAAACGATGGCAACTGCGATTGCATTGTTATCATGAGATGTGCCTGAAGAAAATTTCGGGAGCTCTACGTGGATTTGAACGACAGCCCAAAGTCTTTCATTCGAAGTCGAAGTTGCTTCATCTAACTCAGCTTTTGCAGTAACACGTAGTCGTACTGGAAGCCGGAGCGAGAGCGGCCATGGTTCATGGCCATACATCGATCCTGAGGCCGGCCATGAGACGCTTCTCTGTCTATTTTGTGGATGCACATTTGGTACTTGTTGCGTGCTTGCTGCCAGCACTGGTTCCGGAAACAAGATTTCATCAGGGAGTTCATCCAGATGATTGAGTAGCTGTTCATTTATGAGCGTTACACGCTCACCGCTGTTACCAGGGTGAAAATATGGCTCAATGGATCCATTTGTATGCCTTGCATCAATTGGCGGTACACCAGCATTGATCTTCTCAATCCATGCCTCTACGCGCTTGGTATCTTCATGAAAAAGTTCCGCACTCTGCTTTCTCTTGTGCATGGTGCCAACAACCTTTGAGATCAGTTGGCGAGCCGAATGCTTTCGCGTTTGAAGAGCAGTATGGGATGTATCGTCAGTAAGATCGCCGGAAGGACTCCTTTTTTGTGGTCTTTCACTCCTGACGGTGATTTCAGCACTGCCAAATAGTTGAACGGTTTGAGGGGATTGGTAAACGTCATACAAATTGTGTGATGAGACATCCCCAACTTGTCCCAAAGGCCCTGTATGCGTAATACTAGATGATTTGATATCGATGCTTAAGTAGTCTAGGACTTCGTCGTGCTCGACCTCGGCTATCGAAACATGAGTGGCAAGACCTCTTGATCTGTTCTTCTTTACATGCAATGAAGAACAAGAGCTATGTTTGCCCTTTCGAAGTGCTTTGAGACTTTCCTGCGCTGAACTATTGAGCAGGTGCTGCGATGAGAGGCCCTTTTTGAGTCCTAATGCAACGACTTTGAGCGAAGAGGACCGTTTGCGGGGACGTTGGACGTTTTGATCTCGCACCGAAAGCGAGACTAGAGACGGTGCCTTTGGTTCGATGGGCCAGACCTTTCCCTTTGGCTGGCGTTGGTACTGTGAGCTCATTGTTGCATAGCTCTAGACCACGTCGCGTCTGTAACTTTTCTCAGGGTCTTCAGACACTTCGGAAGCCTTCTCGCGCTGTCGTCTGAACCAACAAGAAGAAAAAATTGATTTGAGCCAATGAATAGCTCTTCCGAGATGGAGGGCAAAGTATACTGCGAAAAATGTGAGAATCACCAAGAGGAACAGAGGCACAGCAACAAGCGCAAGGGTGATCCAGTCAGAGCGGGATTGATTGTCCAGCATACTGATGATATGTCGGTGAAATAAGTTTTTATTTGCTGCGATTAGAGAACAAGCTGGAGAATTGAGTTGGTAGCAACCACATGGTCGTTGCTGCCAGCTGGTCATTTTGAGGTGGGAGTCGTGGTTGCGTTGGTAGAGCATTGCACAAAAGGAAAGGCCCGCCTACATCCTGTTATGACTTTAATATACGCGCTTTGATCTTCTGGAGAGCTTCGTCCGGCATTTCAGCGAATCGTATCTGAATCGCATCAATAAGAGTGGATATGCAGTGTGGGCTTTGACCCCGGAACCTACCACATCGTCCCCAGCGCCAGCGCTTCCGTACAACATACCCTCACTAAGCGTACTCTGCACCCCGCGCTTCACCCTCTCCTCCCAAACGCCTTCCCAGTTCCATTCACCAGGTTTCCTTGCCCGACTTGTAGAAGGCTCGGGACTGGTAGTGCGACTCTGAGTCGCACTTGAGAGTTGATCACGCCCCTTGAACGCCCTGTAAGCGTGATACGCACCCGGATTAGCAGCAGCGCTCAAGGGAATTGAGTCAAGCAATTCCTCGCTGCTGAAGGCCTTTCGCATGTATTCTAGCACGTCGTGCATAGTCACGTCAAGAAGTGGTCGCGTCGTAGTTGAGGAGCCGAATGTAGACGACGAACCGTCAGATTTTGGGGATCTAGCCAATTCCAGTGATACAGTCCGCTCGCGGCCAAACCATTGTGGAAACCCGTGTCGCAGACTGAACCCTCCGGGAGGTAATCGTTCAAAGTCGGTAGCACTGACAGTTTCTGTGTCGGAAGTGCTTGTTGTGTATGTATAAGTGGTCAACGGAGTAAGTAGCGGATGAAATATATCCGACGCAAATGTTATCAAGGGTGGTGATGAGGGGAAGGGGTTAGGGAATGAAATTTGAAAGCGAAGTACGGCACCCTTGTACGGTCCTTCATAGCACGTTAGGAACAAAGCAATGTCCGGCAACGGGGCCTACTACTACCTTCGCGAACGAAAAGAACACCGGACCATAACGAAGGATCACCTGGTGTGATGGTTACATATAGCCCCTCTGGAGAGGCATGCTTCAAACTGGCGCTGGTCGACGATGAGTTTGATGTTTGTGAGCGACAGAGACAATCTTACAATTCAAGCAGAAGGCTCTGCTTTGCTAGTGAAGGGACGTTAGTAGACATGATGGGACATGAAATCGTGGTTAAGACTGGGTGTCTTTGATGTCTACGATCAAGCAACGCTGGGAGATGAGTCGTGCTTTGAAATTTGAACCAATCAAAGCACGACTAGTTTCTAGTAGGTCTGTTCCTGGCCGTGTTTGAGAGCGCTGTAACAGAAAACGAGGAATCTCTCGATTTCGAGATGCACTTCACGGTGCATGGCAGGCTCAGTAAAGAATCACAACTGGACTTTCGATTGACGAGGCAAACCGGTATGGTTGGGGAAGGGTGTTTTCTGAGCGAGCCAATTCCGTGCCCCAAATGGCTGGAGAGAATACGGAGGTACAGAGCGTTCAACACGCACCAACTGACGTTTTGGTGAGTCAGACTTGGAAAGAGAGCCCTTCGCCTCGTGGGAAATTCTCTTGCGTTCAATCTCGCACTTTTTCATCGGGTGGCCAATCCCCGGCCCTTTCTTGGGAACGATTAGTGTGCGAGGTGTGGTCATTCTGCAAGCATATTACCGGATTGGGCGCGCGTGTTGTTTCCCATGACAACACCCGCACATCTCTCGTCTTCCCACCTCCTCCCATATCGCGACGGATACATGACCTTTTTTGGTTCAAAAGAACATCGATACGACAGCTGCTTTGTACCGCAATCATATGGACAGGTGACGACGATTCCCGCACTCGCTACGACCAGCACAACGATCTAGGACAACGGAGCACGGCTGGCTCGCGCTCAACAATGGCTGCGATTTCACCCACACCGCTTCATGCATACGGCAATGGCAGGCCTGGAAGACACCCTTCGGCGCGCTCAATAGTACGAAGAGATTCACCTTTATCGGCCTTGTCGCACTCTCAAGGTTTCTCCTCCGGTGCTGCGCCATTGCGGAGCATGGGCGTCGGCGAAGTATCAGACGACGATACTCGAGACATCCAACCACCACCGGTGTTGAGTGCACTAGGCCGCTCTGTTCTGGGCGAGTCACAACCAAGTGATGCATCACCCAAGCGGCAGGTTCGACCGCAAAGACTACGCATATCAAGGAACAATTCGGCATCAAACACTCCGGCAAAACAGGAAAGCACAACACCTGCTCCGTCGCTTCGAGTGCGGCGAGTTGGGTTAGCAGGCCCTCCAGTGAGGAGGGCGGCAAGGAGGACTCCGCAGGGAGAAGACGAGCTCCCAAATTCTCATTATGATGCTCCACCAACGCATGACCAAGAAAATCTCCCAGCATCAATACCCAGGCCCGTCGCGAAGGACTATGCGAAGCCCGATCCTGGTTCTGTCGCTAAGCTCCAAGACTCTCTCAAGAGAGTATCTATACAACGTGATGGAGAGCATGAGCCGGCACCGCTAGCGCCCAAGTCAGTCAATACGCCTCTACGGCCAGCGCCGCCGCCACCCCCACCAAAAATGTCGGTACTTGATGCAGCGACCAAGAACGCCGGTGCATCGACGACAAAAGAGAAGAAGAGACGGGCAGTCTTCAAAGTGAACGGCAAGGTTTACACGCAACTTGTTCGGCTGGGCAAGGGTGGCAGCTCAGATGTTTACCAAGTCATGGCTGAGAACAGCAAGATGTTCGCGCTCAAAATGGTTAAGCTCGAGGGGGCAGATGAGTCTGCGGTTATGGGCTACAAGGGTGAGATAAATCTTTTGCGAAAGCTGAAGAACGAGGAGCGGGTAGTACAGCTCTTTGATTATATGATTGATGAGGAAAAGCAAAGGCTCTACGTTGTATGTTGCGCTTCCCAGGTCTAAAGCCATAATATGCTAATGAATTCCACAGCTTATGGAGTCTGGCGAGACCGATCTTGCCAAAGTCCTTCGTGTCAAATTGGAAGGCGATCCCAACAGCTCCACCCATGGCAGACTTGACATACCTTTTACTCGATACTACTGGCAAGAAATGCTCAAATGTGTGCAAGCGGTCCACCGACATAATATTGTACACTCGGATCTTAAACCAGCCAACTTCGTCCTCGCTGGTGGAATGCTTAAGCTTATCGACTTTGGCATCGCGAACGCTATTGATATCGATAACACGGTCAATGTTCATCGTGACTCGCACATTGGAACACCGAATTATATGTCTCCAGAATCTTTGCAAGACAGCAGCGCCACAGAGGCTGCCAAATCAAATAGTTCAGGAAGTAATGTCCAAGTCAGTATGGGGAAGCTGATGAAATTGGGGAAGCCAAGCGATGTCTGGAGTCTCGGCTGCATTCTATACCAGATGGTGTATGGCAAGCCACCGTTTGCTCACATTCCGAACCCGATCCACAGAGTTATGGCCATCATCAACCCAAAGGTTGAAATTCAGTATCCTTCCACTGGGGTTGGCGGAGTCAAGGTACCGCCAGAACTCAAGGAGACTCTTAAGGCGTGTCTGAACCGCAACCCGGCTGCGAGACCTAAAATAGAAGATTTGCTCTCGGACTCGAATGGCTGGATGCACCCAGAGTCCAACAAAGACTTGCGGATATCTGAAGAGATGCTGCAGTATATCATCGATATTGTTGCAAAAAGGTTTAGGGCGAAGGACCAGCCGCCTCCCTCTGACCACGAGATCAAGACTTATGCCCCAAGCTTCTATGCGAAGATAAGAGAGCTTACCGAAGGTGATTGAGTCATGATCGATCCTGAGTCACTACGCGTGCTGTTTGGATAATGTGTTCTTGATCATGGCAAGCTTGCATTCTTGGAAACGCCTTGGTGCCGTTGATTTGCACTAGACCGAAAGACGAAGGTGCTATGTTACTACAGTCGCGTCTTGAAGTTCCATTCTATTACATTAGCTTTGGCGTCCGTTGGCTGATTCTTCATTCTTTGATGCAGGGCATGTGCGCATTGGGCGCTCCTCGTGCCAACTTCTGTACATATATCATGTAAAGTGTCAATTCGAATGCACGTGCTTCATGAAAGCAGCATCCACAGATTAAATAGCGCTGGTGCTATGGTCTTCCGTTGCCCTGAGTCTTTTGAGGATTTCGGAGGCGCACGCACAGCCTCACCTTTCGTCTGCAAAGCACCAAATCCATATTAGCGCATTGATTTCCATTGACGCCTAGTCACCGCATGTGTCAACAAACGCTGAAATAAATAATGAGTTGATTGCCTGTATTCTTGTAGCGTTCTTGCACCACTTTATTCCTTTCTCAAATTTAGGATCATTTTCTTCGTCTAAAACATCAGTATCAAGCCAAAGCATAGTGAGAGGTTCTTCAACAGGCACCAAGAGTTTTGGTTCATATAGTACTGTTTTTCTCATGTATATCGGGCATGACTTATTTTGAAAATAGTACTTATTCTCATTTGAACGAAAAAGCAGCAGGCCAGAAGAGTACGACTGAAGCTATCAATCATGTTCCCTGAGAGAATACCGGAAGTTGATTTAGGAAAGAGAGTGCCATTGTGGCCTCTGAGGGATTTGGAAGCAAGCGAGGATAAGCAGGCTGCTTCAGAGTACGAGTCTAGTGCTGTGAGGCATGGAGCAAGAGTAGCCGTGGAAGATCTCTACCTCGAAGATTTACTCTCAACTTCAGGTGATAAACACAGCCCGACACGGCCAACCGTCTTCGGCGAGAGGCTATCAGTGGCTCAAGCCTCAGTGCTTCAAACAGCGGAACTATTGGAGCTCCTTCTCTCATTTCTTCCCAGTGCGACGCTTTGGCAAGCACGATACGTGTGCAAGTCATGGAGAGAGCTCATCGAGACTTCGCCGATGTTACGAAGAAACCTTGGATATACCTCGACACTTCCGCCCCAGGCACCAACAAGAGAAACGGCAATTCACACAGTGTTCAAAATCAATCCAGTACTTGAATCGCTAAACCTGGTAAAGACGAACCGCAACCTGTTCAAGATTGCCGACTTTAACTTTCCAGCTCGTTGGCGGACTGTGAAAGCGGCGTGGCGCGATTTGCAACTTTGTGAGCCGCCCATTCAGAGAGTGTTCCTAGCCAGCGCGTGGCTGGACAAATATCTCGAGTGTGAGTCAGGTCTTACCGCGGGGATGATAGCCGATCGGGTTGAACTTTCTCGAGTTGGCACACTATCCAGCGTGCATACCTGCTGGTAGACTCTGCGAACATCATTGGCGTGAGGTTTAAATGAAGAGACGCAAGGAAATGATCAAGAAAGGCAGTAAATGCTCAAGGCGTAGATGCAACAAATACGACATTCTGTTTATTGCACTAAAGCACCATCTGATTCGAAATCGTGTAGATATTTCTCTTATTTGCGAGTTAGTCTGTAGAACGGATGATATCACGTAAATACAATCGTCTAAACAGAATTATCTACTGCCTCGTAGCTGGCCTTCAGTACTGTCAGCCAATTGGCTGGATTCTCAAGGTGTTTTCCGGCTTGAAACTTCATGGCCAAAGTGCCTCTTTCTAGGACGGTCTGGCTTGTATTTTCATCCAAAATCAGCTCATGCGAGATGCGTTCATGCTCTTCGTGTCGGAAAGGATATATACTGGACCAGTCGACAGAGGATGGTCGGTCGTCCCGATTAGGAAGGGTTTGAGCGGCTGGTGGATCTCATCGCAGATAATGGCAGCAATTCTATAATTTTTCCTCAAAAAATGACGTCCTCGAAAGCAGAAAAGGACAAAGCTCCTGACAATGATAATCCACCAAGTCTCCCGCCCAATGTATACATCTTCTCTCCCACCACAGCTGGTACCACCAAAGCCCTGTTGAACGGCAGCATCTTCACACGATTATGTGTGAGCTCTCAAGTGCCGCCAGGACGGCTTGCGTCTGCATTGAGAAGCGAGAGACAGCGGAAGATCAACGAGTCATTTTGTCTTTCCTACAATAATGTCATATTAATATTCGATGCCCACGCAGACGACAAAGATTTGCTTGACACACATCACGAGCATTTTCGCGACGTTTGCCTGGCGCTCAAGGATCACGACATTAGTTTGGACATTGCTGGCTGCGTGTTTGATGCTCCAAACGTGGTTCAAGCGGGATTTCAGCTCGACGAGCTTAGTTCGGGTTCGATTCTGGTCATCAACATACTGAATGGTAGCAACGAGGATGAAAGCGACGAGGAAGACGAGGAAGATTTCGGCGAAATCGGAGGGACTGATGGATTCAAGGTTGACGGAAACTCTGAACTGACGATGCAGTAATTATTTTTGTCAAGGCCATGATTGTAGAGCAGGGTAGCGTCCATCATCAGCGTCAGATTCGACCAATGCTCTGTTCACAAACGAGTGTCTAGCCGAACCCGAAATGGGTAGTCAACGAGAAAAGCCGAAGCGTGGGGTTTACATCTCACAACTGTACAATCTAATTTCAAACGCTTCTTAGCTGGTCAATACAACGGAATACCGGTCATGTCGCAGCCGTCGGATGCGCAAAGCCTAATCGCCAAGATTCTTGCAGCTCCTGTTGAAGAAGTATCAGATAGAGAAGTGCACCAATATTACTATCGTTTCGATGAAGGTCAATGGGTCAAAGATTTCGGTAAAAAAACAGCAGAAAGCGTGTTATCAGTGCAGAGATTACGCCTGATCACCTGGAATATAGATGTACTCTCGCCTGGTGGCGAGCCGCGAATGGCGGCTGCGTTAGCTCATCTTGAAGAGCTTGTATCCAACAAATCTCGCAATTGTGAACCAGTGGTCATATTTCTCCAGGAGATGAACGAGTCGGATCTGAACCAGATTCAAGCTGCACCGTGGGTGCAAAAACGATTCTACATCACCGACATTGACACGGGATACTGGCGGAAACCGAACTTTGGTCCAGTTTACGGAACGACAACATTGGTAGACAGGAGTCTTGTTATTAACTTCCGGCCATTCAGAGTGCAGCTTCCTAGTCGTTTCTCAAGAGATGCTCTCTTCGTTGATCTCAAAGTACGAAGCGGTAACGAGGGCCTGCTCAGATTATGCAACGTCCATCTTGAATCGCTGGTAGCGGAACCGCCGGTTCGGCCGTTGCAGGTCGCAAAAGCTGCAAAATATATGAAAACATCAAATGTATACGCGTCAATCTTAGCTGGCGACCTAAATGCCATCGAACCATTTGATAGGATGTTGCACTCGGATCATGGCTTGAAGGACGCGTACCTTGAGTTAGGTGGCAAAGAGGACCATGGAGACGGTTACACGTGGGGCCAGCAGGCGCCGAAGGAATTGAGGGAGCGGTTTGGATGTAGTAGAATGGACAAAGCCTTCTACTGTGGAAACGTGGAAGCGAAGTCTTTAGAGAGAATCGGCGAAGGTGTTGAGGTGCAAGATGACAATGCAAGACAGGCAATAAGGGATGCTGGAGGAGAATTATTTGCAAGCGATCACTTGGGACTCTCCATATTGTTTGAGATCGTGTAAATGGCGCATGGTGCTAGCCGTTCTTCTATATTATTGAGAGCTGTATGTGATGCTTATTGCTGAACTTTCTCTGTGCTCGACCTCCAAGACTTATTTTTCCGATCATTTATCCGAATTTTGATAAATTTGAGATGAGAATATTCTCGATATTTATCCGTTATCTATATGCGTCCAATGCTTTTGTTGCACGGTTTGTGGGATTCGTAAAAAATCATGAACGCTTGGTCACGTAAGTGATCTCGAGCGTCGGTACCATCTCCGAAGCTCCATCACAAACTTCGCCCTACTTTCTGACATTGCTTGGACCGGTCTCCAGAGTCCCATACTGCAAACCAACCAACATGTAATTTGGCATACTTGCCGTTGCCACTCACAGTTTGTCCTACGCGGCGCTAATGGCCCAGAACGCGTCAAAAGGAAGCACAAATCACGGCAAGTTGCCGAAACTGCCGCCAAGTACGAAGCCATATTCTTTTCATCACGCAGCGCGCTGGTCGGAACTCGCTATATTAACAGATCTGTTAGATGCTAGAATACACAAACGCCGCCTCACGCGAGCGCCCATAGTTTCGAAAGGATCCTCAAATCCGCAAATAATATACATTTCCTCACGAACGCCGTTCATGTCTGCCATTTCGCGTATCCGCAAGCACGTAACGTCTCTTCAAACCCGGCGCTCGCAATCCATCGCTGCAGCTTCTTCGAAGCGCAAGTCCGCCTCGTTCCAGAAAGCGAAGGGAGACCGTATTCTGGCCGCAGCGATCGAAAGCTTAGACCGACAGGAGAATTCTGCGCGAGGTGCTCCCACCGACGAGGTGCTTGTGAAAGGGACAGGAAAGGCTATTGAAAAATTGGTCAGCATTGCCGGATGGCTTCAAGAGCATGCGCAAGCAGAGGGTGTCAGAGTCAGATTGGAGACCGAAAGCTGGTGGGCAGTGGATGATGTGTCGCTTGTGGGCGTAACCGATGAAGAAGCTGAAGGAGCTATGGATGTCGATCGGGAAAGAGACAAGCCGGAAGATCTTCCAGAAAGTAGGCAAAGAAATGTCAGTGTGCTGACTATACGAGTTGGGGTGCTATGATATCAGTCTTCCATGCCAGTATTGTAAGCTAGTAAGCTGAATTTATTTATGATACCCATATAGGCTCTAATCCTTATTGCTTAAAAAAAATCGAGCCGGCCCCGCTACACTACTTCGATGATCCTTTACAAGAGAAAGATTTCTGGCCAGTTTCAAGTTGGTGGTATACATTAAAGTTACGAAGCCACCGAATGATTTCGTAAGCTCGTTTTCCACATTTCATAACACCAACCAAGATTAATAATAGACAAGTGACCAAAAAAATTGCCCTCTTGGCCCTATATTTCCCAATGGAACGATCCACTGTTTCATTGGGCTCACTGCACTATTTCATCTTACTGCTGTTCTCTGATCTCGTTCACGTTGCGTGTTATCCTGCTTTGTCGACGGTGGTGAACTTTGTCTTCTTCTTGGAAATATTCACAGAATAATTACTGCCACCTCGAGTCAAAACATCAACATCGCGGCTCCGTTTCATCGTAATCGCCTTCTTCGTTCGCAAATTGGGTTGATGCGGCTGCACGTCGCTCGCTCGCACCGTTTCGCGTGTGTGGGGTACTAGACAATGTTAAAATTTGAGAGTGGTTTTCGAGTCCATTGAACTCACTGTTCTCCTTAGTTCTGGCCTCTGTCCTCTTCTTCCGAACGAAGTCTTCAAGCTTTCCCGGTCTTCCAGCTAGGTACCAGTCCTGTCGATACAAGTCTTTATCGAGCTTCTTGACTGGACCATCCTCGTGAACGTCTTCGCGGGCTCGATGCATGGCCAAATCCCCTCGAGTTTTTGAGATTTCAGGGCCGGCTTCGACCTTTTCTGTCATTTTACCATCCTTTACAATATTGCTGGCTTCTCTGAAACCTTCCTGGATAAGTTCAGCTCGCGCCGAAGCAGTTTGCACAAAATTTGTGTCCGACTCCAGCGAAGGCAATTCTAAGCTTTCAGTGATATTCACTTGCACATCGTCCGGAATGCCAGGCATGATAGTTCTGTCTGACAGCACTGAACATCTGGGAGTACTCTTCCTGAATTCTTCTTTAGCTGATGATACGATCAGAGCACTGACGTCCCTGCTCAACTCCCGAGCGTCATTTTGAGATTCTTCCTGTAGTGATTCAGCAGTCTGTATGTTTTTCAGGGCCTTGTTGATATCTGTGAGTAACTTAGACTGTGCAGAACCCGCAGGGAACGAGGTGGGGACCAATGTCGATTGCTTCCCCAAATCTGATTCCGAAGATTGTGCCATGATAGAGTCTTGAAGAATGGCCAAATCAACTTGCATCTTCCTAATTATATTCTGGCAGTCATCAATATGGTCTCCAGACCTCTCGCCCGTGAATCTCGAGCTGGAGAAATCGATTCTTCGCATCACATTTGTTGGTTGGGCCTTAGACACGTTTACAAGAGATGCTTCCAAGGCAGCTACGCGTGTCTCTAGAGTTAGAAACCCATCGTAAGTCCCTTCGCAGTCCTTGGGACATTCATTGAGCAAAGACGGCATCTGCCCAACCGCCTCGTTCACTTTTTGAACTAAGCTTCTAAGACCTTCGATCTGTACTTTCAAGCCTTGTAAGAATTGGGATGCTACTGTTTCTTGTTTTGCATGCGCGTCTGTATGGACATGCGTCACTATCTCCAAGTCTTCAATCTTCTTGTCTTGGTGAAGGATGCTGGTCTCATGTCTATGTAGCTTTGCGTCCTGCGCGTTAATCTTGGATGCTTGATCCTCGACCGTCTTCGTTAGTTGCTGGACTTTCTCTCGTAGAGGTGCGATTTGATCAAAGAGAGCAAGCTCAATGCTCGACTTGAGCGCGATGCTTAACACGTTGTAAGCTTCCGACATAATTCTGGAGCAGATTGAGATGTTTCGAATTGCAGACGGTGGAATTTATGAAGATTGCGATTTGTTGTTAGGTAAAGTGAAATTGAGCAGGGGTTCATGAAAGTGTTAAACGAACGGTTGCCTGGTCAATCCATCTCATCAAAGCACATGGTGTGGATGATAGAAATAGGTCTTCAGGGTACGACAGCTGATTTGTTATGGCTCCAAAAAAAAGGGTTCGAGAATTCCATTGTAATGATAGAAAAGGCGCTTTTTACCTCACACAAGAGGTGCGAGAGACAATTATCCCGCCCTAAAACGCCAACCATGAATCTTTGTACAATTGTCATTTTCTCCCCCACAATCATTACTTCCTTGTATGATACAGTCTCTTAATGCTTATTGGAATTAATGCAGAGGCTTCATCTGCCGTGACTGTGGGTATCTGAACTCAGCGGGAAGGACCATAGGTCGCCGTCTGGCTCGGGCGAATTCTTCCAGTGCTTTTCGCTCTGTGTCTGTACGCACTACCGTGCCAATGCCCATGAAAAACCTACGCAATTTATCAGCAGGCGTCTGGGGAATGTGTCGCACTTTTGTCCATACCCGAAGGTGGCTGCCGAACCAGCCATGTACTGTCCGAGTGTTCGCAAGAAGCCATTCGGTCCTGGCCCAAACCGGACAATATTAGTAACACCAAAGATGAGCCCGATACAGAGTCCGACGCCTGCAATTAATTAGGATCGCACGTAAAGGAAAGGCTCGACAACCGCATACTAGCACCCATCATAGCACCCATTTTAGCTGCGGTCTCATTAGTACATAAATCGCAGATGCAACATCTTGCGTACCCTTTTCGAATGTTGATGGGCCATGCTGGCCTGCAACTCCAGCAGGTACGGGAGGCATCGTATCTGAATCTTCTGATGAGAAATTCTGCGGTGGTGTTACTGTAACCTGCTGTTCGATGTTCAAACTGTCGATGCACAGACCAGCGTTGGTCAAGCGGCTAATTTGCTGTTGCTTGGGGAGAGGCTTCGTGTGCCCGTGCTTTCACGTGATGTACCGTGCCTTGGAAGCAGTTCGAGGATGCATGCTATTTACTGATTTCTGCTGACATTAGACGAAGTTTGGAAAATATAATAGGCCGCAATAGCTGAGTTATGGTTACTTTTGTGTGGTGTTCTCTTTGGAATCAGTTCCAGCGGATTCAGCTCCATGCGGGAAACCGTGCCAGACACTAAGCGCGGTCGCTTGGCACAGCTTACCGTCCGGACTCCTCATTGCTCTTTCAGCGAGGACGCCATCCACCTCCACAGCCTATACAACCCCCATAGCACGTCGAGACGACATACAATCGCAGACTTGAGCATCTCTATTGTCCCGTGTCGCACACAGTTATCTTTCCGCCACCTTCGTCGCCCTCTCAAGGGCCTGACACCCCATCATCGCAGACCACACGACACCGGAACCCACCTCTTTTCAGTACCTTTCCACGCACGACTATCGCAATCGAGTGACGGTCAGGTCTTCCTCAATTCATGAAAGGAACGGTGGAGTTGCCATTCTGCGCCTCGCCGTTGTTTGTTGCTTGTTTCTTGGGGTTACGGTGTCGCCAAGTGTCAAGATAGGCTTGGAAAGGGCTATCCAGAGCGCCGTATCACACATCACTTAGGTCATATCCACGGTCCCAACTGCAAATCCGCAGATGACGGCTGTCGCACATCTCCCGAACTTGCAACCCATCAACAGAACGGGATGGAGCGGGTCTAACGGCGCCAATAACGGCCTGAACACTACGAGCACCGACGACGTTTCGAGGATGCTCATGCCTCGCAAGACTGCGCAACGTTCAAATTCGTCCTCATCGCTAAACTCCCTCGCTTCTAGCTCTTCGACTACCTCAACAACATCAACGCAATCAGCGTCTTCTGTTTCCGCACCCAAGACAAACGGCGTCAACGGCGCTGTAAATGGCGACTGGGGTGCAAGAAAACGTACTGCTCGCGGTATATGGCAGCCATCCAAGTCAGAACCTATATCCGGTATAACTACTGCGCGTCCTCAGTCCATAAACTCTGCTACATCAGGCCCTTCCGCTGCCTCGGCCATATCCGCCTTGCACAATCCGAACGGGATGTCGCTTCAAGGTCAGCCGGACACACAGCAGAACGGCTCCATGCAGCTGGGAAAGTCGCGGCAAAATGAGAAAACAGCCGTGCTTTATCTTACACCGATGAATGGCACCTTCGAACGGAAGACAATCAATGTTCCATTCTATCCAGATGTCCTAAGAATAGGACGACAAACAAACAACAAGACTGTACCAACACCTACAAATGGCTTCTTTGACTCGAAAGTGCTATCGCGGCAGCATGCGGAGATCTGGGCTGACCGAAACGGCAAGATCTGGATTCGAGATGTAAAGTCCTCAAATGGCACATTTGTCAACGGCCAGCGACTATCACAAGAGAACAAGGATTCAGACCCACATGAACTTCGTGAACAAGATATGTTGGAACTAGGTATAGACATCGTCAGCGAAGACCAGAAAACCGTTGTGCACCATAAAGTTGCTGCACGAGTAGAGCACGCCGGTTTCTACGAGCCCAACAGTGTTCTGGATTTAAATTTTGGAGATCTGGATTCATCCGCAACCTCAAGCCTTCTTGGTGGTAATATTGGGCAAGCACTTGGACAAATGCGACGAAGCAACAGCAATTCGTCGATCAACAGTACTGGTAGGGTGAGCATTGGAAGTGCTACGACCAGCACGAGCAACATCCAGCAACGAGTACCACACTTTTGGCTTGCACCAGTGAACATGGACAGAATAATACAAAAGCTTAATGTAGGTTTCTTCACATTCGGTCACCAAGATATATGCTTACAGTCCTCAAGGCAGAGTGCAAAGCTGCTAAGCAGCAATCGCTCGATTTGCAAAGAGCGCAACAACACATCGACGCGATACTATCAGCGGAAAGCCAAAGCTTTAAGAAGGACTCCTCGCAGAAGACCTCGCCAATCGAGAAATCAAAAGGGAAGGATAGTTTTCGGGCTCGATTTTCGGATCCACCCGCTCCTCCTCCACAAGCACCTCTGCCAGAGAAGCCAGATGCAGCTATACATCGCGGCGTCAATGTCGTCTCTGGAACTTTCCAGCCATCACTAAGTAGGGCTGATACGGAGAAGCCGAAGCTTCCGACGTCAAACACGTCTCAACCATCCACAACCGATGCCTTGGCTACTGCTGCACAATTCGCAAGTTTAATGGAACAACTTAACAAGGCAAAGCAAGAAGTCGAAACCGAGCGAGCACGATTACGGGAAACAGAGGATTTGCTAGTCCAAGAACGGGTGAAGCGTGAAGATGCTGAAGAGCGGGCTAAGCGATTAGAAAGCCAGAAGCTATTAGTACCACCACCGCCGGCGAAGCCTGAAGATGCCACTACGCCGATAGACGATGTGAAACAAGATCTTCCGAAGGAAACAGAAGCGGATGTAATGAAGCTCCAGGAGCGTTTCGATCTGCTGTTGGCTGAATTTAATGAGTACAAGATCGCAGCAGAGCAGTGGCGGGCGGAGAAGGAGCTTGCAGAGAAAGAGCGCGACGAAGAAAGACAACAGCGGCTCACACTGGCAGAGATGATTGAGAAGATTAAGTCAGAAGAAGCGTCACGGTCACCGAAGCGCAAGTCTAGAGGACGGCGAAGATCACGATCGAAGTCCTCAGACACGTCACCATCCTTATCTCACGACGGCGCCAAGGAAGACCGCGATATTGATGCGGAGGCCGTCGATGTCGAACAACATCACTCAAATGGCTCTATTGAGAAGACCATCAAAGCTGCCACTGCTAATGGCCACCCCTTCGCTGGTAGCAGAACAGCGTCAAATGGACCCAATCAATCAGATACCCAGAGAAACACGCTTGTGCGCAGAGATCTGCAATTGACAGAAGCCGCACCCTACCTCTCCGCTATCAGTGTGGTGATGATTGGTGTAGCAGTAATGGCGCTTTTGAATAAGATGCAACGAGGCGAGAGCATAAAATCATGATTACAAAGATACCACCCATTTTCGCAAAAATCGAGTTTAGGGGGGAGTTGCGAAACAGCTATGTTCGCAATATCGATGCAACGAATCTGACGGACGGAAGCACGCACGCACGCACGGACGATTTGTTAAATGATGACGCGGAAGACTGGACTGGCATTTAGACATTCTTTTACTACTACTACCACTTTTTGGGTTTGAGAAGCATCATGGATACACAACATGGTTATTTCTGTGGGGCTTCGCCATTCTTCACTTTTTTCTGGCTACATCACACAGACGCTTCCGAAACGCCGTATGCCTGCTTCTTGAGATGGTTTAGCGGTGTTGTTTTCCTTTGTATTTCTGCATATAGTTGTGGCGTCTGAAGGAGTTCAGTGGTTCTTGGCAAAGGTATCGGGACAAGAGGTTTTGGTCGTGGCACTCTTTCTTCCTCCTACTCCCTATTCTCCTGTTTTTTTCCGACTTCTCTTTGTTCGGAGTAGGAAATGTCGTGTAGGTGTATAAGTGGATAGGCAAAATGACCATATTCTACCGCGTCGGTGCACGTCTCCGAGTTTCCGCTTCGTATTTCCGATAAAGTTCATGAATTTACCAAGGCTGTAAGTAGAGGATGTGAAAAGAGCACAGCAAGCAGATATCCGAGTTCGATAGTTGTGATTGAGTTGTAACACGGGACTTCAAGGCCCGTACCAAATCTGGTGTATTGCGGGAGATGGAGGCCAGCATTCCAGCGGCTTGTGCTCGTTTAAACAGTTCGAAATAGTTCTTTAGCATCTTTACTAAACCTCATTTTTTCGGTATCTGAATCAAACACTGTTCAAAAATGTCTAGGACAATGCCCACAGGTGCCATCAGCGCTGCGAGACCAAGCGACGTTTTGAATGCGGCTAGAAACTCAGCAACACGAGCCCCGAATCACGGAAGCCACTCACAAGATACATCTGCCGGCGACAGAACAAGAGTGTCCTCGAGCTTCGGATATAATGATGATCCGTCAATGGGGGATGGCTTAGCTCTTGAAAGCCTCAATAAAACACGCGAATGGCTAAGCGATTCAGAAACGGCCGGTACATCACGGAAAGAGAAACGGAGATCTCATTGTCGACGTCGCAAGAATGGTGCGAGATGCAAAGAGAAGCTTTCTGAATGGGCGGCGTCACGAAGAGATGTGCCCATAGCGATCCGAGACCGTAGGTCTGATCTCACGAAACTTGTTGATAGAATTATCGAGAAGCGCCCGACGTTGAGGTCTCTCGACAAGTTTGAACCAGGCAGCATACCAGACTACGTTGACAGGCTAGGTCTCACGCGAGAACAGGCCGCTATAAAGTTCAGCCGAGATGTGCAACACGCTTATCCGTGTCAGAAGCGGAAAAGACAGCATGAGTACATAAGCTCGACACGGAGAGAAGCGTCGCTTGCGGCGGCCTTGGATCTCGAGCGTCGAAGAGCGGACGTGTTAGAGTATCAGGCGATGATGTTTAAAGCAGAGCTGATTCAAGAGATTAAAAGGTTCAAGGTCCTATCGGCTGTGATCGAGGCGGGGTACGCTAGTGCCGCTGCTCAAGGCAATGATCAATGGTCTGAGTCTGGATCACGGGAAGCCATCGATAGTATCGTATCGTTAGGGACAGGCAAAATCATTGACGTTTTAACGGCCACGCGGAATCAAGATTCAGGGTGTATTTGGCGAAAGGACAAAAGAAAGGATATATACGACGAAGACAGTCCTGCGGATATAAGCAGCTCATCCATGTCGTCCGGTACCTCTATATCTTGGTCTTCAACCTCTGATGACGAGCTGTGAATTGCTGTGATGCTTGGAAAGGGCAGAAATACTCGGTTTGTCGCAGTACAGATCACAAGAGTTTGCAACCAAAGACTTCAAATCGTTTATTCAGGACTACTGTGCAGCTGGGATTGCATAGGGATTGGAGTTGGTGTAAATGTCAAACGTTCAGGGTATCGAAGTGAATCAATCATTCAACAAACAAAATTTTCGTTTCCCCTACCCCTTTCATTCAAATTCCATGTTTGTAATCTCATGCTGGTGCCTAAACGCTAGGATTCACTTGCATCTGGGGGTCCGCCCGATCATCGTGAGTATTCCTCGTTCTCCAACAGTGAAGCCCGGCCATGAGACTTGTGGCCGCGAAAAGGAGCCTGCAACACTCGATTAGCCTGCGCTATCGCAGCGATCGGACATCAACCCTCACCATTCAAAGGCGCCAAAAACTGTCGCAGCTTGCATGGTTCGGCAGAGGGTACCCTTATGGCACTCGGTGTCGCCCAAAAGCGAGGCCTCCGCGATAAATCCAGCAAACCAGAAAATCATGGTCACGAGTTCAGCTCCTAGAATGCCGTATTTATGTGCCGCGGTTGGAAACCTACCCGGCGTAACGATAAGGTACGCGAGGGCGAGAATCGTCCATATCGAACAGAAAAGCAAGAAGTTGGTTTCCGAAGGCGACCAGATTGAGACATCGTATGCTGTGAGACCAAGAATTATGATGGTCAGGACACCCTGAGCGACCCGCAAGGGCAGTGTGTAATTGAAGGCCATTCTTGAGAAGATGGCTGAGATCGAATAAGAGAGAAAAGTGGTTTATGGGCAAAAGATACGGTCGACAGGACGGTATATGGTTGTGTCCAGCAAGAAGTCACAGACGGAAAGCACGACGGAAGCAAAAGACTGGTGGCCAGCGAGCCGTTAAAACCGTCTTCACTCGCTTCATTTATTCGCCGAAACAATATAGCATGACGCATTTCGTAACGTTCTCTTAGCACCCTTGCGCCGTAGAAACGCCTCTGCCAGACAGGCTACAGGTTCTCGTTTTTACCCATGCAGAAGAGGCCGAAGCCTGCTTCGTGTACCAAGGGCTTGGTCACACACGCAACTTCTTAGTGGCTGAGTCGTGGCTCGTTGCTTGGCTGCGACTGGACAGCTGAGCAAACACCTTTGCAGGGCCACTTGGTCACCAGATGGCTGACCAGGAAGCGCAGGACTCCCGTGGTCTCAGATCGACGAGCTTCTGCGTTCCCTCATTTTCGTTGGCTCTGTTGAAGAAGCGCGCGATTCCAACCCAGGCTGGTCCGAAGATTCTCGACTTGTGCCTATCGCCACTGACGTCACTTTCAAACCTTCTCACATCGATACCAGCCGCAATCATGTCAAAAGGTTTTTGCCTTATTGACATGATGTCGTTCATCGTCATTTATCATCACTATAGCGATGCATCACCATAGCGATGCCCGACACAACGCCAGACCAGGATGTTCAACAGCTTTGTCATTGGCATGAGAGAAGTGATCGGTCATGAGTGTCTGAAAGGTAGAGGGGCAACAACACCTGCTCGAGAGGAACGAGGTATTATGTCGTGAAGTGGCACAGAAAGAATCTTTGATATAATAACAGATTCGTCATGTGATTGCGCTGATCGAGCTTCCGCAATACGGACAATGCAAGCCAGACAGTCGACGTAATTTGGTCCACATCAGACACAAAAAATTTCGTCCCGGCTCTCGAAAGTTCCGTGGTCCAGGATCTTGAGATACATTGTGGTGGAGCCGCCGTGCTTCTAAATCGTATTAGTGCGGCTCAAATCAGAGAAAGTTCTTCGAACGGGCTTGTATTTGCTTATGGGAATAACAAGCACGTGGAACGTGCAAGAAGTCTCCAAACGCCTGAAGCCTTGAAAATTTGACCGTCGGTCCCGAAGTGATGAATAATAAGTGGGTAACGGGTAACTGCACTACCTTGAGACCAACACTTGAGGCTAAACCCAAAAGTGACGAAAATACCATATCTGGAATGGGATAAGCACTGACAGCGGGCCTCAAAACACACCGACGCGTTGCGGTATTGACTCTCATGACGTTGGTGCTGTCTGAGATATCTCGGAGATGGCGAAAATATACAGAAAAAAAAGGAAACCAGCAAGTATATGCTTAGCAATCCAGCTTCATTATCTAGAGGGCCAGTAGACGGTCCGAGGTGAGGTGCCCACAGCTGTAGGAATATAAATCAGACGGCGCGTACCATCATGAATGACCTGTATCATACTCATAACTCCAATATCTCTTGTTGAATCGGACGTCTCATTCCACAATCTCGTTATCAAACAATTGTCTATCAACCAACTATATCATGCCCGAGTTTAAGACATATCGCGGCTCAGCCTCTGGCGAGATCAAAGAGAGCACTTCAACTGCGGAGCTTGGACCTACTCAAGTGCTGGTTCAAATCACTCATTCTGGCCTTTGTGGCACGGATATACACTATAAACATAGTGACATAGCTCTCGGCCACGAAGGTGTTGGCGTTATCAAACAGACAGGTTCCAATGCACGCCTTTTTAAAGTTGGAGACCGTGTTGGATGGGGCTATGTTCACAACAGTTGCGGCAATTGCAAGTGGTGTTTGACAGGATGGGATACTCTCTGTCCTGAGCGAAAATTGTACGGAACAGACGACTTGCATCAGGGAAGCATGGGATCACATGCCATCTGGGACGAAAAATATGTTTTCGCCATCCCAGACTCCATCTCAAGTGAAAACGCTGCTCCATTGATGTGTGGAGGAGCAACTGTCTTCAACTCTCTCAAAGTATACAACGTAAGGCCGACAGACTGCGTTGGGGTTATTGGCGTTGGAGGTTTGGGCCATCTCGCCATTCAGTTTGCCTCAAAGATGGGTTGCAAGGTGGTCGTATTCTCGAGCTCAGAAGACAAGAAAGCAGAAGCTATGAAATTGGGGGCAAGCGAATTTGTTGTCACAAAAGGAGTCAAGAATCTCACCGTTTCAACGAAAATCGACCATCTACTGGTGACGACATCCTCGCCCCCTGATTGGCAACAGCTCATACCAGTCCTCGCACCCGGCGCAACTATTTATCCTCTGACAGTAGACGCCGGAGACCTCCGTTTCCCCTACATGGGCCTAATAGCGAACGCATTCAGGATCCAAGGCTCTCTGGTCGCGGCGAGGCAAATACACAAGGAGATGCTAGAATTCGCTGCACAACATGGCATCAAACCAATCACTCAGACGTTCCCTCTTAATAAGGAAGGAATCTCGCAAGCTTTCGAAACTTTGGAAAGTGGAAAGATGAGATATCGGGGTGTCTTGGTTGCAGAATCAGAACGTACATGATCAAGCTACAAGCACGTTCGTGGTTCTATAAATTTACATGGAGAGTTTTCTGTCATGTAGAGGGGCTGTGTTTTTAGTGTAAGCGTTTTGTTTTCAACACATGATTGACTTGGACGACAAATTTTTGCGCAATATTAGCATGTGCAGAGACCTCAGTATAGAAGATTGGACTTTCGGTTATTAAACCTCTTTCAAAAATTTGGCTCCCATATTTGTTATGAGAGTCTTGGTAATTTGGTGTGCCGAATATACTGTTTCCAGCCAACTAAAATGATGAAGAAGTTCGTGATACTTTTGCACGCACTGCAGTTCATTCATAGTTAAATGCAGAATCTTGCCCCCCTTTTCCACGACTTAGAGGTAAAATGCATCTCGTATCGCCATGGGTACATAAAAATCTTTGTTCAAATACGTGAATCGCCAAAATCGCTTTCATTCTAGCAAGGCCAGCTTTTAATGTGCTCTACGACCGAAACTGCCGACGTAGAACAATGACGGTACTACCATAAAGGCAGAATCGATTTAAACGAGAACAATGGCTGCATAAAAAGTCAATCAATATCCACAGTTTCAACGCATCTCAGTCAGAAAAAGTAATGGTGAGTGCAAATAGGTTGATCGTGGTCTGCTAGACTGCAGAGTTACAGAGAGCGCAAGCTTTCCACTAAAAACTGATTGCGAAGTATTTGCTCATTGAATTAGAGCCTAGAAGGATTGAAAACTGAGAGTATAAGTAGGTTCCAACAAGACTATCTCATACTCAAGTATAAGTTATGTCCGTGAAGAGAGCATGTTGAATGTCAAGATACAGATTGGGTCACATGTGGGCCATCATTGATTTGTTGCTGACTAAGCCACTGAGCTAAGTTAGATCGCCAACACAAGTCTTTGCTCTATTCAAGCAAACAGGCTGAGAGGTCTAATCAAAGCTGCAAAAAAAAACTCCTCAGGTAACCATAAGCCCTGACAGGTATGATCGCACACGGTCAGAAACAGCAGCGAGCAAGACAGCAGCTCTCGTGCACTTCATGTCGTGCCGGAAAGTTGAAGTGCGATAGGCAACAGCCCTGTGATCAATGCCGTAAGCGAGCGAGGGAGGATAGTTGCCACTACCTTCCAGCACCGCCAAAGAAGAAACAAAGTCGCAATACGAAAGAACGTATTGCACAACTTGAAGGGCTTGTCGTCCAGCTTATGAACCGGGATAGAACACAAGGAATATCTTCGGTCACTCCACCGATATCTGACGATGGAGGCTCACATAAATCGAGAGCTCAGATAGATTCGACGCATCTTCAGTCTTTAAAGTCGACGAAAGAAAGCCCTCAGTCTGATGATGGCGCTGACTTGGCCGCTCATAATTTGACTTACCTTAAAGTAAGCGGCGATGGCGAATCACTTTTTCGAGGTTCATCGCACTGGGAGGCCATTCTCGATTCTGTAGGGATTTCTTCCATGCAGCACGTCCATGTTCTAACATACCACTAGATCGCACAGCTGCGGGATGATTTTGATGGCGATAATAATAACGACGAGGACGTTGAAGATGTTGAGAAAGTCGAGCAGAGAAAAAATTTCAGCAAAACCGTGATCATTGGAGCCCCACCACCTGTTAGCAGGAGCACGCTCATCAACTCTCTTCCCCCGAAGAATATTTCGGACCGTTTTTTGTGGTATTGGTTCAACTCAGTGGATCCAGGACTGCCAATTATTCATCAACCTACTTTCCTCTCATTGTACGACACTTTGTGGATCGAGCCGTCCAAAATTCCCACAATGTGGTTGGCCCTGCTCTATTTAATTCTAGCACTTGGGGCTAAGATAGCTATGTTCAGCAACGTAAAGGAACGTGGGGAGGTACCAGATCATCTGTTAGATCCAGACAAGTATCAGCAACTTGGCGCCTCTGCCCTCGCTCTAGCCGATTACACAAAACCGCAGCGATATGTGATAGAAGCGCTAATGACTCTTATGAGCTGCGAGTACATGAATCGGGGAAATGGTCATACCATATGGCTTATGAATTCTTTCATCATACGTTTAGCGTTGCGAATGGGGTACCATCGCGATGCTGACAATTTTCCGAAGCTCAGTGTATTCGACGGAGAAATGCGGCGCAGAGTCTGGACAATATTGTTTACTTTTGATGTGTTACATTCATACCAAGAAGGCTTGCCTAGCATGGTGCAACAGATTCATTCAGATACGAAGCCAGCGAGCAATCTGCTCGACACAGACTTTGGACCCACTACAAAAGTACTTCCACAGCCTCGACCGCTCATGGAGATTTCACCAATGTCCTATCGAGTAGTTAAAAACCGTCTGAGCAAAGTCTTTGCCCTCGCCTGCGATATGTCACATATGCCTCAAACACCGCAGTATGAGGATATTATGAAAGTACACGACGAGATTGACAAGATTTATTCAGAAACTCCGGAGGGCTTGCGATTTTCCTCCATGAGTCAAGCTATCCTTGACCCACCAAATATGATATTCAATCGCTTCAAACTCGAGCTATTATTTCATAAGACAAGATGTGTTCTTCATAGACGATCTATGTTCCAGACTGAAGTCGCGTCCCCGCAAGAACACTCACGCAAGCTGTGTGTTGAAGCGGCTATGAACATCTTACGACAACATGAGACCATTTTCCTTGCAGCCCAAGACGGTGGGCAATTGAGATCATCGCGCTATTTCTTGGCGTCTCTAAACTCGGCAGATTTCCTACTTGCCGCCATGGTTCTATGTTTGGAGCTGCATCTCATATCTCTTGCACCAACTCCAGAATTGGCTGGGCCAAACAAAAGCAGAGATGAAGAAATGAGGTCATTACTAGAAGGCACGTACAACATCTTCAAAAACTCCACGGACGAATTCTCGGACGCTGCGAAAGCCGCGAAAGCTATGGAAGCTATTCTCAGAAAGGCCCAAAGACCATCTAGTACGTCGGCCATCAGTTTTGGCGGACGATTGATTAATGAAACAGAAGCACCACATATGAAACAAGCGCCAGTTAACGCTCAAAATTTCACTTTCGAGCCGACAAGTATCAACCGCAGTGGTGTTCAACCTCTGTATAACTCATTTGAGAACTCACAAAGTGAAAATTCAACCCTTTTCGAGCCCATCAGCGGTATGCTGGAAGATAATACCGACATTGGGGTAATGGATTGGGCTGCATGGGATAGATTGGTGCTGCAGTACAACGACCCAAATAACGTCCCTCTCCAATTTCATGACCCGGATATGTGGCCACATGATTTGAGGGAGTGTGATTTTCCCGAATTTTCAGAGGGCTATGAGTTCAATTTCAGCAACCTTGATCAAGGTTCCGAAAGTATGTCGACCCTCGATCCTACGTCAATGAGAGGTATCTCGAGTACGTCAGCAGAGTTTATTGCTAAGAACCCGGCTAAGGGCCTTGTTGGAGCTGGTGTTATGCCGATATAAGCTGCCAATTGCATAATAAAAATCCAACGAAGTCAAGTGTCCCTCACGCCATAATAACATAAAGGCACTGTAAACTCTGAATATTCTGAGCATATCCGAAGTACAATGTGGCTCGTTCATACGCGAATACTGAAGGATAAAAGTGATAGCGTATAGTGTGACCTAAGGAGAGCTTCGCTTCTGAAATTGCATACTATTGACTAAACAACACATCATTAAAGTGCACGCGGCAAATCCTTTGTCAACCATCCTAGCTCTACGTTTCAGTTCACCTTGCCACGTCTTCTTTTGTCTCAGGCTCGCTTTGAGATCCGCAATAATCGGTCTCAAATTCCTTTTCACAGTCGACGTGTTCATCATCCTCATCCTCATCATCTGATATACCATCTGTAACTCCTCGAATCCACATGTCGTCGTCTAATTCTCCAGTTATGCCTAATAGAGTAGTCTCTGGTTGTTGAGCCTTTTCTTTCAATACTCTCTCCAAATATGGGATAGGAGCTCCACGTGCGACCGATAAAGTGTCCTCCCCGACTCTCCCATCGAACAGATCGTTCCGGATGCAGAAATCCAAGAAGGCTCTCCAATGAGGATCGATGGACAACACTTCCTGATTTCCGATAACAATCAGCCCATGTTTTGCCCTGGTTATAGCTACGTTCAACCGTTTCGGTTCGTGAATAATACCAAAACCTCGCGACTTATCTTGATCTAGAAATCTTGATCTACTTCTGGTGGTACACAGTATCACTACCCTGCTCTCTAAGCCTTGGAAGGCTTCCATTGGACCGATATTCACCCATTGCATTCCAAGTTTGCGGAACGTGATCCTTAGTCGTCGAACCTGTGCTGAAAAAGGGCTCATCACGCAAATGTCGTTTTGATAGACAAGCCCGGATTGAAGTAGCGAGGACGCAAACTCACAAGCCTTTTTAACTTCAGTCATATTATACCAACCACCGCCATCCTTCTCAATCTCGTCATGACCGATATTTTGCGAGAACATTACGGGCCAAGTCCCTTTCCAGCCTCTCCAGCCTAGAAGTGAATCTGTATTTACGGCTTCAGGCGAGAGAGTGTCATGATAGAAGAGCGCATTCGGAACTGCGAGAATTGCCGGATGAGATCGATAGTTCCGGAGCAAGTTTGAAAACGGAGGTCTGATGATGGGGAGCATTGCCTTGGTCAGAGGACGCATAGCAGAGACGCCGCACCCCAACCGATGACGGGCTAGTGGATGCTCAGCATATAGCGGTCGACTTAGCAACCGATCAAATAGACTACGCCGGATGATAGGATCATGTGATGCTGTGCGAGGTCCAAGTTGCTGCTGGTCCCCAGCCATAACGAAAATAGGTTCCTTGAAACCACTAGTGAGAGCGGGTGGTGATATTAATGTCAGCGGTATCAACGATTCTGGTTCAGTTGCTTGCGCCGCTTCGTCGATGAGCAGAGCTTGCCAGTGTAGAGGTGTATCTGGATTCATTTCCTCAGAATCTTGGAGTATAGAGAGCATAGAGGTACTGAATTCATGAATATCTCTATTCGTAAGCCGAGCTTGAACGAGAAGATCTGCGTCACGACATGTTGTAATAACGACTTTGTATTTCATCATCGTTCTGAATGGCGGAATGCTGAAGTGATTGTCTTCGATACAGCAGAATGCCATTAATCCGTCAGCGACTTCAACGAACGTCCTAGATGGAGAATTCAATCTAAATAGCTCGTCCGGGGTTAACGAAGTTCTGAGTCTTTCAGTGAGAGTGTCGGCTGCAGGATCGGATGGTGCGCATATCAAGATATGCCTTGCCGAATCACTGCGAAGAAGCTGTAAAGCTATTTCAACCATAGTTTTGGTCTTCCCGGTACCGGGAGGCCCATGAATAAGGAATGGAACTGCGCCGTAGTTATTCTTTATCACTGACTCAACTGCCCGTAGCTGTTCACGATTTAATTGGCTGTCGATAGGCTGAAAGCTAAAGTGCATGGAATTTAGCTTAAGCTGCTTTTTACCATATGCCGTCTCGGGGAACAGCATCTTCTGAAGCCAGGTTTCATTCTGTCTGCCAGTCAGCTCGTTAATACCAGCGGAGCTATTAGCCCTTGCATGAGGCTCGAAGGACGAGCTCGCCATTTGAACAGCTCTCCATAATGCCGCCTGTAAACTTTCACGTGGCGGGAATTGTACGTTAAAGTACGTTCCAAGGCGCTCTTGTTGAAGTACGATAGCGTTATCGTCGGTAAGATTTAGTCTGATGGTGATTGTCTCCTTGTGGCGCTGTACAGCTATGACCTCGGCATGAAATAGATCGCCCTTCCATCCCGGAAGATATAATGGCGAAGCGATGAAAGAACCGCGTTCGTAGCTTTGTGCATATTTAAGAGCTTCACCCCTGATGTCAAAGAAGAGTGGTCGAAGATGAACAATGTCACCAACACGAACGAAAGGGCTGTTCTCTGAAAGCCCGGGGACCACAATATCTGCATGGAGTACCGTCATCGAATTCTTTTGAGCCCTGGAGAACGACAATGCAATTTTATGCAAGTCATATTGGGTCTGTGATGACTGAAGGGCACGATGTTCCACCCGCATCCACTGAGCAAAGTACTCTTGGTAGCTTGACGGCGTCAGTTGCTCGAAAACTCGGGCTTTCGAAAATTTCTGGGGCGGGAAATTCGATGCCTCGGGAGCCAGCGGTTCCAAAAAGTCCGTACCAGAGAACGAGCGGACATATTTAGCGAAGTCTATGTGGAAAGATTGGTCACGGACAGGAAAGGTGTGCAAAGCATAAGCGCGATTAATGGCAAGCAGAAACTCCGGAACAAATGCCTTGGCATAAACGTCAAAGGACGTACTTTGTGCAGGCGGAGAAGACGACATGAGGCGCTCAAAGTCGTGAGCTATGTTCAACGATCAAGAAGCTTGCCGCCTGCGCTGCGTGAGCACTGGCGTGGGATGGCAGAGGGCTCAGGATGACTAAGACGCAATGTGTAAGTTATGCAGGTCTAAGAGTTAAACTTTACAGAGATAAGACAATGTCTAGTTGTATAGATGAATGCAATCTGTTGTAGAAAGGATAGAATTACGAGAGCACAAGTTATCTGTGGATGCACACTAATGAGCGCAGGCGGTAGGAAGCGGCACCTCGCTTCTGTGGCTGTTCTTTACGCCCAGAAGTCGCCTCATTATGCTTGTTGCGAGGCTTAGCATCGTTGCTCACTTTGCGCATACTTTCAACCATGACCAGTAGATTCAGAAGCAGGCTAATGGTTTCCCTTCGTTCATTCTTTTGCCATTTTTCTTTGGAAGGAAGTGTATATCTCGTCATCATATTAGACTGAGAAGCAGTGATTTGGGACGTCAAATGGGTGGTGGGTCGCAACATACTCTGAATGTGTTCAAGATTCTTGCAATTTCGCATTACTCTAGCATTGCACTTTCTTTTATGCTATTACTAAAAAGCTCGTCTTCCATGACCGCCCGCTCTTCCGACATGCGTTTAATGGCATGTGCGTCGAGAATTCCGCGTTCAGTAACGTACATGGATACATACTCGCTTGGAATCCACTCAAAATAAATGTTGCGGACATCGAAGTCACTCTTCGACAAAGATTTCATCACTGCTATCGTGTCTTCCGGCCATCCGGAGTACACCTCTCTCGAATCGTTATTTTCGTGTCCATGTGCTTCTGTCACACCAGGGCGAGCGATCTTGTCGGTCTCTGTGATTACAACCACGTCTGCTTTCGAAAGGGTTTTAGCAGCCATGGCAGCTGGGAAACTCCCCATCTTGTTACAAACGTCGCCGGCAGAGGAGATTCGATCAGCCCCAAGGAGCAACATGTCGATGGATTTTGCTACGGTGCAGACGTGAGAGTCCGGGGCCACGACCACTTCGATGTTGTTGCCCTTGCCTCTAGACTTCATCTTGCTCAAGAAATTAACAGCAAATGTGGCCCCTTCCATACGTGGCCGTGACTCGAGTACTGTGATCGTCATTGAAAGCCCAGCAAGTTCGTTCACAGCTTGCTCCAGACACGCGAAAATCGTGGAAGAAGAGGACAGAGTGAGAATGTGAACCCGAGTTTTCTTTGTGAGGAGATGACGGAGATATTCCACAAACGCCTTCGAAAGCCTCGACATGCTTTCGTTTCTCTTCTTGATCTGTTCACAGATGGTGTTTGCTACTGCCTCTTTGTGCACGGGGAGAGCGATAGAAGCATTCGGTTCCTCCGAGGATTCTCTGGATGCAGATTCTTGCACGGCTTGCAGACAGTTGACTAGAGCACTTGTTACTGCAGCACTCATGCTTGGCCGAGCAAGGATCAATTTGTAGGAAGCAAGTCGAAGTAGATCCCATAGCTCTTCTGGCGTAGATATTGTGTCGCTGCTATTTAGCGTGATGGCCCGTAGTGTCTGCAGAGCGTTCGTCGCTAGGACGCGGGCACCATTTATTCGATCCTCCTTGAGCTGTTTGATGCCATCATTCAATATCTGGATGTGATCTGCGCCAGCCATTGGTCACTAATCAAAAAGCACCAGATGGGAGACTTTTGCTGCCTAGACTGGAACGGAGTCGAGCTGCGCAAGGTGGAGCAGTAAACCACGGCACCGGCGGATGTGAGGCAGCCGGACTAGCAAGTCTCATCCTAGCTTCAAAGAGGTGTGCCTGGGCAACGTGTGGCTCTATTTAAGGACGATGAATAATCGAATGGCACTTTCAGCCTTGTTTTGCGTCATGTCAGCCTACGGGGCTACGATCTGTGAGCAGCCTCCTCTGGAACGCATGAGACCGAGAAGACGTTTCGGTGTAGTACACTGCTATGAAAAGAAAATGGACGCGTGTAGCATGTATCAGAGAACGAGAAAAGGCCAGTAGGTTGTGAAGCCCTCCTTTCGCACGCCGGGGATCTCACACAAAGCCCACGGTGCTGCGCCTCATGACCCCGTCTCCGCCATCGCATCTTTGGAGCGTGACGCTTGTGTGCAGAACCGGCTCGTAGGAGCCAGACAACAACATATCAGCCGTACAAGGCTGTTCTCCATACGCCAACAGCCCAGTCATAATCCGATACTCTCTGTTGGTATCTTTCGCTGACTCGCTACGCGTCCTCCAACTTCTTTTCGTCCCGAACAATCGACATGGCGTACAACAAACGCTACAACCCTGACGCTTTGCCCGCGCACGTCGAGCCTGAGCAGGTTTGCATCCCCAGCGCCTCTTTCGAGACAGACAACTGATGCGCGCATAGGCCGCTGCTATTCTCGCCTCTGGATCGTCCGCCTCGCAACCGCCGCGACCGCGCGTTGAGAAGCCTGTCCCTCCTCTCCCGTCGCAATCTTTGCGACCAGACGACCGTTATTCCCACAGCAGACCCTCTTCCGGCGGCTATGGCAGCAGTGCCAGTAGTCCCCGCTACGACGGCAGACCCGATCCAAGATATGGAAGCAGCGGTGTTGCCCATAGCCCACGATATGACAGCAGGCCAGATCCGCGGGTTGACCCCCGCTATAGCGATCTAGGCTCCCCACCACCACAGAACTACGGATATGGGAGACAAGGTCCACCTCCGCCTCAGAATCATGGCAGAGCGCCTGTTACAAACAGGCCTCCACCCACACCTGCTCCCCCTAGAGACGCGAATGATCGGGATGCACTGTGGCCGCTCTTCAAGGCTGTTGACAAAGACAGTATGTCCTGCCTTTTTCTTTGCCAAGCAAACTCGTATTCGATTGCGCGCGCAATCTCAGGGAACACGACAAGGCCAGAGTGTTGACAATCGTGCAGACAGCGGCCAACTCACCGAAATGGAACTCCAGCGCGCTCTGGTGAACGGCGACTGGACGCCGTTTGACTCCCACACCGTCCGGATGATGATACGCATGTTCGATACCGATCACTCGGGAACGATCAGCTTCGACGAGTTCTGCGGCCTATGGGGCTTCCTTGCGGCGTGGCGCAACCTCTTTGATCGATTCGATGCGGACCGAAGTGGAAACATTCAGTACAACGAGTTCAGCGAAGCGCTAACGGCCTTTGGCTACAGGCTCAGCCCTCAGTTCGTACAACTCCTCTTTAGGACGTATGACAGAAGGGGCGAAAACGCGATGAGCTTCGATCTGTTTGTGCAGGCCTGCATAAGCTTGAAGAGGATGACGGACGTGTTCAAGAAGTACGACGATGATCGGGATGGATACATCACGTTGAGCTTGTACGTTATGTTTTGTCGAATGCTTGCAGACGGCGCTAACAGGTCTGGACAGCGAAGAGTTTTTGACAGGGTAAGTTTCTAAGCGGCGTCTGCAATTCGTGCACGTACTAACGGTTTAGTGAGTGCACAATCGTTGTTTCTAATGAACAGCATCACTGCCACAACCGACCGGGACTCTGCTTATTAGATTCTTATAGAGATACTGAGGCAACTCTGATATCATTAAACGGAAGACGGAAAGTCAAAACAAGATACGTATCAGTAGCATGCCTGCTACTACTCGTAATGTTATGGAAGGAATCACAGGCCGCCTTATCTTCGGGATACCCTTTTTTCATAGCATACACTCTTAACGACAAACATGTAGATATGCCATTTTGCTGGATAAATGAAAAGTTTCGCCAAGGCGTATTGGAAGCAGAATCCTATCATTAATCCCCCGGTATTCAGATTGTCCTTGCTAGCTACACATTGGTCGTCCCATTGTGCAGCCTCAGTCTTGTGGAGCGACTGTTAAGAGAAACAACGCAGAATCATCAGATCCACCGCGGCTTCGTAAACTCGCTTGATGCTACCTCGGGTGGCGAATTCGGCGCGAAACAGGACAATCTTTGCGTGTATCAGAATCTGAAGCAAGCAATGACATTTGACCGTGAATATCCAAGCGGCCGTGTTGATGCAGGGAGGAGAGCTCAAGTCCTAGCCAGAAATAGAAATTGCACGCGTACGAGATCAAAAGGGCTTGCGTCTTCTGAAAGAAAAGAAGGTTTAGTAGAAAGGGAATTTTTTCTCTTCTGCAGAATCGTAATGCGGGGAGAAGAAAGGACGTCTCCGCGAAGCTTTTTGAGGCCGCTGGGGTGGATCGCCGCTACGTTGTTACGTGATGGACCGATCGAACTCCAGGATCTGATGCGTGTAAGCACCCTAGCCATACGCATTGTAAGGGGTCAGAGCTGGTTAGGCTCAGATTATGAGGCATGTCAGATACCACACAGCTGATATTTTTGGCTCTGAAAATTTCGTCGTCCCTTTTCTCTTCTTTTCAGGCCTTCCGACCAATTTAGTAAAGGTCATCTCGAAAAGGCATGTGCAGGCGCGATGTATCAGATTCAAGGTCTGACAGTTAACCGCCTGCATATGGGCACGCGGCAGAAGAAAAAGCAGCTAGCCTGCATAGATCAGGAGTAGGAAGGTTGGATGTTCATGGATCGTTCATTTTTACCACTATGCATATGCACAAGTGCCCAAGTGTAACCACCCTGATCGCACGATGGGGGGGGAGAAATAAGGACCTGCAGATGATTTGCTTTTCTCAGCATCGCGCCACAACTCAAATGTGCCGCGCTGCGATTGCCATGTCGTTGGGCTTCCGATCCGCCTGGAAAATTCCAGACGCTCGTCTGTGTAGTAATGCGCAGTATGTGCGCAACACGAGCAGTATATGATTTCCCCAGATCTACCTTCCTAATCGGGCGGCGCCTTGCAGGCGGCTGTGATGCTACTGATCATCCACCTTCCACTGCATCGTCCGTCAACGACACCTGTCATCGTCGTGTCTCCCGCAGCGGAATTCGCCTCTTTGAAACACATTGATCACACTGCGAATGTTTCTTGCGTCGGCAGGGCCGCAGGCTACCGGTGGCCTGGCGTCACACACGGACTGAAACTTGACTCACACCCTCACGTATGCAAGATGACTCGGTTTCAATCACATGTAGACAGCATCTTGCGCAAAACGCCCACGAGTGTTCCGTTCTCCAAGGCAGCTGCCACTCGCTCCTTATCACCTAGCTGCTTATTGACTGCGTCGTCCGTGCTGTGTGTGCCCTTCTTGATTCTAACGTCGACGCGGAAGCGAGGTGGCAGTGCCTGTTCCAGACGAACACGTACGCCCAGGCCAATAACCGTTGCGAGACTACAGTGTGTGATGGTAGGCGTAATCTCCACAAGCACTGTGCTAATGTTCGATCGCGGACTCGTTGGCGGCTTGATATGTATGTCAGGGAGGTTTACAACCGCGAGCGATCCAAGCGAGAGTGGGTGTTCAGGATCTGAGATTGGTGCAATTAGGTCGTAGATCTCTTGCTCGTCGATAGGTTCATCAGCCTCATCCTCGGCTGATATGTCGGAGGAGCTGGTGGAAGAAAGTGGCGAGAAGGCGTCGTAGGAACTGCTGTATGACGGGAGCAATGAGTCGAAGAGTCCTGTGCCACCGTCGGCCCGCTTCTGCGTCGCACTAGGACGCCGGCGCGAGGGGAGATCCGATGCGCTCAGGACTGTGGGATTCAGGTTCTGAACGTCGCCGTCCATGATGTTGATCAGTGTGGAATGTTCATGCTGAAGCAACCGAATCTTGTTTCTCGACTTTTCTGGTGGGGGTTCGCCGAGATCGGACACAGCCCACGTGACACGGCAGTGGCCTGCATGAATTCTGCTTTCATCACAGATCTGCTTTGAAATTTGACTGAGCGGTTACGGATCATGGCCGCCGTAATTGCGATATTTTGGGAAGCACTGATATCGGTGCTTCACACACATCGATTTCGCTTAAGCTCGCCCCGGAGGGATATCGTCGAGGCTTTGATCACCCACCGATCATCGCAAGAATCTGGCGAATCAATGAGTAATAATAGCATAAACTGCCGCACGTCCTCTCATTTCTATTCATCTTAGCTCGAGACATACGTAATGGCCGCATTCGTCGCCTCCTCACGCTGTTTGCTGCCTATTCGCTTGGGCAGTATTGTGTTTGCTGGATGAAGCTGCCGGTCGGGTCTTAGTTGTATCAGTTTGCGGCATCGTGAGGCAGAAGAAACCGTCGTATCAAAGCCGCAACAGAGACTCTGATTTCAGGATCGTACCTGACGGAAGAATGCTGCCATCCTGCATAATCACCCCAGCAAAGCAATATCATCGGACCCATCCTTTGACTGGGCTCGCAGGCATCCCGGCGTGAGGCGTTTTTACGCCTCCGTGCCTCCTCATCGAATCTGCATCTCGATCAAGATTGGGGAATCCCGACCTCTCGAAGCGCTGTCCGGACCTCTGTAGAGGCCTTCACACGAGCCGGATTACGGATACGGATGCGTAGACGGCTCATTAAAATTGCTGCCCTATCACCAGACCGCGTCAGCGGCCACGACGTCGCGGCCGCTCACCCTCCCCTTTAGCCAGCAAGGATCAGCGTTCAGAGAACACGTTGTGACTGCAGGTCGTAGACCATTGTTCTAGAATATTTCCTCCTGCGGCTAGTCATCCCATTTCCATCCAAGGCACGGCAACGGCGAGCGATCCAAGAATCTTCCAACGCGGCCCACCATCAGGCGTGCGGAAGAGCGAAGCTAAAACATAGTCCACCCTGCATGGTTTTCGCTGCACGTCTGCAGGCCGTGGACATGGTCTAACGTCGTCCATCTGCACGTTCGTGCACGCTCTTTGATGACCACATTCCCGGAGTCGTAAGCGACACGCGCACAGTGGGTGTTTGTGCGCAGACGCTGGGGCAAGCCCTCTTTTGCATTTGCTCGTATGGTCGAGGCTTATCAAAGAAGGGAGCACTAGCACGCTAGCCTGCTGAGGTGCCCCGCCTTCACGAAAGCAAGGAAAAACTTCACATGCCTGCACAAGATGGCGAACGGCAGTTCCCGCTTTCCTGGCCGACATGACGACGGTAGATGTTCGAGGGCGCTGGCGCACTTTTGCAAGGGCTAGATGCTACACGCTTCAGCACCACCGACACAAAAGCTGGCTCGTCAGGTCATGATCGACGACAGGGCCAACGGAAATCTTCATGTTGCTCGTAATCATCAATGCAGCCTTAGCGATCATTCTGGGGACGCCATGGATGCATTTCAGGATTCGTGATTTGCCCAGACAGCCACAACGTTTTCTGGGTAAGCTTTGCTGAAAGCGAAGTTGGCGACTGCGCCGTCTTCTGGCAAATTTTGTGGGAAAGTTCCTCGGCTCGTAGAAAACGCCAGTAAATCTGGCAAGGCTGGAATCCTGGAATCCTAGAAGCACGGAAGACGCGCCCTCAGGGTTGCAATCTTGACATCCTTGCGGGCGCGAGATGATTCAACTAGGTACGCTCGCAAAACCGTGACCGTGGACCTGTCGCTGCATCTGGGTCAACGACGAACGTGTGCGACTCACCTGCTGGCGCCGCCAGGATATGCCTGACATGTGCCTCCTTTCGCCGAAGGGCGGAAAAGCCGGAGGGACACTCAACGCTGGGAGCCTGCCTGCTTATTCGCCTGAACCTGCAGCACCGCAGAGATGATCAGCAGGAATCACGGTTCTCGCATGCGGGAATGGCGTAGTGGGCATGCGGTGCGCAAGCCAATGAACGACATGAAACTGGCTCTGAGGACATTGTCTATCGATGAGAATTGATTCAGCCTCGAGCCGGTTCAGCAAGGAGAAGCACCAATACCAACGACGTCCGAATCAAGACCAATAAAGCAGTGCAAAGGGCTCGCCACCACGTCCAGTACACAGTGATGCGCAACGTTCTGCACTCCAAACTGTGCAGAGTCGTGGCGGCAAAAGGGGTCACGATCATGCAAGCATTGTGTCAACGCTGGATGGCCTGCGTCCCTTCAGCTCGGCCCCATGCAAGCGCATCCAGCACGAGCAGTAGCGAATGGCGCTTCGTAGCAGGCGGCGGTGGCAGCCGTGGTGGCCGCGTCTGTCAAGATCTGATACTTTCGGGGGGGGGAGGGGAGCGGCGTGGGAGCCTCCAGCAAAGAAAGCGCCCACCTGCCTGCTAAGATGGCAGCCAACGGGATCGTGGGCCAGCGTGTGCGGTGGCGGGTGGACAGTGGACAGCCGTCAGGTCGCACGGGTACGGACGAGCTCTTTGGGGCGTTTGGGGGGAGGGAGACGAAGCGTCGGGTCCTCAGTCCTCAGGTCGTCGACGGGGTGTCTGTCCATCGTTGCATCGAATCCTTGCCGGCAGAGACAGCCCCACACTGACTAGTCTTTTGATATTGCCGTGCGCTTACCACTGTGGTACTGCTTAGCCCAGCCTGTTCTTCCTGACGACGGGGAGTCCTCGAAGAAATTCCCATGCGACCGGGATTGGCGGGCACGACGGCGCCGCCACTCACCTTCCAGTCCTCTTTGCCTCATCGCACACGCCCTCGAAACAAACATCCACCCTCCCCAGGCCGGGCACGCTCTCTGCTGATATCATCGCTTCTGGTGGACGCATACACTTCTCTGCCCCCTGCTCACCTGGCAAGCCACCTGGTAGCCACAGTACAACGGCTAAGTCGAGCCGCCTGTTGCGAGAGGTTGCTGCCCTTCATCTTAAACATAATTCCCACTCTGTCAATGCTTGCCCCGGCTTGCGCAGGCACGGAGTAACGCCTCGAGTCATATATGCTGCCCGCCTTGCTGTCCACTCACTGTCTCTCTGTGTTCGGCTCAGCATCGTCCGTCCCTGGTAGTCGGCGCTCAGTTTCCTGAAGCAAACACCTCCGGTTTAGATAATCGCATATCCCACAACACATCTGGCGCCCCGGATCTTTCGACACACATCTTGTCGCCGTAAAACCCCCGATCGCCCGCTGCAGGCCTTTTCTCAGATCGATGTCGCTGCCCGACATGGCAGCCGAGAGCATCTCTGGCGCTCGACCGATCCTGCCGCAGTCTACGCAGACCTCTGGCTTCCAGTTTGCGAACACTGGTGTTGCGCACCGCGATGTGCCGCAACAACGAAGTGAGTGTGCAAACGCTGTCCAAGAACCCTCCCTTTCAAGCAAAGTGGCTAACCTATGCCAGACTATGTTTTCGTCGACGAGCACAACAGACATAAGAGGTTGAAGGTTATGCGTGCATGTGAGGGTTGTAGACGGAGAAAAATCAAATGCGATGCGGCGACGACAAATTCGTGGCCATGCGCGGCATGTACACGACTAAAACTAAACTGTGTGCCACCCACCGTCAGCTACGAAAAAGACTCCAGCCAACCCGGCGTTCATACATTCGAGATTCAACGGCCAAATGAATACCCCGCTATCCCCATCGGTACCATTGGCGATTACCAGCGACCGCAGATACCCTCTCAACCGAGCTACCAAGCCATGTCAACAAACATGCCTCCTCATGTTCCGTCTCAGACATACGAGCCTCTCTCTACTTACTCGACGCCGGCATATATGACCCCTACCACGGCTCACGATGCTCAATATGCCGCCATGCCTGCGACGACGATGTCGGCTCACAGTATGGCTGGATTCGCTGGCTACACCGCTCATTCTGTGTCAACACAGCCTCGCAACGACTCGATCGACGCATCATATCACCCTCCTTTACATAGAGCAAACTCTCTCGACAGTTCTTGGAATCGACCTCCCGTGGACGTTTCTGCTTTACGGCAAAACTCTCTCGACAGTGGCTGGAGATCCGAACCAGGAGTCTCCCCGTCTGCCGACGTTCTCGCCGAAGCCATGGGAGGTTTGAAAATCGACCATCTTGCTATTGGTAAGCTCCATTAGGATCCCTTGTAGCACCACGCTAAGCGGAGAATCAGCACCGTACATTGCGGACCGGAACAAACTGGCGGAAGCTCCTGCCGTAGCAGAATACGAAGTCGATATTCCTCAGCATTCGAGTCCTGATCAGCCCCTATCGATTCCTCCTGAGATGATGCCCAGTGACGAACAGGCCCTGCAGTACTTTCAATATTTCTTTGCTAATATACATCCATATGTACCAGTTCTTAATCGCCAATTTTTCTATCAGCAATGGAGTTCGAGCCGAAACTCAATTTCGCCGCTTCTGCTAGAGGCTATCTTTGCTTGTACCACCATGACGCTAGAGGATCACGCTCAAGCTAGCAAATGGCTAGCACTTGCTACTAGTAGGTGGGACTATAGTCAGCTGGTGAACCCGAGGCTAATGCGATCTAGAGCATGAAGAAAGCTTCAAAGACGTTCCACGACTGAGCACGATTCAGGCCTCGCTAATTCTGCTGAAAGCTAGGGAGGGGGCCCCGAAGCGAGGCTACTTTTATCGTTCGTGGATGACTGTTGTAAATGTGGTGGCGATGGCAAAGGATCTTAATTTCCACGAACACAAGGCTGATCATGACGCTGGACAACCCTGCGGCTCCTCACCCTACGAATGTGTTGCAAAGACCCGAATATGGCAACTGCTGTACATTTTGGAAGGAATGATTGGCGGGCCTCAAGGTTTGATCTTCCCATCTTTTGCATGACTTGTGTGCTGAGCAAAATCCATAGGGCGCCGTGACTTTAGCGTTGACCCAGAGACCGTTGACTTCAACCCTCCAGCGAGAGTACCTGGACTTGATGAAACCGACTTCCAAGTGTCGTTCCAATTCGTGTACCTGGCGCGTTTGGTCCAAAATGTTCGGGGGATCATTCGCATATATGCAAAAGTAAAAAAGCTCAAGGACTGGTACTTGGATCCAGAATTTGTTGGGCATGATCAAGTGTTTCCCAAATGGCTACGAGAACTTCCCCAGAGTCTACTTGTCGTAATTCCTGAGGATGGATCAACTCCGTATCTGCCGAATTCATTCACGGCAAACATGAACTGCTATCACTACCTGAGTGTTGTTATGCAACATAGACCGCAAGTGCACTATCTCACAGCGACGGACGGCAATTGGAGACAACATATGATCATATGCCACGATGCGGCAAAGAAAATTTGCAGGATCCAGGAGGCGATATTGGAGAACTTTGGAATGCCTGGCATGTTGTGCATGCTGCGCGGCATCAGCTTTACCGTATATTGCGTGCTCACCTGTGTCATGCTACACCTTGTACGTGTCTTCGCCGAGTCCTAGATTTGCATAGCTAACTTAAAGCGTAGGCATCAATCACGTCACCAGATCCCGAACTCAATTGTGAAGCACGCGATTACTTCGTTCGGCACATGCGAATTTTGGAACAAGTTATTCCTCACTGGCCACTTCCAGAGGTTCAAGCCCAGGTGAACAGCTTGCGGGAAGCCTTCTCTGCGGACACAAGCAAACCGTTCGATTTGAAGCCCAGCTTTCCGTTCGGCAGTCCATCCGCCCAGAATGCCAGCCCTATCACCGACGGTGCGTACACCCAGCAACCACATTCTGTGTCTAGACCATCCGTTGTAGCCCAAAGAGCAACAGTCTCTTTGGAACCACCGGCACAGGTCAGCTATACCACTAGTATTCCTCAACACCCCATATCGCCTCCGGTTTCAACAACGGATGAGGTGCCAAAGGCTGATTCACCCGTAGTTCAAGGCTTGGCGATGATGGGCGCAGGACAACCAAACCAAGGCGTTCAGGGACCAGAAGGTTATCAGCAGCAGTGGAACCCGACGAAGATATTCGAGTAAGCCACAGCGGCTACGTGCAGGAATTTAGAGCTAACGAGTGCATTAGTCAATGGAACGCTGCCTTCGGAACACCTGCTTCATCGACGTCACAGCCATCCCCTCCCATGCAACGGAATCAACCTGGTACATTCGACGTTCGCTCAAACCAAGAGGGCTTGTCGTCTCAGTATCACTCGACACCGCCTCAAGCGAATTATGCAGCGCCAGACGCCAATTTGCAAATGCAGACCGGCATACCAGCTCAGCAGCAAGGAAGCTATCCTCCATCTCAATCTAACTCATTCGTGTCACCCAGTATGTGGCAGCAAGTTGTCGCAAATTCACTCGTTGATGGCCGCAAGCGTATGTGGACGGACTACAACAGTGGCCAAGGCATGAGTATGGATGCTATGGCTAAACGACAGCGATAGCCTCAGTCCAGCAATGTTGCAAAAGATGAATTCGGCCCGGAGGCCCCAGTTCACGCAATGGAGTTTATCCCTCATATTTTAGCAGCATGCAGCGTCTTGCGGTGCCTACACCTTCATGACTATGCTCGCGCGACATGATGAACAAGGGCCCTTGACGTGATCGGCTGGAAATCAACTGCCGACTCAAGCTCTTTCACCCCACATTGTATCAGTAAAGGCGCTTCTGCAAGGAAACGACAGGCCCCAACGCGGACTATCCTCTTTCTGATCATCTAAGCAGCTCACGTAGTTGCTCATGTCTACTTTTCGCCGATATGAGTCGGCAACCTCTATATCTAGGACCAGCACCAGGGGAGTGGAAAGTCGGATCTATAAGATGGTTCCTTAGTCAAGACGTATTGGCACTGCATTTCATCACCCTTTCCGGCCTAAAGGGACGAACAGCCGTCAGATGAACACGTGCTTGGGTCACCGCTGGGCAGGCCTCCCTTGATCAACCAAGGCCCGTCCTCAGGCGCCCCCCCCCTTCCTTGGCTTCCCGTCGATCGGGGGAATGCTGCCACGAGGCTTCGAAACCAGTCTTTTCCGACCGTTAAAACCGTCGACTTCTGACGTGTGCACACTATGTTCACTTGTCAGGACAGCCTATCTTTGCTCTCACTCAAAGAGTGCTGATGCAGGCCAAGAAGTCTTACCAAACCGGTGAGGCTTCATTTTAGTATCAACTTTCGCAGCACTCCCGCAAGCGCTTTTGAGCATCAAGCACACCTCAGACTACTCAACTCCTGCTTCCTCCAACGAACGCTGGGCTGGTCCAAGCGTTGGCGGATTACAGTGTGCAGTGCTGACGGGGGGTGGGTACGTACCATGATCCTAGCTAACCTGTTCATATTGCTTTTTCGCTCGCTTAGCCGAGGTGTGGGACTTCTACTTTTTTTTTTCCTGCCTGCGACGGAGCAGTTCTCAACATGGGTCTATTGTTTATGAGCCTCAAAACCTGGCGTCGAAGCGTGTGCAAGCAAAAAAAAAGTAATGCAGCATGGCCGTCGGAAAAAAAAAAGACCGCCGACCTCCTTCGATCATTCTTCATGGTATACCCCGCCCAGAAGTCTTTGTAATGGCTTGGCACATGGTTTGATGTACGCAATTCTTTCCCATAGCGCTTTTCGGTGGCTGCAATGTACGATAGAACTTGATGACCTGAACGAGTGAATAATGTGACCTGCGATACCAGATATGATGAAGTCAGGGATAATAATTGTTTTTCTTTTTTTTTTTTTTTGAAAGAAAAGAAAAATGAAAAGAAAAATAACCACTAAAAAAAATATATACTCTCCCCAACACCGTAATTGGGAAGGAAAAGAAATGAATCACTAAGCTTAACTTTGTACTCGCACATTTCATAGGACTGCTCTTCCTTCCCAAACGCTCCTGTTCGTCTCCTTCGTGATGGTGATGAAAAGAACACGCGGAGACTCATGTTTTCCAGACGGCAACTGCCGCGAGGTAGATGCTCTTCCCACCTGAGCCTGGCACGAACGATCAACAAAGGGGGGTCCAGAGAATTTAAGCAGGAAAAGAAGAGAGAGAGAGAGGGAAATAAGCGGAAGAAAGTAGGAGAGGAAGAGACACAAGTCGTACGTCCTACACGAATCTTTCCCCATCCAAACGTGTTTTTTACACAATGCAAGGGATGATGGCTACATATATATATATGCGTGGGCGTATAAAATAAAACGATAAATCGAAGAGCCATCGCACCCGCATCCCATGCCGCAAGTGAGATCTATAGGTTTCATGTCCATGCAAAGCGAAACGAGTCACAAGTCATCTCTAAAATAACGGCGCCCTTTTCTCGTTTCGAGGCTATGCTTTCCCTTTCCACCATGCAAAAAAATGGGTTTTTTTTTTCTTTCTTTTCGTTTGCCTAAGAGCCGACTGGAAAAAGACAAAAGAGGAAGAGGAAGGGAGATAGATGAGGAGAGAGGGGAAAAAAAAAAAGGGGGGGGGGGGGGGGGGAGCGAGGAGGGAGGAGAAAGGGCGGTAGAGTCGTGACAGGTTTGTTTTGCAATCCAACAAGAGGAAGGTTTACAAAGCGGTCGAGATATTGCCCTTGTTCCAAGTGGGCACAGCGGTTTGCCAGGTCCGGGGGGGACGGGTTACTACGAGCGCTGTCCGGGGTGGAGCTGCCGGAGATTTCGAACGGTGGACGTCGCTCGGGTCTTGGTCGACGGTGGAGGACGGACACGGGAGCTGGGATGTTCGGCCGGTCTTTGGGCCTGCGACCCGAGCGCGTGTGATGCGAGGCTCAGAAGAGCATGTCGTCCAGTCGTAGGCCTCTCCGTCTGCGAGCCTTAGCGTCCAGTCTCACGCGAGGATCGAACTCGAGCTCGCACTCTTGCAGCCAGTCTGACCTTTGCGACGAGACTCTCCGTCTCGATGATCCTCCGACGGCCTGATCGTTGAATTCTACGCCGAAGTCGTGACGCAAGAAGGTCATCACGCCTCCGAGGTGTCTGTCGCCGTTGGCGACGATCAGCTGTGAGCCATCGGCCGAGATGGCGGTGCCCGCGACGTCGCCGAAGAACTCAATCACTTGTTTGGTTGCATATGTGCGCGCGTCGACAACGTTCACTACGTCCGCCGACTCGGCCACGACAAGAACAGGACTTCCCCCTCCGAGAGGGGAGAACTGGAGTGAGGTCGGATGAGCGTTCTCGGTCGCAATGGCCGCCAGCGGACGCGACCAATTCCGAGCGTCCCACACCACGACCTGGCAGTCCTGACCCGCAGTCGCCACGTGAATGTCGTTGTCCGCCCAGGCACACGCAAAGCCGTGGCCTGAACTTCCACCCCTCGCATGTTCCAGAATGCGACCTTGGTCGGCGTCTGCGATCAATGCACCGTCGAAATCTCCCACGAGCACGCGCAGCCGGCCGTTGGGTGAGGTGGCCGAGCAGTTGACAACGTCGTCATACGGCACGCTGGAAACGATACGCCCGGAAAGGACGTCCAGAGTCCGGATGTGTCTGTCGTTCGAGCAGAAGGCTGCCAAAGGATTGCCATTCGAGCGGCTGTTGAAAGAGTGAATGTGATTAGTGATAGCATGGCGGTCGTAAGAGACGAAGCCAATGACGGGCTCCGTCCCGAATTCGGACAGGAGATTCTGTACCGCGAACTCGCCCCGGAAGCCGCCTGCGATCAAGGCAGAGCCGGCTGCGGCAAGAGACGTGACGTGGAAGTCGGACGTAGCTTGGAACGGGTCTGACGACGGGCTGAGATCCATGACGCACGTGGGGAGCGGATTCGAAGAGCCAAAGGACATGACTTTGGAGCGTGACACATAGTGGATGTCGTTGTGAGACGTCGTGGCCAGCAGGTTCCGTAATTGATAATGTTCGATCCAGGGCCGGGCGTTGGTGTTCGTCTGCGAAAAGAGAAACGTGCGTGCAGCAGCCGGTATTCTCCGGGCCGCGTGAGGAGTAGCAAACTGGCGTATCTGGGGATGTTGGTGATATCGGCTTCGAATGTGTCGAACCTCAGAGGCACGAGTACCAAACCGGGCCCATTTGACGCCTTGTGCATCGCAACTGCCGACGGCCACGTCTGTGTTCAAGACGACGGGCGGCCTGGGCACTCCTCTGACGTTCATAACCTCTGCTGATATCGGACTGTCCACGTTGCCTGCTTGGTACTCCATCAGCCACGCGGCAAGGAACAATGCCATGTCGTGACTTGAATTCGGATTCGGACGACACGGCCGCTCAACATCCCACGACGCAACGGTCGACGCTAGGCGCTGCGCGGCGGGATGCCCGTCTGTGTCTGTCGGTTGCGGGTTCGCTTCCGACAAGTCCATCGCATCCTCGGCATGGGAGGGAAGAAGAAGAGAGGAAGTCGATGAAAGATGGGCAGCAAAGAACAGTCGAGCACGAGGCCCGTACGGATCTTCGCCATGTCGACCACGATTCAAGCTCGGGTGCCGTGACTCTGGTGTCTCTGAAGGGGTACCCTGTTCGATGCTAGGGGCCAAGTCCAGTTGCAGCAACTGTCCTCGTAAGGCTGACGGGGCCGCACCCTCATTCAGCAGACCCCAAGGCGAAATGTCCCACTCTGACGGCTCTTCGGTGGGTGACGAAGCACCGTGCAGCGTTTCTCTCGCCCGATCTTCCACGCTGGCCGGAGATTTTGACTGCTCCGGAACGGTGCGAGCAGCCAAATCCCGGAACGGCGACGGCCCGCAGTCGTCTCCGGAGGCGGGTGACGGCAGTGGGGTCATGGTGGTGAAGATATGTGGCTTGTCGTCATGAGCAAGAAAGGATATCAGTAGGAACGGCTACGATGGAAACGTGACGTGATGGGTGAAGATTGCATGGCGCTGCATGTGAAATTCGAAGCAGGCCTTCTAGATGTTTGCCAGATGCCACGGAAAAGAGCGCAAGCAGGGATAGGCAAAAATCGTAGATATAAAGAAAAGGACCAAATCTCTCGTTCGGTGACGAAAGGCACGGGAAGCGGACTGATCACATTTCAGAAGCTGGCGGGGCGTGCAAAGGGTAGACGGTGAGCAAAAGCTGTCGAGCAGATGGATGAGACGGGCAACGAGAAACAATAGTGCCGCGAAGAAAAAACTTGGGTGGAACAAGTCGTGGTAGAGGTTTATGAGTGGTGCTGATTGGCCTTGTTCCAGGTTGCTCTTGTGATCTGGAGAGTCGAAATGCCAGCGCTTTGCGGTGGAATATGCAGGTTGTCTGCAGCGGGTCGGCAAGCCACTTGGTCTCGTTGTCTTCCCTGGCCTTTCTGGATACGTCGACCAAGTGGAAGGGGGTGTAGCCTCAAAGGCTTGTGGATGGAAAGACGGCCCAGAAGGCGGGAGGATTCCGCCACGGGACGCTGCAGCTGGACGAGGCAATACGGGGATCCGGCAGGCTTGGACTTTGTGATTCACCAACATGGCCTGAGTTGTACTGACACGCGAGCCCTCGTGTCGCCTGCCCGGTCTCCGGGACGGCGGTAGGGGGGGGCGTGTTTTTGTGGAGGATGGGACGTGGCCACGCTCTGCGGCTGAGGGTGCTTGCACGCACGACGCACGCGTTGAACGACGCGGAAGAGAACGGGCCTGGGCGACGCAGAAAACCAGAGCCGAGGAAGAGAGAGAGAGAGAGAGAGACGATGGCGATGCCAGCGAGCGGGGCCACAGCACCTTGTGGCCACGCTCGCAAACGCCGTTCGGGAGCGTTCAGACGGATCCGCCAAGTTGGGCCCGGGTCGGGTGCGTCGGGCGTCAAGAAAGCGCAAGCCTCGAACGCACGAAACGTCACTGGCAGCGAACACTCGACGACGGGCCAATGCTCCTCGAGTCGCTCTACCAGGGCACGCAGGATGCAAGTCGGCCAACGCCATCCAAGCAAGGAGGAAAATATATAAAAAAAGAGCTCAAAGAAAGGGCGTGATGGATTTGTGTTGCACGACCGCGCGACGAAGGGAACGGAGCCGATCGTGACGTTCAGCAGCAAGGCGCCTCCCCTCCCTCTTCTCCAACCCCTTCACCAAAAAAAAACAACGAGGGAGCGAGACGGATAGAGAAAGAGAGCAGGAGACAGGCCGTCCGGAGAAGAAGTTGCCACGCTTGTAGAGCAAAGGAGACAAAACGACCAGTGAGAGGCCAGCAAGCGAGAGAAGAGCGTCGACGATCCTGCACGGGATCGAATGCGGACAGGTGAGTTGGCGGGCATGAGAGAGACAAAGAGACAAGAGAGAGCGCGCGCACGAGAGAGAGAGAGAGAGAGAGAGAGTGAGTGAGTGAGTGAGAGAGAGAGAGAGGAACAGCGAGGAGCAGGAAAAAGGATGAGCGAACGTTTGCAAATCTTTTCTGTCTGTCTCCGTCACTCACTCTCACTCTCTCTCTCTCTCCCCGTGTGTGTGTCTCCTCTTCGCCCTCTGTTCTCGCGCGCCTTGTTTCGCGTCGCGCTCGCCAACCCGCAGAACCTCTCCCCCTCTGTGCGCTCGCCTTCTGCCCCGTCCCCTCCCCCTTCTGACCACTCCTCTCGTTCTCCCTCGTGTTGTGTCACGATCCGGCCTCCCGGGAAACCGACAAAGGTGCGCGACGCCCCCGTCCAAGGGCGACGGTCTTTTTGCGAGCCCAAGGAGGGCCCGCCCGCAACCGCCTGGCCACGCGGGTGCCCGCTGCTCGCGTGGTGGACGCGCCCCCCCTCCCCCGCCCCCGCCAACGTCGGACGGCCTGTAACTTTGGGGCGATGAAATCATGGAAACAAAGACACAAAAAGTCCTTCGCCCAGGACAAGATAGGTTGCGGTGCTCCTTGGGTGGGGGGAACGCCCCTCACTACTGCCGTGGCAGCGTGAAAAATCACTTGCAGCACGTCGTCTCCGGCCTGCGGACGCCCATCATTCCGCTCAGGTGAGCTATGCCTGCCTACCGTGCGACACAGCGGACCACGCGCCACGTCCTGTAAATCAGCCCTTCTGTTTCGTTGTCGGTCGCATAGAAAGTACCGCCGGTTGACGCATTTTTTATTCCTTATCTCTGTACAACTACGCACATGCACGCGCGCCCTCACTCTCTTCTCACGCTCACGCTCACGCACAACGTACGACAGCGATTGTCGATCTGTCGACCTGTAGATATGGGCGAAGCGAACGGATCGATCGCCTTCTGCAGGCCTCCGCCAATTAAGTACAGTTCCCCTCAGCCGGAAAGAGCGTCGATTCGCGCACCGCAAGTGAGCACGCCCAAGCCGCCCGGCAAGCCCGAGTCTCTCAATCCCTCCACACCCCCCCAGTAACCAGAAAACAGAAGAATATAAAAAAAAATTACAACGCAATTCAGAAACTCAAATATGCACTTGGCGCCGAGAAAATGCCCACCCGTGAATGCTGGTCCATGTATCAATAGCGTACAAGCGAGGCACCCGAAAGCTTTCTCCGCTGTGATCCTCACAATGCAAAGTCCGTAGTCAGGTTTACATGTCGTGATACGGTTCGTAGCCGGGCTGCTGCGTCGGCCAGCTGTTGACCGTCGAGGTTGCGCCTTTCAATCTTCGCTCTGTTTGGAAAAAAAAAGCAGGGGTTAGCAAACGGGTAAGCATTGATTAGAAAAGAAAAAAAAAAGGAGGGCAACATGACCTATCGTGACCTTGTGCAATGATTTCGCCAAAAAAGGGGGGGGAGGGGATTATGTGGTGGGATCAGCTTACCCTGTTCAAAGTCGCCCCAGCGCTTCATCGTGATCTTACTGCTGTCAAACTCGCCCTCGTATTCGTAGCCGGCCTTCTTGACCTTTTCACCCGCCGTCTTGCGCGTGTCACCCCAGCTGAAGTCGTCGAACTTCCAATACGCGTACGTGGGCAGAACAAAGTTCCAAATCGGCAGGGAAAGCAGGTAGACGAACATCCAGGCGACGTACGACCAACGGTGTGCCGTCAGCACGATGAGAACAGCCGGCAGACCGAGAATGAGAGCGAGCAGAATGAGAGGGATGACAGGCGCTTCGGTGTGCTCGACAGCGGCCCTAATACTGATGGCGACGAGGTAGATGGTGAACGAGATGGCAGCCGGTAGGACGAGCGTGCCCAGGAGCTCGACGAAGACGACAAACTGCATGCTGAAGCAGAAGGTGCCGCACAGGTCGCGCACCAGGACCAGCTCCATGAGATTGTGCACCGTACTGTTGATCCATCTTCGTCGCTGAGAAAGCAAGACCTTGAACTTGTCCGGAACGGTCGTCTTGCACACAGCTTGAGGCACAAAGACCTGCTTGCGCTTGGGGAACGTCTTGAGCATCAGGGTCGACAGGTACCGATCTTCTCCCAACAGCAGTAAGTTCTTCTTGTGCAGCGTGTCAACCACGTTTTCTGAATAGTGCTCGACCACATCCGGATTGGCCAGAATCGGCACCCAGTAGTTCTGTCCGCCCTTGGGCGCCTTGATACGGTACATGCAGAAGCAGCCGGGAAGACAGGTGACACCACCGAAGACGGACTCGAACGACTTTGACAAGTGATGTGAGATGAAGTATCTGGAAAGAGAAGATCTAGTCAGCACTACGGACGTTTGATCCAATCGCACGTGTATTGGGGCCGGAAAGGGGGGGGGGGGGGGGGGGGGGATAACGTAAGTGAAAAAAAAAGAATTTAACTGGGGAGCGACGTACTCGAAGACTTGGATCATGGTGACCCAACTTTCACGCTTATTCGCAATCTTCGTCTCGCCACACAAGCCCATGATCTCAGGGTCCTTCACCATGGCCGACACCATGTGTGTCAAGCTGTCCGGGAAGACCTTGGTGTCGGCGTCGACCATGAGCACCATCTCGTAAAAGTCCGGCGAGATGCCCGTGACCTTCCAGATTCCGTTGAACATCTCAAACTCCAGCTCCGTCATGCGCTCGTCGAACATGACCTTCTGCAGGAAGGACATGAGGATGATCTGCGAGTCTCGCTTGCCACGGTTGCCCGGCTTGCTCTTGCTTGCCTCGTCTGGGGTGCCGCACTTGACGACAAGCAGCATGGGCACTCGTTCCTGGCGTTCGAGCGGGACGGCAGAGTCAGATCCATAGTCGTAGAAGCCCGCATACACCTTGGCCATGTTGTGGCGCTTGGCACCACTAGCGACAGCAACGTAGGAGAACGGTTGCACATCCTGGGGTAACGTCGCGTGGTCCTTCATCATGCTCAGGCAAATGTCCGGCGTGGACTCTGTTTCACCTTTGCCTTTGATCACACCGTCGGCCACGACGAGAATGAGCTTGTGGCTGTTCGGATAGTCCGTAGTCGCGATCGAATCAAGTGTCGTGCGTAAGCCATCGTGACCTTCGGAATAGGCAGTGACCAGGCAGATGACATGGGCCAGCGGATAGCCAAAGGGTTGCCATTCTGGAGGGGGTTGTGGAACGACGGCTTCGTGTATGAACCCCGCGGGACCCGGCCCTTCACTGTCTAGCACGACGCTCGAGCGTGCGTCGCCTGTCGGAAGCGTTCCCTGGCTCTGATTTCCTTGCTTGTACATGCCGCCACCCACTGCGAGAAGCTTGGAGGTGGAGCTCTGGCTGGCCATCGTCGTGTAACCCGGGCGACCCGTGGCACGATCGATGGCATAAGGACTCGTGAATCTCGACGTAGTTGGGAACAGCATGCTACCTCTCTTGCTAGAGCGGTCAGCATAGCTGGCTACGGGATCCGTCAACTTCGGTGGCGGTCTGTAAATGTCATCCGACCATTCCTCAATTTGCTGCTGTCGTTCCTTGGAGCTCCGAACGCCTTTGTCGGCAGCAAACTTGCGAGAAAGGACCCATTGGAAAGCCAATGCGAGGAAGAATTTAGCCAGCACGATGGACAGAATGAAGGTGAGGGAGACGTAGAGCACGACCTTGGAGGCGATGCAGCCTACGGATGTGGTGTCAACGGAGCCAACCTTGATGATCTGCGAGAGACACTTGGCAACCTGCTTGTCCGAGGCCGACGAAAAGGAGCGTGTCACGTCCAAGCCAAGCAAAGCGGTGTTGTGCCGGATCTCGTTGAACTTCTCGGGCACGTTCACCGCGGTTGTATTTATGAAGTCGATGAGCGAAAGATCAAGCACGTCGCTACCGTACACCATCAACTCACGACTGGAATTGCGAACGTCATCCCATGTGAAGTAGACGTTGCCAAAGATGTGCAGGTCGTAGAAAGTTTTGCGAGCATCCATAGAGGTGTGGCACGCGTATCCCTCATACACAGGCTGGGTGTCGTTCGGCTTGCTAGAGCCGTCCTGCTTGAAGGGTCTGCAGGGGAAGTACCAAGCCACGTCCTCGCCGTCGCTAGGTAGATCCGCGGCCTTCTTGGTGATCAAACCCTTGCACGCGCCATTGACATTCTGGAACAAGAAGCTGCCGTCATATCCTCCCCATCCCAACTGTCCACTGTCGTTCGGGATATCGAAGCAGACGTTGGCACCGTCGGGGATGCCGCGGGCGAGCGGATGGTGCGAGTGCGACAGATCGATTGCGTTGCCGTGGAAGATCATGAAACCCTTGTCCACTTCGTTGACGCGAATCCGATTCGACTGGCCCGGCGGACACACGGTTTGCGTGAAGCCAAAGGTGATGTAGCCAACGAACGTGCAGATAAGGAGAATGATGCTGATGAGGCCCATTTTCTCCCGCCACGCCCGCTGCTGCGCCTTCTGCGGCTTTCCGAAGCAGCGCAGAACGGCATCGGGGCACCAGAACGTCACAATGGCGCAATACACGTTCCACAAGCTCGGCGGCCTCACCGACGCCGCATCGCGCGCCCGCATCTCGCGCTCCTGACGCCGTTTCAGCTCCTTCTGCGTGTGGCTTCTGCGCAGCTTTCCCCCCTCCTTCTTGTCGAGTGGGACATCGTGGAACTTCTCCTTCATGGGAGGGCTCTGCGACGTTGACGACCGTGTGAGCCGATTCCCCTGATCGGCGAACGGGCTGTTCGCATCCGCAGACTCTTCGTGGTCTTCCATGATAGGATCATGGCCTGTGGTTGAGGGCTGTACCGCCATGCGCTGGGCGTGTTTGCGGTAATGGTAGTTGGGGTCGTCCGAGTCGTTGCGCCGACGCTCAGGCTTGATCAGACTCTTCTTGCGCGACACGTCGCCGCCATGGGGCCGTTCGCTCGGAGTCTGTGAAGACCCTATCATCGGCGAGCGATCATCAGATGGTCGATGCTGGGGAGCAGCATGAGCGTAGGAATTATAGCCGCTTTGGCGAGGTCGGTTCCCCGAGCCGGGCGCTGCTGTTGGGCTCGCGAACACGGGAGGACGGGGCGAGCTCTCGATATCGTTGTTGCGGCGTGTAGGCGTTCTGCCCTCTGTGTTGTTGCCGCCCCGACGCGGCGAATTGTGTGACGACATTATGAACTCTGTATCATGACAATCAGCACCCTTGTTTGCCGGGACACATTCCTTCCTCATCGCGACCGGATGCTCCTTGCTCCTGCGGCGCCGCCGGACGGCAGCCCAAAGACGTCGTCACACATTGGGGGGGCGCAAGGGAAGGGAGGATTTGCTTCTTACAAATAAGGGTTTCTGGAAGGTTGGTTCCTGCCAACCCAGCTCGTTGGGCGGTATCCTGCTGAAGTGTCCTTCTAGCTTCCCTCTTGGCCCGATCTTCCTCCTGTTTCTCAGATCCGCAACATCCAAAGCGTCGATTGCCAAGTACGTCTCTTTCACGTCTAAACACGGTCTTGGTCACGGAAGGGAGCGACCGGAACGTCCAGGCGCGCGAAAAGCGGCTCGGAGACGGTGATGAAGGGCAGCAAGCGTCGCTCAGCAGAGGCGGTGGTGGCAGGCAGCGAATGGAAACTGATGATGGTCAACAGACACGGCCTCGGGTGACTGCGAGGTGCAGGACGAGGACGGTGCGAAGTGGCCAGCGAGAGAGGCTCCGCAGCGAGGGTCAGTGTGTTGTGCGTGGGAGTGGGAGTGTTTGTGTCTGTGTGCACAGGAGAGCGGAGCAACGAACGTCGTATCACCACAAGGCTCTGGCTCGTGGGAACGAGACGAGGCGAGGCCAGCAGGAAACGAGCGCGGCTGAACGAGTGTTGGGTTTGGGCAAGCAAAGCAGCAGAGCCAGCAGCAGGGAAACAAGGACGAGGTGAGAGCCGGCCAGCAGCAAAAAGCGCTCTGGGACGCTGGGCGCCTCCACAAATGACAAGCCTTCGCTCGCTCTCCTGATCCCTCGCTGCGCCGGCGTGTCGATGGGGGTAGTCCTGTTGCGGCCTAGCGCTGTATTGCCCGTCTATTTTGGGAGGGTTCGCCTGGGCCTCAGCCACCCAGACCCGCTCGTAGCGCAGGGCAACCTTCCCACGCTCCCTTACTGTGGTGCTTTTGTGACGGCCGTCTCCAGACCTCGTGATGACAAGAAACAACATCGCAACAAGATGAATCGTGCTCCGACGCTTGCTCTGTTGCTCCGCACCTCCCGCCCGATGCGGTCCCTGTGCTGTACAAGTGCGGAGTCGAAGCCATCTGGCGCGATCCGGTCTGGATGCGCGGCTTACGCCCTTCGCCGTCGCTGAAGCTTGTTTGCATCACGTGCCCTCGCCCGCAACTCGCCTGGCATGAAGCCTTTGCCGTCTCCCATACCGTGGACAGACAGCGGTTGAGGCATAGAACGTCCGTCCAGCGCTGCGTGGCTGCCAGAGCGACGCACGCATCTAGGCAAGATGCTGATACAGGACAGCTTCGGAACGACACTCAAGGGGAGCTGGGGGGTGGAAAACTGTTGCCAAAGCGGAATCGTCATTTCTAACCCTTGGACGGGGAGCGAACCTCCTAGCCCAGCAAGGATCGATCCCAGCAAACACGCTCATCTCAAATGTCAAACCGGCTGTCAGAAAATGTAGGTACCATAAAAATGGCTTCGCTACAAGCACGCTGTTGGCCTTTCGGCGCTGACACCGGAGCCGTCTCCCATCTCACCGCTGACGGTCCCGTGGCTCTGAACACAAGATCGTCTACCATGTCCGCAAAAAACCCAACATGGTGTCACGGTTGGACAGCGCCTCATCATTTATCGTTCTGTGGCAAAGGGGCTCGAAAGATGCAACGGGTGTCGCTAGCGCGTGGGAACAGCGCAGCTTGTCCTGCACGTTCAAGCACACGCACGACGATCTGAGATTTTCCCTTTCTCCTGTCGGGCACGAGGCGTGCTTGTCCAGGCGACCATTTGAAAACTCTTTTGGTCGTTTGGGCAGAACTTGCCTCTCCAGCTGGCGTCGTTGAAGGACCGGCTGTCCTTGCCTGTACGATGCGTGACCGTCCGTGTTCCTCTCTCGACTTTTTTCCACTTTTCTGGGTAACTCAGGTTCTAAGCGCGTTCTAGAAAAGACGAGCGGAAGGTATGACATTTGAACGAACACAAGCTACGAGGCGCATGATGGCAAAGAGGCAAGAAAAGCCCATGGCAGCGAGCAAAATCGCATGTCAGCTGTCCTATCCAGATCGTAGATAACACCGGCGCGTCAATCTTGTGTATCACGGCGCTTCCTCATTGGGAGCCACTTCGCGATAAGGCCCAGCATGTAGCCGACGTCGTAATTAAACCTGTTGTGGACTGGAGGCATATAGTAAGACCAAGGGAAGAGCCGCAGAACGCTTCGTCTGCGGTCACTTCCAACTTTCGTCGTCAATCATGCTACCTCTTGACGAAACGCGACCGCCCGCCTTTCCACGCGGTTCCATGGAGAGAGAAAAAAAATTACGGGACACCCGCTTGTCCCGTCGCACAGGCGAAATGAACGACGCACCTCCATCTGCCTTCCCCCTATCCCTCTCTCGGCTCGGAAATATTAGACCAAAGGGTTCAAGGCCAGCACAGGCCCAGCACGCAGACTGCGAGCGGCCCGAAAGCAGCATTAGGGGTCGTCGTATCGTGATGTCCGACGGCAGTTCTAACAACCCAGAATGGGGTTTTTTTTTTTTCCTTGGATGGGACAGCAGCCAAACAAAGACGGAGCTTGCACCACGCGTCTGGCGACGGCCCAAAGGGCTAGCCGTCATGGTACGAAGACACACATGGCTTGGGGGAGTGGAGCCATCACTAGAAAAATGAGACGGGAGGGGGGAATGAAAAGGGAAAGAATAAATTTCGTCCGAACGTTACTATCATCATCAACGAGAATAATGATGTGCCGTCTGGCAGGGACACTGAGCGTGCGGCGTAGGGGCCGGTGGGGGGAGGAGGAAAGAATATCGCGACCGTTCTCCATGCGGCTGCCGGCGCTCCGGAACGGTGGACTGGGATGGACTGGCAGCTCGCAGCGCGCAGCTCATGGCACGGCAGCGGCTTTGTAATGGCACGTACGAGCCAACCGACGGTACCGTAATAATGTCCAGAGCTACTTGCGTGCAAGCCCGCTGCTGCGGTGGGGTGGGCTAGGCAGATCGCCCAAGCCATGGCATGGTGGCCGCTCTTTTTGCTCGCAGAGAGCTGAAGCTGAGAGTCGCGATGAGCGCGAGCACTGGCTGTTCGTTCGAGTGGTGGTCGAAAACGACAAGGACGCGGGAGAAGGCAAGTTCCTTTTTCCTCGCCGTCTGCTCGACAACATACAGACAGAATAAATCTCCGGCTTGCTGATCTGGCCTCGTCCGGACCCGCTCTGGCTCGTTCGGGCGGACGCTGGGCGCACTTACAGTGAGCGAGCACATACGCCCGCCCACACACACACAAGCACCAGTACACGCTGCGTTTCTCCTGTCCACGGCTCCCTCGCACGGCCTCGCTCCCTCACGCATTGCACACACATGCCTTCATCATACAACGACGCTCCACCACCGACCAGCCCAGTCTCGTTCGCACGCTGGTAGCCCCCCCAAGAAAAGCGGTGTGCAGCCGGTGCAAGTGTCGCGCTGCTGTGGTTTGTGGTCGTGTCGTGATACGGTGGGCAAGAAAGGCTTTGCCTGGTGAGTTTACTTTTTCTTCCCCCTCAGGACTCACCAGCGCGCTCTCTCTCTCGTTCTCTCCCTCCATTCGCTCACGCACACTTGTCCCCTCTACCCACGCCCGCACTCGCACGACGCGCTGCGTGTATGAGCGACGTATCCATGCGGCTTGAGCGAGAGTCCCGCCCGTGGAAGCCGCCGCGATCGCGTCATGGGCCCAGCGATGCTCCAAGCACCCCTCCCTCTCTGCCGGAAGCGGCGCTCGTTCTGGCATGAGCGACTCCTCGTTTCCATGCTAATCCCAGCCCCGTAGATCTCCAAGAATCTAAACCGCCCTGGCCTCTTTCGCGCCTGCTACGGCCACATTCGTACGCCATAATCTAGCCAGCATACGTTTCTCTCTTGCTTTCCAGCTCCCTCTTGGCTGTTTGCCATCGTCGTCCACTCGCTTGATCTTCACAAAACCATTTTTTGGTCCCTGCGTTCGCTTGTGCTGCTCAGCCTGGTTGCCTTTCTCACCCTTGGCGCTGGCAAGACAGGAAGAGAGACGGAAAAAAAAGAGCTGGGCATCGTATACGAGGGGCAGCGGCCCGTTTTGGAAGCTATATTTACGAACCCGCGGCAGGCGTTTCAGAACCGACAAGACGACATCATCGTCTTGTACGGCCAACAAACGTCACCGCTTGCTCTTGAGGTGCCGTTCTCCACCCGCACACGCGTACACGAAACCTTGCCGTCGCTCCCGCATCCCACCCCATCATGAGCTCTGGCAGCAACGTGGGGATGGATCAGCTTTTGCCCTCCGTCACTCCACCCATACCGCAGCCTGCGCCAGCCTACCTCGATGCTCAGCAGCGCGACGTCGACAGTGTCTCTTCGCCCAATCAGCCCCCCCTCTACAGCACGCCTAACTTCATGCGAATGTCCTCCATAGAGCGGAAACCGATCGGCGGCAATGGTGGAAGAGGCCCTGTGTCGCTGCCGGCCCGGTACAAGAACAACCCTCCACCAGCCGCGCCGAACGACGGCAACAATCACGCCGCCGCGTCGCCCGCAGCCAACCGTGGCTCGCAGATTTCGGTCACGCCAAGCGTAGATGGCCAGTCCGTCGACTCGAGAGAGCTGCAGACGCCGGAGCCGGGACACTACAGGGACTCTACCTATTCAATGCCGCCCACTCAAAGTATCCCGACCCACCACGGACATATAAGAGATCCCTCGGAGAGCATAGCGCCCTCGGAGGTGGGGGAGATCTCGTCGACAAACACGCCGATGCAGAGCCAGCTTGGCTTTGACGCGCACACGGGGCGTCACGACGAAATAAGAGAAGAAGACAATGAAGATGCACAGGCGGAGATGTATCCCCAGCTGCAGTATTTTCACCAGCCACCCCGAATACGTAGCGAGCACAATGGCGCCGGTTCTCCTGTGCCGGAGATCAACTTGCCTGTGGAAGACCTGCAGAGACCAAGATCGACCCTGACGGTCGGTTCGGGCTCGGATGGTTCGCACGGCGCTCGTCGGTCGCGGCTGTCCGTCGCTGGATCCATTTCACCGGGAGGCTCGCCCGCGCAACAGGGCCGCAATTTCTCACGGCACCGACACTCGCCGGACAACAGGCCCCTGTCGTACGTAGATCTGCTTTCCATGCCGTACGCACAACAAGTAGCGCCCGGTGCATCGCTGAATAATTCCGTGCTCAAGAACGCCGTCGGAAGCAACGCCTCGCTGTTGGACCACAGCAAAACCTTGGAGATGTACCGTCAGAACGTCAAGAAGACCTCGGACCCTGCCGTGCAGTATGAATTTGCCGTGTTCATGGTGCAGATCGCCATGGAGATGCCCCCGGACGAACGAGGTGGCCCTAACTCGCGTGAAGACATGCTCAAGGAAGCGAAGCACATTCTGCACAAGCTCGCCGACAGGAGCTACCCGTTTGCGCAGTACTACCTTGGCGACGGCTACTCCTCTGGCCTGTTCAACAAGGGCAAGGAGGACTATGACCGTGCCTTCCCTTTATTCGTCGCCGCAAGCAAGCACGGACATGCCGAGGCGGGTTATCGCGCTGCGCTGTGCTACGAGTTTGGATGGGGTTGCCGCAAGGACTACGCCAAGGCCGTGCAGTTCTACCGCGCGTCTGCGTCAAAGAACCATCCTGGCGCGGCGACACGGCTCGGCATGGCCTGCTTGGAGGGCACGATGGGCCTGACGAACCACTATCGTGAAGGCATCAAGTGGCTGAAGCGGGCGACGGAATCGGCAGACATGCAATACAACGCCGCGCCATACGAGCTAGGCCGCCTACACGAGAACGGGTATGGCGACGACGTGTTCAAGGACGAGGTGTACGCCGCCCAATTGTTCACAAAATCGGCCGAACTCGGCCATCCAGAAGCGAACCTGGTCATGGGCAAGGCATACGAGTATGGCTTGCTGAAGTGCCCGAAGGACGCGGCACTCAGCATTCACTTCTACAATGGCGCAGCGCAGGCTGGACTTCCGGAAGCAATGATGGCTCTGTGCGCATGGTACCTTTTCGGGGCGGAGCCCATCCTTGCCAAGGATGAGAACGAGGCATTCGCCTGGGCGCTCCGCGCTGCCGAGCTAGGTAAGTCGTCGACTCTCTGTGGACGAGCCCCCTCCAATCTTCCCCTCTGTCATGTACATTACCTGAATTTCACCACATTTTGCTGACGGAACATACAACGCAGGCTATGCTAAAGCAGAGTATGCCGTCGGCTACTTCAAAGAGATCGGTATTGGCACGCGGCAGGACGCTCTCGAGGCGAACGTCTGGTACGTGCGTGCCGCGCAGCAGGGTGAAGAGCGGGCCAAGCAGCGGCTCGCTATCATCCAAGATGCAGCATCTGGAGGCACAGGGCAGAATGTGCTGGCCAATGGCGAGAAGCCGAAGACCAAGAAAGGGCTGTTTGGGAAGCTAGGCATGAAAGATTGAGGAGGGGGGAGAAGAGCGACATGTAGTGAGCGTTTTTTTTTTTTGCGAACCAGTTCTGTTAACGTGTGCATAAGCATCTCTACAGGAGGAAGCAACCGTCGTCGTTTAGATAGACATGCCGCCCGAGGCGGCTACGGCAGCGGCGACGAGGCTGTGTGATCAGAAAGAGACGCGCACAAGACACTGAGGGGGATGGCGGTGGAACTATTTTGAACGCACTTTATTTTTCTCGCATCGAGGCATTGCATAAACGTGGCGCAACGGACCAACATTTTGATTTTGATGATTATGTAAGGGGCACTGCGCAGCAAATATGTCTCCTCTTCTTCCCTTCTCCCTTTCGCCTCATACATCACAATCACTCCCATCCTTGCTCACCCTTGGAGACTGAGAGAACCAGAAGCACGCTTTATGATTGGTAATCTCAACATCCGTATCCAAGTCATCAATCGCTCTTGTGGACAGGGGAGAGGCCGAAAGTGGACTCGGGATATTGGACAGTTGGATTTGGGAGAATAGGAGAGGGAGAAAGGCTATTGATAACTCGCTGCTCTGTTCTTTTTTTTTCGATAGCAAATACAATAATGGTAATGCCGAAGGGGGGCAAGTGTTTTCCAGTGAAAAGGTGGTCTACACCGCCGGCGTTACCGTCCTCCTTCGTTTTATTTTTGTCCTCCTCAAACATAGTAGACTCTCAACGAGAGCGAGCGAGAGCATCATTTTCCTCACTGTCCTTGTGAAGCAATGACGAGTCGTCGTTTGCCACCTGTTGCAAACGTTGCCGGCTGCTCAGGAGCCGCAGGCCGGATCACGAGACGACCGTCGTACCGTTCCTTGGCCCCAGTCGCACATGGGAACCGTCGCGACCGGTCAAGCAAAAACCTCGCGTCCGCGGCCGCGCAGGAAGAAAAGAGGGTTGGGGGGCCAAAAGCCCCTTGGTGAGGAGCCATTCGAGGAGCGAAGCCGTGCTCGACGTGCCGCCTTGCGAACGGCAGCCTCGGACGCCCCTCCTCTCGGCCCCGGACGTGGAGAACAGAGGGGCCTTGCTCAACATGTTGTCTGCATCTGCAGGACGTGTTTGTCATCGCGAGAGCCCGAAGCGTGCTCTGGATGGCTTTTGGGAGGGGGGGGGAGGGGGGGGGAGAGGAAGAAGACGCCGTGGAGGACGGTTCTGAACCGGTTCGGATCTCGTCTTCTCGCTACGGGCTTCAGCGAAAGAACCCCGTCGTGCTAGGTTGCTTCGCCTCAAAGACTCCAAAAAAATGTTTCTTTTTCTTAAAATTTCTTAAAAAAAAAAAAAAAAAAAAGAGCTCGACACTCATCCCCATCTAGCCTTCGACCGGTTGTTGCCGGCGTAGACATCGTCGAGACCCGGCCTGGCCTTCCCGCCAGCGACACGGCGTAAAAAGGCGACGGTCCCTGCCTCACGTCTACATCGATCCGGGACCGTGTCGACGCGTAGCCATTGCAATTTTTGGGGCTCCGAGGTTTTTTGTTGTCCCGCGACAAGTTCCGAGGTCTCTTGGATCTGGGCTTGACGCCGGCAAGGCTGGCCAAACCCAGGTGCTCGCGTTCAGTCCTAAAGATGACAGCGTCGGTAGGCAACGGCCAAGTTTGGGCTCCCCAAGGCAGGCTTGGGACGAGTCGGAATGGCGAAGCGAAGGTCCGGACCGTGGATGGAATGGACGATGGCGACGTTCCGCTCCGAGGTTTGTCGGCTGCTGGAGATGCCATTTAGGGAAGATAGATGGCGAGAAAAGAGGGTGAAGTCCGGGAGGGTTAAAAAGCAAAAGAGAGCGGGAAAGAAAAAGGCAATGGGATATAGTGGGGCTCGAAGGGATAGGTGTCCCCGGTCTTAGCGACACGAGGCAGAAACAGGTCGGTGTCGAATGCTTGATGATGAAAACAGCTGGAGGGAGCGACACAGCTTTGAAGAAACTGGACTCATGGTTGGAAATGATTGCTTATGACAAAAGAAAAAAGATTGGGCGCATTGGAAACTATATAGACAGAGTTTTTTGCACAGTCCGCCCACTCTACTTCGCCCGTTGTACATTGTATCTATGCCTTCTGCGAAACGAGTCCTGTTTAAGTGTTAGCAGCCAATCGGCACGTTTAATATATAACGGGAAAACATACTCTCAACGTCCTTCACGCTCTGGTCAAGGATCTGCTGGAGCACCTTCGGGTTCTGAAGCTCCTTCTCAACCTTGGCAATGACAGTGTCTGCCAGCTCCTTTTGCTGCCTCTGTTTGACGCTCTGCTCGTATCGAACCCACGAGTCAAGTACGTTCTTGGCTTCGGCGGCAATGGCGGTCTTCTGCTCGAGCTCGTACGCTTCAGCCTCGAGCTTGGCGGTTTCCTGTTGCGTCCATCTTAGCATCATCACCAAAATTCTCCAAGGTACCATTTTCAAGCAGAAAAACCTACTTTTGAGATCTCGAACAGGGTCTTCGTGATGTCAACGACACCACCAAACTCCTTCACGCTGGCAATGCGGTCGTTAACGGACTTGGTGTGGTTCTCCCGCGCCTGGTTAAGGACAGCCCTCATCTTATCCTGCTGTCCCCGGGCCCACTCCGCATATGCCGGGCCACCGTACTTTCCGACACCCCAAAAGACAGTCAGCAGCGACAAAGCAACGATGGTTTCCTCATTGAAAACGTAGAGCTCGTTGCTGATAGCAGCGATAGACAAACCCGCACCCGCCGACAGGATTGCGGCCTTGGAGGCAAGCGAAGAGCCTGGTAGCGAGTCCAAAATGGACTGAGCCTTCTTCTTAGGCTCTTCCGCGGGCACGTCTGCGTAATAGCGAGCGGCGATGGAGGGGAGAGCTCGAGGGGTGAGGGAAGGTCGAAGACGAGCAGCGCCTGTTTCAGAAGGTTTAGCATCTCAATGGCTTCAAAAATTGCTTGATTGGGGTTTCGCATACTGATGGCGCTTCTCGAGAGACGCGCTGCCATGGCTGCGATGGGATTTATGCGGTGCAGGTGATGAGCTTGCTCGAAGTGAGTGTTGCGAAAGAGCTTCTTGAGGTTGGCCGGCTAAACTTCGGCCCGGCTTTTGGCGATCCCAGATCGGGCGAGCTAAGCCAAGTTCAGCACCCAAAAAAAAAGATTCGAGTATAATCTGTGTAAGTGCACGAATCCAAAAAATAAGAAACACAGCATTATTTACGTGGCTGGTTCCTGATTGTGAAACTCGTTGGAGTCTTTCACACACTCAATTCACCGTATCCACATGCCCAGGAGGCATGCCTTTTCTTCAGATGGAACCACAAGCCGGCAAGAAGCGAAAGCGAACTGAGAAAGCGAATACCAGGCCTTCCAAAATCAAGAGCGCGCAGCCAAGCGACGAACAGACTTTAGAAGATGAAGTTCTGCAGCTAGAGTCTCAAGTTCTCGAATCTCGAAAGCACTACAACAACATACCCAAACTGCTTGCGCTCGCTAGAAGGCAAGATCTCATCACCGACGATACGCTGCTCAGTGCGATTGCATTGTGCCGGATATACACACGACTGTTTGCGAGTGATGCCTTAGCGAAGAGCAAGGAAGAGGATGGAACTGAAGAAGTTATTGTAAGATGGCTGAGAGAACGACTAGATGAATACATTCAGCTGTTGTGCGACAGCGTGCGAGATGGCTCTGAAACAGTGCAATCTCCACTTCTTTCTCTGGCTATGCGTATGGTCAAAGAGCAGATCAACTACGACGGGTCAAAGGAATGGACCAAAGGTATCTTTCCTCGCGTCGTTGATGCTGCTCTGGCTGGGGGGGAAATCATTTGGGAAGAGTTTTGCGCTACCTTTTGCGCCGAGTATGACGATGTTCGAGTCTTTACTCTTGTGCATCTCACTGAACGTCTTCACACAAATCCAGACGAGGAGCTTGTGAATGCAACCATCAACCTGCTTCTTGAACTTAAGCCTCCACCTGAAGAGAATGACAAAACTACGCTCTTTGCATCACAGATCGCGAAAGGGGTCCAGAACCTGGTATCGAGCAAGAAGCAGCGCAAGGCCGCGCAGGGCGCATGGCTAGCTATCCTCAAGTCACCCTTATCGAAGCAGCAAAACAAGCAGATTCTCGGCGCACTCGTTGATAGCATAGTTCCTTGGTTCACCAAGGTCGAGATGCTCATGGACTACCTGACAGACTCCTTCAACGTCGGCGGCGCAACGTCGCTACTAGCTCTCTCGGGCCTCTTCCATCTCATGCAAGAGCGTAACCTGGACTATCCTTCCTTCTACCAGAAGCTGTATTCTCTTCTTGACGAGGATTTACTGCATTCGAAGCATCGATCTCGATTCTTTCGACTCCTAGACGTGTTCATGGGATCGACACATTTACCCGCTGCACTAGTCGCGAGCTTTATCAAACGTCTCTCTCGACTAGCATTACACGCACCGCCAGCTGCAATCGTTGTGGTGGTACCTTGGATATACAACATGTTTAAAAGGCACCCGCAGTGCACGTTCATGCTTCATCGAACAGCCCGCACAGCTGAGCAACGTGCCGCATGGGAGACAGAGGGATTCAAAGATCCCTTTGATGCGTCGGAAACAGATCCAATGGAAACGCAGGCGATTGACAGCAGTGTATGGGAAATCGTGACGCTGCAGAGCCACTGGCATCCAAATGTAGCGACGTTAGCTAAGATTGTAAGCGAGCAATTTACAAAGCAGAGTTATAACCTGGAAGATTTCCTGGACCATAGTTATAAGAGCCTGTTGGATGCGGAACTGGGTAAGGAAATGAAGAAAACGCCAGTGGTTGAGTGGGAAATACCTAAACACGTTTTCTTAGAAGAGACTGCTGGTGTGGAAGGCCTGAATGTGTTTGGAATGTTGATGAGGGATGTGATTCAAGAAAGTTCCTAGATGTCAATCAGAGGCGTCTTTGTTAATCTCAATATGCGACTGGAAATAGTCGAATTAGCCGAGGGACCATACGATCTACTGAAGAAAGGAGCTTAGATTCTGATTCCTATCAAGTGATGAGGGGCAAAGTCCACAAAAATTACCCTAGGGAGGAACCCAAGTAATAAAAAGACGCGAGACTCCTTTATACTTCCGACTTTCAATATCGGTGGCTCAAGCCTGAATATAAGGTACGGCTTTCTTGAGGACGTAACAAGTTCATTAAAAATCATTAGAATCTGATGTGAAGATGAAAGCGCATAGCGATCCCCATCCGGCTAGGACGACCAGGTAATTCTCTACGTAAGCCAGGAGCGTATGAATCAATACCGCATCTTCCAGCTCCTTCACAATTCGTTCGTGCCAGCAACAACATAAAATAAAAAAACTCATGTAACATATTGATTCATTGGGGTGAATATGAGCAAATTTATTCGATCCTTTTATCCGGCCTTAGAACAGCGACATGCTATGCCGATTCTCTATGTGCCAGCTTGTTTCCTGCTCTCTCTTCTGCCTTTTCTGAGCTCGAAAAGACAACTGACCGTATCAATCTCGTTCCCCCTTTTGCTTCTATTATGCATCCGCGCCCCAAATTACACTTTTGGCGATCCATCATCCGATTATTATAACAGCAGTCCATTTCTGGCAATGCCGGTATGGTACATTGACTTTGTCCTTCTGACCCCAATCCAGGGCGAAGACAGCCCAGCTTACATCGGAGAACCTGGGGGAGACAAAAAAACAGTCAAGCGATGGCAAGATCTTGAATCAGTATATCAGAGACTGCGTTGGGCTGTACGGCTCATGCTGCCGGCTCATCGCGGAATTGGATGGAACTGGCAGGTCAAAGGCGTACGTTCTGATCCATATGCGAAGTTTCCAAGGTGGAAGTACGTGATCCTCCACTCAGGATGGGCATTATTTTTTTACGCGCAATCTACCGTTATGCTTATTGTCCTTGGCTGGGCTATCGAGACCCAGCAACGAGCAATGAACTCAGAATTTTGGAATTCTGCTACATTAAATGCGCTAATCGGTTGGTCAGGCGCTACGTGGGTATGGGACCGACTTAGTTGCGCATACCATATGGCAGCGGCGCTCAGCGTCGCAGCCGGAATTTGTTCTACCTGGGAGTGGCCGCCTTTGATGGGATCATTGAAAGATTCGTGGAGTGTTCGACAAATGTGGAGTACAGTCTATCATCAGACTTTCCGCAGAGTATGACACCCATACTAGCACCATGGAAATGATGTAAAAATTAACGGAAAACTGAAACAGATGTTCTCCCAACCGGCAATGCGCATTACTCGAGCTTTAGGTTTTCGCAAAGGCACGCTTCCATCCAGGTACATGCAGCTTTACCTTTCCTTCGGTATCAGCTGCATTCTTCACCAGTTCCAGATGTTCAACGTCACACGCAGGGACATGGGCGAATTCAACTTTTTCATGTCCCAAGCTGTTGCCATCACAATCGAGGACTTCGTCCGGTGGGCGTGGAGAAAACTGCACGGATCTAGTCCCAGCCGGCGCTTCGATTTGCTCATGGGCTATGCTTGGACGTTTACTTGGTTCTCGTTTAGCTTGCACGTATATATCAAGGGGCTAGTCGCAGCCAATGTCATAGAGGATTGGCTTTTTGGAGTCGATCCGATCAATTTCGGAAAATCTATGAGTCTGAAGGTCTAAAGTGGACTGCGAACATGACCGTTGTGAGAACCCCATGATGGCGAAGACGGGAAAACGGTGATGCCTATCGTTTTGAATGGCAATGATGGCTTTGATGGGAATTTGGCAGAAAGACGAATCGAATTATACTTGGGAAACCGCGCTAATGAGGATTGAAGTATGATTTTGCAAATGAATGCACAAGATTAAGGTGAAAAGACTTGAGACAGAGGCGTTTCATTAGGATGAACAAGAAATTCGTCAACAATAGAAAATCCAAAGTCTTCCGCTGCCTTGTCAAGCATTTCTCCAATCAACTTTCTCAGCTGCTTATAGAGCTGAGCCCCGTCATTCTCATCAATAAATGAGGAACACTGAATCCACTGTGGTTCGTGTCGAAGCGCATCCTCCACCTGCTTGGATCGGTGAAGCAGCTCGAGTCCAAGAACTTTCTGATTTGGAGTGACAGCAGATTGTGCAACGTTAACCCATAGTTCAGACCAAATCTGCCAAATCTCTGATATTCGCATCAATGGAAGATCGTCAAGCACCCGTAGCACGCTATGAGACCATTCTAATGCCCGTAGATGATCCGTGAATTCTCCAGCATCGCTAGATCCTAGGAGATTTTTGGAAAGACGAATTGCGTACGGCATGGTATAACAAGCCTCAACCTCTCCTAGATACATAGTTTTTTTTTGCCACGTCTTTGTTTCTGATTGCCGCCTTTAGAACATCTTCAAATACAACATCAAGAGACTTTGAATAATCCACAAGAAGACGTTGATTGGGCAGGACGAGAGCTTGCAGTCCGTACACCTTGTCGCGGCGATCACTGCACTGCTGGCCTGCGTACTTGTTTATGGCCTCTGAAAGTGGTAAAAGCTGCGTGGCTTTACGTTCGGCACCGTCCGTAAGGAATATTATGTCTTGTACGAGTTCAGGGACTTTAGTCAGGAAGGTGATGATAGACCGTTGCTTAGGTCGAAGTAAACGATTGACACAGCTGGCCGAAGACCACATTTTTCCACAGGTCATTGCCGAATGTAGGTCGCGAAACCCTCCGGTGGCCGATGCAAAATGTGATAGCACGAGCTAGAATCAACTCTTGTACTATCCAAAGCGTTCCCCAGTACTCCCTTTTCAATATTTCAATGATAGCCTCCTCGCTTTTTTTAAGGTAGAAGATCTAGCATTGTGCCGGAGAGGCATTTCCAAGGCCGCTCTGCCCACGTCTCAATTTCATCAAAAGCATTCTCAGTGCTGGGACCAAGGCCATCGAGCCAAACAAATACATTTGCATCTTTGTATACGTCACTCATCACATTTACGAGCTTGTTGCGCTCAGGAAGATCCTCTTGATTGATGCAAATCTGATCAATCCAGAAGTATTCATCCTGACACTCCTGCACTAGGATATGAAGGAAATTATAAAGATTATGACGTACGAAAAACGCTTTACCGTCGACTGTAATCTCGAAACACGGTGCTGACGGACCCCACGTGTAGGAAAGTGGGCGAAAGACAATACTGGCGTTATTCCCATGCTTAGACTCGGTGAATTGGGAGACCTCTTCCAGGCGGAAGTGTTTAAGATGACCTTCTAGCTCCCCTTGCACATTTAAAGTTACTTTGAAGAGGCGAATTTGTTGACATGAAGGATCCAGTGGCGTGTAGACGAATCGACCACTACTTGCTTTCCAAATAGTTGAATTGAGCAACGACCGTCGAGTGTCCTGAATGCTGCTGAGCGAGGGTGTGCTTGACGAACTGATGTTCATATTTGGCTTCATCAACGATCATAACATGGTCATTGTTCAGGGGAGTTCAGCTAACGAAGAGCTTTGATAGGGCTACCGACCGATGGCTTCCGATGTTGCACAATGAGTTCCGATCCTTGATCTGACTCAGACCAGGTTAAGACGACTGTGCATAGTTTGAGACATCCATGAGGCCAGCGATCTTCAAGGGCAAACCATCTAATCATTTGACCATCCCTAGCTCCTGCCTATCGACTAGCTTAGAGCAGATGCAGAGTGGAAGAAAGTGCTTGATGCATCAAGACGCGCAGGGCACCAAGACGTCAAAGAGGGTTGTCGATCAAATTAAAAGACACACATGCAAAGACCGTGCATCCAGCTACGGAACGCGGCCTCCGCTTCATTCCTCAGCAAAGAGAAGAGTTGGCATCACAGGGAACTTGTCAGATCTAGCGAGGCATCCCTTGATTCATCCCGGGTCGATCAAGACCTTCCGAGCGTGGGCTTTCTTTGGTAACCTAAAGTCTAAACTCGCGCTTGGCCATGACCGATACCCATCACTAGCCCGAGACAGTTGTGATCCATTTTTAAAGTCAACGTCGTATCCCAACGCGACACCTGTGCTCTCCGCTCTTAAGCATCACTGTTCTTCTTCGACCTTTCGACAAGTCACCCCACTGCGCCCATTAAAGGCAGCCTGATCAAAACGATCCAGCCCGATGTGGCGGCCAATCGATGGAGACTGCCTAGGACTAGGTGCAGTTTCAACTCGTGTTAAGCTGACGGGTGAGACACAGCTGATTGCATATAGAGTCCATGTTCTCTTTGGCACTCATGTTTCATCGCTTTTCAAGCCTGCTCGAATCCTGTTCCAATCCTGTTGGCGAGGGTAACGTTTCTTTTTAGCGGGGCTGTGCAGGCTGCGTGCATAAATTGTCTTATTTGTGGATCGTTCGGAGTAATCAAACAGGGAGTCGACCACGCCATTTCCTCAATCGGCGGCTATGCAGAGATCCACGCTGCGCCATTTCAGCAATGCAGCTAAAGGGCTAACTTGAGGGCGCTTTGATAAAGAGGGCGGCACCCCTCATCAGAAATTGGTTTTTCCCGGAGCCTTTCTATCTGGCACTAAACATGCTGTATTTTGGTCTCGACAACGCCTTCTCTGCTGAGAAGGGTGTACGGCGAACTTGCATCCACCCTTATTTTCGCTGCCAATTGATGATGACAGGCCATGTCTGCTCTGGCGAGCTATTCCTAACCCAGGATGCGCTGAGTCCTGTAGAGTGAGGTAATGTAGAATGAAAATTGGACTCAGTATACTGGACCCCGCGGCCTCGATTCTTCAAGTCTCCAGCAAGAGTGTATCACAAGCCATCACAACCTCTAATTCTCTGCATGCCTGATCTTGAAACTTTCTGGTGATTACAGTTTACACTGCCCTGGGCCTTGAGCTTCGCTGTTCAACACAACGGGCACATCTCCAACTGGAGATGGTGTCGCTGAGCAACTAGATTCCTGCGCCCGCCCGAATCAAGACTACTGCAGCCTCCACCCTCTTCACCCTCTGCATAACATTGAGCGAATCTTTCTCAATCTTTTCTTTGATCTGTGTTCCTTATCCTTTGACTTTTATGACCATTGGAATCTTTCAGAACGTGAGATTGTAGTGACATCCGTTCGGGCGTCAGAAGAATGGAAGGCCTTTTTTTAAACCAAGACAATCATCCGTACTCAGGTGGGATGAAAGCTAAGGTTGCATGGAATACCGCTAATGCTCAAGGGTAATCAGAAGACAAGGACGGCGCCAATAGCCTCTATACCGACGACGAAGAGCGATCACTTACTGTGTCGGGAACATCTCGTCCATGCCACAACGGATATGTTGCTCCACAGCAAGTCCAGCTTGTGCCACAAGACAATGACGAGGAACATGGCAACTTAGACCAAGTGATATATGTTCAACAACACGTATACGACTCCGGTGACCTTGACCTCGACTTAGAATTTGTCGAATTTTCTATCCATCACACATATACCCCTGGAGACCGAACTTATTCTGGAGGACGAACCTTACAGGATTTCGAACGTATGTCAGTGCTGAAACAGACTGCTCAGACTTTTCCGCAAAATGATTCGTATACAACATTCTTCGACGAGCCTACCATGTTCGAGACAACACTGCCCTTTGATGATACGAACATTGCATTTCGACTGGAACCAGATGACTCAACAAATTGTGTGGAACCTCTTGATGCGTATGATCCTTTGGCTGGTCTATCCACCGATCTACAGCTTCTATCGAATTCGGCCGCATCAGCTGCAAAGCCCCAACGCAGTTTATTACCGATGACGGGCAAAACACCTGTTAGCGACCATCGCCCTCAGGAGCTTACGTGCGACCAGTGCGGTTCAACAAAGTGCAAGTCCTTGGAAAGTCTCAAACGGCACAAGGACCGCGAACATGGCAGCAAGGTCAAAATATATTCCTGTCCTTACGCGAACTGTCCTAAAAAGTACACGAGCAAAAAAAATACGGACGTTGACCGACACGTTAATTCCTTCCACCTTGACAACCGGTCATTCGTCTGCACGCGTTGTGGGAAATCGTTCTCGAGAAAAGACAACTACTACAGGCATGGCCGCAGTAAGAGATGTTCAATGTCAGTATAATTGATCATTGCTTCGATCGAATCTCGCTCGAAATTAGCTGAATGTGGACAAAACTTGGGAATTCGTGAGTGTGGAAATGCCCATCTCATGAAGCCAGGACGGAATTATCAGTTGGACTTGATGCAGTGCTGCTGTTCCTTCAATATGATGATACTCCCCTGCGGTAAGCATCCCTTAGTTTTCTCGCTTCAAGGTGCTTTCGTCGATGCGTTACATTTTTGCGTCAGTGCGCCTTTTTTTGGGATTTGCACTCTTTACACCATCGCTCTTGCCATGGCTGCATGCAATTTGAACGAGTTTATACACTTTGCGATCAAACTTGTTGATTGCTTTTGCTCTCGCAATACATTACCGTCGCGTCAGACGAGGTTGTAAGCAGTCAAGATATTATAGGCAATGAATTGCTAGCTTCATCTAATGAATGATCAACTTCACCCATAATCAAGATTGCCCATACTTTCCTTAGCATCGTCCCTTTTCCCTAGTTGCTTTCGTTCATAGTGCCATGAGAAAGTCGCAATCTAGGACACTACCGAGTCCGTTGTACGCGTTTCGTTGCCTAGAGTCTATTTAAGCAGACGGAAAGCCGTGTTGTGGGGACGTTGCCCTTGCACTTTGCTGGCAACGCTTTCAAAAGCGTCGATTGTGGTCTGTGGACAGCTTTTCGACGCTTCATGCAGATCTCAAAACGTCAAATTGTGGGTTTCTAAGCCGTCAACGTGTTGGACGCATGTGCAGCAAAAAGCGGGCTGACTCGAAAAGTCATCAAATTGGCTTGCTTTCGGCAAACCTCGGTATATTCTCATCCAGTACATTCCCGCCCTTGAACGCAAAGTCGGCTACTGCTGGCTCCTCGCCCTTATACCCAACTGCCAATTGAACTTCGCTGATAGATCCGGCCGCCGTGTAATCTCTCCCTTAACCGTTTATTTATTTCCATTTTGTATTTTGCCTGGCCCCAAAGATTTCTGCCGCCCCTCGAAAAAGACGTGAGACATGGCGCCAAAGCCATATTTCAATTCGGCTGGTGAAGTCGTCCCTCTTGCTGAGCTGATGAGCTTGGAAAGAATAGACGCGAGGACGTTTCGATCACGAGTCAAGGCGTATGCTCCCACGGGTGGAGAGAATGGCGCGTACGGAGGCCATGTGTACGCCCAGAGCTGCTGGGCTGCAGCCCAAACTGTGCCTGAGGGTATGATAATTCACGTGAGTCTCTCGATTCTAGGCTCAACTTCTTTTATTTCCTATTACTATGGTCAAGATGGAGCCATTTATCAGTTCCGTGCAACAATTGACCTCTCGGAATAGAACGTAACTGGTTGGTTTACCTTGGGAGGAATACCCACAGAGCACTTCGTATACACGGTGCACAACCTCCGGGATGGCGGCAACTACTGCGTGCGCACTGTGACGGTGACTCAGATAGAGGAAAAGGGCGTGTGCTTCACGTGTACATGCTCCTTCAAGCGTGCCGAGTCTTCTCCGTTCAGGTTCCAGCATAATCTGGATATAAAAAAGGAATATGGGGAATGTCTCAACATTGCAGATCACTTTGAACATCCCGAAATGCCCAGCCAAGATTCCTGGTGGTTCAACAATGTCCATCTCCCCAAGAATCCCAATCACTTTAACCCGCTCGGCGGTCTGCACCTCCGAAAAGTTAACATGAAAAGCTACAATGATAAGCGAGCTCCCATTGACAAGAGGCGTCTCATGATGTACACGATACGCGGCAGTCTTCCGCAAGTTCCAGCATCGGTGCTCAAACAGAAGAAGCCAAAGTACAGTCGTGAAGCAAATCTTCATGCAATTGCACACATCTACGCTTCTGACCGCAACTCTCTTTTCGTCATTGGAGATCACCTCGGGATCAGCGCAGACGCAAAACGCACGGCGAGCATATCACACACTGTCATCTTTCACGTCGGACTGGAGGAGCTGATGTTTCCAAATGAGCCTGCGGACCGTCCAAAGAATGCAGCCCCCACGGAAAATGTCGCGGGCTCAGAATCAGCTCCTGATCCGGAATCGAAGGGACGGAAATGGTATATGCAGGAAGTATGGACCGATCGCGCTGAGGGCGGACGTGGGCTGCACAGAAGCAGGATCTGGGACCCGGAAACTGGAGTCCATCTGGCCACGACGATACAAGACGGTCTGGTGAGATTCAAAGACGATTCAAGTCCTCCCAAGTTGTAGAGCATTGGATGTCTCGGAGTACCTTTAGCTTATCCAACTGTCCACTTTTGAGTTCTTGTTCGGCTTTTGGACACGACACATATGTGGTCAAAGCTTGTAAATTTGTATTCATGTTTCAACCGGAGGCTACTAGCTTCTGCTGAGCTTTGTCTCTAGATATAGATTCATCGCTCAATGCGGTCGAGTTAGAGACCTTGATTTGCTCGAGCACTTTTGAAGCGACCGCGATAGCGTCTTCTGGCATGCCTGCATAGCATCAGTTATCTAAACCAAGACTGAATAATGTAGACGAACCAGCTAATCTCGCAACCTTGAGAGCATGTGGATTGCGATTGATACCCTGTCTCAGCTTGTGGACGTATGAAAACGACCCATCCAAGTGTTCTGCTACATCCGTGCAGTAGCAAGCTAGGTGCTCGAAGTCCCTCGTCATATCGGCTAGTACGTGGAAGTGTGTGGCAAATAAGGCTCTACTCTGATTGACATGGTACAAGTGGTACAGCGAGGCAAAGCCTACTGCAATACCATCCTCAGGTGTGGTGCCTCGTCCCACCTCATCCATGATGACAAATGATTTGGGCGTAGCTTGCTTCAGAATTTCAGCAGTCTCCAGCATCTCGACCATGAAGGTTGACTGGTCTTGATAGAGGTTGTCCGCCGAGCCGACTCGGCTGAAGATCTTGTCCACGAGACCGATCTCAGCATACTCTGCAGGAACATATGAACCTGTTTGTGCAAGTATAGACAGCAAGGCGTTCTGTCGCAAAAACGTGCTTTTGCCGCCCATGTTTGGCCCAGTGATTAGCAGGATCCTAGAATCGCCACCAACAATGCAGTCATTCTTCGTGAAGCTTTTGCCTTGCTCGATCAATCCAGCCTCGACCGTGGGGTGCCGTCCGCCACGGACATAATGGCGGTTGCCATTGTTGAGCAATGGACGAACCCAATTCTTCTCTATAGCAAGAGTGGCGAAACTACAGGCCACATCTAGTTCGTCAAGAACGGCTGCGTTCTTGCGCAGATTGACAATGTTCTTCACAACTAGTTTCCGGAGCAGGTCGAAGACGCGTTGTTCCTCCTCCCTAATCAGATCTTTGAACTTCTCGATTTTACTGCCCAGTAAAGTCCAGTCCTGATGATAGAATGACCTCGTCGAACTACTCGATTTAGCGTGCGTTATCTTACCAAGCATCGAGAAGTCAAGCAGGGAGTCTTTTGCCCCTGAAATGTGGACAACGTGGCCGTGAGGCTGTAGCCATCTGAGCGAGAGCTTCTTGGTCCCAGTCTTCTGTCGCCATTCAGCTTCAAGCTGGTCCTTTTCGTTCATCAAGTTGTCTAGTTCTTTGTGCAAAGTAGTAAGTTTTGCACTTGCGCTGCGCCTCATTATCCACAAGTCTGTTGGTACATCGAGATCTCTATCCGGCGCCGCAGAAGCAGCTTTCCTCACCCTTTTCGGCAGACCCTTCAGTTTTTCCTCGCCAGCTTCCTCGAGCATGTCGTCTGCAACCGCAAGCATCTCTGCTGCCTTTTGATCTTCTAGCTGATGCATTACTTGTAGCCTCTCCTCGTCAATTGCCTCTTTTATGCGCGCCGCGAGTTGTCGCGGTTCTTTGAGACACAATGACTTAACCAGCTGTCCGACGCGTGCCTTTCCCGGTTGCGTTGTTTGTGGCAAGCTCGAACACTTTCCTTCATCAGCGTTATTTTGAACATGTTCAGTAAGCTTCTGAGCAAGCTCCGAAGTGATATCAATTGTCTTCGCCAAGCGAAGTAGATCATCCGCATTGCCTCTTCCAAAGGCAAATCCTGAGGCCAAGCGACGTGAGTCAAACGAGCCCTTAAGTAAAGTGACAGTCTCTTCACGGAGAACCGGATATTCGATCATTTCTTGAACAAGATCCAGACGTTCGTTAATCTCCTCAAGCGACATAGATGGTGCCTGTAGACGCTGGCTCAACATCCTTGTACCACTGGGTGTCGCTGTTCGTTTGACTGTCTGCATCAGACTACCTTTGAATCCATCCTCTCGCATAGTCTTCGTAATCTCGAGTGCGCGTAGACTGTGTTTGTCGATCATCATAAATTCGTTTTCACTGCGGTGCACTGGATTCTGTAGCTGCACACCTTCTTTCTCGAGTTGTTCCAATTGAGTGTCATTGACGTATTTCAATAGCATGCTGCCCGCGGCGACTTCAATATCCGAAAACTGACGTGACTCGAGCTCTGAACCCGTCGGTTGAAATACGCTCAGCCACTTGTTCGACGGATCTGGTGAGGTTTCGGCAGTCGTATAGGAGATGCTGTGATGGCCTTGCCGAACAATGTCCATGAGCGGTGATTTCTTCGCTGTTTCGAACGACTGATCAAGCAGAACCTCCCGCGGGCCTATCCTTGCGATGGTTGAAGCCAGAGCATCTATCTCGGTTCTTTGCGTAAAAAAATCACCGCTTGACAAATCAATCCATGCCAGCCCGACATCACGAGCATTTGAATCGACGTGTATGCTTAGCAAAAAGTTGTTCACCCAAGGATCCATGAACTTTTCGTCAATCAGCGTGCCCGGGGTGATAATCCTCACAACCTTCCGATCAAACATGTTCCCATTGTTCCTGATGCGCTCGGCATCATCGTTTTTGATCTCCTTCGTTATGGCAACGTGCTTTCCCAGATCGTTGACCAAAATCTTCAGATACCTGTCCATCTGATGGAGGGGGAAGCCAGCCATGTACACGAAACCCTCGGGACTTTTGACTGTTGGCTTTTTCGCCAGTTTTAGGTTGAGCAAAGGAGCAAATTCTTGGGCCTGCTCGAAATACATCTCGTAGAAGTTGCCGAGCTTGGTCAAGATTACGCAGTCCGGATACTTGCGCATGTTGTTGAGATGCTGCTGAATAGTGATCGAATATCCCGATTCTGAGTCGCTATCGTCGGTTTTAGCGCTTCCAGCAGGCAGCGCACCTTGCGGGATAGATTTAATTGTCACTGTGGTCTTTCTCTTCGCCCCTCGCGAGAGCACTTTGGTCCCCAGCTTTAGTCTCTGCGGCACAGATGGAGCCTCTCTCCATCTAGGCAAGGGCGCGGCCAGCGTCGAGACCCATCGGCATTCTGGGCAGACATATTTTGACACAATCCGAGCGGAGCCAGACCTGGCGAACCGCCTCATCTCATAACGCGACCTTTACGTGATGGAGCTTGAACGCGTGGTCACGCTCAAGTCAAAGGGATGTTCAAAGCCACAGCAATGTTTTCTAAAATAGGACTAGCGCCTCCCGCTTCAGGCTGAGGACCCCTTTGCGAGCAAAATTCTTGGCGTAAGGCTAGCACGAAATTATCCATAACCGCGGGGAGGGGGACCTGCATTTGACCAAAAATGCTCCGTCCTAGCCCACAAGTCACACAATTGACTGCATAATGGCGCCGCAATTCGAGCCCCTCAAAAATGACCTTCTGCTTCGCGCAGCCAGAGGTAATCGAAATGCAGTCAAGAATGAAAGAGTTGGTATCTAACACGCTGTAGGCGAGAAGACGGAGCGTGCGCCGGCGTGGGTGATGCGTCAAGGTTAGAAGCTCGGCTTAGGCCAGGCGCGAAAGTGCTGATGGTATTAACACCGTACAGCTGGACGCTACTTGCCCGAGTATCATGAGGCAAAGGGAAATCATGATTTTTTCGAGTGCTGTCGCTCCCCCGAGATTGCGTCCACGCTCACACTACAGCCGATCGAGCGATACGAAGGACTGGTCGATGCAGCCATCATCTTCTCCGATATATTGGTGATCCCGCAAGCCATGGGCATGGAAGTCGTCATGGTGGACAAGAAGGGGCCGCACTTCCCAAACCCACTCAAGTCGCCTAAGGACCCGCAATATCGCGAGGTGATGGATCGTGCCGTGGATGTGGCGAAGGAGCTGGATTATGTGTACAAGGCAATCACCATGACGAGGCATAAATTGGCAGGGAGAGTACCACTGTACGGGTTTTGTGGTGCGCCGTGGACGCTGATGTGTTACATGGTCGAGGGGGGCGGAAGCAAAATCTTCAAGGAGGTAAAGACGTGGATGTACAAGTACGGAGACGCTAGCAAAGCGCTATTGCAAAAGATAGCAGAGCTTTGCGTCGAATACCTGGCGTTGCAGGTGCAAGCTGGTGCTCAGGTATGACCACTCCGTAGACTCACGGTCACGATACTGACAAACTGAGATTATCCAAGTGTTCGACTCGTGGGCAGGGGAGCTGTCTCCCGCGTCCTTCAAGCAGTTCTCGTTACCCTACCTTGTCCACATTGCCGACAACCTCCCTAGGCGTCTGGAAGAGCTCGGACTGGAACGTGTACCCATGACCGTCTTCGCAAAGGGAGCCTGGTATGCGGTGGAGGATCTTTGCAAAACAAAGTACGATGTAATAGGCTTGGACTGGTTACATGACCCGGCCACGACATACAAACTTGCCCGCTCGTACGGAAAGACGCTGCAAGGCAATGCGGACCCAGGTGTGCTGTACGGCAGCCATGAATCGATAACCAAAGTGGTCGAAGAGATGGCAGCGGGCTTTGGCGGGGGAAAGCAGGGCTGGATCGCGAACCTTGGGCACGGAATAACGCCGTTTGTCAACCCGGACGATCTCAAATTCTACTTTCAAGAGCTGCAACGCGTGACGTCGAATTAGCATCACGCTAGACACGTAGATCCTAAAATGGGAAAGGAGGAGAAAAAAAAGAAATAAATGAAAGTAGAATCTTTGACGGACTCTCTATTCACGCAGGGGGATTCTCGCCGATGTCCTCGTACCACTCCTCCGGTTTCTCTCTGATGAATTTGGCCATGAGCTCCTTGCCCTCCGCGCAGTCTAGCACGACAACTTCGATGCCTCGCGTCTTGAGGTAATTCTCGCCACCTACGAACGTTTTGTTCTCGCCGATGACGACGCGCTTGATGCCGTACATGACGCAGGCTCCTGTGCACATGTCGCACGGGCTCAGGCTGGTGTACATGGTCGCGCCCTTGTATACAGATCCGGGCAGTCTCCCCGCGTTTTCCAAAGCGGATATTTCAGCCTGTCAAATGCACATTAGCATGGCAGCGGCAGAAGAAGGAGGATGCGGGTGACGTGGTGTGCACGCACGTGAAGCGTCGGACTGCCCTTTTGGATGCGCATGTTGTGACCTCGCCCCAGTATTTTGCCGTCTGCGCCGACTAGACAAGCTCCAATAGGCACGCTTTTTACAGTGAGCAACAAGACGATGAAAAAAGACACGGGGTGACCGCGATGACTTACCCGCCTTCCTTCGAGCCTTGCCGTGCCTCCTCCATAGCAGCTTGGAAGCCAGGCTCGGCCTCCCACTTGCTGTCGTCGCGGGTGCACATTGCCACGAGAGCTGCAAGTGCCAAGCGAGAAAATCCGGCGGATCAACAGGCTTATTCTGCGTGACGACTCCTCAGAGCGAGTCTCGGAATTTTAACTGGCGTATGGGCCGGCTGGTAATTATTTTTATCTTGGATTCCTGCTCATGACTATAAACTTGCTTTGCACCGTGGGAGGACCGATAACGGCAGGGATCTACTTGGGCCTCAGGCTGAAATCAGGCCTCAGGCTGCAAGCTAGCCTTCCCCTTTCGATACGGGAATGCCCGCGCGAGCGGATGATGAACGGCACGCAGAGCGAAAGATGTCCCACTGTAGGTACATTTCGTGCGCCTGGGTTGGATCATCCGGCTCAGAGGATTGTGACGTGCTTGAGGTCCGCCGATCAGAGCAAAGTTTTTTCGTGAATGATCTTCGCTCACAATGTGCGTGTTGGCGACGAACGGGTGCGGCGTCCGGTGTTCAGCGGGCTTGGGGGCACAGAGGGTTGGGAACAGCCGAGCAGCGATAGACACCTCTGGAACCTTCTCTCGACGCGCAGCGACGCTGTCATTGGTCAGCCGCGGCAGCCCTCGCAAAGGCTGGCGCCCTGGAAAGTTCGGGCGGACACACAAAAGGCTTCAGCGCCAGTTCCACCAAAGCGCACACTTTAACCCACCCTAGCCGCATACGCCTTGTCTGTTGCTTGCACCAAACACTTTTCTTTGTCTTTCCTCTTCAATACGCTCTTGTCGCGCCGACACCGCTCTCCAGCTCGCTCCCCTTATCTCACGCCCAAACCTGTTCGCAAAGGTATGTACTCTCTGCCCTTTCTGCTCCCGTCGCCCCCTCGCAGATGCCTCCATGACATAAGACAATCTCAGCCCGTCTCTTCGGCCGCCGATTGGCCCTTACGTTTGACGCACTCGCAACCAACTCTGCCCTCCGCCACCCTTCACGCTGAATCTGCAACGCTGCGTTCGTCAGCCTCGTGCACGCTTCTAGACATTTCTACTTACACTAACTGTCTTCGCAGCTTCGTCATAGTCTTTTAAAGTAGACTCGGCGCTGTGTGTACGGCCTCGAAACCTCATACAAACTTTGAACAAGCGAAAAAATTGACCCGCGACACAAACACACACACACATACACAAACTCTCAGGTCGTGGCTTCGGAGCAAAGTACAAGCCCGTGTCACGTTTAGTCTCTCTTCCCCCTTCCGTCTCTTCCACATTTCCTCTCTACCTTTATACCTCGAGTTTTTCAAACACATTTCACAATGGTCAAAGACACAAGCTACTACGACTGCCTCGGGGTAAGCAAGCCGAGACTGCCGCTGCCTCACAGATCAGCTGCTAACAACAGAATAGGTGCCCCCAGACGCGACCGAGGCGCAACTTAAATCAGCTTACAAGAAGGGTGCCTTGAAATTTCACCCAGGTACGTTTTGACAACTTCTCTCTACCTTGTACTCAGCGTCGTTGTTCTCGGGACTGACATGGACTTATCAGACAAGAACAAGAGCCCTGAAGCTGAGCAGAGATTTAAAGAGATTTCAGAAGCATATGAAGTCCTCTCAGACCCAGGCAAGCGCCAGCTATATGACCAGTACGGTAAGGAGGGTCTAGAGCAGGGTGGTATGGGTGGTGGAGGCATGGCCGCCGAAGACCTGTTCGCGCAGTTCTTCGGAGGTGGCGGTGCCTTCGGAGGCATGTTCGGTGGTGGCATGCGAGGCGAGCCTGCGATAAAGAAGGCGCGCACAATCTCGCACGTGCACAAGGTCAGCCTTGAGGACATCTACAAGGGCAAGGTGTCGAAACTCGCGCTTCAGAAATCGGTCATCTGCCCCAAATGTCACGGCATTGGTGGCAAGGACGGCGCAGTTAAGAAGTGCCCTGGCTGTGACGGTCGCGGCATGAAGACAATGATGCGTCAGATGGGTCCGATGATCCAACGATTCCAGACTGTTTGCCCAGATTGCCAGGGTGAAGGCGAGATCATTAAGGACAAGGATCGATGCAAGCAGTGCAACGGCAAAAAGACGATCGTCGAGCGGAAGGTACTTCATGTACATGTTGACCGAGGTGTACGCGCCGGCACCAAGATCGAGTTCAGAGGCGAGGGCGACCAGTTGCCAGGAGCTGAACCTGGCGACGTCGTCTTTGAGATTGAACAGAAACCACATCCTCGCTTCCAGAGACAAGACGATGACCTGATCTATCAGGCCGAGATCGACTTGCTCACGGCGCTTGTCGGCGGCAGATTATACATTGAGCACCTTGACGACAGGTGGCTTGACGTTGAGATTATCCCCGGAGAATGCATTGCACCAGGTATGCACATCTCTCTGTAACTCTCTTTTTCTAGGGACATGCCATAAACTAATAGTATCGGCAGGCGCTGTCAAGGTGGTCCGAGGCCAGGGTATGCCTTCTTTCCGACACCACGACTATGGCAACCTTTACATCAAGTTCGATGTCAAATTCCCTACCCGGATCAGCGGTCCAGACGGCGAGTCCATGACTCCAGAGCAGGTCAGGGCCCTCGAGTCGGTACTTCCACCACGCATTCAACCGCAACTTCCGCCACCGGATGCCATGATCGAGGACTTCCTACTCGACGAGTACGATCCTCAGCGTGACGGCGGCAGACGGGGCATGAACGCCATGGATGAAGACGAAGACGATATGCATCCGGGCGCCGAACGCGTGCAGTGCGCGTCGCAGTAAGCTACTGAGCCTTCCTTGGAGCGGCAGGCTTACATCCAACGGCCGAGGAATCGAAAAAGATTACATGATTGAAATGAAAAAAAGACGAGTACGAGGGTGTATGAAAGAATCATGGGAATTTCGGCTAGCATATTTGTAAGCGAAAGAGTTATGCATCCTCCTCCGTTACCACCTCCTGGTACTGCTTGCTGGAAGTGCGTGCAGAGCTTGATACACCTTAGACCAAGTCACGAAAGTCCGACGGGTGCAGCGGGCCTCTTTGGATTTCCGACTGGGAAACGGGGTTATAGGCGTTTGTACTTGGGTGTGCACGTGCGACGGGCCTTATACACGGAAGTTGGCCTCCGCTTCCTCATCTTGCTAGTTATCATTTGACTTTTCGCGATAGACCACGAAGTTTTTTTGCCTCTACATCGTTCATGTCCATTTCATTTCCCCAGAAAGCTTTCACGGACTCGCGCGATAGCTTTGCCCGCTATGGCGGTCCTGAGAACTTGGGGAAACGAGGACTAAGTTGCCGAATATGGCGGGTTGCATGTGTGCTATACGCTTTAGGTAGCTCATAATACGGGTTGTGTCTGCCTGTCGATTGTTGTTAGTCTTCGTCATTCCTTCTCTTCCAATCTTCATAGTTCCCCGAACTTCCACGGTGCAGGGTACGCCCCGAGGGAGAGGAGCTTCATGGAAAAATAACCGCAGTAAATGCAGTAGTGAAGAGCAATCGTCGCGTGATTTCTGAAGATGAACAGCTGCTCGCTCTTGCTTCTTCCTACGGCAGGGTCAGAAGCGGGAATCCGTGAGTAGAGCTATGTGACCGGGTAAGGCCAGCTTCATGACTTTTCAGTCCGTGTCGTGCTTCCCACCTGTCCGGTCTCGAGTCCCTCTATCTTCCCGGTGAAAGATACCACGGGGTACCCAGAAGTTTGGCCGCGGATAGGCTCGGAGTACAGTAACTGTGCTGAGAAAGTGGAAACGAAATTGGATGATTTTTTTTCCCTCTTCAGCCACAAGGTGGTACGTCCGGGAGGCCACTTGCAGAGCCCATTGAATCTTGTCCTAGGACCAGAGCCTCCTGGCTCGTCGCCTCAAGCGCCACGATTTCGCAGTCCTGTGCTCGGAGCTTTGGCATGGTGAGAGTCAGGTGGTGTGACGTCTCAGTCGGTGGTGGTGTCGTTCCAAAGCGGAGCGTAAATGCGCAGAGTGGGTTGCCTTATGTCCAGCCTTGCGAAGCCTTTCCGGGTCGGGCACCTGATTGGCGCACCCCGCCAATGACGTTTCGCCGCCCGAGCAGCAAAGTCAGGACGGCGAAAGCAATTGTGACCGTCGTTCTTGGTCCCGCTGGGCTGGCCCCCTCCAAGCAAATCTGAGGAGGAGTGTTTCCCAACCGTCCAGCGCGCATTGTATTCGCACTCCGCACCCGAAGAAGCAGGCGATCGCAGCCCCGAGACAGCTCACACAAGGAACGCAAAGGACGAGGCCAGCATGCCGTTTCCCTTTGCGCTGCCCACGACCGCGCACCTGTCCTTCGCAGCCTCGCTCACGAGCTCGACGCATCCGTCGCTGCCCACCGCGGCAACCTCGTCGCGCGCCCTCGTCCGCGACACGCTCAAGCGGCACAAGCGGCTTCCCGCAGCCCAGAAGCCCGGCAACCTGTCCAGCGTCCTCAACGCGCTGAACGACTACATCCCGTATCTCTTCGCGCTCGACGCAGGGCTGAGCAACGGCTCCGTCTGCGGCGAGGAGGTCGACGTCGTGCTCATCCGCGAGGTGGAGAGCGAGTGGCGCGCGTGCTTGAGCAGCAGGCCCGTGGGCAGAGAGCCGCAGCGCGTTAAGGTTAAGAGCCTGGAGGGCGAGCTTGGATTCGTCCTCGGCTCGTTGGGATGCACATACTTCTTGCTCGCCAGGGCGCAGCTGCGGCCGCTGTACGAGCGCGCGGGGGCTCCCCTGAGCGAGGAGCAGAGGAAGAAGGCCGTGGCGACCGCGGTAGGCTACCTGCTTCAGGCGCACGCCGTGTTCAACTACCTGCTGCAGAGGGCCAGCGGATCCGCGCATGCGGCGCAGTCCGAGAGCGAAAAGGCGAAAGGCACCAGTCACGTGGCTGATATCACGCCGAGCACCTACAGCGCGCTGGCGAGCATGGCGCTCGCGGAGGCCACCCTCATAGCGGTCTTGAAGGACGACCCGTTCCCCGCCGCCGTCGCGGACGAACGCAACCCGAACAACAAGGACTGGATGTTCAAGGGCGTCGAGATGCCCAAAGTGCGTGCCCATCTGTTCGCGCGCCTATGTCTCGCGGCATCAGAGCACGCTGGACGTGGTCTTGCTGCCGTGCGGAACACCAAAGGCGTGGACGAGCGGCTGGTGAACTACTTGGAGGACCTGAAGGCTACCGCTCGCGCCAAGGCCATGCGATTTTTCGGTGTGGATGCTGAAGCGCAGGGCAAGATCGGCGAGGGCCTCGCGTGGCTCAAGGCCGCGAAGAGGGAGTTGGGCTTCGCGGAGGACGAGGGGCGGTCCAGAGGCTTCTCTAGGCTGAAGAATTCGTGGAAGGAGAGGAGGGAGGATCGGAAGGTGGAAAGAGGAGACGCGGAGTGGGGAAGCGATGCCGGGCGCTTTGAGGAAGGGCGGGTTCTGGAGATGTTGAGCACAAAGTGGAGTAAGATGAACGATACAGTATGTGCACTTGCATTCGACAACTTCGTGTTAATCACGGCTGACGTGTCGGTTCTTGAAAATACAGGTTAGTGTACAGATCGTGCCGTCTTTTGACCCCTTGGTGTCCAACATGCCATCTGGACGGGAATGCCACCAGCCCAAACCATATGAGATACCTTCGTTAGAGGAAGACGTTCTCGCGAGGATGAGAGCCCCACCAGAGCCCAGCGACTTGAAGATGTACGGCGATGAACCCGATTCCGCCGAGGACTCGGACAATGATGCACTCCACGAACCTCCGGGCGCGTTTCCCGGGCCAAAAGCTGACTACGCCAGCAACAGCGCGTATTACTAGCAGAAAAATTTACAAGCTTCGAGCAGGAGTCTGTCCTGCACTTACGTCTTGCCCATCATGCCCACTCACGCTGCGATCACAGAATCACAAGTTCTTCTTCCTCTTCCTCTTCCTCCTCCGTCCCTCCTTCCTCCAAATCATGCTCCGAGAATTGTGGTTCAGGCCCCTGATATATGCCCTCCTGCCTAGCTCGCCTTTCGCACTCCTTGTCTCTGAACACTCGCCCAGATTCGTAGTGCCCGAACACGTCGATCCGATCCGAATCGTAGATGTTGAATTGCGTCGGTAAGATCTCGCCGTCCATGAAAGGAGGGATGTATCCAGCACTGCGAATCCAGTCTATGGTCAGGCGGATGTCCCTCGTGCGAAGTCTCCTGGCAAACTCCCAAATGTTCGTGCGCATCGACTCGTGACGAAAGGGCCCATGTTTGATCAGTTTATCCATGAGCGTTTCGAGCCACTGCTCTTGCGTGTCTTGGCGGTTTGTTCTTGTCTCTGGGAAGATGAGCTCGAGATGCGAGAGGCGCCGCTGGTTCATTATGTTCAGCTCACGAGGCAAGGTCTTGAGCAAAACGTCTTGCTGTCCCAATAAGCTCCCGTGGAAATGGTGCACTCTGATCCTCTCAAGTTGAGGCGGTGCTTTCTTAACAATTGCATAGAGGGGTGATCCGTAGGGCAAGTCGATCTCCTTGAGCGATGGGAAGAATGGCAGGGCGTCCGAAGAGCAGAATCGGCGTTGTCGCTCCGATTCGGAGAGGTTAAACCAATGATTCTGAATCGGTTTGTACACTTGAGTTTGTTTGAGGTATTCCAACGAGTGCGCTTGGTGCTTCAGGGCGGTAGCGAGACCGGGCCCGCTCAGAGAGAGACACTCAGACGGCGGGTCGTGGAAATGATAGAGTCGTTCGCCTAGAGTTAAGCGCTTCAACGCCTTTGGCAGCGAAAGAATAACCGCGAGTGCGTCGGAGTCGATGTTGCACTCTTCAAAAACAAGTGTTTCTAGTGGGGTTTTAATGTCACAGCCCCGAAGCGACTCGACAATCTCGGTCGTGATGTCTGTGCATGCCAAATGGATGTGGCGAAGCGTAGGACTTTGGAAAATGATCGAGCCTTTGCCATTGCAGAGATCGAAATATGTCGTTCCCCGGATATGTGTGTGTAGATGTACTGAAAAGGCGTTTAGCGATAGGTACATAATGACAACCTGGGTTGTGATGACAGACATGATTGGACATTGTTCAACTTTGGCAGATCATTCCAGTACCGCAGCTGTCCCTCCCCATCACTGAATTCGCCCGTCGAACTGTAGACAATATTGTCGTTCGGGCATGGAGATTCTATCTTGCATGTCCTCAAGTTGCTAAAGAGACCAATCTGGCCATCGAATATACCGATTTCCCCTTGAGAGTCGAGCTTATGCTTCACGTCCACATGTTGGACAAAAGCTCTGCGCTCGCGACGCTTGAGAAACATTCCGAATAGCATCCTGGCCTGCTCGCCATTCCGGATAACAATACTGCGCCAGAGGCATGGCTCTGCTAGGCTCTGTGCCTTCTGGCACGTTAAAATAAAGCTCCTCAAAGATGGCGTGTCATCGATTTGCTCCACGACGCACAGAAGGAGCTCGTCCGGCAACGACATGAGACGAGAATGTCGCTGCGCATGCTCGACAGCACCGTTCGAAATCCCCATGTTGGCTTGTACGACGGCCGGTGTGAATATGATCAAGAGGGAATCTTTGGTGGGACCTTGACGTTGAGCGAAACCTTTCCCCGCTCGCAAGGCGTTCGAAGTGTTACGATACAGAAGGTGTTAACCAAAGCGTAAATGTGAGAATGACGAGTATCACGTGTCGTTCTCACTTCCAACGTCATGTGCTTCTTCATCCTTTCGCAGTAAGTGCAGGTAGAGTGTTTCATGCTATGCATTCGAACTTTAGCCTGGGCACGAGTCCGTGTCCCTGGTTAGCTGTAAACGTAGCGGCAGCCTTCTCGGTGTTCCATTGAACAGGGGTAGCGTTTCCAAACTCAACAGTCAGCAACGCCAGCTAACCGACGCTAAGCAACGTTGACTCTACATCGAGAGTACAAGTTAGCCGTAGTTAGGCATGACTATGGAGCGAGGGTGCTGTGTTGCCTGGAGAATACCCACACGATTGGCGGTGACGGCTGGAATGTGGCTTGCCCAGACGTTGTTAGACCGCGTACTTTTAAATCAACGTCTTCCTTCAAATTGTTCGAAATCTTGAACTCACCACATGAAATCCTTTGCTTCGTTTATTATGGAGATGGGTTCGCTCATTGCTCAGGAGATCCAAGGTCTGAGCAAAGATGGTGACACGGCGGGATCGAATAACAATGGCAACCAACTCAAATTACCTGGTTTCGGGTTGCCCATTGACTTTCTGCCACGATGGAACAGACACGACGAGGAATGGGAGCGATTTCCTCACGGAATCGCTGATCCCATGGCCAGCGACGGCGTGACTGTTCGAGAGCGAAGGATGCTCGAATTTGTCAATCAGATTACAGATGTATGGCCAACTCTCCCCAAAACACCCTTCGGAAGAAGACTCGGCGCTGACGGATTATTTAGAAGCCGGAATGGGAACGTAAAGTCTTTGATGATGCAATTGTAGAGAAATGGCGTGCCGAAGCTTGCAAATACCATGAGGACATTGAGGACGAGTTTCTTTCAGAAGAAATGTTCAAGCACGTTCGTTTTGAGCTGACCCCTGATTGTATTCGAAATACTAAATGCAGATACAGTGTTTGGCAGAGCTTCGCGAGAAGGCAGAGCGTTTCAAGACGACAAGGACGATTGCCATCTTAGACGCCGAAGTAACTGTGGTTAAATCAGATGTTCTTGTCTCCGCTTCCATCCTTGATGGTTTGAAACGCGGTGTTCAGCCTATGGAGAACGTGCCAGAGCACAAGAAGGACTGGCATCCAGGCTCAAATGAGATGGTTCTTGACTTAGTTCACCCAAGCATGTGTCCACTCATTTACGGTGTATCTCGGGTTTTACCTTATGGAAAGGTGCCCCTTGAAGAGTGCGCCAAATACTCTGGAGCCGGCGAAGTGGTACAAACCATGCCCGGTCAAATTACTCATAAGGTCCAGCTGAGCGCATGGAATAACCCCAGCGAACTCCCCGTTTGGGGCTCCTTTCAATGGTTGCCAGCAGACATCAAGTTTCGCGATGACGGCACTGCTGCCATCACTAGCTACATCAATGGACTCCATCCTGCAAAGCATGCAGAACTTTATCCTATCCTGGAGCAGCTTGTTGACTGCGCTATCCCCCTATGGAATGAGACTCTATCTTGGTTCCATAACCGCATCAGGCTGAGAATAGACGGCAGCAGCGACGACGACTACTTCATTCCTGAAGGAGTGAAATACGAGGGCGCAAGCGACCACTCAGAGAGCTCTGACTTTTGGTGGGATGACGACGACTACCGCGACTGGAAGGAACAAAATCGAGTGCTTAAGCAGAGGGAGCCGGAACCATTTACCCCTTTTCAAGAGCGGATTCAGAAGAACCCCGCAGGAGCTCGTCCTGTTGATCTGCGAAAAAAGTTTGCCACCTCCGGCCTCCAGATCATCTTTAAGTTGGCGAACATCCAACTTACGCCGGAGAAACCAGAGTACAAAAATGGATCGTGGCATGTAGAAGGAGCCTTGAATGAACACATCTGTGCGACCGCGCTTTATTACTACGACCAAGAAAACATCACAGACAGCTACTTGAGTTTCAGACAGTCAATTGACGTGGAAGAACTGACAATGAAGCCGGCGCAATCCGAGTATACTTCGCTCGAGGCGTATTTCGGCGTTGAGCAAGAAGGCCCTGCTATACAGGAGCTTGGAAAAGTACTGACACGAGAGGGACGCATGTTGGCATTTCCAAATGTGCTTCAGCATTGCGTTAGCAGCTTCAAGTTAAAGGACGAGACTAAGCCGGGACACCGCAAGCTTCTTGCCATGTTTCTCGTAGATCCTCATATACCAGTGTTGTCGACAGCGAATGTCCCTCCCCAGCAAAAAGATTGGTGGGCACAGGAGGTTAAAAAGGTAGCTCCATTCTCCAGTCTTCCTCAAGAAATCTTCGACAATATTATCGACATGGTTGAAGGGTTCCCCTTGGGCTATGATGAACAGTGCGAGATTAGGGATAAACTTATGGGAGAAAGAGGCATGATGGTTGATCAACTGAACGATGCCCTTGCACAAGTAAGTCAAAACACCAGAATCGCACGAAAAGCTAACTCGAACGCAGGAAACTTTCTTCTTCTGTGAACATTGAAATTATTACGTTTGCTGCTTTTAGGCATTTGTTGACAGTCGCGAGATCTATACTTAGGTAGATTTGTTTCATTCAATGAATCTGTGCCGTAAACATTTCAAGGCAAAGGCCCTGCGAAACATTTTTCACTCAAGTTTGAACCTCCATCAATCATACACATATTCCACCACAGTCTGCTCCACCTGCGCTAGGATCGCAGCTGTCTCTGGGGTCATCGACGCACCTTTGAACGATTTTAGCACATTTCCCCTTGTCAGCATATATCACGTACTTCAAGCCGTTCTTGCATTTTGTACCAGCAAACCCGCCACAGAACGTAGGCTTAACGCAGATACCCGGCATATCGCATGCCATGCCGCATCCCCCAGAGTACGGGTCATCGATGCAGATGTAGCCTTCCGGGCAATTGTGAGCTTCTATTGTGAAACCGCCACATGGTTGGTACTTTGGGCGCGCTGGAGGTGCGGGCAGGTATTTAGCATCCCTTCTACCGAAGTCCCTAGCAAAGGCTGATGTTGTTGATGCCAAGAGGCAAACAAAGGTGGCAAATACCACACGCATACTATCGGGGAGGAAAGAGCTGCAATCAATGTATTGCAGTGCAACTGAAGGGGATTTGAATTATATGATGGAAGGACCGAGTCGAGTTAGTGCGGGCATCAGACAAAAAAGTTGAGAGGGTCAAGTCGTCCAGAGGGCGCAAGTCTAATTTATGTATTCAAGACTTTATACTTCGTGAATCTAACCCCCCTTTTTTGAAATCACCTCCACCGATGCACAATTCGTAATCGTAATGCCAAACCAACATCACGATATTATAAGATCAGACTCCAATCCGCACGAATCAGCTCCGCCATTGACAAGAAGGGCATCACTTCAAGGAAGTCAGGAGTTCTTGAGGGAGGATCGGAAGCAAGGGCTCTTTTGGAGCTTCCTTGCGACAAAACTATTTTAAGATCTCGCAACCTCGTAAAAGAAGAGGAAGAGGAACTATCGCCAAGAACCAAGCGTGAGGCCAACACTTGGCTGTACGACGCGCGATCATTGGACAGGCAAGACACGAGCGCTTCGTTTGTCATGGAACTAGCCTCGGGAGGCGGGATCAAGAAATGCGTAAAGAAATGGGTTTGAGCAAAGTATAGACGGAACCGGCATTGTCAGAGTTCGCGGCATCGTATTGAGAACGGTGTAAGCAAGGGATAAAAACAGTGTTACAACATGATATTGGAGAGGCAAATGCGACACAGTTATTGGCAAAGACATCTGTGCATAGTGAGTTGACTTCAAAACGTCATCTGTATGGGCAGCTTACTAGATATATACTCTGCACGCAGTTCCTCTAGGGTTTGTCTGGCCTTACTATCCGTGGCTGCTTATTCCTCGTATCAAAAGCCTAATTGATCGCCAAACTCCACCCAGACAGCGAACAATTACACCAGATGGTAGAGTTATAAGATTATGGAGAGTAGTAAATCTTAGAAATGGGATAAATATATCTTGAGACAGAGCTGTGATCTGCTGATGTTTAAATACTACATGACACAAAACTCACTATCGTGCATCTCAGTCATGCCGCAAGAGAAGATTTGAGAATGAGTGTAGTTCTGCAAGAGGCGAATCTTGACTGCGACATTAAAATATCACATGGGTTTCGCGACTATACTAGCTGACCATTGCGATCGGAAAAGGTATTAAAAACTTTGAGAATTGATCATTTCGCAGTACTTGCAATGAGCTGGTGAATCGCACACCAAAATGCCATCTAATACAGTTAGCAACCAATTTGGTGCGTGTTTCTTGCGAATGCGTTGCGTATCTAGTGGAGAGGCAGTTGTGTGGGGGAGGGTTTATTCAACGCCGTGCCTATATGGTACAAATTCCCCTCTCGTATGCACACTCAAAATCGTACACTGCTCATATCCGATATTCAATCCAATCTAAGCATTCCGTTAGCGTCCAAGCTGCTATCGAAGACGATTCACACGCACCCAGTGTCCTTTTGCCGCACAATCTCTCCGGAGCTACCTTTTTGCTTGCCCGATTTGCCACCTTCGACTACTAGCCGATCAAGTTGGTAGAATTGACTTATAACTGTTTGCCTCTGTAATTCACAGTCAGCAATGTCCATTGGCGTCAGCGCTTTCTTGGGCAGTCTCTTGAGATGGACATTGGAATGGCCCGCCAGACGTGAAACACACCTTCATCACCTGCAACTCCTTTAGTCCCTTCTGTATCAAGTCCTGTCTGATCCTCTCATCAGTCTCTTTCTGGTGCTCTCGAAATGCATCCTTCGTTCTTCGCTTTGCGTATTCTCTGAAGTTATATGAGGCGAACTGGTTTGCCTGTCGCAATAGTTGTCGGTACTATAGACTACGTCAACACCCAAGCTCTTTCAGCGACGTCGAGTTTCGCATTGCGTTGGATACATACTAATGATTTTGCTTGAAAAGCTGCATCTGCCGATACTGCAGCCATGTTGCCTGTCGTTGTTAGATGCGACAGCGTTGGTACATGAGATTTTTGGAGTCGGCGGTAATGGCAAATCCGGAGATCCTAGCGCGGAGGACGATGCCTGCGGAGGCTGACTTTCTCAGGATTTATCTCCACAAATGTGAGGGAAAAAGGCATCCAACTCTCGCAGTATCGAACCTAGGTCGTAGATGAAGAAAAAAGAGAAATGGAAAGTGGAAATGGAAATGGAAAGACAAGATCATGCTTAATTTTCAAGCTCATGGTTTAGGTATATCTATAAACAGTGTTAGGCATCGCGCCCGGAGATGCTGCGGAAGTTCTAAAACATGATTTAAACATGATCTATAGTTTATAAGGGAATATCAGACTGTGTTTTCAAAATTCTAGTAGCGAATAAAGACCAAATGGACGAGCTTAGACCATTTCCCAGCGATGTTGGTGGTGGTCTGATTTTGACGTCGTGAGACTTACCCATGCGATCCTTCGACGCCATTCAAAATCAACGACAATTCTTACTTCTCTGAAGCTCCCTTCTTTGAGGACGTGTATTTAGCAATCATTCGACACAAACGCTGTGTGCATCTGCAGATCAACCTGTGAGTCAAGCATATCTCCTTCTCCTGGTTTGTTCTCTTCGCATTTCAAACAGAAACGAGCACGGTCAAGACAAACCAAAGTAAAAAGGGCGAAGAGAGTTGACGCAATGAAATGTCTGGTGCGAACATCAACTCCACTTGTCAAATTTTCTCCACTCCACAACCATCCATATCGTTTTGCAGATGTTGTAGCGTTGAATCATGTCCCTACCGTACAACATGCATGAATATGTTAAGCAGGACTACGACCATCGCCGGGCACTCTTCCTCGTTCTCTTGTCCGTCTTCGTAGCCATGACAGCGTATTTCATGGTCACTGGTTCTTTTCTAATCAACTCGGATAGACAGCAGACGAAGACGACGAAAGAGCGTTCGCGGCATCTATGGAAGGACGCCAGCGGCCTTGACAGTGATGTAGGAAGTGATTTTGGAAGTAATTTGGGGAGTGACCTAGGCTCAGATCCCGAGCCTGATTACCATACACAGTCCGCAAATACTTTTTTACATAAGGACTTCCAGTCGGAATCAGAAAACAAGGGGAGTCCAGTCAAAATCATTACCGGAGATCACGAGCACGACGAGATACCCAGCCCCCAAAATGAGGCTGGGATAAACGATACAGCCTACTTCTTGAGGGAATCTCATAACAGCTCAACAAAAAAAGGCACATTACGCGCTACTATTCAGCGACGAGCCGATTGGAAATTACACAATCCCACGGAGGACGAGGAGGATAACGAAACAGAGCTCGTTGGTTCAGGTCCAACGCGCGATATTCCAACAGATCCAAACGCGCCCCAGCGAAGACGGCTGATTGGACTTGGTCGAACTCGAAAAGAAGTCCAGGGTTAGCAGATAGTCAGCTATGTTGAGAGGGTAGAGAACACATGCGCGATCGAAAGGAAGAAATCATAAACATAACAAGCTTACTGATCATCATGCTATCAACAAATTCCATGGCATTAGTCCAGAGTTGAAGGGTTCCAATGTCATTACGTCTGCTTGTTCTTTCTTGAATTAGCCTTTGCCCCGGTTTTCTCGTCCTTTGGTACAAAGCGCTTCCGCACCGCCGCGATCATCAACGAGTACCAGTAGAAGTTGAGCACGGTGAGGGCCGTGTTTGCCCCAACGTACAGGAGAGCGAGCCAGTTCGGCAGCTCTCGACATGTCAGCGGAATTTCCAAGCCGGCCCCGCGCCGCTGGTACAGCGCGTACTTGAGACACTCTGCCGTCGACGGCCGAGGATTGTTCCACGCGTGCCAGATGTCCTTGTATATCATCCAGGACTGGTACGTTCCCCACACCAGTCTCGACCCGCCGAATGAGGCCAGCAGCAAGATGCCGTTGATGAGCTGGGCTGTCGAGCCCGTCATGTTTGCCTTGTCCAGGAACCAATGGATGTTCAAAAACGGCGTCGACAGCTCGTAGAGCACGAAGTTGAGCCCGTAGTAGTTTGCAAAGGGTCGCTGTCGCCCGAATTAGCACGTGGGAACGAAAGAAATGAAATGACGCGACCCAGCCGCGTCCGCTTGACTAACAAATCCAATACTCGTGACTCCGAGGGCCGCGATCGCATGCACCAGGCTGCTCATGCCCATGACGTCCAGATGAATCGTGCTCGCCAAAACATCCCAGAGGAAGTACCCTGCCGCGAAAGCCTGGCACATCCCTATCGCGCCGTTGTAGCCCCAGAGTCTCCCAGCCCAGTTTGACGGCTCGTTCTGGATACGTCGTTCAGGGTCCGTGAAGATGACCCACAGAGCTGCGGTGTTGATGAAGAGTGCCTGGTACATGGAGACGACGTGGGCGTCCCAGTTGAGCCTGTTGCGGCGAGAGAAGGAGTTGTACTTCCTCGGCCATAGTGTCCGTGAAAGGAGCGGCGACAGAAACCGGAATATGCCCTCGTACAGTGCGTATGCGAAGAGAATTTCGTGTACGTGAAGCGGGAGCGTCGTGAGGCCCAGATAGTTCGACAGCGGCCTGATAGCGTTTGCGAGGCTCGAAGGGCCTTTTGGACGCTATGTTAGCCCTTGCGCCGGTATCGAGAGTAAGTCGACTGAAGTTTTGGTGACGTACAAGATGGAAATGGGTCCGGCATCCCCGCACTCTCGTGCGCCTGTGGAGGGCGCGATCGTTCGCGCGACGAATTAGCAGGTCTACTACATATCAAACCAAGAGTGGAGGTTTGAAAGGAGCTGAGCAGCTGAGCAAGTTTCGACCGAGGCGGACCGCTGTGTTCGGCTGGCCACAGGTCGAGCTACTCCAGATCTATGATGCAGTTTTGCAGGGCACGCCCGAGTCCAGACCGTTGCGCTAGTGAAGAGCAATGGCGGAAACTTACCAATGGCAGTCCTTTCACCTCCATGCTGCTCATCGAGCACACGACAATACGTTCGATAAGCCAGAAATATGGATGTACAGCTAAAAGTGTCCAAAAACCAGACCTGCACGGTTTCAGTTCGAGGTACGACTCTTATGTTTCATGCATCACACTGCACTTTGCTTATTTAGGAAATGGGCTTAGCTCAAGTTGGGAGCGCGAGACATAAATTACTACTCAGTGGTCATGCAAATCCGTACGTTTTGCCCATATTAGATGTGGTATCATTCAGATTGAACGTGTCTCAAATGTCTTCAAGACTTCATAATCTCCGTGCCCAGCGCGCTCTCCTCCGCCACCGCAGCGGCCTTGCTGCCAGCAACAGGAGCGCTCTCCGATGAGCTGTCACCATCCACGGTCTTGCCCTCGCCTTCGATCACGTTGCCATCTTGTCCCAGCATCAGGTGTTCCACGTTGACCTTGGGTCCCTTGAACCACTTCCGGGCGCTGATGAACCACCAGCACATGACGAGGAACATGGGTCCAAAGTAGACAACCACGGTCCAATTCATACCGTCAGGTCTGCTTCGCATTAGCATCTGCGAGTGAAAGAAACGTTTCAGAAATGGCGAGACTCACGTTAGATCACCGCCTCTGACGCTAGGGAAATTCAGAATGGGGATCATGAGCGCGACGAAGGCGGAAGCAATGACGCCAATCGGGATGCTGAACCTGCCCAAGTTCCACGGGCCCGGGCGGAAGCGATTGCCCACCAGGAAGACCCGAATGAAGATAGGGGTGCAGAATGCAATTTCAGCAGCGATAGCGCCAACGCTGAACAGCGCGCCGATGGTAATACTGCCGCCGAATATGAGCAGAAGCTGAAGGATGCCAATTGTGGCGTTGACCCAGACGGCATTGACTGGGGTCTTTGTTCTGGTGTTCACATGCGACCAGTACTTGGAGAACGGGAAGCAGCCGTCGCGGGCATAAGCGAATGTGACTCGGGACGCTGCGATCATGCAACCCTGACCCATGAAGAAACCGGCAATGATGGTCAAGGCCAGCACGGCCATGGCCGTCTTCTGCGGAAGGACTTGGTTCAGGTACGCAGCGAAGGGCTGACCGAGGTCGGAGTTGATCACGTCGTCGATGCTGATCACCGTATACGCGACGACGAGCTGCAAGAACCAACCGAAAATACCGCCAATTGAGGAAGTCATGACGATGGCGCGTGGAGAGGCGATGTTGGCATTGGAGCACTCTTCCGCGAGGTGGAATGGGGCGTCGTAGCCACTCATGGTCCACAAGACAGCAATGAAGGACATGAGCACTGCGATGCCATCCGGCCAATCTGTGCCGTTCTGGATCTTCCAAACCTCGCTGCTTGGAGCGAACTTTGGGAGTCCCTGGGCTTCGCGGTTCGTGGCGGCGGGAATGATGATGACGACCACAATGAGGGCAATCATGTTGAAGGTGGAGCCGAAGGAGTTGATCTGGGCGATCGACTTGGTCGGTGCCGAAGACATGAAAGCATGGATGATCATGAGGAGTGTTGCAAGTAGAAACGTCTGATAATCGGTCGGGACGTAGTTAGGATTGTAAATCGAGCCCGCTGCCAGGATCATGGCGGCGGTTCCGTAGTTCACAGAGGGAGCACCCGTGATCTGGACCAGCCAGTTGGACCAGCCAGTGATCCACGCAGCGAGTGGGCCCCAACCCGGTGGTGCGAGGACAGCGGCGGCATAGTAGAGACCACCGCTCGTTGGCATCGAAGAACAGAGCTCGGCCATACTCATGGCAACGCACTGAACACCAACCATGGCCACGATCCAACCCCATGTCATCCCTGTCAACATCAAGTCAGCTCCGCACCACATTGTAGCTCCCTTTTGAGTGTTGCAAGTCTTACCTCCGGTGCCAGCATAGCCCATGCCATAGTACAGCGTGCTTGCGAACGAGGGCAGCAGGCCGAGCACGGCAAAGCTGACGCAAAATGTCGAGAAAAGGCTGAATTCACGCTTGAACTCCGGCTTGTAACCAAGGGCGGCCAGAACCTCCTCGTCGGCATCGTACTCGTGGTTGGGATCGTACGGAATGTCGCCTCCAGGAAGAATCGACGTAACAGGCTCCTCTCTGACGCTCTTGCGTCGGTGGGCGGGCGTCGACCCAACGCTCAGGTTACGTTCGGGCATGACGCTTGATATGCACTGGTCAACGAGGCTGAAGTCAAACGATGTTCATGGAACAGCGGCGACTGGTTGATGAAGGCGACAGCACCGCCAAGAATATGAACCCGAATGAAAAGAAACAAGACGGGAATGCGAGGAGCTGCCGTTCGAGGCGACAGGAGGCTTCGGCGGCTTTGAGATCCTATCCAGATATATGTCAAGTGTCAGTAGGCTACCCAGCTCAGCAGTCTCAGCGTGCAGCGGGTGCGGGAAACCGTACCACTGATAAGACCTGACGCCAAAACAGTAGGGTCGGACACAAGCGTGCATCGCGCGCCAATGGGCTGCCGTGAGGAAGAGGGGAGGGTGGGCAGCGGATCGCTTGCATGTCCTCGAGCTCCGCTGGGATGCGCAGCGACAGAGCGTGGACCTTCCTTTCTCTTGGGCTCGCTGCTGTTGATCAGATGTCCGCGATTCGCCAGCCGCGCCCGTAAGCGGGGAAGAGCAGACGAACGCCACGCGAATTTACCTTATCAAAGGCCAGCTCGTTTGGGCACCCGCTGGCCGGAACGCCTTCTGCGCACTGGAGGCGTCCGCCGAGCCCCGTCAGGCTTGCTCGTGTCTGTGATTCGTGCTTGAAGTTATCCTTCTTCCTTCCCTTGTGCCCTGCCTATGTCTGCTTGCCCTGTCCTGCCTCTCGGAATCTTGCAGCAGGCCAACAACGTCCCGCAACGCGCGCGTTGCGAGGCGATAGAAGCGTAGGCCGTGTGCGCTTTGCACCGTCCACGACGGGACGTCAGAAGATGCGGAGCACGCGTGCACGTTTACCTAAAAAGCAACACTAACACAGGTGATAAGCTCTTTCAACCTTGAAACAGCTCATTCCCCCCGGCACCGAACGCCCCGAGCGTTGGTCCCCGTCGTCGTCCTCCTCTGCTATAACTGCCTATTCAGGGAAAGCATATCGAACAAAGCCTCGAAGGCATGATTTTACGCAAGGCTGATGCCCGGCGGATTGTCCCGTTTCATGACCATGGGTTGCGAGGACGCCATCGGTGCGGGTTAAGGGATATGTTCTGCGTTGAAACAAGAAGTGAGGAGTCGAGCATGGAAGAAAAATGCGCCAGGTCATATGGAGCGTGGAATGAAGCTGGGGAGAGGTGCTGTAATGCTTGTAAGAGGCAAGTGTATCCGAAGTGAAAAAGCCGAATGGATTCCATTCTTCATACTGCTGTACACACATATGGTGCACTACGGCATCTGGTATCAGAACTATGGTTTACAGACCGATCCCACAATCATTCTAGCGAGCATCGCTCGCTCCCTCCTGCATGCATGCATGCATGCATGCGAGAGACCGAAGGATAAGATAACCACTCCCGTCAGAAGTCCAACGTACAACCTTTTTTTTCGCTGCTTGTTTGTGCTTGCCGCTCCTGTTATTGATGTTGCGGCTGCTCTTAACTGCGAGCAGGTATCAAGCTACTCTCCTCAATTTCAATGTCAACAATTGACAAAACGCCAACCCTCCCCACTTTGCGCTTCATGCAGATGAAAACAGACAACCTTCGCTTGCAAAAAGGTCAGGATCAAGCATCTCACCGCCTTCGCTGTGCCTAGCGCCAGCGAAGCGATATCATTTTTGTTGTAACAATGCGGTTTGCTGAGAGACAAAAAATCCAGTGTGCCTTAGGACAAAGCCAGCCACTAGGAAAGAGATCCAGTGTCCCATGAATAACTAAGTCACCTGAGAGGAAATCCAGCATCCTATGGAAAATAGCCGGCTACAAAAGAGAACCTGGCATATCCGAAAATGGAGAAAAGCCTCGTCCAGGAGAAGGTGAAGGAGAAAAATAGAAATATATTCTGCCGTTGCGAGTTGCTCCAGTCGTCATCGCTCTGCTGCTGCTCGACTCCGGACTCAAGGTATTATGCATGCCTTGTACTCCCATGGGTCGTGGGCCCGAATGCAAAAGAGTTGATTTTTTGGGGGGATTCTTACCTCGGGTATCAGCAAGCCATGAGAACGTGAAGTTGAATGCCAAACGCCCAAGACTGTAGAAAGAAAAAGGTCGTCAACTAGTAATAATGACGCGTTGCTGCCAAGAATGTCGGCGGCGGCCGCGGTTGTGTTTTTTTTTTTTTTTTGTGCGGTGTCCGAAACTCCGACTATTATGTGAACACCGATTGCAGGGGTTATTTTTTGTACTCCTTGATAGTAATGACGATGCTAATCGACTAAGCTCTTTGCTCACCTCATGGACATCATGGAAGCATACCGATCAGATGTCTTCTCCCTCAAAAAGGCGAAGACGAGTAAGTGTAAGTATTATTGGTGTTATGCTGCACCGTCGAGCGTGTATGCGGTTGTCGCACTGCCACGCTTGATACGCGGCAAATGTATCTTAGCGAACAGAGGCGGCACTTTCTTCGAAGGCGATTCTTTTCGCGGCTTTCGAGAGCCTGGGGCCCAGATACAGCTTCTTCCTCTACAAAACAACAGTAAGAAAAATGAACTAAAATGGGAAAGGATAGCAGGATGATCGCGAAAGACCTAGCCTGCTCCAGTGATACCAAGAGGCGGACCTTGCTGCCTTGGCACACCTGACGCTCTGAACTGCGATTGTCGGTTCGGTGAGCCTGTGTCCTGGTGTCCTTGCATAGAACTGAAGTGTGATGGTGGCGTGTTCATGGTGCTGCCTCCTGGGCCGCCTACAGGTCGCACTGAGGACTCCATCGGCCAGGCAGCGTCCTCAGCGACGTGTTGGATAGCGCCACGCCCTTCGCGAGAGCCATTGCCATGATTCTGGGTGACAACAGCGTGAGGACGGCGCGCCATATCGCCGTAGCGCTTGAGAATTTCTTTGGTTGTAACATCGGCCTCCTTTTCGAAGATGGGGTCATTCAGCAATGAGGTGATGTCTTCCGGAATCTGCAAATATCCAGTTAGATCAGAATGTTTAAGACAGAAAAGGAAGACACAAAAAGAAGGGCAATACATGCCTCACTGAAGATCTCGTTACACTCGATCATGACCGCCACGGCTTCAATCGCCAAGAAGCTACTGTCCATATCGGGGCTCTTAATGTCTGAGTACAAGATATTTGGCGCGATGACCGTCGCAAGGTTGTGAATGTCCATCTTGCTGCCCGTCTCCTCATCCACGGTGTGAAAGCTAGCAACCCAGTTCATGAAGTTGAATAGAATCTCCATAGTGTCGCGGTGCACTTTGGGCAGGAGGCAGCAAGTCAGGTGCAGGATGCGGCGCTGCTTTTCCTCGTCAGGAATCTTGGCTGCCGTGATCCAGAGGCGATGCAGTTTGGTTGTCATAACTGGGTCGGCAAGCTCACGGAGGAACTTCTTAAGCAAGGCTGCAACTTGAACTGGTGTTTCTTTGGAGAGGTCGACGGCTTCGCAGCCTTTGGCATCGATTTCCTCGCTAAGCTCGCGCAGGCGACGAATGTTGCCGTTCTTGCGGAACACGCCTTCAACTGACATGTCCATGTTGCGCATGGCGGAGACAGCACTCTCCACGAGAGCAGGGATGCGCAGAGCACCTGGTCCAACGCCATCGGTTGACTCGGCACCGTCGCGTTCAACAATCACCTCAAGAGGCTTGCCAAAGATGCCTTTCTTTTTGTCTTTGTCCTTCTTGTCACCTCCGCCTCCTTTGAGTGCCTTCCCAAAGCGGGACCAGAATGTGTTGCCGGATTTTTCTGGCGGCTCGATCAAGTTCAGCAGCTCCTGTTGGTTAAAGTGGCCATCCAGTAACGGCTCCATGTTCAGCACTGCAATATGACGTACAAAGAAGTACTCCAACGGGGAAAGCTCCGAGAAGTAACGACGAGTCCGCTGACCACCACTCGCGCCACCGCCTTCGGCGATAGCACGATCAAGTTCGTTTCCGCCAGACATGTCGCGTCGGTGTCCGTTAAGGAGCCGCGGTTGAGGCTCACGTGGACCAAGGTTGCCTCTCGCGTACTTGGCTGCGTTGGGTCGCTGTTCGCGTGCTTGCTCTGCAGCAACCAGACGAGGTATGTCATCCAGAGCGATGGACTGTGTACCAAACGCGAGCTGTGATTCATCGTTGCCCATCTGGTTACCTCCGCGATTGCTTCGTGGGTCGTTGTCTGCAGGGCCGGGTTGAACACCGCCTCCGGGACCTTCAATGACACGTGAAGTGCGCGCTTTCTTTTGTGTGGTAGACAAGTGCCGTTCCATCCTCGTCGATCGCAGTCTACGGATGTCGCCGAGAGTTTGTTCGTAAGACGCGGAGATGCGATTATTCTTTTCTTGCTGTGCCATCGTCGACGTCGAGCCAGCAAACGACTTTGATCTGCTATCTGCGCTCAGCATTGGCGGCGACGCGGCATCTGTTGGCCCAGGTCGGTGTCCTTGGCTTGAGTCGTAACGGGCGAGATTTGGATCATCTGTGTTTTGAAAAGGAGTTTGATATCAGCCTAGCTCTGTGTGTTTTGTGTAAAATGGCAGTGTTATCGCGCAGCAGACGCGGCGTGTTGTTGTTACAACCGTTGATGTGTACTTACCTGACGTGTGCGGCAGCGCACCTTGGCTTCTCAGCGTGGCCAGAAGGCGCGCGTGGGCCACGAGCAAGAGATGCACATACTGCTGCAGTCTTGTCACCGGCCTGAACCCCATCTGGCCATCTGCGAATTGATTCCTGTGTTCGTAACAGAGCACCTGCCCGACAGAAGGACTGAACCACGCCTCACCCACTTTGTCACTGACGTCCCGTCCGCATGTCTTGCATCGCATACACGTCAAGTGGAAGCATCTATCTGCAAACTTAGCACAGCGATCTTCGACGGGTTTTCCGCAGATGGGACAGTGATCTGATTCCCCCCGTACGTATGGCAGTGATTCCGCAATTGGGTCGGAGGCTTCGTTTTGGGCCAGTCGTTCATCCAGGGAATTGATCTGGTTGAGGAAGCGGTTCAGCCCATCGGCGCTACCCGTCTCGCGCTCCAGCTTCAGTGCGCCCTGCAGGCAGATCCGAATCAAGAGCTTGAGATAGTGAGCCAGGCCCGTCACAAGCGAGAGCAGCTCTTGAGTAACGCCCAGTCTACGCATCCCTGCGTCCGATGACTCTGAGAGCAGCGAGAAGAACGACACAACCTTCTTACACAGGAGTTTAGCTTCGCGGCTGTAGGACAGACCCTTCCCCGTCTGGGAGGCTAGCATACGGTCCAAATCATCCGTACATTTGAAAAACACGTCCACATGCACAATGAAACGCTTCGCGGCCATGATGCCGTCAAAGTACACCCCATTGCTAACATGCAGCAGCATGTCTGAGATGCACGTTGCCGAACGTTCCTCAAATGTGGAGAGGGACCGCCAAATCCACAACACCTTGCCCTCGACACGCTCCTCCTCGTCCCGTACTCTGTTTCTGACCGGGTCCGAAGGGTTGTCCTCGCTCCTGGGCACCTCGGGCTCGGCGTTCGCGTCCTTCTTCACGTTCGAGAGCCGCACATTCCAGTATTTGTGGATCATGTAGCACTCAGGATGCCAGTGCTGATTCTGGCCATTGCGAAAAATCTCGACAAACTGCTTGAGAATGGCGTTTTGACAGCCGTGACACCGCTGCGCAAATCGTGTCGAGTAGTGGTAGTGACAGTACACGTCTCCCTCGTGTTCGTAGTAGCTGTCTTGGGCTCCGAAGATGGTGGGACATATCGAGCAGGTGAAGTGTTCGATGTGGTATTTGCGGTCAAGGGCGGTGATGTAGGAGCCGCGAAGAGCGCCACCGCATTGGTAACACAAGAGATCAAGACGGCGGAAATAGTCGGTCTCGCAGAGAGGGTACTGGTTGGGACCTTCATCAGGGACGGGGAAGAATTTAGACGCCACGATCTTGCCGCATTCCTATGATTTCTTCCGTCAGTCGAGACCGTCTTCCTGATCAGCGGCTGGATATTGAGAAATTAGAACTCACATGACACGTGAAGCAATCCAAGTGGAATGTGTTGTCCAGCGCTCGAACGAACTGTCCCTGAAGCGGCTCCCCACACTTCCCACATATCCTAGTCCCGCTAGGCCTCCTCGTGCCATTACTTGAGCTCTTCTGCCTGTCCGTCGATGGTCGTCCTACGTTCTGCGAGCTTCCATATTCTTGTGAGGGTTGGGGCCCCGCCGGGTTGTCGGACATCGGGTAGCTGTTTTGTCGCGAAGGGGGGAGCAATATCTTCGAGGGGTCAGGCCGACCCGAGGTGCCGACGCCTCGAGGGTCTGGCTGCGAGTAGGCTCCGGGAGGCATGTTGCGGTTGCTCATGGTGTTGCCGGTGCGGGAGTCAAAGGCCGTGGTCTGCGGCCCAGGCGAGTCGTAGCGCTGAGGGTAGACAGAAGAGCCGTTCTGTGGTGGTCCGCCCGCATACGGGCCAACCATAGTGGGCCTACGTTATGTCCAGCTTTCAAGGAAGCGACGTGAATGGGCGAGCGAGTGAGAGTGGGCGTGGGCGTGGGCGAGCCTAAACGGGTGTGGACGTGACTATGTATGAATTGTGAGTTGGCAGCGGAGGCCGGTGGATGCACACAAGGACTTTGTGTGGAAGGGCAGTGGGTGACTTTGGTCGGCGATGCGGTGAAGAGGGAACGCTGTAGCACAACAATAGGTAGAGATTGGAAGAGCACACACGCGCAGCCAAGTCGGAGTCGCGGTGCGTGTTGATGTGGCGTGAAGAAATGAAGAGCGTGAGCGACAACCGAGCGGTGGTAGACCCGAGCTTGGGCTGGTTGTGCGAGCGATGGTCGAGTAGGAGAGTCAAGTCAGGTGCAAAGACGTGCAGTGCAGCGAGCGGCGTGTGTGTAGGGTGCTAGCAGGAAAGCAGCGGCGGGAGTAGCAGTGAGCCCTGAGCAATTAGCGGGCTCGTCCCAGAATAGAAGGGCTCCCTGGGGAGGGGGCGCCTTTTTTTTGGGGGGGGGAGGGGGGAAGGGAACGGGATTGTTTGTGTTTGCGGCGTTCAAGTGAGCGCAGTGGTGCAGCCGCTGGTCGGGGGCTGGGTCGGGGGAGAGGGGCTCTGTGGGTCAGGGCGTGTGCTGGAGAGCCCTGCGAACAGAAGAAAAGCCTGGCCCAGCAATGCACTGCACGACGTTGCGCGGGAATAGCGAGTGCCTCAACTGATGCGGCAAAATAGCCCAAGGTAGGGAACGGCAAGCTCTGAAGCAACAGGCCAAGGCCAGGTCTGGTCATAACTTTTTGAACGTCCAGATGTGTGGATGCGATGGTGTCGGTGTGGGCCACTGCAAACTGGCGCCAAATCTCCGCTCCGCTGCCTCTCTGGGCACTGGCGCAGCCACAACAGAAACTGCTGGCCCACTCATGCACGCAAGCTGCACCCTCCTCAGGCTGCCAAGGCATCCATCACCGCTCCCTTCAGGTGCGCTCCCTGGCGATCTTACAGCAAGGGCGAGATACCTTAATTTTAGCCTGCCCGAATCGTCCCCCCAGGTTCTGCCGCACCCGCCGCATGCGAAAAAACATCGAACGTGACAGACAGAGCCTCAGTTGATCGTGCGAGACGAGCTGGACGCTTTGATGTTAGCCTGTCGAGCGTAGCTCCGTGATACCGTCGGTCCTGCGATCGCTCTCTTGTGCAAACTACGCCGACCTCGACAGACACCACGGCGCACGCCCTACGCTCCCTACTCCGCCCGCAGATTCATTACTCTGCCGCCCTTTGTTTCTTTTAATCAACCAGGCCACCCGTAGCCAATTAGACAGGCCGCCTTCCTGATCCCATCAACTTTGCGCTGCCCCTCATCGCCACCTCGGACAACACCATGGCAACCAACGGCTCCTCAACGCCCCTCACACCCGCCAATACCACACGCAAGCTCGGCCCCGGAGGCACTGTCGTCACCGTTCCCTACCACCCGCCCCGCGAGCGGCCCCGGACAGACCTCGACCTCGAGGCTGGCGAGGTGCTCAACCTGGGCGAGTTCCAAGACGCACATGCTCTGTCCATATCCGAGGCGCGCCTAATCGTCGAGCGCACGGAGCAGATACGAAACAAGAAGGGCACAAAGCTGAGGGAGACCGAGTAATACTCTACCTCACGCGCGATGCGCACAGCACGGGCAGAGGCGCTAACACAAAGTCCTTGTGTAGGAACCTCTCGAAGATGCTCACCTACATGGACGCTTTCTCACGGTTCAGAACGTTGAATACCCTCAACCAGATCGAAACTATGCTACTTCCATACACACAGCTTGAGCAGTTTGAAAAGGCCCAGATAGGTATTGAAAACCCATCCGCTTCCTCCCCATCCGTTACCCGTTCAGCTTCATGAAAACATGTCCACGTAAACGCGGTTACGCTTACACGTGCACATCTAGTCACCCTCTGTCCAGGTGACCCGGAAGAAGCGAAAGTCCTCATCCCCTCGCTCGCAAACAAAATTTCCGACGACGTCCTACGCGACATTCTTGAGCAGATAGACCAGCTCCGCCAGTTCAATGAAGAGTAGTGCTCTGCTTCGTTTCCACCTCTCAACATCCCCGTTCCATATTATGCGATCTTGTCATCAGGGAGAAAAAAAAACCTTTGTCACTCGGTGATCAAGGTTCTGGGCATGAGCGGTCGAAAAGATTTTTTTATAACAAATTTGCTCGGGGTGGGAGAGCATAGCGATGGCGTTTGTGGGCCGGTTATGCACACGCGTGTAGTATCTTTGCCATTAATTCGTATACTATTTAAGGCAGACACTGGGCGTGATACCGAACCAACGATTCGCGATGCCGCGCCAACCTTTACAATCTGTGGCCAAGATAGCAAAAGCTTTTCGGCCCGACACAAAGAACTTGGAGCAATGCACGGACATTCGAATCCACAGTTCAACAACGCTGGATCACTTGTTTATTCACTATTATCAAATACTCATTGGTAAAAGAAAACCAAAAAAACCCTCGGCGTTGACAGTTCTTCTCTATTAATGGAAGCTACGTCTTGTGAGGTATAGACTACGCGGGGCATATCTTCGATCCCATTAAAGCAACATAATCAAAATAACTGATGACAGTGACGACACGATGCGGGGAGCAACGAACGGTATAATGTATTGAAGTGCCCAAGGTCCGGGACGATGAGAGTTCGCTTAGATTCTCCTCATCCACTCCTGACAGACGACATCCGCCCCAGTCTCCCCTTTATGAGCCACTGCTGTCGAGATACACCGCCATGAGGCAGATGTGATTGTGGACGGTGCGGTGCTCAAGGAAAGCTAGCTCCTTGATGATGGCAAAGTTGAAGTGGAGGCAACTTGCGAGAATGTCTTCGAAAGCAACGAGAAGGCCGGCGTCGTCGGCGTGACAAGCGGCAGATGGCTGTACGATCCGTATGCCCGTGTGCCGAGTCAATTCGGCTCTCGAAGCGGAGCTCATAATAGTCGTCGTTGTCATGAACACCAATTCGCCTCATTCCGAACCCAACCCCTCCCCCTTTATATGGTCTAGAATCGGTAATGTATCACCCCTGGTCTCAAGATCATGCGTAACGTCGTGATTCCATTCTGTCTGGCTGTATCTGTGTCCACCTAGTCGCTCGTCGCGTCTTCCTTCATGCACTCTCGAACGACAGAACTACAATGCTGCATCGCCAAGGACTCTCTTTTCGTCTTCATCTGAGCCAGTCAATTTCTTCTCCATGCCGACCATCATAGGCGTGGCGCCAGGAGTTCCTGTCCTCTTGAAGTACGTCGAGACCTCCTCGCTAAAGTCATCCGAGGGATACTCGGCGTCATCAGCGTTTGCTGCAGCCTTCTCGGCCTGCCACTCTTCCCACTCCTGCCGCATCTCCTCAACCTTTTGCTTATAGTCTAGCACGGGGTCGTAGTACTTGTGGACACCACGGAAGCGTTCCCAGAGCGACAGGTGTTGCGGGTGAATGGCGATACCGTGGTAGTCGGCTTCTCTCCCCAGACGGATGTAGTTCCAGCGTCGCTCCTGTTCTTTGAGATCAAGTCCGGTGGTATCTGGTAAGAATAGTAGAGTAAGGATAGCGCCCGCAAGACCGAACCAGCAGACGATGCGGAACTTCTCCCCGGTAGTATCAAGGTAGTTGTACATCACGGCCGCGTGCAGGGCACCAAGCTTGCCAACAGCAGCGGAAAACCCGTGCGCAGTGGCACGAATGGGTGTTGGGTACACCTCAGCCGCCACAAGGAAGGTGACGGAGTTAGGCCCAAATTGATTGAAGAATGATGACAAGAAATACATGGCCTGGAAGGAATGAATACCAGCTGGGCTGCTGTAGTGGCTGTAGGCGAAAGCTGGGATGACGAAGAGGATAAAGTCGCACATGAAGCCAACTATCATCATCCACTTGCGACCATACAGCTTGTTGTCGATTAGGAAAGAAGCTAGGTAGTAGCCGCACAGAGACACGCCAACGTTTACCAGGTTGTACAGCCAGCCGACCATGACAGACTTGTTGCCTGGAGTGAGGACAGAAATAAACTGACTCTGGAAGAGCTTGTTGCCGTAAAAGAAGATGTCGTTCGCATACCAAGCACCGGCAGTTGCAATGAGGCGGGGGCCGAAATAAGTGAAGGTCATCTTGAGCGACTGGGTATCGTAACCAGTGACTTTGCTCTTCTTCTTGGCAAGAGCGAGCTGCCTGCTAGCAGATTTCATCTTGTAGACGCGGTAGTAGACGAGCCACAGTGTTCCAACAGCGGGAATCGCAAATGAGACGCGATACGTCCATTGCGCCGCCACCTTCGAGTATGGTGGGTTACCACTCCCGTGGTGAAAAATCAGGAGGAGCAAGATCAAGATGACTTGGTTGGCAAACTGGCCCCAGCCTTGCATCAAGAAGGCGCTGGTGACCTTGCGACCTCGGTGGAGACGGTCTTCCTTGGTGGAGACTTTGCCAGCACCAACTGCGTTCTCCATACCGGAAGTGGCAGTCATGGGATATTCACCACCTACGCCGATGCCGTAGAAGAAGAGCGACCAGACGTAGCAGATGACCCAGCCGTTTTGCGTAACACCCCAGGCCGCGGTGAGCATGATCAAGCCAAGGAACATGATGGTGGCGTCCTGAATGAGGCCCCAACGTCGACCGATCCAGTCACCGATGATGCCGACAAGGATTTGACCGCAGATGATTCCGCAAATCTCCAGGTAGTCGATTGCTTGAGTCCATGTCTCGTCGCAGATTTCGAACGTCTTCCAGCAAGACGGGAAGGCTGCTTGAAGTAGAGGTCGAACATTGCCAATGGAGAACAATACGTATCTGAACAGGTTAGCAGCTTTATCGCTGGGGACTCCTCATGACATCTTACCCTTCCAAGAGCAGACCCATCCCAGGAATAACCATATTTCGCATATACGCTCCCACTGGGCTCAATGGGTCGTTCTTGATCATATTGCCAATCAAGGCGAGCTCTCTTCGAGCCTCCTTGCCATCCACGCCGAGGACAAAGTTGAGCCTCTTGAGAAGTGGCATGTCCGCCCAGTACGTGCCCTCTTGGTCATACATGTCGTCTGGCTTCAGAATGGTCTGAAAGACTTCAGCCTCGTTGCCATCCATCTGCAGGCTTCCTAGTCTGGCAGTAGCAACATGATGGCCAGTCACGTTTGGGCCGTGAGGAGCCTGCGCGCCGAAGTCACGAAGTGATTCGTCGCTGTTGTCTGCCATTGTGTGCTCTCAAAAATTCTTGCCCTTGAGAACGAGAGGATCAGAAAAGTAATTCCGAAACGATGAGAAGATTTGGCAATGCCCAGGAAAGGATAAGTATAAGACGTCGATCTAGGATCTGATAAGCGATGACGACTCGTCTTATACTGCCAGATCGTATGCTCGGCCTAGGTCTCTAAGCCTTTCGGTGGCGCTGATGCACGGTTGGTAAGAACCAAGATGTGACGTTTGCAGGACGATGAGAGAGCCAGGGCGGAAACCACGTTCAAATACTTCGAGACGTGAGTGGATGACACTCGCGGCAATGGCACTAGTAGCGCAGGTGTGGTGAGAGTATGCCGATCAGGTTGGAAGCGTGGCCGGCCCTGGCTTCCAGATTACGAGCAGACCAGAAACGTGGGATTCAGCAGTGACCTTGGGAAGGGTTTGAATTGGTACGAGAAATATATGCTGAGACGTAAGGATGCTTTAAGTCAATCATGCACCCCGCGGGAGGGAGAAAAGATTTGCTCATGTGTGGGCAAAGGCGGCAATAGAGAGCTGGGTTGTTGCCGGGAGCTTGGCCGGGTGGAGTGTCAAGAAAGAGAAGGCAAGACGGGCAGACCTTTATTTGGTCGTAAGAAGCAGAAACTAACAATTAGTCGTTTCCCACCGTCCAGGTCCAAGCGGTGACGGCCGGCTCCACTCGAACAGCGTCGTGCTGCCTTTCGTGGCCGTCTCCAGGCCCAGGTCGTGGCCGTGGCCGCAGCATGGCTTCGTTGCACCTTTGCGGACGGCGACGGTCAACACTTCTCTGAGCACGCGACACATTTCCTTTCTTGACCGCCGACAGCATCGCGTCGTCAGCCAAGCGAACGCAAGCTTCTCGTGGCGACTTAGCGTTGCAGCCCACGGCCGAAGGCTGCCGGCGTCTGCATCGATCCGCTTGCGCCATCTCGCTCCAGCATTTTCGCTTTGTGGACGCGGACGAGAAGAGGTGAGGTTGAACTTTCCATTCTGGCCGGCCAATCAGAAGCCCGGATTCCAGCACGTTTTCCATCAGATTAGCAGCACTGGCCTGTTCTGCCGCCCCACAGTCCGTCGAGACCCTGAGCACGACGTCCACCTTCCGGACGCCGCCACTCGCGCGTGCTGTCAACTCTTCATCTGCCCGCACATCTCTCAGCACGGCTGATGCGTCAACGAATGTGCTTCCTCGTCGTTGCTGCGTGTACATTTCTATGGGCTCTGCTCACATCCGAAGGTACCGAAATGTGCGATGCCTCAGCTCTGAAGAATGCCGCCACCTGACGTTATCTTATCTCGACCTGTCGAAGATGTGTCCTTGAGCTCGTCTGAGCAGCCTTGTCGGGCATGATGGGTGCCTCCGCCACGCGTACCCATCTCTCTTGAGGCTGTTTGGATCGGTCATTCACGCGTGGGATGATCGACGATGGAGCAATACCTGCGCTTAAGGCGAACAATGGCAAGCTCGCCTCGCAGGGCTTGGACGCGAACACTGTCGAAACAAGCAATACCAAGCAAGATGCTAAGTGACATGGGGTGTCTCGGGACATTGAGACGTATTGGACGCGTCCTCGTAAAAGAAGGTGCCTTAATGCAGCTCGTGCTCGAACAACCACGCAGCAATTATCTAATGATTGTACATGGTCTAACAGTCCAATCTGCGAAATTCAGGCTGTCCTGCGCAATGACCCCTTTTTCGAAACATGTCCGATATGGCAACGTTCGAGAAATCACCAATTGTGCAGTGTATCATGCGTCTCGTGCTCAGCATTGTGCCCCGTTTGACCAGTACGAATCTTGACAACCCCAATCTCACCGGGGGGAAGCGTCGTATCCATCTGAGAAAGTAAATCCCACCAAACCCCAAAATCGAGTAACATAGGCTGTTTCATGACAAACCATAAATGGATGCTGACGACTTGATGGAAGTGGCTCTGTCCGATGGCCCAGATATTATCTAAGCGGATTTGTTAAACTTCGTACACGTATGTTGCCCTTGCTTCACCAATTGCCAGAGCCGGTGCAGGGGATCGTAGGGATTGGCTTCGTAAGATGCAAGAACATCAATTTCAGCTGAATGCTGAGTCAAAAGCAATCTTGGTCCGGCCTTCCATCTGCCGCGTTACCAAGTGATGAACATTTTTGGCCAGCTCACGGGATTTGAAAGCCACCCCGAGCTCTTGACTTGTGTACCATGATGCTCTGTCCAAATTTCCGCTGCCAAGGATGGTCCACTCTTCATCCACAATGGTGAGCTTCAGGTGCGTCTGAACGGGCTCGCCGTCTTGTTGACTGCAGCCTTTCGATTCGTAATATTCTACCTTGAGCTTGCCGATGCGAACTGGTAATCGCTCCTCATCAGAATGAACAGATATAGAATTCGAACGCTTGTACAGTTTGATCAATTTTCTTATGCACCGCGACGTTGTAGTGCCCGCTGTAACAAGCTGTTCGAGAATCATGAGTTTCTCACTGGTGAGGATGTGAACATCAACGCCACGCCGCAACATCCGAAGAATCGAACTTAATACAGGCAGCGACGTGACGTTCGGTGTCTGTATGTAGATTGTGGATGAAGCTGATTCGAATAACTCAAGGACAAAGGTGTTCAAAGGGGTACTTGGAGGGGGTCGGTGTTTTTGCCAGGGGAAACTGAATCGTGGCCAAGCATGGTGAGGTGACGGCAAGAAGATAGCGTAACATGGTGGAAGGTGGCTTAAAGCAACAATGCTGTATGCCGCGCCTGGCTGAGTGTCGGCACGTCGAGTGCAGACAACGGCCTTGGTCTGATCTGATATGTCGAATGAGACATCATCCGGGTTGCCATCATTCGAAGAAGTCCTCGCCCAAAATGTTTGCCAGAACGTTACGAATTGCTTGACTATTGGACCAGATAGCGCGATACAGCCTTCAAACCAGGACTCCCATGAGACATTGCATGAGGGTAATAAAACCAGCTTACGATCGATTATGACGAACTTTGGGTGCATGACGCTGAACGGCAGCACGAATACACTCTTGACTTGAATATCCAAGCCCGGTAACTCTTCCGGACCGGGTAGCGAGAGCTTCGTCGTCCATGCTGAGCCACTGTATATCGAGCCTGCTACGGAACGGGTGTGGAAAAGCTTCTGTAGCGCGGACAACGATGAGAATCCTATGAAGACACGGACCTTGCTTCTCCTTTTCGCCATCACCTGCTCGGAGAGCGCCCGCAGAGATTCGCGAAGCATGTCAAGAGACGAGCTGCGTGCCCAAAAGCATGTGATGAGTATGACCTCTTGCTGCGCTTGCTCAATCGCGGGACAGATGTGGCTGTAAACGTCGTCGCCGTTGCCGACAACAAACAGCTCAAGATTAGCCTCAGTCTGCAGCAGCTCCGGTCGCGTCGCAAAGTAGTTGGGGTCGGATGTTTTGTTGGCAGCAGCATTCTTCATCATCGCCTGCCACCAGCTGCCTACAACACCAAGATCTTTATGCATCTCGCCAGCCATATCCAAACGTCGACGTCTTTGGCAAGTTCTGGAGGTGAGCAAATACACGCAGCTCTCAGGCTCTGAGAAGGGTTGAATTCACACCCGTGCGTTCATGATAGGCTTGTATCGACAACCACAAGCTCTCAGACCGACCACATGAGAATTCAAACAATTTATAAAAATCTAAATTGTGCGTAGCACCTTTTGTAACATCAGTCTTGCGTAGATGTCGAGGTAAGGTTGGTTCTACATCACGACACGTTCAGCCACCTACGCTCGGACCATTCAAGACTTAGGACAAGATCTCAGTCCAATGTCACACTCGCTAGAATAGGGAAATCAAACACAGACGTGGGAACGAATGATCGATGCCAGTGGTGTAAAATTTCAAACTTTGTTATGTTGCTTAAACACCTAGTCTTCCTGGCCAACTTGACTTCACCACAGGAATGTTTAAGCCGAGGTCTCATCTGCGTCCAGCGAGATCTCTTTTATCGATATGACCGCGACTCATCGGCTCACGCTTCATCTCCCTAGATGCCATCAAAAGGCTCACTTCATTACCGTATGAAGGCGTAAAGGAATCTAGAAACAATCGTTTCAATGGACACATCCACGGATTATTTCTCTCTTGACTTACAATTTCGAGGGTTTATCACAGGTTCGGTAATCAGAGACAAGTCTTCCGGTAAGGAGTTGTGTCGATATTTTGGAGGCGTTCCATACGGGCTCCCCCCTGTGGGCCCATTTCGCTTTCTTCAGCCTCGACCACTGCCTCCGTGTTACAGATACGGTACGAAAGCAAGCCCTGGCATCTTCACAGGACAATGCAGCGTTTGCCCACAGGCTCGTCCATCAAAGTACGACGATGAAGACTGTCTGCAACTGAACATATATGTGCCTTGTGGAAATCCACCAGATGAAGGTAAAGACCCTTCGAGATCGACCGTAGCAGATTCTGATCGTTTCCAGGATGGCCTGTATTGTTCTACATACGTGAGCGAGATGGAAATCCGGTCTTCTCGGAATCGAACTAAAGTCTGTCAGATGGGGGATTTCTCCAGTTCGGTAGTGCCAACGACGTCAACCCCGTAGCACTGCTATCAGAGACATCATTCAAAGCCATCATGGTGATGCCGGCATACCGCCTGAACGTTTACGGCTTTTTGGCATCACATGAGTTGCTCCACGAACCGAGTAACCGATCAGGGACGGTCGGCAACCTAGGATTTTGGGATCAGCGCCTTGCTTTGCATTGGACGTACACAAACATAAGCTATTTCAATGGTAACCCCGCCAACATCACCGTCGCCGGCTACTCTGCCGGAGCACATTCAGTATTTTATCAGCTTGCCTACGACATCGACTACCCGCCCGAGAAGCGTATCATCAAGCGCGTATGTATGCTCGCTAACGGACCCGGGGTACAACCTAAGTCATTAGATGAGGCTCAGGCGCAGTTTGACGAGCTACTTGAGGCCCTTCACATCTCGAGCTCATTGCCGGCGCATGAGAAGCTGAGACTGCTACGTGAGACGAGTCAAGCAGTTCTGAGAAAAGCCATCAGCAAACTGAGGCTGCACGAGTTTCGCGCCGTGACCGACGGACATTTCGTAAGACAAGTCTTGTTCAAAGAGCTAGACGACGGAACGTTTGCTCGGAAACTGCTCCAATCGAATGTCCAGATTTGGGTTGGCGAGTCAATGAACGAACACTTTGTGTACGCCATGCACAGACGTCCGAAGAACGGTGCAGACGCTTTACATCGTCGCTTTCTAGCTGACTATCCCCGCTGGGCTGTGGACGTTCTCAGGGAAAGGTACATGACAAACGGCCAGCTGCCACAGGGCGTCAAATCCTGGGGTGAGCTCTTTGGACGCATCTACGCAGATATGCAAGTTCACGTTACAGAACGCGGACTGGTCGACGCTCTTGTCCGAGGCGGCGCCGGGCACCTCATCTACAGATACCGAATCGAATGGCGCAGCGAGGTCTCATGGGCGCAGAAACACCACGGCGCCACGCACTGGGCCGATGATGTCATTTGGTTCTTTGGAAACGGGAGGAAGTTACCGGCGGAGGAGAAAAGGATCGTCGCGGAGGCTTTCATTGACGAGTACGCAAAATTTGTAAAAGGCGACGAGCTAGACTGGCGCGCCCGCGGCTCGCTTGAAGTGAGGAGACTGCGGAGCGACGGCGCGATCGACGTGTGGACGGATGAATGGTGGGCAAACAAGCTGGACATCTGGCGGCAACTGCAAAAGGCATGTTCAGAACAATCTTTCGCGAAACCGACCCCGAACCTGTGAAGTGCGCATGCAACGTTAGGAGGACGATGAGACAGGCAAATTCGCTCGGAATCGTTCGTGGGAACAACCTAGCTGAGACCAAGCGCTTCTTCTGGCTCACATCCTATCGAGCCGTTCCTATATTAAGTCATGTATCACAAGAGCACAGAATTGCTCGACTCCCTACCCCTTAGTGTACGAAGCTTCTGTTTTCTTAATACCTTGCTTAGAACATAAAGCCGGTTTTCCTTTCAGGCTTTGACTCCTCAATCCATCTCCGATCCACCTTGTACGTTTTGTTCAGAACGCGAGTCATCCTCGATCCTTCGAGTGCTGCCAACATAGAAAAACCCCATGGCGCCTCTGCACCTTGCCCTTGAATCGGAGGTTGAAACAGTCTCTGAGAACGCGGCACAATGAGGTTTCCCATCGTCACGCTCACTATTTTCACCGGTGTCTGCTTTCTTGCCCAGGCGAAGCCGCTCAACGTTCATGCTATTCCGCTGGTTCTGGGCGAGGATAGCTTCAACGCTACGACCAATGCTACGATGGACTTTCTCGGCTTCACCGAGAGACGCTCAACAGTGGGTTTGCATCTGAATACAGGTCTGGACGGAAGACGCTCACCAGTCAATCCAGAGCATCTCGTGTGGAAACATCGGTCAGTATGCATCTGTCCACGGCGGAAACCCACCCGCCGTCCACAGCACCTACGCGGGCATCTCCAGTCTGCTCAGCGACCTGCACTGTGTCTTCGGTAAGCCCGGTCAGACCCAGCGCGTGGCCTGCGTCGGCAGTGGCGACGACCTCACATCCATCTACGTCGTGAACAACAACAAGGTGCGTACCCTTTCTGCCCGCCACGCCTGGCGGCCTCGCCTCCTCATAGCTGATCTTTTGCGAAAGCGCGCTCACAGCGCTCCGTGCTACTGGCTCGGTCCGTTTGCATACGACATCCTCGGCGGATGCTGCAAAGCAGGTCATCCGTGTACGGACCCCTCCAGCAAGGTGCGTTGGGGTCCGGCTCTTGGCAGATGGAAGGAATTTGATATCTACTTCGTCGCCGAGCCGAGCGGCCACTGCTAGAAGTTTAGGGCACCCGCGTCGTCCGCCCTTGAAAGCGGGCCGGGTGGAGCATTGATTTGATTGAGCGGCTCCGTGCGAAGATGCGAGATTGAGAAATGCGGAGGAGGCCACAAATTTTTCTTTTGGAGGGGCCGACCTGCTCATTAGCGAGAGGTGTGATTTTTTTTTTTTTTTTTTTTTTTTTTTTTTTTTTTGAAAATGGAAGCGGTCATCCATTTCTAGATCACCTACGTACTTTGCACGCTGAGACAGTCGCAAGATTCGTTCGCCGAGGCTCGGGGCGAATACTGTGCTTGCTTTGCAAACACTACACGTAGGCGAGACAATTCTAAGAGTAGCGTGGAAGTTGTTCGAACCTCAGGCCATGCGTGTAGTAGCGTGTCCTATCGATGCAGATGCATCCAAGACTTGAGTCCCAGATCAAGTCAGGTCACGGGCGTGGGTCCGCCAAGTCGAAACGGTCTACTCAGAACCAAGCCTGGTCTACACTGGACAGAAGTCCCCCACAGGTCGGATCTTTGTAGTCACGTACGTCTCTGAGTAGAGTCCGTAGAGTCGCTGGATGGAGAGAGGAGCAGCAGCGGAGCACAAGGGGCAGCGGCCAATCCGACTACAATGACGAGGCGCGCACTGCTTTCTAAAGCATTATAGTACAGATGGGCGTCAACGTCTGTCGGCTCCGGTAAGCTGTCTGCTCCCACCACATGGAGAGCTCGCCGGCGCGCTACGAAGTTCTTTGGCCATTCTTCGAGGCGACGTTCCACGTTGCAACGTCGGATCCAGCAGGAGCATGTTACCCGTCCGCACGCCAAGGTCGGGACCGCCCAGACAAAACGCCCGACAAAACCTCGAACGAGGCCACGGCGCTTTTGCACGGAAAGGGCAGCACGTTTCCTCGCACGTCACAATAAGGAAGGGGGGAATAGCCGGCGGAGGCACGTTGCAGGCGCAGAACGGTCTCATGTGACCGCGCCGCAAGAGCGCCGCCCCGGCTGGTCGTGTCGCGGAGTCTTGGCTGTGTCCTTCCGGGGAAAAAGGCTCTCAACCACAAACGAGGAGGGGAAGAAGGGCGGCAAAGGGGGAGGAGGGCGAGGTTCACAACGGGGGCCTTTTTTGGGGGGTGGGGGATGAGCACGCTGGATCCAGGGCGTGGAGGGACACGTTTTGTTGGGCGAGCCTTCATACTTGACTCAAAATCGCCCGGGTTGGCTGCTAGGTTTTGCGATCGAAGCGGAGGACGCGCCTTTGTCGTGCTCGGAATATTTTTTTCTGTTGTCCTTTTGCTTTGTTATTTTAAATTTTTCTTGATGATTTTTTTTTCTTTATTTTAAATTTCTTGCTCTTGTGCTCGCTGGGGCAACCATGAGTGTCGGCCTTCCACGGCAACATCCTTCCACAGGTCATCTGCGGCCTAAAAGATGATGGTGAGGGCCATGGTCCTGGTCAAAACATGTCGGTCAGCAGAGAAGGGGGGAAATTAGCGAGACGAGCGTCGGTAGAGGCATGAAAGTTGGCCATGCCTTGAGTCGCTGCCGGCGCAAACTTTGTTGTTACTGCGTGTCTCAAGTGAATGATCATGGGTTCTCGAGAAGAGCGACCCGATGCTAGAAGGGCAGATGCCATGATATGGCTGCCGGGTCTCCCTTTCCTACGCGGCGATAAGAAGATAGAACGGAAGGGCGTAAAGAATGGGATCTCTGATGTGTTGTCATATCAGGCTGATGTTATTTGCCTGGGTACCCGTAGGGCAGAAAGCGTGACGACGGTCAAATTCCGAGCCACCGCGTACGGGAGCACGCAGAAGAAGAAACGTTCTCTGGGACCATCCTTGCGTAATACGATCTCGAATGCTGAGCTCGACCGGAGACCCCCTGCTGCTCGGCTGACGAAAAAAAAAAGGTTGCAGGCCAAAATGACGATGTGCGGTCGTAGCGTAGGTCTGATGGCTGTGCCTGCAGGGCACCAGCGACGGATCAATGCTTGCTGGACCGATTTCTCCTCCCGTCTCATCTTACGCATGTCTATTATCTCTCCACATCACACTCGCTCTCTCTTTGTCCCTGTGCTCGTCTCGACAAGTTTGGGTTACCCCCGAGAACCGAGCAAATCCGGGGCTATACAGCGTAGAGGAGCGGGTGCTAGACGAAAGTGCTTACTGATAATTTGCATAAGAGCAAACGAGCTACCAGAGGCCAAGAGCGAACCATGTTTCAATCTGTTGGCTGGATGGCCCTTAGTAGTCAAGAAGAACGAAAAAAAAAAACAACTTTCTAGAACACGTGCGATGTTGGTGTTGTGTTTTTCACGCACACCCATACACACTCCAACACACACACGCACACACACAAAAAAAAAGGGCACAAATTTTCAAAATCGGACGGATCGCGGGGATGTAGGCATGATGACGATGCCCAGCTCGTGAACCACGGTGCCATGATCGGACCTTTTGTGTGGTTTCTCTCCAGCTCTTGCACACCTTCCACCTGTGTTCTGCTTCGCCTGGAAATGATGCAAGCCCCGCACTGGAAGGGCCTAAACTTACGGGCGCTAATGCAGGTATTCGAGAAGTGTAGGCACAAAATAGGACCGCGTGCATGCTATGAGGGCAAGAATGGTTGGTCGTCCCATATCCCTCAGTAGTCGAGGTGCACAAGTGGGCAGCGAGCTAAATTAGGTCTTGTCCTAGCGGGGTGGGCAGCGCGATCTCTAGAATGGCCATCATTGGGTACGAGACTTGGACGGTTAGCTGAGGCACGTTCACACTTGTCGTTAGTATTATAATCGCTGTTATTGTTGTAGACGTTGTCATCTTAACGACAACGAGGATGACGACGACGACCATGACGATGATGGCAATTGTCACCAACAAGGACCATCGTAAAACCAGCTATGAGGAGCGAGTCAATCAACCCAGTTGTGGTACGTTCCAGGTGCGTCATCAGGCTTAGAGAAGACGGTTGTGGATGGGGGTGTGCGTGCTTCCAACACTTGTGTGAAACCAGTCTCCCTGTCCGCCCTCCATCGTCTCGCTGGCACCACGTCGGGGTCTTTTCATTCAGATTGCGAAACACGCCGGGAGGGCGGGCGGCGGGTTCGTGTGGAGTGGTGAGCGGACGTTGGTTGGCGTGATCATTTGTCGGTTTGGCATGTTCATCTGTCGTCACGCTACCTTCACCTTGTCTGCGCTCCCGACGTGCCTTACACCGCGCGCCGACGCTAGGCATCTGGGCGACGAGTCCTATTGGACGAGTGTGGTCAGCATCTTGAGACTTGCTTTGAAGCTTCGACGCCGTGGCCCAAGGGTGTCTTTCCTGCGCCGGCTAAGCGGGAGAACGCGTGCTTGAGGATGCCGGGGCGGAGTGCGGGAGAAGAGAGAATGTGCGGGAAAGGAAATGAGTGTGTGTATGTGTGTTTGAGTGCAGGAGAGAGCATCGGGACTGTCCACGGGACGTGTCGCTTCGAAAGGGCCGATGCGGATTCGAGTGTGAAGGAGGGGAGGATCACACAGTGGATGCATACACATGGAGATACAGAGAAAGACGCGGAAACAGAGAGGTATGCAAGCCGGGAAAGCGACGTGCAGATCGTAGCCACGGGCGAGATCTCCACACGAAGAGCGTCAGAAGGGAGGCCTGTTTGATCCAGGACGTCGCGAGTGTGTCCTGGACGATAGCGGCAGGCAAGATTCGTCGCGATTCTGCTCGCTCACTGCACAACTTTCATGGTGGCGGGAGGGGGCGACGATGGTGATGCTTAGGGGGTGTCTGAGCAAGTGCGCGTGCTTGTGGGGGGTGGGTGGGAGGTGCGGATTGCCGTCTGTAAGGGCAGCGCCCGCAGGAGCCGTGGTGGCACCGGAGGACGAGGACGAGGACGAGGACGAGGCACTCACCCGCAGGAGCTCGCAGCGGCACCAGCAGACTGGCAGACACGAAGACACCCAGCGCTCGCCCAGGACGGCCGTGCCTCGCTCGCTCACTGACGCATGCTTCGTTCGCGGTGCAGAGCTGGTCGCGCTAACGCCCAGCGGCTCGCCGCACACGCCATTGGCCGGGCTGCCCGGTAGCGACATGCCGGCGACGTGCTTGTGACTGACTCTGGTGCTAGCCCGGTAACGGCGGGGCCCGTTCTTGCACCCCAGGCGGAAACACGGCCTGTATCTTTTTTGAACAGAAAAAGTCCCCCCGGCGTCGTCTCCTCTTCGCAGCCAGCGAATCCGCCAAAAACATCGCCATTGATGCCCTGATCGCCCATTGCTACCCGTGTCGGTTCCGCTCGCAACCTGTCTGACCGCACGCCAGCGTCTCCGCTCCGTCTCTGCCGCGCTCTCGCTTGCCGCTCTGCGTGTCCCCATCCCGCAGGCTCGACACGCCACGCTCCCCCCTCCAAACCCCCCGTGGACGACACGCACCACCCCTCCGATCCACCTGCCTTGACTGCGTCGTCTCCGCTCCCTATCGCGGTCCTACACAATGGGCTTCGTTCTGGCCGGCATATAGACGGTCGGGCTGCCCATTGGCGGCAGCTTTTTCACGCGTCAGAGCGACTTTCGGACCCTGATCGCCCTCCTCATGGCGGCTGCCAACCCACACCCTTCGAAACCACCTCTCGTGGATCAGGAGCCCCTCAGGGCGCCTGCCGTGACCGCCCTCCAGCAGGAGGCCCTTGGCGGCGACATCCACCACACCAAGATGGAGCGTAGCATCAGCGAGGACTTCCGTGCCGAGCGCGAGGAGCTCAAGGAGGCGGCCGAGCACACCAAGAACGTCATCCTCGACCTCGGGCTCGACGGTGTCGTCCGCTTTGTCAGTCCCTCCTGGAAGGATCTTATTGGCACAACGCCGGACTCGGTCCAGGGCAAGCCCATCGCAGATCTGCTGCTCGCCGACGACAAGAAAGTGTTTGAAGAGAGCATCGCCGCATTGCAGAAGGACGACTCGAAAAGTCAGATCATCCGCTTCTCACTGCCCCTTGGCCCGCACTCCTTGCTGAGGAAGCGTATTCACCGCTCTCAGTCGAACCTTACCGAGGTGACCGAGCACCTGGCCGACGATTCACCACCGGAAAGTGAGCCCACCATCGACCTGGAGGCACAGGGCATCATGATCTTCAACACCGCCTCCGGCGAGGCTTCTCACGTAAGGCATTTCCCTTCTAGAACAACGCCAGGCTGTTGTAGTTAACTATCGAAGCTGACTCGTGTACCAGACGATGTGGATGATCAAGCCATATGTTGTCAGGGAAGTGACGATTGACCTGCCAGAACTTCTCGTCGAGTCGCTAGGTGTCGGAGCGGAAATGCTAGCTCGTTATCTGACCGAGCTTGCGGAAGCAGGTGTCGACGACCCAGCAAACCATCCGCCACCTTTGCCTGTGCTGTGCCGCATCTGTGAGCGCCAAATCACGCCTTGGTGGTTCGAGAAGCATACCGACCTCTGCCTGCAAGAGCACAAGGCCGAGATGGACGTGCAGCTTGCCCACGAGGGCCTGTCCGATCACCGCAACGCAATAGTCAAGGTCCTCGACGCTCTCGAGTCGCAGTCCCGGCAGTCTCGGGCCCCGGCGTCGAACGAACTTGCGCCAGTCACTTCTGCTCCTCCCGAGTACAAGGGCATGATCATCGGTCCGGCCTCTACACCTTCGTCTGGACCTTCTTCCGGTCGTGCTTCGCCTGCATCACCTTCACGTAGCCGAGACCGATCGTCTGGCTTTGGTCACGCAAGAGCCCGCTCGTTCGCCGTACGACGCCCGGTTGCTCGCATTGTCGAACTCGTCCTGGACCTTTGTGACACTGCGCTAGAGATAAACACCCCCTCGTTGCGGACCCAGCCGGATGGAGAGTTCAGGACCCAGTCTCCGCAGTCTGAGAACAGGATCTCGCAGGTTCTGCAGTGGGAGAAGCCCAGCACGAGCACAATGGAACAGGAACAGGGCCTGGCTGCCCTGTGCGAGGACACGGCTAAACTGGCACGCAACAAGGTCGAGGCAGTCTTCAGACACCGCCGCATCCTCGAGTACTCTGAACGCATCCGCGTCGAGTTTGACGTTCTCGTCCAGGAATGTATCGAAGCTGCACTTGCCAAGGCCGCCCGGATCGCGGCGGGAGATACCAGCGATTCAAGCTCCGACACAGAAAGCCAGGTAGAGACCGAGCACGCGGCAGCGAGCGAGTCGGAGGCGGAGCCGCAGAACGACACCGACCCTGGTCCTAGTGAAGAAGGCATCTTTCCGGCCTCTTTCGAGGGCCAGTCTGCCATGTCCATGGCGTTGCGAAACGCCTCCGAGCTGTCTCTCGCACAACGGTCCGATCGCAGAGTGTCATCTACGGCGACCTCTTCTCGATCCAACAGTCCCCGTGGAGCACAGACGCCACGGTCACACGCGGGCACGAGTATACCACCGCCAAGCAAGCGTGGATCCATCTTCTTCGAGAGCGACACAGGCGCAGACAGTGACGGCAGCATGGCTTCGTCGGCAATCTCTTTGCAGCGCCGTGCCGAGTCCCCCGGATCGGATGCCAGCCTAGCACGCGTGCACAGTTCGCGGGAACGGAAGCGGCGGAGCTTGATCCTGCCAAGTGTGATGTCCAGCCGAGGGCAGTCGCCGGCTCGAAGCATTCCCCCGCCCTCGTCTCCCCTCCGCATGGCGAAGCCTCGTCTTCCCAGCGGTGCCGATCAGCTGCAGTCGCCTATAACATCTCCAGTGCTGACTACCAACGAGTTTTCGTCTCCCTCCATATTCCCGCAGCATCTCCATCACCATCATCACCACCGAAGGCAATCTTCCACCGCCTCGTCTCAGGTCATCGGCCCCCCGCTCTCGCCTCGACTCGCTCCTGTAGCAAGCAATCCGCAGCCGAAGGCCGTACCGCCATCGATTAAGGACTTCGAGATCATCAAACCGATCAGCAAGGGTGCGTTCGGCAGCGTTTACCTGTCAAAGAAGAAGTCGACAGGCGATTACTTTGCCATCAAGGTGCTGAAGAAAGCGGACATGGTGGCCAAGAATCAGGTGACGAACGTGAAGGCGGAACGCGCAATCATGATGTGGCAAGGCGAGAGCGATTTCGTGGCTAAGCTGTACTGGACGTTCGCGAGCAAAGACTACCTGTATCTGGTCATGGAGTATCTCAATGGAGGCGATTGCGCCTCGCTGATCAAAGCTCTCGGAGGCCTGCCGGAGGACTGGTCGAAGAAGTACATCGCCGAAGTTGTCCTCGGTGTGGAGCACCTTCACAGCCGCGGAATCGTCCATCGTGATCTGAAGCCTGACAATCTGCTTATCGATGGCAAGGGACACCTCAAGCTCACTGACTTTGGCCTGTCACGAATGGGTCTCGTCGGCCGGCAGAAGCGCGCTCTGAGCCGTAAAAACGACGAGCCACCCGTCCCGGATCTTCTCAAGCATGGACCGTTCCAGCGCGCTGTATCTATTTCAACAGCTTCATCTCGATCCGCATCGTTCGACTTGCAGGGCAAATCATCGCCTACGGCGACGCCAAGCTTGACGCCCGCGCTACCAAACGGCGAGGAAAACCCGTCTTACTTCAGTCTCAGCCGGGAGGGCAGCCGAAGGATCTCAAGCTCGAAGAACGAGGGTGACAATGTTGAGAGCCTTCATGCCATGTTCCGCAGGTTCAGCATCGCGGACGACGCAATGAGCCAAACTAGCCAGCCGGTTGAGGACGAGGGCGCGGTGACGGACACGGGCTCGCCCGATCCGTACCCTCTTCAGCCGGTCACCACCAACGCCAGCACGAATCAGAGCAACACACCACCGACCACGTCGAACATGCTGCCTCCGACCATGGCACTGTTCGATCCTTCAGACACCAGCCGTAAGTTCGTGGGAACACCAGATTATTTGGCACCAGAAACAATCAGCGGCGTCGGACAAGACGAAGTCAGCGATTGGTGGTCGGTAGGTTGCATGATCTTCGAGTTCCTTTACGGTTACCCCCCATTTCATGGAGAGACTCCCGAGGAAGTGTTTCAGAACATACTAGCCAGGAACATTCATTGGCCTGCGGATGAGGACTGCCCTGTGTCGCCCGAGGCCAAGGACATCATGAACAAGCTCATGTGTAGTGATCCAGCCAAGAGGCTTGGTGCCAATGCCAATGATGCCTTTGCGAGCGGCGGCGAGGAGATTCGTCAACACCCGTGGTTTGCTGACGTCAGTTGGGAATCGCTGCGTGAAGACGAAGCGTCGTTCGTGCCCGCCCCAGAAAATGCAGAAGACACGGAATACTTCGACTCCCGCGGTGCGACGCTCCAGAACTTCGCTCCCGAGTTCGAAGATCAAGGAACGTCGTCTGCTGGCACACCGGGCGCAGATTACCCGGATCGGCCGCACGATGCTCTATCTCGGGTGCGAACTCAGATCAACTCACTGAAGAGGGGTCTGATGCCGTTGCACATTCCCCCACACGTCCGAGATGGACGGCACCGTCGGCTAAGCGAACCGGTGGTAGCGGACGACTTTGGCAGTTTCTCTTTCAAGAACCTACCCGTGCTCGAGAAGGCGAACAAGGACGTCATTCAGAAGCTGCGTGCAGAGGCGATGCAAGCACAGAGCAAGTCCTCGGCCATTGGCTCGCCTGCGGTCAGTTCGCCAACGCCGTCTCTCGAGTCTAGTCCGATCTTGCCCATGCCGCTCAAGCGTACATTATCCTCGACCAAAGGCAACAGACCGTCCTCACCTTTGCTGTTCCAGACACAACCCAGTGCTTCGCCCAACAGGATGTCTCAGCCATCTTCGCCTTTGCTTGTGCAATTCAGCGCCCAGAACAGTGAGCGAAGGAAAACTTCGAGCGGCTCGTCCAGTTTGTCGCATCAGGGCAACAATTCCCTGCAGCCTGGTAGCTTCTTTGATGTGCCAAAGTCGGCTAGCAGTATAAACCTCAAGGCCACGTCCGCAGCGGTTTCTCCCATAAAGCTTGCTAAGTCGCCGGTTGCATCTCAGCACGAAAAGATAGCCATGCCGAAACCGTCAATCCCCGCGGCACACGGACTTTCATCATCGTCATCGCCGAGGGCTCGCTCGCACACGATCAGCTCTCAAGAGAGCGAGGACGTCATAAAGGAAATGTTGCCGAAACACTACAAGCGGAGAAGTCAAGCACTCGACGTCTCACCTTCCTCATCCGACACGGAGGAGCAGCGCCAGCAGAGCCTTCTTCGTGTACAGAGAAGGCGGCAGAGCTCGCGACGGTTATCAAGGATCAACATCTTCGAAGGGCCATACTTCCGTCCTCTTGACGTCCTCATCTGCGAGGATCATCCCGTGTCCCGTCTCGTGATGGAGAAGCTGATGGAGAAGCTCCGATGCCGAACCATCAGTGCACAGAATGGAGCGGAGGCTCTCGGATATGCCATGAGCGAAGTTAAGTTCGACATCATCCTGCTGGAGTACAAGCTTCCTCGCTTCAGCGGCACGGACGTCGCTCGCATGTTACGCGACACACGCAATGTCAACTCTGCTACACCCATTGTTTGCGTGACTGGCTATCTCAAGGACTTGCCACCCGATCACCACTTCGACGGACTAATTGACAAGCCGCCAACTCTGGCAAAGCTCACTGAAGTGCTAGGCAAACTGTGCCAGTGGGCACCGCCTCCACCTGGCTGGACTCCTACTCCATACAGCTCGCTTCCACTATCCAACTTGCGCACCGTTGCCAAGACGGAGGACAGCCCTACATCAAGCTCATCAGTGTTTGGTTCTCATATGCCGTCAAGCAGCTATCGAGGCTCTAGTCGTCAGGATTCCATCAGTTCGAGCTTTTTCGGCGACAACGAGGGCAAGGCAGACGATATCCCTGTGCTCATCAACAAGGGATCGCCAGATACGTGGGGTGAAAGCGAGCTTACCTATGCCTTTGGAGGTCTAGGCATTAGCGAAGCCGCCACGGAGCAAAAGGCCAAGTCAGCTGTTCCATCACTTGTCAATCAGACGTCTGCCCCAGCTGTTTTGGAGCCTGAAACTGTTCGAAAGAAGCCCTCGGCCGAACGCATCAACAAGCGACGTTCGGCTGGACCGAAAGGACGAGATTCGGCTGAGTCTGGCGATGACGAGGATGAAGAACTTGGCAACGCTCAGATACGGACGAAGAGCCCGAAAATAGGGCGTACCCGGGGTTCTTCTAAACTCGGGTACGAGATGTTAAGAACCAACAGCAGAGGCAGCGTGATTTCGGTGGAGGATGCGTCTGGCGCCCTGGACACGACGCTGCCGAGCTCGCCTCCACCGGTCATCAACGAGGTACCGAAGGAGGAAGACAAGGCGACTCTAACCCCCCCTGAGGTATTTCCGCATCCTCCTACAACGGTCAGCAACGAGGAGATGGACATGTCGGATGAAATCACCACGCCGAAACCAGCCGGCCAATTTTCTCCCGATATGGATCCTACTCCACGACCATCAACGACTCGGCTTCCTACAGGCGAAATGTCGCCATCGCCAATGCCAAAATAAATTTCAAACCTCTTAGTGGCTACATAACGTACAAAAAAACGAAAGATGCGGAAAAAAAAAGAAGAGAAAAAAGAGAGGTCAACTTTTTTATCTACGAGAAGGCACCTGTTAGCGATACATATGACGAGTATTATTCAAGCGCGGAGTTTATGAGGTTTCCCACGGTTTGACAATGGAGTTCTTCATTGGACAGGGTGGTGGCATTTGCGAACGGAAACACGCAGCAACTTTTCTTTCACATATGGTCTTTTTTTCATTTTCATTCGTCTTGTATCTGGTTGTGCAAGCGTTGGAGCAACATGGCATGGCGCATGAGAAGGAGGTTGGGCGGGTATTTTGCGTTGGCATGTACATCTCTCCTCCACCCATTCTCATAGATGTGTGCTTTGTGGTTCTGCTCCCGCATGCATGCGGCCTGCTTCTCTTCACGGCTTCTCTTTTGAGAATCCCGACCTCCCCTCCTTACCTTTCATACTACACTCACTTTTCTTTTTCTTCGCGACTCCAAATTGCCAGATACCTCTGCGGTGGGTCTGAGAACCTTTTCATTGTCGTTATCACTTTTGCTGGGCTACGAAGGGTGCTAGGCGAAAAAATGTACAGTATTGCCGTGTCCCCGCGTAGAAAAGACGCTTTGTATAGCGAAAAGAATGCAGAGTCTTGCCCATTTAGATCCTGTTGCAAAAAGTACACAACTCTACTTTGAGCATGTTAACGTAACGGGTCTGGTGACTAAGCTTCTGCTGATAAGCTGATGTGTGACGAGAGAGATTTTGGGATTGCGAAGATATGTTCAAAATTCACGCAATAGCAGAGGATGACGATACTACAAATACGACAAAGCAGTTTGAGGCAGGTTTCGCCATCAGCACATGACTAGCTAGGGACGATTGCACACGGCAACGAGGTTTTTGACGTCTCAATGCCTTGAGCAAGATTGGGTTACTCCGCACGCGGCGAGTTGTTTTCGACTTAACTTTCGAAAGGGTCAAAACTCATCGCATGACGAGCTGCTCCACGTCGAATGTAGCATCACAGCTTTTCATCGATAATCGTCGGCCAAAAAGGTAAGAGGATAAAGAAACCAAGAGAAGCGAGTGCGCCCTTCTATCTCATTCATTTTTCCCCCACCCTTTTTTTTGGTTTCTCTCCACGTCCTCTCGTTGGAATCGGACATTCCGTGTTGGACCGCCCGCTCGACCATAGCACGTCGGAAATGGTTCGGACACAGGAATGCGGAGGCTCGGAGGCGGGCAAGCGACGTGGTCGGATCGTCATCATCGGTTTGTTATCTGAATTGTGATTTCCTCGCACATGGTCTAAAAGGGACGTAGGTGGTGGCTCGGCCGCGTTCGCGGCGGCAACGGCGGCGGCGCCGCTGGCGGCCTCGGTCACGATCGTCAACAAAGGCCTGCCAATGGGCGGCTGTTGCGTGAATGTAGGATGTGGTTAGTATAGCCGCTACGAGCACGTCTTTGGAGTCGCAAAGAAAACAAACTTCTCATCAATGTCTTCACAGTGCCTTCGAAATTCCTCATTCAAGCGGCCCGCTTCGGGGCTGCCTACTGCGTCCGGCCGCCGTATCACGGCATTTCGGAAGCTGCCGACCGCGTCGACAACTTTACCGCGCTCACAGCGCAGAACCGGGAGCTGACCGAGCGTCTTCGCCGAGAGAAGTACGCCGACGTGATCGCGGGGCTGGACAACGTTCAGTATGTCGAGGGCTTTGGGACGCTGGTCCGGAACGAAGGGCAGCTTGCAGTGGCCGTTCGAAAGCATCGTTCGGACGGGATTGTGGATCAAGAACTCCCCGCCGATCGAGTCATCTTAGCGACGGGCGTGCACAACAGTCTGCCGGACGGGCTGGCCAAGGACCTGTCGGACGTCGGGTATCTCACCAACGAAGATGCGTACTTCCAGACCGCCCGTCCGGAGTCCCTTGTCGTGCTTGGAGGCGGATATGTAGCGGTTGAAGCCGCCCAGATGTTCGCGCGGCTGGGCTCGCGCGTGACGCTCCTGCAGCGCTCCTCCACCATCCTCTCACACTTGGACGACAGCATCGGCACCGCGCTGGCCGGGTATCTGGAGGAAGAAGGGATCAAGGTCGTGTCGGGATGCGACGTCAAGACCGTGACCATGTCTAGGGACGGCCAGGTACTCGTTACCGCCGAGGCAGGCGGTCGCTCCCACTGCTTTGCGGCGTCCAAACTTTTCGTCGCGACGGGCCGCCGGGCGAACACGGCCCTCGTCTCGGACCTGCCCGTTCAACTTGCTGAGACGCCACACGGTGGGTTCGTTGTCTCGCCGACCTTGCAGACGTCTGTCCCCGACGTGTACGCGGCGGGCGACTGTGTCGCCGGGTCGCCGCAGTACGTGTACACGGCTGCTGCCGAAGGCAAACTGGCGGCGCTGAACGCGCTCGCGTCGCTCGACGGCAGAACCGAGGAGGCGATGGACTATTCGGTCGTCCCGTGGGTCGTTTTCACATCTCCTGCCGTGGCGGGCGTGGGCCTCGACGTCCGTTCCGCGAGAGCCAGAGGCATCGACGCGGACGCCTCGACACTCCCGCTGTCACTTCTCCCCCGGGCCATCGCGCAGCAAGACACGCGAGGGTTCGTCACCCTTGTGCGCAACAGGAGCGACGACACGATCATCGGGGCCCTCGTTCTGGCCGAGGACGGCGGGGAACTTGTGATGGAGGCGTCGTTTTGCGTGCGCTACAAGGTCAAAGTTTCAGACGTCGCGGCGATGTACCATCCGTACCTTACGTGGAACGAAGCCTGGAAACTGGCCGCGTTGGGTTTTGCAAAGAACGTCAAGCAGCTCAGTTGCTGCGCGACCTAATGGTTGGCACTTGACCGTAGATAAACGATAGGACACGGAGGGTTGAGGGAAAGGTGCAGTCAATCCAGCATCTTCGGGGATACGTTTCAACGAATGTGACACGCAGGTACGCGGAATGAAAAGCTATTGTGTTGGGTAAGATTCAAATCCGGAGCAGAGGGGATCGGAATATGCGAGATATGGGATTCTTACACCGTTACTTGGATGTATTCTGGACGTTGTGTGTACTATCAATCTCTTGTTGACATAGCGAAGAAAAGGGAAAGAACTTCCCATCTATCGAATTCCGCCCCAGAATGGCAGGTCCCCATATTTTCCCGTTGTGTGGGACGTCTTTGGTAGAGAATTGAGATCGTCTCGATCATTGGCGAGATCCTTCCTCTGGGCACGAGGCTGGACCGTAGCCTTGTTCCTCCGACATCGCCCCGCAATTTCCAGGTCCCAACCTGGCAGGCAAACAAAAACCATTTGGGCTTTCGTCATTTCTAGAAACTTGATCGAGACAACCAACCCTCAGCACCGCGCGCAAAGACTCCGCCGCTTCGGCTTCGCCCCTATTCCTGTTTCTCACGCAAACGGTCCGTTCTATTTCCAGGCAAAAAAAAAGGGAACCCCTCCACCCTCCACACAGTGAGCCTCTCCATTCTACTACCGATCTTCCGCTGTCCAAAACTGTTTGCACAATGTCTACCGCAGTCATTTCGGCCGACGATGACCTCGGCGACCTGTCGCCCACTCTCGAGTCCATAATACAGCCCAACAAGCTGCGCTGGATCTTCGTGGGTGGCAAGGGCGGTGTCGGCAAGACAACAACCTCCTGCTCCCTGGCCATTCAACTTGCAAAGCACCGCAAATCCGTTCTCCTCATATCCACCGACCCGGCCCACAACCTCTCCGATGCGTTCAATCAGAAGTTCGGGAAGGACGCTCGCCTAGTTGACGGCTTTACCAACTTGTCTGCCATGGAAATCGACCCAAATGGCAGCATACAAGATCTTCTTGCGGCCGGTGGAGAAGGTGCCGAGGAGGCCATGGCGGGCATGGGAGGCATGGGCAACATGTTCCAGGACCTTGCTTTCTCGATACCCGGTGTAGATGAGGCGATGAGCTTTGCAGAGGTGCTTAAGCAAGTCAAGAGCTTGAGTTACGAGGTTATCATCTTCGACACTGCGCCCACAGGTCACACACTTCGCTTCCTGCAGTTCCCCACCGTGATGGAGAAGGCTCTCGCGAAGCTCTCCCAACTGTCCACTCAATTCGGTCCCATGCTCAACTCCTTCCTCGGTGCGCGTGGTGGTCTTCCAGGCGGCCAAAACCTAGACGATGTGCTCGCTAAGATGGAGTCTTTGCGCGAGACCATCTCGGAGGTGAACAACCAATTCAAGGACCCGGACCTGACGACGTTCGTGTGCGTGTGCATACCCGAGTTCCTGTCGCTGTACGAGACGGAGCGCATGATCCAGGAGCTGTCCAGCTACAACATCGACACACACGCCATCGTTGTGAACCAGCTCCTGTTCCCAAAGAAGGACAACCCGTGTGAACAGTGTAACGCGCGACGCAAGATGCAGAAGAAGTACCTAGAGCAGATAGAGGAGCTCTATGACGAGTTCAACGTGGTCAAGATGCCGCTTTTGGTCGAGGAAGTCAGAGGGAAGGAGAAGCTTGAGAAGTATGATCCCATGTCGCTTTTCTTCTACACGAGGTGATGGGCTAACAGCGACTACAGATTCAGCGAGATGCTTGTCACGCCATTCCAACCACCAGAGTAGATCATTTGATTCGACATTTCTGGGCAACGAGATCATGGTACCGTAATGATGGCGAAGGTTTTGTGTATGTGGAAAGGTTCACGTTCCAGTTGGAAATCATCAGTCTTCTTAGAGAGTTCGGCACCCCTAGCAGACGGCAACGGGTAGACTAGAAATAACGTTGAGACATGTCCGACACGCTTAACGCACTCTTCAGCATCAATCAAGCTTCTGCACTACCATGCGTGATGGAACTCTGTCCGCCCAACACTCTCCAAGCAAATCGCTGTCCGTCAATGGCAATTTGCAACTTGACACAGAGCACAATATGCCGTTGAGATTCCGGAAAATCAACAAAAATCCCTTCTTCAATATTTGTGCATCAAATACAAGTCGTATCCATTTGCTCCTCAAGGACGTTGTCGGAGTCGGCGTTGAGCTCCGAACTTCGTCTTGCGATGAGCCAGATTCGGCAAGGGACTCGCCTTTGACCATATCCGAATTAATGACTCCGCATCTTCTTTTGGACATGCAATGCTACCTTGCAAGTGGCTAGAATATTTGTCGCGTCAGCAATGCAGAACAGAGCAATGCACTGTTTCCTTTCCCAGATCTTTTTGTATATATAAGTGCCATCCACCGTGCTTGTAGCTTTTCGAGTTGAGCAACTTCGGAACCGTGCAGACCGCCTGTTCTCCAGTCCTAGGCCTTTGGTATTTTTTTTTCTTATGTCCAGTCATGCCTCTTGAAGTAGTCCCACTTGCAGAAACCGATGCCCAAGCCTGGGCTGAGCTGTACTATCCAGCGTTCCGCTCTAGCACGGTAGGATGTCTCTGGCACAGGGAGCCTTCGCCAGAGTCGACGCGGAAACTGGGCGAATCGCTCAAGGCGTCCCTGCGCAAGCCGGAAGTTCACGCCTTCAAATGCATAGACACGGATCTGGGCAATAAGCTCATCGCGGTGGCAAAGTGGTCTGTTTTCGACCGGCCACGGTCCATGGAGGACGTGGAGAAGACATTCACGCTACGAGAGATGTTCGAGGAAGAGAATGTGGAGGCGAGGAAGGAGTTCATGGAGGGCATTTGGAAAAGTAGAAGGGAAGTCATGGGCGGGCAACCACACGTTATGCTAGATAGCTTGATATGTGATCCTGACCATCATCGACGCGGAGCAGGAAGGATGCTGGTACAGTGGGGAATCGAGAAGTCAGTGGAGATGGGAATTCCGGCCTACTTGGAGGGTAGCAGTGCAGGCAAAAGGCTGTATTTATCGGTAGGGTACCAGCCTGTACGGGAGATTGTTTTTGATGGAACAAAGTACGGTGCTACTGAGAAGGATGTGCATACGGTGAGTGTGATGATGTCAAGTCTCATTGTCGAAGAACCTTCCAGCTGATGCATAGCAGGCTATGCTTAGACCGCCTCAGAAAGCGGCCATCATGAACTGACATAAAGCGTATGTCGGTTTTCCTGTACTGTACCAAAGCACGACTTCACTCGAGTCTGTTGATACTGATGGGCTCGTGGGGAGATGTGTCGTTGACGCATGTCGACAACTCAAGGCAGGTTCATGCTAGAGAAATAGAGATCCCAAAAAAGGAACCTGCATGCACGTGAGTCGACACTATCTAGGAAGACCAGCATTGCAAAGTACTCTGGATGCTGACGACAATCCATTGCTATAAGGTTTTTTTTTTTTTTTTTGGTTGATCCGATCCCCAATGATCGAGCGATCGTCGTGCGAACAATCCCATAACCATAGCGATGGGAATGTGGGGTTCAGCGGAATGACTCGTGCCTTGCCAAAGACGCCCAATTACGTCACTCCTCGTCGTCCAATTAATCACCTGCACAGTTGTCTGACGAGACAAAGCAGGTACTACGCAAGCAGCCTGGTCGTTCAGGAGGCACCTCCGGCGCTTCGCTACATCATGTCTTCAGGGAGAGCCTGACACAATGTTATCCAACCCAGAGCATCAGATGGGTCCCTTGATCACCACCGACGCTGATGGCGATAGCGAGCTGGAACAGAATTCTGGAATCGATGCGCTTCCTCAGGTAAATCGAGACACGTGGTATGCTTCTTCCTCGTATACTCTGCGCTTCTCACAAGGAGGCTGATTCGGTGTAGGGAGAAGTCTTCTATTGGGCCGCCAAAGACGTGGTCTGATACCCTTCGCTCGTTCGCTGCATTCATCACAACGTTGCCGCACCCTTCGGCTATCTTCTGGGGAGACGAGCTAGTGCTCTTGTACAATGAAGCCTGGAGCGTGGCAACAGATGGTGCAGCGAAGCAGGGCGTGAAATACAAGCAGCTACTAGGGGATGAAGCAGTGAGCATGATCCGAACCGCCTTGCTTGGAAGGACTCGTCAGACTTTGCAGCCCGAGATTTTCGTGAAAAAAATCGCACAGGATGGAATGAAATGCTTGGCACTGTTGTCGCCGCTCTTCGAAGGGTATAATAAAATAGGAAGTGGAGTTCTAGTTCAGCTTCTACCAATGTCTCCCAAGCAGGTACAGCGCAAAACCGAGCAGCAAGACATGATGCGACAGGTGCAAGAATCGCTGAATGACAAAACAGGCCTGGACGGAGCCGTCGAGTCCGGACGCAGTGCTCTTGACGATCTTCCACTGGACGAGAACCCGTTTTTCCAACGATTCGCAGCCATGCTTCCAACAGGAATGGCTATCCTCAATTACAAAGCCGAGGCAGTGTTTGTCAATGAGCAGTTCTTCGAGCTGACAAAATCTGCGGGGCAAAATTTCAAATCATGGCCACAATCTATCCATCCAGAGGATTATGACCGAGTCATGAGCGCATATCAAGAGTCGTTCAAAGGGTCCGGAAAGACGCTTCGAATTGAGTTCCGCACCATTGGGCCGAAGGATAACTGGCGACTCCTTATGTTATCGCCACTTGGCGATAGCCGCATGAGAGACAAGTCGATAGAAAAGTATGGTGGGTTTGTCTGCGCCGTCATTGACATCACGCCCAACAAGGCTCAGGAACTAGCACAACGTCGGGCTGCTGATGAAGCTTTGGAAAGGAAGGAGCAGCAAGAGCGGTTTATCGATATGATATCTCACGAAATTCGGAACCCACTCTCAGCAGTCCTTCATTGCGCCGAGGAAATATTAGAAATTGTACAAGCCAAGAAGGCCGATGAGGTGGAGAAGATCGAGTTCTCTAAAGCTGATACATCTGCAATCAACGAAAGCGCAGAGACCATCAAGCTATGCGTAACTCACCAGAAAAATATTGTCGATGATATCTTGTCTTTCTCCAAACTGGACGCCTCCATGCTTTCGCTCTGCCCAAGAAGCGTTCAGCCAAGGCGGCAATTGGCGGACACTTTAAAGATGTTCCAACCTGAGATCAAGAAGCAGCACATGGAGCTCGACTACATAATCGACACCTCGTACGAGGAAGTGGGAATCGACTGGGTGATGGCTGATCTTATACGAATATCTCAGGTCCTGGTGAATTTGATCACGAATGCCATCAAATTCACAGCGAAGAAAGAGGGTGAAAGAAAGATCACTACGATGGTCGGGGCGTCGATCGAAAGACCCTCTTCGTATGTAGTCTCAGTACTTCCATTACGGATGGCAGGCGTCTAATTTCATTCAGTTATCCACCAAATATCGTGTTTTTTGACACGGAAGACCATGGATTTCGAATGGATGTAAGTACTTGCACACCTGGCGACTGCGGAATGCGGATTCGTAACTCTTTAATAACTCTTTAGGGCACAAACTCTTCCGACTGGGGGAATGGCCGAGCTCTATATATCATGGTAGCGGTTAAGGATACGGGTATAGGGATTAGCGCGACCGACCAAAAGAAGCTTTTCCAGCGATTCCGACAAGCAACGCCTAAAACAGAAGAATCATATGGCGGCTCAGGTCTAGGTCTCATGATATCCAGGAAATTATGTCAATTGCACGGTGGAGAGATTGGTGTGAGTTCGATTGAGGGTGTGGGAAGCACATTTGGCTTCTTCTTTAGAGTGCGCAGGGCAGAAGACAAGGATCGGCCGTCCAAGAAGGAGCAACTTAGCTCGAGCGAGATCACGGAACAGATGTGAGTTCCATTGCGAATTTCGCGCTTGCCGGACCGTTGGATCGTTCTAACACACACGTCCAGACATAAGCTCACGAAGGGCGATGCTCCGATCGAGGACGTTCCTGACGAGCAGATGCAAGAAAATCTGAAGAACCCTAGGGTCGAGCACACAGAAGCAGCGAGCCCTGGTGTCAAGGGCGATGCGATGTGGGAGAACACTGCCGAAATTGCGAGCCATGTGGGTGAAGCTAGGGAGGATGAGTACGGCCAGAAGTCGCGTCCAACACTGTCGAGTACACGAAGCATGGGGAGTGGTGGTGCAGGCTCCGAGACGAGAGCACCGAGCACACTCGAGAAAATGCAGATGCGCACTGACTCGGACGTGCACGAGGAGAAGGCAGTGGACAAAAGTTCTACTACGTCCGCTTCTGTGGAGAACCAAGAGGGCAGGCCGCACATCCTTCTTGTGGAGGATAATGTGATCAATCAGCGGGTTATAAAAAGGATGCTGGAAGGCAAAAAATTCATCGTTACGACGGCAAGCAATGGAAGTGAGGCGGTCGAAGTAGTGAAACAGCACTCTCGGACGCGGCGGAATTCCCAGCCTCAGTTCGACGTCATTCTCATGGACCAGGAGATGCCAGTGCTGGACGGGAATGCGGCCACGATGCGGATTCGCGAGCTGGAGAAGGACGGCGAGGTGTTTCACACGCCGATTCTGGGAGTCACTGCAAATGTTCGAGAAGAGCAAAGGAACAACATGGTGGAGGCCGGAATGGACGACGTAATCAGCAAGCCGTACTCTATGGAGGATCTCGTGGCAAAGATCGAGGCCCTTGTGGAAAGACACAGACAAGGTTGGGAGGCTACTCTGGCGAGGAGAGGAAAGGACCGTGGACCAAATGGTTAAGTCTGCAACAGCAGAAGATGGACGAACATGGTCGGCGTTTTTGGGTGGATGAAATTTTGGTTTGTCATAGCACCTGTCCTGGCGTTTGTATGGTGTAGAATGGCAGAACAGATCATATGTATGTAATATATGCAAGAACAATGTTGAAAACGTTTGTGATTCTCGCATGTAGCGTGGAAGACAAGTGTACGATGACGGTGAACGTCTGACTGGTGGATAGGTGTGAACGCGTGATCCGTGTTCTTAGTTTTCGACCAAAACCTAGCACTACACGCAGACAGGATCTCCCTTGGGTGTGAGCAACTACTCCAGGGCGTTGATGGTGCAGAAACATAACTTGGGACGCGCCTTGGATGTGGACGCCAGACAGAATAGACTGGAGAATCTGAATCGCGGGCAGACATGGTCCAAAAGGTAGGTGTCTCCTCGTCGGGCAGTCCTTCGTCCTTCTACGTGGGCGGCACAGCAACTGGGCCGAAGAAGCGGCGGCGGTGGCGGCAGAGTCGATTGCAAGCCAGCCAGGTGATTTTTGTCCAGCGAATGTGCTCACACACAAACGCTTAGGCAAGGGAATGTCCGAGAAAGCGGATGAAGTCATCAAGGTGGTGGCCGCCAGCTGCGAGCGGCGATTGGCTGCGGCGGGCTGCGACTCACCACCAATCAGCGCCCGGATGTTCCCATGCCTGTGGCTATGTTGCCACACCCTACCGTGCGACCCACTGGCCGTCGCCGTGCCCGTGATCGCCGAAAGTCTTGGTCTACGGAGTCATTTGCCTGCTTCTCTGCTGCATCTTCTTGCCGTGGCTGTGTTATGTCGCTTCTGTTGTCCACGTCTACTCAGCGTTCTGCTCGGCCGGCAAAGGTGTACTAGGCGCAATCGACAGGTAAATGGCGAGTTTGAGAGCAAAGCAGACGTAGAGGCAAGGTACATCCTCGTCCAAGCGTGCAGCACTGCAGGTCCCAATTCACGCGATAGCCACAAGCATCGAGGCTGGTTGTGTCGCGAATGCTTTTTTAGCATCAAACTCGTCTTTTGCACGCCTCGCGCTCGACATCTTCGGTTACGATATCGCACACACACAAACACGCACGCATCGCATCGGGCAAACCGACTTGCTGGATGACTGGCTAGCTTGTAAGCCCCGCTAATACGCCCACCCAGCCTTGTCCTCCTCATCGGATGGGCCTCGAGCAAACGCAATGGTGAGCTATCCCGAAGACTCGTCGACGCACACCAGCGTCTCGAGCGGACTGCGCAGTTACAGATCGCCGTCCGTAGCTAGCAGTTCTCGCGCGCCAATGTCCTCTACAGTACGGCGACATCATAGACATGCGCGCTCGCACGCAGGCGGTGGTGGCGGCGGATCTCTGCAACTGCAGAACGAGTTCCCGCTGTTCCTGCAGACGGGAGACGTGGAGATTATCATCAAGAACTCAAAGAGGGAGCAGCGGTATGTGCTGCACCGATTGATACTGGCGCAGTGCTCCGGATTCTTCGAGACCGGCACGAGCGATGAGTGGAGTCAGGTTGGCTTGGGAGGTGTACAGACGACATCGACGGCGACGGTGGCCTCTTCGGGGACGTTACATCAAGACTCGAACAACTCAGTGTTTTCCGGGAGCAGGAGCAGCACGGAGGGCAGGAGGTGGAGGTACGAGTTGGATTGGGAGGGCGGCACCGCTGAAGACGTGCCGATGCTGGTGAAGAAGCCGGCCACCACATCTAGTTTCACGAACGACTACGCGTCACGACCGCCGCCGATGCGCGCGAAACCGCCGCCATCATCCTCAAACGGCTTCTTCAGGAGCATGGCCAACTTCACGTCCCTCAATCTTGCGCAGCACGCGCACCAGACGTCCGACGATCCGGACGAAGAGATTTTCCAAGCGTACGACAACATGTTCCGCACATTTTACAACTACCCGCCCATGCTGGATGCCGTGCAGATTTCCGAGGCTTATGGGCAGTGCAAGCAGCTCCTCCAGCTAGCCGACATGTATGATGCGCTCGATGTGATCGGTCCGCGCGTCGACCATCACCTGCTACGCTTCCAAGGCCGTCTGTGGAAGCAGATCGCGAAGTACCCCCCTTCCTATCTGAAGCTAGGCTACCTAGCCAAGTCGCGTGCTATCTTCCAAGAAGCACTCATCCACGTGGTAGGCCAATGGCCAGCTGGACAGCATCAGCTACGCAACCACGTCAGTGACGCGGTGATAGAGATGATCGAGGACAAGGTTGACGAGCTCGACGAGATCAAGGCCAGGGTTGAGGCAAAGCTGTGGCGGCTCACGTTGACGACCAGTCGGGGGGAGAGGGTCACTCCACACAACGCCTGGCTCGACTGGCAGGTGATGAGTCTGTGGCGCCAGTGGTTTGCGGAGAACACGACGCCGCAGCCCACACCTATTCTCAAACCGCCAAGCAGCTCATCCGGCACCTCGACTTCCCAGTATCAACACCGCGGAAGCTTGCGCGATACCCGGTCGAGCAGCGCCGCAAGGGCGTCGTCCCAGTCCACGGCGGTCGTACCCCTCCGCAGCCCTGCCACGCCCCCGACGATCAACACGGGCCGCATCTTCCGGCTCATCGGCACCGGCGGCTCCTCCTACCTCCCGCATGACGAGCTCAAGCGCTTCCTGAAGATTAGTCCTGAGCTGTACAGTCGCGAGAGTCTGCGCCGAGCCGAGCGCCGCCTGGACGAGCTCAAGAACCTCGCCAAGGACGCTGTCAAGCCGCTCATGCGCAACTTCCTCGAGCTCGACCTCAGGGACGGCGCGCTGCCGTATCTGGTCTGCACCAGGATGGAGGACAGAGACTGGAGACTCGTCTTCGGAGATGACTGATTCAACCTTTGGTCGAACGAAACTCCCCCTCACCCCTTTCCAAAAAAAATATTGGAAGGGTTAGCAGTGAGTTCGTCGATGGCGGTTCGCGCTTTGGTAGCGACGGTGGTTCGCTTTCTTCGTCCTTCAATCGTCTATACCCCCCCACTTGTTTGTTGGCCATGTCTTCTTCTTTTTTTTGTACCCTTTTTCCCTGGTTCCAACGAGCGTCACGATTTTTTACGGATGAATGTATTTGCATGGCATCAGGAGTGGGTGGATCTTCGGGACATGTGCTGGACATATCTTTCTGGAGCAACGTGAGCAGTAATGAAATTCTACGAAGACATAAATGCGAATCCGTGCATGTATCTCTGTTCAAATAGCTAATGTTGTCCTTTCAATCAGTTGTTCATGAAGATACTACAACGAGAGAGAAACGACAGAATTAACATTTGATTTGTGTTTTTTGCTCGCGTTCGAAACCATCATCATTGCTGCATTGAGTAATTGCCGAAGGGACCCAAGATCTCGGACCGAAATCGGCTCATCCGTCACCCAACGTCTTTCTACCCTTATAAAATTTTCTCACGCGAGCGTCACTACGTAAGGCGCCTGCGGTCATTGGGCTGGCCCGATCACGCTTCCTCGAAACTGACTACTAGCCTCGCTGGCACATAGTCAAGTAATTCTCGGCATTCGCTTGCCGATTGTCAGCAGCGAGAGTCCAACGTTCTGACCCGCCTTTCCAGATTGAATACGGATACTTGCATCTTTATGCCGAATGACGGGCGGAACCTCTGTTTTGGTCTGGGGTGTAGAACGCGTCTGTGGGTCTTGAATCATAGCAGCGGCAATTTTCCATGCGATTTATGATGTGGTGATTTCCACGATCAACATGTGCTGCCATGCATTTCACGTTTTTATACCCAGAGACTGCTTTAACGTCCTCCCCGTGTCTTGTATTTCCAGGGAAAGGCCATGGTAAACATTCAAAATCGGCGGGCCGCAGAGTCGGCACTGCATGATCAGACGAATTACCTTCCTCATAAACAGCTGCTGCTTACGTTCTTCGTCCTCGCAGTAACTCTTCTAGTGTATTTTATTGACCAGATTGGTGTAGGCCAAATACTGCCTACTGTAGGCAAAGACGTAAGTGTTTTCACTGAATACTATTTTACCTTTCCAAGAGATCCCATCCTCCCTCGGTCAACTGTAATCTTTTGAGCATATGCTTAATTCTGAATGCTTTATAGCTACATGCCACAAACACCATCTCCTGGGCCGGCACAGCCAGTCTCATAGGCAACACTACTTTTCAGGTCTTGTATGGCCGACTCTCTGATATTTTTGGTCGCAAGCGCATCTATCTTTCTGCCGTGGCGCTGCTCGCATTCGCTGAAATCATGTGCGGCGTCTCACAAAATGCGCCTATGCTGTACGTCTTCCGGGGACTTTCTGGCGTTGCTGGTGGTGGCGTCACCTCCCTGACCATGATGATCGTAAGCGACATCGTCTCCCTCGAACGGAGAGGAAAGTATCAGGGTATTCTTGGCTCCATGGTCGGCGTTGGCAATGTTGCTGGTCCGTTTTTGGCAGCGGGATTTGCGGAAAAGGAGTGGAGAGGCTTCTTTTACTTTATCTGTCCAACGGCAGCAGTCTGTGGTGGAGTTGCGTGGTGGTTCCTACCAAACAGCATGCCGAAGGGTGATTTCAAAGAAAATGTAAAAAGGATCGACTGGTGGGGTGTCGTTACGTCGAGCGTTGGTTTGATCTTGGTATTAATTCCTGTGTCCGGTGGTGGATCGTATTTCGAGTGGAAGTCGCCGATGGTCATTTCCATGCTAACGATCGGAGTGTTGTTTTTGGTCGCGTTTGTTATGGTGGAGTGGAAGGTGTCGAGGCTGCCTATGATTCCACGTATGTGTGAACGAATGAAAGAACGAACCACGCGCGATACAATCAGATATGCTAACATGACTCGTAGTCTCACTTTTTAGAAACCGACCAGTTGCAGCGATGCTGATACAAAACTTTCTTTTCGGTCTGTGCATATATACACAACAGTATATGCTTCCGCTGTACTATCAGAACGTGCGACGAATGACTCCAATTCATTCGGCTGAAATGATGATCCCGTTGACGGTCACACAAGCCATCATGTCGACAAATTCCGGGCAGTACATATCGCGCTTCAAGCGCTACGGCGAGGTCTTATGGGTGGGGTTCTTCTTGTTTGCTAGTGGTACGAGCCTTTGCCTGCTCTTCGAGAGGACAACGCCACTATGGAAAGTTGGCCTCATTTTAGGAATCACCGGCCTGGGTAATGGAAATGTGTTCCAACCCGTTATCGTGGCATTGCAGGCACACTGCACGAAACCACAGCGTGCTGTTGTGATTTCTGTGCGAAACTTCCTACGCTGTCTTGGCGGATCTATCGGACTGGCCGTATCGTCGGCGATTTTGCAAAACGTTCTGAAGAAGGAACTACCCAAGGAGTTTTCATACTTAGCTGACAGCACGTACGCGAAGCCAGACTACAGCAACTTCAGCGAGAAGGATGGACTGGCCATCAACGAGGCTTATGCGAAGGCGAGCCACACGGTTTGGATCTTCATGTCTCCTGTTGCTTGTCTTGCGTTCGCACTTTGTATATTTGTCCGGGACCGAGGATTGACGAGGCCAGATGAGGTGCCCGAGGGTCTGCAGGTCCAAGAGCAGGTTGGCGATGTCGAAAAGGCACTGCCAAGCGAAGAAGCGGAGCGCCCATCGCATGAAAAACTAGACTTGGCGAACGCAAGCCTGGATTCGCTAGGGAAGCGTGAAGACAAAGATCACATCGATGAAGAGGGAGATGGGACGATGTAACACGTAGATAGACAGCATGATATTCTAGAAGACGAAGTGAACAGCTGAACAAGAGCGTGTTAAAGATTGCAACGCCCCGTGACACGCGCGTAGTGACAAGAATGCAAGTCGAGCTTGAGCCGCGACGGATTTTCAATATGTAAAATGATTGAAATACGAGGAGGTTTCATTTCGAAGGGGTTGAGGCAGGTGCCAGCGACCGAGCAACATCGCCAGGCGCCGCTTTCATGCCAAAGGAGGTGCGATGCTGGCCTAGACTGTATGCTGGAAAGGAACGTATGACTCGCGGCGCTTTGATATTGGCACGTGTGCGAACGATGCTTCAATAAAATTTCTTGCGGCTGCTTCGAGAGAGCCGAGCGCTCCGAGAGCTTTCGAACGATATCAAACATGGCTGGTTTCGGTGGTTGTGGTGGGGTTGGCGGCTTGCGGGCAGTGATGCAAGTTGGGGTGTAGGAAGAGAGCAAAGCGAGAAGCTCCAAAGGACCAAGGGCAGGTGCGGCGGCTTCAACGCCACTATTCCACATCAGGCATAGATCCCCTGCGTCCCCTGTCGGCCGTGCCAGTGGAACGCGGTGGGTGCTGTTCTATGATTTCCTCATTAAGAGCCCAGCCCAGCAGCTTTTCTGCATTCCACACACAACCTCACTTGTCTCTTACCCACGGCCGTCAAATCCACAACGACGCGTCCTGCCATCGAAATCGGACCCCGTGCGCGACGGTGGGCTGTTGCGCAATTGATTCTGCGCCCAAGATCATTTCCCTCCGCGCGTAGTCTGTCATATTCCCTCTGATCGTACTCATGGCTCCGGGTCGCATTTCAAACGGCGACTCTGGCGCCTCCTCCTCGGCCGATGTGTCGATGGATGACGCGCCTCCGCCCCCTACTCGGTCATCTTTGTTTCACGGCCGTCCATATATGCGCGTAAGTAGTGCTTTCAGCCTTCCACTCAGCCTACATCACCGCTTTTGCAACGCGGGGTCGATGTTGTATACGAACGTCCCACGTGCTTTTGTACTGACCTGTTGTGCTCTGCAGGATGCGCAAGATACGCCAGACTACACGGTACGTCGATGTCATGGCTTTGTACACCTGCTGCAAATCCCGTATTGACGCGTCTACCAGGACTCAGACACCAATCCGAACACGACGGCCAGCAGTGTTGCTGGTGATGTTCCGCAGACAGATGGACGCAAACGTAGAGCAGAGGCCATGCAGCTGCAGAAGAACATGTTCAGCAAGAAGCACGGCCAACTGAACGAGAGCAAGGTACGTTCATGCGGGTTCTCCGCCTGACCCCGCGCAGTTTGGTTTCTGACGCGTGTGTTACAGGAAGACGATTCGATACGACGATTCAGATATCTTCTTGGTCTCACAGACCTCTTTCGTCACTTCATAGAGACCAACCCAAACCCACGTATAAGGGAGATCATGGAAGAGATCGACCGACAAGACGAAGAACAGCAGAAAAGCGTCAAGGGTGCCACACGTAAGGGTGGTGCAGCCTCCTCTAAAAGGAGAAAGACCGAGAAAGAAGAAGATGCTGAGCTCGTGCGTGAAGAGAAGCATGGCTATGTTGACACTGTTTTTCGCGAGTCGCCCGGTTTCATCAAGGGAGGTACCATGCGTGATTACCAGGTTGCAGGTTTGAACTGGTTGATCAGCTTACACGAAAACGGTATCTCTGGCATTCTTGCAGACGAGATGGGCCTGGGTAAGACGTTACAGACCATCTCATTCATTGGCTATCTTCGCTATGTGTGCCAGATCAAAGGGCCGCATCTCGTCGGTGTGCCCAAGTCCACACTAGATAATTGGGCACGCGAGTTTGGCAAATGGATTCCAGAGATCAATGTGCTGGTGTTGCAAGGTCAAAAAGACGAGCGCAAGGCCTTGATTGAGGAGCGTCTCATCCCCCAAGATTTCGATGTGCTCATCACTAGTTACGAGATGATTATGCGAGAGAAGTCACATCTGAAGAAGTTTGCTTGGGAGTACATCATAATCGACGAGGCCCATCGCATCAAGAATGAGGACTCTTCGCTGTCCAATATTGTTCGGACCTTCAATTCGCGTAACCGAATGCTCATCACTGGCACCCCACTTCAGAACAACCTCCACGAACTGTGGGCATTGCTAAACTTTTTATTGCCGGATGTTTTCGGTGACTCCGAGGCATTTGACCAGTGGTTCTCGTCCCAGAATGAGGGCGAAGACGCGGTCGTACAGCAACTTCATAAGATTCTGCGACCTTTCTTGCTTCGACGGGTCAAGGCCGACGTGGAAAAGAGCTTGCTACCTAAGAAAGAATCGAACATCTACGTTGGCATGTCTGAGATGCAGATCAATTGGTACCGGAAGATTCTGGAGAAGGATATAGATGCTGTCAACGGCGCTGGTGGCAAGAAAGAGTCAAAGACGCGTCTGTTGAACATTGTCATGCAGCTGAGGAAGTGCTGCAACCACCCCTATCTCTTCGAAGGCGCCGAGCCTGGTCCTCCTTATACCACCGATGAGCACTTGGTGGAAAATTCGGCGAAGATGGTCATGCTGGACAAGCTGCTCAAGCGATTCAAGGCAAAGGGTGATCGTGTCTTGATTTTCTCCCAAATGAGCCGTGTCCTTGATATTTTAGAGGATTATTCTGTCATGCGAGGTTATCAATACTGCCGTATTGATGGCTCGACTGCGCACGAAGATCGTATTGCTGCCATTGACGAGTACAACAAAGAGGGTTCGGAGAAATTTCTTTTCTTGCTCACCACCCGTGCAGGTGGCCTTGGAATCAACTTGACGACTGCCAATATTGTCATTCTTTTTGACAGCGATTGGAATCCCCAGGCTGATCTTCAGGCTATGGATCGCGCACATCGTATCGGGCAAAAGAAGCAGGTATACGTGTATCGCTTCGTAACAGAGAACGCCATCGAGGAGAAGGTCCTTGAGCGTGCTGCACAGAAGTTGCGACTAGATCAGCTGGTCATTCAACAGGGCCGTGCTCAGCAGCCACAGACTAAAGCGGCTGGCAAGGACGAACTTCTTAACATGATCCAATTTGGAGCGGAGAAGGTCTTCCAGGAGGGTGCAACTGCAGCATCGGCCATGGTCAATGACGATGACATCGATGCAATCCTGAAGCGTGGAGAGGAGAGAACGGCTGAATTGAATTCCCGATACGAGAAGCTGGGTCTTGATGAGCTACAAAACTTTAAATCAGACTCTGCTTATGAGTGGAATGGTGAGAGCTTTGTGCCCTCCAAGGTCAATATTGGACTGAACTGGATCAATCCATCCAAACGTGAGCGCAAGGAGCAATCGTACTCGATGGACAAATACTATCGTCAGGCACTTCAGACAGGTGGCCGAACCGCAGAGACACGGACACGTATTCCACGCGCACCGAAGCAAGTTACCATTCATGACTACCAATTCTTCCCTCCGGGATTGCAGGAATTGTTCGACAAGGAAACAGCGTGGTATCGAAAAGAGAACAACATTGCTGTTCCTCTAGCTGAAGGTACGGAAGAAGATCTCGAGGCACGCAAGCAGGATCAGGAACTTGCACAAGCAGAGGTCGACAACGCTGAGCCCCTAACTGAGGAGGAAATCGCCGAGAAGGAGAGGCTGATCTCGCAAGGCTTTCCCGACTGGAATCGCCGTGATTTTCAACAATTTATCAACGGAAGCGCCAAATACGGGCGCCACAATTACGAAGGGATTGCTCAGGAAGTTGATGGCAAAAACGCAGCTGAGATAAAAGAATATGCCAAGGTTTTCTGGAAGAAGTACAAGACCATCGCGGGCTGGGAGCGTCACATCGGTGTCATTGAAGAGGGCGAAGCACGCACACGCAAAATTGAAGAGCAGAAGCGTTTACTTGCTCTGAAACTCAAACAATACCGCAACCCACTACAGCAGATGAAGATCAACTACACTGTGTCGACCACAAACAAGAAGGTGTATTCAGAAGAAGAAGATCGATTCTTGCTCGTGAAGTTGAACGAGCATGGGATCGACAGTCCAGGCATCTATGAGAAGTTGCGTGAGGATATCCGGGAGTCGAGGTTGTTTAGATTTGATTGGTTTTTCCTAAGCAGAACACCCCTCGAGATTTCGAGGCGCTGTGCGACACTGCTTACGACTGTCACGAGGGAGTTCGAAGGCGGCGATGCGAGAATTACGAATGGCAAGAAGAGAAGTAAGGAGGAAGAAGTTGAGGAAGAAGTCGAGCAGCAAGAGGAACCGGCAAAGAAGAAGACCAAGGGGGGTGCAGGTGCTAAGGTATGTCTGATACACGATAAGCAAAATCAAGCGAGGGCAGCGAACTAAGAAGCAAAATCAGAGCAAGCAGCTTGCGAAAGTCAAGCGCGAAAGCGGTGCAGCATCGGGCACGACGAGCCGGGCAGAGAGCGTGGTTTCGAATGGATCGACGGCGCCGGTGCCAACGAAGAGCAAGGGCAAAGGACGCAAGAAGTGACTGTCTTCACATCAAACACGGCGTGTTGAATGGACGAATGCATTAGGAACGGCGTTCATCTGGTGTCCTTGACTTTGAATTTTTTTTTATCTTGTTTTTGGGCGGCCATGCATTGCAAAGCACATTTGAAAGCGACTGGCATAGGTAGATGGCTTTTGGTTGAGCACCTTGGCGGCTCTCTTAACGGAGAGCGCTGTGCATTTGGGAATTTTTGAGGACGGCGTCTCGACTGAGAACCGTGAATTGTATACTGTGCTAGAGCATGGCATAGTATAGACATGCGAAGGGCTGGCTGTGCAAAGCTTCAGTCCGTGGCGTCTGTAGTGGCCAGAGTGTCAAATAGGATTTTCGAAAGATGATGACTGCATCGCTCCTTCCTTTCCTGAGATCTTCGTGTTGCCCCTTCCTTCTTGCCCACCACTGTCGTCACTTCAGGAACCAGCTCTGCTCTGCTGCACGACCTGCGCCTGCCTGTAGCCATTTGATGTCGATTTCAAGGCCGCGACTGTTCTCCCTGCCCTTGCGGTACTCGATCGTACCTTTGATTATCGCGCCCTTCTCAGCACGAGTAGGTACAACCTTTGAACGGTCAATGAGCATGACGCCGGATCGCCAATGGGTTTCTTTGCCCTGAGGACCGGTTGTAAAAGCAACGCCCTCCGAGGACCAGGTTTCTGCCTGGGCGTCGCTGGGTAGCTGCGCTGTCCTCGACGTGAGAAAGAAGGTATCAAAGTAGATAAGGAATCCGTCCAGCGCGTCGACGTCACGTAACAGGCTGACTTCGAACGGTGTGGTGAAGACTAATTGCTCGGTCTTGACGTTGTGCAGGTCCAGCACGGCGAAGGGGAAAGACGCGCCCGCCAGGGAGGTAACAGGCATCTGTCGCACGAGCACATCCTCGTAGATCTTCTCCTGCATAGCGCTCATGTCGAAGCCGTATACATCCTTCCAAAACTCAACGTTGTCCAGCACGAATTCACTGTCGCTGAGGGGCGCGACCCGCAGCACCGTGTGGCTGGGCACCATCAGGCCATCGGGTGCGAGATACCTATCGCGTGCCCAAAGCACGGAGTCAAGCATGGCTTCAAACAACAGGCAATAACCCATCCACTCACTCACAATGACATCCACTTTTTCGACGGGTAAGACAATCTCCTCGATTTTGCCGCGCAGACACGTGATGGTGTCCGAGAGTCCATTGGCAAAGACATGAGCACGCGCCTTGTCGATGATGTCGGAATTGTCAACGGCAATGACTCGAGCAGCGCCGGCGCGCGCGCAGAACATGGACAGAATGCCCGTGCCGCAGCCGACGTCGAGGACAATCTTGTTGGCGAACAGATGCTTGTGCTCATAGATGAAGTCACGGTATGCATCTGTGCGGACTTTGTCCTTGAGCATCTCCTCGTGGATCGCTGCATGGTCGTATGTTAGCGTGGAATCTAAAATTTGGGTTACCTCTGATGTTTGTTACCATTGTACGAATACGACTCGAAGTAGTCACCTTCGTAGTCAGGGCCGCTACTGGCCTTCGCCTTCTCCACAACGGGAGAGATATCGTTTGATTCGGTCCAGCGGCGCTCGAGCGTCTGATCAACCTGCGCTCTGAAATCTGCGAACCGAGCCTGCAGAACTGATAGTTGAGCCTCAAGTTCAGCTATTCGGGCTTCTGGTGTGTGATTCTCCTGCGACTCTGGATTTGCCTCCTCAGCGGAGAGGTCGTCGAGAGAGAAAAGCAGGGCATCGTCCTCGAGGACGGGTTGTAGATACTTTTCGTCGGCGAAGTTGGACACTAAGTCAACATCTGGGCGCGTGTTGCCTTCCTTGACGGCTGCGCGAATATAGTTGACCAGTTTGATGCTCTGGTAGAAATCAAGGTCTATACAACTCAATCAGCGGCTCGTTCACTCTTGACAGAGCGGAGTCTTTCTTCTTTGGCCTTCTTTCACTCTTTCTTAAAAAGCAAGCAACGATAATCCACGCAATTGAAAGGAGATACGTATAGACTGACTGTGCTGTTTCTGGACTGAGATGAAGTCAAAGTGATACCTTTCTTTGCAGTAGTCTAGCATTGATTTGGCATCATTGAAAATTCTGTCGTCGAACAGGCTGAGAATCTGAATCTTTTCCTCGTCCGGCTCGGCGTCTTCCCAGCCGTTGTCGTCGTCGTCGCGTTCGCTGAGCGAGCTGGTTGAGGACAAGTCGTCGATGCTATCCTTTGTTTCAGCGGCCATGGCTGGTTTTCTGGTGCACAATCGGAACAATCTTCCAGACAGGACGATTCACGGAAATCCGATCTACACTTGCAACATCTATTCAACAGAGCTCACAGGCTTTGTGCACGATGTGTCGAGTGCTGTTTCCTAGTTCTAACTTATCCTGAAAGGCTGAAATTATGTCAGAGTGCTCCAGTCGGAAGTAGCAGTCTGTGCCAGGATGCAGCCATTGACTGCGAGGAAAAAAAAAATTCGGTCTGTATGTGGGAGCAGTAGCTTGATGGGGCAAATGGGCCCCCCATGTTTGTCGACCCCTCGCAGCGAGCCGGGACGCGTTTATTGAGAGCTCCTCGGCCTCGCATGCCGGATTTTTGCAATTCTTTGACAGTCAAGCTCTCTCAACAGATAGCTCGCTCGCCGATCCGTGATGATAATACGTTTCAGCAGTTCGTGCAACGAGGCGGGAGGTTGGACCGTTGCAGCCGGCACCCGGCACCAACAATGGCCTTGCGAGGGACAACAGCAGCAGCACCAATGCAAGAAGCGATCGGCGGCTCCAAACACGAACGGGGCAAAGCTGGAGCGCCAAATCCGGATGAAAATAAATTCTCCTAGTCCTGCAGACCCTGACAGCAACAGTTCACAATTGAGTTACCATTTGCGGGCTGAGAGATTGTGGGTGGAGGTCGATCGGTGTTGCTGGTGGAGATGAAGAGGACAGCCACGATTTCCAACTCCAGCTGGCGTGAGGGACAAGCTGGTGCGGTACAAGCTGGTGCGGTAGCCGGTGGAGAGAAGGGGGCATGTTTCAGCAAAAGGCAGCACTGCAACTCTGCACCGAGGGAGGGAGACACACACGCACACATACGAAGAGACGTCAGCGGAGGTGTCAGGGCGACAGTAGTTCTAGACGACGGGTGCGACAGCATCGCAATCGGAAGCGTTTGCGCGACGATTGGCAGAGGCGACTCATTCGCTCCAATATGATACCACCAGCCATGGACCGTTTCGACGGTCTGAACTGGAGGCCGTACAAGTACCAAGCGAGAGCTGGTCCAGCCAATCCGCGCCACGGTGGGCTCTTGGCCAGCCTATCCGCCGGCGCGATGCGCCCCATGAGCCGTGCCCACGCCCTGATGATCCCCGTCGCTGGCCGGCATCGAGCCTCCTGAGTTCGAGCCTGTCTGATAACTTAACAGAGGACCAGCCGGGTCGGTTCACGCACAGCACCACCACCCCCCTTCACTCCTTTTGTCTTTACCAGCGGACCTCTCGTTTGGTGGACGGGCCCGGCTGCCATTGAACACCTCTTTTGTTTTGTCTCGTCCCAAGAGTCGCTCTTTTGCTCTTTGCATCTCCACGTCCTTGGACACCTACCCGTCCCTCTCCGGCGTCGCGGTTCATGCAGCACGCGCGCTCCAGACCATCCGCCGCAATTTGCGTAGCATAACAAACCACGCTCCACCTGCAAAAGCCTTCTCCAGGACGAGAGCTGACCTCGACGACGTGCACAAGACTTCTGCCTGGAGTCAGACCCCCTCCGCAGCCAACTCCACTCGTTCCTTCGCCGTCTCCTTTTCATGCAGACTTGTTGAAGCCGGAACACCCCCTCGCTTACCAAGAAGCGGGAGGCAGCATATCAATTGTGCAAGAAGAGATGGAAACACCGGAGCTCAAAGCCCAACCTGACGATGCTGAGTCCACCCAGTCCACCCCAAGACGAAGAGTTGGTAGCGCTTCTGCTGCAACTGACTCGCTTGTAACAATTCCCCTGTCCGACTCAAGTCAAAGTCGACCACCTACCGTCAATGTCGAGGGCGACCAACTTCTCTCTAAACCACCCAGAGACTCGTTGAGCCCGACAGATGACTGCAGGTCATCTCGAAGCTCAGAGAGGAGCGTTGATGGGCGTCGAAGCACAAGGTCATCGTCGCACCCTCTCACCCTGGCCGAGGAGATCGCTAATAGCCCCGAACGAAAGCTGTCGATGTTGGTGGAGGGCAAAAGGAAGCGAAGCAGTAGCTCGGCATCGGAGAGTAGCCTTCAGGTTGATTGGGAGCAGCTGGACAAGACGGAGGCTAGGGAAGAAGAGCAAGCTGAGGACGACCAGGTACGTTGAATCAGATGATTTGACCTATTGCTAGTTAGTCTTAGCTAACGTGTACATAGCAAACTGCATTGCTTCTTGCGCGTTTGGAACAGGAGAACAATGCCTTGGCCGTCAACCCAAAAGCCGCCCGGGCACGTGTCGACACGCAGTCGAGGCCTCCTTCGGTGCATCAGCTTAAGAAGATGGTGCAAGAGCAGGGCGCTCGGTCCGTCAGGTTCTCCTTGGTTCCCGCCGTGGCTCCAATGACTGAACTGGAATTCTGGGCGGCACTCGTTCGCGACTATGCGGGAACTGCCCAGCGCCTGCCACTCATCACATCGAGCAAGATTCGAGGCGGCATCCCGCCACCCCTCAGAGGAGTTGTATGGGTGAGCATGGCAGCAGCTCGGAACACGGTCGTCGAGGAGCAGTTTGATCGGCTGTGCTTGGAGTCGACCCCTCACGAAAATACCATAGCAAAAGATATAGGCCGCAGTTTTCCTGGTGTTGATATGTTCAAGGATCCCAACGGCGATGGCCAGCGGATGCTAGGAACAGTTCTAAGATGCTTCAGCCTGTATGATGACAAGATTGGGTACTGTCAGGGCTTGGGTTTCCTCGTCGGCCCTTTGCTCATGAATATGGGCGACAAGCAGGCATTCTGCGTCTTGGTCCGGTAATTGCAGTCGTCCGCGTACATATGTTGAACGTAGTGCTGACAACAGTCTAGGCTGATGGAAGATTATGATCTACGATCATGTTTCTTGCCAGATCTCTCCGGACTGCATCTCCGCATCTTCCAGTTCAAGAAGCTCCTAGCACAACACGTGCCCGCGGTTGCGCAGCATCTGGACGATCTTGGCGTCGAAGGGACCGCGTACTCCCAGTGGTTCTTGTCCTTCTTCGCCGTGACATGCCCCCTGGCCCTCCTGTTCCGCATTTACGATGTTATCTTTGCAGAGGGCGCGTCCGAGACGATCATGCGTGTCGCCCTCGCCGTTATCCGCAAGAACGAGAAGAAACTGCTTGCGTTCACCGAACTTGAAGACGCGATGCGTCTCTTGCTGTCGCGACAACTTTGGGACCCATACGGCCTGGGTCCCACATCCGGCGATGATCTTGTCAACGACTTCTGTGACTTCACGGCAGACGTCACGCGAGATAGCCTGCAAGCCATCGAAGCCGAATTCAGACGAGCTGAGAGCGGCGAGACCAGCGGCCGCGGCTTCTTCCCAGACGTCCAAAGTGCTGCATCTCGTTTCTTGGGTCGGCTGTGGGCACCTTCGCACACGCATACGCCGTCCAAAGCTAACATTCTGACTTCTACTCTCGCCGCCCCCACACCGTCGCGACCTGCTAGTGGCTTGCACAGAACACCTTCGAAGCAAAGCCTAGCTACACTGGGATCCAACGACGGCGGTTCAGACAGCTCGTCGTCGCAGTCCGTTTCCACCGCCATGACTGAGCTTTCTAGGGATTCGTCTGCGGACTTCGCCTCAATGAAGTCCATAAAGTCGCCCGATTCTTCGACCGGTTCACGATCGACCATGGCGAGCCAAAAGGATAAGGATCTCCATAACCAGATCGAAGATCTTCTGATGGCGTGTACGGAGCTGCAGAGGGAGCAGAACCTTCTCACGGCACAATTGCAAAAAGAAAAGGAGGATAGACAGGAAGATCATGCCGTTTTTCGATCGCTGGTCGACTACTTGAAGGACAATTTCACCGAAGACGAAGAGCCCTCACCAGTAGAGCCAGAAACTCCTCTAGAAGAGGATCCCATACGGGATATGATGAGTGAGGTGACAAGGCTTGTCAGCCAGGTGGAGACGCGCATCCAGCCAAATAATAGGCGCTCATCGGGCTACGAAACGAAAGCGTCGCTTCGGGCTTCCATGGCTGCTCTGAGAGATCAATTACAGAATGAGAGCTTGCGCTCGCAAGAACTGGCGCGCGAGATTCAAGCCAAGGACGAGGAGATAGCACGGATGAAGGACGATTTGCAAAAGGCGCGTATGAGGATTCAGTCTGGCTACAGTGAGAAGCAGCGGCTGGAGAAGACCATCTCGGAGCTCCGACAGGCGGCACGGTCAGGCCGCTCGAGGTCAGGCTCGCAACCTGGCGTGCAACCGAGCTCCGACATAAGCACGCCGCCGAGCAGGTCGGATACCGGCGCGTCTGATGTGTCAGTAAGTAGCACCGGTTTGCGAGAGTTTAAACTCGCACAGTCGCTGTCAAACAGGTCGTCAAGCCAAGTTGCATCCTCTCCGCCGACCTATTCCAAGCGCGTATCAAGTTTGAGTACGCAGGCCGTTCTTTCGACAGCAGACCACGCACCTCCCGACCAGGACACGCTTCTGCTGGAACTCGTCAATGCGAAGACGGCCGAGGCGGTCGCCAAGCAGGAACTCGAGGAGCTCAAGGCACGCTTTGAGGCCATGCGCAAGATGCTGAATGTCACCCCGCCCATACCGCAACTCTCCGTTCCCGTGGCGAGTGCTACCACCGCAGCCGAGACGCCGCTATCTAAGGTGTCTAGTCGCTCAAGCGAGTCGACGAGCAGCACACCAAAGAGTTCGACCCCTATATCGATCACTAAGTCGCCGGACAGCTCGACTGCTACCAGTGCGACACCGGGAGTAGCGGCGACGGCAGGCAGCTGGGGCGCCGCCGCTGGTGGGTTTTTTGGATGGGGAAAGAGGAGCCTTAGTTCGGCGCAGGTGCCGACCATCACGAAGAAGTAAAAAAATGACTCTCAGTCAGGCCAAGCGGATTATCCAGACTGATCAAGCGCTGATCGGTCGATCTGCAAATCTATTTACATTTTCAATCACGACCTACATGCGTGTGGCGTTTGCAGCCTGCGTTTTTTGTTAACTTTTAATTAATACCCCGTATGCGAGCAATGGGAGGGTTTTGGCATTCGAAGGGAAATATAGTCGTGTTTTTGGGTTGTCCATATTTGAGCGATGCCTACATACGGCACGACCTTGAAAGAGGCAGGCAGCGAGGAAGACGTAGACTGAGAATGCCTTTGTAGAGCTCAATGCCAATTACTAGTGACGACCTTCCCGAGACATAGGAAAGAAAATACATTACATTCTGGAAGCACGCATCTTGAGCCAGGTCTAGAGCACAATCCAGAGGTTCCACATCGAGAGATAGACGTGCATTAGCGTTGTGTCGTCTGCAGCATGCATTCAAAGGGCTTGACCTTCGCTGGTGAGAGCTCGAAGCTGAGGGCACGCCTTGTCTTCGTCGCAAGATAGGCGTTTCCCGGACATGCACGGGTATTGGAGACTTTGTCTTTGCTTTTTCCACCTCTTCACTGTGTTGAGATAGAGCATCGATATTGGAATCAGACGCCGTTCTGGACGGAATCGACAAGCCAGTGTTGAAACCGAGACACAGCTTAGGCCACGAAGCGCAGGAGACCCTTGCCCGGTCGTCATCGGACCTCCGCGATCGTCATTCTGCCTCTGGGGGAAATCCCAGGTCTCATTAGTTAACGTGCGCGCGACATCGCAACGCTCCCGTTCCACGGTGCCACATGAAGCATCTAGCTGCTGGTATCACGGCTGCTGAGCATCTCTCCACTTTCGTCCTTCCCGTCTTGCTCTCAATTGCAGTGGCAAGCCAGAACCATTAACCCACCCCCCTTTTTGTTTTACTTCGTGCTATGCATTACATCACACCTTAAACTAGGCATCCGATCACGCAGCTTCCATGCGAGCTATTCTCCCCGGAAGACCGCAGTCCAGGCTTCAGGCTGTGACCACAGGCTTTTGGGAAGGGAAGCACATCATCGTACAAGCCTTCTCCGCCCCTGTGCTCAACCTACGCAGCGAAAGCTAACACGCTGACTAGGCGTACGTCTCCGGCAATGCGATCGTTGTTCTCGACGGCCCCAACTCCATCCTTCAGACCACCTACCTCGAGCTACCAGACGAGCTCGTTGCCATTGCTCTCGATGAACTTTCCGGCAAGATAGCGGCCGCCTCGGCATCCACGGTACACGTGTACAGACCGTACGGGCGCGACGAGGGCGCGCTGAGGTGGTCGTTGCAGTGCCATCTTGACGCTTCTGATGGCCATGGCGTGGAGACACTATCGTGGGGGCTAGACGAGGAGCTGCTGGTGGGCGGCGGGGAACTGCGATTGTATTCCACGTATCACAATCAAGGAGAGCTGTTGTGGAGTAAGAAGCTGGCGAACCCGCCTCGCTTCGCGGCATTCTCGTACGACTCAAGTCTCATCGCCTCTGCCGGGAAGTACGACCGCCTGGTCAAGATCTGGAGGCGGCTCTCCCTTGCGGATCAGAGGTTCGAGTATGCGTACCTCCCGCATCCGGCACCTGTCACGGGCATGTACTGGCGGCGGCCGTTCCACCGGGACCAGTCTTTCGACAACGTGCTATATACAATCTGTGCGGACAACAAGCTGCGAATATGGGCACCCGCTGGTGACCACGGCCTGTCGATTTTGCATCTGTGGGCAGACATTAATCTTAAGGACTCCATCCAGCCTCGCTCACTGGACCCGCGACACCGATCGGACAAGAGATACGCATTTATAATCGACAACCGCGACTTCACAGCAGCGACCGAACGTGTGGTGCAGAATGCGTCAAGCGACGAGCAGGCAGAGCCAGGTATGGCACATCTGATTGAGGTCGCGACCAAGAGCCCGGATGTCTGCGTTGTGCTGGACGACAGGGGGAACATGTCGGCTTGGGGATTGGAGAGTGTGGGCTGCAAGCACAGAAAACCAGGTGACATCTTCAACATCGCACATACAGATGGGATGCGCTTTCGTTTTGACCCCGGCGCGACTGGCGTGGAGGACAATACCCAGTTCTATCCGTTCGCGTCGGAAGAAGGGCTTTGCATTTTGACGCATCACTTTGATGGTCGACTGGAGTGGTTCGAAGGGCGCCTAGATCGCCTTTTCGATCCGTCTCCACAGCGGCAGCGGCTGAAGAACAGGATCACCTGGACTGGTCACAGGAGTGAGATCAAGAAGATTGTGCGGTCCGCTACTGGCAAGGCTCTGATCTCAAGGACCGCCGAAAACGAAAGCATCGTCTGGAAGAGATATCATACCGAAGCCGGGGACACGATAGCTCGAAAGAGTATCATTGATAAGACCGAGCATATTCATCGCGTGTGGCTTCTGCAAGAAGGCAGATTCGTTGCATTCTTGCACCATGGAAGCATCTCTCTTTGGGACGCAAGACAATCAAAAGCTGTGCAGGTCGCTCGATATCCTTATGAGCTCCAGGGCAAGCCTCTGTGCTTGTTGTGCATCCCCGAAGAACATGAAGACAAGCGACATGTCCACCTCGCGACCATCACGAGCGAGATGAAGGGTTGTGCTTGGGAGGTCACTCTCCCCACCAACGGAGATCCCAACGACACCGTCGAGCTCACAGATTTTGGAGCGTTTGATCTGGGTACTGACAACGATCTCGCCTACGTCTTGCCTGTTGACCCTGCTGGCACTGCGCCAGTCATTTCAGGCTTCTTGGATCTGTTTGCACGCGACGTTGCCATCTCGTACTCGAAGGCCGGCGTGTTGAAGTCATGGACGGCGAGACCAAACGTCGAGCAAAAGAAGCTCGAGTGGCTTCAAACTTCGACCGTTGAGACCTTGATCGAGAATCCGTCGCTCGGCAGCGCGACGTCCATCCGCAAAGCCGCTTTGGTCAGCGCCGACAAGACCTTGCTGACGATCTGGAACACGCGGAGTGCCCAGTTGGAGCACGAAGAGCAGTTTGAGGAGTATGACACAATTCAAGATCTCGATTGGCTGTCCACGCCTGACAATCAATCCATCCTGGCCGTCGGATTTCCTCGACGTGTCATTGTGTACGTCCAGCTCCGGTACGATTACGTTGATGCGAGGCCGTCCTGGGCCCCCCTACGCGAGTTCAGCATCCGGGATCTGACGCCCCATCCGATTGGGGACAGCGTCTGGCTCGGCAATGGCGGCTTTGTGATTGGAGCTGGAAATCAACTATTTGTTCAAGAACAGAAGATTGATGTGTCTGATCATATTATGCCGGACCTTAGGCTGCTGTCCAATGACAAAAGAGGCTTCGATCTCTTCACCGTTGTCAGCCGTTTGAACGGCCCGCTACCCGTCTTCCACCCTCAGTTTTTGTCACAATGCATTCTCAGTGGCCGTTTGCTCCTAGCGCAGAAGATCCTCCTCAAGCTGTGGAAGACGATGAAGTTTTATTCAGACGGCGAGCCGTTTGACAGCTTGCTTGGTTTCGACCTCGAGGATTTTGCGCAGGATGAAGACCTGACTGCGTCGGCGGCAAAAAAAGAGATGCACTCCTCATATGCCGAATTTATTGATGAAGAGCCCGAGACAATAACCGAAGACGTGGCTGTAGCGCTCAACGAGCAGTTGGCGACGAGAACGGTACCTTTCCTCTCGAGCAGAGATCAGATTCACCTCGTTGACATTGTTGAATGCGTCGCGACGGTCGAGAAACATAGAAGATCACTGGACAACAACGGTTCGCGCTTCTTGCTCTTCTTCAGGCAACATGTACTTCGCTCGAGTCAGCGCTCTGAGCACAGTCCGTTGTCGTGGCGAGAGATTACCTGGGCTTTCTACAGCGGCAGTCAGGATATTTTGGCTGACCTTGTGTCGCGTCACTTCCATGGCAGGATGTTGTGGGAGCATGCGAGAGACAGCGGCATGTTTATGTGGATGACGGATTTGACAGCTCTGGTAAGAAGGTTTTGTTATCTTCAAGCACGACCCTGCTAACTAGCGCCCAGCGGCAGCAATTTGAGGTTATTGCACGCAATGAATACACAAAGTCAGATGAGAAAAATCCAGTCGACTGCAGTCTGTACTACATGGCGCTCAAGAAGAAGGCAGTTCTCGTAGGTCTGTGGCGCATGGCTACATGGCACAAGGAGCAATCTTCTACACATCGGTTTCTATCCAACAACTTTGACGAGCAGCGTTGGAAGACTGCCGCGTTGAAAAATGCGTATGCTCTCATGGGTAAACGCAGGTTCGAGTACGCAGCTGCCTTCTTCCTGCTTGCTGGAGCATTGAAGGACGCCGTCAGGGTATTGAGCCATCAGCTTGGTGACATGCAGCTTGCCATTGCTGTGGCGAGAGTGTATGAGGGTGACAACGGACCGGTACTTGAAGAATATCTGAAGCAACATGTACTACCCTTGGCTGCCACGGAAGGAAACAGATGGATGGCGAATTGGGCATTGTGGATGTTGGGTAAGCGTGACAAGGCCGTCAGGGCGCTTATAGTAAGTGATCTAGCATCTGATTCCGTCCTTAGAGCTAACGATGTGACACAGCTACCTCTCGATTCCCTCCTCTCGCCTCCGGAAACACCGAACTTACAATCTAAGCTGTTCTTGACTGACGATCCCGCTCTTGTCGTGCTGTACAAACAGTTGCGCGAGAAGTCGCTGCAGACACTTCGCGGCGCGCTCTCGGTGTCGCCTCGAGCTGAATGGGAGTTCATCACGCATACAGCTGGTTTGTATGAGCGCATGGGATGTGATCTGCTTGCGCTGGACTTAGTCCGTAGTTGGGAGTTCTTGATTCCACAGCCTCAGATTTCAGTGCCGAAGATCCCTGTTGTCAAACAACCTTCGATTGCTGAAGTGGTTTTGAGGGAAAAGGATATAGGACCGAAATCGCAGATTTATTTCAACCCACCGCCTTCAGCGCTTGACGGGTTCGACATCGACCCCAAGCGGCTACTGCGCAGAAGAAGCTCACTTGTAGTTGCGGATTTACCGCTCTCACCGACGGTGGACCATCACAAGAAGCCGTCGCTGGCAGATGGCAGCGCAATCTTCGAAGATGAGAAGGAGACCAACGAAATTCAAACGAATGGGTTTAGGAACATGAAGGACAAGAAGAAGGATGAGGACGACGATAAGAAGAAGCAGAAGCCTCCTCCGACGCAATTTGTGGAACCGGATGCGAACAGCTTGTTGGATTCTTTTGGGTTCTAGCGTGTATACCCCTTGTACATTGTGTAGCCATAGTAAATCCTAATCTAGAGTTCGCCGATCTGAAGGCAGCGGCTTTAGGTTGGTGTGGAACAGATCGGCACGGCCGCACTGCAGGCATGAACAGTTGGAGCAAGGTATGCGAACACCGTCATGGTCACATACGGGAATTCAAGGCGTTCGAGTGCATCACAAGACAATTACATATCTTGCGGTCCGCGCTGCTATATTCCGTAGTCAGCCCTTGCATTCCGTTTCTGTTCACACCCACTCCAGGAGCCCTGTCTATTGGCGGATCGTCGTCAACACGAGAGGAGCCAATGAAAGGACATCCACTGAGGCCCCGTGAACCAGCCACAGAACACCACGACGACGGTCCTGCGTCCCATGAAAAGGCATCGTCCGAACAAACTCGCACGTCGCGAACAGCCTTGCGACTCTGGACGCACACTGCGGGCGGCCCGAAGCGCATCTGAACTGGGCTACATCACACATCATGTGGATTGGTGTCTCGGCCTGGTAGCCCTGCTGTTGTCTCACTCCCACACCCACTCGTGAAGCAGGACCGGACACCTTCGATTCCGATACCAGCGTCGCTCTGACTGATATTCTTCCCCGCCTGTCTTCTTTCCTTCCTGAAGCCTCTGACAGGCAGACTTGTCCGGCCTTCCTGCTACTTGCGCTGTCTTGCATCTTCCTTCAAGGCGTCTTTCTGGGACTCTGGACCGCACCAAATGTCGAACTGCGCACGCCAAGATGCACCGCCAGACGACCCGCTTCAGCTTCTGGAGGTTACGGAGCAGCATGGCTTCCGCCCGTTTCTCACGTCTGGTGAGGACATCCCAAGTTTTCACGTCGTTGTAGTTGCTTTGGACGCCGGTCAGCATGTTCACCATGAGCTTGTCGACGTCCTGCATGATGTCAAGCGTGAGACCGGCGTGCGCTATTTTCTTCTCCGACGCCCGAGCGACGAAAAGGACGCGCGCGGTGCGGATTTCCAGGAGGACGGAGTGACGAGAACGATCGTCTGGCTCGGCCCTGCGCGCGATGACAGCGACGCGGCAGTGCGATGCGTCTCAAGACTTTACAATACACCCGCGTCTTCGCGCCCCCGAAAGCTATGGTCGCGGAGAGAGGGTCAAGCTCTCTGGGACTTGGCGGAGCGTCCTATCTGGCGATGTCTCTCGCCTCGGGTGCTTGCCGCGTCCTGCAGGACTTGGCTGTACTGCGGAACCCAGGGCGTGCCATGGGCTGCGTTGCTCAGCCTCCGCCGAATGCTCTTGGAACTATCCTCGACCGGCCGGATGGCTCATCATCAGTTCGCGCATGCTATACACGGGAGTCAAGCCAGCAGAATTGTTGAGGCTACGCTCAGCATACTTGCGAACGAACTTTCGAATGGTCAGCAGGACTTTCCGCCGCCAGCCGCCAGCTTGATGCCCCAGTCTGGCATGCCGTCGGGTATGAATGAACTTTCTTCACACCTAGATACTTCCATTCGTGCTGCCGAGACACGATGGTTGATGGTACGTCATTAAACCTTGGAAGGCGAACAGCGAATTAATCGTTTAATACAGCTCGATCAATCAGTGAAGCCTCTGCCAATGATCGAATCCATGTCAGAGGCGGAATTAGACGCAGAGATTGCTAGATATGCCCAATTGCTTCAGCAAATGGACATAATGGAAGCGGACCTCGAGCACCTTGATAATCTTACAACACATGTCCGCTGTCGGCAGCACGAGGCAAGAACACCCCGAGGCAGTCCCGAGATCAGTCCGTGATTGTCCAGAACTTTTTTTTTGTACACTCGGATGGTACACATTGCTAGAGCTATGGGTCTATGTGTCGCGAGACAGCAGGAGACAGGCTGGCGTACTCTCGGTCTTTCATTCTGGGGACGAAGCCCGCAGCAGGCAACTGTGGGTCCTGGGTCCACCATTATGCAGCCTTTCAGAGCTTACACATAATTCAGTTGTTATTTTTACTCGTCCAACCGCGGCATTTTGTCCCAGGTTTCAGCATATGGGCGCCATAGTCAAGATCACGTGTATCTATTTGTCAGCCCAGCTTACAAATTCGTTCCCTCCTTGCCAACATCGCGCTACCACGTTGTATTTACTACGCTCATCAGGCTTCTCTGATTGGCCTAACCGACATGCTTACGCGCCTAGGGCGATCAGACGCCCATATTGCCATTGTCAACTTACTAATAATCCTATGCTAGTCATGCAATCTAACTCTTTGCCTGGAATCCTTGAGTGATGAGGCTATTCAATTTATGAAGACTCCTACGAAGACCTTGGGATTATTGGGAAAAAAAGGGCGGATACTCAACCATCAGCAACAACATGGCAAAAACACACAAGGCAGTCGTCACCGTCGGCCCGCGCAAACCTCTACGCGTCATTGAAGTTGAAACACCTCTGCCCAAAGGCAACGAGCTACTCGTTCGTGTCGACTGGACAGCATCCACACCTCTGGACTTGCATCAGGCCGATGGCGGTTTGCTGGTGAAACCACCTCAAATCCTTGGTGACGGGTGTGCAGGACCAGTGGTAGCCGTCGGGCCCGCAGTGAACAAATTCGCGATTGGCGACAGAGTATTCGGCTTTACGTGGCGTTCATCTGCAGAGAAGGCGCACCAGGAATTTGTGCTCGCACCCGAGAACCTGTTCGGCAGGATTCCAGACGGCTTCGAAGAGCAGGATGTTGTGACCGTTCCAAACAACTTCGTCACCGCTTTCCAGTGCTCCGTCAACGATCTAGGCTTGGAACTGCCTTGGCCGAAGCCCGAAGGGTTCACGCCCAGGGCGGCCGATAAGTCCATCCTGATCTGGGGTGGAAGCTCCAGCGTGGGCCAGTACGCCATCCAACTTCTGAGCTACTACGGTTACCGAAAGATTATAGCTACGGCTAGCGCAAAACATCACAAGTTCCTCAGGAGCTTGGGTGCTGTAGACCTTGTTGACTACAGAGACGAAAATGTGGTTGACCGCGTCCGCGACCTTGCCGGTGGACAGGTGGCCTTCGTGATGGACTGCATCGGCAGCTTGGAGGGTAGCGTGCGGCCGATATCTAAAATAGCAGAAAGTGGAACCATTGTCGCGATCATGTTGCCAGTTATTCTCAAGGATGCCACAGAAACGCAAGCCCCGGAGTATGAAATGGATGTGTCCAAGGTTCTAGATTGGGGTGCTGGCGTTGACGCAAAGGGAGTAAGGACGCATTTCTACTTACAGGCAAGTCGGACGATCCTGTTCTCATCTGCGGAGATACTGATAGAGCGGCAGAACCAATTCCTGGCAGAGCATCTGCAAACGGACATAATGCCTGCTATGTTAGCGAACGGTGCAATCAAGCCTAACCGGACGCTCATCGTCGAGGGTTCTACGCTACTTGAGAGGGCCGAGAATGCTCTGGACTTATTGAGGCGAAAAGTTCCGAGTGCAGAAAGACTTGTATGGAGAGTGTCGGAATGATCATTTCCCGATACGCGTTCTATACTATCTGATATCTGTAGATCATTACACTGTCCAAGCTATAACCGGCTAGGCTTCTTGTCTTCACTTGTGCATTCATCTCATCAGCACATGTCTCTTCAAGTTTTCACAAAAACTAATGAACTCACTACCGTCCCAAGAAGCCTTGCACGACCTTCAACTTGGCAAAGCCGAACTCGCCGGTCGTTAGTGGTGTGTTCGCCGCGTGAAACTTCGCAATTGGTGCACTCTTCACATGAACTTCGTCATAGAACTTCTCGCTCTCAAACATGTCAACGACCCTCACAAGCTCATTTTCCGTATCCGCGCAGGCGGTGCAGCCCCAGAATTCTGGTTCATCTTTCTCCACGGCCAGAATGAGTTCCTTCAGATGGGGCAGTGCCTCTGACAGCTTGCCTGGCTTGTACTTGATGTGTGCAAACAGGAAGAGCATGCCTGGCTGTGGGTCCGTGATCGGTCTCCTAACATCAATCGTGGGGTTGAGGTTGTGGACCTCCGGGGGTCCGGTCAACGGGCTCTCTTCAGTCATGTACTTGACCAGTTTCTGAACGGGGGGCTGCTGGAAGTGAGAATCGCACGCCGCCTGATCCCTGTATCTGTTCGAGTTTAGCTGTGCGTCGGATCGACGACATGTGCTATTCTGCGTACTGCTCAAGCATGTAGATAGACGTCTCATTCGAAGTGTCCGTCGGGATCAGGGTGACATAGCGGCTGACCCCCGGGTTCTCATTTGCACGGGAGAACTCGGTGATCTCGTGAAAGATCTCAATGAGCTGCTTTGAGGTCAACGACAAAACCCCACTTGCAGGCTTTAACTTTCTCCAACCTTGTCACGAGACGCCTTGTCCTTGGCCTGAAGATGAGCGAACGTCACGATTTCTTTTGACATGTCGCCGAACCTGAAAAAAACCAGGAACTAGAAAAAATCTACTTGAGTAAAGCTGTGAAACTAAGTTAGGATTGAGATGTTTACATAGCGAACGTCGCATGGGTCAAGCACTATATGTATCCGGGAAGGGCCATGTGGAATGGTCGGAGTTCAAGTTCCGCTCACACAAGGGAACCGGCACTTTGAGGGGTAGTCGGCTTGCCTTTAATGGCTTTTGCACTATGGGGATCTTTTTTTCGAACAGATAGGCGCCGCTCGAAGGGATCTTCTGCAATTTCCTAGTCCTTTGGTTGCCATTCTATGAGAAGAAGGCAAACTCAGTAGAGTGCTTCTCGAGTCAGTGATATTCTCACGTGATTGTGTTGTTGACTCAAAAGGCATCGTCAGACCGTCAGTATACTTAGACTTTCCTATCCCCTACCATCAAGTTGATTTGAAAGTACTAGAATTCAGGTAAGAGAAATTGAGTGTGGAGGGAATTAATCTTTGCTCCTGTACCTAAAAAGATCGTTCCGGATGCTGTGATGCGTATTCGTTGCGCGATCATCTTGGCAGTTCCAAGCGAGATCTCGGGTAAAACTGCCTGGTTCTGCGAATCTGTAGCGTCCAATCTCGAAACTTTTCTTCGAACATTGCGATCTCGACAGAGAAGACGTAATTGCATTCCACGCAGCATTTGAACAGCTATGGCGGCTGAAGTTCAACCGTTGGCGCCTGTGAAGCTGCCAATAGAACCATCGGCTCTGACAAAGGATCAGAAGTACTGGAAGTCGTTCACAAATCAAGTCCTTCTGCCTTCGTCAAACTCAGCGCCCATAACATACATCTCCTCTAACACAACCGCACGCAGCGCAGCCCTGCCCACCACGTCTGTATCTTCGTACATAGTGGTCACGACAGGACCACGATTACAGCTGCTTTCGCCATACACCCTGAAACCGTCTAAAACAATCACCAGAACCACATCGTCATTTCACTCAGCTCACGTCCGAAGAGATGGAAGAATCTGTATATCAGGGAGCGATTCGGGTATTATACAGGCCTTCGACACGAGTTCAAGAGCTATTCTAAAAACATGGAACGAGCACAAGCAACCGGTGTGGGTGACGAAGTGGCATCCTACAGAGCTCACAGGTGCTATGAGCTGCAGCGACGATCGCACGGTCAGACTTTGGGATCTCCCCTCAGAACGTAGCACATGGCAGGGGCATGGACACCAGGACTATGTGCGAACGGGCACATTTATCGGAGACGGCAAGCTCATTGCTTCAGGAAGTTACGATCAAAGCATACGAGTGTGGGATCCTAGAGTTGGCAGCGGAGCGGAAGGCAGCCGAGGCGCGACAGTCATGAATTTCAAGCTACCAGCACCGGTGGAATCAGTGATATCTCTGCCTGGTGGCACAACTCTGGTAGGATCGAGTGGTGAGAGACTTGCAGTGCTAGATCTGGTCGCAGGTCGTCCCCTTGGCCTCTTTGGAAATCATCAGAAAACAATCACATCCATTGCGATGGCAACCCGGGGATCCAGGGTGCTTACAGGTGCTCTTGACGGCCATGTAAAAGCTTGGGATACGTCATCATGGACTGTGGTTGCGGGTATGAAGTATCCGTCACCAGTGCTTTCGCTTGACATGATTGTCGCTCCGAACCAAGAAGACCGTCATTTGTGTGTCGGTATGCAGTCGGGGGTTCTGAGCATCAAAACGCGTCTCACGGGAGAGGCTAAAGCGGCGAAACGCGAAAAAGAAAAGGAAATGGAAGCTTTAGTAGCTGGCAGGATTGACGAATACGATGCAAAGCAGAAAAAGAAACGAGGTCGAGGGTGGGAGAAAGCCAAGCGCGGCATGGATTTCACCGGGGAGGGTGCCGACATTATAATTGAAGGTGATGAGAGGAAAAAGCCAAAGAAGCTAAACCGATGGGAGAACGCTGCTCGAATGGGTGACTATCAGAACGCCCTCGATCTTGTCCTTGACTCGGGCGACCAACAAGCCATATTTACCATGCTCAGCCACATGATTCATCGATCGTCGCTTCGGCGTGCTTTGAGCGACCGCTCAGCGGAGCAATTGCTTCCAATTCTGAGCTGGCTCAACAAAACTATCGGGGATCCAAAATATATTCGGATCAAAGCTGACATAGCCATGCTCATTTTGGACATCTACGGGTCACAAATGGGCAAAAGCGAGGCTGTGGATGCCGCGATTGAGAAACTTTTGATGAAGACGAAGGAGGCATGCGAGATGAGCCAGATGTGCTGGACTGCTTTGGGAATGTTGGATCTAATTCAGACAGACGCTGCCAAAAATGGGTGACGGAAGTTGGGACTGACCGTTTAAAAGCTGTTGAGGAATGCACTGGGTAGATAAAACCTTGATGCTTCCTCCTTTGGGTATGCCATGTGCCTCGAAAGCCCCACAGAGCCTTCGATATTCGCATGAAGCATAGGGCCTTCGTCTTCGCCGGCCTTGAAAAACTGATGCTCTACAGCTTCGAAAAGAAGGATGCATGAAGTTACTCGAACCATTTCCAAAGGCAAAGAGTGCGCCGCTTTTGAAGATAGGCGAAACTGTGCGCCGTGTGTGCTTCCCTGTCGCCGGAAGATCGAACACACAATAGAACACGAAGAATCTATGTAGATTATTCCATCGAATTTTTCGCTACAAAGAGGCGGTTTGGCTCCAGGGCCCATGGTTTCCACCAGCTTCGCCGAATGTCTTCTTTGCCTCATGTCCATACATGGCTCTTTCCATCTCGTCCCACAAGTGTAGACTCTCTGGATCTAAGAATGGGATAATACTAGACGTGAAGAAAGCCAGCTTGCCACTTGCAGGATCAACAAGATAGTATGAGTTCGATACCCCAGCCCAGCAACCTGACCCCGCCTTTCGCCCCAACTTATTGTCCTCCTCGTTCAGAAGCAAACCTGCGCTCCAAGTCTTTTTCACACCCGGAAGAAGCTCCCCTGAACTACATAGGTAAGGCAGCACAGAACCAATGCGTCCAATCCCGGAGATGTCGCGGGTTATCGGGGTGATTAGGTCGGTAAACAGGTAATTCTGCACCGTCTCCGGTTTCAGAATGCGGACTTTAAGGATCGGATGTTCACCGCCGTTCAGCAAGGGCAGGAGAATTTGCGAATAGTCGCGAAGCGTGGACACAAGGAACTCGCCACCACCGCGAACCTCTGGATTGTCAAGAGGCTTCAAGTCCGGTGCCGAGATGAGACTTCCGTCTTCCCCGCGAACATGAACAGCCATGTATGTCTGACCATCCACGAACCTGGGCCCGGTATTCTTCAGCTGCAACGGCTTGATTATTCGCTCCTCGACCAGTTCGGCAAGCTTTTTGCCTGAAATGGCTTCAAGCACGAAACCAAGCCAGTCTACGCCCAACCCATAGGCGTACTTTTCTCCAGGCTCAAAGACGAGTGGTGTCTGGTACACATTCTTTGTTCCCACCGTCATCGTCTGCGCTGGCTGTTGTCCATTCGCGACCCTCCATTTCATCAGTACTGGGTCGAGGAAGTCGTATGACAACCCGGACGTGTGCGTCATGAGATTCAGGATCGTGGCCTTCGCCTTCGGCGGCCTTGTTTCCGGTTTGTCGTCGGCGTCAAATCCCTCGAGAATCTGGAGCTTGGCAAACTCCGGCTCATACTTTTCGACGGGGTCCTCGAGCTTCAGCTTGCCCTCCTCGAGAAACTGGAGCGCCAGGATCGAGGTGACCAGTTTGGTACACGAGAAGACGAGAAAGGGTGTGTCCACAGTGAACGGCGCCGAGCTTGGATCCAATATGTTCGTCGGGCCAAATGAGCCTTTCCAAAGCACGTTTCCATCTTTGTTGAGAACGATACCTCCAACTCCCGAGACCTTCTTGCTGTCCACGGCAGCTTCAAACACAGCGTTCAGGCGCGTTTCCATGTTTTGTAATGTTCTTCTTCTTTTTCTTAAGCAAGTCCTCGAGATGGGAGGTGGAACGAACTGCTCCCCGCGTAAGGGAGCCCACTTAATTAATGCGATCTTATACGCTTCGGTTCCTCGATTGAGCAAATGAAGCGGAGACTCAAATATGTACGTGGCCATCAGCACAACGTCCGATTGCCGACTAGATTCATCATACGCCATGCTCGATGTCCCCTAACCAACTCGATACACTCTACCGAACCGCAACTAGCGTTCCAGGAGCAACCTAGGCTGTACGCGACCCCTCCCCCTCATCCCGTAATGCAGCCGAACCGTCTTGACCACCACGCACTGGTCAAGAGGAGTGCCTGACTTAAAGCAGCCGTAATGGCTTATCCACCTCGATTCTGTGACATTTTCCACTTCAGGAGCTGATATATGTCAAGTTTTTGACTATATCGCACTTTTCAGGCTAGGTCTTACGTCACCCGCTTCTTGTAACTTTAACTAAACGAGGTTAAAGATCTGCAACAAAATTGGTAATTGTTTACCTTCTTATTATGGTAGATGTAATTCCGAGAAAGTCTCGAATGCAAAGATCTTGATCGCAGAGAGGCCGTGCTTGATATAATTGTTATGACCGTATTCATTTAGCAACTACATCAGAGATTGTTGGAGTCAAGCTGTCGAAAGTCCACGTTCGAACATGACTTCTTGTGGAAGGAAATTGGCGCATGATTAGATATTTCAGGCTCATCTCTATCTCAATCCGTCGTATTCTTCCATAGTGCTGCCACTCTAGCTTCGAGTGACATCGCGTAACGCTAATTAAATGATAGAACAGAAAGCCTATGCTGATTGTACGGACTTCGAGGAGAGAGCTCCGGTACCGCCAATACTTCGCGATGATAGATTTGGCCACACCCCAAACAAGCATCCATTTTCATTTCTATAATCACTAGACCTGGCATAAATTTTCTCATTCATCATCGTCGGCGACGGTGGTGTCCTTCTCAGCAACGCTTCCTTCTTCATCGAACGCATCGTTCGGCACGGCGTATAACCGCAGAACATTCTTGTTGGGGTCCTTGACAATGACATATTTTCCATCGCCCATCTTGAGCACCATATCCACAATTGTACGTACAATGCCCCATCCGTTAGCAATGTTGAGGTTCATCTGCGCGGCGAATTCACGAGGTTTGTACCCCAAAACGCCTAGGATGACATGGTCTTGGGCCGAACGAGGATTGACACGAGAGACAAATCTTTGGTTTCTTTTAGTAATGAACTAAACATTTCAAAAGCAGTAGAACTTACCCTAACTTCATCATATCTGCCTTGGCGAGGATGCTCTGTATTGTCCATCGAGCAAGCTTTAAGCTGTTGTTCTTCATTTCAGTGGCTACAACGGCTCCACGTTGAGACGCCAGCTTCGATCGCCAGTCAAGAGCGCCACCGCTGCCTTGTGCTTTGGAGTCGAACTCGTTGAGCGCCTTGATGGTCAAGAATTGATCTTCACCATTGACAGTGTTCTTGGTAATAGCATCGAGCTCCGTACGAACAATGAGATTAAGTGGCTCCTCGTCTGACGCCAAAGACAGGTCAAATCTCCTATATTTGTAGGCTTTCGAGGCCGGTGGATCTGTCTCTTCTGCCGCGTTGTAGAACGGATGTTCATTTGGCATGTCTCTTCTCGAACTGTCATTCTCGATCACAACTTGAGTTGGGAAGACCTGATTAATGTGCGTAGCCTCAAGCATAAGCTGACTTGGGCTATTTATGCTGTCTTTGTTGCCCTCAGACGTCTCCAGGGGAGCATCTGCCGCGTTCTCGTTTACGGTGACCATATCGACCGTCGAGCCCTCCCGCTTGTCGATGAATACTTTCTCTCCAGTCTTCGTGATGACTAAGTCCCATGGATAGACGCTTCTTGGTGCGCACATCAGCATTGAAAGTATACTATCGGTAGCGAAAATTGTGCCCTCTTCCTTCTCGGCAAGTTCTTGGATGATAGGATCGCTTGAGGTGGAGACGTTGTATGCAGCACGTTCAAGGACATTGAGCCTCTTCTCAGACGTTTTAGCGCCAGGCTGCTTGTCGTACGAGCGGTCGTATTGGTACAGAAACCCGTAACTATCAATGTCATCACCATCTGGCGTATCTAAGCTCAACTTCGTCAAACGAGCGAAGTCAATCTCCTCGAGCAGGTTCCAGTCCGGTTTGACTTGTATAGATGCGTCACGATTGCGCTGAGGCTTATCATCCCTATAGCCTCCTCTTCGACCCCCTCTTGGGTTGCGAGATCGGTCTTGTAGTCCAGCAGTCCGGCCTTGGCCAACTCTTTGGTATGTAGCACGGCCACCACGTTGTTGCTGCACGCCTCCGCGCTGAGTCCGTCCACGGAAGACCTGAGTGCCACCACGACCAAAGGTTCGAGTCTTGTTAGATGCCCTCGTATTGTCTACAAGTGAGAAAGTAGCCTCTTCCTCGGCTGCTTGAATTGCGAAAGGATTGCTCTGCTGGTTGGCACCGTAAACTTGTTGATCTACCCACAGGTCAATGAAAAGTCACAATAAATGTACATATTCGTGTGCATACCTCTGTAGGCCCTGCTTCCATACTGCTGTCTTCTTGCATCACGGTCCTTGCCCTCAGTCCAATCAGCCATGCGTCCCAACTTATCCGCTTTCGAATACGGTGCATATGGAACGCCGTCGAGCGTGGTTTCGGTAGACACTGGCGGGCCCCATCCTTCAGTGGATGGAAGCGCAGACACGAGGTCTAGCAAAGAGGCCGGTGCCATGACTGTTTATTCGACGCGAAGACTCAATGCGACGACGATAGGCCAAAGTGTGCTGGCGAAAATGCACTTTTGATATCTTGGCGAAGTGGGCTGGGTTTTTTTGCAGCCTTGGCGCCTGTTGCCACCTCATCACGGGGTTTCGTGTTTGCCCAGGGTCTCCTGAAAACGTTCGCTCCCATAACAGATCTGGCCACTATGAAATTAGCTTTCTCGAGTGTTTTTCTCCGCCCTTGAGGTTCCAAGGTCTATGTATGGATATCCAGCAAACCGCGACATAGTTCTCTGCGCTTCCGGTGATGAAACGCTGTTCTGCTAGCTTAGGCCTCCCTTTTGGAAAGATCCATCCACAACGATGATCCCTGTGATGCTATGAATAGCTATACAATATGTCAACGGTGGAAACACTTATACACATCTCAGCACCAACAACACGGGAAAGTGATGCTCAATATCGAAAGCAGGCACTGAGTTATAGCAACTTTGAACCTCAGGAGAACCACCATATTTTGATGTTGCCGAGTGCGCAAATGAGACACGCTGGTTCTGAACAACAAGTCAAGCATGACGGGGCAACGGACTATCTGCTGAAGATACGACCAGCGATGAAAAGCTCGCAGAAATTAGACGCAGGCGAATCTGTCCTAGTGAGCGTCCAGGAGAGACGACGAACTTCACAGGCTACTCGGAGATCGAGGAAGTCCCACACTCCAGACCGTTTTGATGAAAGTACTCAGCAAATGCTTAATACTCAGCATGCTGCTGCTGGAATCCAGAGTCAACTCTCGGATAATGACAGGCCGGAGTCATCTACTGAGTCCTCCAGGCCCAGCAAACGGCAAAGACTGCAAAGATATCGACTTCGAAATCGTGATCAACAAAACCGATTCACGTTATCTTCTGCAGCGTTGTCTCCAGATCACGATAGCTTACACTCTTCTCGTACACAAACACCTCCAAGGGCTCGTCGAGATAGCCAGAGTGCTGAAGTTCAATCACCGAGACAAGAGTCATGTTCAGAGAAGGGACTTTCACTAACTATATCCGATGGGATTCAAAATAAGCAGGATAGCCGCATGAGCAGAGATGTTTCTCCCTCCACAGCTATGGAGCAAGAGATCGAAGCTTTTCAAGCCATGCGTCGGCTCATACCCGACATGTTACGTCAGCAGAGACTGGATCCGTCCCAGCTTCAGGACTTTATTTCTTCCATTTTACCAGACACTTATAATCTCAGTCAGTCTGACGGCATGAGCCAAGTTGGAAATCAGAGTACAGAAATCAAAACCACGGAATCAGCCATGAGTGATGTAAATAGCTTCACTTCTAAACACATCGCTCTTCCCACTGTCGACCAGAAATTGCAAAACACGGACGATCCTGCTCGAGCAGAGCTAGTTTCTAATGATATAAACTCCTGCACGCCGCATGTTGAGCAACAGGCTCTCCTTCAGAGCGAGGCCGTGTCATCAAGTGTGCAGCTTACTTCAGGCGCATCAAATCAAATGCTACACGAAGTACCTTCCCCAGGGTGCGCTGTCTCATCCGAATCTCATCGTCGACGCCACAATTATTGGGAGACGGTGTTGCAGGAGACAACGGAAAATGACAGAAGTTTGCAAACGACGTCGCGTTCCCTAGATGCGCATGCTCGCGGCTCTACGAAGCCGCAGAAACTCAAATCCTCGTACGCAGTTGACCTTAAGGTACCAAAGCCGACCCAAATCTCACCTATATTTCATAATTACTGTCAACAGCCACAATCACAAACCGCTTTGGATAGTTTCTCATATGATAATGGTAGTTTGGAATCACTTAACACAAGCCTCAAGGCGAGCCCTTTAGTCAATCCAGATATATACTGCGCTCTAAAGTCGATGCCGCGACAAATCTTCCCGCCAGAAAACATAAGTCAAAACAGCATAGAGCCCCAAGATGCCCAGCAATCTTTGCTCGCAGAGAAGCATATGCTCTTTCGCCGGGTCATACATCGCAGGTTAGACCCTCTTGAACGTGGTTGTTGGAGAGTTTGTCTTGCAGACTGGGACCCGGCCTTCCAGCTGAAATTCCTCACGGACCTCAAGGACTATCTGGAAAGCGGCGCGATGGGGAAAGACCCCTGGGTCGATATCAAGCGCACTCAGACAGGTCTCCCTGAATCGCTGGATTTATTCTGCGGCGTAGATTCTTTGGGGGAGATGTGGCTGTTTCTTCACGTCATCAGCGAAAAGCAGCTTGCCCTACAGGACTTGCATTGGTTAGACTGTGAAGGAAATCCCGCTGTAACCATGCCTGCTAGATCTGGGAACAAGTGAAGATACTTTTCTTTCGTACGGATCTAATTCTCAGTATTGCTTTTTATTATGGATACCCAAAAGCGGATATAATTTGATCTAAGGGGGATATGGGTTATAATTTTTGATTGTGGAATCCAGCTGACCATTGCATTGGGCATCGCCATGCAACATGAGTGGCTTGAATAAATTGCATTTTATGCTCGTCAAAAATCTTCTGAAGTTGTGTATAATTCCAATGAGCGAGACTTCACACGTCGAGGATCTAATCTTTTATTTCCGCCAGGCGCTTTGTTTTGCGCAACTTTTGGTGTTGGCGTTGCACGAGTATCACAAAGCGGCGCAAAGCTTCTTTGTTTCTTAATCTGGTTCTGCCCCTTTGGATTCCTTGCAGTACACCATGGATGGACTCCCGAAGGCACCCTAGAAGGGCAGAAATGAGGCCATTCTCGCTTTCCCTCACACGCACTTCCGAAGAACGGTGGGCTGATGTTGAAAAGTGCGCTATGCCAAATGAAGAACGCACACGGCAACGATTCATTGGATGGTTACCGCCACCACCAGTCTTACGTTTGCCGTGAGGTGCTGTGCAGCCCAGCGAAGTGCCAGTGACTATACGAGGTTGTGCTGATTCCACGCGAACGACAAGCTGCGGGTTCACTTTTCTTTGCTCCGAGAACGTCGAACTGGAGACGTAGACGAGCCTCATATCGCACCAAGGAGTCATCCTAAACGACCCGACCAATGATCAGCAGTACAAACCATGGCTTCGAAGGCTAGGTGCGCCCTTCGGCCATTTTCTTTCGGACCAGAATTGAATAAAGGAAGCATGTTCTAGTCTGGCTCGTGGCAGACATCAATGGAGGTTGTTAATGTTCGGAGATCAAGTTGCTCCGACACGAGGAGTTCTTCAATGTGCTCATCAAAATATATATGGGCCGTAGGTTTCAACAAAGGCTCTTGAGGGAACACACTCATCTTTGACTATCTTTGCGTCAGCTCACCAGCCAGATCCTAAGCACTTAGTCCATCTGCATTTGAATACCCAGCATTTGCCATGTCTTCGGTCACCCAGATCACCATTGCTGGTTTCACCGGCCGGTAAGCATTTCGCCTCGCTTCTGACCTTTGAAAGTCAAGTAAATTATCCGTCCTGGGGCATCTGAGTAACGTGTGCGTGACGCTATAGAATGGCTCAGCTCATCACCAAATACTTTTTGGACAACTATCCCGCTGTGAAGATCAACGGCATCGTTCGCAATGCTTCAAAGGTTCCTGACAACGTACGGACGTTGTCAAGCATCGGTGTCTTCGAAGCTGATGCTACTGACAAATCCTCTTTAGTAGAAGCGCTCAAGGGCAGCCAAGTCTGCATATGCTGCTATTCTGGCGAGCCTGTACTTATGACGGACGGACAAAAGCTTCTGGTCGATTGCTGTATCGAGGCTGGAGTGTCTCGATACATTGCAAGCGACTGGGGCAACGACTTTCGCGCGCTTGCGCTCGGAGAGGTGCCCATGAAAGATGCGTCGAAACTTATATACAGCTATTTGCAGGGAAAGAGAGCGGATGGGAAAGACATACTTGGAGTGCACATTCTCACAGGCACCTTTATGGAAGTGCTGTTTTCGCACATGTTCGCAGATGATGCACATACAGTGATCAAGTACTTTGGAACCGGAGACGAGAGATTCGATGTGTCTGCGATGCCAGATGCTGCCGCATGGACCGTTGAAGCCGTCATGGACCCAAATGCCTCTGGGGTAATCGAAGGTTTGTGAACTGATGCACTTTTGATCAGTTGTTGTTCGTTGCTGAGATTCCGATAATAGTGCGCGGAGACCGCGTCTGCTACAATGCCATTGCCAAACAGCTTGAAGAAGTGTATCAGACCAAGATTACGCTCCAAAATTGCGGCACGCTCGACTCGCTCAAGAGTATGATTGATAGATTGCGCCAAAAGGATCCTGGTAACGTCAAAGCTTGGGCGCCGCTTCTTTTTGTGCACTATGTGCTGAGCGGAAAAGGAGACTTGAAGAATGTAGACAGTACACGCTACCCAAAGGTCGACCCTCTTTCACTGACAGGGTTTCTGAATCAACACACACTGGCCGATGTCACCGAGTATTATTGATAGTTTACGTCATGTACTGCACGATACATAGTCTACACAGCTTATTGGTTTTCTAATGCATCGCTTTTGTTTCATTCGATCACAGCCCAGCTGCTTGAGCTGCAGGTGCAAGTAACAGTGCACGAATTTGCTCGCTCGCAGGTAAGGCAGCCCATAGATGTACGTAGAATCTTTGGCAAAGTGCGATTGCCGGTTTCGTAACCCACCATTGCTGGATCTTAGCAAGGAGTGCAAACCAGTAACATGCGAGCAACAGCGCTACAGGTTCTTTCGCTTCCAACGCCTGAAGGTAAAGGCCTTTGAGCTGAGTTGCAAACGAGAGGTAAAGATCGACCACGGCCGAGCTAGGCTCATGATTGCTGGTGAGCACAATATACTGGAACGGCGCTCGATATATCTCGTCGAACACCTGGTCGCCGACGAGATCGCGCATGTGACGTTCCCGCTCGGCCATCTGTTCCGTCATTGCCAGATGCTCTTGACGGATGTCTTCGGCGGAGCCGGGGATGTTGCATCTGATGAAAAACTCGTGGAAGAGGACGGGGACGTCCGGGGTCTGGCGATGGAACTTACGGTGGAAAGACGGAAAACTTCTGAAGGACTTGAGACCGGCGAGCAAGACATCGAACGAGTCGAGAGCGTCGCCGGACGTGGTCGCGTCCAACATTGTAGACCAGATGACCAGAATAATGTGTATCATGCCACAGGCGAAGACCGCGTCAACATCTTGCGGCTGAACGTCGTTCAGTTTCTCCTGGAACAGCTGTAGCGAGAGCGAAGAGTAGAATGCTGACAGAACTTTCAACCTCGCGGTCGAATCCAGGTGTGTTAAGTGGGAGGCACTCACTGCCAAGATGGCATGAAGCAGATATTCCGCCTGCGTCCCGAGTTGAAGACCATGTCGCTGGACGAGCTGTTGGAATATCGGAGTAGCGAGCCACTCGTTTTTACAAGTAGTGAAGTGGTCCACCAAAGTTCGCACCTCTGCCTTCTGCACCGCAGCATCGGCAAGAGCCCTGGATTTAGAACAGCGTTGGAGGTTCTCCCAGACCTGTTCCAATAGTTCATCTCTAACCGCATGGGGTTCGTTACTTCTTCTGTCTCGCTCTAGACCCCCAAGCCCCTCAGGTTTCATGAGCAAGTAGCTACACTGCCGCCCGTAATCGGAACATTGCCTACAACTTGGTTTTGTCTCGTCACACTTGATTCGGCGGGTCTTACATACTTTGCACCCTGCGCGTGACTTGGAGTGCGGCCGCTTTGTCCTCGTGCTGGAGCCATCCTTGAAGTCCGGCTGTTGTGCAGCGGAAGACGGATACACGATCCAGTCGGACATTACTCAGGACCGTTCTCGACTTCCAGCCCTTGGACGGTTGATGCAGGGAAGGGTTGATCTAGAATCCCGCGAGGGAGTTGATTCAGAGAGGGAAGAATGTCGTTTTGTGGTTCGGCGACGGGGGATGATCGGATTCCCCGTTCGGCAAGGCGAGTTAGCCAAATTAGGTTCTAAGCATGGTTTAGGTCTAGAGGATGGCGCCCATCGCATGCGGAGGCCACCTCAGCCTCAAAACAGTTGACTCCATCCACCATAAAAGGGAACTTCAGTCCCTTGTTAAATCACACAAATGAATGCCCTTTACAACCAAGTATCCGTAGCAACATCCTTCTATTAGACGCCCGTTATTGATCTTTCTGCAGAAAGCAGGAGGTCCGGGCACCTTCGATTTCTGACTCAACACAGTGTAGAACTACGCTGCTGCGAACGGCAAAGAGTCGCCATCGATCTCCGCCATGCCGGAGTCAGGCAACAGTCTTGCGACGTGGAAAAGGCTTTTCAGAGCTGCATTGATCGGTGGTCAGACGCCTCTGTTTTCCGATCCTTCGAGTTCAAGTTCGCCCAGCCTCGGGTCCTTGAAGTCATGTCCAAGCCCAGGCCTCAGCTGCTCGGGCCACGGCGGCTCTACATCTGACACTTGCTGCATCAACTATCCCGGCGGGCAGTTTGCGCTGACGCAGTTCTGGAATTCTGACCCGCACGCGGGACCGCCTGGGTATCTTGGACCCAAAAACACGTGGACCGTCCACGGCCTATGGCCAGATCACTGCGATGGGCACTTCGACTCCGTGTGCGACTGCAACAGGAGCGGGGACTGCTCGTCTGCAAACTACAAGTGCCCGCGTTCGTCATGTAACAGGGAGTACTCGAGCATCACGAACATCTTGGAGAAGTTCGGGCAGCACGATCTGCTGCGGTATATGGGGGAGCACTGGAAAGGGATTAACGGCGACGAGCATCTGTGGCAACACGAGTGGTCCAAACACGGGACGTGCGTAAGCACGTTGGAGCCGGCTTGCTACGTGAACTACACCGCGACGCAGGAAGTGGTGCAGTACTTTCAGAAAGCGGTCGAGGTCTACAAGTCCCTGCCAAGTTTCGAGGTACGTTCCCATCGCAGGTCATTCTTTCGCGAGACGCAGTCTGAACGTCGTACAGTGGCTCGAGGCAGCGGGCATCGTGCCCTCGGACGAGAAGACGTACACGCGCGCGGAGATCGAAGCGGCGCTCGAGGCGCCGCGTGGCGCGAAGGCGATCATCCAGTGCGACCCCAGACGCCCGACAGAGCTGCGCGAGATCTGGTACCACTTCCGCGTCAAGGGGTCGCTGCAGCAGGGCGAGTTCGTGCCCAGCGACCCAGACTTCTCCGGCGTCGGCGGCTCCAAGGACACGTGCCCGCAGACGGGCATCCGATACCTGCCCAAGCGCGACGCGAGCGACGGCCCCTCGCCCACGGCCACCGCGCCACGCCCGACGGGCACGCGCTCCCCCGGCGCCAAAGGCCGACTCGTCGTCAAGCTGAAGGACGGCGGCCAGCGCGGCTGTCTAATCAGCAGCGGGAAGTGGTACAACACCGTCGTCGGATCGAGCTGCGCGTTGTTCCACGCCCACTGGGCTGGCGACCGGGTCACCCTCCGCTCGAGCAAGGGCCCGTGTGGCCTTTTGGATGACGAGTTTTCGTGCGGACCCTCCGCGCCGCTCACCCCGTTCCAGGTCAAGGACGGGAAGTTGATCACTGGCGACGGGACGAGTGCGTGGTCTGCGGACAGTGTGCCCAGAGGCACGGAGCAACAGGTCGTGTATTCTACGAACGACTACGACGTGCAGCTGGACATCTTGTGGAGGCAGTAGGCGGAAAAAGATCTTGTCATTGTAGAGGATCATGTATCACCATCACGTAGAAGATACCCGATATGAAATCACAAACTCGAGAGAATCTGCTCGGTGACAGTGAAGGGACCACGACACTTTTCTCCCCCGTTGCTGTCGCGCGAAAAGCAGAAAAATCACATCGCGTCGAGACCAGTCTCACGCAAGATGTGCCCAACCGCTTTAAACTATGCAGATACATTTTTATTTCGGCTGACGTTGTTCTTCTATCCAATTGATATACAGTGTCGCCCCCGCCTTGTTTTGTATTTGGGCTGTTCTATAGTTTCGATCAATCAATCGATTTGATTGCTTGCCTTCCCGCCCCAAGAACTCCAATTGCATTTGAGTCAAGGCCGGAGCCTTCTATCTCGAGAGGGGTTCCGTCTTCTCCGAGTCGTGATACCGGTAATACACAAATGAAATAGAACTAGCAAGTGGTGATGGTTTTCACTCCGTATGTGCCTCAGTCCTTACTCCTTCTTCTGTGAAGTGGAAGCTTCAGCCTTTGGCGTTTCCTTGGCAGGCTCAGGCTCAGCCCGAGCAAGCTGCTCCTTTTGCTCTGCGGGTGCTGCAGCTTCCGCCTCGTCCACAGCGATCTCTCCTTCCGCCATAGATCTCTCTTCCTTCTCGTCAATATCAGCGTCGTCCCTGGGGCTCTGACGGCCCTGCTTGACGTTCGATTCATTCTCTTTGTTTTCTTCCTCAATCAGCTCCTGCTGCTCCTTCAACACCTCGAGACGCTGCTTGTTCGTCGCGGCGCCCTCGGCGTTGTGCACCTCGAGCTCGATCTCGTGGAAGAGCTCTTCGGGGATAGAGGACAAGACCGCTTGCAGGGCGTCGATCTGCGTAGAGAGCTCGCCGGAGTCCTTGCTCGAATCGTACATGAACGCGTTGCTAAGAACAAGGAGCGTGGAGGGGACGCCATACTTTAGACGCAGATCAAGCCACATCTGGAGGTCGTCACGGAGACGGGCAGGAGACACGCCGTGAGTGCGGATGCCACGACTGGCACAGGCGGTCTGCAGCTCGGGCACAGAGAGAGAATCGACGCCCTCGTACGCGATGGCCCGGTCGTCGCGTTTGATCTGCCTCATGCGGTGACGGATCTGATATCGCAAGAGCGCATCAGGTCCGACGGCGTTGAGGTTCATGTATCGACAGATGCCGACCAACTGTGGTCTAGACAGGTTGTCAAGGGTGAGGTCGTCCTTGAAAATCTTGCACACTTTGATCACGTCGGCTTTGCTGGGAGTCTCGCCTGTCTGGCGCAACTTGCGGAAGAACTCGGTGAACTCCTCCTTCTGGGCGGTGGCCGCTGTGACGGGCAGGCCGGATTCCTTGAGGGTTTGACGCAACAGGTCCGAGACCTTCTTGCGCGTGCTTCTCAGCTGGGAGGCCTTGTTTTCTTTGGCCGTGGCGCCCTCATACGTAGATGGGAGGAGATTGGGGAAGAGTCGGAGAGCGATGGGAAGGAGCAGCTCGGCGAAGGGGACGATGACGAAGACAGAGAAGGGCACAAGGCGGGCTAGATCCTGGACGGTGCGCTTAAGCTGTTTTGCGACAGTAGGTCAGTAAGTGTGCTCAAATCGAGCGGGGACTTGATCGCATGTCGAGACGTACCTGTCGGTTCTCCCTCCGTGTCAGCTCGTAGCCGGCAGCCATCTTCAACGCCAGTCTCGAGCTGATTTTGACCTCGGTCGCCAAAAGCTTGGTGCCATCCCAATAATGCTGTGCCTCCTTCTTGACCTTCTGCCACAGCGTCAGCTTCTTCTTCTCCTCTTCCTTCTTCGCCACCTTCTTCTCGTCGTTTCTCTCGGCCGCCTCCTTCTGAGCTACCAGCTGCGAGAGGCTCTGCGCCTCCGCCGGCTGGACAGAAGCCTGCGCACCAAGCCCTTCCTTCTGAGGCTTGGCGCTCTCTTTCGACTCCTCCGCGCTGGCCGTCTGTTTCTGCTGGTCCTTGGGCAGAGGCTTCTGGGCTTCCTTGAGGTTGAAGCCGGGAGGAGGACCATTCGAGACGGAGCCCGACTGGGTAGACGTCTCGGTGGCTACGCCAGCACGAGGCACAAGGATGGCAATGGCGGGAATCTTCGACGGCAGCGCTGGACGAAAGCCACCTCTCATGCGCAAGTTGCTCCTCAAGAGGGCCGGAGCGACCCTCGAGGCAGCACGGTTGACCGTCGACATGGCGGGACAGGCGCTGCAGGTACAGAATTGGGTGGAGATGGGACAGCTTATCGGGTGGATGACATCTGCGATGCAGCAAAGGTCGATGATGGATGACAGACGGAAAACGGTTGATGTTGGGAGGGATGATGCGACGACGGGGAATCGATCACGTCTGGCGTTTCTTGACGGACTGCGGCCAGGCCGAGATGGAAGCTGACGGGCGTCGAGAACGTGGACCGGGACCGGGACCGGCCCAAGGCCACCACTGCGGCCACACCCCAGCCAGCGACCGCCAAATCCTCAGCGGGTCTGCCCCTGTTGAGTCGCTGAGCAGCGCTGGCGTGCTTGGGCCTGCGCCAGCCCCCAACCGGCTTCCCCGCAACCTTCCGACGAGGACGTGCAGACGATGATGATCCCAGATCTGTGTCGCTCCTCTCTCTGTGGCTTCTGCTGATAATACTTGTACCGTTGTGGTATCTGTGAACGCCGCCCCCTCATCCCCGTACTTTGTCCTCCCTCCTCCCTCCTCCTCACCCGCTGTTCGCTGTCTTCGTTGATTGTTCTGAACCTCCTCTATCTTCTCTGTCTTTCCATTTGCTTTTTTTTTTAGAAACCGTGTTTTTCTTGGGTGTAGCCACTTCTCACAATGCTTTGCTGATCCGACGCCTCGAGTCGGAGGTACACGCTTTGTCCGAGCCATCCCGTCGCCCGTCGCCCGTCGCCCGTCGCCCGCCCCGTTGTCCTGACAGTCGCGCTTCCGTCAGCGTGTGCACAACGTCGCGGCGTGCTATGGAAAGGGTGCAAAGCCTCAGCCGTGCAGTCCGCTTGCTTCTTATCGGCGCGCCTGGTGTTGGGAAGGGAACCCAGACCGAGCGCATGCTCAAACGCTACCCGCAACTGTCCGCCATCAGTTCCGGAGATCTCCTGCGCGACAATGTGCGCAACAGGACGCCGCTTGGTATGTACACGTCCTGCCGTGATGGCCATCTTGTTCTGACTGCCCGAAGGCATCCACGCCGAAACCATCATGAAGGCGGGCCAGCTCGTGCCAGACACCATGATGCTTCGTCTGATCCTTAACGAGCTCAACAAGCGCGGCTGGGTCCAGTCAGACACACCGATGAAGCCCTACACACTGCACTATTCGTCCTCTGTGCAGCCCGACACGCAAAGCGGCTCCTTCGTCGACGACGTCATCGTCGGCGCCCCCATGACGCAAGGCTACACCTACTCCGAATCTCCGAGCGCATCCTTCATACTTGACGGCTTTCCGCGTAATGTCACTCAGGCATCGCAAGTCGACAATCTGATCCCCATCAACTTCGTCATCCACATAAACACGCCTGTCGACGTCATAATGGATCGCATTCGCAACCGGTGGGTGCACGCCCCGTCGGGGAGGGTCTACAACACCACCTTCAACCCGCCAAAAGTTCCCGGAAGAGATGATGTTACGGGTGAAAAGCTGACCAGGCGTGACGATGACGACCCTGAGATATGGAAGAAGCGGCTGGCACAGTTCGAAGAGACGAGCGCGCCTCTATTAGAGCACTACGATAGAAAAGGTCTGTTGTGGACGGTCACGGGGAACAGCAGCGATGAAATCAGCCCCAAGCTGTTCAAGGAGTTCGAAAGACGGTATGCTGTCGTTGACGTGTAACGAATTGGCAACAACACTCTCTCTCGCTTCCTACAACCCAGTACGAGCGTGGCGTTGGTGGCTTCACACGGTTCTTGGAGTATGGTGCTTCTTCGCCTTTCCGAATCTCAGACGCGGACAACCAAAGGACGCAGCCCTCACTTGCTTCGATGACCTTTTTCTCTCCATCTGGATGATTCTGCCTTCTGGGAAAAGGGAAACAATCTTCTCATTCCCATACTTGTATATATCGTCGTGCCTCCGGCGTAGAGCCATCATTGTATATAGACTTCTAATTCGGTCAGAATCAGCGACCACCAATCCATGTAACTCAGTCCTCATGCCTCTCACCAAAGCTCCAGCATCAAAGCCAGAGCACGTTTCCATCACAAGTGCGGACTCTCAACGATGTCCCTGCAGGAACCACCCCAAGGAAGACCGACCAGCGCCATGTAAAAATGGTGCCCTCGTCAAGCCGGACCTGTCTCTCACCAGACTCAAGCGCTAAAGGGCGACAATCATCCGCCTTCGTCGTCAGTGGAATTCTAGTCGCGACGACGCGCGAGAGCAGTCAAAGAGCGAGGTTCGCGTTGGGAGCGTGCACCGCGTTTTCCAAATGCGAATACTTCGTTTCGTGGCGACCCACGGAGCCGACATGTTCCCCGTTCCCCCCTATCGCCAGCGTCTTTTTGCCGCCTCTCGATAGCACTCATCCGATTCTAGGGGGGCGTCGAGCCACAGGAAGGAATCTGCACTATTCCATAGCAGGAACTGTCGCTTTGGCTTAGTTCATTTCGCGAGACGCACACGCCCGCAACATCATGTATTGAAATGGGTGCCAGCGGAGCGTGACGATGCTGATGGGATTGGAAAAAAAAAGTTCGATTTCATTTTGACGTCTTCGGTTTGCACAAAGAGAAGGGGAGTCTAGACGTCTGAAGGCTGGTGAAATCAACGTCAAGCCTTAACCAACCACCGTGTTCACTGGACTGTTTTGCTTCTTCATGATCCTCAGCTTCGTCTCCATCTTGACCATTGGCCACCATCCCTTTGTAAACTTTTCTCTCGCCCATCCCCCTAGGTCTATCCACTTCTGTTCCCAAGGCTCTGGCTTCAAAATCTTCCCACCCACGAACCTATCCTCAAATGATCGGTTGTCGAGCATCTCGCCGGGTCTCTTGACTTGGATTCCTCCGTAGCCACGCACCAAGTCTACTATGGTGAACTTGCCGATGACGCGCTCCGGCTTCTCCACTATCACGTAGTCGAACTGGTCCCAGAAAGCAGGGTCGAGAAGTTTCTGCTCATCTTCTGTCTTGTCAAAGATCCACCTGGGAGAGCCGGACTCGGTCAAATTAGAACGATCTTCAAGGAAACGCGTCAAACCCGTTTGGCACGCGAGGTTATCGGCATGAACGCGGACCGTTGTGGTGCTGTCGGCCGTCAAGGCGTGGAGACGCATGACTGCTTCGCCTCCTGGGTAATTGAGACGGGAAATTGCCAGGAGACTCGCTGATGCAGCAAAGCTAGCCGCGGTCGAAAGTACCAAGACAACAGACAGCAATCGGTAGATAATACCTTTTGAGCGACGAGTCCAGATCCAAGATGCACCAACAGAGGCAACCGCCGTTAACGCAGGAATAATGTAAATGATGAAACGCCACTCCTTATGTGGAAGGAAGGAGTAGACGAAGACGAACGTGATGGAGGGTAAGAGGAGAGCCAGGCTCTTGGATCGTGTTGCTGGGGAAAAGACAGCAATTGGTATCAGTAGGGTATACGTCATAGGGTTCATCATGAGTTTCGGGATTGCGTTGGTGTAATAGTAGTTCGGGGGGCTCACGCCCCAGTCCGAAGACTTCCCTAGAATCGTGTTGTAGTAGAACCCCTGCAGTTCCGGCCACATGGGAAACTTGTTCCAGAAATACGAATCCACCACGAGTGTTGCCATCAGGCCGGCTACCGCGCCGACGAGTCCAGCAGGAACGACAACGGAGGGAATCGTGGAGCTGTTCACGCCAGCCAGAAAAGCCGATATACTAAACACCAGAATGGCAATCTCAGATCGGAAGACCACCCCCGCAAAAGTAAGCAAGAAAAGGCATTCTCTGTACCAGGCTTTGGCTTGATCGGATCGAGCGCTCAGCCCGTACACAAAGTTACGGAGTGCCAGCGTAGCTTTCAAGAGTAAGCATCCCAACGAGCGCGGTCATTAGGGACGATAAAACGTACTCAGAACAAATGCGAAGATATTTGGAAGCGTTCGTGAGGCATAGTACATCAGGTGAAATTGACTCGTTTGTAGGATCATGTACCACGTCGCAGCTGTGCTGCCAAATGTCTGGCTGACGGCGTTGCGAAAGGAGATCAACGAGAAGGCGTTTACAATCCCCAGCACGCCCCGTACTAGGTGGTCCAGGTCAGCACGCCGAAAGACTTCCACGCAAATAGGGGGACGCACCCAAAACCTGGGCATCGAGGCCTGCGGTCGCCGCCCCAAGAAGCTGCGGAATGCCTGTGAGTAGGGACAGCACTACGGCGCCCACGAACGTTCTTGGCACGGAGCCGGGGAACTCGACGTGGTCGTAGTTTGCCCTTAAAAATTCACCGGTCTGATTCCATGATATCCCGGACGCGAGAATGTCGTGTGTTGCCTGGATGTTGAACGACTCCTCGACTTTGGTGAACGGCGCATACGAGAGGTGCAGCAAGATGACCGAGACGACCAGAATGGTCGTTACTTTTTCTACATCACGTTTAACGTTCTGCGTAGAGATGCCATAAGCTTCCGGTGAGATCTTACCAAATGATTGACTCATGATGCATCCTTGATGTTGTCGTCGAGCTCACCGAAAGGAGCAAGTTGTCAGGGTTACATTTGGGTCACGTGATATCTACGTCGTCCACACTTTGTTCTCTTCTAAACAGCAATAGACGGGTGGAAGGCGCGAGCAAGAAACACAAAGAGTTACGATGTATATTTGATCTGCTTTGGAACTGGGATTGAGGAGCAGTAGTTGAGGGTTCAAGTACAACCCTTCCGCTCATACAGCATTGACTGAATCGCACGTTTTCTCGCTGCGTGCATTGAAGCGCCCTTGATCTTCTCACCCTTGCACCCTGAAAGTTCTTCCGCTGGCCGTTTTTCTCTCCGCTTTCTCCTCTGTGTCGGGCCGAGCACGACGTAGGACTTGTTTCGTTAGCGCAACACATGGAAATAGAACAAGCGGCTCGCTCACCTTGCAGAAAGTCCGCGGTCCTTCTGCGCATCCGCGAGTGAATATAGGCCTTGGAAGCCTTGATGTGGTAGTGGAAGTAGTCGCGGAAAGTCTGGATGTGCGAAATGACCTCCTCTCTCCGCTGGCGAGTCAGGTGACGAGGGAAGAGCACTGCATCTCAATCAGCGCACATCAAGACCCTCGAACTAAATCAACATACCAAACGTAATGTATCCTATTTCGCCCTTGCCAGACGCCAACCCCGGAATGCCCTGCAGTTCCAGCGGCGGATCGTTGCGGAAGAGAACCTGGGGCGCGTTCTGGATGGCTCTCCGTCTAGCGTCGACAAATTCCTGCAAAAACACCTTGCCGAACACTCGATCCGTCTCGTCTTTGAAAATGGTACTGAAAATCACCGTCACGCGGTCGTAGCCTGCCTTCACATAGATGGCTTCTTCCTCGCGGTAGTGGATGGCTCGCACTTCTCCTCCCTCGAGCACGCCTTGCGGCGCGGATTCAGTTGTGTACTTAGAAGCCTCTTGTTCGAGGGCTTCGAATTCGTCAAAGGCCTGCTCGAAAGGGGCGGCCATGGCGTTCCGCTTGAGGATCGAAATGCGTCGGATGAGGTCGTCGCGGGCTTCTAAGAGGTTGCTTTAGCTGCAATCCCGTGTAGAGCGTAGCAAAACCGATCCGACATACCTTGCTCGGCCGGCAGATTTTCGAGATCTACTTGCACCGAGAAATCGTAGCCCTGTTCTGGCGCCACAATGTAGGGCCCATATTCTCTTTCAAGCACTGCCTGCGCGCCATACTGCACAAGCTCGTGGAAGCACTTGACCGAAATGGATATCAATATCTTCGTCTTCGCCTCCGGCGTCGATATATGAAAAGTGACACCGTCAAAGTCAGACACGACCTGGTCAATTGAAACGGGCGCAGCTCTAAAGCACAGCCAGGTCAGCGGTCATAATATGTCGAATGTGTGCGCGCGCGGGGAGAGACGAGTCGTACCCAGAGAACCTTTCCTTGAGGAGTGACTCTATCAGCACATTCTGGTAGTCTAGGAGCAGCATCTTGATGGCTCCGGCCTGTATTCCAGAGCGGTATTTGCGTGTACTAGTGGGCGGGGGATGTGGCTATTTCGGAGGTGCCTGCGAGGCCGCACTTTGGCAGATCCAGTCCAGCCCCAGCTGGCACTGACGCAGCTCGTTGTTCTGGTGGGGCCGTCACATTTTCGTGCCTTTCCTCTTTCGGCACCAAAAATTTCTGGAACTCTGAATTCTGCGCATGCGAAGCCAAGCGACTCGCGATGGTCCGGACTTATAACAAATACGAGGCGTCCAGGACGTTTGGACTGGTGAACTCGGCCTCCTCCAATGTCTTGTCCGTTGTGGAAGGGGGACGGCGTGGTACAGGAGTTGGACTCGCCGTCGTGGGCGCATGCGAAGAGGTATACCAGTGGGATGTCAAGACCGGAGAATTGATAGGCAGATGGAAGGATGGCTCGAACAAGGCAAACGTTACGGCAATTACGAGGAGTGTGGCTGACCCTGATGTTTACGCCGTAGGGTACGAGACATCAATTGAAATGCGAGACTGGATAGCTGCTAACGCCGTGTAGTTACGAAGATGGGACAATTAGGCTGTGGGATGCGCGAATCGGCACGGTGCTGATTAACTTCGATGGCCACAAAACCGCGATTACGACGCTAGCATTCGACAGTAGCGGTGCGCGTCTAGCCAGCGGCTCAAAGGACACGGACATTGTGGTGTGGGACTTGGTGGCAGAAGTCGGGTTGTTCAAGCTTCGAGGGCACAAAGATCAAATCGTGTCTCTGCAATGGCTATATACAGGGAAAGAGGATGGGACCAGCGATGCGGTCAATGGCTCTCATCCAGAAAGTGCATTCATTCTCTCGGCGAGCAAAGACGCACTAATCAAGATCTGGGACATCTCTTCGCAGCACTGTATCGAGACACATGTGGCTCAGACAAACGGCGAATGCTGGGCTATGGGCGTGTCGCCCGACATGAGCGGGTGCATAACTGCCGGAAGCGATGGCGAGCTCAAAGTATGGTCTATCGACCTCGCAGCTCTGGCTGGCTTTTCGGGCGGCGTCGAAGAGAAGCCCAGACAATGTCTTAGCGATAGGGGGATTTTGCGAAGACAGGGCAGAGACCGTACGACTTCTGTTCAATTCCATCCACACGCAGACTACTTCGCTGTCCACGGGGCGGAAAAAGCGGTTGAGATCTGGAGAATACGTCCGGACGCAGAGGTACAAAAGAGCCTGGCGAGAAAACGAAGAAGAAAAAGAGAAAAGGCAGCGACTACGGGGGATGAAGACGTTGATGACAACGTGACTGCCACCATCAGCGATGTCTTCGTGCCGTACACGATCGTGCGGACTGGTGGCAAGGTCGCATCTGTAGATTGGATCGACGTTCGTTCTCACAAATCTCTTCAGCTGCTGACTTCGTGTACGAACAACGAATTGGGTGCCTACGAAATACCTACTCATGAAAAGATTTCAAAGTCCAAGGAAGAGGCCGTCGAGCCCACAAGGACTTACTCAATAGACCTACCGGGTCATCGGACGGACGTGCGAGCTCTGGCCTTAAGTTCAGACGACAAGATGCTGGCTTCAGCGTCAAGTGGATCCCTTAAGATTTGGAACGTGAAGACGGGGACGTGTTTAAGGACCTTGGAGTGCGGGTACTCCCTGTGCTGCGCATTCCTACCCGGAGACCGGATCGTCGTCGTAGGTACAAAGTCCGGCGACTTGGAGCTGTTCGATATCGCGTCTTCTACACTGCTCGAAAGCGTGCCTGCGCACGACGGGGCGGTCATGGCCTTGCAAATTCACCCGGACGGACGATCGCTCGTGAGCGGTAGCGCGGACAAGTCGGCCAAATTCTGGAAGTTCGAGATCGTGGAGGAGAACATACCGGGTACACGAAGGACGACGCCACGACTGAAGCTGGTCCAGACAAGGATATTAAAGATGAACGATGATATTCTGAGCATATGCTACACACCAGATGCGAGGCTGCTGGCCGTCTCGACGCTTGACAATACCGTCAAGGTCTTCTTCGACGACAGTCTCAAACTCTTTCTTACATTGTACGGCCACAAGCTGCCCGTGCTAAACATGTCCGTTTCTTCAGACAGCAAGATAATCGCAACCTGTAGCGCGGATAAGAACGTGCGACTCTGGGGCCTTGATTTTGGCGACTGTCACAAAGCCTTTTTCGCCCACCAAGACAGCGTCATGCAAGTCTCTTTTATACCGCAGCCACCCTCTCGCGAAGAAGGACATCATTTCTTCAGCGCGAGTCGAGACCGCTTGATCAAGTCTTGGGACGGCGACAAGTTCGAGCAAGTCCAGAAGCTGGACGGTCATCACGGCGAAATCTGGGCCATGGTCGTCAGCAAGACGGGCGATTTTCTCGTCACCGGCTCACACGATAAGAGTATACGGATCTGGAGTTTGACGGACGAGCCCATCTTCCTGGAGGAAGAGCGAGAGAAGGAAATGGAGGAGTTGTACGAGAAGACGCTTACAAGCTCGTTGGAGGCGGACGGCGACATGGCCAACGGGGACGAGGTCGAGGCTACTGCGGCGTCTAAGCAGACGATGGCCACGCTGACGGCTGGCGAACGAATAATGGAGGCTCTTGAACTCGGCATCGCAGACTTGGAACTCGTCGAAGACTGGCAACGTCGCAAGAAAGCCAATCCGAATCTCGCGCCTCCACAGCGCGATCCCATGTTCCTCGCGAACAACAACGTCAGCGCCGAACGCTACGTGCTCAACACCATCCAAAAAATCCCCGCGTCGCACCTCCAGGACGCGCTTCTCGTCCTGCCCTTCTCCGTCCTCCCGTCGCTCTTCACCTTTATCTCGATCTGGATCACAAGACAATGGGACATCACGCTCAGCTGTCGGATATTGTTCTTCATGCTGAAGACACACCAGCGTCAGATCGTGGCGAGCCGCGAATTGAAGGGGGTCTTGGAAGGGATGAGGCGGCAACTGAGGAACTCGTTGGGAGAGGTGAAGGACCTGTTAGGGCTCAATGGCGCCGCTGTCAAGCTCGTGGAGGAGAGGGTCAAAGAGGGCAGTATCGTGAGGGTGGAAGACGTTGAGAAGGTAGAAATGGCAGAGAGCGCGAGGCGAAAGAGGACTTTCGTGGATGTCTCGTAGACTCACCCCCCCCCCCCAAGCTGTGGGTTCGTCAATGTTTGGTAGACATGGAAATACAAAAATGGACATTTCTGCTACAGTCTGGTTGTTTTTGCTCGGAACTCTATGGCGCCCGTTTGACCGTCTGAAGCAGCAAAGGGACGGAGTTTCGTGAATCATCTTTCCGGCCAATCCTTCAGCAAAGTTTTACTGCGACACAAAACGACGCTGACTACTTGGCCTGTCCGGCCTGCAGGGAGCATTTTTTGACATCAGTCTCCTCGCAAGATGCGTGAAGCGACAGACGACGCACAGCAAGGACACCTTGGTGGCGCACGACTTGGCTGCTGAAAGCATCGCCGAAAAAGGGGGTTCAAGGAAAAGTGAGGCTGGACAGGCCGTGCTAGGAAGATTTTTGACAATGGATGGAATGTGGTTCGCAAGTTTCGTGAAGGCAGAGCCAGCCCATGACGAAGAAGGGACGGGTGGTCGGACTCATGGATTCCTGGTGCTTTCGCCTCACAAAATTGCGTCCCAAGCACTGGAAATCCAAGCCCAGGCCGAAGCTCAAGCTGGTGCCCGTCTGCTGCGCTGGTCTCGGACTCCAACAATGCATAATTACGTGTGCGATCTCATCGAGCAGTGCGAAGCCTGTGTGGGCATCGATTCCGGGCACCCAGGAAGCACACTCCCTCACATCCCGAGCCAGGAATGGGGTGGTCATCGACAGAAGCAAGTCCAAGGCCTCTCGCAAGCACGTCACAGATCCCATCACGTCGAAGATTGTAGTTCTTAGCGCGTATAACGTATGACATTCGGTCTCGAGGACGTGGCATTCAGACGTCGTGGCAGTCGGCTGCGAGCAAGATGTCTACGGCCACACCGGTGCCGCCGTTAAGGGCTCGAGGATGATACATCGCAATTCTCGACCGAGCAAGATGAGGAAGCAGACACAGGACCGGAGATATTACGCCGATATATACGATGGGAGAAAAAAAAATCAAACTCTAATCATTCTAGAAAACCGGGGAGCAGACCTATTAAGCTTTTTCTGATCGATTCTGTCCGACACTGTGGATTCTCACCGCGCTGATCGATCCTTGACAACGTGCCATCCCGATGGGTGATGCCCATCACGCTCTTCTAGAATCTCGCAGGACTTGACACTCGTCCGGGAAGCCGGCAAGGTGAGAACGATGATCCCTCGTGGCTCTCCTACGATAAGACAAGAATCGGACTCCAGCGATCCTGGAGATTGACAGGTACCAGTATGTTTGCAACCGTGTTACCGCACGGCTCTGGTGTCTCATCGCCAGGTTTCATCCAGATTCGTGCAAAGGTGCCCTTGCTTTGAGCACCCACGTGCAATGGACTGAAAATGAAATTTCAATTTTCGCGCCGTGGTTTGGGCATACGACGCTTAAGCTACGCTGATCAGTGCCCTTGAGGGAGGTCGAGTAAGTCTCCTTATTTTCTGAGACTCGGCCATTGATTCGATGTGGGGAGTTTCCACTGCGTGAAGGGCACGACTCGTACTCCGCTGAAGCAATGCATCATCTCAGAGAGATGTGCGAGTGGTGACGGGTGAGTGGCAAAGGCTTCAGCACACCGGTGTGCCGCGTCCACTTTGCTGGAAATTCTGACAGTATGCTCTCAGTTTGACCCCGTTACGATCTGCCTCGGGGTCTCTTTGGCTGACTCCGTACTTGCACGGAAGGCCGAAAAGTCCTTGCGGTAGCTGCGGGACCACGTCTGATTGGAGGCTTCGGGCATTCTCAGATCAAGGTTTTACCTGCGAAGGCTCAGCGATTGGTTTCCCGACGCTGCATGTGCGCGCAAACAAGAAGATTTGTGCCCTGAAAGGTGTTTTCCAGATAGGACGAGCCAAACGAATGAGCCTTTTCGGGCAAAGATGGGCAAGCGGCCCTGCACACGTTCGAAATCTCTATGTACACCGCCGTAAGGGTCCTCTTGTGCAATATCCAATCAATTTATCGTTTATTGCAGATCATGAAGGCGGGTAAACGATCGGGCAGCATGATCGTCTCTCATTTTATCCCACAGGGCGAGCTGGGGGATGCGAGAGACAGAGAGAGAGAGAGAGAGAGAGGCCGAGAGCGGGCGTCCCTGCGCATGCTTAGTGCGACGGAAGATCCTAGTCGCAAACGGGAATTGTCAAGCTCAGTGGAGGAGAATGCCATGCCAGCCACAATGCAGGCCGTCGGAGAAGGGAACCAGTCTGGCGTCCAGTCGAGGGCCACTGGCGCGTAAGACCCAGTCCAAGCTTTTCCGCTCAGATTTGAAACGGCCCGCGTGAAGGACATGCGCTCTGGCCAAAAAAGCAGAATCCAACCGTCTTGCCGACGCTCCAGCACGGGTACGGGTGGCCAGCACACCGTTCATTGTCGGTCCACGCCTACGGAGGCCAGACGGCACAGCCTTGAAAGGGACGGCGCTGTGCTGGGCGGCGAGATGGCTGTACGGACGAGGAGGCCAGCGTGCTTATTCCCGAGGCCGGTATCGAACGGGACGGTCAAGGAAGACGGCGCGGGGAGGCCTTGCAAGTTCCGCGGCGGAGATGGCCCAAACGACGCGGGCGGAATGGCCGCTGCCTCAAGAGTGAGGCGGAGCGAGACGTCCCCTTTCCACGCCCTCTCTTGCGAGATTCACAGAAGGGGGAAGCCGAAGGAATAGGGAAAGGATCTCCACCGAGGCTGCCCGGTCGTCGAGAGCGCATTTGGGAGAGCCCGGCTGCTGGCGAGGGCGGTGCTTGCTCCTCGGGTGGGTTTCGAGCACGCCGCCGCGTCTTCCCCCCTTCAGAGCCGCCACCGCGCGAAACAAACAAGCACGGCGACAGATGTAACGTGCCGCTGCGACGTGGCCGTCCCCGCGCGATGCTGCTGGTGCTGCGGCGGCGGACGGAGGACAGTGATGACGCCTTGGGCCCTCAGGCGCCAACGAGCGCGCCGTCGTGGCTGGCCGCGCGATTGGCTGGATGCACGATGGATGCGATGGCCGCTTGCAAGATGGTGGGCGGGCGGGACGTGGACCCTGAGAAATGAGCGCCCGGCACGGTGACGTCGACGGCTGATGCGCCCTGCTCGTCAACCTCTTGGCACCTCGCTGCCTGTGTTGACGTTTCCGTTCCGCGTCCAGCGCGACGCTTTGCGACGGCCGCTTGCTGGGCGTGGAGGGCCATGCCCGCTTGTTCATCAGAATCGCGCTGTGCTCGTCGCCGCCTGGACGGCCGCGAGCTGGCCCGTCGGGGCTCCCTACGCACTGCCGCTCGGTGCCCTTCGAGCGCGCGCAAGGGTTGCGTTCGCCGTGTATGACTTCATTGCTCCTGTCGAGCCGGTTTCAGAGGGCTGTAAGTAGGCTGTGTGGACCAGCCGTTGTCGACTGCATGCCGTCATTGTGGATGGGCGACGAACGAGCTAGCCCGGGACCGAGCGAGGCGAGTCAACTTGCGATGAGTACGGCGGCAAGAAAAGTGAGGAACTATGACAGTGGCAAGCACGGGGCTCCTGTCATTGTCTGATGCAAGTGCTCTCTTTGCTTAGCTTACAACGTAACACACCTGGCCAGTGGACTTTTGCTTTTTGTAGCGTCCAATCAATCCGCAATCAATCCATGATTTTCCTCTCTAACTTAACCCAACTTTCATATCGTACACGTGACCTTCTTAACGAAGGGGGAGGGGCGCAAAGCATATCGAGTGCAAAGCATGCTCTCTCTGAGTAGCGAGTGATAGTGACCGTAGCACGTAGCTGTAGCAAAAGGCGCACCACCCTTACATCATTATGTGTTTTCTCCAAAACGATCAGCATAATAATACAGTGTATAATGGGGTATCGCGAGCCTTCTGTCTTGAATGCCCGCAAGAATATTAGGCACAATATGTCCGTCAATCAAAGAGAAAAAAAAAAAAAAGAGGAAAAACAAAATTGCGTCCTTGCTCTCCATTAACGCCATTTCGTAAAAGAGGGCAGCCTCTCAGAAGCCCAGGGTATCAGTAGCGAACGTCTAGCACAAACGTGTCCAACGCACGAACTGCGCCACGGGTTTGCCGTGAACAAAACGACGTGCGTTCATTTGTCGCAAAGCAACCGACTGGTGTACGTTGAATTAAACTCGGAGTGAAAGAAGCCAACACAGCTGTTTCTTCCGTGTTGGGATGTCTTATGCGCATATCGGTAACCGAGGCAGTGATGTGACAGATCAACAGACGCTGATCTACGAATCCTCTGGGGAAGGATGATCACGACCCTCTCCTTTGTGAACCTTGCGGTGTCGTCGCAGATTGGAGACAACGGAGAAGTGGCGTCCACAGCCCTCGACATCGCAGGCAAATGCTGTCAAATGCGTTAGACACGAGTGATGGCTGCCAAAGAAAAATTATAAGAACAAAAAAAAAAAAGATTAGACGTACGCTTCTCGCCGGTATGGCTGTACATATGCGTTTGCAACGAGCTCGGCCGCGTGAACCGTTTGTCGCAAATCTTGCACTTGTGCTTCTTCTGCGAGCTGGACGAAACCTTGGAACTGAACTGGCCCATCATAGACTGAGGGGGTGGTGCTGTTCCTGGGAAGTTGGTCGGACGGGGCAAGGTCCTCGAGTTCACGTCCACGGATTCGGACGCAGAGCTGTAGTCGGAGATGTCTGAGCCTGCTACGGACGGATTGTAGCCGTAGGACGACGGATAGGTGCTTGCAGACGAGATGGACGAGTGCGAAGAATGCGTCGAGGGGAAGCCGTACGAATCAGTCGAGCTTCGGCTGGCATTTCGAACATCGTAGATGTTTCGCGGCGTGATGTCGCTTTGGCTGAGTGACACCATTCCTCTGCTGGCGTCGACGGCGTCGCTGAAGCTGGTGCGTTGTGCCGCTGTTGTTTGCGTGTTCAATCTGTCCATGTCAATCAAAGAGTTCCGGCGATAGGGATCTAACTGCGGATCCAGAAGGGCCTCGGAGGATACTGACGGGTGAGATGATCGCCTTTCGAACGATTGCTGGTATGCCGCCGGACTCTTGCTGCTGGCGTAATCCATTGGGTAGCCAGGCGCTGATGTCTGAGCATAGCTTGTGCTGGCGCCCGCCGTGGAATACTGAGCACCGTACGAACGAGGAGCGTTGAGCAAATCTTGGGACATGTCAATTCCATTCTGTACATCGTAGAAAGGTCCTGAGGGTGTGCTACCTGCGCCTGGTACCGTAGAAGCGGTCACTGGAACTCCATAAGCTGGCATTGGCAGTGTCGTTGGCCTCTGGGCTTGCTGCGAGGCATCCAAGCCGCTGGACGGAGCAACGGACGAAGGAGCGTACATGTGCGACTGAGGCGCACTGGTTGCCGCCGACCACGGGTTGGTGAACTGAGGGACGTGCTGGTAGCGAAGACCGTCGTACCCAGGTAGATTTAGGTGAGACTGCTGGTTTCGACTATCGACAGCCATTGCCATGATGGAAGAGTGACAGCAAGGCGGGGTTTTCAAAAGAGAGACCACGACGGCGCGGCGGCGGCGGCGGCGGCGGTGGTGGTAAACGATTGGGATGAGAAAGTTTTGGAGTGATAGTCAAGGTATCACGGAGGATTCAACGCCAGAAACAATCCGGAACGTGGGGAAAGTCGATCAGGTCGGACGATGGGCGGGATCAGCGCGCTTTAAGAAGCCGTCGAGGATCACGGCGTGTAAGATACGCTGCTGACGGCTACCGAGGAAGGAAAAGCTAACAAGTGCTGCAGGTCGCAGATCGTCCAGCGCGAGGTGACACAGACAACGTGATCCGTGGTTTTGGCTCCAAGGGGGGGAACGACTATGGGATGCGTGGAGTATATCCCACAGGCGTGGCGACCGCTGGTTGCGATTCTGGCGTCGGCGCCCGTGACGCTGGCAAGCCAACAACAAGAAAGGTCGGATTCTCAGGCCCTCCCCGGCTCAGACGAGTGGGAGAGCGAACTTGACAGGTTCGGGCGGCGGAGGATGATTCGGTCAGCGGCTGGGATCTGGCGACTGTTGCGGAAATGATTTGAGGCTCCAGCGCATACGGCAGGAAGTGATGTTCAGAGGTAAATTGCTGGCGGGCGCACCGTCTGAAACGAAAGGGTGGATCAGAGGCAACGGCTGGGAAGATGTATGTGAAGATCAATGACGGTCAGAGGGGCGGGGGTGGGGAGGGCAGTGCAGATATTTGTGCAAAAGGAAGTACGTCTGCTGTTTCGCTGGCAGACTCAGCGAGCGCTCTGAACGTCGACCGAGAATTTGACGTAGAGGTTGAGATCATAACGTCTTGGCTAGCGTTAAGCGACCAGCTTAAGATCCTCCATCATCCAGGCGGTGGCGTCGCACCCCTGGAGCAAGATTTTGCCCACGGACCTCGCACCAGCCATGGGCCAACCACATCGGCAGCCAGCACGCCCGCTCGCAGGCGCCCTTCGCAAGGTTCGAGAGTGCGTCCATGCCGTGCCGGGCTTAGAGCTGCAACATCGCAGCAGGGACTTCACAGTTGTCCGCCCCGTGGCTCGCAGCCGCTACAAGGTGAAGCCCTACAACGCTGCTCAGGATGTCCTCCGCCCACTGGCTAGCGCCGTGAGCTGTCCTGTGCGGGCCAGTCGCGGCACGAGCAGCAGCATGCCCGCCAGCACCAGCTGTGGGAGCCGTCGTGCGACTGAAACCCACCCCCCTACAGGTCCTCAATGCCATTGAGCCCTCGCTCCCCTCTGCCAGTTCCTCTCCGCAGCCAGCCAGCCTGACCAGCCCGCTGGCCCCACTGGAACAGCCATTGTCTGCAAGCCAGAGGCACGCCAAACAATCACCGCTCCGATAAGCATACGTTTAGTGCCAGTTCGTACCTCCGGCTGCCTTTCCCTTTCCCGCTGCTCAGTCGACCTCTCGTCGGAATCAACCCCTCCCGAGCAGGCCCAAATTCCACGCTTCGCCCGTGTGAGCGCGGACGGCCGCCCGGCGGCGATTCGTTGACAAGTCGAAAATGCCGGTCCGGGCTCTGGTTTTTTCTCTGCCAATGTCCCACGGTCGATAGTGAAGTATTGACGTCTCCTAACAGCCTTTTGCCAAATGACAGCGGACCTGTACTATGCCGTTAGCAGGTATGGTCTGTGTCGAAATCGGTATTGATGCGCAGTGCCATTGCCTTTCCCGGTGCCAAACCTCTCCACACTGAGCACACCCCTCTACAAGGATGCTCACGATTCAGGTCGCCTGGTGGGTTCTGCTCCCTTTCACGACCACGCTTTGCGGATGACCATGAACGAACTGCTTTTGCCATCCAGTTCACCTATCCGCCCTCGTGGGTCGACTAGGGCCCTTGAACTGGCCTTGGGACAATCCCCTTTCTCGTCCTGCCAGTACCAAACACGATAACTCGTAGATGATCCGTGGCCGTGGCGCTTTTCCGTAACGGATGATTGTGATATCGAAAAAACTATCACATCAATTTCAACAACACAGAATGGTTTATCAGTTCGAATATTGATCGCCAGGAACTAAGATTGCCTCTTGCACCGTGAACACCCACCATCCACAAGACCTTTTGCGCAACCATCTGAGCAAACTATGCGCAAAAGAAAAGAAAAAAAAACACCCCCCATGGACTCTCTCTGCTTGCTAGACTGCTCCGCTTGGCGGGCCCTCACGAAGAGTGTCACCGCATGGCATCGTAAACATGGTCGGGCAGGGTTGCGGTAAAGAAATTTCCGACCCCTTTGTTTGCCTACAGATTTCGTCCCAATCTTGCACACACATCCTCCTGGACAATGCCACGCAGCAGCACCAGCAGCGGGTGATCACGCACTTTCTTACAAGCTAGATAGGCCGTCATGGCGACATCCCGAGGTTGTCCTGGAGCCGCAAAGAATCAGATCGTCTGATAATGGGGTTGGACAGCCGCCAAAGCTGCATGGGAATTGTGGAGAGATCTCGACAGTGGCTGCTGGCGCGGCGTCGGCAGTCTCGTATTTTTTCCTCGCGGCGGTGTGAAGGCCTTCTTTCCTTTGCTTGCGTTCTGACCCAAACCTTCTTGGCGCAAGCGACCCGCACCTTTGGCAGAAGCTGGTCTCGTTACACCAATCTACGTTGCTTTCCCGCAGAAAAGTGTAATAAAGTGACAACACCCTCCCCCCCTCCCCTTCCCCCCCCCCACTCCGCACATCATTTTGATGCGGAGTCAAACTGCTCGCGCAACAGAAGAAGAGAAAAGTTGGATCCATATTGATAAACCGTTGGAGATAGTTGTTTTGTCTAATCCGCGTATGGTTATGCTTACTTCTTAGTGTGCAGATGGCTTAAGCACCCGCCAAGGATGGGTCTGCTCCGTGACTCGCTCTTCTAACTCTTACCTTCAGCAATTCCTCGTGACTGGAGCAAACGCAATGACACGGCCCCAGGACGCTCATGTATGACATTTTGAGATAGGCGGTGCGAGTGAGGCAGACGAGATTACGGCAATCCATCCCGGCACGCATGCGACCTCCATGCTCATCGTTTCTGCCCAAGACTGCAGGCATTTGTGCGCTCCTCATGGTTCAGCGCATGCCGTCGTGGTCTCTTGATCGTAGTTTTGCGTCATATGTGATAGTGTTCCGTTCTCTCGGTATGCTTTGAAACGAAAGGACTGGTTGCACGGAGCACGCGGCACCTTAGGCTTTTCCTCGCCGTGGCCCCCGTCAGCAGAGGGTTGTCAGAAGCAGCCTTTCGATTGCTTAACAATTGGCCAAAATGACGGAGCCCGGCATGCTACCTTTTTGGCTTCTCGCTTCGGAATTCCGAATTGCAGGGCTGGACGGATTGCATCATATGTGTGGAAGGCTATACCTCCCGCGTAGAAGGGTATCCTTTGAACCTTAAGCTTCTAGCTGCCCGTTGACCTTTGGGTTTGGCCCGATCCACGATGTCAGTGGCGTAATGGCTTCATCCCTTATCGACTATAGCGCCCGCCACCAGATTGTCTGCAGAGCTGTTGCTCTTTTGTTTGCCTGGCAGCGTCTCCACATTCTTTTGCGCCAGAGCAGGCCCTTCTTCCGTACGCATTTTTGCAGAATAGAGCCTGTAGATGGCGGCCTGAACCTACATGGATACAAACGTAAGCGATCATTATTGTCTTCCACCTTGGTAGGGAAGACGCATTGGGAGTGCGAGGGAACGTGCACTTCTCGAAGCGTTCAGCTTTCTTGATCTCCGTGACCCTGGCCTATGAGACAATAGCCAAAGGAAATTTCCAGTGTCCTTCCACGATGATTTTCGGCAAGGTCTGCCATTATTCCAATGTACTATCACCAATGGCGCTGAAGGCAAGGGCGCTTTTCTCCGCCGTGCGCTGACGCCCCCGCAAGCCTCTTATTCCTTCCGCATGCATGAGTCCTGTCAAGATCTAGGATGTGTTTTAGTCTGCGTTGGTCGCATCCCAAAGTTCTGCACCGCAGAAGGCAAGCCTAATGGGCACCGTGGAAAGGCACCGCTCGCGTTTGCCGTTTTGGCAACACCCGAAATGGTCTCTCTCGCGCTCATGTACAAGTCAGGCATGGGACGTATTTCGTCCCTTTCTGCTCATCGTCGAGAGAGAGATGCTCGGTCATTGCCCAGGGTTTTTTTTTTTTTTTTCGTCCTTTTCCCCTCCCCCCTCCCCCTTTTCGTGTCTCCCCCCTCACGACGCTGTACAGTAGCACAGAGGTCGAATCGGGCGTCCGGGTGCGACGAGTCCAGTCCAGTGCACACGAGGCACTCGAAGGTGAGAAGGAATGTGCTCATGATCCATGTCATCCATCGTGCCAACAGAGTCGAAAGCGGTAGTGCAGAATGACTCGGGGTGAACCTCTTCTGGATTCTGGGAGTTGAATAGGGCAATTGATCTGAGGATCATCGCGAGTCGGCAAGCCTAGATCGTTCTTAATTCAACCTCACCTCAACCCTCGCTTGCACACGGAGGGTCAGTCTTTCTGGGATCGATAGAAACGAAATTAAGGTTTGACAGGTGCCTGTCGTGAATCTTTCCAACACGATGCGTCTCGCAGGACACACGGTGCACAGTGATAATTTAGTGTCGCAGCGGATCTCTCGACCGAACTGCAGGCATCCCAGCCGCTAACGTTCAAAACTGCTTCTAGATGAACCCCCCTTAGTGGCCTTTGACCTGGCAAGTTCGAAACGGCGAACTGGTGCTTGAGCAAAAAGGCCATCAGTCAGTCCAATCACATTCCCGCTCTCCAAGCGTTTTAGATAAAATCTTTGCTGACCCGCAATCAGGGTCCGTCTGCTGGACTATCGGAAACGTGCGCCTGATGCTCGGAGCTTTGCCTTGTGGACCACCACCAAGACGTTTGCTACGACTCGTGCAAAAGACGTGTGCACTGTTGTTTGGCTTCACGATTTGTCTCGATTGGGTGACCCGTTTAACGCTTTTGATCCCTATTTCCTGTTTCCTTTCGAGTAAGATGTTTGTCAAAGCTAAAAAATCAATAGTTTCCAATATATTATCTTCACCCTTGCCGCGGGCTCTCTCTTCGACATGACACTGCTCGAAGAACAGCCGTGACTCTTGTCGACTAACAAAACGCAATTGTGAAATCGTCCATCGTCAGGAACTTGTCGCGCTGGCCTCTCTACCCGACGACGATCCTCACTGTCTCTCATCTCCGTTGCGTGCTGATACGAGTTCAAGGATCTCTTTCCCACCGCCCCTTGTTTTTTTTTCCAGTCTCTGAACCTTATCTCACTTTTTCTCTTGCTCTGGCGCGCGAACCAGGAAATCACAACCTAAAAAATATGACTCGTCATTGACACTCCACATGGACCAGACTCTGCCGCTGTCGGAGTTATGGGCAAGGTCTTGGTATCGCATGGCTTATGCCGAAAAGCCGATGGCATTTGGAAAACGTAGCCCACACGCTCGAGAGCATCGTATCGAACCTATGTGACCAACTTTGCCAGTTCTGTTCTGGCTCCCCGTCATGGGATCAATCTCGACGAAAGCCGCAATTAGCGCCATGTGGACTGTAACCACGCTCTTTTGTGACTGCCCATGTCTGCAGCTGAATGCTACCGTATACACTTTTCCAAGCATATCGAATCTGGAAGGTCAAAATAAGCTCCAGGCGACCAGTTGTTTTTACACCGAATGCGCGCGGCGAAGTGAGAAAGACATGTTGGACGAAAGAGTAAAAAAAAAAAAAGCCGACCGCGTGTCATCCTTCCAACACGTTCTGGGCGTATATTGGATCGCCGCGTCGGACATGGGACATTGCAATTTGTAGATGTGATTCAATGATCATTTGGAGTTTGATTGTCAATAAGATCGCGCATCGAATTTTGTAGTTCGTGGCTCCGACCGCAGCGATCGAGGATGCGACGGTCGCCTTTCCAAAGAACGCAGTCATCGCGGGCACGCTAGCCAAAGGGCTTTGAGGCAGCGCCCTCACAACAAGTAGTTCTATTGACATTGGCATGATCTAGTTCACACTGCTTGCACTCCCCTCATGATGCTGCGGTCTGTCTTCGCTTCAGAAGTTCGGACAGAGGCAGATCTTCCTCGTCGTAGAATTCAATCTCCTCATCGACGCCATAGTCAGCCAGTCGATCACCTTCGCTGGTCGCCCAGCTCTCCTCTCCTTCTTCACCCTCGCTGAGCTCCTCGTCGAGAGTTTGCCTGACAGATCCCTCGTCATCGGCGTCATACCTGCGGTGAAATTTCTGTCGTCTACGGATCGCGGTCTCGTAATCGGATAGCCTGGCGTAGTCTCTTTGCTGGCGTTGTCTAAATGCATCGATCTCGTCGTTCGAGAAGCCCGAGTTGAATGCTGCCTCTTCCGCAGGGTCGTATCTGACCTTTCCACGCGGCATCCTATCTGGGTCAGGAGGCGGCCATGAAAGTGAGGGATCTGGTATCGTCAGTGCCGCATGCTGAGTAGTGCAGAGTCTATCCTACCTTCGAAGCCGTTGGTCTCGTAATGCAGGCCGCTTTCATTCGATGGTGAGGCGGCGAAGGGCCAAAACCAAGCCAGAACCTGGAGGCATCTCAGTGGCTCCCCTTTGCTTTGGTATGGAGTTTATCCTACGTTGGATGTGCCCATGCCCTGGACTATGTTGTTCCAGAAGCCAATGTCATAGGGGAACTCTTGCTTCACGATGCGCACCTTGGTGCCGTCGGGCCCGTCTAGATAACCGCCCATCGTTCTTGCTCGGCGAAGAAGCACCTCGTGGCGCTCGATCTCCCACCCTTCGATCGTGTACGTATTGACTACTAAGCACCAGAGAGCGCGGATGAAGAGGATGCCCAGAGCGAACAGGGTGAGGGAATTCACGATGATCAGTAAGAAAAGATGGACGAGTTGGAAGACTGTCGGGCCAAGGTACTATAGCACTTAGTACGCGCAGGTCGAGCTCAGTGGCCGAGAACTAACGCTGGGCATGTCTCTGTTTTCCCACACAACAGACGCGCGGACGAAAAGGAAATACTCCAGGTACAGCATGGCAGCATCTGCGTAGCCCACGAAGCGCAGAAAGTGCGGGTACGTGACGTGCGACACGCAGTTCACCGTCCACGGACAGTGATGATCCATTTTCGGTATGCATCTTTGGCAGATCTTGCAGTGATGAGCCCGCGGCGGCTTATGGGCGTTGCATTTTCGACACCATCTCTGCCTGCTGGCGGTCGAATCTGGCGGCGTCCTGTCCGGCTTCCAGTCCGCTGGGACATGTCCTGGATCCGTCATCACCGCCCGCGCATAGCATACCAGGAGCGCGGCGACGAGGCCGTTGAACTGGACGGACTGGTGCGCGGTGAGCGGGCCGGGCTCTGTGTTTGAGAACAGCCATTGCGACGAGAAGGCCAGAAAGAAGATGAGAGCCAGCACGCCTGGGATAGCAAGGTAGCCAAGAGACCAGCGCAACGACATGCTTGTATTTTTTTTCTTTTCCCTCGTTATTGACGGTTGAGGACGGCGACGTTATACCCCTGGAGTCGCAAGAGAGGGCCGATCCTCGACGCTAGTTCCCTTGCCAGCAGGGGGCGAGCTGCCGCCGACGCGTGCGCCTGAGGAGCCGCAGTACGCGGAGCGGCGGTTGCCAGCGGTCAAAACCTGATTTGCGTAGATGCAGTGTATAAATGGCCGGCCGTCCGTTTCCGTCGCCGCGTCGAGGTCGCCAGATGAAGGATGTTTTTCTTCGCTAGCGTAGCACTAATGGCTCCAAGGACAAGCAGAAGAGACCGTTGGCAGTGCGCGGGCCGAATTCAACCAGAGCGCCTGGCGGCCGGTGATGATGTCACCTTCTCGCTCATCTCAAAAGGACTGTCGGAGTGCAGCACCGATGCGCTTCTTACTCTTCGCCAAAGTCGCACTGTTATTCTGCCTTGTACGACGTCCCGAGCCTGTCCCACACGTCGATCAAAGGCCTTGCGCACATTCTTCCGCCCTCAATCCCGCATCCTCCGCTCCAGATCGTTCTCTTCGCACTAGCGCGTCGATTGTCCGCTTCGGCCAGCGTTCTAGACCTTTTCGAGACCTCGCAGTCTTCTGAGCCTCCTGTCCGGCTATCTACTTGCGCCCACTTCTGTCCCTTTGTCTGCGCTCGTGTTCGCTCTACGCGCTGTGCAAGAGCTTCGGAGTACCTGGGTTCTGCTTCTTCTCGCCAGCACGTGGTCGTCCTCTCCGCGGCATCCATGACTTGGGCCGGGTGGAACACGCCGTGGTAGAAGCGATATGCGCCAGGATCGCCTGCTGACTGGCGATGCGAATCTACTGGCAGCAAATCTTGCAGTGTCTCCTGGGTCCTCGCAGCATCCAATCGGCACCGCAAACGTTGACAGTTACTTCGACATACGTCCAGATGGCTCGCAGTCGCCGACATCTCTCCGCAGCGTCGCCTCTTCGGCTGCACTGGCGAACGCCTCGTCCAATACAATCGTGGCGCTGACAGCGTTGCAATATCTTCCCATGCCCGTATTGGTCCTGGATTCGCTGAAGGCGGTCGTGGCTGCCAACGAAGCTATGGGAAGACTCTTGGGCATCGACCCTAGCGAGCTAGCAAACGACGACGGCCCTGTCGCAACTGTTACCGACGTGCTGCAGGGGAGCCATATGTCACAGCTGGGCATTGAGATTCTGGTTCACGGATCGCCTATCCTCATTAGCTGGGATGTACGTCTTTGTTCCGCCGCTCGATTGCTCGATTCTTTGGCTAAGAACTGTGTTAGGACTTTCTGGACGGAATCGTCCAGTCTGGACAGCAGGCTGCGACAGATCGACAAGCAGCTTTAGACGGAGACAAATCTGGCGCCGCCAGCGGTTCGACAATTCGCAGCGGCGATAGTACCCCGACAGCGAACCATGCGGCGAGACCTGCAGACTCCTTAGGACGAGAACAGGAGTCGCTTCGGCAGAATCCCTCGGCCTCCAGCCCTGCAACTGTTATTGATTCTTCTGTCGAAGTGATCATCACATCGTTTCGCGAGCGATCTCCCACTGCCAACAAGAATGGCCAACCGGTGCGGAGTGCTGACGACAGCACGCTTCAGGCAAACATGATTGTGTCAACATGGTCGATTGACGATGTTTCTTATCACACGTTGACATTTACTAATTCGCAGACCGCACAAACTTCTGCTCAGACAGCGAAGACCACTAGACGTACCGTTAATCGAAGTACGACCTTAAGCCCTCGCCCTCTTGGTTCCTCAAGCTCCAGCTCTTCAGGAAAACGGTCCGTCGCAGGCACAATTTCCAGCACAGGTAGCTCTACAACGCCCTCTCCTTTAATATCAACTCCTACATTTCCTCCCCTCGGTCCTCCATCGGCAAATATAGGATCTTCAAGGTCGCTTTTTCAAAAGGCGAGTCGTCTCAAGGATGCTATTCTCAACTCCGTAAACATGCCATCATATGCAATGTGGAAAGACGAGACTTTCGGAATTCCCAACAAAGCACTTCTTGCCTTGCATCCGGATGGTGCTCCATTCGCGGGCAGTAACCAACGAGATTGGCTTTCAGAATTCACTTTGTACACTGAGGATTTTGAATCCGAGTTGAGCGTGGATGAATTTCCAATCATCCAACTCTGCCGCAGTCAAAAGAGGTTTGATGGTCGACGCATCGGGATGCGTCATCCAAAAACAAAGGCGAAGATTGTCTTCGAAGTCCTGGGTGAACCAATCTTTGATGACGGGAGCGACGAATTCCTCGGCGGCATCGTCATTTTCAAGGATGTCACACAATATACCAAGCGCATTGCTGAGCAAATCGAGGAAAATGAGAAGCAATTTGAGTATATTGCTAATCTGATTCCAATCATGGTATGGAGGACGACGCCTGAGGGTATTCATGACTGGTATTCACAGAGGTGGTATGACTACACCGGACTCACCGTTGAAGAATCATTCGGTGAAGGCTGGAGAGGTGCTTTTCACCCAGAAGACATGCCAGTCACAAGTGCTCGCTGGGCTCATTCACTTGCAACCGGCGAAGAATACATTACAGAGTATAGGTGCAAGAGAGCGGATGGACAGTGGCGATGGATGCTGGGCCGTGCAACACCTTTCCTCGACGACAAAGGCAAGATTGTAAAATGGTTTGGCACCTGCACAGATATCCACGAGCTTGTGGAAGCAAGACGCGAAGCTAGAAATGTCCGAGAACAACTCCAGCGGGTTATGGAGCACGCTCAGGTCACTCTATGGGCAATTGACACAAAAGGCGTAATTACACTGCTAGAAGGAAACATGGTCAAATCGCCTATTGCACATGGCAAAGCGCCTTTCATCGGTCAACATATTGACGACATCGTCGAACTTGAAACATGGAGGCCTGCCGTCGATCGATTGCTGAGCGGCAGTTCCAAAGACGAATTTATCGAGTCACACGTAGGTGGAGACAGATGGTTTCGTACCAGAGGTCTGCCGCTCTACGCGGAACACACAGACAAGGGCAATGCCGACGCGAAAGTTATCGATGGAATCATCTGGGTTTCGGTCGACTCCACCGAATTGCGGCGGAGAGAGGCCGAGTTGAAAGCTCAGGAGAAAGCAAACGCGAAACTTCTGGCGAACGAGGCAGCTGCAAAAGAAGCAAGCAAGATGAAGAGCCAGTTTCTCGCGAACATGAGCCACGAGATCCGCACGCCTATTGCTGGCGTGATCGGCATGAGTGAGCTTCTGTTGGACACCAACTTGAATGACGAGCAGCGCGAGTTCGCCGAAAACATCAATCGTTCGGCGAACAGCCTGCTGACCGTCATCAATGACATTCTGGACTTCTCAAAGGTGGAATCGGGCAGACTAGACATCGAAGATGTGCAGTTCAATCTATCTGTTGTGATTAGAGATATCGGCAAGATGACTTCCTTCGCTGCCCAGCGGAAGAACCTGACCTACGAGAGCTACATCGAACCACGTATTGCACAAGACTTTAAAGTTACGGGCGACCCGGGCCGATTGCGCCAGATTATACAAAATCTGCTCACAAACTCTCTTAAATTTACCACTCAAGGATCGATCAGCTTGAGCGTTCACACGGTCAGCGAAACGCAAGACACTACGACGCTTTCTTTTGAAGTCAGAGACACTGGGATTGGGATTGAGGAAGAGGTCAGGAAAAAGCTTTTCAAACCCTTCAGCCAAGCAGACTCCAGTACGGCTCGAAGGTTCGGTGGAACTGGCCTCGGTTTAACAATCAGCAAGAACCTTGTAGAACTTATGCACGGTCAAATTGAGCTGGAGTCGAAGCTGGGACAGGGAACAACGGCGAGGTTCTGGCTGCCCTTCAAGAAGGTGCAAAACCAGGCTGGTGAGGACGCAATCGTCGACATCTCTTCAATACCTGATCGACTCCAATCCGAAGTTTCCATGTCTTTGGCAAGTGATCCAGATCGAACACCGCCTTCGACACCGCCAGTTGGGACAAAAATTGACACTCCTTCACGTTCCGAGTCCATACAAACCTCGGTGAACAAAATACCGGATGAGTTCATGAATCTTGCTCCGGAAGCGAGGGCTAAAATACACGTCCTAGTGGTCGAGGACAATCCAATCAACCAACAGATTGCTACAAAGACGATCAAAAAGCTAGGATTCAGTGTCAGCGCAGTTTGGAACGGTCAAGTAAGTCGTCTGTTTGCGGCTGGATTTCCTGCTGCTGTAAACATGCCACTAATTTGATATGCAGGAAGTGCTGGATTATCTTCTCCAGGAACCAACCCCCTCGCATCCTCGGCCGGACATCATCCTAATGGACGTTCAAATGCCGATCATGGATGGTTATCGAGCAACGCATACTATACGGACGTCAGAACCCTTCAAGGGGCGGGTTCGAGATATTCCTATCGTCGCCATGACCGCCTCTGCCATTCAGGGAGATAAGGAGAAATGTCAGAAAGCAGGCATGGACGATTATCTTAGCAAGCCCGTGAGGGCTCCTGTTCTAGAGAAAATGCTACTCAAGTGGTCTTCACAGGGTCAACACAGGGATTCAACAAGGAGACACGAGAGTTTGAGTCTTGAGTCTGAATACTCGCTTGAGTCGTCTGCGCCTTCACGACCCCACTCTCCACTTCTATCCGGTGGCAGAAAAGCGGGTTTTGCAGCTCCAAGCACATCAGACCATTCCAACATGCGTCCTGCGCAGCGGAAACGAACGCCGTCAGGGGAGTCGCCATCGAACGTCCATGACCAGGGAAAGGCCTCTCCGCCGAACGTGGCATCATCAAGCAGAGAGTCTTCAGCAGAGCTTGGAGACGACTCCGTCAACACACAAAGCGTCATTCAGCAGCACAGATTTCAAAATGAAGAAGAGGCTTCAATCTTGCGAGACGACAAGATGTTGGCCGTGACAGATATCCCAACAGCTCCGCGCCGAAGTCTGTCCGGAAACGAGCGAAAAAGCGAGAAACTGCAGTCAGGTCACAAACTAACGAGGGAAAATTTGGACAAGCACACTAGCGATCAGCATTTACCCGACGAAGCAAGAATGGGAGATGGCAAAGGGGAGCAACCTTGACTGAGGATACCTTTTTTTTTTTTTTGAGCGTTTATAACGCTGAAGCAGTGTCTAGAAACACAACGCGCTGTGCTCATCAACGGCTTGATCAAGATTTATGCCGGATTACAAACTTATATATATATATATATATGTATATTCTTGAACTCGACAAGCGCTTTTCGAAACCTTTTGTAGTAGCAAGAGTAAACCTACATTGGGACGATCATCGGGGTAATGACTAAAAGTATATAATCTTAACCAGTTCCAGGAGTGGCAAGTCCCTCCTGAAGGAGAGGAAATCATAGTTCTCTAATTCATCCCCCCAAATAAAGGCTTCTTCGCTTGCTACAATAGAATTCCTTACATGAAAGATCCGATGGGAGCTTTCGAAATTTGGATACGTGACGGTTCAACCTTTTGCTCCGTGTGGGTTTATTTTCCCTTCATGGAGGGAGAGACGACGAAGATCAACTGCAGACGGGATTTCACTTGCGGAACATTTCATTATATTCTCATCATTTTCTTCGGGAAAACCACCGATTTGGTGGCATCCACCTATGTGACGGGAAATCGACAGTGCGAAAAGGGCACCTTAGAAAAGGAAGCTCACGGGCATCTGATAAGTTCTTGAATGCTCTCGCGCACCTGATGTGAGTTCCTTCCCTCTCACCTCACGAAAAGCAGAATAATAGAGCCATCGTTCGGGACATGGTCAAAAGCCTCTCCCTTTCCTGATCCCGACTTTCTTCACTACACCACTGGCTCCTATCTTCTTGACCACAGCGCCTGACTTCTTGACTACATTTCCTATATTTGCTTGTTTCTTTCCCCTCTCTAGCTCCTCCTGCGCTTGTAGCTGTCTCAGCCGGTCCTCTTCAATTTTAGCTTCCAGCTCCGCCTTTCGATTGAATTCATGTTCTGTAATCCTTCGCTCCCGTGAGTCATAGCCTTTCTCTCTGACAGAATAGAAGACACCACCAAGGTCAGCGAGCCAATGGGCATCCACACTAGTTACGCAAGACATGTACTCCTTGCTTGTCAGAATGAGCTCATGGTAGACCACGTAATCTGGTAACCATCCCAGCCCGTACAGCGCAGAGGTGGGATGCAGCTGAATGGTAACACCCGTACGAAGATTGGTGTACTCGCCAATACCCTTAACCTTGGCAGCTTGGTGGAAGTACCCTGAACAAATGCATTTACGCGCAACATCCCAATCCGTCCCACAGCTCACAAGTTCCATCTTGTTCTTGGCCATGATGTCTGCGATTTGATCTCTGATTTCGCGCGCTCGACGCAGGCCCTTTGGATGCAAGAAGTGACGCGCACACCATCCATCGGAGTAGCCATTCATGCGCCATTGGTTGTACACATGAAGTAGTGTGAGGTGATCGCTTTCCGGAACGAAGAATTTCTCACGGGCTGCATCCGATTCTTCTTGCCGCTCCTTCGGGCGATAGAAGACGCTCGGTACAGAGAGCATGGATACTATGGTAAGCATTTCCTCACTGCAGCCGTACTGTACGGACATAACGATCAATTTAGCAAGCGAGGGATCCATAGGGAAGGGTGTTAGGGCGCGACCCAAGGCGGTGAGGTTGCCCAAATTGTCGAGGCAGCCAAGGGCCCAGAGGTCGAAAAGTGAAGTATTCAGTACGTCTTGAGGAGGTGGGTCCATAAAGTCGAAGTCAAGCAGATCTCTTACTCCCAATGACTTGAGCAACAAAACTGTGCTGGAAAGGTTTGTGCGTTGTAGTTCAGGAATCGTCTGAATGTACATTTCGTCCTGGAATGCTCGCTGAGTAAACAAATGGAAGCACTTTCCCGGTCCTGTTCTGCCGGCACGGCCAGCTCGCTGCGATGCGTTGGCTTGTGATATGGGTGTGATTTGCAAAGTATCCATGCCCATTTTGGGATTGTATACTTTAAGCTTGCAGTATCCTGAATCGACAACGTACATGATGCCATCGACTGTCAAACTAGTCTCCGCAATGTTTGTCGCCACAACGACTTTGCGAACGCCTGGGGGTGCCTTATCAAAAATCTTGGCTTGCAAGTCCGCGGGCATTTGACTGTAGATCGGTAAAATGAGCAACTCCGGAGGATCGTTGAGAAGTTTCAGGCGCTCTTCTATAAGCTCGCATGTTGTTTCGATGTCCTCTTGCCCCGTCATGAAGACTAGAATATCACCTGGGCCCTGGGAAACGTGAATGGCAAGTACTTGGCGGACAGCAGCATCAACATAGTCCTCGCAAGGAGAACGCGAGAACTGCTCGTCCACTGGGAAAGTACGGCCGGGAATAATGAATTCCGGAGCGCCTCCGAAGAAACGCGAGAAGCGTTCAGAATTCATAGTGGCCGAGGTAACAATGAGCTTGAGGTCGGTGCGACGGGTGAGGATTTTCTTGATCAGACCCATAAGGACGTCGGTGTTTAAGGCGCGTTCGTGAGCCTCGTCCATGATGATGCAGGAGTACTTGTCCAGATCGCGTTCTGTTATTGACTCACGCAATAAGACACCATCAGTCATGTACTTGATGACAGTTTCGTCACTGGTGCAGTCCTCGAAACGGATCGCATAACCAACCAGACCTCCGAGCTTGCACTCCATCTCCTCGCTGACGCGCTTGGCGACACTCATTGCGGCCACACGTCGGGGTTGTGTACAACCTATCAGTCCTCTTTTGCCATACCCGTCTTCGTAAAGAAATTGAGTGAGCTGTGTCGTCTTTCCTGAACCCGTCTGGCCGACTACTATCGTTACTTGGTTGTCTCGTATCACACGGAGCAATTCTTCGCGCATGGCGAACGCAGGCAGGTATTGTCTTTGCTCTCTTAGCGTCTTGCTTCGACTGAAGCTGCTCTGCCCGTCGTTCGTCTTCATATGTTCGGCAAACTTGCTGTTTCCCTTAGATCCTTCTTCGTCGCCCATAGGTGCTGCACTGTCGGTATCTTCCTCATTCTTGACGCCCATCACGTTACCCAAGATGGTGCCTTTCAGATTAGTTGCTTCCTGCGCTGCTCGTTGCCTTTCCCTCTGTTGTCGCCGTTCCTTGACAACTCTGCTGCCTTTCCTCGCGATTACTGCCATATCACTCTGCGGATCTCTCACTGCTGAAATGGGGTCGAGTTGCTTCGTAAATACTTTTCTGCCATCTAAAAATGGCGGCTTCAGATCATGCACCAATATATGGACCCGTACATCCTCTTGATCTTCAAGGAAATCGTCATCTAGTTCCCTCCGCTGCGCAACACCAGATCCCAGCATACGGTTCGTTTCCCACATTTCGTTTTCCTTCTGCCTCTGCCTGGCCCGTAAATCTCCTCTGCGTGATCTCTTCTTTTCCAGCATCGCAGCTTCCTTCTGCTGGTCTAAGTACGTATTCTCGAAACCACCAAAGGGATTATGCGTCTCATCACCGAAGGCATGTCCGCCATTTTCTTCGGCGCCATACCAGTCTCTATCCAATGCAATCGAGTCTTCCAAGTCCACGCCTGGCTCAGGTCCGTCGAACTCATGTTGATGAGGCTGAGGAGTGCCATCACGGCCTATGCGGTGAGTTTGTGAGACAAATGTCCGTTTGCTGGAGGGCAGGTATCGGTGCTGGATTTCTGCGCGAACGGATGGGGTCGCCTCGCGTGAAGGCGGCGCTGAGCGGCCGTCTTCCAACTTGCGCCGCTTTGGACTGCTTTCGCCGTTCATATTTGAAGAAAGGAGGATTTTGTGAAAAGTAAGCAAGGTCCAAATGGGCGGCGCACTGGTTTGTCGTGGGCGCAGTCGGTGGAAAGTCGATGGTGTAAACAATATTCGAAGTTTCCCACTTCGAGCGCGGAAACCTTCCACCTGCGTCACAAGAAAATTTCCAGACCAGGAAATCTCGCCGCAAAACTTTTGTACGCTATTCCTGGGCTCTGCACAGCCTTTTAAGTTGAATTTTTTGAGTTTCCCAAAGCGGGCGCATGATTTAGACGCCTGCAGATATGTCAATAGTCACTGCAGCAACGTGGGTGCCGCGAGGCCAGGCGGCGCAGTTCCCCACCAAGGCTGTCTTTGACGGCGAGGAATACTCACGAATAGCGAAACTCGCAAAACTACAACTGGACGATGCACAAGCAGAGTTAGAGGAAGCTCAGGAAGCCGAGGAAGTCGAGGAAGAAGTAACAGGCACTGAACAGGCGAACGGCGCTGCTAAAAATGCAAAGTCGAAAAAAAAGTCGAGCGATCAGAAGGAAGACGTGGATGACGATTTGAAAGAGTACGATTTGGACAACTATGACAACGACGAGGAAGACGAAGACGGTACAAAGAATGTTCTGGGCATGTTCTCTAATATCAAGTCTCTTGCTTATTATGAATCCAACGACGACGATCCATACATCACACTCAAAGATGGCGAGGACTCAGACTCGGAGCGAGAAGAGCTTGAGATCATGGACACCGATAACCTGCTTCTTGCTGCGCGGATAGAAGATGAGGTTGCACACCTTGAAGTATATGTATACGAGGATGAGGCCGATAATCTATATGTACATCACGATATCATGCTCCCAGCTATACCTTTGACGGTGGAATGGCTAAACTACGGCGTTGGCCGCGAGGCAAACGAAGGTGGGAAGGCCAATTTCGTCGCTGTAGGAACCATGGACCCGGAGATCGAAATTTGGGATCTGGACGTCGTTGACAGCATGTACCCCAATGCCGTCCTTGGCCAGGTTTCAGAATCGGCGACGGAAGTGGACAAGTCAAAGAAGAAAAAGAAGAAGAAGAAGTCGAAGAAGCCTAATGAAAATCACCATGTTGATGCTGTGTTATCTTTGGCAGCAAACAGACAGCACAGCCAGCTGCTGGCGTCTGCGTCCGCGGACACAACAGTTAAACTGTGGGATCTGAGTACGACGCAATGTGCTAAGTCGTATAGCTGGCACACGGACAAAGTATGCTCAATAGCATGGAACCCAAAGGATACGACGGGTTTGTTAAGTGGAAGTTACGATCGAACTGTTGTGCTGGCGGACATGCGTGCGCCAGATGGAGAGGTTCGCCGCTGGGGTGTCGAGAGCGATGTGGAAAGCGTGCGATGGAACCCTCATGATCCCTTCTTCTTCTACGTATGTTTTCCCAAGCGATTGTCAGGGTTGGAGGCTTACTTTTATCTTCGCAGGTGTCGACAGAAAATGGTGTCATTCATTACCACGATGCTCGGGTGGCGCCCACAGATATTTCGAAGACAAAGCCATTATGGACCTTACAAGCACACGACAAAGCTATCACCACGTTCGACGTCAATCCCATTATCCCAGGGTTTCTAGTCACGGGCTCAGCAGACAAACAGACTAAACTGTGGAACATTGATCCAGCCGCCGGCCCGTCCATGGTTGTATCACGTGATCTTGGTGTTGGTCAAGTTTTTGCCACGAGTTTTGCACCAGACCAGGAAGTGGGATTTAGATTGGCCGTTGCAGGAAGCAAAGGTGATGTCAAAGTTTGGGACACTAGCACAAACAAAGCCGTTCGAAGCGTATTCGCAGGAAGAGTGAGGGAGGGTATCTTTGGAAAAGAAGGCGATGCAGAGGTTGAGGAAAGATTTGTCGGAGTTGAGGAGAGCAGCGATGAGGATAGCAGTGACGGGGAGGAAGCTGGTGAGGAGGGCCAAGACGGATGGGAGGACGAAGATGAAGACGAGGAGATGGAGGGATGAGCATTGCACTGCCGGTCTTGCTGCCGGAGAAAAGAGCTGATGGTCAGTTGAAGGGTTGAAAATGAAATTTACACCCGTTTGGCTTTCTCGGAGAACGAAGTTGTAAGCGAAGCGGCTCAACATTCATGCTGGCCAACGTGAACTTCTGTTTCGAATAATAGTGTGGCGGTTGAAGCAGTGGCACCCATCACCAAGTCACTTGTAACGCTTCTCGTGCAAACAATGAGCAGGGATGGATTTTGGACGCGTCAAGGCTGCTGCAAGATCCGTTATGTAGAGCTGCCATTGAGGGTGTGGAGGCACAAGATATGGAACGTGCTATGCCAATATTTTCAAGACTGACAAGCATGCTGTTGTGTAAATCATGCAGTGATTCAAACAAATGTGTTTCTGGAGATGCTGAACCGTTGCTTGGTACCAAGATTGTACCCTACCTCTTGCCCTTGCAAGTGATCGTAAGCCCGGTAGAAGCTTCTGATTTGGAACGCGGCTATGCCGCTTGACATCGTGAGTAAATCTCCCTCCAGACGACCTGAGAGTGAAAAATAAAGATAAACAGCAGCTTTGGCCTTCTCAAGACCTGCTTGCGATGTGTCACAATTTAACCTCATGTGTCAGGGTAAACCATAACATTCTGCTGCTATAACTCTAGCATGACTGCAAGCAAAGTCAAGCAACTGTCCTCTCTTGAAAACGGAAGTTCCAAGGTTCTTGACCTGGGGAAGACATACCAAGAATTGAAGGACTATTGGCATTTTTACCCAGAGCAATGTTCGTGCAAAATCTGGAGAAGTGGGTTCAGCGTCGAGACACTTCCCAGTCCACTAGATGGCTGTCCCTAAGCCGTCGGATGCTCACGATCTACTACCCACAAGACGGACTCCTCACTAGCCAAGAATGCCGTGCAAGACAAAGTCTGTATTAGCTTTTGTCTTTGCGTCGCTGATTTCCAAGAGGGGATTCTTGGCTCGACATGAAACACGTGCCCAGAGGCTCGACCTGCGCACCTCGTGCCTCGAGCACGTTTCTGCCGCTTAGCCAAGCCGTCTGACGATTCTACCTTCTCCTTTCTGTGCTGAATAGTGCGAATGTCTTGGCTGTTGCAAAGTCGAAAAAAGTATCAACATATGTGCGAATACACGCATATCGAGCTGAGCTTACCTTCACAAGAAGTACGTGCTAAAGTCTGGGCTTCATGGGTACGAGCTTGGCAAGAGTCGCAGTGTATGTTTCGAGAAGACAAGCCAGTGGCATCGTATAGAGTGACTACTCAGGAGTATGATTTTACTTGCGCTGAAAGAGGGCCCTCGAAAACATTCTTAAGGATGGGAATAAGCCGTCGAGTGGTGTGATTTTTTTCTCCATCATCATCATCACCTACAATCGTCTCTAGACTTCGCAGTGCCGGGTCCTTTCCATTCTCTTTTCGAGCTTCCGTGAAGCATCTTTGATTTGTTTACTGAATCTGTCGCTGGTACGATAACGTCATTACTTTAATACTTCTCCTGCCGAACGAGCTAGCTGGGCATTCGTTCAACTCCTTTGCATCGCGCTGTACGATATCACTCTCGTGAGTCACTCGAGATGTATACTCAAAGACTCCTCTTCGCAGCCCTTGCTGCTCTCTCCGTTTCCGCTCTTCCACTCAACATAAATCTTGGAGCATACTCTCCAGCACTGGTAGTCGGTGATGGTGAAATATCATTCGGTGGAAGCCCTGAACGAGCATCCGAGGTGCTTCAAACTCTCTCCACCGGTGCTCAAAATGGCGCTGTACCAGCTGGCCAAGCTGCCCCGGCCGCTTCAGGCGGTGGTGAAGCAGCAACTCGACCAGGTGAGGCCACCCCGTCTGCGGCAGCAGCAACCCCAAGCAGCACGCCTAGCACCAAGCCTGAGGGCATCTCCTCGCCTCTGGTCTCTGCGGCGTCTGTAGACGACGGCGATGCCGTGCCAAACGTCAATGTTGCACCTGGGCTCTCCGGAGACGCCAATCAATTGCCTGCTGAATACATCTCCCATGCCATCGCGAGCAATAGATATCCTAACATGGCTAAAGCGAAACGATACGTCGTCGTCGAGGATGCGCCGGCTGTTGCAGAACCCGAGAAGATGGTGAGAAAGAGCAAGAGAGAGTCCACAGCGCTTGCAGAGAAGGTCAAGCGCGACATCGATGGCTTTCGAGCCGCCCTCCAGTACGCCCGCGACGCCCAGCTGACCCAGCCAAGAGTTGAGCTTGCATTTGGAATCACCCAGAATGCAGGAGTCAATGTGCCTGCCAACAGCGCCGCTAATGGTGTTTTGCCAAACGGCCAACCGAGACCTCCAGTCAAGCGAGAGGCTCTTCCAGAGCCAGAGGCGGAGGTGAGACGAGAAGCTACTCCGGAGCCTGAGACAGACGAGAAGCTGGGTATGACCTTGATTGCAATCAGCGAGATTTAAGCATAGGCTCATCAAAATGCTCCGCATTTGCTTTTTTGAGCTACGCGCTGCCTTTTAAGGGTACCTTTTAAAAAGGGCAAATGGTTCAAGCCAAGATTTGGCATTGTGGCGCGTACTCTGGGTTTACTTGTTGTATACACTACGTTGAACCATTGTTGCATAGACAGTCGAGAAGAACATTTGCAAAGATCTGGTTCTGGCTCATAGGCTGATCGGGAGGACAGTGGATTCATGCAGATTATGTGTAAAAAACGAATGGAAACAATTAAAATGCCGAATTCAACAGCTACCGAATTTTCTTCAGAGATTTTCGCGAGTTGAGCCCTCCAAACAACGTGCACTGATCATCCCTGGCATGTTTGCAGTAGTCATAGAAACCATGAAAATTCCAAATGACCGTGCTCTTTCGCTGCTTGAATCTAACTAGGTTGCTGACACGATCGTTGAGGAAATCGCAAAGGCATTCTTTGGAGGGTTTTCTGCTGCTTGTGGTAGGCTCTGCAAGCAATAACCTCTCCAAGCAGGTAGCTTAGCTTCTCTCCGCTGGTTTGGACTTGCAACTCTCGAAATCTGTCCATAACTAAACACTTACCACTGTTCATGCCTTAGGGATATAGGGGTGCGATCGAGTATCAAAGATGCTAGGCAAAGGGTGTGGTTTAGAATGATACGACGCAGTTAGCTGCTGTTAGCACCACTTCCATCTTCAGATTGGTGAGGAGAAAGTCGTTCTAATTGTCTGAATCATTTCTAAATTGCAAACACAGCAACGTTATACTTTGCATAGATTATTCTAGTAAGCCACATAAGGAACAATTTTTCCATGAGGTTCGAATGGGATGCTGCACATTGTTGTTAGATAGCTAGTTGTTGAAGTTTGTTCTCGGCGGCGATGTTACGCCGAAACGCTAGTCCTCATGCGTCACTAGTGCGTCTTGGGCCATCAAAAAATGTTGCGTTCAAGCTTCGCATGGAAGATTCCCAGAGCAGAACCTACATACAGACAAGATGCCTCAGAACGAGTACATCGAGAGACACCGGAAGTTACACGGTCGCCGTCTTGATCATGAAGAACGCACAAGGAAGCGACTGGCTCGTGAGGCCCACCAAACCTCGTACAAGGCTCAGAACCTGCGCGGTCTCCGCGCAAAGCAGTATGCGGAGACACGGCGGAAGGAGAAGATTCAGATGAAGAAGAAGATACGCGCCAAAGAAGAGAGGAATGTCAAGGGTGCCGGCGAGGAAAAAGAAAGCAAGGAAGCGCTGCCGCAGTATTTGCTTGACAGAACAAAGGGCAACGACGCCAAGGCGCTTAGCAGTCAGATCAAAGAAAAGAGAAAAGAGAAAGCCGCAAAGTTCAGTGTGCCATTGCCGAAGGTGCGTGGTATTAGCGAAGAGGAGGTCTTCAAAGTCGTCAAGACGGGCAAGAAGACAAGCAAGAAAGCCGTAAGTCGCTCCCAAGATTTGCCCTCGAGCCGGAAACTGACGCACGAATGCAGTGGAAACGCATGATCACGAAGCCGACGTTTGTGGGTCCAGACTTCACGCGCCGCCCAGTGAAGTATGAAAGATTCATTCGACCAACCGGTCTTCGTTACAAGAAGGCCAACGTCACGCACAAGGAGCTAGGCGTCACCGTCCAGCTCCCAATCCTCAGCGTCAAAAAGAACCCGTCAAATCCGCTCTACACCCAGCTTGGCGTGCTGACAAGAGGTACCATCATCGAAGTCAATGTCAGCGAGCTAGGCATGGTTACCGCTGGTGGTAAGGTTGTTTGGGGTCGCTGGGCGCAGATCACGAACAATCCAGAGAACGACGGTTGCGTGAACGCTGTTCTATTGGTGTGAGGCTAAGGAAGCCTGCCATAGTAATGGTTGGTCTAGATCGCGCTCACCAGGACGAACAGCTTGTCCACTCGCTTTTCATGAGGAATCTTGCTGTTGAGACTGAAATTAAGCGATGCTCAGCTCAAACAGCAGATTTTACAAATTTATTTGGGATCGTAAACCCAGATCACCTCTCTAGCTGAGTTTGGTTGATAGATCAGGCGAAGGATAGTCAATTCGGGTTGCGAAGGCATGTTCTCCTTGGTTTTAGGCCTTCAGCCGAAGACAGTTTATGGTGATATGTTGAGGCTACCGTAATCATGCGGTCGCAGGAGGGCCTACAACCCTGGCTCAGCAAGGCAAAGAGGGTGGGTTAGGCTTGGAATCGTGCAACGCATTCAATTGAAAATTTTTTGGGGACTTGGCCAGGCGTAAAAGGTACTACAAAAGCCCAGGAAGTGACAGACACAAGGGGTTATGAACTACCGGAATACGATGTTCTGGAAAGCAACAAAGAGGCGTCGCGGTATCCTACGAACAGGCAAACTTTAACGATAGCCCCAGAAGGGTTCGAAATCGGTCCTTCATGAAGTTTGAGAACAACGCGACTTTTCTATATCAGCGCATTTACAGCATATGCAATCTGTCGTGCTCATAATCTTCTTCGTAGCGTGTTACCGTATGTATCCAAAGTATCCCTTTGATGCACTGCATATCTCAGTGAGCGTATTTCCGCTGCTCAATGGCTAGTAATGCAGGACGTGACTTGTACAAGAAGGAAGCGGCAGACTTTGAAAGTGTAGCTCATGCGACGCACAGCCAGACCCCAGAGTTCCTGTTATTCTTGTCTCCTCGGCTTGCTAACATTAACAGATGATACAGTACATTATAAATCTCCCCTTAACGTGCTCGCCTCGCTATATCTCAGATTCTCACTACTACTGTCGCTTCCGGCAACAATGGGCAACTTCCCAGCGCCCACTGCAGCCCACAACGCCCTGGGTCCGAACTCAGCTTCCAGCTCGGCGTCGTCAATTGTACCGCCATACTCCTTTTCTAGCAGGTCTGCATTCTGACTGCTCATAGCTTGTAAATTGAACCACAGCCTGCTAAATTCACGTATCGCCAGGTCTTCCGGGGGATCGGGCAGCAGTAGTCGCTTGTCCGGTTCGTATGGTAGGATGTAACCGTCAGAGCCTTTTGAAGGTTTCCAATTACCCATTATCCGTGACGGTCGCGAGGATGGACGCATCGTGATCCCATCGCTATCACTTCGGCTTGCGTTCGATGCAATCGTCGATGCTCCGTCCGACGTTTTTTGGCGGTGATGTCGTGAGCGAACTTGACTCCATAATGCCGTCTCTTCTTTGCGAAGCTCTTCGTCTGAAGCGCCAAAGCTAAGATTATGTGCATGGCCTCCTATCGGTATAATGCTGCCTGTTGAATCCATGCTTCCACCCCGTGACGAAGCTACTGTGCTGTCACCGCTATTAGGCATTCTGGCGCGATCGGCAAGATGTCTTTGCAATGCTGTTGGCTTGCGTGCTCGTACGCGTGTTGAAGCTCCACCAGGTGGTCTGGATGTGCTCCTATCCCTATCAGAGCGGTCGGATTGATTCAGGCTCGAGCTGCGATTGTGAGTCGACGTGTCGATATCTGAGTTGTACATGCTAGTCGAATCATCCCTGCCAGGCTTGCCTTCTAAGAAATTTACCGTGGGCTCCGACTGTGATTTCAAGTGCAGCGAAGTTCGGCTCGCCTCTCGTGACAACTCGAGCTGCTCTTCTAAATCAAATGGGTCACCCTGTGTCATGTCTGTGACAGCAGAGTCGGTAGCAGAATGTGCAAACGACGGCCGACGACTTAGATCAGGGAGATTGATTTCAAGTGCATCATCAAGGTTGATCATGGAGGCACGCTCTGGCGACGAAGATCGATCTGATTTAGGGAATTCGCTGGCAACTGGCATTGTTGCAGCATGTCTGAGAGCTGGTCGCAAAGGCTCAAGGATTGCATCATGAGCCGTGAGCGACATATGGTGCTTCGATGTCATTTTGTTTGCCTCAGACTGTGCTTCTGCGAAGCTCCAGGCCATCGTGCCCCGCTTTGCAGCATGATCGGTTGGCTTTAGGCTAGATTTGCGTGCCGTCTCATGGATGACTGCTGGGGGCGTGATCACATCCGATGTATCTGGTATGTCTCCGTTCGCTTCTTGTTGCGCAGCCGCAAAGCTCCAAGCCATAGTTGGCGGTCTCGGCTTCTTGTCATCATTTGGTGGTTGACTCGCAAATCCAGATGTCCAATCCTGCGTCGTTCGACGTGCCGTCTGGAATGGCGCTCCCTCACTGCTGGTATCGCTGTCAATACGCTTTCTATTCGGTCGCAAAGTGGGAGGATCCAGCAAAGATAAGTTCGGAAGGTTGAAGTCCGGCATGCCAATGTCATCTAGGTTGATCATCGTCTCTCGATTTCCAGTTGACATGTCTTGATAATCACGAAGAGGCAGATCTGATCCTCGTCGCTCGCCATACGCGTAGGGAGTGGAATTTTGATCAAAAAGTCGATTTAGTGCAGCTTCGCCTCTTTTGCTTCTCTGCTCTTCTAGAAAGTTGAAAGCTCGGCCTGCACCTCCGCCGCTACCTGCGTTGTTGATATCGAAGTTCTCATCAAATTGCATAGATATTCTGCGGTCAAAGTCTGCCGTTGTACTGAAGTTCCACTCCTCTTCTGTAGCATACGAGTCTAGCTGTTCTGGACCTTGAGCTCCCAAGTTTGGATCAAATAATGAGCTACGCTGACCGCCTTCCTGTTCCCATATCGCAAAATTCTCAATTAGTTTGGTGATACTACTAGTTGGATATTGTTCCTCAGTGTTAAAAATATAAGGGTGAGTCATGATTTGAGATGCATTCGGCCTTTGCTCCGGTTTCTGCTCAAGACAAAACGCGGTAAAGTCACATAACGCTTCCGGATATTTCGTTGGATCTAATCTAGGGGCTCGTATATTCAGTGTAATTCCAAGTTTGTGCGGTGGCACATTAGAGTTTGGAGGTCGTCCAGTCGCCATTTCGAAGACCATGCAGCCATAAGCCCAACAGTCGATCTCAGCACCATAGCTCACGCCAGGAAACTCTGATCCAAGATGCTCCACAATCTCTGGTGCCATCCAGTGGGGGGTGCCTATGATGGTTGTACGTTTCGAGACCTGATTTTCGAGCACACCTGAAATGCCAAAGTCGCAGAGTTGGATCCGGCCATCTTCCGTCACAAGAATGTTGGCGCACTTGATGTCGCGATGTACGATGCCAGCATCGTGAACGTACTTCAAGGCAATAGCGACTTCCCTGGCAATGGGGATGACAAAATTTTCGGCTAACCCAGGTGGATTGCACGCTTTCATCAGGGTCGTGAGACTACCACCGGGGCAGTACTCACTGACGATCCATAGTTGCGTATCAACGCTAAAAGCATCGAAAATCTGGTTGACATTTCGAGCTTTGTTGTCTTTCAGGGTCTTTAGAATACTAGTTTCGCGTATGAAGTCCTTGATAGTCTCATCTTTGCCCTCTAGACCTGCGCGATAATCCTGCTGATCCACCTCGATAATCTTAACCGCGCATTCCTGCTGCGTCTCGCGGTTTTTGCTGGGTTTGAGGTCAGCATGCAGCGTACAGAGAGGAAAACAGGTGACTCCCACCTTTTGTAAACGCGTCCATAGGCGCCTTTCCCGATCAATTCGAGGAATTCATACGGCGGCACGCTCAGCCCCTTCTTGTTGAGCCGCTCCTCGACGATCGTCTGCATCTTCCGAGCATCCTGAGCCTGCCGATGCCTCGTCCCTGCGAGGCGCGGGTTGAGCCTGTCGAGGTCCATGATCGAATTCTCAACGGAAAGAAATTGCCATGCTATCTGTACAGTGAGATGTCCTCGAAGATGCACACATGTTGCTTTCTGTTTCAGGACTAGCATCGTGAACAGGGATGACGAGTGAAACGCCTTAGAACTTCTTGGCGGCCTCGCGCCCTGTCGTGTTACAGCCTGAGGCATACACATGACGTGAAGCAACAGGGATGGCTACTTGATTTGGATAAAGTGGCGAACGCTGTAGTTATATGCACAATAAATTCATGCCCGGATTTCTGCAGAGCCGTCTCGATCCCATAGTCATTCGTGCACTTTCCCAAATTTCAGAACATGGCTTCGAACGACAACTGGATCTCGAGAAAGGTACAAGGTTGGGTAGCTGGAGCAGGAAACGCGGCTGGCGGCGCTGTGAATGCAGTCGGCAACGGCGTATCAGGCACAGGAAGAGGCATCGGCAACAGCGTTACAGGAACTACAAGAGGATGGGCGGATAGTGTCCGAAGGTGGGGCTCCAGCTTTTTTTGTGCTTTTTTAATTTTTGATCCATACCTTTGCTGTCGTGTCCAAACTATCCAAGCAGTTCAACACGCTTGTCACCAACTAACAAGGTTTGTTTAGTTACGGCAATGCTATAAAAGACGCCACAGGCGCGAGTGGTCCCCGGGCAGCGACTGGTTCCAATCCACTTGGCTTGTCGGGAACGAAAGGGATTTGGTCTCCATCCGCGCCAGTTAGGACCACGCCTCAACGAACAGTTGGAAGAGGAACCGCAAAAGATCCCTTGGGCTTGAACTCAAGATAGGGCGCATTAGCATTGGAAGAGATGTATGTGAGGCAACCGATGGTGTTGCTGTGGGAACGACTCCTGAGCTTCGATGCTCATCAGAGAGAACTAATGCCTCAATTTGGAGTCCTTATCCGGCAGCAGACTGTTAGTCGCTCAGGCTCTAAGTGAGAAGAGTATGGTTGAATGATTTCGCACGCTAGCCCATGCAATCCATCTTTCAGTCATAGTTTTGTAAGCACAACCAATACAAGACGTAACGAGGTTATGAAAGAATCACACGCATGCATGTTATGCTGTCTGCAGATTTGTGAAATGAGACCAGATATACATCCATAGCGTGCTCTCCGTGCTCCACAACTGGCATATGCAAGACTATGCCGATGCTCAAGCGTCTTTATGGCCGTACTATTATCCTTCTAGACGGACTGCTGCCTGGGCATGTTGTTAACCGGGTCGGACCCGCATGAACTACTTGCCTGGAGGGTCATGCGGCGAGATGTATTGTATTATTGTCAAGAGCAGATGAAAGTTCGAGGAATTCAACTCCCCTGTGAGCTGGAATGCGTCTCATCAGGGTGTTTGTTGAAGCGGAAAGCTTTACAAACTGCATAGCGAAAAAGGGTTCGAATCCCATGTTAGGATAGTCGGCTAAACTTCGGAACTCGCGTCGTGCACGGATACGTGCCTCTTGCCTTCACCACACGACACCGCCCCACACTGCAACTTTTTTTTGCCAAATCTTTCTACTTTAACCCCGATGCCCCCACTGTCTTCATTTCTAGACCGATTTCAAACATAGATATGTTCGTCACACTGTAGACCGATAAGATGTCCGTCGCTCCCGTGATGACGCCGGACGTTAAGCCCGTCCTGAAACGCTCACTGAGCGATCTTGAGGCAACCTCGACGTCTCCCTTGGCTAGCCAGCGGGCTGCTAAACGACCAAAGAAGGTGGACTTCAAATCTGAGAACACGGTGTTCACGCTAAAAAATTGGGATGACAATAAGACATTGTCACTCGTGAGGGAGGAGGTCAGGCGGGCGCTAGACAAACACTCAATGGGCGAGGACGCGCTGTACGACGGCCTACGCGAGATCTTGACCACCAAGCCAGATGCAGCGGAGGCACCTTCTTCATCATTGCTCAAGCGGTATATGATTGCCATTACCGGGTTTTGCGGGGTAATTGGCAGAAGAGGCTCTGCTTTAGTCCAGGCAATCACGCAGATGAAGTGGCTGGGCAGAGACGAAGAATTTGTGAAGCTGTACCAGCGGCTTCTGGCCAACTTGATTACAACGTACGGTGGTTACGCGCATGAGATTCTCGAATCCCTCGTGGACAAGTTCATGACACTTCAGCCACGCCACGGAAAGCTTCCGAAAGAGGAGAGGGTTACATACTCGGACATGCTTCAGCGGATACACGACACGATACAGCACATACTTCAAAAAGTGCCTTCCGTAATCAACGAATTGCAGGCTGTGCTCAACCAGAGCTTTCCGCACTCCGCTGACACACTAGAGGAACATATGAACTATGTCAAGAACATCCTCCGCGTAGCATCATACGCCCCGTTCATCAAAGCAGATATCGTTGCGTTGATCTTCGACAAGCTCACTGTATTGGATACCCAAATGCAAGACAACATTGAAGATTTTGAGGACGAGCTGGAAGAGCATCTAGGGCAGAATCTGGCAGAGGAGATCGCAAAGCTGATGAACAAAGACAAGGATTTAGAAGATGACGATGAAGATGACCTAGACAGCGATGACGAGGAGTCAGTAGTGGATGAATTCGATGATCCAAATCAAAAACGGCTTCACGAGATCAAACAACAGATTGCAAAGCTGGATCTGATCATGGAACTCATGTTCAACCACTTTCAGCCATCATTCGACTTTTCAAAGGCGGATATCCAAGAACAGAAGGCCGTTTTGGACCAGATGTTTGGCATGTTTTCCCGTATGATTCTTCCCACGAATAAATCACGCTTTGCTCAATTTTTGCTCTTCCATTACGCACAAACCACGGAGGAACTGAGCGAGCGGTTTGTTCAATCCCTCATAGGCGTTCTTACCGACCGGGATGCCAACAAGATGATCCGTCGCTCGGCAGCGGCGTATCTGGCCAGCTTCATTGCTCGTGGAGCCCGCCTCTCCCGCGACACTATCGAGCATACATTTTACACCCTCAGCAAAGAAATGAATCGACTGCGTGAGCTTCACGAAAAAAATGATAACTGCCGTCCTGATGTCGATCGATTTGGACCATACTACACTATCTTCCAATGCGTCATGTACGTCTTCTGCTTCCGTTGGCGCGATCTCACCGCCAATGAATTCGACGAAGATGAATTCGACGTCAACAACCTTACTTGGTCACGTGGTGTCGTCGACACCTTTCGTGAAAATATCAAGTCGAGACTCAACCCCCTCAAAGTTTGCGCACAGCCCATCGTCAACCAATTCGCTATAGTCGTTCGTCAGCTCCAGATGATGTTCCTCGAATCAAAGCTTGAGCAGAACAAGCGCATCCGGCTCACACGAGCCAATTATTCCGGCGGCGCATTTAGCATCATTGCCGAGAACCAGCGCTCTTCAACGGCAAAGATGGGAGATGCACAGTATCAGCTTGACGCTTATTTCCCGTTTGACCCATACAACCTGCCGTTAAGCAAGCGGTGGATCGAGGGTGAGTACAATATCTGGAAACCCGTGCCCGGAACGGAGTTCGATGAAGCGGAAGAAAGTGACTCGGAGGTCGAGGACGATGGCGTGGAGGATGTTGCAAGGGCTTACGATGAACGGACAGAGACGGAGTCAAACACAAGTCGTTGAGTGTTCAGGAAAATGCGGTCTATTTTGCTTTCGAGTAGCTCTCGAAGGAGTATACGTCGCGGCGTTTTTAGCATCTATGATACCCCCCTAGGAAGCGCTACATGCCCTGCGGTTTTTTTTAAGCATGACGCATCGCGTGGAGGGCAGTATGGGTTCTGATAGAGCTAAGAGAACGGGAAGTTTTTCTGGACTGGGAAAACAGGCACGTGTTCGGCGTTATTTTTTTTCATGACATATGCGGCACCATTTAGGATGGGGAATTGCAACAGCTCATTGATCAAAAGAATCGTCAATTCTAGATGTCTATCGCGAATGAAGAAAACGAACTGAGATGTCAGACAATTTTCTCCTCCCTGTTGTTGAGCATAGCCTGGATCGTGCCATTGCTCCCACTTCTGTTTGTATCCTCACAGCCTATGTCGGACCCATGTGGGGCTGCGCCATTCAAGCTTCTTCAGCCATTGGACCTGTAAGAAGACCGTTGGTGCCCTAACACCTTTTTCACACTCTGCTTCTCGGCTTCTCTGTAAAAGACCAGCACCGGCGACAGCGACGGATCAAGAACGATGCTCATCGAAGAGTCTCACGTCGACGTGCCCACCAAGGCGGGTGGGAACATGAGTAAGAGAGTTACCTACCTTCTTAGTCTTCCTTTTCCCGCGCCCTCGCCAGGTTCACCGCAGGGAAACGCCCTGGGCTGATCGACCGCGCAGGAATCTTCATCTTCCACCCGAAGATCGACGGCTATCCGAAGGCCAAGTTTCCGGGCGTGGTTGTGTTCAGCGAGATCTACCAAGGTAGGCTTCCTTCCCGGTCTTCTCTTGAAGCATCTCTGTTTGTAGACGGTGCGGGAAGTGGATCGTTGTGTGCACATGGATTAGATATGTTTTGTATGACTACGGAGTCCTGACTACGGTGCTGTGCAACCGAAGCACCACACGTCTTGCCTTTTTTTGTATTTCTTCTTCTCTTTCTCTCCTTTTCCTTTAATTTTTAACCATCTCTCCCTTCCGTGCAAAGAATCGTCACCGTTCTGAAACGGCAAGCACAGTCACCGGCCCGGTCGCACGCTTCGCGCGCCAGATCGCGTCTCACGGGTACATATGCGCCGCTCCAAGCAGCTACCACGAGTTCACGGGCCCGGAACCGCTGGCGTACGACGTTCCCGGCACGGACCAAGGCAACGCGTGGAAGATCGAGAAGAAGCTCGAGGCTTACGACGAGGACGCGACCCTGTCCGTCGACCACCTGCTCTCCATGCCGACGTGCACCGGCGCCATTGGCGCCACGGGCATGTGTCTCGGCGGCCACCTGGCGTACCGGTGCGCGCTGGACGCCCGCGTCAAGGGCGCGGTCTGCTACTTCGCGACGGACATCCACTCGCACAGCCTGGGGCTCGGAAAGAACGACGACTCCCTGCGGCGCGCGGGCGACATCAAGGGCGAGCTCGTCATGATCTTCGGCAAGAAGGACACGCACGTCCCGCCGGCGGGACGGGATCTGATCCGCAAGACGCTGAACGACGCCGGCGTCTGCTTCACCTGGTACGAGGTTGCGCACGCCCAGCATGCCTTCATCCGGGACGAGCTGAGCAAGGGGAGGTACGACCCGGCCATTGCGGGCATCTGCTTCCAGATGCTGCTTGAGCTGTTTGGGCGTGTCTTGCGATCTGATCTGGGGCCAAGTTCCGTTGCTGGAGAGCCCGAGCACGTTTGCTGACCGACGGAGCCTCGTGGGTCCGCAGCTGTAGGAGCGATGGAGCATGCATCTCTCCCTGCACTTTGGTGCGAGAGCCAGTATGTTCATTTGTCTGCTGCCGAGGAATGAACGTGAGATGGGGGAAGTGATTGAACCAAGGGGCGAACGCTCAAAGATGACGCCGAGAGCTCATGGAAGATCATACATCAGCGAAAAAAAAAGATATGAGAAAGAACGGAAAGGATAATGCGTAGCATGTTGTTTCAAGAACGTGCAAAAGAGTTCCTGGTAGCACCGTGGGATGGTGCCACAAATTGAGGACGCCACGTGAGCACTTTGGCGAAGCAGTAGTATAAGAAATTCATATATCGATTTCAAAAACGCCTCTGAATGCGTTATCACGCCTGCCCAGCTCTGATTTGTGGCTGTGACCGGTGAACTACTACAATCTCTTGTAACAAAGAAAACCGAAGAACAAAGTTCGTTTAAATAGGTCACACCATTAGAGAAGAAATTAGCAGACCCTTCCAAGGGAGTTCGATCACGTCCCTTTCATAACGACGTAGTCCATCTGATAGAGCGGACATGTTAAAAAAAACACCACCCAATGCTCGTAGTATATCCGACTTGTAGAAACCCGAGAATTGAGCAAAGAAAGGACAAAAATAATCCAGCAGTATCGCGAAGTGTGGTTTTTGGCCCAACAAAAGCCATTGGAATCAACAGATGAGCGTGTAATCCTTCGAGAAAAGCCAACGAACCAAGGGGAGGACAATTTAAGTCTTCACTCGCTTCTCCGGCGTATTATTGGACGCGTCGTCCAATTTCCGCTTCCGCTCGTCTTCTTCGCTAAGCTCCGTTCCTCTGGACGCGACGGGCGTCGGGAATGTTAGCGGCGAAGGAAGCATGTTATTATCGCGACTGTTAAACCAGTCCGCGTAGAAACTACTCGGCGAAGGAAGAAGCTGATCCGAAACAAACCTGCTAGGCAGCGCCGAGATGGGCGTCTCGATATCGGACCTGCTAAATCCATTTACAGCACCAGGTGGCGCCGGTCTGGCAAAGGGGTTCGGTGGTCCTGAGGCTCCCGCGGAGAGCAGGGCGCTAGCTGAGGGTGAGGGAGGCGGGAGGACGACGCCAGGCCGGCCATCTATGGGCGTTCGGGTCGCAGCAGCGGTGGCCTGAGGTGACGTAGCTGCGGTGGTCTTCTCGTCCTCTTCATCTTCGTTTGGAATTTGGACGGTCAATCTGGGCCCACGGGGCTTCGACTGCAAGCTATTCGTTCGCGAAGGTGGGTGAGGAGCGTGGATACTAGGGATGATAGGTGTTGACGCCGTCCGCTGTGGCTGAGATTGCGGTTGCGGCTGCGGCTGCGACGTGTTCAGCTGCGGTGGAGGCGCTATGCCGTTGGATCCGTTCCGATTGATCGTTGCGACATCGATGGATTGCGATCTCTGTTCCTCTATTTTGACCGGCGGGTCTGATCGAGGTGGATCGTCTCGCGAGCTGTCCCAGTGCTGCGCGAGCAGAGATCTGCTGTCATCGATGGGCGTAAAGATGCTGTGCGTCTTTGCTGCTGCAGGGAGTGGCTTGGGCTGTGGAAGAGGGGGGCTACTGAATTGGCTTTGAGGCGGCTGCGGTGATGGCTGCGGTTGTGGCGTCGGCCGTTGTTCTTGGGTTTGTTGTGGGGGCGGCGGAGGAGGATGCTGCTGGGGAAATTGAGGCGGCACTGATCGACGCTGTTGTTCCTGTGCATAGATCTGCTGAATCTGAGGGTGCTGTGCTTGGGGATGTTGCGACGGATGCGGCTGGGGATGCTGATGAGCAGGTTGCGGGGCAAATTGCGGTGGAAACTGCGGTGGCATGGCCTGACCAGGCTGCGGGCGCTGCTGCATGCCTGCAGCCGCTTGCGGGTTATATATGGGTGGGTTTGGCATGTATGCAAAATTAGGTTGTGGTGGAGACTGCGAAACTTGCATGTGTCCTGGGTGCTGTGGAGGCATCAAGTGTTGTTGGCTTGGCTGGCGAATATGCGCCCGCGAGCCTGGACGCGAGATATTGTGAGGAGGCTGAGGCGACGGTCCGCGGTGTGGAAAGGCGCCATTTGGCATCGGAGGCGAGGCAGAACCCATGTGGTTGAATTGTGGTTGTCCGTGAAGGTGATGTGCCATGGTTGGGTGGGGCGGTGATCTCGACTCCCGAGGCAGCTCTTCAGCGTCGTCGTCCTCATCGTCGCTGCCTCCATCCTTCTTGTCTCTGAAGTCCTCTGGGCCCTTGTGTTCGTGTGCGCCGCCGTACTAGAAAAACGCGAGTGTTAGCATGGATAATCGCTCCCAGCACAGTTTGAAACAGGTAGCCAGAAGGGGCTGCGAGACGCTGGTCTTTTCAGAGCAGAGGTTGATAGACGTACATATTGATACCTGCCGATCGCTTCATTGATATCACCGGACGAGAACTCGTACAGCTTCTTGTTGTGGCCGAAGATGATGACGGCGACATCGACTTGGCAAAGGACAGACAGCTCGTAAGCCTTCTTGAACAAGCCGCCCTTTCGCTTCAAGAAGGTCCTGCGGGGAATGTCAGCATGTATCAGGCACAACGAGAGCGACTACTGGAGCAGCGGAGCTGAGCAGAGCTTGTTAGAAGCACCTACACCGAGCGGTTGCGATCGTCCTTGATGGCCTTGATCTCAATCTTTCTGCGACCCATGACTGCAGCAGTGGTGTAGACACGCGGCCAGCTAGTTCATACGCGTGAATGGGGACCGGCAGAGGCCTGACCCGACACGAAGAGCTCGTGTATCGATGGAGGCACCGCGTGGCTCGATGGCGGTGCTGGTGACGGCGCGAGGGTGAGAAATTGTCGTCTGATGTTTCAGCGCACGTTAGGGGAACGGTGAGCAGGAGCGCCTGGAGGCAGAGCGGCGGGTATATAGCAAGCAATGGGCAGTGTTAGACAATGGGTGCGCAACGATGCGATGGCACTGTCGCGATACCGAGACTTTCGCAAACGAAAAATCACGACTAAGGATGGATCAAGTGGTGGTGGTTGCTATTAATATCTCATGCGAGATGGGAACGTTTGGGAGAGATGGGCGAACGGGGCGGGAGCATGAGCCACGCAGGAGGACCCTGGCCTAAATACTGAGGCAGCAGAGAGCAGGACCCAGCTTGATGAGGACCGCCGGTCGAGGGGGGTTAGGGCAGGGGCTTGGGGGGGTGCCCCCGTGTGTTGGGGGGGGCTTCGGGGGAGTTTTGGGGGGGAGAGCGCACTAGACTCTGGCACGCGCAACAGGCGCTCTGCTCGTGGTGCCACCACGCCCAGCACTCCGCACGCTCTTTCGCTGGTTTCTCGGGCTCCCTCCACTGCTTCCTGCTCTGGCTCCTTGTGCATATGCAGCTCATTTTGCTGTCCTAGTCGTCTATTTTGAGTGTATTATCCTGCATTATCGTTCAACTTGGAATAGCCTCTCCCTAATCCGGACGCCATCTGCTCTGCTCCCTCTGTTGTTCCCTGTCCGCTGCGAGGCTTTGGCTCAAGAGGGCGATGCTCATCCTTCCCGTCGTTCGTTCCCGCTGTGCGCCCGACTCTGGAGAATCCAACCGTCTGCTGCGCAGGCCAAAGCGTCGATGTGGGCGGAGGTATCTCCGCACTGCGTCCTTCTCAGCAGCCCGCATCGTCCCGAAAGTTCCTCTGGCCGAGCTACAAGGGAGAGAGGCCCGCGCGTGCCATGAGTTGACTACTTTCTCGAAGCAGTGCTTGTTTAGGAAATAGATCGGCGCCGACGTGAACTGAACCGTGTGTTGTTGACATTCGACGCTTCGCGCGTACTGGCGCTAAGACGCCAGCACAAGATCCTCACTACTACCTCTCGCTTGCAAAACTCTTCGAATCGATCCATGACTGCCTTGCATTTACGCCCTTTTCCATTGCCCGCACCCTCGTTGAGCTGTTCCACCAGAGCCTTTCTGTACCTTGGGCTGTGCCGCACTTTTCTTGGCCCCCTTTCACCGTTATACCCATCCAACGGCGAGGGAGAGAGAGCTCTCTGCGGGCGCCAGATCGAAAGACAAGCCAGTAACACGAAGGAATGAGATGATCCTAGTACAGGTGTCTCGATCGCTGGCACAGCTTGAGGCTCTTGTGTGGTCGCGTTGTGCTTATGGCGTCGCATGGTTTCTATTTTTAGATCTAAAAATAGCCCGTCACGTCGCTCCCCTTTCAGTCTCGGCTGGCCTGCACGGCCACACCATAACTTATCCTACTCATCGCTGCTCTCTTATTCGATGCGGATGTCTTTTCACACTTACCCGACGCTGTTTCCCGTGCTCACATTGGTCCTGTCAACATGCACAAGCGTCGGCGCTTGGTTTTCTTGCCAATCCGCCGACACCAAGAGGCACCGCCAGGCCATCGTAAGTGGACAATGGCAGTGAAATGGCACAAGAGCATTTCAGTCTCAAGCCGCTGAAAATGCATCACATTCAAGGAGGCGAGAAGCTCCTCTGTCGTGGGCGCTTCGATGGCTAGCCATCCTTTTCTCGTCTGTCAAGCTGAGGGGTAGAAGGACGCTAAAGCATGGACCGATCGCCATCAAATCTCCCCTGTACGCTTTTCCTCTACGTGTACGACGACTGAACGGGAGTGGATGAGGATTTTCGCTCCAACGCTCGCTTGCTCTCGTGTCCTATCCTCCTCAGTGCGATTGCATCCCGCGCCTGACGGTGAAGGCTCGCATTTTCACGTCAAGCATTCTAGAGACTTAACGTAGCTAATCGAGAGACACGTCCAAATGCAGCATCGAGTTTTCCTTTTTGTCTTGGACACGCCAAGGGCCAAGTGGATCTCACGGCTGACTTTTTCTTGATTCGTCACCGCCAGCTTAACTTATCTCAGACGTCAGGAGTTCCGAGCTAGACTTCACTGGTGCTTCTCTACCCCTCTACACATCCTCAACTGTCCCAAGGGGCCATTCCATCCAAACAAGCCCAACGTGATTTGCAGTCAAATAGAATTCCTTCCATCATTCATTTACACGTCGCTCTCACTGTCTTCCAGCGTCGTGGGCAAGATCACTTTCTCCACCGCTTCCCTCGCGTCGGCCCCAGGCCCTCTTTTCACCAGAATGACGTCGTTTGACAGTCTCCCCGTAGAACTCATCGAGGAGATATTTGTCCGACTGTCCTATACAGAGCTTGCTTCCGTCCGAAACGTCTGTCATTTGTTCCGCACGCTGTGCGACTCCACGGCTATTCCGCTGGAGCGCAGGCGCCTCCTCGAGCTGCGGCGTGTCACGCGATCTGAGCCCTATGCAGCCCTCGTGCGCAACAGACTAGAGCCCTTCTTTGTCAACTTCGATCCGTCAGAGTATCTGGCGCGCATCGGGGGTGATGCGCCGCGTGAGTTCGCCGCCTGGGTGCTGGAAACGCCTCGCAACGATGTGATCGGCTGGCATTGGCCTGGCTTGCAAGGGGAGCACAGTCGAGATCGCTACCAGGAGCTGGGTCTGGACTTCATTGACGCGATGGTGTTCTCGCGCCATCTCAAGCCGGGCTACACGCTCTTGCCGTCTGCCAACGTGATGGAGGTCGAGGACCCAGACTATTCGAAGTTCAACGAAACAGACTTTCACTTCTACCCGGGCTCGTGGCAGTGCCAGCGCTCGATGCGCGAGAACAAGGTGCGCGCTCTTCAAGTTTGGGCTGACATGTCCGGCTTCTCACCCAAGATCACGCTTCTCATCATGAGCGGAAGCGAGCGGTGGGATGGTTGTGTGTGGGAGACGGAAAGCCTTGCTCCTTTCCGCCATTCGCCGGAGTCCATCACAGCGACGACGAGCGTTCAGCTGATATGGCGGAAGCCATTGGGGACGTGGACAGACTATCTCAAGGCAGAGTGCAAGACAATGCAGGAACGCTATCAGTCCCTGGCCCAGCTCAAAGTGTATCGCACAGGTCGGAGTGGGCACATCTACGTCAGTCCTACCGAATCGTGACGAAGGTAATTTCAATGATTGTGCTATCTTCTAATCTTGATTGGGTTTGTGTGACTTTACTCTAATTTGCTCAATGTAGGAGGGGGGAATCAAGACGGTCGAGATGAGTGAGGGAAGCGAGGGGGGCGACATGAGTGACTGACTATCCCTTTGTCCCGTTTCTTCTAGCTTCGTTGACATAGCCGTAGACGGCTATTCAACCTGTGAAGTAGACCACGGAAATAGACACACCTTATTTCATTCTCACTGGTTCAAATACCCCGCCACCTGGTGTATCAAAGGGACACCATTGCTCTAGAACGACGGGCTCAATTCCATGTCGACACGCTTGTTCACATTGAGTTAATTAGCCCGAGCAAACGTAACGCCATGTCAAGATCCGCGCCACCAACGTGCTTGAAGTCAGCTTGGATGTGCGGTGAACCCGGCGCCAACTCGTCGCCCGCATTGGTACTTCAGGATACGGCCAATGACAAGGGGTTCCGGAGAATCGCCTAAACGACTCGATATTTCCGCCTTTTATTATCTCAAATTCGTGCCACAGCAAGAGAGGAGTCGTAAAGTTTGTCAGGCTTCGAGAGAAGGTTTCTTGAGCGCAAGAACCTCCATCGCTTGATGTCGCAAACATCCAAAACTAGCGATGTCTTCAAAAGACGATGCTCAAAGCATTTTATTTTTTTTCCTGTCCCCTCACTTCGACATTCGTTTTCCGATTCTGTCGGATAGGGCCCCTCAAGAAAATTTAAGCTCAACCAAGATCTTGATGTTCGTCAGGGAAAAAAACCTCGGCTCGCCAAGGTTCCCCCGCACGAAAGTCCACTTCCCCAGAAAGCGGGAAGGACCAAGTCCCAAAATCTAGACTCTATGCACGCGCGGAGGAAAAGCTGCCACTACAACTTAGGCTGATTTCAGACAAGCGGATCACTAAAACCCGTCCATTTCGACATCGACGTCGAGACATCTCGCTCGAGTCAAGCCTATTCAGGATGGTTCTCCGTGTCGATGGTGCGGGAGGCACAGCGACGATCAAGCTTCGCGTGGCGAATCCGTGTGGTTGAACTGTCCGCTTGTGCGTGTCATCGAGAGCCGTCAGCGATCCGTTGATCTTGGCCCAAGTTGGAATCCACCGGGAACCCACCGGAAATCCGCCTTCCTGGGTATAGCGAGCTGGGGTAATATCGCGTTGGACGCCATACTGCGGTGGTTTGTGGAGGCACACGAACGAATTGTGGGGAAGAGATGAGGGTGTATCCATCCAGCTTCCTTACCGTCGCGATGGTGTGCGTTTGTGGAGTATCTGGTGGCCGGTATTGGGTCGACGTCGCAGGGGACGGTCTACAAATAGTTCCCTTCGTCTGATCTCCTCGCCTCCTTCCTTTTCGCCAAAGTCCCGTTCCATTTCCTCAGCTCTTCCTTACCATCTCTTGTCGGCAAATATGGCTACTCCAACGCCAGCCGCGCACCAGCAGGACATCAACGAGAAGCCTCGAGAGGATGTCATTCATCTCGAGCAACTTGCCTCGGAAAATTCAAGCAGAGATGCGGAGTCGCAACTTTCCACTGGCGATGAGCCTATGACATTTACGAAAGCTATGGCTTTAGTCGCCATGGCTTTCCTATGGTCAGTACTGCTAAGTAGCCGTCAATGTTCCTCATTTGACAGGTGTGGTATAGGACTGGCTCCCAAATCCCTCTATATCTCTACGGTGGCGTGCCCCCTTACAGTGAGTGAATCTGCCTGCAATTATAGATTTCTTAACGCTAACAAAGCAATAAGTTTACGGTGATTTGGGCGGTCTCGATCGATGGACATGGTTCGTTCTTGCAAACTTGTTTGCTTTAGGAGCAACTTGTCCATTCGTGGGCTCGCTATCCGATCTGTTCGGCAGACGGTGGGTTGCCATTGGTGGAGCGACACTGCTAGTCATTGGCAACATTATCACCTCTACGTCCCACAATATGAACACCTTCATTGGCGGCATGGCTATTGCCGGCATTGGAGCAGGTATCAATGAGCTCACTTCGCTTGCTGTGACATCAGAGCTTGCACCAACCAAGAAGCGTGGCCTTTATGTGTCCATTTTGGTCTTCACCATCATTCCATTCTGCCCATCTGTGCTTTGGGGTCAACTGATCGCATACTACGGCAGCTGGCGATGGATCGGACTCATCTGTGGCGTGTGGGCATTTATCGGCCTTGTCATGACGGCGATTTTCTACCACCCTCCACCTCGAGATATGACCGTAGGCATGACCCGGCGCGAGGTCCTAGCTCGTATCGATTATGTCGGTGGTTTCCTTAGCATTGGCGGTTTCCTTATGTTCAGTAAGTTTCCGACCATGCATCCGACAACGACTCGGTTGAGGCTAATTTCTCTATCCAGTGATGGCTCTCCAATGGGGAGGGTACCAGTACAAGTGGGGATCCGCGCACGTTATCGCCACGCTTGTCATTGGTGTTGTGATGATCGCTGCCTTCTGCGTATATGAGAAGTTTTTTGCAAAGTACCCGATGTTCCCTGGCGCGATTGCTAAGGAACCACGCATATTGCTTCTCACGCTTGTCATAACTTTCATCTCCGGCAGCAACTTCTTCTCCGTGCTGATGTTCTGGCCTACTCAGAGCTACAACGTTTACGGCCATGATCCGTGGGAGGTCGGCAAGCGTAATTTGTGCCTTGGTTTCCCCATATTGGCAGGTGCTTGCATCGGTCTTGCTCTTCTATCGTTTACCAAAGGTCGTATCCGAGAGCTGATGTTAGTATCTTGCTGCGTCATGACGGCTGGTGGCGGCGCGTTTGCTGCTTTGAACCGGGACAATCTTTGGCTCAGCTATATTCTCCTTATCATCTCCGGCCTTGGAATTGGCGGCATCGTCGTTCCGGCAAGTATCATATCCACGATCATTTGCCCCGACGAGTATGTATCGATTCTGCATAAGCGGACCACAAGCTAACAAAAAGTCAGACTCATTGCTACTGTCGCAGCGTTGACACTCTCCATTCGCGTGCTCGGTGGCGCCATCGGTTACGCGATCTACTATAACGTCTTTGTCCAGAAATTCACTGTCAATGCAGTCAAGTACCTCGGCGCAGCTTGCTATGAGCTTGGAATTACCAAACCAGAGGAGATTGCAACTGTGATTGGCATTACGGGCACGGGCCTGCTGCCGACTCTTAAGGAACTGCCCCAGGTGAACAGCACCGAGGCGTATGACAAGCTCGTGTATGCCGGTCAGATTGCATATGCCAAAAGCTATCCATACGTCTACTACGTATCATTGGCATTTGGAGGTGTTAGCATTATCTGTGCACTCTTCCTCGGTGACATCAAGAAGTACATGACCGATCATATTGCGGTGCACATGGACAAGGGAACCCACAGACACGAAGAAGACAAACATTGAGCCTTGGGTAGAGTTGTTCGCTGGGATGAGATGAATGATTTAAGGTCTGCTGTATGGTACAACCAAGCCAATGAACTCACATGAAAGCCAAAACGTCGAGAGTGATTGTAGCAAAATTATGAGAAAGTGATCCACGCAACCGACGCTCCCTTACTACTTAATACTTGCTTGATGGAGCCGAGGCTCTCCACAGCTTGTTCAAGCTGAGTAATAACCCCGTGTTCTATTCTCCACATTTCGAACGTGTTCTCTTATCTCCCCGGAGTGATGGTTAGAAGCCACGGATGAGCGCCCGCCCCTCTCCGCTCCGCCCCGCCCCTCTATGTCTTGGCATGCCATTTCCGTCTTCTATCACCAGCAAATCCGATTGTTGTCCTTTCGCCTTTTGCCACGATAGCCACTGCTACCTTCATCATCAAAGAGACTCATCTTTCCTATCTCCTCCATCGCTTGCCGCAATACGTACCTGGAGCCGCCGAACTACTCAAAGGACACAACAAGTGGAAGATGTGGATTTGGGAATGGTAAAGTCGATCTACAGCATCATGCGACCACTTTCTGACGTCCCGACGACAGGTTCCGTGACCTCCTCGCCAGCTTGGGCCTTGCGAACAAGCACGCAAAACTCCTCTTCCTAGGCCTTGATAATGCCGGCAAGACCACGTTGCTGCACATGCTAAAGAACGACCGCGTTGCAGTTCTACAGCCAACCCTTCATCCGACGAGCGAAGAGCTCGCCATCGGCAACGTCCGCTTCACCACCTTTGATCTCGGAGGTCACGCACAAGCGCGCAGGCTATGGCGCGACTACTTCCCTGAGGTTTCGGGCATCGTCTTCCTCGTCGATGCGAAGGACCACGAGAGATTCCCGGAGGCGAAGGCCGAGCTCGATGCGCTTCTGGCTATGGAGGAGCTGAGCAAGACGCCTTTCCTTATCTTGGGCAACAAGATTGACCATCCAGAGGCTGTTAGCGAGGAGCAGCTGAGGAGTGTACTGGGCTTGTATCAGACTACTGGCAAGGGACAGGTTCCCCTCGAAGGGATTAGGCCTATCGAGGTGTTCATGTGCAGCGTCGTCCTTCGGCAAGGTTACGGTGAGGGCATTCGCTGGTTGAGTCAGTATGTATGAACAGCAATTATGTACACGCCGGGTTATGAAGTGCTTTGGTAGATGTGATATTTAGCGTCAAGGTCGGCGTTCATTGGCTACTAGATAAGTGTGTAATAAAGGCTTAATTATTGTACACTCCAGATCCATGAAGTTGACAGTTGTGAGGGGTTGTTTCGCTTCGCATACTATTATTTCTGTGTTGACTTTTGATTTGGGAATACTCGACCATTTGGTTATAGCTTTCCAATTACAACCTGACACAATGTCGTCACAATGCGGTTTTGTATCTCCTGAACTTTATTTCCATTATCAAACGCTAGTAGGGATTTCTAGGAGCTTTGATGTCGAAGAGGTTTTTTATATGGAGGCTCTGACTTATCTGGTTCGCATAATCACTTTTTCCGAGTCCGAACTGTGGTCGTGACTAAGTCTAGCGTATTAAAAACATTGTGATTTCGATATCACCAAGCTTTAGTTTAATAATACTCCGTAACACTAGGTTTTTTTTAAACGTGTTTTATGCCTGTATCCATTTCATACAAGGTGTGAGTGAAACTAATGAACGCAAGATCCCGCGCTGGCTCCCACTCTCTAAATTCACGTCTTCCCCTTAAGCAACGGCTCCGTAATTAATTCAAAGCAAGTCTGGGGCGCAGTTGAATATCGTCAATGCATGCTGCGAAAATGAATCAAGCTCATATTTCAAGCTTCTCTGTCAGTTATCGTTCTTCTTGAGTAACGGATGATCGGTAGCCTAGTTTCTCAAAACCGTATTCTACCTGAAGAGATAAGTGAGAGGTCATGTTCTCTGCTAATCCTCCAGTCAGCTGCAGGTTCGACGGACTTGATTGCGCAAAGGATCTAAGCAACGGTTTCCCTAACCAATCTCTGACTGCCCCTCGCAGTCAAGGATAGGTGGTCTACCTAGATCAAAGATATGCTTTCCACACTTAAGATTGTCCTTATGCTTACTTTCGTGCTCAAGGCAAGAGAAATCTGTCGACTTGGTAGCAATGAATATCTATGATTGAATCTATTTTTCACTATGATTAGTGTTCTCCGTGTCAAGGTAGATCCTGTGACCGTCCGCCTTGAAAGGAATAAACAGTCTTCTAGTTTGAGCATATTGACCTCAGCTTGCGATACACCTCTTGGCCTATTAAATGCTATGCAGACTCCTGAATATAGCTTTCAAGATTTAATCGATCCAGCATTTTGTGCGTAGCGCAAACTTGAATAAAGCGTTGCGCAATAAGGTTCGATAGCAACAGGACAATAATGAGCAGTGGAAAGGAATCTTTGCACTGAGAAGGTTCAGTGAGTCCAACTTAATCGATGGCATGATCGGAAATTTATAACCGTACTTTCTACGTTGAGCTTGTGCCCTTCCAATTGAGGTACGGTATTGTGGTGCAGCGATCCTAGGACTAGGAAGAGGAGCTGACTCGACCGAGGAAGAAGAACACCTCCGCTTTTGGCAGAACATGCGAACGAGCATGTCTCGAGAATGTTCATTATTCTCATGTTCAAAAGACCAAGAAGCTACTTTTTTTGGTGCTGAAGAGCAAAAAGCATGTCTTCTGATACTTTAACCGGTGCCCAACTCGCTGCGCAAACACTACATACGCTTGGAGTTACCACTCTGTTCGGAGTAGTTGGCGTACCTGTCACGGAGATTGCAGAAGCTGCAATAAACATAGGCATACGATACATTGGATGCAGAAATGAGCAAGCTGCGAGCTATGCGGCTACCGCACATGGCTACTTGACTAAACGACCAGGCGTCTGCCTTCTCGTCGGTGGACCTGGAGTGCTTCATGGCATGGCCGGTGTAAGCCCATATCGAATATAAAAAATTTTTTTTCTCGCTAAGCTAATTCTGTCAAGATTGGGAATGCATCTGAAAATGCATGGCCACTTCTTGTGTTAGCCGGCAGCCACGAATCGTACCTGACGACCAAAGGTGCGTTTCAAGAGATGGATGCCATCAGTGTGATCACGCCACACGTCAAACTTGCTATCCGCCCGCAGGCACCCGACTTTATCCCGAAGGCCATTGCCAATGCATACAAAACTGCATGGTACGGACGGCCCGGGCCAACGTTCATTGATCTACCTGCAGATGTCATTAGTGGCAGGTCAAAGCCTGCCCTGGCGAAAGTGCTCTCGTTGACGGCACCGATCCCTCCACCGCCTACGGCAGGAGTGGATCCTGTCAGAATATCCCAGGCTGCTTCAGTTTTGAGGAATGCCAAGGCGCCCCTTCTAGTTGTTGGTAAAGGCGCAGCGTATGCTCGTGCCGAGGCCTGTATTCGAAAATTCGTCGAAGCAACAAAGGTCCCTTTTTTGCCATCACCGTCAGGCAAAGGCATCATAGCCGATTCTCATCCTCTGAACACCTCTTCCGCTAGATCGACTGCTCTTAAACATGCAGATGTAGCTCTTGTATTGGGTGCGCGGCTAAATTGGATCTTTCATCATGGTGAAGCACCAAAGTGGAATCCAAACGTCAAAATAATTCAGGTCGATCTTTCGGCCGAAGAGTTAGGTAGAAACGGAGGCGACCCGTCCCTGGCTATACTTGGGGATATCAACATGGCGGTGCCTCAGCTTCTAGAAGCCTTGGGAGGCTGGAAGTACCAAGCTGCTGGATCTGACTATTCCAAGAAGCTGGCACAGACAAAGGAAAAAAACGAAAAGGTCGCGCTTCAGAAGGCAAGGGATGCTGGTTCGCCGCTAAAATTTGAACACGCGTTTACGATCATCAAGGAAACTTTGCATTCCTTAAGTCCCCCCGGTGATGGCGGCGTGGTTTACGTGTCGGAAGGTTCTCAGACCATGGATATCGGTCGTTCGATCTTCACTGTTGAGCATCCTCGTCTGAGGCTCGATGCAGGGACTTATGCGACAATGGGACTAGGGCTTGCTTATATGATTGCTGCTCACGACGCCTACAATGCTCCACAGGCCCAGGCTTCCTCCGGGCCCGCCCGACGAAAGAAGATTGTTGCTCTTGAGGGCGATTCTGCATTTGGTTTCAGCGCCATGGAAGTCGAGACAATGGCTCGGCACAAGATGGATATATTGATCTTTGTAATGAACAACGGTGGGATCTATCATGGCGATGCAAAAACGAAAGAAGAATTCGTGGAGAAACAAGGCCAGCAGCCGGGACCGAAATCGCTAAGGTCATGGGCCCTTTCACATCAGGTGCGATATGAAAAGCTTGCGGAAGCCGTTGGTGGAAAAGGCTATTTCGTGCGGACGGCGGAAGAGCTCAAACAGGCAACGATTGAAGGGTTCAAAGCCACAGTGCCGGTTGTAGTCAACGTCGTTTTGGACAGCGGGAGGATCGAGAATAACGTGGTAAGTGGCGCAGTGTTCAGAAGCAGAATAAATGCCGAGCTGTACTGACTCGGTGTAGTTCTTCGCTTGGCAGACCATGATGGAACAGAAAGCCAATTTGTAGCTTTATACGTCAGGTTTTCCTTTTGCGAGCATTGCCTTCACCTCGTCTTGGGTAGCAGGCATCAGAGCACCTTCGGGTGGTTTGTTTTTGCTCTTGAAATCATCGCCTTGATTCATGGTCAGTGCTGGATGACAAAATTTTCACGATGTTACTCACACATCTCTGAAAACGTGACCCACTCCACTCCTTCGTGGCTATTTATATACTCAATCAGCCTCTCATGGGCAAGAAGCACATGAGGTCGGCCCGAGACATCGGGATGAATCGTCATTGGGAAAATGAATTCATCGTATTCGCGGTAGAAATAGTCGAAGTGATCCTTCCAAACCTCCATCACGTCCCGAGGATTGACGAAGCCATGCTCTCTGGGCATTAGTCACAGTCGCAGGGAACAGGATGTATATATGCTCGTACCGAATTAGGAACAGCTTTCATGAACATGAGTGGAGGTAAATCGTCAATATGCCAGCTTGCGGGTATTTCGACCAAGCCAGTTTCCTGGCCTTTGACAAGTGGCTTCATCCACGACTCAGCGCTTTTGTTGTAATCGATCTTGGTCCATTTGTCGCCTGTTCTTAGCCAATATGCTGTATGATCTTCGTGACTCATGCTATGATCGTACTCGATACCATACTTCAACAAGAGTTCTGCACCCTCGCGACTGCATTCCCACCTGGATTCGCCCGATCAGTACGAACCAACGTGATGTGCAGTTGATCATTGCAAGGCATGACGGAGAGAAGCACGTGGACTACGGAGATGCAATTTGTCCGAGAGCGCGACATATAAGACTCACTAGCAGGACGTAAGCGACTTGAATTAGAAAGACCGGATCGAGTCTCCGTCCCCCGCGCAGCTAAACGGCTGCAAGCGAGCAGTTCATGCCAAGCGACGAATGAGAAAGAGGAAGAGATGAACACTGACCCATGGTGCCACACTTCCTCTTGGTGGCTTTCCGCAGAATTCTGTGAGCAGTCTGTATGTGTGATCAAGAACATCTCGCTGTTGCTCCAAGCTCATGGCCGTTGGGTTCTCGTGACTGTATCCATGAAGCCCGATCTCATGCCCGGCGTCCCTGATCATTGCACACTCCTCCGGAAAGGTCTCCAGGCTGTGGCCCGGAATAAACCACGTTGCCTTTTGATTGTACTTGTCGAACATTTTGAGCAGGCGACGAACGCCAGTGGAGCCGGCGAAGAGTCCGCGACTAATGTCGCTCACGCTGTCTTCACCTTTGTACGACCCAAGCCAGCCAGCCACGGCGTCGATATCAACTCCATAGCCTACCAGGACTCTCTTTTTGCCCATTTTCAAAGATCTCGAGTCGAGACCAAGGATGAAACAAGACGATGACGTCTTCCAACGCAGCAGCTAAGAATGATTCAGCTGGGAGCACGAACAGCCGTGGGAGAAGGGAACAGAAAGATTAAAGAAAGGAAATAAACAGCTTTCTTTGTAAATTTTTCCCTTTAAATCTACAATTATCTGACTTCTAAAACGTTCATGTACTGCGTCAAGACTCTTATCAACTAAGTTGACTCGATATCGAAGATAGGCAAGCATTCTGCGGAATGAAGCCGTGCGTCATCTACAAAGTGTGAACCCGGGACTGTTTCAACTTGGAAGAACCGACGCTAATTACTTGAAATGCTCAATGTGGCATAGCACGACAAATGATCTGATCTCGACGGCAGAACGAAAGCGGGACCTATTACTCCCCGCATACATGATGTAAAATACATCGGGGATTCGGCTACAGCAGGGGGAGGAGTGAATGCCATCATTGCGTGAAGCCAGAGTGCCAACATGTTAAACGCCGTACTAAGCTTCAAAGTATTTAGAAGCGGATGTATCCTCGCGCCATTCGGAAGGCCAACACGGAGACCACGCCGGGTCGATACGGACTTTTGCTGAGACCTGAAAAAGCATTCTGACCATCCTCGTGGTAGCCACATCGTCTCATGTGTGACTTGTCAAAAAAAAAAAAAAAAAAAAGCACGGCACATGTCTGCAAGCGAGCATTGGCGTAGAGCGCTAGCCATCAAGGCAAACGAGGACGAACCCCGAAATCCTCCTAAATATCGTCTTTTGAAAAACAAACCTCCGGTGCGCATTGCCTGATGAGCTCCACATTCGGCATTTTCTATGACAGCTGCAGGAGTACTTGCATGGTGTCTTTGTTAGCGTGCACCCCGTCACATCAACTCTGGCGGCAAACTCGCTGTCCATTTGACAAAAAGCCCATCCGTGCCGTCCCTACCCCAAAGGAACAGACTGGTCCGGAACAACGGCTGAATGGCACGGCGTTTTGAGCCACGACTACTTGGCTCGACGAACGGAAGGCGTCTAGCCTGCTGCGCATAGACTTGACGGCAGAATCTCACTCTTGGTCAGTAGCGAAGTCATCTCGAACTCCCGGTTGGGTTGCCGGTTGACTCAACATAATCGGCAAACAAAAAAAAACAAGAGCTCGGTCAGTTCCTGGTTGACACAGCGCTGGACCCAGCTGTTCCATCCGTACGGTAGCACATCGGTTCGCTCCAACATCACATTTGTAGCAAGCGCTGAAAAGAACAGAGGTTCGTCTCACCACTTGGACCGGGCACACCGGACAGATAATTGGTTCGCGGGCTAAGCCCCTATCCCCATCCCTTTCCCTACCAGTGTGCCGGAATGTGGCACCTGCAGATTGATTGCAAGGGGGTTTTGCCTCTCCACGTGGAGCATTTCTGGAAGTCAACTTCGTCAGCTGTGTGGCTTTCTAGCTCAAAGGCCATTGAATGGCCCCTTTTATGATGCTTTCCCTCTTCTTTCAGGAGGAACGGGCGAAAAGCTGGAGGTTTTGGGGCTACTTCTGCCAACGTTATGGCAGTCTCAACGGTGCCGAACCTCTGGGCTCCAGTGTAGTAGCTTCGCAAACTCGACCCTGGCCAAAAGATCTCTGGGATCGTTCTCAGCCCAAGAGTAGCAGACAAATCGCGAGATACGGACATGGATGCCCGATTCTCCCTTCTTGTCTCACGCGCTGTGATCTGTAATAATCCCAGACCTCAATGCTCGCACTACCCCCAACCAGCCTCGTACTAGTGGGTACAATTTCTTTTTGTGATCTCACAAGCTTGGGCCTATCATCAACAATTCAGGAAGCGGGAGAGGCGTTCCAACCACTTTAATCGACGCGGCCGCGACAACGTCGAGCCAGGCACCGCAGAGCCAGCTTGATAGTGCTGGTCCAAGCATAGACTGACCCACCCAGCCAACGCCAGAGCATTGTCTCGCATCTGCCCACCATCAACCTTCCGGGCCGCCTTATTATTTACGCCGAGCGATGTCAGAGCCTGTCTATCGACATCATGGCGTCGAAAGCTAGCCGTTACTGCCTTGTTCCCGGCCCTATCACATCGCCAGGTATTCGACCCTAGCTCGGAACTTTGCGCGTGCATGGACACGAAAATACTTGAGCAGTGGACTATCTTCAGAGATGATTATGGTGATGACCTTGAGGATTAGCCTGAGAGTGTTCATTTCTTCCTTTCATATCTCATCTCTTCCCAATTCGTTCACCTTCCTCCCGTTTCATTCACATCTTTTCGTTCACTTCGTATCTTCGTCTTTCTTCGTCTGCATCCTCATCTGAGTCGTAGATATCCCCGAGCCTCCTGCAGAAGATAACCCTGTTTCCTCTGCTCGCGTGACTTTGGCCTTGAATATGCCGAAATTCCGCATGAGAAGAAAGAGCCGAGAGCAGAGAGATGCGTTTCCGTCGGCAGCGTCCGATATCTCAGTTTCGCCCTCAGATTCTCTCGAAATACGACATCACCACAAAATAAATACTCCTCATGATTCGGCACAGGACCTGTCTGATAGGCTCTCGAACATGGCAGTGCACACTTCTAAAGGCCGCTCAAACGAGCAACAGGTTCTTCATCGAAAATCGTCCTTGCGAACTGGACACATGGTCCGATCACCGCCGCCTCCAGTCCCCAGTGACGTGCTTGTTGTAGGAGCTGGTCCTACTGGGCTAATGTTGACGTAAATGAACCGCTCAAATGCTGTAGATACGCACTAACGCTGTATGTAGGAGCCATCTCATACGGTTCGGGATTAATGCAGAGATCATCGACAATCGGTCCGAGCGAACTGCCACGGGACGTGCAGACGGCCTTCAACCGAAGACTATCGAGACCTTGAAACAGATGCGCATAGCCGACCGGATCATGTTGAAAGGTGTGAAAGTCAACGACATAAGACTTTGGATGTCTGGGCAGAATGAGCCGTTGCAACGTATAGCAAAAGAGACCATGTATCCGCCAGAAGCGTTGGATTGCCTTGATCCCTTCTTGCTGCTGGCACATCAGGGCTTTGTTGAGGATCTGCTACTCAAGGATATGATGGAACGCGGTGTGGACGTGCATCGCAACGTAACGTTTGTCGATTATTACAAGAGTAATGGGCCGGACAAGAACATCGAAGTCTTATGCAAATCTGCATACTCGGACGACAAGAAGATTTTTGCTGCGAGCTACTTAGTTGGCTGCGATGGAGCACACTCCAACGTGCGCAAATCTATGGGCGCTAGGATGGTTGGATCGAGCTACGATCAGATCTGGGGCGTGATCGATGGGGAGATCGAGACTGACTTTCCGGACATTTATTCCAAAACAGTAATTCACAATAAGGAGGCAGGCACCATGATCGTCTTGCCGCGCGAGCGGGGAATGACACGATTGCATATTGAGCTCAGCCCTCAGCTTAGAGACGTTGCATCACGAGAAAAACTTAGCCAGGAATTCGTGATCAACATCGCGCGAGAGATTTTCGAGGTAAGCTTGTTTTCTTGTAAAGAAGATGCGCAACCTACTGATGAATAGTATACAGCCTTATCAGTTGAGATTTCAGCATATCGAGTGGTTTGGCCGTTACCAGATTGGACAAAAAATTTCCTCCAAGTTTCAGGATGATGAGGGCAGAGTTTTCCTCGTTGGGGATGCTACACATACTCAATCGCCAAATGCATCGCAAGGCATGAACTCGGCGGTTCACGACGCGGTTAACCTGGCATGGAAATTGAATCTGACCATTAGGGGCCTCGCAAAACCATGTCTCCTTAAAACGTATGAGCAAGAGCGGAGACAGGTTGCCGAGGACATGCTAGGTTTCGATTATGAACACACCAATACTTTCTCGTCAGGTGACCTCAAGGCGCTCTCTGATGACTTCCAACGAAGTGCTCGATTCACTTCTGGATATGGTGCAGACCTTCCTCCAAACGTACTAAACGTGCAAGAGAAAGGGAGCATTCGCGGATTGTTACGAGCTGGGAGTTTCCCACCTCCAGCCAAGGTAACACGCCATTTTGACTCGAATCCAGTCGACATCCAACTCGACATCCCCTTGCTTGGCCAATTTCGGATCTACTACTTCGTCAAGAACTTGGAACAGGTCAAGCCGTTCATGGAAGAACTGTCTGCCCATGCTCTTTCGTACACCTCGGTGCTTGGAAAGTTGACTTATGCTGCTAATGCCTCATACACATTGCAGCCACCAATTGCAGCCTTGTCGGACGAATTCACACGGCCGGAGAGGTATACAACTGTCAGCGGCATGTTCACGTTTGCACTGGTGCTGGAAATGAACGCCGCCGACTTTGAACTGGACCAGCTGCCGAAGCTTTGGCGGAATTCCAGATACACGGTTTATGCTGACGACGTGGCCCACCTGGACACGCGATGCATGAGCTGCACTGATAAGTGGCTGGGCGGTCTCAGAGGCAGCGAGGTCGGAATCGTGATTCTTAGACCAGACGGTTATGTGGGCACAGTTGGCCGATTCATTGGAAGATCGCCAGACAGTGGTGCGAAAGCCACGAAGTGGCTGGATGATTACTTCGACGGTAAGCTTCAAACGACAAAGGCCCTCTCGCACACAGGCGCTGACCAAAAGCCCAAGCGTTCTTGCTGTCTGGATTCTGAGCTGGTATCGAACTTTTTCGGACATGAACTACATAGAAACTTTACGCGTGGAGTGGCACGGTTTCGATTTTGGCAAGCGTGTATACCCCTCTTGAAGCGGGCTTCTGGCAGGACCTCTTACGACCACATTGCTGAACACAAATTTTCCAACGTCCAAACCCTTGTGGTGACCCGCACCCGTTTCAGCAAACCCATGAATTTAGAGAGATAGGTGTCATTCTAAACCGATAGCGATCTTGCTTTCTTTTAGATGTCATCACAATTGTATTCGAGAGGAATTGTGTTATCAGTAACGACTGTATTTGAGACAACGAGATATTTCTACTCAGATTTCGCCTTGCTGATTCTGCAACTCTGTGACGACTGAAGGAATTCATAACTAAGCCGTGCTTCGTATCTTCAACAGCTCAAATGTGCCATGTTGGAAGTCACGGACTTCGAGGATAAGGATTAACTGGCCCTCACGTGACACAGTTTGACTTTCGTAGACAAGATGCAAAGTATACAACCTGCTGGTTTCTTCATGATCAAAGAAAAGATCTTGACGAGGTTCAGATAGTGCTTTGGAAGCTGTGAATACTCTCTAGATTTTGAAGATCTATACTTGCAGTCAAGTCCTTTTTCTCGTAGTGCAAGTTTTGATCGCCAGGGTTCGGGCTCACTGGCTCGAAACAATGGCGTCCATCTCGCACCGCTATTCAATCCGCTGGTTGCCCGACGAAGCGTCGGAGCCGACAAGCACGCTCGTTTTGACATCAGGGACGGGATACTATACCGATATTCGCATCAGGCACGGGACGGGTGGTGCTCCACCATCATGTCTTCCCGCGTCTGAAGATCGGATGCTGCGCCCGCGGCGTGGCGAAATCCACCAACTCACAAGCTACGAGCTCGTTTCAGATGCGGCGCTGGATTGGGCCTTCGCGGGACGCAGCTCATCGACGGCCGGTTCACCGAGAAAGTGCACATGGGATCACTGGGTGGACTCGAGGACTAGTCTTCTCGATGAAACGCCAGTTGCCGATTCTGGATGGATGCATCCGCAGGAGGACGGCAAAAGCCTTGAAAAAGGTTCGATGGTGAATCCCGAGACCGGAAGGGAGACCGACTACGAAGAAGTCTGGGAAGACGTTGCTCTCGCGTACCCTGCGAATTTGGAGTACGACCGCTACGTGCTCACGCTTGATAGCGGTGAAGATGGTGTTGAAAGATCTCGCGAGCGAGGTGTGGCCGTGCAGCTAGGAGCCTGGTTTCAAACCATCCAACGGAGAGACTGGTTCGACGAGGACGGCATGGCCCGAACCGACTTAGCAGTTTCGCGATGGAAGTGGGACGAAGAGTGCGGGAGGTGGAACATCGTTGTAGGAGCTGGTAACAAGACGTCGATTCCGCCTTACGTGATCGAGAAGGCGATGAGGGAGGCTAAGGTACGAGATAGCGGGGATATCGTTGACATCAACAGTCAAACCTGGCTCTGCAGGGAACTGAGCCGTAAAAACGCCGACTAGCGTTGCCGACGCTGGTAAAACACGAGATCTATGAGACGATTATGTGAGAGACGGGATTGCTGTGCGTGCATGGACGTGTGGGAGCATGCACAAGAAAAATTAAGTCAGAAACATAACACAACAATGCGAGGGAAGATGTGTTAAGGAGTTGTGATGTCTTGTTATGATAATGACTCGTGGCTCTTGCGCAGGGAATCAAAGCGATCGATGTACTATCAGAGCCCGCTTAGTTTAAGCCTTCCTATAGGAGACTGTCCTCAAGGTTATTCGAGAAGTGAGGCATGCCTGTTGGCGTTTTGTTTGAGTGCGCGTGCGTGTGTGTTGAGTAATACAGGCAAGAGCACCGACGCATTATCAGTCCGTAGTGATATAGCATGACTCTGATAATCCTAGCAGCTTTGCAATGGATTACTTCGCAGCCATTTTCTACTGGAACGAGTACCCTTCTCATCTCAAATAGCGTACTCATAGGTTAGGTGCTCAAGCCGGAGTGTGTGCCATCTCTTTCGAAGACGCGTCTGATCAATCTCGCACCTTTCTGTACTCGTAGCACGACAACTTCACTTCCCTGTCCACCAGCTCATCCAGCCTTTCGTTGATTTTGACATCGAGTCTGCGGTCTGCTGAGCAAGCTGATCCAGTGGTCCCCCTTCTTGTGATGTGGGCTTCGTTGGCCTCTCAATAATTTTGTCATTGACGTGCGCAAGAGTCTTGCCTGCACCCTTTATCCTTTGTTCTTCTTCGTCTACCACCACCGAAGTGAGCCACTGCTCCTGCGTTACTCCTCCGTCCGACATTTGTTCGGCTTCAATCGCTTTCTCGTAGCCCAATTTATCGCGTGTCCGTCTCTTCAGTTCCTCCAAATTGCTGATGTCAAATGCCCAAAACATGCCGCCGGTAAACATGATGCCGAAGCTGAACGCATTTATCGTGGCCACGCTCAGGGCTTCGAGTGCCTCTAGTGGCCCGTTGATGGGTTTCAGATGGGGTTCCATGTTGGTGTAGAAAAACAACGGACGTGCCCAATTATTTCGTCTTGCAACAGCTCGTCGTGTGATGGCAGCCGAGAATAGCATGAAGCCCGCGCCGGCTGCCCATATGCCCAACTGCCTTCGCGAACGTCGCGAAAAGATGGATCTTTCATCTTCGGGCGGCGTAAAGGTCGCCGGAGGCGCTGAATTGGCTGATGCCATTTGCGAATTTCAATTCACGTAGAGCGAGTACTTCAACAATATTAAAAACACATGAATGCGGCAGATGTTGAAAGCTAAAAGATTGCCAACGTTTTGGCCGTAGAGAACCGTAAGGGAAACAGAGAACGTCAGCCCTGAGCATGCAATGGCCCCCGGCAATTCGAAAAGAGGAATGAGTGAATATGAAGCGCAATAGAGGAGAGGATACGCCAATACAGAGAGCTTGTGTAATGTGTTTGGACAAGAGTAGCGAATGTGCTTTTGCTTGGAAACTTTCTTCTGCCCCAATGAGGAAATTCAGGGTCCGACTCCCGAAGTCCGCCTGCGTTCCTCCGTCCTCCGCACTTGAACTGGAATCTAACTTATCAATCTTAAAGAACAAATTTTCGCAAGACTATTCCAACATTTGGCAAGCACAGCCCCTTGGTTTCCTTCCTCATATGATTGAAACGCAAAAAAGGCAATGTTCATGGTAGTACGGACACGCCACGGAATTCGCCCAATCGCAACGCGCACACGCAGCTTTTATTACGCCTGCCAGGCCCAAAATGTTTCCATCCATAGCTGTTCTGGACATATCAAGCGCGAGAATTATGCATGAGCAATTAGCAGAAGCTCGTTGGGCACTGTATGCCTCGGAGCTAGTCCTTACTGACAAAGGATCCGGTCTTTCCTGCCAATGACCTGTCTCCACATCAGCTCACCGCATGTTCACTTCGTTGTATGACAGTTATGACTCAGTTCTCTCAAATTTAATCCTTCGGGGTAGTTGCTTGGTCAATCATCTTGCTTTCGAGCACAGCACCGAAGAAGCCTTAGGGCACTACCCTTTTGTTCTTTTTTGACCTGACCTGGTCAGGATTCGCTTGCATTATTAGCTCGAACGCTGCCTACGTTCGATCAGTCAAGTTTTCATTATGATTTTATTTTTTTTTTTAATTTTTTATTTTTGATGATTCTGGCACGTTTGAGCCTCCGCCTAGGCATCCAGCTCTCAGAAGAAGAGTGGTGAGATTGTTACACCTGGGAGTTCTCAGAATGACACTCGCTCTCCGGAGAGAAAGCCATGAAAGCTTCCTACTGCTTGATCAGCCACAACGCGAAATTTTAACTCGATTGTCTCGCGATCAATTTCTTTGTCAAAGTATTTAGCCACATTACAATAGAGACGTCTCGATAAATAAAGAAACAGAAAATCTGGGCTGCCTTGGGTTGGCTTTCTTTTATTCACCTAAGCCAGGGTCTTTACTGGGCTATTCTATCTCCTTGTCCTAACGTGATCATACTATTGTGCTCTTCAGCTTTATCCTTTGCATGTATTCAACTTTTAATCTTTACCTGTTATCGTATGACTACCAGCTCATAGAGAACTTTGGAACACCCCTCGCATTTGTATTACCATGAAGCTACGCTGCTTTATCTGCCCTCATCTACTGGGTCTTCTCTCCGAACTACTTACGTGTTTGCATCTTTGGAAGTCGTTTTGCAACATCATGTCCCCCTTTTTCACTCACCGCGGCAGGGATACGGCCCACGTCTATTCAAGACCTCGATGGTCGACGTTGCGAACGAAAAGATCACCATAAAGAATTCGTACTGTAAATGAGCGACTGATAGAAAATGGATGGTAGAAATTGGATCCCTGAAGGCGGAGGGCCATTCAGCATTTTGAAAGACGGATCCAGTTTCATTTTCGACGTGAGCATATCTCGAGCTAAGCTTATCGTAAACTTGAAAGATAGAAGTACAACATGAAGCACTATAGGTTCGGACTCGAACAAGGGGGAAAAGTTTCCACTTAACGGAGATCTCTAGACGCGAAAGGAGAACTGCACTAGAAGGACATTTGACATCAGCGAATTGCGGAGCAACCAAAACGTGTCCCGGAGTCTTGCATTATTTTGCAAACGAACGTGTTCGAGTTTCGTGCGTGCACAGTTTGCTCTTCAAACTCGACGTCACGTTTTGAGCGATTGCTTTCTGTCCCATTTCAAGGTTCTCATCGCCATGTATCAATCTGTAGAAGAAATGGGTTTCTACGTTTCAGCCTGATTCATGGCCTTTTGCCATCCATCGGCTTAAAGGGGCCAGACATTCGTCGGATTTTTTGGTCGAGAAATTTTCGAACGCGTTACGCACTTGATATCGTTTAACGGACTCGACGATTCTGCAATTGCGAATCATTGCTTTTTGTTTTTTGCGTAGATGAAGTTGGCGCCCACTGGAACCAAACCGTTTTGCTCCGCCCAATCCCTCACCCCTTTCCCTTCATTTCCAAAGCCCCAGTGTTGCCGATTTTCAGGCACCGTTAGATTTAGGGGTGTAGTGGTCATGTTCGAGGGTGCGTACGCGACAAGCACGTATCTGTGTTTCCCCGTCTTCGGCGGGGGTCCTGGCGGTTTGTACGTGATAACGTCCGCCGGCTTGCTCTGCAGCCACTGAGTCGAAGAGAGTGAAACATTCGTGGCGATCCAGTGGCACATCTCGGACCATTTTGGGTTGTCTCGAGAGGGAGCATCTGGATCCGTCATGGTGATTGTGAATTTTAAGTCGGGCGAGGACCAGTGGTGCGTAATGTCCACAAGCTTGATTGATGGGGCATCCTGCAGCTTCTTTGGCTTCAAGGTGTTGCCCAGGTTGGCTGTTTTGTTCGACGGCCACTTCACGTTGACTTCTAGCTGGGGGTAAAAGTCGTCAAGCACTGTCGGGATGATTTCGGCTTTCTTGAGCCTGGTTATGATTGACGCCGTCAGCGAAATAGCCTCCATATCGAAAACCCCGTCGACCACGTATCTCACACAGACTTACTCATGGCGTATATCCAAGATACCGTTTCCTGAGAAAGATTCTGTCTCTAGAACCTGTTGCTCCGTTCGCAGAGCTCTCAACGCGACGGCGAATTGCAGAGCCGACAAGATCAAAGCAAGCAAATTGAACATTGTGACAAACTACCAAACTGTGTGAGCGACGAAGCAGATCTGAGATTGGTTTTTGCTTTCAAGCATCACGTCTTCAAAGAAGACGGAAGATGTTGTCGCTGTGCATGCTCCGCAGTCTGAATATCACACTTTCGTCATTGCGCTTAAGGGAAGGCTGAGTCCAGTTTAGAGTCCGAGTCCAAAGGCCCCCGCAGTTCGTGGCGTACAGCCGAGCGTGGCCAGGCACCTCGACATTACCGAGCTTCAAGCGGACGCAGCACGTCTCATGTAAAAGAATGGATATTGCCGACCTACCATTCAAAGGTTCTCCAATCTTCAGTCCAGAGCCCGTGTCGCCAAGATGAGTTTCCAAGAGAAGAAAAAGCGGAAGCGAAGCGACTACAAGTACTTCCTCGAATATCGCACTCGATGGAGCGACAATGACATGTACCATCACATGAACAATCCCGTGTACGGACAGCTGTAAGTTGCCGAAGTCCCAGGGAGGAATGCGCAGCAAAAGACCTTGAGGTTTTCTATCCCTCCGCATGGCTGTCGACGATTTCTGAGACGCTTCGTTTTCTGTCAGGTTCGACTCGATCATCAACGACTACCTGATCAAGTACTGCGGTCGGCGGCCGTTCCACCCGCAGACCAAAGAGAACGGCATCGTGGTCACGTCGCACTGCGACTTCTTCGGCTCCGTCGGCTACCCTTCCATGATTGACGCGTGCATGCGCGTCAACAAGCTGGGTAAGACGTCGGTCGAGTACGAGGTTGGCATCTTCGAGCAGGGCAAAGACGATGTGCGCGCGGTGGGCGGGTTCATGCACGTGTTTTGCGATCAGGATACGGGTCGGCCGATGCCAAATGGGATGAGCGACGAGATACGGAAGCCGTTGGAGGCGATCATGGCGGATGAGGAAAAGGCCAAGTACGAGAAGGAAAGAGCCAAGGCAAAGTTGTAAAATGCTTGCGTCTTTTTCGGGAGAGGAGGGGACGGGTTGAGAGGAAGTTTGTACAAACGACGCAGCCCCTTTTGCATTTGATGTGCGTGTTAAGAAGGTATCTATTATAGAAGTGTAAAAGCATAACGCCGCGCGTAACCTCACTATTGAGACCCCAAACCACGCATTTTGTTTCAAGGCGAGGGAAATTGGAAAATGCCATGCGAGTCTGGTGAGGAGAGCCAGCTCGTTGTGAGGAGTCTGATAGTTGCTTGCGAAGCATGCTAGAGTATTGCATGCAGAAGCAAGACGACCAGATACAGCGACATATCGCGACGGTGTCACGGAGTTGGGAAACACTTTGGGTCTTGACGTACGTCAAACGACGCCACTTCATCACATCGTGAACTCGAAATGTAAAGAGGCGAACATAGTCAGTTTGCCGCTGGGCAAGCAGATGCTCGGCCCAGCAAATGTTGTCGCGTGCCACGGTTCAGTCATGTCGTACAAGGACTTCCATCAGGCTACCACTGTGGCATACGAGGGTGCGAAGTCTGTCGAATTCCGACTTGCAGCCGGCGTCGCTTGAGGGTGGGTCGTGTGGCCAACTGGTTGTCTCTGATGACAGGTGGTGGCGACGTGGTTAGACGGCGACCACGAATCACAGCAACGTCGCGGTAGAAACAAAACGCGAGGGCATGACCGGGCAGGACAGAGCATGTCGTCGTTGCCTGCACAGGGAGACGAGACATGGGCAGCGAAGGAGGAGACGGGGTGAAGAAGCAGGCAAGGAAACAAGAGGCAAAGTTGGCTCCGACGGCCGTGCGAAGCGCGGCAATTTCAGGTAAGTTACCGTAACTTATTCGATACGCCGCCCTAGCTGGGCTAGTATGCAAACGTAAGCCGGCGAGCGCGGTGTTTTGTTTGCGGGCGCACTGGAAAAGGACTGGCCTTGACGGAACGGCGGCAAGGTCGGTCACGTAACTGACGTACTTGTACGGTAAGGACACGCCGCAGGGTTGGACCAGTTCCTGAACTCGGCCCATCCGCCCAAGGTTGCGAAAGCGTCACTTTGCCTTAGTCAACGATAACTTGTTCCGTGCACGTTGCCCTGTTGCCCTTTGGCACTTTTACGCCTCTCTAACAAGTGACATCGTCACAAGTCCTCCAGACCACCTCGCCATTGATCGCCGAATCCTCTCGTGTCTGCCGCTGCGCCAGCGTCGACCTTTCCCCCCCGTCGTTTCCCTTGATCCCCACTCGCGCCCAAACAATCCTTACCTGGAGCGTTGGCGGAGTCGCGACAACTTGGGAATTGTCACCAACAATCGCCCTCGCTGCCTGCAATCATGGCCTCTCTGGGAGAAGAGCTCCTCCACACCGTCAACAAGCTTCAGGACTTGGTCTTCAACACCATCGGCAATGATTCGTTGGATCTGCCTCAGATCGTGCGTGCTCCCTTCGCCATCAAACACATACGTCTCTGGTCGCCCACGCTGACATCTTTATCAGGTTGTCGTAGGCTCACAATCCTCTGGCAAGTCCTCCGTGCTAGAGAACATCGTCGGCCGGGACTTCTTGCCTAGAGGGAGCGGCATCGTAACCCGACGGCCGCTTGTGCTTCAGCTGATCAACCTTCCCAGCGAGCGAGACGACAAGCCCGGCAACCATGAGGTCCACGTCCCACACACGCCAGCCAGCGTTGCTGGACAGCAAGAGTGGGCCGAGTTTCATCATGTGCCTGGCAGGAAGTGGTACGACTTCTCAGAAGTAAAGCGCGAAATCGAGGCCGAGACGGCCAGAATAGCCGGAACCAATAAAGGCATCAACAGACAGCCCATAAACCTCAAGATATATTCTCCTCACGTGCTTAGCTTGACGCTGGTTGATCTGCCGGGTCTGACCAAAGTAAGACCGCAATTTGACTCGGCTTCTGTCGACGTGCAAGTGCTGAGAAAATTTTGTACAGGTGCCAATCGGTGACCAGCCCACCGATATCGAGAAGCAAACGCGCAATCTCATCTCCGAGTACATTGCGAAGCCCAACAGCATTATCCTCGCCGTCTCGCCTGCCAATGTCGATCTCGTCAACTCGGAAGCCCTTAAGTTGGCTCGACAGGTTGACCCAATGGGCAAGAGAACGATTGGCGTCTTGACAAAGCTGGATCTTATGGACCATGGCACCAACGCGCTAGACATTCTTTCTGGACGTGTCTATCCGCTCAAGCTCGGGTTCGTCGGTGTCGTCAACCGATCACAGCAGGACATTCAGGTCAACAAGCCGCTTGCGGACGCGCTGCAAACGGAACGTGACTTCTTCAGACACCATCCCGCATATAGGAACATTGCGAACAGATGCGGTACGCAGTACCTGGCAAAGACGCTGAATTCCACGCTTATGTCGCACATCCGCGAGAGGCTACCGGACATCAAGGCACGATTGAACACACTTATGGGTCAGACCCAACAGGAGCTTGCCAGCTATGGTGATGCCGCGTTCACGGGCAAGGAGCATCGTAGCTCTCTGGTTCTGCAACTTATGACACGATTCGCCTCGTCTTTCATCACCTCGATTGACGGCACTTCCTCCGAGATTTCGACGAAAGAGCTTTCTGGTGGTGCTAGGATATACTACATCTTCAACTCGGTGTTCGGCAACTCTCTGGAGACTATCGATCCAACGCAAAACCTCTCTGTGCTGGACATCCGTACTGCGATCCGAAATTCGACTGGTCCCAGGCCGAGCTTATTCGTACCCGAGATGGCCTTTGACCTACTAGTTAAGCCGCAGATTAAGCTCCTCGAAATTCCCAGCCAGCGATGTGTAGAGCTGGTCTACGAGGAACTCATCAAAATTTGCCACACCTGTGGATCCAACGAGCTGAGCAGATATCCGAGGTTACAAGCCAAGTTGATTGAAGTGGTTTCGGATTTATTGAGAGAGCGACTTGGACCTGCATCCTCGTATGTGGAGTCGCTGATTGCGATTCAACGAGCGTACATCAACACAAACCATCCGAATTTCCTCGGTGCAGCAGCAGCTATGTCATCTGTCATCTCTGACAAGCAGGAGCATGAAAAGCGCAAACAGGCACTGGAAGAGAAGAAGAAGCGCGAGCGGAGACGGTTGAAGGAATTGAATGGTGCTAATGGCGTCGACACGCCAGAGGAAGAAGAAGAGCCAGAACCGGCAAGTGGCCAGTCGACGCTTCCTGTTCGTGGCCACCACCATCACAAGACTAGTAGGAGTATGTCTCCAGCTGTCGGGAGAGCTGTCGCGAATGGGAACAGCATTGGTGCACAATTGAGCGGAGCGACGGGTCAGTCGAATCCCGTGGCTGGTGCGCGCGACAGTTTCCTCAATTACTTTTTCGGCCAGGAGAAGGGTATCCCACAGTCTTCAGCACAAGCGCCTGGTCCGTCACATGTGGCGGACCGGCCAGGCAGCAGACACGTCAGCCAAAACATCGAGCCCAATTTTGCGACAAGCTTCAGGAGAGGCGATACAAAGGTACACGATCGCGCCATTCCCGAGATCACGCAGGACGATATGGACATTGGAAGCTCAGCACGCCACAATGAGTTCCAGTCACCCATGGTAAGCCAATTGGTGCCACAGAACAGTTCCGGAAAGGTCAAACTAACATGTCTCCAGCCTTGGGATGAGCCCGAAGCGCCTGCTCTTACCGAACGTGAAGCCCTGGAGACGGAGCTCATCCGACGACTCATCTCATCATACTTCAACATCGTGCGTGAAACCATTGCAGATCAGGTGCCCAAGGCAATCATGCATCTGCTCGTCAACCACTCGAAAGATGTCGTGCAGAACCGACTCGTCAGCGAGTTGTACAAGGAGAACCTGTTCGAGGAGCTACTGTACGAGGATGACAACATTAAGGCCGAGCGTGAGAAGTGCGAGAAGCTGCTTGCGACATACAAGGAGGCTGCCAAGATTGTCGGTGAGGTCTTGTAATCTCTCCTTTATGTGTGCCTTCAACTATGTATTACAGGTAATTGTATATTTTTTGTAGCACACTCTTTCCTTGTCTTCGCGTGCTTGCGCTTGGTTGCCAGGCATGGTGGGTGACGTGCTCGTTCACCGTGTCTTATCTTTTGTGTATCTCACTCTCCACGGTTCTCTTCTCGGCTCAGATCAGGTATCACATCATGGGGGAAGTTCGGGAACGGCTGTGGTTTTGTCATCTATGGACGCGCTCTCTTTTTTCTCTCTTTCTCTCTTTCTCTCTTTCCCTCTCCATTTCTCTTCTCTCTCCTGTGTCCAAGTCACATCGAGGGACGAGAACCTGTACACAAAGACGGCGTAGAGATCATCGTCACTGTCTTTCTGTTGAATGAAAACAAAGGACGGCACAGATGGACGGACTGACGGATGGACTGACAGAAGAGGTGAATCAAAAAGGGCGTTCTTCATTGTAGGTATACGAATATTTCAACTCTGACGCAGTGATCATGAAACAATGAGGAGAAGTTTTCTACTGTTCAAATCGACCTGTACATCTCTTGCTGTGTTTGCGTGTGGTACTAGGCCTTTTTTCCCGGCCCTCGAGAGCGAAAGTTCATACACATACTATACAACAGCATTTTAGACAGCAGCGCGCTTCGCGCCGAGGCCTTGCAGAAGGGCCACCACGGCCAGCGTCACACCGGTTCCCGCATCGCCGCTGGACGCGTAGCTCGCTCCCGCACCGAGAAGCAGGCTGACAAACACACCCGCGATGCTCTTGTCGAAGACGTCGACGAGCCCCGTGTTCGCCCACTTGTAGTTGAGAATGCCTGCATGTACGGCTGTGGTCAGCGCGTGCGTCTCAGGGGAGTTTTGAGCGGATCCGTGGGGCGAGGGGGAAGTGGAAAAGACCGCAACGTACCCATGATGACGAAGAAGGCGCTCCCTTCGTACCAGCCCGTCTTCACGGCGCCGCGGAGGACGGCGGGAAGCTTGTCGATGGCCGGGTGGCTGAATTGCTCACGGCCCTTGGTCTGCGCTCGTCGAAACGTACATCTTAGCACTTTGTTCTTTCCTTTATTTTTCTCTTCTTTCGTGTTTTTAAATTTTTTGTTTTTTTATTTTGGTTCATCAACCCCAGTCCATACCTCCTCCGCGTCTGATGACTCTGCGGAGGTATCGACCCCTCGGTCGACCGGACAGAGAGAGAGGGGGAGGGAGGGAGAGAGAGAGAAAAAAAGAGAGAGAAAAAGAGAAGACTTCGCGTACAGTGTGTCCCAGCGCGAGCAAGCCATTCAAGCCAGCCATAGCAAGAAGTAGCTTGCTCGGTGCCGCCGGTGTCGCCATTGATTTTGTGTGTCGGTTCTTGGCCTTGGTTTCTTTTTCCTTCTCCTCCCTTTGCTGAGGGACCTGCTCTATTATCACAGTGACGATTATTTGCGTGGAGGGAACAACGAAAGTCAGCGCAGAGGTGGCGAGTATCAGGAAGCGTCCGCACGTGATTGGGATATGCAGGAAAGGGGAAGGAGGGGAGAAGGACCCACAGCCGAGGCTCGGGTGGTTTCCCTTGTCAGCGGCTTCGAGGCTCTTGACTTGGACTGTGTTTTTTTGTTGCTTACTGCAGCGAATTGGTGTGTATCGGTGGCATGAGAAGCTGTTGAGCTGCACGTCCAAGACTATGTACGTTTGTAGTGCATCTCTACTTGAATCCTTCAGACAGGAAAATCTTAGGTTGACGATGGCGGATTTCCCACAGTTGCTCAGATGTTAAATCATTCCTCGCTCGCTAATTAGGTATCTCAGTATGTGCATATATTACAATTCTTCCTTATAAGTTTCCTCACTGCCGTCCTCTTGACCTCCTTCTGTTCCCTGTGCATCATTTCGCTCCTCTCCACTTCCACCGTCGCCCTTCTGAAGATCATCGTCGTTGCCACCGGCTTCAATAATCCCCCTCAACTCTTTCCCCCTTGGAGTTTCCACAACCTCAAGTCGCCAACTGTTGCCATTCGCCGCATTTTCTACTTTCTTCTTGATCTCATCCAAGTCCTGTCTACTCGTCACTCCCACTTTCTTCAGCTGTTCCTCGGCGGCAACCCATCCCCCACTCTTTGCAATGGTAGCAATATGTTTCTCCTTCCCTCCGCCTACAATGACGCCGCGTTCAATCTTCTTGCCTGGAGGAACGAGCTTGTGAGCACCGATCTCAACGTCTCCCACGATTTGACGGCGCATGGGGATCTCGCCCGTTTCAAGGAGGTTGATGGCATCGTTAATTTCTTCTTCTATTTGTTTGGCCAAGCGTTCATCTTCAGAGACCGTCTGCGATTCTTTGGCGGCAAGGTAGGAGGGGATCGACGCCGCAGGTAAGACGGGAGTGCACTCTATGGCGTGGGGTTTTGATTCTTGAGGTGGAAGGAAAGCAACGTCGTTGCAGAGGCGTGGGGTATCGATAATCATCAAATACTGGCATGTTGTAGTCTCCTTGATCAGAGCAATCTTGTCGGCTTGGTTTGGCTGGCAACGGAACTGGGTAAATGTTAACGTCTAATATCGCGGTACGAGTGATTCGGGTGCTTACTTGGACTTCGACACGACGTTCTTTGCCCGTGAGATCACACGTTGTGCCGCCACCAAGCTTCTGTACAAGATAACGCGTCTCACCCTTTGTTTCCAGCTGGGCCAGACCCTTATCACTTGAACCACTTCGTGAGCTTGACCGACCCTTCGCCTCCTCAGCACCATCTGCATGTGTAGACTTGCCACCCTCAGCATCCCCATATTTTCCAAGCACATAAGCATCAACACTCTTGTCCTCCACAGGCGGGTATATCGGGACTCCCTTGCCTGGAGGCAGCTGGTGGAACTGGCGCACACCTTGCCCGTAGCAAAATGAGTAGCTCCACCAGCCGCTGTAGAAGTACAAACAGTGGCCCTCCATCGATTTGAGCAGTCCCCAGCCACGCGAAGTCGCCCGGGCCAGCTCCTTCTCCTCGTCTTCCGGGCTGATTTTTGACTTGTTTTTTGCCGCTTCCGCATCTGGTATACGCGGAATACTGCACAGGTAACGGCGATCGTTCAACATCATATCCTCGTAAGAGAGGATCTGGTCATTCGGCTGACTTGGTACGGGCCGACCTTCTGCTTCTCGCTGCTCGCCGTGTATTCTACTCAGTGAGGCATCCGCTGACGGGTTTCGTTCTGCATGAGCTGCGCCATGCTTCCGGAGGGCCATGGCTTCGAGAGCAGTGGAAGCGTCCTGCTCGGACATGACGCCGTCGGCAATGACCACCTCATACTGCATCAATGCGTTAGCAAATATGCGGATTCTGGGTGTTCAGGAGACTCTGAATACCTGAGGGAAGGCAAGGAGGTCGTCGAAAACATTGAACTGATGCTGACTGGCAATCGCCAGTCGCAAAAAGGCTGGAAGAGCCCAAAAATGCTTCATCGTAGGTAGATGCTTGGTAGAGTCTGGTGGCGACAGCACATGTGTGGATGATGATGCCACGCATTGGTAAATGCGATGGCTGTTGACGGGCGCGGTGTCCGAGAAGCGAGGTTTGTGATTGGCTGCAGCTGTGAAAGCCGCCTCGGGGGTTCCTCTTCGGGCAGCCACAAGGCTGATGAAAAAATAACCTACCTTTCTTTTAACTCATACCACATAGCAAATCTAGTTCGATCAGATGTCTTGATGAACGTGACAAACTTTATTGTGGTTTGCCTCGAGGGATCCTGAGAGCAGAGCAAGCTGACAACGATTGGACCAAAGGCTATGGGTCCCTTCAACTGGATTCGTGCAAGAATCTCTCCCCCCTCTCCCCCAAAAGAAAAACGCTGTTTTTCTTACTCTATTGTTTTTGAGTGAGGGGATTGTGCTCGGGATCTGTACCAGTTGGAAATAATTCTTGGCTCATACAATATTTGGATAAAAGTCTAAAGTTGACAGCTCACAGCAGACGCTGTCCTGGACCGTCATCTCGTGAAACGGATGTTACCGTTAATAGCCTGGCTGAACGGCTCTGGTCCTCGAGGCCATTGACCCTGGAACAGTTGCACGGGACGCGGATGTCTATACGCGAGCCGGTTGTGATCTGCTCAAGGGTCCTGCCCATGATGCATTATCGTACAGCGGCTCTGTTACTCTTGACGACCTCGCCCAATTCTCCAATGATGGTACAATTTGTTAGGCTGCCCTACGACAATCGAACGATCGTTCGACGATAGAATGAGAGACTTTTTGAAAACTCCGCACTTGCGTATGATGATTTGCGTGCTCTGCCGTGATCATTTCGTTACTTATCGTCCCGCCGGCCCATTGCCTTTTCGAAAACGTACCTTGTTTTCCAAAGGAGCGATAACCACCGGACGACGATACTTAGGGAAGGTCTTTGCCGCTGGAGGAAATAATTAAAAGAGATTGTGCTCATGTGATAAGAAGCAATTGGGATCGGGAAATGAACGTGGCCGAGGTACGGCCCGTGGGGAGCTTCAAAGTACGCAAAGAATTGCACAATTACGCTTCGCAAAAGGCATTCGTATTCAGCATGCAGAAGCCCCAGCTGGTCTTGTATCATGTTCCATCAACACAACGAAGCCGCAGGCCACATTGCTGCAACCCCACACGGGACTTGGGCTTCAATGAGCTTCATGGTCTCAAATGACAACGAAGCAAAGTCTGATACTTCATTGCATGTAATGTGATGGCTCACAGTGCCATTCAGCAAAAAGCGCCAGGGTACTGATCTAGGCGGTCCAGAATTCTCCTCGGAGGTTTGGGCATATGGCAAGCTCCTGCGGTTGAACTGCCAGGCACGACCGTGTCTCTCCATCGCAGGCCATGATGGTCATCGTCAATATGAGGGTGCTGCGATAAGAGGGAAGCAACGCAAGATTGGGACGGGCTACCGGCAACCGCGGTGTCGAGTCTACAGTGGAGTTCGATGGCGACGACGCGATCCAGGGTTCGGCAATCGTCAGATGATGTTATCATCCTGTGTACATGATGTCGGGGCGAATCTTCATGGAGCCTGCCTAGGGTCCGTACGTATGAGAAACTGGAAACGGCAAAGAAGATCTTCTCAGATGTGAATGCACGTCGTCAAGAACCGTACGGGCTGCCACGGTCAGCCTTGTGAAACGCGGCGGTGCGGCGCTAGGGGAAGTCGGAGCGGGTTCCAGACAGATGACGTGGGCTAGGGTCAACCTCTAGGCTCCATAACCAAAAGGTTCTTGTTCCGTTGTACTTGCTGAACTACTGTGCCTTCTGTTTGCGCATTGCGTTCAAAGCTGCTTGCGCTGATGCAGCGTTGCGGGGCCCGCTGCTCCACTTTACATATGACGAAGATAGATACGTTCACATGCTCACAGGCGACGTCGATGACCGATGCTCCTGCAGACGCATGGTGGCCTCCAATGGAAGCTAGATACAAGGAGATACTCTGCTAGGATATTCCGACAAAGACCAAGGAGCTGCTCCACTTGCAAAAGTGGAATCTATTATGAAATGTGGCTCGAGAATGTGCGTTGCAAAACGCTTTGATGCGCTGTGAAAAACAATGCAAGTGGTGCCGTGCATCATGCCGACCTAGGGTTTCTATGTGAAAATTTGACCTGGCAGCCTCTTCAACGGCGCACAAGCTGAAGCCATGTGGACGGATGGAAATTGCAAGCACGTTTTTGCATATCGACCTGCGGGACCGTTGAAATATCAGCCCCGCGCGAAGATCCCAGCCGTCAAAGCTGACATGCTTGGGACGTCTGCGTGACAAAACATGAACGATTGTTATCTTTCGTAGTGGTCTCTCATGTACAGGCTAGAATAAAGTCATTGTCACCGAGATCGTCGAACTAAGATTGACGAAACATGGAGGTACATTTAACGCTTGCGAGCGGGCCGTTCCCAGCCCCGTTCGCTGGCAATGGTGCAAAAAGAACCCTACGAGTCTCTTGTCTTCGTGCGATCAGGGTAAAGGAAAAAAAAACCTGGGATATCGACATCCGGGCGCGAGCTTCAGCCGTCCGTGTGCAACGGAAGCAAACATGGGTATTCTTTGGGGGGGGCATTTGATGGGACATGCAAAATGCAGCCAGGAGTACACGCCACCTGCACGTAATTCCTGACGAACCCAGGGCCCCGGCAGATGAAGAGTGCTGTGCGGGAAAAGGACGTGATGAGTAGCGTCCCGAATCTTTCTCGTGAAGACGACAGATGCTCAGCGCGAAGGGCTGGGGAGGAGCAGTGCGAGGCCTTACGATAATTCCCCGGCTGGGGGTGATTAGAGCGGGAGGTGCAACACCAGATCTGCGTCTCTACAACGTGGCAAAAAAGGCGGTTGTCGAAACGCCGGGGCGGAAGGACGGCTTCCGCAAGCTTTCGTGGCCACACAGTCTGGTCAGCTGAACGGGGAGCGCCTGGAGAACCGGCAAGCGGTGGGCGCTTTGTTCCGTCGAACCAGTCAGTGCAGACAGAGTACCCATCGTCTGGCCAGGCGGTACGAGATTTGATTTTGGGAGCGGACCATGGCTGGTAGCAAAGGGCGAGAGATTGAGGACAATGCGAAAGCTTGAAGCCGCCACAAGGACACGGTGTCTGCGCATGCGTGGCGGCGATTGGTCTGCCCGGCCGTTGGAAAGGTGGTTCGAAGGAAAATATAACCCCACGCAGGACACCCCACGGGCTCATGCGTACAAGGTTGCTATCTTTGAGGGCGGCAGCCGTTTTGAAGATCTCTTACCACACGACCCGTGCTGTGCAAGAAGGCCCTGCATGGTCGGATCGAGTGCCAACTTTTGCGAGCTGCGATCGCGATAAGGCGACGACGAGCAGCGGTCGAAAAAGCGCCGCTGGGGACGATCAGGACGCCAAGCTGAAGTCAGGTCCTCCTCCGCGACGCGCTGACAGGCACTAAGCAACCAAGTTTCTTCATTGCTCGTCGTCGCAAAACGGCTCAGAGCAACGGTGGTGACGCTTGTGCGGCATGGCTTGCCGGGGGTTGGTTTCTGCACTCCAGCGCCAGCCAGACGCAGATACTGGGAAGGGCTCTGCACCTCATGCACGTTTCTGCAGAGCCACAATCCGCGGGCGACCGGGAGCGCAGAGCCCATCGACAGCCATCTGCAGCATGATACGGACGCGGACGTGGTGATTGGTCGGGCGAATGGTGTCACCGCCATCCATGATTTCGTCGAGTCCTTGGTGTCGTTTGTGATTTCTTTTGGCGACGCTGGTGGCAGCGGCTCAGCATACGCAGGCTTCGCAGGTCACGGCTGATGCGTCGAGCCAGGAAGAGGTTGCAAGAAACCGATTGATGGCAGCGAATGATGAGATGGACGGAGCGGGGACGTGAACTTATGCTTTTCTACCCCTCCCCGGAAGCCCTTGCCACGGGGAGGAGGAAGAGAGCGATTTCTGGACGGCTTCTGGCTCACCGCAGCGCGGCGGCTCTGATCTGTCAAACAGTCGAGCTCGTGTACCTCCGCGAGGCGTGGAAAAAGTGTGTTGCGTGAGAGCGCGTGGTTCCGTGGTGGGCATACGCGGCGCCATGGCAGCCGCTCGCGGAAGAGGAGGTCGAAGCGAGAGGCTAAGCGGAATTGCCATCCGATCTGCACCGCTCGGCTTGTTATCGAGAAATCCCTACGCCGCTGCGACCAAGTCACTTCCGTAACAAAGCTTGATTTCGAAGGTACCTGCGAATACATGCCCACATGGTGGGTGGCCGGGCAGCTTTCCACGCTGCAGTAGTCGGCTCAGACCGCTGAGGGGCGGCCGTCCAGGAAGGCATTAGCCATATGCAGGCGCAGAAATTACGGTACAGTCGTCTTCGCCCAGGTCTGGAAACGCTGAAGTCAAGATTCCAGCAGTTCCAGACCGGCCGTGTGCGTGCGTGCGGATGGGGGTGGATGCCGGGCCCTTGACTGAAGCTATAATTCATCACCGCAGAGCAGCCAGACGTCGACTGCACATTCTCCTTGTTTTCCTCCACGCTAACGGCTGCGTCTGCTCAGTGAAGAGGCAAGATCTGCTTCAGAGCACAGATCCGCTCGCCAGGCCTAGACTTTGCAGTGTGGAGAAGCGAATTGGCGTTCGTCACGGGATAAGACTCAAACTCGCCCATCTCCGCCATTTGCCTGCCTCACCACCAGCGCGCCCTTTTCCCTCCTCGATTCGTCCTCCCAAACGGCCTGGAGATCGACTTTGCGCAGTCTACTCTTTACATACCGGTTCACTGCCTGCGCTTGTGCGACAATTGACGCTTCCTTCGTACGTCTCCACCATTCGCCACTTGCAAACCTTTGACACGAGCCAGGCCCAACAAGCTTTTTGCCTATCCGGAGACAACCTGTCCCACGTCGCTTTGCCTTGGACAGCCGGTGCGGAAGCCAGTGTCGTTCACCGTGGTGCATGGTCTTTTTCTCGACAGGATTCTCCCACCGCTCCGCAATCTTTGCCGTACATCAAAAGGCGACAGCCGCAAAATTTGCCTGGAACAGAACCTAGATCATCAGTCTTGCTGCTTATGCCAGAGCACAATTCTTGACCGTCATCGACTTTGGCTCAGCGATCGTATCGCATGTCGAGTCCTTAAGCCGGCGTCTTTTGGGGCATACCGTGGGGAGGGTCTTCGTGGAGGGGTCGCCAGATTTTTTCCAGTCATCCTTACCTGAACGTACTCGCTACCTGCACGCCTTCTCCTTATCATGGCCGAAGTATTACCCGTCCAGGTTCCAGAAGGCCAGTCTTACTTCCCTGCCTCGCCTCTACGACGCTCTTCGCCCTCGCAGACCTCTATTTTCATAGGCCCTCCGCCATACTCCTCGCGAAAGCCTATTTACTCCGGCTCGGACGACCACATCGACTCGTTGCCGTCGTCGAATTCCTCATCCTCGCGCAATTCTCAGATCGACATCACCCAGCCATCTTCGTTCGCCTCGACGACTTCAAGCAGCACCCTGACGCTCGACACGACCACGACCTTTGACACGGACGACGGCTTGAACTTGCCTAGCTACGGCGGAGCCTACTTCGATGATGCAGACGACCAGCAATCGCCTACTAGCACCAGCGTACCGCAATCGCAACCTGAGACTACGTCAACCCGGAATGAGATTCCCTCAGCTATGCCAGAGAAAGTGCCCATATCCGAAGACGACACGTCTTTAAAACCAGAACCTTCGCGACACGTCGACTATCTGTCGCACGACTGGGTCGAGGAAGATATATGGTCTTCATGGCGGCATATTGTGTCGAAGCGCAAGATCTACGGTGAGCGATCACGGTTGGAGAATGCCTCGTGGCGTACCTGGGCAAAACAGAAGTACAGGCTTCGCACCGTCTCTCCCGAGACGTTGAATTGGTATGCTCTCGGCTTTGTCAATGTCGCTTTCTCTCGATCTGTGCAGACTAACAAACACAATCTAGGCTCAAGGATTGCGACGTCACCTGGCTGTACGGCCCGCTTCAGACGGCGCGAAACTACAGCATATCAGAGCCGCACACGGAACCGACGAGCAACTTGTCCAAGAACAACTCATTCTTGAACAAGAAGCCGATCCTAAAGAAGCGAAGCATGTCGGAGGTTATGCTTCAAAAATCGTTATCGAGCTCGTCGCTCGTGAAGCAAGCAGCAGCTGCTGTGCAGGCGCAACAACTCAGACCCAGCCTGCGGTCTCGACCTGAGCTCGGTCGTGCGCAGTCGGACTTCTCCGCCGTGTCATCGCGCACTCTGAGCACTGATACATCACACTCCTACGCGTCATCGCACTCCACCTCTGGCCTACAGACGCCTGAGCATGGAGAGAAGAAGCACATCCGCTTCGACGATCGCGTCGAGCAATGCATCGCCGTCGATGTCAAAGACACGGATGAGGATGACGACGACGATGAAGATTCTTGGAACAGAGACGAGAACGACAGCTCAGACTCGTCTTCGGACGACGGTCTGGTCATGATGAAACGGTCGAACAAGAGACGGCCGTTGGCACGCACGAACTCAAAGTCGAGCGTGGCAGAGAACAAAATCATTGAGAAACTCGAACCTACCACGCTCAAGTACCGGACCGATTCGCCGGACGTGCCGGACGTACTCGACGCGGCAACGTCGCACTCGCTCGGGACGAGCTTCTGGAACAGGAAGGGCAACCTCTCACCTTCACCCTCGCAGGAGACGCTGCGGCCTTCGAATCCGTCGAGGAATTTTTTATTGCCAGAGGAGGACGACGATGGTGACCTGTCCTGGGAGCCGTCCTCCGCATTCCCCGTCTCATCCTCATCCTCTTTCTTGGGAGGAAGAGATGGAGCCTCCCGGGTGGCCGAGCAAGACGATGGCTACGCAGTTGACTTTCTAGTCCAAGACGATGAAGGCGTCGCCAGCGGCAGCATGATGCGACGCACGGAAAGTGGGATGCTGATGCCCTACGACGAGGTGGAAGACAGGAGAGACTTGGGGCTGCTTGGGAGGGTTGTGGACACGGTGAACACGGCCCGAGATATCGCGCACGTCATCTGGAACGTCGGGTGGAGAACCTGAGATGTCTGAGAGGTACCGCTCTTTTCCCACAGTCGGTGGACGCCTTTTGAGACGCTCTTGGACGAGATTTTATGGGGATCCTGCCCACTTCTCCCTCTCCTCAAAAGAAAAAAGCCATCCATTTCTCTGCTCCTCCAACCATTTGACTAATGGGACTGGATCAGAACCGACGAGGGGGCTGGTTGGGCAACATTCTCTCTGAATCTAGGAAGTTATCACATGGTAAGGCTGAGCATTACTGCATGTCCTCACAGATCTGGACGGCCGTGGAGGCCTGTAAATATATACGCACGCATGCTGGAGGTCACGCAAGACCGGGAAAAAAAACAAAAGCCGGGTTGGATCCAGCAACGTTCATACACAAGGGTTGGCATTTTGTGATATTTTGGATCTGGACGATTGGGATTTCCAATCAATCTGGCCTGCTTGTGGGAATTTTTTTTTCTTTAATTTTTGTCTGCTTCATGTGAGCGTTGGCGAAAAAAAGCGTCGTGACATGCACTCGCCGTCGACGGGCTATTCATATTTACCGCTCGTCTTCTGTCGTGTGCTTTTCTTTTTGGGAAATCTTGGACTACATCACGGGATACGAGAAGCGACACGACAACAACGGTTCACCAGAATGGATACTGCTACGGAGCTGGGGATAAGGGGGGGTGGGAGGCATCGGGATACTGGACGGAGCAAACGCACATGGGAGCTGGATTCTGTTTTCTGCGCTCGGGGATGGTACTGGAGGGTTTGGGCTGGTGTATCATTAGACAGGTTCGAATGCACATTCCTCACAGGCAAGTCAGAGCGAGCGTCTCGGAGGTCGAGCGAAGAAGGACGTCGTCTTTCTCGTTCCGCTGTTCTTCGTCTTCGTCACATGCGACCCGGTTTCATCCATTTCTTTTCTTCCCCGTGTTGCGGGCGCCCGCAGTTTGGCAAATCTTTTTCCCCGTCGAATCGCGCCGGGCTCGTACGGTCGCGAGAGCACACCAAGTACGTGCAGGAGAGGCGAAGATAAGGAGACAGCACGCACATGCAGAGTGCCCCTCCCAAGTACGGACCTGTACCCCAGGCCAACGGCGCATGTGTCCTGCAAGACATTCGCCCATTCGCAGAACAAAAGTCCCGTCCCCGGCGCGTCCAAAGCTCGCCGGCGGCAGCAACGCAGACGTTCTTCGGGCGCTGCGTGACGAGTTTGAAGCGCGTTCCTGCTCTGTGCTGGGTCGGGGCACGTGGGGCCGTGCGTGCGTCCGACCGTGTGGGCCCGTCACATCCTCGAGGTTCCTCTGTCCTGGCGCAACCGTCGGGACAGACTCCAGCAGTCGCATGCTGATCTCGTGCTTGTGTGTCTACTCTCTCTCATTGCGGATTCCTTTTTTTTTTCCCTGTGCTTCTCTGTGCTGGGCGACGATGCGTGCGTAGTTTCGTGGCTGCGTTATACCAGTCTCCCGCACCGATTTCTTTCCCCTGCGTACTCTTCGATACCGTCGCCCTCTTTCATATTCCCCCCCCCCCCCCTTTCGTTCCTTTCTTTCGTCCGTGGCGTAGCGTCGAGGTTATCTTCTCAGTGCGCCCAATACTCTCCCCACTCCTCCAAGCTCTGGCTGTGTTCGTACTGCGCGAAACACGGAGATCCTGCCCGTCGGTTCGCTCGATCGCTCACGGTGGACAGACGTCGCAGGGTTGAACCGCGGAAATGGACAATGTCAACATCACAGACCTGGTGAGAAGACTTGCCAGCAATGAGGATAGCGTGCGCAAGATGGCCGTCTTCAAGCTGCAGTCCAGCATTGGCGACCCTTCGTTCGCCGACGTGTTCATCATGGAAGGCGGATTGCCCAAGCTGGTGCATCTGACGCTGTACTCGAGCGGCAACACGCTGGCTTATGCGCTCACGAGTTTCTCGCGTCTGCTCGAGCTGGACAAGGGATGGGAGTATGTTAGCGCCGAGTTGATAGAGAGAGTACGTGATGGCGATTTCACCAAACGACCCTGGCCTCTTTTGGAACAGCGTGTCTAACGGTCTACGTACAGGCAGTGCAACTCGTGGTCACGCAGCCGCTCGTCAACATCCTACGTAGCGCCGTCTCCGTCCTCGTCGCTATCGTATCGCATCCGTCCACCAGCGCCGCAGGCCCGGGCAACTTTGGCTTCAGGGCCCTCAAGCCCGCTGTGGCCGTGTACCCGCAGTTTTTGTCCATGCTGGTCTCCATGCTGTCTTCGGCCGAACATCTGCTGTGCGCCAATGCCTTGCAATTGATCAACTCGCTGGTCAGGGATGTTGTCACAAACGACGCGGAGACGGAATGGCCCAAGTTCATCAAGAAGCTGCAGGATCTGGGCGTCATCAAAGCCGTGTACTTGCTGATGCAAGGCACAGCCCTGCAGGATCTTGCGCAGCCCCTACTCGAGTTCCAGAGCTTGACCAAGATCATGCTGCGGAAGTGGAGGGAGGTCAAGGTCGACCTAGAAAAGACGGACCACAAGCGCGCGCTGCGAAGCATAAGCGCTGCGTCGTACCAAGACGACAGGCACAGAGATCTTGGCAGCAAGAGGCACAGAGACCCAGAACGCTGGCGCCGCGTGGGTTTCGAGACCGAGCTTCCGGGTAGCGAATTCGACGACACGGGCTTTCTCGGCATGATGGACCTCACCGACTTTGTGATGAAGAATGAGGATCAATTCCGCAAGCTCGTCCTGGAGCAGAGCACGAAATCTCCCACGCAGCGCGTTCCGATCGCACGGGCAAGCCTGGCCGTAACACTGGTCTTGTACGAACATTTCGAGATCGACAAAGGTGAGGCAGACGACAGCGTGCGTCTTGCCGTGCTGGAGAACAGGGCAAATTTCGAGAAGGCGTTCAAACCACTGCTGCTGCACTGGTCGCGGTTGCACACCGCGGGACTGAACGCGTTTCTCAGGCTGTGGAAGGCCACGGGCGCGGAGACGGAAGACTTTGACAAAGTCGTCGAGCTCGTCAGGATTCTGGTCGAGCAGGTCGTCGGCCAGGCGCCGAGGACAAAGGACATTGCCGAGGCCGAAGTCGAGATGGGTGAGTTCGACTATCGCCGGCTGAGGGAGCTGCAGATGGAATTGCTGGATCTAGCGTACGAAGACGCGTGGGGACATCACTTGAGGTACGCGGGGCCCATCACCAAAGCTCACAGACAAACCCGGTCTACGTACTAACTCCTCGGGCAACACAGACAAGTTCGCGACGAGCTCCAACATGAAGCTCTCCAGTTCGTCAAGGAACAACGGATCCGATGTCTGCTGAGCGGGGCATGGTTCCCGCATTCTACTGCCTTCATCGAATCCGGTCCGGTGACCAAGCACTCGGTCAACAAGCCCGCCCCTTCGAACTGGCGTTTCGTGCGCCTTTCCCACAACAGGCGGTATCTTCACTACGCCGATTTCGACACGAAACGGCCTCCGGGCCAAGAGCCGGCACTTGACGATCTGCCCGACAAGATCGATCTCTCGCAAGTCTCGTCCGTCGTGTCGAACGTATCGACCTCACCTCCGGGAAGCGCTCACAGCGAAGCGAGCACCCTCAAGGGTGCCGCCGGTACCGCCCCGTCAGGTGGGAAGGTCGGCGTGCACTTCATGCCCGGAGCGTCCGCCACGACGCTGGCAAGCTCAAACGGCACGGGCGGAAACAGCGTGAGCAAGAAGAACGGGGAGGTGAAGCCGCTTCAGAAACCGACTCCGAACCCGTCGACGCGCATCACCATCCACGGGTACGCGTCTTCGCGCAAGGCCCCCGCCGCCGCCGAGCAGCAGGAGACCGTGCTGCTGCAGCTCCACCCGCCAACGCACACGCTGGCCTCGGAGTGGTTGGACGGCCTGCTCATGCTGCTCAACCAGAGCCCCATTACGGCTGACACGAGCAAGCTCGTCAACCTCATCGCCGGGTACGGCCTGAAGATCAGACTCTTGAACGTCAGATTCGAGGAGGAGCTGGTCAGGCGCGAGGGCGAGGTCAAGATGCCCAGCCGGGAAGGCCTGGACGAAGATTATTGGTATGACATTGGAGGAATGTGAGTCGGTGCTTGAGCTGTTTTTTTCTTTTTTTTTTTACTTGTTGGATTTCTACGCGAGAAGTTTTTGTATTCTTCTCATTTTTTGTTTTTGGGATTTCATCGCAGAAAACGGGCTGCAAAAGTGCTCAGAAAGGTATGCTGCAGCATTGCAAAAGGAGGGAATTTCTTTTTTGTGTGTGAGTACAGGACTTATTGTGTGAGCGTGCGGCTGAGCGTACTTGTGTGCGTGCGTGTGCTAGATACCCCGCCCTTTTTTTTGGTGAAAACAGGGAGAGGCGGAATAGGGAACTTGTACAAATATATCACCGTGGCGAGAGTATTGCCAGAAAAACAAAAGGGGACCAAACTCGACGGCCGTCATTGAAAGGACTTGAATCCTGGGATGCCTATACAAGACGCTTCGCGCGCGCAGATGCGTGTGTGTTCACATTTTACTTAGAGCCGGCTTTCCAACGCCGAATTCTCTACAAAGCGTGTACCTGTCGGTCTTCGAAAACGTGATCTAATATTTGTTTCTTCTTGTCCGCAGAAACTACTGTTGCCCTTTCGTCGTAGATTTTTTTTCCCGCCAAATTACAAGCCCGTGGTATTCCAACCCCCGACCCATTGTTCCCCTTGCTCAGCAAAGAAAGGACGCGTACGGAAAAGCGGTTTCGCCGGTCGTGGTACTAGTACAGTTGAACCTACATGCCCACGGATTCCTCAACGAGCACACCCTTGTAAAGTGAATCGGCGTTTCTACCGTCCAAACCTCATCTGGGCCTTTGCGAAGTTGCACAGGGCTCTCAAAAACACCTGATAGCCGACGCCCTCCGTGTTGTCCTTCACGCAGAAGATCTCCGTCAACCGCACCTGCCACGGCGGATATCCCTCCAAGACGATCTTAGGCCCGAACACGATAAGCAGGTCCGGCTCGCCCATCACCGACTCGCTGATCTCGGCGTCGATCAGCTCCGTGGAAATGTCCGCGGGCGAGAGCTTGGACTTCTGCGCCATCTCGGCGAGTGTTTTCGTGAGGTCGACCAGTGTGGACCGGCCGTCCTCGGCGGAGAGCAGCAGGACGCTGAGGTGCTGCGGGTGGGAGTCCGCGTCCAATTCGGACGCGAACTCGGGCGGCGTGTTTGGAGGGCTGTAGGTCGACATGTTGGGCGCGCGGACGGAGACGGTCGGGCAGTTGGAGTACGGCGTGTTGCCGAAGTAAGCCTGCAGCGTGCGGGCGATGGAGTGGTGCGTGTGCGGAATGTATCTCTTCAGTATGCCCGTCCTCTCGTACACGCTTAGCGCGGGTATGCCGGCGCTCGCACACCAAGCCGCTATCTCGGCGACATCATTGACCAGCTTCTCGAGACCGGTGGAGTTTGCGTCCTCGGGTGAAAGCGTGAGGATGACGGACAGGTGCTGGGGAAGCTTGGAGAGGTGCCGTACGTCCTTGCGGATCAGCTCGGGCGTGCGATGGTGGTAGTATAGCACGGCTAGTATGCGTTCAGATACGGCGTGGTATGCGATGCGAGTGCGGATGTACAGGCCGAAGATGAACTGAATGACGGTGTAGACGAAGATGTGGAATTGCGTCTTGATCAGGTTGCGGATCGGCTTGTTACGGTGGGCGGCCACGGCTTTTTGGCGAGTCGTCGGCGTCACAGTCGTGGTTGAGCTGGATGTCTTTCGGATAACGTTGCTGGACTTGCTGTACGTCCCCGTTGACGTCTGTGAAACCGCCATGTCCTGTGTTCGTGGTGTGGGCAGAAGGCGCTTGAGCAGTCTCTCACGCTCTTCGGCAGTCAACTCCCTCCCGCTTGTTGTCGTGTTGCGGTGGAAAGCAATGGATTCTTCCTCGGTGAGGCCCATCCTTACACTGTCCCGGAACTAGTTCTTGTTGAGGGCGGGCGGTGAGATCCGGGAACGACAGTTTGTGTGGCGTTCGTGCAGATTGTTTGGCAGAAAGAACGGGATCGACTGGCTGGCGATGAGCTGGTGATGAGCTGGTGAGGGTTGGTAGACGGGGAGGAAGAAAGGAAAAAAGAGCGACAAGAAGCGAGCGTCAGGAAGAGAGACAGCGTCCTGTAATAGCCAAGCGAGTAGAAATGTGTCGTGTCAACCTCGATGACCCTGGTCCCAAGGTGAAGTGATGAAGAGGCGCAAGCTGCTTTCGTAATCTGGGCAGCCGCAGTTGGTGACGATTGGTGAGTCTGTCTAGAGGGGGGGAGCGCCAGTTTTGGGCGGGTGAGGGCGCTAATTCTGGGGACTTCTCGGGGGGTTCTCTTCTGGGCCTGGGGCCCTGTTGCAGGAATGCTGCAGCTCAGCCTTATCCGTACAAGTTACGGGGACTAAACGTAGCCTGTCGCGGACCTCCGTCGTTCACCGCAGCTGTGCGGATTGTCCCCCCGAGACCAGTATCGAAGCCACGCAAACACACCAAGGATCACTGTTGAGATTGAATTCACGCGATCAGCTCTCCCTGGCGCGCTGTCGCATGTCCCACGCGTAATCCCATGACTGCTAGGTAGCGACACAATGCCCCCGCGTCCAGCGGAGCGAGACTCGCGCCTCTCGATCGGCGCCCGCAATGTGCCCAGCTTCAGCCTCGACACCTTCGCCAGCAAGGACTTTATCGTCAAAGACTTTATAGAGAACCTGTCCGAATCCGCAATCCATCCATCGGGTCGCCGCTCTGCTCCTGCAAGCACAGCAGCGTCGACAAAGGAGGCGTTCGACCCGAAACCTCTGATTCGCGCCTTCGAGGCTACGCTCGCTCGACTGGGCTCCCTTTCTGAGGAACTGAATGAGCAAGAGACTGAGTTGAGTGCTAGTGTACGACGTGCGGAAGCTCAGCATAATTCCAACGTGGCCAGCTTGAGCAAGAAGCTCGAACAGGCAATAGAGCAGTTCAATCGGTTAGACAACACGTTGAATGGCAGCGATGCTTCTGGCAGAGATGGGCCGGACTCTGGAGGAGCTTTTGCGCTGAGAACGGGAGAACGGTTGGAAGAGTTGGAACGGCAGCATAAACGAGCACAAGACGCAAAGTTCTTGATACAGTGCTGGAACGAGGTCAGCGAGAAGAATACGCTTGGTCCGCTCGAGGACATGCGCCGGAGCGGAGGGAGCGACAAAAAAGTACGGTGTGCGAGTATTGCGCAGCAGCTTCTCAAGATCAGCCATAGACTGGATCCGGAGCCCACAGTGCGGCAGACAAACGGCACCAGCAAGAGCCTAGGTGTCAATGGCACTTCAAACGGCAATAGCAAGAGCCAAAACGGCAGCGCAAACAACAGACTGAGTTCCAATGGTAATGCGACCCGCGAAACTATAGAGCGATTCCTCGAATCGCTCGAAAAAGACTTGCTTGATCAGTTCGACGACCATTATCGTCGTCAGAACTTTGAAGGGATGAAGGAGTGTGCCACGGCACTACGCGACTTTAATGATGGTGCTTCCGTCATGGCGCTCTTCGTCAATCAGCATAATTTCTTCATTGACCGCAGCCAGCTCGTCACTGACGAAATAGCTGGTGATGAGGAGACCTGGGCACGGATTGGAGACCCAGATGCGGAGCCTCCTGGTGTCGAGCCGGGGCTGCAGGCACTGATTGATGAGGTTAGGCTTGTGCTGCAAGACGAGAGTTTTTACATAAGACGGGCGTTTCCGTATTATGAGGAAGTGCTGACGAGATTTTTGCAAAGGGTTTTCCAACAGCCAGTATGGAGCACGTTCTGCATATATTGACGATAGAAACTAACCAGACTGAAGATACAACAACGTCTTGAAATGGTACTCCAGAAAGCCGAGTCGATATCTTCTCTGGCATTTCTTAGGACGCTTCAGGCCTCACGGAGTTACATCGGTGCCCTGGTGGACGATCTGAAAGCCCACGGCCTAACCGAGCATCCTGAACCTGCCTCAGCGCACATCTCATCCGTCCTTGACCAGCAATTGGACGATTTGTTCGTTCCGTATCTGCTGGGCTCATCGTACATTGAACGCGAAAAGAAGTCACTGGAGGAGCTGTACTCGTCGCTGCTGCTTAAGTTCACCATCTACCACTCAAGGCGGCAGAAGAAGCCGACCACCTATCTGGACCGCCTCGGTCAGCGAGGCCGCCAACTTATGGATTCTGCGAGAGACGCCTATATGGAACGTTTGGATTCATCCGAGCTCTCAGCTTCGCAAAAAGCGATGCTGCTTCGTATTGCAGGCGTCAAAGACGAAACACCTGCCGGGGGTAAAGCCAAAGCCGAGATCGAGGTCACAGAGGAGGACGGAAAGCTAAGTGTGGCTACCGCTAAACGCATGCTACGTTGGCTGGCTGAGGGGGTAGGCCGTGGGTTGGAGCTGAGCAGCCCGACTGAAACGCCGAAAGATGTGCAACAACTGCTCGGCCTTTTGTTCACTCAAATGGGCGAAATCTACCTCAACTCGGCGTTAGAGGCCACACTCGAGATGACGAATGCGCAGAAAAACAACACGAAAACGGACCCGGATCTGGACTTTCTGCCAGACTTACGGACGTCGATATCAATACTGCATCTGCTACAAACAAGCGTGAGCACGATGCTTTTGCCACTTGCCACCCCAAATGTCACCGTGAGGCGGGATATTGAAAAGACGGCCACCAGCACGCTGAACACGCTCGAGAACAAAATTTCCACCATTCTGCATGAGACTTTGGACACGGTCGTGGCCTGGGTGTACAAACTGCTTGCAAATCAACGCAAGACGGACTTCAGACCCAGAGACGAGGATTTAGCAAGTGCTATTGAGTCTACGCCCACGTGCAAGAGCATAACCACCTTCCTCACCAAGGTCCAACGCCTCGCTTCGCTCGCTTTGGACGGCGGCAACCTGTCCAATTTTCTCGGGGAGGTTGCTTCGGCACTACGCGCCGCGCTCTTGGAGCACCTGCGCAAGTTCGTTGTCTCACTCACGGGCGGGCTAGTCGTCTCCTCCGACGTGACGAAGTACAACGAATTGGTCAGAGGATGGCCGCTGAAGGACACTGCGTTCGAAAAGGAGGGTGGCATGGACATCCTAGTGGAGGTAGCGAATCTGTTCGTCATCAGCCCGGACGCTCTCCGGGAGCGGCTACGGAGCAGTGCGGAGGCAGGGAAGGTGGAGGTCGCGGAATTGAAAAAGTTTGTAGAGAGGAGAGAAGATGCCGGCAGCGTCGGTGTGCAAGCTGTGCTGAGCGCTCTGTAAGAGTCGACAATGCATGCACTTGGGTCTGACAGCATGGCTTGCACCTTTTTCTTGCGACATCAATGCGCAGCGCAGAGATGGAGCCTCGTACTTGGTCACCGTTATGCATACGCGTTTTGCGAGTTGCGGTCATAGCGTACGCCGTTGGATTGGTTTTTATTTTTTTTTTTTAAAAAAAAAAAAGAAAAAAGAAAATTCGAAGATTGCTGGTTCCAGAAGACTTTCGCTTTCTTGATGCGACTGCATTGGCACCATGCAACACGAGCGGTTACCAGAGGGCCGTGAGTTTCACCTCTGCAGAGCGAGCAAACCTTGGGGGGGGGGGGGGGGGAGGGGGTGTCAAACTTCGCAAACAATTTCATTTTGATAGTAGCGTCTACAGCTGTCATGCGATAGCGACCAGGCCTGCGCGTGTTACGTCTGCGTCGAGTGCGTATATTCAACGTCACCCTTTTCCAACTCCCCATCGACGCTCCCTTTGTCCTCGCCCGTTTCCACCCTCGCCAGCAAGCTGTCCCTCCAGATGCTGTGTTGACGTCGGGCGATCTGCGGGCTCACGCTGGAGTTGCGTCTCATCTCCTCCTGCTCTTTCTCCAGATACTTCGCGGGACGCTTGGAACTTTTCGCGTCAGGGTCCGTGAAGACGAGTATGTTTCTGTTGTCGTTGAAGAAGCGGTCGACGTCCTCGAGAGAGCGATCTGCCGTTTCGGGGTAGAAGAACTGAGCGTGTTAGATGACGTGGAATGCGTTCAATACTGAGACCGCATGGTCGTGACTCACGTATACAATCGGGACGAAAGAGGCATTCAGGATTGTCCATACGATGTAGAACTTCCACTGGAGATGTTGGATTCCTATAGGAGTGATCTCAACAACTAGAAGGTCGGGTCAGTATCGATGAGTTTATTGGAGTGGATTCAATTGGATTACCCATGAAGTTGAAAATCCAATTCGTTGCAGTGCCAGCGGCTGCGCCCTTTGTTCTCATCGCGAGCGAGTTGATTTCGGTCGGATACAGCCAAGGTACGCCCTGCCAGCCGATACCAAAAAAAACATAGTACAGGAAGAAGAATGCAATTGAGGCTTTCGCTACTTCTCCAGAATGCGGGTAGCCAGGTTTCTCATTGTAGCGAATAAGAACGGTGATGAGCAGGTAGCAGAATGCCTGACCTGCAGCGGCGTACATCATCATCTTCCGCCTCCCCCATCGTTCGACGTTAGGAATGCCGATGAGGGAGAATAGAAGGTACGAGACGGAATTACATGCGGCCAAAAGGCGTGCCATGGTCTCCGTCTGACCGACAGACTCGATCAAGACCGTAGGGAGATAATACGATGTGACGTTAATGCCGGACAATTGCTGCATCGCCTGCGTGCCCATACCCAGGATGAGACGTCGAATAGTGCAGGTGCCTCCATCGTTGCCCGTGCGGCCACGAAGAAGATCTCTCCAGCGGACTGAATTCTCTCGCTCATAGTCGGCAGCCCATTGAATGTCCTTGGACTGTGTGATGATGAAAGGGTCGTCAACATCTTTATCCTCGATGTCGGCTAGGATCACGTCGGCCTCCTCGATTCGTCCTTTGCCGATGAGCCATCGCGGAGACTCTGGCAGCCATGGCACGGTGCCGTACAGTATAGCGATGAAAATGAATTGTATCGCCAACGGGATGCGCCAGGCTACGCCACCACCAAGGAACGAGAATCCAAAGGTGACCCAATTGGACAGCATGAAGCCGAATATATTGCAGATCTAATTAATGAGATCAGCCGCGCTGTCTGATTAGCACGCAAACATAGCTTACCATCTCGATGACAACGAGCTTCCCGCGCCAGCTGGCTTTGGAAGTCTCGCCTTGCCAAACGGGGGCCGTGGCCGTATTCAATCCGTTCCCGATGCCTGCTACGATCCGTCCAACAATCATCTGTGGTACTCCAAACGCAGTGATCTGCAGAAGGGCTCCTACGCTCATGACGGTTGTACCCAGGAGAATGGTCTTCTTCCTGCCGAGAGGATCGCCGACGACAAATGCAAAAATGGCGCCCATGAAGCAACCCACGTCGTATATTGCGGTCACGGTAGCCAGCAGGGTATTGTTTGTGCGAAGATTCATGATGTTCAGGTAGTCGCTGGTGACAACTACACCTCCAAATACACCCTGGTCGTATCCAAAGAGCGTCATGTCTGTAGCGCAGGCAACGGTGACCCAAAAGGTCAACCAGTCTACGAAATTGTTAGCAGCTGACAGCGTACTTGCAGATGAATAAACACTTTCCCCCTTTCAGACCAAAATACGGTTTCATAGCGAGAACACGTCACGATTCCAGTAAGGTTATGATAATCCACCAAGATGTAGTTCAGGACGGGTCATTTGCTTGAAGATCGAAATTGCGTCGAACGGTCCGTTGAATATAGACTGATCCATCTTATATAAAAGTATCTTCGTGCCAGAGATCACTTGTACGGTACACTCTTTTTCTCTACGACATGGAGTATGCGAAAATGCCATCATAATGCGTTCTTGTGCAAACAATCACACGTTCTCTACAATGTGAAAAAAATGGATGACGATGGGGCTGCATGGATTCGATGTTCAATACGCGGGGTTTTGTTTGTCGTCGCTGTGCGCTACACCTTAGTGAAGGTGCCCTCTCAACGATGGAGCCAATAAATAAGCATCTGGAAGTACACGATTCGCTGGAGCTTAGTTGACATCTGTGGCGGAACAGAGATCGACAAGGCTGTCGGTGACGTTTGGTGTCCCGTGAGCAGCGATCCAACAGTGTAAAATCCGAGGAAGATCTCCCGACTGCGAGCCAATTAGCAGGATAATGTACAATAGTAGACAAGCTAATAACAATGCTATGCAAAGGCAAGCGGCAACTATGGCGTTGCTTATGCCACGAACGTTGTCTTCTATTTCTTCCTAAATTTTTTTTATTTTCATCGGCATTGACTATCTCACCATCTACAATGCAAGAATCGTCCTTCAATGATTGAGTTGGTAATCTGTCAGGTCAAATCAATTGCGACAAAGTTTTATCGAGTTCAACGGGAGAAGAATGAGGATGATGCTGGAAGGGAAACTTGCATTTGTGTCGACATTAACTGTACTATATGAGGGCGAATGAAAAAGTCCGTGACCGGTGGGCGAACCAGAGTCAAAGAGTAAGAGCGATGCTCGGATGACGTGCAGATACTGCCAGCAGGTTCAAAAGTGGACTATATAAATTAATACATTCAATGCATCCTCCACGCCGTTCTGACAAGCAGAACTCCACCGCACAGTTGTTAGAAATAGCTTTCTAACGCAGAGTCCGATGTGGTGTATCGGCTAGCATCACCCGCTTTCACCGGGTAGAGCCGGGTTCGACTCCCGGCATCGGAATCATTTTTTTGCGATTTTCCTCTCTTTCATTTTTGCGGACTCACGATTCTACTTTGGCCTCGCTGGACGGCTTGGGAAGACACGCGTGATTCAAGTAAAATCTATGTATTATATTCTTCTACATATCCTTACAGATTAGAATTGGCGATACGGATCCGTCAATGGTGTTATCGTCTCACACAATCTCTATTGAATAGACGCCATTGACTGTGTCGAAACTATTCTTCCTTTAAGTTTCTTACCAGCTTGCTACCGGGCTCTGGGGTCAAATGGAAGAGCCCTGCGTTCTCATACTCACAAAAGAGTAGGACTTCATCGCAGCTAAGCACTTCAATGGTTGACTTGCTTTCGAAACCTTGGGCCAAAAATGTGCTCTTGGCTTCAACTCACCAGTGAAGCATTGGCAGTGGCAGCTGTTTGCAGCGTGACCGACGCTAGCAAGCTGCAGTGGCGTTGAGGTGTCATTTCACTCTCGATCAACCCCTTGAGCAAGACGTTCTCATAGTCTGTCACTGGTGTTACTGCAAGCCTAGTTTTTCTTGCTTTGTTTCGAACGAAGAACATGTCTGGCAGCACCGCAATTGTCAACACTTTTGAGAGCGCACCCTTCGATCCAACGGGCTTCAGCAGCTTGAATACTGAGCAACTAGCCGCTCTTAATGCCGTTTCTTACAATGATCTTGCCATCGTCGCATCTGGCGAGCCCCGCAAAGGCGCGCTTATCCCGAGTTTCTTGAGACCTCAGAGGCAAACTTCGTCGCTGTGCCGTAGCTGCCGTGCCATCGACTTTGGCGTGCTGCTGGACGGCCCAATCCGCATCTTTTCGAAGAAGATGGTGCGAATACGCAGAGAAGCAGAAAGCTGTACATTCTGCAGCCTCCTCCTGAAAAGCCTCTCCTTGCTGTACCCGGATCTCAACCGGGTTTCCAAGGGCTACTGTGTCATCACGGCCGCACCATCAGTGGGTGGAGGTTCTCTGAAGAAGTCTTGGTTGTGGTTACGTTGGCAATCGCAGAAGTTGAAGAAAAATGAGACCGTCGCTCGTGATCGACCATGGGTAAGTCTGGATGCTCCTGATGACGATGTCCCAACAGTCGCGTCTGCTATCGCGCTCCAGTTATTTGGACCTCCGAAATCAAAAGATCACTGTGAAACATCAAACCTATTGCTTGGTAGGCAAGTCCAGCCATGTGCAGATGTCGCGCTTCTGCGGTCGTGGTTGAATATCTGTCAAACCAGTCATGAACAGCAGTGCGAACCCATGCGATTTCCTGGAAACTATTTCGGTATGAGAGTAATCGATGTTCAACGTCGATGCGTCGTCTTCGCACCGGAAAATTGTCGATATGTCGCCCTGAGCTACGTCTGGGGTGAGGCAAGGCAGTTGTTACTTATCGATGAGACACTGTCCCAGCTTGTAGATCTCGATGGTGCATTGGCCGACAACAATGTATCAGTCCCGATGACTATAAGAGATGCGATGCTTCTTTGCGAGATGTTAGGTGAGAAGTATTTATGGGTGGACGCTTTGTGCATTCAACAGGACAGCGGTGATGACAAAGCACGACAGCTTAACGCGATGGGTTCGATATATCAATGCGCCGCTTTCACTATTGTTGCTGCGTGCGGCGACGGCGCAAACTGCGGGTTGAGCGGCATTCGCCCTGGATCTCGAGTTGTCCAGCAACACGTCTCGCAAATCGATTCGTTTGCTCTAGGGTGTACACTTCCTCTATTCGTCGATTCAGTCTTGGACTCTGCATGGCATAGCCGTGGGTGGACCTGTCAAGAGAAGCACCTTTCGAGTCGCTTGTTGATCTTCACTGCCGGGCAAGTGTTTTGGCGATGTCGTACGAGTACGTTTTGCGAAGATGTGTACCTTGAGACATCTTCCGAGTCAAGCACAATATCGCGTCGCCTTGAGACTTCGCGGATTAGAAATTTCATGATTTCACAGGACAGTGATCCGCACAGTCGACTAAGTCAACTCCTCGTCGACTATACAACACGCCAATTGAGGTATGACTCGGACGCTCTTGACGCTGTGTCGGGTATTCTAAGTAAATTCGCCCCAACGTTTACCTTCTTCTGGGGACTTCCGATAGAGAATATGGTCGAATCACTTTACTGGCACTCCCCGTCAGTCTCTGTGGTCGAGCGCCGTCCAAACTTCCCAAGCTGGTCCTGGGTTGGATGGAAAACGCCGATTCACGGCAATTTTTTACCAGGCGGCGGTCACCCTATCAAAGATAGATATCCGCCAGTCTATCCCATCACAAAGGTCTTTCGGTTGGGAAGCCGTGGACAGTGTCTACCACTTGATGACGATGATGCAGTCGAGATGATCAAAGAGGTTGATCGACTGGACGGCCATTCCTTCGTCTACGAGCCGTTCAGAGACTGGCAATGGAATGGTGGAGATTTCCCCGACGATCCGTATGACAAGCCTTACGCATGGTATGCGAACAATCAATGGCCTCTCGAACCTCCACCCCTAACACCGGAGGAATGGCTTCAATTGCGGCCAATACGGAAGAAGATTCTACGCTTTCATACGTGGACATTCAAAATCCGCGTTGGGGTTGATCAGATGCGAGGAATAGAGCGAACCGAGCGTACACAGCGCTATTGGTTACATGGCACGTCAGCATCGATCTGGCTTGACCGTCAGTGGCGTGAAGCGCAACAAGAGAAGCTCATGTTCATGGCTCTTGCACAAAGAAGATTTCCAAACTGGGGGGCTACGACGATTGACTTCTTCTTGATTTGCTTTGAAGAAAAGGATGGAGTAGCGTATCGTGTACAACGGGTTGACAATCAAATTGACTCAGATGGAATATTGTTCAGTAAATGTGAACCGGAGTGGAGAGTGATCAATCTTGCATAGCGTCGTCAATGAATCGACAGGGGGCAGATTGGGATCAAGAATCCCATTAAGCTAATTCCCACTTGATTCAGAATGGGACGAAACGTTGATCTTTTCAGGTTGCACACATCTTTCACTTGTTTCGTCCGTCGAACATAACCTTCGAAAGCAATGCTTTGACGTGGAATCGTCTCGACGACATCACGTGTCTCAAAGCTACTGTCTTCTGCCGAAGATGGAGCTCTACAAGCCGACATAACGATAGCTCAAAGCTCCTCACAGCGTTTTAGCCAATCAAAAAATACGATCTTGTCCCTACCCCAGATTCTGATAAGAGACGGGAGTAGAAGCAATGCCTTGATGCGATAGGGAACACCATCGCACCCTATTCTTAGCTGTGTTGTGTGCAAACGTCGAGCAGGTTGTAACATGTAAAGAAGCCACACGATGCCGAAACTTCGATCAAAGACTGGCTGTCTGACTTGTGAGTCGCCAAGGCAAGAAAAAACGAGAGTCCTACATGCTCCTCCTGACATCTGAAAGGTCGCAGCCGCCGCAAAAAATGTGACGAGACTCGTGATAGATGCGAAAATTGCTCTCGGAACGCTCTCAAGTGCTCTTGGCCCACGAAGGACCAAGAAAAGGATAGGAGGCATCGGCCGCGGAAAGACTTGCGCCACGATCCGATAGGCGACGGCGAAGGAATTCTGGCATTGATACGCTCCAGTGGCCATGTTATGCCCCTCGACGACCCGTTGTTGCAGAGCACATTCTCATCCGCTTCGCCGATAACACGTACGCCCTTCCAATGGCGATTCCAAGCACAGCTTGTGGAATCGCCGTCGGCCACAGAGGAATCTAGCTCACCCATTCTGCTCGCATATTTCGTGCACGAATTCCTACCCCGTCGCATCCATCCCCGCTCTGATCGGCAGTACTTCGATTTCTCCTACACGTACGAGCTTGCGCGGTCCTGCCCTACTCTTCGATATGCCTGTTCGGCGTGTGCGATGTGCGCATTGGCCGAGAAATCTCAAGCTCAAGAACTGGCGTCGAGGGCCCATCAATTTTACTCCCAGTCCATCTGTTCTCTACGACGTGCGCTCCAAGGAGGAGCATGCGACGGCACTGAGGATTGGCTCCTAGCAACCGTGGTTACATTATGCTTGTACGAAAATCGAAAACCTGAATATGACCCTTCCGCTGTCGCAGCTCACATCGCAGCTGCCGGCCAAGTTTTCAGGAAACGAGCTCAAATGAGCGCAAGTGCCGGTAGCATCTCGTCGTACGATCAACTGTCGAACAAAGAGACGCTTTCAAGTTTGATATTCGAACGGGTCTTTACGGAATCCTTCTTGTATCACTGCATGGTGATGTCAGTTCAGGAGAAGACTCTAGCGCCGCTCCAAGAGCCACTGCTTCGGAACATCTTTGACAGTTATTTTGACAATTGCGCTTTGTCCACGTCACCAGGGCCAGAGTATTGGCCTGTTCTAGGAATGCACTACTGTATTATACGGCTATTATCTGATATACTTGCCTCCTTGGACAAGCTCTTGATTGCACAAGATGCACTCGAATGCTGGCATCTTGAGGATCTCTTGTTTCAGCTTCAAACCTGGAAAGACCACATCAGTTTGCATAACGATGGGCTCCACGTCCATCTCTACATATCGGCCGCGAATCTTCTCGTTTATCGGAACCTGTCCCTTGTTTCTACGTACGAGCATTACGACATGGTTGCTCGCGATGAAGCAGAACGATGCATAAAATGTCTATCGAAAATAAATATCTCTCAGGCCGCTTTCACGCGCTACTTCAATTGGCCGCTAGCGATTCTTGAGCGGACCATTCAGGATACGAAGGCGTCACATATTATTCGTGAAAAAATTAAGGAAGTGTGCATTGATTCGGCCGCAACTCGAGCATTCAATTGGATTGCTGATGGCTTTGAAAAGAGATTCAAACTCAGGAGTGACCATGCCCAAACTCGGTGAAGACCGGGATCTGTATTGTATAGCATCATATTAACGACCTGATAATTTGTCCTCATGATTCTAATAATGCATTCTTAAAGTCCTCCTTGGTACAAATGGAGGTGGCCTCTTGAGTCAGAAGATCCCATCCTGTGAGCGCCAATGCTTTTCCCACGACCACAGCAGCCTCGAATGCCTCTCCTGTGCCGGCCACCTCTGCAAATTCTCGACTATGAATATTAATGCCCGGTCCACAAGAGACCCCAAACATGGGGTGCAATGCTGGGACCGCATAACTGACATTGCCCTGATCTGTGCTTGCGCCCAGGACTTCTGTGCTCATGACTTCTACACGTCTCCCCAACGATCGCATGTGTGACGAGTAGGACTCACACAAAGTTCGATTAGGGATTAGATCAGCGTACGACGGATGTTTCTTTATCGAACACTCACAGCCCGTTGCCACCGCTCCAGCTTTCAGACAGGCGTCCACTCTTTGCGCGAGCTCTTCAGCGGCAGCGATGGTAGGTGCACGAACAGAGAAGGTAGCTGACGTGCGGTCAGGAATGACGTTTGCCACCTTTGGAGCTTCAACTATGGCCCCGTGAACTCTGCAGTCAGGTTTCATCTGCTGGCGGAGCATGCTGACATTGTTGTAGGCCGAGACCAAGGCATCGAGAGAGTTGATGCCCTCCCATGGCTCTGCACCGGCATGGGCAGATCTTCCGGTGTACGCAACTGACAAACCTATATGAGCATTCGAACGGAGTCCAGCGCATCCATCTGGGAATTTAACTGAGCCATCGTTTGGAACGGGGTATGGGTGGGCCATTAGCGAGACGTCTGCGTCTTTGTACGCACCCGCTTCGAGAAGTGCAATTTTACCCCCGCCAAGCTCTTCTGCGGGGGTCCCGAGCAACTGAAGCGTACCATCGATCTGGTACACTGCCATCAAGCGACTAAGGCCAAGGTAGGCGACGAGGCTGGCGATGGTTATGAGGTTGTGCCCACAGCCGTGTCCTATGCCTGGCAGGGCATCATATTCTGCATTGAAGTTAACAGTGCGGCCGCCATTCCCACAAGTGGTGCGAGACTCGAAAGCTGTGGATACCCCGTATGCGTGGCGTGTCGAATGAAACGAAGCGGAATCAAGGAATTCGCAGATTGTATCATGCGCATGATGTTCGTTCCAAGCCGTCTCAGGGTTATTGTGAATCTATCAAATCGTTAGGGCGTCATCGAGCACGTATCGACAATTCCCTGCGCGTATACCTCCCGATTCACTTTGGCAAGGCCTTGGTAGACTGCTTGGATAGCGACATCGAGTTCTTCTTGCAGCCGTGCATCAGACAGTGGCTTTTCAGAGACAGCCATTACAGCGTCACTCGCGGCTACGGAAGTAGCGATATCGCAAGACATTCGAGAGGGTGAAACACAGGACTGGTTCTGAATCAACTTATTTTGGGGAAAAGGTCTAATGCTTGAGAGGCAACATCGATAGAGCATTTATGTCCACGCCAAAGCTTGACGTCTTCCACCCCATGGGTAAAGCTGACCATGTTCACGGCAGTTATTCATGGTCCAGTGAGATTAAAATACGCCCTTATCGGCTTCAAAATGCTACTATAACAGAGTCGAAAGATTTGAAGTCGAAATCTAGCATCTGGACATACGGCCAATGATGGTGAAAAGCGCGCTCGTGATAGGACATGATGTGGGGGTTGATAGTGTGAGGTGGAGCTTGACCAATCATGGTGTTTTGCGCGCTCGTGCTGGCGGGAATGGTTCCCTATTCCGAACCGATGTTCAAACCTCATTCCATATTCGAACATCATTCCAAAATGCCGGAGTAATCCATTTAGTTGGGCGGGCGGAGAACGTTTGCCTCGCAGGCGATAAGAATGCCCGCGACGAAGAGCATAAGTACGGCCTTCGTCCCAGCTCTCGTGAGATGTCATCCTTTCCAGCAGCCTGATATATCAGTCTTCTTTCTTCTACCCCGTCATAACTGAGAGTCAACAGCAAGGAAGAAGCTAGGATGGAGAAGGTAGCCGACATCAACGAGAAGTCTGCTGAGTGTGCGGGGACTGTTATTTCCAACCAAATCTCGCGTGGACATGGCGTCGTCGACCATATTACCCCCGAAGAAGATGCTGCGACGCGACGAAGACTTGACATAGTGCTCATGCCTCTGCTCGGTTTTTGCTATATGCTGCAGTTTCTCGACAAGTCGACTTTGAATTATTCTACTCTTCTAGGCCTACTTGAAGACACGGTGAGCAAGTGCTAAGTCTTTTTGAAACGCGAGCACTTCCAGCTGATCTTCGCAACAGAAACTCGTCGGCAGCGAGTTCTCCTGGGTTGCTGGAATATTCTATTTCGGCTATCTCTTCTGGTCTTTCCCAGCATCGTACTTGATGGTTCGCTGCCCGATTGGAAAATACCTTTCCGTTTCCGTCATCATATGGGGCGCCGTCCTCATGTGTCATGCCGCCGTCTCAAATTTTGCCGGTCTTATGGTCGCGCGGTTCCTACTCGGGGTGAGTGAAGCTTCTGTTGCACCAGGATTCTCCCTTATCATGGCCATGTTCTATCGCAGGAAAGAGCAGCCATTGCGCCATGGTTTATGGTTCGTGGGTAACTCGATGGCGAACTTCATTGGAGGTCTGTTGGCGTACGCTATCGGAACTGCTGGGGCCGATATTGCCCCCTGGAGACTTCTCGTTCTGGTCTTTGGCGGCATTACAGTCGCCTGGGGTGTGCTCATGATTTTTGTGTTGCCCGACTCAATTGCACAAGCCAAGTTCCTGTCTCCTCGTCAGAAGGATGTCGCGCTGTTTCGCGTGGCCGAAAACAACACAGGCATCAAGACCAACAAGTTTCAAAAATCTCAAACTCTACAGGCACTTATCGACCCCCAAGCATGGCTGATCTTCTTTTGGTCCTTTGTAGTCAATCTGCCTAACGGTGGGCTTACAGCCTTTGGCTCCCTCGTGATTGCAGGTTTTGGATACAAAGGCTTGGATGCGCTCCTCCTTCAAATGCCAGGAGGTGCGACTCAACTGGTCTTTGTGCTTTTGGCATGTTACTTGCCTTCCAAGTTCAAGAACATCCGACTTAACATAATGTTTTTCCTCAATCTCATCAGTCTTGTTGGTATGGCAATGGTCTATGCAATTCCTGCGAGCCACAAAGGCGCAAGGCTGGGCGGTTACTGCCTCTGCACCGTTTTCGCTGCAAATATGCCACTTGCGCTCTCTCTCATCTCGTCGAATGTTGCTGGAACCACAAAGAAGACAACGGTAAACGCCATGATGTTTATCGCATACTGTGCTGGTAACATCGCCGGACCTCAGTTCTACAAATCGCGCGAAGCTCCATCCTATCCTGTAAGTTACGATAGCCTCACCCTTAGTCCTGTCCAGACCTGCAGTCTCACGCTGATTTTAGACTGGCATAAAATCTTCCCTAACAGGGTTCAGCCTTGCGGCCTTTTTCCTGATTGCCCTTCGCCTTTACTTACCGTGGGCTAATTATCGTAAAGAGAAGTCCGAAGGACGAGCTTCAGATCGTGTGTTCAATCCTCAGGAAAATATGGAAGAGTATCTTGCTGATACCACCGATTGGGAGAGACCTGGTTTCCGTTACGTGTATTGAGCATTGCTACGTGTATGTTGGTCTTCTCTCGATCTCGACCGTGAGATAAAATCTGGATCGTATCTAGCCCGTTAGAGCAATACCAGAGAAATACTGTTGAGTCTTTCGATGAGTTGCAGTGTGACTTGAGGCTTTTTCTGTTCTCGTGCTTCATGTTGATTCCGAGAGAGTGAAGCTATTGTGATGAGGCATAACCTTAGCCACAACTTCAGGTAGCTGAGGCAGTAAATATCGAAGGTCCGGCCCAATTTCACACCAGCCTCCTTTAGTTTTACATTCAAATATTCGCAAAGCCTGCTGCATTGGCAGTTTGTCTGGACGAGAGTTCTCCGGCGAGGCATCCCATTTTCAGGAAATATTGGAGGCAATTCAAGTCGCGTTTAAACACATATCGACTTGAACTTGTGTTGCGACGTGATGTTCTGAAGTGGTGGCGCTAATGGCCGCAAGCACGAAACAGCAATCGTTGCAAAGTGCTGACCGGGAAATGTTTCACTTTAGTGGCTTTAAATCCAGAAAGATTCGAGTGATACAGGACAAAGAATTGAGTTCGATGAAAGTGAAAATTGACTGAAAGAGCTCGACACGCGATGATGGCGTTCCGGTTACATCATTCCGTTATTCTCGACTGTTCTATCGAAACAGCCTGGAATGTCCTTTCTTCAGCCTCAGGGTTGCCACGGCTTCAAGAGATCCTGCCTAGCATCTCCCAATGCGTGCTCACGTCGGCGGGAGAGGCGGGAAACGCAACAAGGCCAACCGCCTCCACGGCCGTTCCAGCCAAGGACGAACTCGTCGAGATCCTCTCGTCGCAAACCTTCCCGGCGGACGCCAACCTTCCGTGGCCGTCCATCGACGGAAGCCCGGAGGCCGCGCATTTCAGTTTCTACGAGAGCGGGACGACCTTCGTCGAGGGCGCGCAGATGACGGCCGGCTCCGAACACGCCGTGTTCTTTCACTCCAGAGTGGCCCGAGCTGGCGTTGAGGAATGGAAGCTGCGCGTTCTCGAAGCCGTCGACGAGAGCCGCGTGCGAGTGACGGAGACGGTGTGGGGCAAGGCACCGTTCTACATCGTGTGGTACCTGTGGCTGAGCGGCCTGGCGACCAGAGTGCACAGGGAACACATGGAGCTGTATCACACCTTGATGAGGGACGACGGACAGTGAGGTGGCACGATGCACACACGAGACATGTACCCAAGGCACCGGGACCGTCTGGTATCATTAGTTCGTATCAGCGCATTTGCTACGTAAAGAGGAACACCCGGGTATGAGTTTTGCGTCACGCTAGCTATGAAAAAGTTGGAAGATTTCCCCATGGTGTGTGGCCAAATTGTCAAGAGGGGGCATGGCATGATGTACATCCTCCCCCATCTATGGGAGGGTCGCTATGTACTTTACAGAATCTGGTCGACACCCGCCGCATTCCAGTTTTATCGACGGGTCAATGCAAAGTCAAGTGCAAATAATCGTGGATCCGAATGGTTATGTAGATTGCACCCCTATTGTTCAAAGCAAAGATCGTTTCCAGCTGGCAGCACGTGAGTGAATCTCTCATAAAAGAGACCCAAACATGGAGTGGAATGGAAGGTTTGTGCGCGTATAAAAAATTACAAGGTGGATATAATACAAAGCGTGCAACGCTTCGTTCAAGTTCGGTCCAAGATCATGGCACTTTGGTATGTTCGGTTCTTCCGAAGCAAATCACAACGACGCTAACCTTCACCAGGCGGAGTGTAAGTGATACCAGCCGGTGATTGGATGAACATTCGACTCATCATTCCTAACAGGGTTAACGCGCGGGCCTGCTAAGCCCGTTCCTTCGGGAGCGAGAGTTCGAATCTCTCAGGTGTCGCTCATTATCAAGGAACATTTTTTTTTTGCTTTTTGTTTTTTTGTCATGTTTTTTGTATTTTCGCAACGCGGCCATGTATGTTTCTGAATTATAGCAGGGCGTTTTTCCCAAGTAAAGATAAAGTCTGACAGCAAGAAGGATGAAAGACATGTACACCAAAGAATACCCACTTATTTTTAAATGTTACTTTTAGTTTGTTTTGGAGTAGGCAGAACGAGTAATAGTACGCGATGAATGTGTCGCGTACCGTCAAAATGTGTTATTTTGATCCTGCATCCGGCGTCCATGTTGAGCATGAGCACGTGGCCGCGTCTAAGAAGAAAGTGATTTTCGGCCAGACGTTTGTTTTGCCCTACTCCATCTATGTATATCTATGTACATCTATGTATACCTATGTATAGGTTCTCGTCGCAGCAGAAACAAGGCGTTGGCTATGACCAGTTCCAGTGAGGATTAACCTGGAAAGGCTCCAATGTCTGTGTACCCCTACAAAGCAGAGAATGAAGGCGTGAAGCAGACGTGTATCCCTCAGGGAAGACATCGTGGACCGGATCCTGCGAATGATTGGAATAACCCCGTTGTAGGAGGACCACTTAGGACTAGTGGTCAATACGGTCATGAATTGAAATGTCAGATCTTCGTCGATCTTCCAAAATTCTTTCAGAGGTTGACGGTTACAAGAATGGCACGACGTTTCAGTTGCCCAGTCGACGTGCCCCGCCAATCACCGCGGGATGACCGCGATCAAAATAACTTACGCTGACTCCGTCGTGTTTTTACTTGCCGCGCAGAAGACGCAAGCCCTTGATTTTTTTTCTCTCTTCTCGAAGGCACTCGACTTGACTGCGGTGTTCAAGCCGCGCACGTAGGGTGGTCTAGTCTAGGAGCCGTATGGTGCCTCAGAAAATGGCGGACTCGGCGTGGAAGGGTCGCGGTGGACCAAGAAGGGAACAAAATTTGAAGATGGGAGCCGTGAAGAATTCGAAAGGAGGCGAAATTAGAGAATACGGATGGATGGCAGCCGAGTTATCCGCGTTATCGTGGTCTGGCTCGTCTTTACTGAGCAGAACGACCTAGTTTCGCCTGGCAGCTTGGTCTCACACTATGTGGTCGTTTAGCTTGGCTGGGTTTACGATGCGCAGGAACAAAGCAACGAGTCGAGAACAGCTGACCGAGCGGACAGTAAGTAGATTAATTCGCAATTGTGAGCTCTTTTTTTCCCTTCCTCCTTTCCTTTTTCGCTGCACTAATCACGCCAGACCAAAGGGCATCCGAGACGCCGACGAGAAATGTGTTTGAGCATGGGTGGTGCGTGGTTGATGCTACGCTAACCCATTATCTAATCTGATCCCGTTAGATCAGCCACTAGTTCCGCGTCGACGCAACGCTGAAGTTGCAAATTTTCGCACGTTGGAGCCGTGAAAATTGCCTCGAGGCTAAACTTGATCAAGACGCGTGCATGGTCTTGTCGTTGATCCCAAGGGCCGATAGTGGAGCCAAGTCGACGGGCTTGTGAGCAAGATAAAAGCTTGCCGAAGTCTTATCTGATCTGATAGCGCTTCGTACATTTTGCCATCAGCCTCGCAGTCTTCGCGAGCTTTATCGTGGGGATTTTCGGTCGTTCCAATCACCCTTCGCGGCCTGAATCTCAGCAACACACAGAGCCGGACGAGATGGCCCAAGAAAAGTCCGCGGAGGGCAAAGATGTCGCGTACAATGCCGACACCGACACGGAACGCATGAGCTTGGAGGAGCGAAATGAGAAGGAGGTCCAACTGCGGCCCGACGAGGTCACCGAAAGCGCGCAGACCGGCCAGAAGAAGGCCGAAGCCGTCGCGCTGGTGTGGTCTAAGCCGGCGCTGTACGCTACGTAAGTGAACGTTTCGCCCTGCGCGAAGGCGGATGAAGCGCAAAAAGAAGCAAAAGGCTGACGCTTCTGGCGTCCGCAGGTACGCGTGGATCTGGGTCGCGTTCTTCATGCTCGCCCTTCAGCAGGGCACGACCACGCAGCTGAACGCCCAAGCGTACGCCGGCTTCGTCGCCGCGCCGCAAATCACCACCGCCTTCATCTTGTCCGGCATCATCGGCGGCGTGATCAAGCTGCCCATCGCCAAGGTGCTCAACATATGGGGTCGTGCCGAGGGCCTGCTCGTTTTCGTGTGCGTCTACCTGCTCGGCATGATCATCATCGCCTCGTCCCACGGCCCGAACGCCTACGCGGCCGGCTACGTCTTCTACTGGATCGGCTACGACGCCATCTACCTCATCCTGGACGTCTTCGTTGCCGACACGTCCGGCTTGCGCAATCGAGCCTTCGCCTTCGCGTTTGTGTCGACCCCTTTCATCTGCACCGCCTTCACGGCCCCGCTGCTGGGCGCGGCTTTCGTCAAGCACACGGGCTGGCGATGGGGCTACGGCAGCATGATCATCATCATGTTCGCCGTCTTCATGCCGCTCGTCCTCGTCTTCAAGTACTTCCAGCGGAAGGCCGAAAGGATGGGCCTCTTGACACGGACCCCGAGCGGGCGCAACGCTTGGCAGAGCGTCCTCCACTACTTCCACGAGTTCGATATAATCGGGTGCATCTTGCTCATGGTCGCCTTGATCTTGTTCCTCCTGCCCTTCTCGCTCGAGTCGTATGGAAAAGCCACATACGGCAGCGCAAAGTTCATCGCCATGGTCGTCATCGGCATCCTGCTCTTCCCGGTCTTCGCCCTCTGGGAGGCTCGTTTTGCCCCCGTCCAGTTCGTCCGGTGGGAGCTGTTCAAGAAGCGAACCGTCCTCGGTGCGTTCGTCCTGGCGGCCCTGCTGTACTTCTCTTTCTACAGCTGGGACACGTACTACTATCCTTTCCTCCTCGTCGTCGACGGCCTCAACTACAGCGACGCCGGCTACATGACCCAGATCTACAACGTCGGCTCCTGCTTCTGGGGTGTGGTCTTCGGCGCCTGGATCCGCTACACCAAGCACTTTAAGTGGACCTGCTTCGGCTTCGGACTTCCACTCATGATGCTCGGCGCTGGCCTCATGATCCACTTCCGCGACGGCAGCTACAACATCGGATACCTCGTCATGGCCCAGATCTTCATCGCCTTCGGCGGCGGCACCCTCGTCATCGGCGAGGACATGGCCGTCATGGCCGCCGCTGACCGCGATGGCGTGCCCATGATGCTGTCCTTGATCGGCCTTGCTTCCAGCATCGGCGGCGCCATCGGCGGTGCCGTCACCGCCGCCATCTACGACAACGTCTTCCCGTCCACCCTCCTGAAGCACCTCCCGGATGACCTGAAGGCCAACGCCACCCAGATCTTTGCGGGCGGCTACGTCACGCAGCTGACCTTCCCGGACGATGACCCGGCTCGCTTGGCAGTCAACGCCGCCTGGAGCGAAACCCAAAAATACACGTGCATCACTGCCGTCTGTATTCTCATCCTTGGCTACCCAGCCATCGGCATCTGGAAGAACTACAGCGTCGACAAAAAGCAGAACAAGGGCACCGTCCTCTGAGCGAACAGTCGGCCTATTCTCGGCATCAGGTATTTTCATATTTGTTTTCGTGTAGAATAGCAATCGAATTTGTAGCGCTGCTTGCCTGGCGTGCGAACGATGGGTCTCGGCTGATTCCGTAACATGCACCTCTATTATCTCTAGCGTCAAGCAACAAACGAAGCGTAATCTTGCTACCAAATGAAGTTTGGTCTCTATTCCTCCCTGCCCTGACTTTATCCTTAAAAGCAGTCAGCATGCCCATAATTGCATAGTGCTAACCTGCCACCCAAAGCCTTACTCTTGCAAATTTTGCATCATCTCTTGAGCCTTCGTCCTCCGCTTCTATTCCCCACTCCGAACCCGTCGAACTCACAGATGCTTCACCGTCAGTCATACCCTCCAAGCGAGAGCTCGCATGCGCACTTGGACGCATTCTGGTCTGCAAGCGCATCCTCCGCTCCGCCTGTGCTCTGCATATGAAGGCTATCTCTTCGGCCGATATAGAATTGCTGAGGATTTCTCAAGAACGCAGCAGTTCGTGGCGGAACAGCCGGTATAGCCGTTCGTCTGCTTGGCCGATGCTGAAAAAGATCAGTGCGGCCATGAGAGCGACATGCTCTGTGGCGCGACGGGCCCATTAGTATAGAGACTGCAAGCATCGTGGCCCGTTGAAGACCTCCTGCGCTTAAGCGATGGCTGACGTGAGTCGGTAGTCTGGAACATCAAGCCCGGTACGAGGAGCTTCCATGCGATAATTAGATCTCTGAAGAGGAATTTGGAGGTTGCACTGCGAATAGCGAGATGGAAGAAAGGAAGGGGGCTTCAGGGGATCGATGAGAATCGGAGGCAGAAATTCAGTCACGTGTGGGGGTGCTTCTGCGGGGGCGCTGATTGAGTAAACGTAGGCGATGAGTGTAATTTCAATTGAGGAAGACTTTTCCTTGGTTGCACAGTATGACCGTTGGGCGGTCTTGGCCGGCCATTTCAACTCTATTGTCTTGCTGTATTCCTCTCCGGGCGTAGATATCTGTGATAAAGGTAAAGCGAAACTGGATAATGGCCGTTCAGCCATCCGCTGAAGGATAGCCAGCGTCTCATCTGCCGTCATACGTGAACCGGGAAGTCGTGCTTTTTGGACAGAAAAGCGCCTAGTCAGTTGCACAAGCTCGGCAAAACTACGCGATTCCTCGGGGCTGTCCGCCCATCGGCAGCGTTTCTCGTGACAGTTCACATACGCGGTTGAACCACAAGCAATTGGACGAGCACATGGGTTAGTGTGCGAGGCTTTCGTGGATCGGATAGCGGAAGTTGGCCTTCTTGAACGAGGGCCGGATGTGCGAGTTCTAGCACCCGTTGAAGAGGCGTTCGATTTGGGATAGGGAAGAATAGAATCCTTCTGCGGGCAGCAGCGTTGCGCACAAGCCTAACGATGAAGCCTCTACGTCTGCTGCCTGTTGGAACCCGAGTCCCAATATCGTCTTCGGTCAAGGACCCCGACTGTGCCTCTGCTTGAGATCGCGTGAAGCTATCGACGTGAAGGTCCCCTTGAAAGATCTACAAGGCTGCAGATTGGACTGTGTCTCGAGCGTCAGCTTGGGTGTTTGCCCCGGCTTCTGCTTTTTGCGCGTCGACCTTAGCCACGCTGCCTGATTATCGAACACCTCTCAGCCTGGAGTTGATGAAGCCGCCGCCGCCGCCGCCGCAGCAGCAGCAGCTCCACCTTTGACACGCTTGTTCCTCCCCGACTTTTCTCCTTCGTCCCTCTTCCTCTTGGTCGGTCGCGAGGAGCCCCCTTTGGGCCTATATGCTTCGTCATCCTTCGACCTCTTACCTCTCCCACTTGTCCTCTCCTCCGCAACCCAGTCATCATCAGCGTCGTCAGCATCGTCGCGCGGATTTGGCGTCCCTTTATCGTTGGCCATGCTTGTGATTGTGGCAAGGGACGAGCGTTTGCCACCAGACGTGCCGCCCGACGCTGAGGCACCACCTTTGCCCTTGCCGGCCTTTTCGGCGGCAGCTTCCTTTTCTTGTATGAAGGTCTCCGGGTGGTAACGTCGTAACCAGGAAAGAACGGACATAGGGTTGGCGTTGAGTAGCTCCTTCTCCGGGGGTAAGATGCGCGAGCGAGGCAGCTGAGGAAGGCGCCATCCGTCGTCAAGACTATCCGCAACTCCAAGCTGTGCGTCGAGATTCGTTACATACTCCTCCTCGTATGCTGTCGTGAGGTAGCCCGGCGGTGCATCGCCTGTCATGTCACTGGGCCAGGTGCTAGGGGGAGCAGAGGAGGGGGTGGTGTGCGGCACGTTCAGAAGCATAGCCAGCGAGCGAGGTGTATCGGGATCCAACGGCGGTACGGCGTCTGCGCTGGGGACGGCGACGACATCTTCATGTGGATCGCCCAAATCGTACCTGGGATACATTCGTGCAGTCTCATTCAGATGCAATAATGTTTCTAGATGCTGGCTGTGGACGTTCCAGGTTAGCACTTCTTCGGCGATGTGCGTGCCGTGCACGCAAGATCAAGGGCGGGTTGACGACGCACTCGTTCTCTTCCTGCAGCCGCTTGGCCTGGGCCTCGAGTTTATGGCAATCTCTGAACAAGGTGTTGCTCTCGTCCATGACTTTGTCGAAGTTGAGCTTCATTTTGCGATACTTCTTGCGCCATGACCGCAAGGGAATCTTTTGGTCCTTGAGCACGTCATCGAACTTCTGCGCGTCTGGAGGCGTTGCCGGCTTTGGATTCATTAGATTCTCCAGCGACATGATGTCTTTTGCACGGTCAAGCGTGCGAGAAGCTTAGATGAAGACGAGATGAGGCGGATGGAAGTATGACGAAGGGATGGTGTCGAGTTAAGACACAGTTGCAGAGTAGACGAGAAAGGAACCGCGTTGCTTACAGATTGGCTTGGAACCTTGCAGCAGCACGATTTCCGTAATGGGACTGGGTTGGAATGTGCACTTCAGCTGCAGTAACGTTTGAGTTAGGGGGGGGATTCAGTTGGCTTACCTTGTTAAGGTTGTGCAGCCCGGGGTGGGGGGGGGAGCCAAACACAGGCGCCAGAGCCAGGCAGCCAGCGAGCCAGTAGTGAGACCGTGGTGAACGAGCAGTGAGCCGGCAGTGGTATGCAAGTACAGTAGTGAGCGAGTAGTGGGCAAGAGAGCCAGCGAGCCAGCGAGCCCGTGAGCCCCCCGTGAGCCCCCGTAAGTCCCTGGGCGCTGGTGCCTTGGGGGCCTCAACGCGAGACAGCCTCTACCGCAGCCGCTAACCCGCTACTCAGCTGAACGGCCTTCCTCTCATTTCCGTCCTGCGCCCGCGTTTGCCCCCTCTCTCCTTCACTGGCCCCAACTAAGCTACTGTCCAGGGACAGTTCTATTCGCTCTAGACCTCAGTCTGGAACGCCTCCACACGTCCTCCACTACACAACATCTGTATCCTTCTATCAATCGCGGCGTCAAAGAACATACAGACGTACACGTACAACCGTATCAACATACGCTCACAAACACGCACGCACATGTAGACGCACACATCTACACATTGCTACTCAACAAGCCCAACATCGCGACTATCCTCATTCGGACGTGACCACGCTGTCCTAACACACATACGCGAATCCTAGCTGGAGTCGGAAGCTCGGTGCGCGACTCTCATCCGTCTTCCGCCATTCCATCGGCTGCCCTGCCTCCTTTGCCAACGTACGTATACTTACCCACGCTATCTTCCTCAGACATCCGTCTTACTGCTTGCATGTGTCGTCTCCACTGTCATCGCTGCTCCAATCAAGCGAAAAGGCACCCTTGCTTACCTCAGTTAGCAACACCTAGGCATCCGCACACTTGGTCGTACAGGCTTCACTTCAAAAAGGACAGCCTGCCACCTACCAAGGCGTACTCCCTACGCCACCTCTGAACTCCGGCCCGAACAAACCAGATAACCGCCAAACTGTCTCCCATCATACTCAACCGCAACCTCCACGTCCCGCCGCCGGTCTATGATCGCGGAGCCATGGCTGGAGACCGGGCAAGCCGGAAGCGAAGATCTAGCAGCATTGTCTACCACGAGCCTCCGGAGTCGATCGAGCAGCTCAGCGATCAGGCTGCGCTGCCAAACCTGAACGCCGAATGGGTCAATGCTAAAGGTACGTGCGGTCTTGCTTGATACCCCCGCAAAGAGGAAGCAGATATGCAAAGAAGACACGTACAAGAATGGGAAGCCCACAAGGAAGATCAATGCGGAAGGAAGAAAGAACCACGGGGGCATGCTTGGGGTGGATCGAGGGGAGGCCGCATCCTCTGCGAAACCGGCGTGTTGCGGCAATCAATACCATGCCATGAGGTCTGAAGGTTGCTGGAGCTTACGCCTTTCTATCTCGTCCTTCTGCTCCCTCCATGCCCTCTTCACGCCTTCCCAGTCGGCCTCCAGATCCAAGTCTCTCGCATCATAAACCCTCACCTCCGGCAAGAATACTAACAATCGTTGGCGTATTTCTAGGCGCTTGGTTGATCCACCCTATTCTCATTTTCTGCCTGAAGATCCTCTTTGACATAATGCCCGGCATCACACAGGAGACGTCGTGGACGCTTACCAACCTGACATACATGGTCGGCAGCTACATCATGTTCCACTGGGTGCGCGGCATCCCCTTCGACTTCAACTCGGGAGCGTATGACAACCTCAACATGTGGGAGCAGATTGACAATGGCGATCAGTACACTCCGACCAAAAAGTACCTCCTAGCCGTGCCCATAATCCTTTTCTTAGTAAGCACGCATTACACGCATTACGCGATCGGTACATTCAGTCTGAATCTGTTGGCGACGATCGCTGTCGTCATCCCAAAATTACCTGCGGTATGAAATCATTTGCCTCTTCCCTCCCGCGTACATGGCTTCGCCTGTGTGGGTACTAACATGAGCATGTTGACAGCTACACCGCCTCCGCACGACCTTCTTTTCAGGCCCGCCTGAGGACAGGTAGCCACCTCCCGTCTCCTGCAAGAACGAGTAAAACTTTCCTTTACCCAACGTGATACCCCTCCCATTAAAGAAACAAAACCTTTGCATAGATACTGGGGCCTCTTTTCTCTCCTTCTATATTTACTTATCTCTTCTCTCTGTGGGTGATACGTAAATCTATATCTCTCTCCTTTTTGTTTTGATTACAAGCAATGCAAACATCAAGTGGAAAAGCATGGGCAGTTGATGAGGTGTGGTTGGTCCAAAACGGGTTTTGTGCAAGATCGGTCAGACAAGCAATGGCGTTTGAGAACTTCGTCGCTGAGTGTCCTTTCCCTCGATCTTTGGTTTCTTTCTCATCGAGAGAGATAGACCATCTTTCCTTTCCAAACCTCTTACTTTGGCCGGTCTGTTTTAATACACAAAGAGCATATCTGCTTACTACTCTCTATCACTTGTAAAGAAGAATGCGTTCGAGTTCTGCTGAGTCGGAAAAAAAAACGACGCTCCTTTCCAGAAGGTTGGTGACCTTGTACGTTAAGTGTATCATGCGAGAATAAGAAAGCCGTCTCTATCAATGTTGTCTATTGCAATGACGGTGCGCTCATTCACTTCGCCCAGCCATATCAAGACGCGTCTAGCTCGTTTATAAATCTCACAGACAATTTCTGAGACCTGCGTTGACGGGGGTTTCGCAAAGCCAATTGAGTCTCAAAAGTAACACGGTCGAATGGAATGAACGCTACCACAGACGCTGGTTCACGTCGCGCAATTATCGGCGTAAAGATTAGAAGCTATGTCGGCTGCGTTGCCGAAAAGAAGTGCTCGTCCTGGTATGTCTATGATACAAGGCTTTGACAAAAAAGAAAAAAAAAAAGAAAAGAGAAAGAGAGGCCGGTCGCGAATGTCCGTCATCAGGCGTGGACATGTGGCAGAGGGCACTTCAACTGTTCCCTCGCCCTTCCGTGAACGCCGTCCACCTCATTCAAAGCCGATTCCAAGCACGTTCGATGCCACAGATGTCGACAGGCAAACACGACCAGATCGCCGCCTTGTCCTTTGCCGCTCTTCTCGCCGCCTTCGTCGTCCATGTTCGCAGTCGCCTTTCCCTTTCCTCTGTTCAGACTGAGCTCGCTTGCCGTTCGGCTGAGCAGGGCGCCGGGTCTGCTCGTGGCTGCGGCCGCCTCTTCTCTGCGTTTTTGGTCCCACAGCTCATACACGTCGCCGCCCACGCCGGGGCCCCACGCGCGCCGCTTGCAGCGCTCGCACACGTTCCCCCTCGGCCTCCAGCCTCGTTGCCTCAACTTCCACGCTTCGTCAACGTGGCTGAACAGATCTTTGTCGAGAAACTGGTTCGCAAGGCTGAGAAGCGTCTCCTCAAACGTATATGCTGCGAAGATCTCGGACAACACGTCTCGAAGGTCTGATACGGATGGCGAAGATCTTGCTGCGCGCGTCAAGAAGGCGCGGAGAATGCGGAGGAACGTCGGATGGGGCTGTGTGTTGGGGAAGGGGGGTAGAGACTCGTTTCGTCGATGTCGGAGAACGGGAAGGCTGGGCCGAGCCGTGGACGTGAGGAGGGCGCTGAACGTTTGTTGAACCGCAGATCGGAGAGAATCTTTGATCTTCGCGACATCAAATACGGATTCTGGTGCGACGTCTTCCGCCACCGAAGAAACTTCTTTGGTTATGATAACCACCGAATCGACGAGTTCTAACCACAGAAGCTCGTCGAGCAAAAGAGTCTCCTCGCTTTCCTTGTGACCGGCACGCGTTTTTGGCACCTTTGAATGATCTGTAGCTTTCGTCTGCCCTTGACAGAGCCAAATCCCGACTTTCGTGTACTTATTGACGGCTTCGATCAAGTCGTTTGCGGCTTCATTGGTGTTCGACACGTCAGGACTGTCAGCTACAGCTGATATCAGACTGGTCAATGCAGACTCAAGAGTGTGCAAGTGGCTGATCAGCCGTTCCATCGCTTCTCTGGCCATGCCATCACGAGCCATGAGAACAACAGCCGCATCAATGACGCCACTCTTTTCCATAGCTGGCAGGACCTCATTTAGCCTCAAATCACCTGACTTCAAGAGCCCGATGTAGTCGGCAACATGAGTGGGATCATATCGACACATAAGCTGTACGTAGCGCTCTTCAAACTGTACGTAATTCTCAGGTACCTGACGGTTCGCCGTTGGATCTGCAGTGGCCGGCTCAAGAATGGTCTTTAGCAGCGTGAATTGCGCATGTGAACCATCCTCCAACGCATTAAGTACTGGTTCGATGAGTTCGGGTACATGACTTTGCAGCGTCCTTGCAGTTTTCACTGTGTCGATACTAGCCAGTGTCGCCGCATTCTGCACAATGACTGATTCTACTTCGCGGCGTTGTTTTGGTGTCAGAGAGCTGCTCGCCTTCAGACAGTCGTGAATAGTGTCGAAGACTTGCTCACGGTCAGTCGGGTCAACAAAATAAGTGCGTATGAGCCGCGAGAAGTCTTTCGAGCCTCTGTACACAGATTTAAGCACGCGGTAAAAACCTGCTTCCTCGAAAAGGGGTATTAGTGACGGCAGATCGGGTGGGTGATAGAAAGAAAGCAAGTATTCAACACTGAGCTGACAATCTTCTGCTAATTCATCGGCGGGATATCGACACAACCCTTCGAGAACGTTGCGTAAGGTGGTACCTGGTAGAACGATGAATTGCGGATACTTGGGCAGATTGCGAGCCAGAAATATATCCAGATATATCTTGTCAGTATCGTCGAAACGATTCGATCCGAGCACGTCCAACAGGATGCTTATGATTGTGTGGCGTGTAGGAAGAAGTTTGTAATTGATATCGTCGTCCTCATCAGATGCAAGTCCATCTAGCCCACTCGAATCATTGACGCCGTTCAAGAACGGGTCTTCGAAAGCCTCGTTCAACATGCTCATGAAACTCGATGTATCGAAACGCAGTATAAGTGATAGATAGGGGTACGGAGAATCCGCATCACCTTCGGGATCGGCTCGGAAAATGTTGCGCGTGCCCGGCCAAGGCAAAGGGTGTCCTGCAAATACGGCCCCGTACATCTCAGCTTTAGCACGATGCGCTTTCCTTTCGTCTAATTCATCACCTTTTGGGTATATGCGGCTCGTCAAAGTGTAAGCCAGGTACGGGAACAGCTTCATTGCCGCATCATAAAGCTTAGCGTCTTCCGCAGCGTCAGGTTCCTCGTCAATGATTTTTACTAGGCTGAGAAGTTCCATCAGAGGAGTGACATAATCTCCTATCCCAGAGTTCCACACGTAAATAAGTGCATCATACAGTTTGTGTTGCTTGCACAAAGTTGTTGTCAGATGAAGATCCAATGTTGAAGTATCGAGGCGACATATCATCTCTTCAAGCCGTTTCGTGTGTCCTTGGGCAGCGTAAGTGCTGATCAATATGCGAAGGACCGTTGGTGGTATCGACGTGATGTCTTCGTCAAACACATACGGCTCAAGAACTTCCAAGAAAGCTTGTTCGTACGATGCATCTTCAAAAGCTTCATACACGTCTTCAAATAGGAAGTCCATTTCGTGCATGCTTATGCAAGCCGCAAAAGTGGCCTCGCCAAGCTCTTTTACTTTATGCTTTCTCTCATCCTCTGCAATTTCTTCCAGTCTGCCAAAAGTGTACTTCAGAGATGCAGAAATCATCTCTAGCAGCTTCTCTTGAACAATCGCATGTCGCGCCTCGTCCTCTTCTGGCAGTCCCACAGAGATCTTATCTGCGTCGCCAGTATAATAAGTCGTTGCCAGTCTGATCGCGTTAATGTAATCACCCTCTTCTACCAATGCGACCAATCTGTCTGCCCAATTTGACAATGTCCCAATCGACACGTCGTTGAAGCCGAGCAAGAAGAGTCTGCCTTTATAAGCTCGAAAGCTCATGTAAAACGCGTCTGCTACAACACCATGCATTGAAGTGTCTTCTTCATCCAGCTGCTCTACAACTGGCCGCAATTGCTTCGAAAACAAATCTTGATGGAAGATGTGTTTATAGAGAAGGTCGAAAGAGTCTGTAACGCGCAGCACAGGGTCCTCAAGGATGATCAATCGCTGGCTAATGGTCAAAACACCAAGCACAGAGCGTGTGAGCCATTGCACTGCAACAATGGCTTCATTACTCTTCCAGCGGCTTCGTGGTCGAAAACTAAGCAAAGCAGGCTTGTCTTTTTCAGAGGAAGATTCCGCGTGGATATCCAGAATTGTGAGGATATTGGACCAGCAGTACACTAGTTTGGGTTTAGATACAGTTTCTCCCGTGGAGAGTGGGCGTTTTAGCTTGACGCCGGGAAACCAGGCAAGGCAGCCGCTAAGTGCGCTGTGTGGAGCAATTTCTTTGGGACGAGCCGTTTTGAACTGTGTCTCTGCGATGGGGGTAGTGGACACGATTACGAGGAGATATGGTGTCAAAAGTGCTGTTAGGCCTAGAGAGTCCGTTGGCTGTTCTATGTTTCCGAGAGGAAGAGGTGAAAACGCAAGGACAGAACTAGGCTTTCGCGGCTTCTCTGAGCCTGGCTTCTCAGGAGCTGGATATCGACCAAGTAATCGTGTTGTCTTGACAACTCTGCCTATGGCACCGAGACCTCGCGTCGCCAAGTGAGAGAACGCCATGCCCCCTTCGTCTGCTGAGACAAGGGCTGTATGTCGTGTTCCAAGGAAGCCAACATGCACCACAGCGGTTCCAGATACATGACCGTCAGATTTGCGCTGATCTAGAGTTTCACGGTCGTTGGGGACAATGTGAAGAAATGGCTTTGCCGGCCTCGAAATCTCCCAGGTGAAGATGTGTCCATTCGCATGCCCCGTAGCAATTGTGGAATGATCCGCCGATATAGCCAACGCCGTGACCGCACCGCTCTCGACTGCCTTCGTTCCGAGCCCAATAGTCGCCGATAAGCTCTGATGATAATCGAATATTAGTGCAAGGCCTTTCGATGTGCCTATTGCAATAGTTGAGCCAATCGCTATCACGGTAGCTCTTCCATAGTTTCGCCTTCCAACTTCGGAAAACAACTGTCCAGTGATTCTCTTCAGTTTTGTCCATCTTACAACCTCCCATGGAGGCTGGGGAGTCTCTACTGTGTCAAACTCTTGGTTTGCTGCCACTATGCTTCCTATCGAAGACTGCCGTGAATGCGAGACAAGAAATGCGGGGGAAACGTTGCGTGGTGTACTGAGCGGAGAGGACGAGAGTCTGGCGGAGAAACGTCGCTCGAATGGCTGGAGAGCGCCTGGCCGATGGAGCTTGGTTGTAGACAGCCGAGACGCTGCACGGCTGCTTCCGGGCGAAGACAAAAAGGAGCCTCTTCGTGAGGGCGTATCGTCTGGAGTTTCTGGAGTCTGATTTGATTCATCCGGGCTAATGACTTTCTCACTTCCTTGCTCATCCTCCAACTGCGCCAAGCTGGGTAAGCTCTTCTCGTCTGCTTCTACCCTCTCGCTCTCGCCACCTTGGTCTCCTTCATCTTCATCCGACGCAGCTATGATCCTCCCGTAACCCTGGAAGCTTGTACCATTCAGATTGGCAGCTTGCGGCACAGGAGTGGCCTGTCCGCTCTCCAGAGGAAACAAATCGGGCGACCGTGTTCTGCTGAATGATCCTGCATCGCTCCCACTGCTTCCGTCAGCGCTTTCCATCAGCCTGTCCTTGATGCGATCGAAAGCGATGCCATGATTTGGGTTGGCTGGGTGAAAGGCACTGGCATCGTCCTCGCCGGTTGGGGAGCTCATCGAGGCCTCCACGCGAATACCATCGCCTCGCCGCCGCAATGTCCCAGCCTAGTTCGTGTGTTGGTCCGAAGCTTCAGTGTTGCGACATTCAGTGCGGCGACATATACTCGGGGTCGCTGATCGGAGAGGAGGCCACGCGGCGTGAGTGATTTGTCGTAATCGCAATCTTGCAGAGTCTGTAGGGAGGGCTTTTCAGTATCCTTGCATAGGAGCCGGCGGTCGGATATCAGCCGGCGGAATTAGAGCCTGCAGGTCAATTGCTCGTGAAGAAGTATGTGTGCACTACCAGGTCGTAATCCACCCGTGCCAGGCATGGCATGGGATTACGAACGGCTGCGGAGCTTAAAAAAGCTGTGACCACCCGAGCCGTCTACCTCTAATTATGATGATGGCGATCAATACTTGAAGCGCGCGATTCAAATTCGAGCTGAACGCAGTCTAAATGGCGTCAATAGGTCCAAGTTTGCCTCCGCATTTGTTAGCGAAGCGCAAAAGAGAAGAAGAGGAAGAGACTACTGCTGCCACTGCCAAAGTCACCCAGCCTAGCACGGCGAATTCACCTGATCGAAGTCCTGATGGCTCTGAGAAGCGGAGACGAGTGATAGGACCGTCTCCCCCTCCTGCACCTATAGATGAATTACCGGGCCATTCTGCACACAGTAGTGACGATAGCGAAAGCAGCGACGACGACTACGGCCCTGCGATACCAACAGAAGATGAGCTTGTGCGGTTTCCCATTCATGTTTAACAACTAGGCCGCGAAACTAAATCTGCACTAGAAAAAACACGTTGATGAAGACGTTGGCTCTTCGTACCAGCAACAGCGTTCGGCGCCAAAGGAAGAAGCCCCCGTCAAACGTGATGACTGGATGATGATGCCCCCTTCAGCGGACGGGTTGGCTCGTCACATGGATCCAAGCAGGCGACCACGGCAATTTAAGTCTGGTAAAGGCGCTTCTAGTGGAGTCTCAGATGGTATGGACTCTACGTGGACGGAGACACCCGAGGAGAAGCGAAAACGACTCGAGAATCAAGTCCTAGGAGTGGCACCGCCGCCAAGCTCGAAATTGGCGAGCGAGAATGCGAAGTCCAAGAAGGATGAGGAGTCGGCGCGAAGGATTAAAGAGTACAACGTGAGATATATCCTTTATGCCCTTGGTCTTCTCTGTGCCAAAGGTAACTTACGGTATGCAGGAAAAGCACCGGGGCAAGTCGCTACTTGAGCAGCACAAAGAAACCACGAGCCGTGGTGAGGATGATGACCCAAGTAAACGCGCTTTTGATCGTGAGAAGGATATTGGAGGCGTGCTTATCAGCAAGTCCAAGCAGCAGGAGATGATGAAGCGAGCTGCAGACTTCAACTCGAAATTCGCAGGCGGAAAGTATCTTTAAAAGACGCCCGGCCTTGTTGCTTTCGCCAGTCTCTGCGAGATCCAGTGCACACGCAACGGCTACGGCTGCGAATTGTAGCCAAAATCATCAATTAGTTGACGTCAGTTTCTGAGTGCCGCCCTGTGCTGCCATGGAGAAAGATTGAAGTACTGCTATTGTAACGACCGGCGCGACTTTGACTTCGCCTTCTTCCCCCGTTGCCATGGCAAACCACGATCACTCCATGATAAGCCACAGATCACTTTGCTACTTCTACTGCTTTATTGAAAGCACATAGCTAAACTTTGTACAATCACGCTAATCTTTTGTCTTAACAATGGCGACTACAATGGACCTCGCCGACAAGATCCAGCTCGATCAAGTTATCAGCTTTCCTCATACCAACACGACGTGGAATATCATAGACCGTCTCTCACCGTGGCCTAAACCAACCGTTGCCAACAACTACTTGCCGACAAGTGACAGTTTCGTTCACTCATACGTATTTCGCGTCGAACTGGTGGGCTCCAGCGCCAAAGTGGTTCCTGACTACATTCCCAAATTTGCCATTGTCAAAATCAAGTGCAGGTTTGTCATCCTCTTCCGCTTCTTCGCAACTGCCAACCATGTCCTTGATTATTTTCTTTTCCTTTGTTGAGAACCAGGCTTCAGAAGTTGTATGCGATTGATCTTCTGACATAGGTACTCGCTGCACAGTTCTGCCATTCCAAAGGATGCCATCGACGTGGATATGCTGAACGAGATTCGTGCACTGGAGCAGCTTACGCTGAACCGGAGCCAGCACACGCCGCGAATCCTCGATGCGAAGGTTCAGCATCACCTCACGAGCATGCGACGTTACGAGCCGCCCGAAGGGACTCAGGAAGAGCGCAAGCACTACGTGACGTAGGGGCACAATTCTTCTTCGTGGCTCATCGACGTGACTGATGGATGGACTAGATACGTTCTCATGACAGAAATCGAGGGATTGTGCCTCAAAGGCGATGTTTTCTGGAAGCTGGACCAGGGCCAGCGCAGGCTTATCAGATTGGCGTTCCGCATCGCTCTCACGTACGTGACTGATGTTCGCAAGAGTAAACCTGCGCACAGCTGACAGAAAGTCAAAAGCGACGTGCAACGCTGCTGGGTCATTCTGACCAAACCAGACCCTAAGCACCTCATCTGGAACCGGGCGAAACAGATGGTCTATATCCTCAACTTTGAGAAAAGCATCACGTTCAACAACCTCGCTCTCATGCACGACACGGAAGAAGGACACATATCTCGCACATTACCTACACGCTTCCAAGCCTGGTCCAACGCCTGGTATGTCGACTATGGTCTGGCCGAGAGCAGCGTTGACCTGTTCACCAAGGGCACCGACAGCACCGCTTTCGACGAGCAGTGGCTGGCCAAGTATGGCGAGACGGTGATGCAGGAGCCAAAGATGCCTATCAAGGACGTGGCCGCCTTCCTTGTTGGCGCTAGAGGCGCCGGCATCGAGACCCATCCGGAGAAACGAAGCTACGCAGGCCAGTTGGCCAGTTTTCAGCAGACGCAGAACAGGAGAAACTGTGGCGTCATGTAGATGCCAGAACTCGGCACGCCCCACGCTGAAATGCGAACATCGCCGGGGGCCTGAAGTGACAATACAGCCTGTTCGCTGCTGCTGCTGCTGCTGGCTGGCTGCGATCGGGACTCATTGTTGATTGGCTTTGATCCAAGCGAGGATCTCCATCTACTAAGTCGCCTACCGAGGTCTCTGACTTGGGGAACGGGCATGCGACGCTGTGTTGCGTCTGTCACGCGCTGCCCACTTGTCTATGTGCAATCGTGCCTGTTCCCAACGGGCAGTACCATATAGGACGTACCACAACTGGATCTAGATTTACAGTAACGTATGAGTCGCCTACGCGTCAGTACACACGAAACGTAACGATGCAATAAAAGAGTCAAATATTAGTCATGCACTTTTTGTGGGGGTGTTTTTTTTTGGCTTTCGTACAAACTGTATTTCAACGTTGTCATCCATAATCTAAAAGCTCGTTTGTGAAACAGGCCTTAACAGCTTTGTTTCGGAGTATCATTACACATTGTTCCCGGCGTCACTTGTATCATATACACAATACATAGCCCTGATACGTTTTTTAACGCCAACCCAACCCAGATGTGAGAACGCCTGCGGACCCTGGAATCGTCCATTCGTCCCTGGTAGCTCTATTTCACAGCTTGATGAAAACCAATGCAAGGTACTCCCGCCAAAATATTCCTGGCCCGTCCAAACGCCATGCTTTGCATTTTTGAATTATCAACAAAATAAGAAGGGATTTCCGCACACTGGTCCAGTCGGGCCGGTTTAGTCCTCCATGCCCCAGGCTCGGCGGGCCTCTTGCATGGCAGGGTTGTAGCCGGTGGGGCCGGTAACACCGCTGTTGATGGCATTTGAGCTGATTCTCCGCTCATATCTCGGGCTGCCTACGCCTGCGATGGATGGCCTGCCGGGGTTGTCTCTGTACATGGAACCGGGGGTCTGGCTGCGCGACTCCACGGGATCTGTGTCTGCGGCTGCGGCTGTGACGTTTCGAGGCCCAGCGGCGCTGCCCGGTGGCGTGCCCAAGCCGCTGGGTGCATTTGGATTCAGCGGCCACGCCTGCGGGTTGCCGATGCCTTGGAATGCATTTGGAGGGTCCATGAAAGGATTATCAGCACTTAACTCGGTGATGTCACGTGTTTCGACGGGTGTGTAGCCGTTTGTGCCCGTAGGCCGCAGGGCCGGCGAGTTGTTGCCGCTCATGGTCCCTCTCCTGCTCCGCGCAGCAGCACCAGCGGCAGCCACGGCGCCGGCTCCCGCAAGGAGTCCTGAGCGCTCTGTCATTCCCATCTCGGGCGTTGGAGGACGAGGAACATTCCGCGGTGCTTCCGCGCCTGCGGCTCCTGGACCTGAGGGAGGCGGAGTAATCGGTGGGTCGTACAGGTACGCCTCCTGTGGATAGATCGTGGGCGAATCCGGTGTTTTTGGCCGTGTTCGGCGACGCAACAGCAGCAGGAATACACCTGCTAGCATAACGGTGAAGGCCACAGCGCCTACGGCGATACCTGCGACAGCGCCTTGAGAGAGGTGCGGATTGCGATCAGGGCCTTGCGTGTTGGCACCGTTTTTGCTGGTGGACAGGTTCGTACCCGATGCCGACGCACTTGAGGAGCTGCTCGTCCGTGACGAGGACGACGTACTTGTGGACAATCCCGAAGACGTAGAGTGTGTACTTGAATGGGTGCTAGAGAGTGTTGAGGTAGGCGAAGCGCTGTGTGAGTTTGGTCGTGCTGACATCTTGCTGGAGCCCATGGAGCTGGTGGGAACTCCTCCGTGCGACTGGTCGCTGGGTCGGGGGAATGTGCCGATTGACGGGCCTTCTGTCGGTGCCTGTGTAGGGACGGGTTGTGTTGGAAACTCTGTTTGCGGACCAGCGCTTCCGCCTGGTGTAGGCGCTGGCACGGCCGGCGTCTCTAATATGTAGCCCGTTGGCACCACGGCGCTGTCGAAGTTGCCCGTATACGTGATGACGGTAGGTACCATGACACCAGTTGGCGCCTCAGTCGGCACGGACGGATAGAGAACGGTGGTGAAGACGCCATCAGGCAATGCTTCGTCTTGCGCAGATCTAAGGTCGAAGGTATTGAGCGTGTTGTCTGACGAGGACGTATGCAGTGACTGCGGCGATGGGATCTCATTGTCGCCGCTGCGTACTGTCGACTCGGAAGCGAAAGCGGCGAGTGCGCTCCATCTTCGAGCTATCGGTTCGTCAGCGGGAGATCGACCATCGATACGACTGCGGTCTTCACCGTGGAAATCTAATATCGCTCCTCTCTGTGCTAGACACAGGTCTGCAAAAAACGCAAGGAAGGCAGCTTTCTGCCACATGGCGGGCCTCGGACTTCCTATGGCATTCAAGGCTCCTTCGTGTGCGACGGGGTTCGTGATCGGCGGAGTCGATTCGAGCCGGACCGCTGAAATGCGGTAACGGGCGTGGCACAAGAGAGCAGAAATGACGATTGAAGAGGAAAAAAAAACAACCAGGACGAAACGAGCGAATGCGATACTATTATGAGAGGTGGAGAAGACGAAGAAGAATGAAGAAATTTCCAACGATAGAATCACGCAGGCTCAGCAGCTCGATTCAGCAACATGCACGACCCGGGGGAGGGGGCACAGCACAAGACGGCCCCGTCATCAGCAACAGACGTCTCCTCTCCGCTGCGGCCGTGTCTCGCCCTCGTAAGTTTAACGTCGGGGATGGCGCAGCAAGCTTCATGTCGCAGACGGGCCTAGCCGGTCTAAGTCAGATGCGACATAGCCCGTCGCCAATTTTAGGTCGACGACACACGCGTTCGCCAATGAGCACCCCGCCAAGACAGCGTGTAGCAGAAAAGCTTTCGGCCAGCGCCCCCAACGAGCCCGGAAGTTTCCTCCTGTGCAGTCCCTCAATGCTGCCATGACTGTGAACGTCTGCTCTAGCCACAGGTTGAGGGTTGGCCGTGTCCCCCTGGTGCAGATCTGGTACGCGTGGGCTTGCCACTCATATCCCGCGACGGTGGCGACGACGTGCTATCGATCAAGACCCTTTGTTGCGCGGGAAGGACGACACCACGTGCAAATCCGCCGTCCCGTTGCTTGCGGTGCTTGCAAGCGAGATAGGTATGCTCTGGCTACGGAGGCACCTAGGGGTCGCTTGCTCGCATCTTCCTCGGACGCGCGGGTTTTGCCACCCTTGGGTTGGGCGGCCTTGACGGGCTTGTTTGAAACGACGTTTCGAGCGCTGCCATTCGAAGGCAATTGTCCACGGCATGGAATTGCGATCCGCCCAGGGATTTGTCCAAGAATCTGTTGCGTTTTGATAGGCGACCTAGTGAGGCGTGCAATCTGCTGCCGTACCAAGGTCCATGCCCGTCAGGAGGGGAGTGAACAGCATTAGATACATCTATATATACACGCTAGCTTAGAGCAAACAACACCAAGTCCCGTTGTATTTTCAGAAGCGGGCTTCTACTACTGGGCGATGCCATCTCGCCCTTGGGTGGTGATGCACGTCGGATGAAGAGGACATTCAGCTTATATATGGTTGATGCTTTTCAGCATCGGACGTTTGCTGCGACCAAGCGCTGCCTACTTGCCTGCCTGCGTACCTGCTTACAAGCGCTTCATGTCTTCCCGCGTCGATCCACGCACCAGCTCCTGGAACCACCACGGGAACGCGCGCAGAGCCGACGTGAGGGCCAGCGCCCGAGGCAGAACAATCTGCTGGCTGCTGCCAGACAGGATCGCCGCCACGATCTCGTCCGCGACCGTTTCCGGCGCGAGCTGGATGGCCGCCGACTTCTCCAGCGCCTTCGCGTACGAGTCGCACAGCGGAGTCCGCACGTACGTGGGGTGAACGACCGTCGTGCGCACTTCGGGAGCCTGGTAACGATGCTTGAGCTCGCCCTGCAAGCCTTCATGCAGCGCCATGACCGCTGCTTTGCTGGCTGCGTAGTCGACAAGACCGGCCGGTGTGACGAAGCTGGACATGCTGCACGTACTCACTATATGGCCCTTCTTGCGGGCAATCATGTCGGGCAAGAAGGCCTGGATCGTGTAGAAGTGCGAGATGACGTTGACGTCGAACAGCTTCCTCAGGTAGCCGGGGGAGCTCTCCAGTATCGTGTGGGCGTGCGCGATGCCTGCGTTGTTGCAGAGGATGCTGGCTGGGCCCAGCGCAGCCTTGATCTCTGCGGCGACGGCGTCGACATCGTCCTTTTTCGTGATGTCGCACTTGAAGTAGCGGACGTTCTTGTCTGTTCGCGACTGTAAGCCACGAGTCCTCCAAGAAGCGCAAGTGCAACGGTCATGACCTACGCTCTGCGAGCTGTGTTGGCTCGACGATATCGACGACGGCGACCTTGATGCCTCTCCGAGCCAAGCCCGCGACAATGTTGGCCCCAATACCACCCGACCCCCCCGTGACGACGGCGACCTCGTTGGGCCAGTCCCAATCCCGCCTTTTGGCCAGCACCCAGTTGTTCCGGGCCAGGTGGCTGAGGATTCTGTTCACAGTGACGACGCCGCTGATGCTTGCAATCAAGACGAGTCTTGACAACAAAGCCTTGAGTTTGGTTTGGCTACTGTTGCACCTCAGCGCACGGAGGAGCGGAGCGCGAAGACGATCTGGCCCATAGTGGAGTACTGCCAGCAGAGAGAGCGATGTGCCCAGAGTTAGCTGGGATATGCTTTCTGCCATGGCGGGAAGGCGATGCGTTGTCTTACTACGTCCTTTGGTCAAAGATGCCGATGAAAGCAGACGCGATTAGCGGGACTGCGCTAGGGAGAAAACATCACGTTATATAGCAATGCGCCGAGGCATTGAGCAAGTCTAGAATTGAGAAGTCACAACCAATGGGGTGAAAACAAGCGAAGCGGAGACACTCCATCACCATCACCTGTGCTGCCTTTACTGTCTCCGGCTCGATACCTACAAGGCAGTACCGACTACAAGGCAATGAACTGCCTTTTCGAGCTGTGAGCACGATAAGTCCTGTAAACATTCGAATGATGGTTGGACTGCACATGACTAGCACGGGGGTTACTGCGAAAAATGGCGGAACGATTCCATCATCTCCACCTGAACAAACCATCTAGCCGCAGCGAGACAGGACTTCGCAACCCTGCTCGTGTGAGGAGTAAATTATCTCAACGTTTTGGCTGGTGCACAAGGCGGCCAAGGAAAGCAGATAAGAAATGGCATCGATATCGTCTTTAGTCGCCTCACATCGTCCAAGCCTGGACCCATACATCGAGCTGTACAAACACTTCCACCGTAACCCGGAGCTGTCCTACCAAGAACACGAGACGGCGGCGAAGATCATAGAGCTGCTGAAGGAGCTTGGGTCGTTTGAGATCTTCCCAAACATCAGCACCGGCCTTGCAGCCGTGTGCAAGAATGGGCCCGGGAAGACGGTCCTGCTGCGAGCCGACATCGATGCCCTGCCGGTGCAGGAGAAGACGGGCCTGGAGTATGCAAGCACCAAGAAGATGAAGAATCTCGAGGGCGCTGAGAAGAGCGTCATGCATGTATACACACGCCCCTTTCCAAATCATCCCACTTGACATCGACTGATGTGGACAAATCTTGTGTAAAGGCTTGCGGTCACGACATGCACATCACGTCCCTCCTCGCCGCCGCCAAGCTCCTCACTTCTTGCAGAGACGCTTGGTCCGGCACGCTGATCCTCTGCTTTCAGCCTGCCGAAGAACGAGGCTCCGGTGCCAGAGCTATGGTTGCAGCTGGCTTGTACACCAAGTACGTGCCAGTCCCGGACGTGGTGCTCGGCGGCCACGTGATGCCCTTTCGCACCGGCACCATCGGTACGCGCCGCGGCATGATGGCCAGCGCCGCCGATTCATACGCCGTCACCATGTACGGACGCGGTGCCCATGGCAGCCAACCCCACAGGAGCGTGGACCCCGTCGTCATGGCGGCGCACACAGTTGTCAGGCTGCAGACCATCCCGAGCCGAGAGACGGACCCAAGCGACCTCAGTGTCGTGACCGTGGGTGCGATCAACGCCGGTGACGCGGAGAACATCATCCCGGAGACGGCAGAGCTGAAGCTCGACACACGCAGCATCAGTCCCGTCACAAGGGAGCGAGTCCTGGCGAGCCTGACCCGCATCGTTAACGCGGAGGCGCAGGCGTCCAACGCCCCTCGACCGCCCACCATCACCAAGACGCGCGAGTTCCCCTTCCTCCACAACGACGACGACGCGACCGCCGCGATCGAGTCGTCTTTTGCAACGCACTTTGGCGACGCTTACGATGCCAACGCGCCACGCCTAGGCGGCAGCGAGGACTTCGGCGAGCTCGCCACTGCCGTGAACAAGCCCGCCGTGTTTTGGGCGTATGGTGGCATCGACCCCGCATTGTGGGACAAGGCGGAGAAGGCTGGCACGCTCACGGAAGATATCCCCGTTAACCATTCGCCGTACTTCGCACCTACTGTTATGCCGACGCTGCAGATTGCTGTAGACGCTTTCGCCGTGGCGGCGTTGACGTGGTTGAAGAACGATTCGAGCATATAATAACATGATAAAGGTAAACGCGTGAAATGAAACTTGGATGGTTTTGGGGGGGGGGGGGGGGCATGGGGGCATTGTTGTTACAATAGTGATGCTGGTATATTATCAGGAGCGACACGTCGCCTTTAGTATCGCTCCAAGCAGATGACCCATCCCATGAGATTTTCTCTGTGGAGAAAAGAAAAGAAAAAAAAAAGCACACAAAAGCAGGTAATATGCCTGCTATTCCTCTGCTCTCGGCGCCTGATCCTTCTCCATATCTTTCAAGAACTTCTCCCACGTGCTGATCGTGCCCTTGAAGAAATCCAAATGTGCGTCGGCCAACCCCCCAAGCGTATCCTTGAACTCCACCGCCTTGATCCTCTCGAATTCGGCCACCTCGGCAACGGTCCTGTCGTCAAACATCTCGCTGTTAATGCGGGCCTGCTCAACCTCTCGCGTCAGCTTTTCAATCTGGAGTTCCAACTTCCGGATCTTGTCGCGCCGTGCCTGCTCGTGATCGATGCCTCGAACGTCCTCGATCTTGCGCGTCAGGAATCCGGACGCGCTCAGCCCACCGGAGCCGCGCTCCGATGCTAGGCCGTCCCGTTCGGCGGCAGCCTTGGCGAGGTAATCCGTCAGACCTTCAAAGTCGAGCTGCTTTTGCTCGCGAGCCTTGAGAAGAGACTTCTGCGAGTCAATGTACGAGCTCATGTCTCTCAGCGAGCTGAGGTAGTCCAGATCCGTGTACTCCCTGAGAGCCTTGACAAGCAAAGTCTCATCCTCCAGGCTCCTGGCAAACCGGGTCAACTCCTGCTCCACCCCAGGCTCCAAGGCCTGCAGCTTCTGGAACTGCTGTGTAAGGTCTGAATAGTCGGTCTCGAGTTGAGCCTGCTTATGCGCGACGGATGCAATCTTCTTCTCGACATGCGAAAGATCCTCGTCCAGCTTGTTGGCTCGCTCGCGAACTTCGATGAAGCGCTTATCCGGCTTGTGCACTTTAGCCCAGGTGTTTATGAACGTGTCGGCGAGGGAGTCGAGGATGCCGCCTCCGTCCGAGGCATTAGAAAGGGAGGTGCCACGGCCGGGGCGTGATTTCATGGTAGCGTGCCATTCGGGCGATTCGAGGAACTGTGAGCAGAACTCAGCGCTCGTTCTTTCGGCGCACTGTACGATGTGAAGAGGGGTGGCATACTTGCAGCAGAATACTCGACCGTCGTAGCTCAGGATGCAAAGATATTCTTTTGAGAAATCTGTGCAGCGAATGTGCTCTCCGCGTTGTGAAATCGCTGCTCATCCCAGCACCGCGGACATAGGCCATGTTATGCTTGTCCGGCAGAGGAGGCACTGCAACGGCGGGGTATTCTTTACATAGCGTCGTGTAGAGGAAGACAAAGTCTGTGAAGCGCCGCCGCACGCTGGTCTCGGGTCGCATAAAGGACTTAAAGTCAGTCTGCCCTGGATCAGCAGCACGTCGTTAGATCGAGAGGCAAGCTGAACGCACCTTGGTGGTGACGAGGTAGGAGACGTAAGTGTCCTTTGCGCCCTCATTCTCCCGCTGTGGCTTCGACACCAGCGTCTCCAGGTATCCGTTGTCGAACGATAGCGGATTGGACATGTTGGCGCCAGAATCCTGAGCTATGCCGCGCTCGTGGGTTGGAAGCCGGAGACGGTGGCACCGCCGAATGTGGGCCACAAACAGGCAATGGACGGATGGACTTCGCAGACGACTTGCGTACTGTAAGACTCAGCTATCATACGGCTGATGGTATCGATAGGTGGTATCCAGTCCGCTGTGGAGATTATACTGGCCTTGTGTTAGGCAGTCGCATTTGACCAAACCCCGTGGTTGAGAGCTTCACCGCGGGCGCCGCCGCCTCCAGTCTGCGCACGGACATCCGTCGATGACGACGAACATTGGACTTGTGAGTCTTCAACCTTTTCATCTCACCACGAACTGCGAATGACGTGAACGCTGTCCAAATAGGACACTACTGTTTCTAAGCCCCAAAACGATGAATTCTCACATGCATCGCTCTGCAGTCGTGTCTACATAGCGTTCATCACAGCTGCGAACATGTTCGTGGAGGGTTGTTGCACGGACAACAGCCACTTTGAGATGCAATGCCGAGCACATGTACTAAGTCCAAGCTCCAGCATATCTTGCCAGATCGGTGTGCTTTTCCCTAGAAGCTCTTGTCTTCAATCGTAGAGGAGAATATACTGTACATTAGTTATAAACTCAAGCTGTCTCTTGCCGTTTGTCATCGCACTTAACCAGCTCGGTGAAGGTGAAGGGCAACAGCAAAATCTGCCGTGTCTCGTACTCAGGGTTTGTCATGTGCTTTATGGCATCCTTGTGTAGCCAGGAGCTGGTCAAGATTTTAGTAATAGCAAAGCGCCTTAAATGCTACTACTCTGGCACCTGGATGGCAAGTCCAACGCCTACAAAGCATTGCAGTCAACAGCTCCCAGCTGCGGCCGCACCCCCCTTGCTCAAGTGCGAAAGCTTCGTGGGCCCATGTCTGGTGCGTCATGTATTTAGGATAGAGCACTTCGGACATTATGTTATGCTCCTTCTCCGGAGACTTTTTGCAATGTCTTATCTGTGGACTGGAACTCTTCCTCCGCACAGAATCAAGTTGCACGGCTGTGAGAGGCGTTCTGGTCCTTTCACGTCGAGCAACGTTGGCAGAAGACGTACGGCAGGAAAGGGTATCAATTTGTCCATTTGCTCTTGCGGGCCAACAATTTGCACGGAAATGGCATTGTGCATCTGGAAGAGAAGGATTAAGCTCTCATCCTCTGCGAGGTTGTAGCTAAGGGAAACGCAAGCGAAGCTAGGCTCGGCCGGCTCCTATACTCCGTAGACAAGGTCGTAAATACCAAAATGCAAGTCTCGCCTTGCGGTGCCAAAGAAAAACCCGCTTGCATGACGGGCGTCTTGGTCCTGGTCTGCACTTGGTGCAGGTCGTGCTCCTACGTTCCGCCATATCGGTACGATTATGCATCAACAATTCCGCGGGGAACCATTAGGACGGACAGCTCGCTCGAGCACTTTGAAGAGCCGGTGGCCCAGAAAACTGTCATCGAGATCCCATGGTTCCCCTCTTTGCACGTGTCGTGTCGTATACCGGCTGCTCGACAATGGCCACAGTTGACCTTGGGCTGCTGACTGGAGAGCTTGGAACCGAGCTAGAAGCGGATCCACGCTATCACGGCGAGAGAAAAAGCTCCCAAGATGGCACTTTCTAGAATTCCATGGCTGCCGGAAGGTTCTCTGGCTGCTTGGACCAATGTCACGTCCAGGAGCTCAGCGCCGATTCGAGATGCCGCACGTTCGTGCGGGATCACGTTGACCAAGAGGAATGTGATGGCATGGGTGGATGAGGATCTGCTGGTGCTGGAGCATTCTGGCCAACCACCGACGGCGCACTCGTCCATGCACAAGCAACGTCACCGCAGACCGGACGGAATCTTCCACTGTCAAACCCCGGCATCGCCACCGAAATGGTGCGAGTCTCACACTATCGACGATTTTGCGGTCGCCGAGCTGTCTGTCCTTGACCTCGTGCACGGGTAAAAATCGGGTTTGCATGCGAGTGCCTAGTTGAGCGATGAATACCATGTCACTCTGGTTGCAATTTATACATACTTATCTCCCAGCGGCAAGCCTTTTGAACTGTCCGTTCTGTCGCTCTACGGCAGTCCAGTGTCGATTCTGATCCTAAACGCCTCCGCTTGGACCTCAGTTTCCAGCTCGACGCTCAAAAGCCAAACGCAAACTCGGCCTGCCATCTTCAAGAAGAGCGGCCACAATGTGGGATTGGAGCAACGAACAATTCACCCAGCCGCCACAACAACTGGATCAACAGGATTACTTCAGCGCCCCGACGTCCGCCACCGCCGCGGCCTGGTCTACCGATCCATCATGGAACAGCTTCGACATCGACGCTTTTTCTTCCATCAACCCCACGCTTTTGGTAAACTGGGACGTGGACGACTCGTCCCCGAGCAGCCAGGAAGAACTACCTTGGACATGGCCAACAGACAGTCCGTCTTCGAGCGACACTGTCTCCCCGCCGGCGTCTGATTCTCCCCCGGCAAAAACACCCCGCAGAAGAGGCCGCCGGCCTTCGTCACGAAGGCGGAAAAGTCACAACGAGATCGAGCAGAAGTATCGAAACACCGTCAACACGGCCATCCAAAACCTGCAAAGTGCAATACCACAGCTGTCCTTACCTGGCGGCGCCGAGACGAACCACCGGCCTCAGCTGACCAAGGCAACCGTCCTTATCAGCGCCACAATGTACATCAAGCAATTGGAGCAAGAGCGAGACAAGCTCTTGGAGATGAACAAAATCTTTCGCGACGCGATCGCGCGGGGAAAGCTGCTCCCTGACATGCAAACTCCAACACAATAACGTCTGTGGAAATGTTCCTCTCCCTTCATGGTTCGATTCGTCACGGCTTCCATCCGTCACATTTATTTTGGCGTCCATTTTCTTCTCTTCGCGCATCGTTTTGGCCACCAAGCTCTTCGCGAGTCACGATACCAGGCTTCTTTTCTCCGAGATCATTTACGCGTCGGTAGAAGGTTTAAAAAAAAAAAGGTGGCTGCTGAGCTCTTCGGGTTCGAGATCGCTCCATTGCGAAAGATTTGTTTTTCCTTTATTTTGTTTGTTGACGCGTGTGGAGCACGGATTCACAATTGCTTTCTTTGGACAATTATATGCTGGACATGAAGTTTTGGTATGTCAGAGACCTGCTTTGACATTGGCGTAGAATGATTATACGAGACCACTACAAGACTCTGAATGATACCATACCAAGAAACCAAAAGCGTCGCCTATGAGCCTTAGCCAAGTGCGACCGTAATGATGACGAAATTCAAATGATTATGGATTAAAAATAACAAAGACACAACATGCTTTTTGTACTGTTACATCCTGCGAGGCGTCTCCGCTTCGATTAACCAATTTTATACTGACAATCCACCTCAAGATTCACTGAGGACAGAGACGAAAAAGTTCTGGCCACCCTCTTTGATTGCGTGCACAATGATATCCTGTCCGAATCCGCTCTGGTTGCCGTCTTTGTACTCCTCGTACTGGACGAAGTCGGACTTTGTGGTGTCCTCGTCCAACAGCACGGTCAACCCGTACTCGATAGCCGCCTTCTCCGTGTCGAATGTCGCCTCAACCATGCACGTCCGTTTCGCACCGGAGCGATCCTCATTGTAATCAACTATTGTCTGTACTACGTGGAAGAGAGGCTTTGGTAACCGTCCGGTCTGTTCCTCAGCCTTCAAGCCCGAGGTGTTGGCAATCGTGTCAATAGACACTTCGAGAAGCTCGCCCTCTGGGCCTTTTGCGTAGACAATAACGCCGTCACCATGCTTCCAGTTGGACGGATCGTTGTTCACCTCGTAGACCGGAAGTAGGTCGACGTCGTAGCCTTCTTGCTTGAGAACCTCCTTCGCAAACGCTTTTGCGGCTTTCAGGTCGACAAACGTCGCGGGCAAGGCGATCTTGTATTCGGGCTCCAGTCCGTGAGGCTTTTCATCGTAGAACGTGCGCTTCACAACGAAGAGACTAGCGTTATCTGCCATTGGAAGGAATTTCGAAACTTTGAGTTTTTCGCTTCAGACAGCTGAGTGTAGTGATTTGGTCCTGGCCGGAGCAAACTGGACAAGCCAGGTGGATAGCTTATATAGATCAGAAAAACTTGTTGTTGACCCTGCGTGAACTGCACCATAAGAATCATTCGACCGCTTAGATCAAAACGCTTTTCTGAAGCGAGCACAGTCTACGTCTCGCCAATCTACATTCTTTACACCAACCGTACGCTTCAACTGTTGGTCAGATGACATTGCCTGATCATCTGGATTGCCCAAGTTCATCCATGGCCAAACAGAGAATATTCCAGAAATGAAAACCCCGAAAATTGAGCTCTGTAGAGATAGCTGGTCCAATATGAATGAATCCCAGCCCTGCATAACGGCATGTGCCATCATGGCCTCTTCTTCACCCCTCAAAGCTTACGTCAATGCATGTGCTTTATCCTGAGTTACGTCCAAGAGAAGGGCCCAGGCCCAGCAGCTCGGGAAAGGTGGTGCTAGCTCTCGAATTTTCAAGCGGCAAAACGAAAAAAAAAAAAAAAAAAATTGAAAAAGAATACAAGATTCTTAAAACGTTTAGCGCAGACGAGGCCGTGCGATGAGGCCCCGTGGCCTTCGAGATGTCAAAACTTGTGGGGTGACAATATTCCGATCTTACCAAGACCGCAAGCGCGCTCACTGAACCGGGGAAACTTTTGCGCCATGTACGAAAAAATGACATTCGGCAATTGCGGTAAAGATACGCGAACGGAAGCACGTATGATGGTCGTTAGATACTGGCAAAGATCGTATGATCTGAATGTTTACCACTTTTGAAGCACTGAGTAATGCGGTCGCAGTTCGGACCTCACATAGCGCTTTAAGCAGTATAAAATGGTGGATCTGGAAGCGAAAGAAAAACCACTCCTTTACCAAGTCTTGATCAATTTATAAAGTCAAAAATCCGCTACTGATATATTGCCCATCATCCTCAGCAAAGCTATAAGCTAGAAACAATGGCGTTGTCATTCAGGTAGGCTACCTTGGTACTTTGCTAGCGGGGCCAGTATCCGTTGACGACAGCGCAGTAAGTCAAACAAACAAGAGCCGTACTCAATCCGCTCTGAATTCAGTCAGTCTGCCTTCGAATCGTCTTTGCTGGCGACCTTGTGCTGACCCGTAGCATAGCCGCATGTATATCAGCGGAATTTCACCCCCATTTTCACCAGATCGTCCACCTAACCATTTCGATTCCGCAGACTACCCGTACCCGTACTACATCTATCCTCCAGAGCTGTACCACGTCACGTACCTGAACGAGACGTTCCCGGAGCACCACCTGCCGTTCTACGATGCTCGCCACAAGCTGGCCAGCGGACTGCACAACTTCTGGAAGGACACCTGGCCACAGCCCAAGGCGGACGTGTACGAGACGCCAAAGCGTTACTACATCGATGTAGAGCTGCCGGGCGTCGAGTCCAAGGACCAGATCAAGCTGCGGTGGACCAACTCGCGCACCTTATACCTCGAAGCCGAGAAGAGGAGCAGGTCCTTCGACGACGCGACCGCGAACGAGCCGGCTAAGCCGGACGAGAAAAAGGAGCCGGCGGCCCAAGCAACCGACTCGACCACGCCCGTCAAGATACAGGAGACCGGTGAAGGCTCGACGAGCACGACCAAGTCCAAGGAGCACAAGCCGAAGCACAACGTGCACGCCCTCGTGAGGGAGCGCGACCTCGGCAAGCTGAAAAGGGCCTTCTATTTCTCCGTGGGCATCGACCGCGAGAAGATGACTGCCAAGCTCCACCACGGCATGCTCGAGATCACTTTGGACAAAATGGACGAAGATGCACCTGCCGAGCACCATGAGGTTGCCATTGAGCACGTTGGAGCGAAATGAAAAGGAGGCTCAGCTCTGAGAAACGGAAGCGCGTCGTACGAGAGAGTGTATAGCCTGCGAGGCTGTCTGATTGTAGATGTTCGTCCATTTATCCTTCTACACGCTCCTTATTGAATAGACTCGGCAAATTAATAGGGCTAGGCAGACGTGTAAGCATGAACATCTATGGTTTCCTTCGCTAAGATTCATTTTATACACAAAAGCACAGACACAAGGAAACTACTAACACAAAGCTGTCCGATCTGCCACCCAGTGGGAAAAGGAAATAGCCGCGTTCATACCAACAATACTGATTGCTTTTGGTCGACCTGCTCGACAGTAAAATAGGTTACGCCCTCCCCATGCTTGAATTGTTAAAGAGTCACATACTACCCGCTTTGCCGTACGATTCCTTTTCGCACTATGTCCATCTGCTCATGTCAACCGTGCTTTATTTAGCAAAGTGCAAATCGTAGTTCAGCCACTTTCGCTTCAACACTCCGTCAACGTCCAAACCTGGCTGTCCATATGTCAACGGTGCGAAGTAGACAAAGCTCCAGAGAATAGCCGCATATATTGCGGCCGTTGCGGCCCACGCGGCATATAATCCCTGACTCGCAATGGCCTCGCGCACAGGTCGAGACTTTGGCTTGGGTTTCTTGGAGTCGAAATCTTCATCAGTCAAAGGCTCGATGTTAAAGATGAACTCGACGACGGCGCCTGTAACGAGAGCGGAGGCTAGATGAGCAGGGAGGTAGTGGTGTAGGAAGAGTTGACGACCCATGATAAAGAATGGGAAGTAATGGGCAGCCCAGGTGAGGAAGAAAAAGCCTGTGGAGTTGTAGAGGCGAGCACGTGTGCCTGTTGCATCATTAGTAAAGGCTGGGCCTCATGTTTTTAAATCGAGATAATGAGCTTACGTCTATCGAGGGCATCGATTCCACGTCTCAGCGCGAGTTGATCCGCGCCAACAATGCCAGCGAAGACAGCCAACACACTGCTCGCGAGCCACCAGCCCAATGGGTTGCCAAGGAAGTAAATCTGCTGCCTCGTATCATTCTCCGTCCAAAAGCTGACGCCTCTCAACAAGAACGGCCACGCGATCGGTTGACTGGCGTATGGATGGCTGCTGGTCAAGGCGTTGTTATGGAAGAACATGGCACGCTGAAGCTCAAAGTATTTCTTGAGGAAGGGCATGCTCTTGATCCTACGGGGCTCATGCTTGAGGCGCTCGCTGTCCGGTGGCAGCGACACAATCTGCTCCGCATACCATACATTGCTTGACTGTTGCGTGTTCTTGTTTCCGTTGATCTCGGCTTGCTTGAATGCCCATTCTGGGAGGGGAGTCGTGTGCGTCCACATGGCTACCTTGGTGGGCACGTGGATCAACTTGAAGTGACCGGACATGGTCTTCCATTCCTGGCCGGGCTTGCCGTGTTCAATGCGGATCTCGAAGAGCGTATCATTGAAGCGCTCACCGGAGGCGAGGTCGTGTGTAACGGTGGTGAATTCTTGATTTGTGGGGTAGTATGGAGATGCGACATCGTGAGTCAGGAGGATAGTGTCAGTGACCATGTGTCGAAGGCGAACGGCGTCTCCGTTCTTCACAGGAATACCAATAGCGGTTGGGTCTTGCGGATTGAGTACTTGCCAGTGGTTGTTTGTGTCGTTGTGTGGGTAGCCCGTGACTTGCTGGCCCTGAGACGAGATTCGTCCATCATCGTAACGCAGAGGGTACCGTTCCGGGTGGCTGTGGAGGTAGACCCTAGTCTCCTTGTGCTTCAAGGTGATGACATCGCCATACTGAATTCCGACGGACTGCATGGTCATGATGTTATCCGCAAGAGTCTCCTGGAATTCCGGAGACATGAAGTCATCGCCAGGGCCGGACCTGGTGAGAATGGCGAAGTGAACTTGGAACCAAAAGAGATACAGCAAGAACGGCACGATGATTAGGCCCACAGCCCGAGCAAGGAAATGCTTGCCGAACTGGATCATAGTCAAAGCGCCCTGTCTCCGGTTCACGTCCAGCAGATCCCACAGGTCGAAGAGGACGGGCACGCCAATCGAGAAGAACGTGAAGGCACCCACATACTTGGTCGAGATGACACAGCTAAGACACACGCCCGTAAGAAGCAGCCATTTCCACCACTTCCTCGAGAACGGAAGATGCCTCAGCTTGTAGAATCGCACGTAGCAGAGGATACTCAACGCCATGCTCAAGATGAGTGTCGCGTCCAGTAAGATGAGCCTCGTCTGGCCAACGTGCGCGTTGTCAAAGAGCACAAGGCCCGCAGCCGTCACGCATGCCGGGAGCGAGTAGCCGGACTCCCACATGATCCAGAACACAGTGGGCACAGTCAGGGCGCCCATGGTAGCGGGAAGGGCGCGGTAAGCGACGTAGGGAACCCTGTTGGTGATGTACGAGTCGCCGATGTTTTCGAACAGGAAGGAGCCGTCGTAGCCAACGAGCCAGCCGACAAAGGCGAAGAGAAGCTTGCCGAAGGGAGGGTGAACGTCGAAGAAGTATGTCCGCTGCAGGTAATACGACGCAAACTGTCCGCAGCGTGTTCAATCAGCTGTCTGGGCCCCTTTTCTCATCGCCGGGTCTTCGTTGGACCGCAAAACAAAGGCCGACGTACCTTGCCGAAGTGCACTTCATCAAACACCACGGAGTTGGGGTGCGAAATTCCGTAGAACCGGGTGATAAAGCCCAGCAGGGTGAGAATGGCGAGGGCAATCTTGTAGTCCCATTGCGAGCCCACCGCGTCCTTGACCTCTCCCTGGGTCTGCGCAACGACCTTCTCCACGCCGGCGGCACTTGTCTTCAGGTCATTGTGCGAAGGCTTCTTCTTTGGCGCTCGATGCTTCAAGCTTCCCGAGTCTCCTGACATCGTGCTGTCGCTGCCTCTGTTCGTCTCGCAGTTAGCAGTCTGCCCTCAAACGGCTGTCGTACGTCAGGGCGTTCGTCCGACGAAGGCGTGGAATGGAGCGTCAACATACGAGCTACGACTTGACTTGGCGTGGCGACCGGAATGGAATCAAAATGGCATTTGCAGAGCAAAAGAACAAGTCGTGGATTGTACCACCCGACATAAATTGCTAGCACTTTAGGCCACTTGGTCAGAGCCGCACCCCCTTTAGGAAATCTGATGTGGACCCTGGCACGTCTCCCACATCGCACCACACGCGTCCCACGAGCCCCTCATTGCGACGACGCGACAGTCTTCAGCTCTGACTCCCGACTTGGCCTCGTTTCATGAGTCCAAGACCCCATCTCATCGGAGCCGAGCTCAATCTGTCTTTCTGGCCTTTGTCTTCAGGCGGAAGGGAAATCAAAGACCAGACGGGATCACATTCAATGCAGTCGGGCTGCATCCTAGTGTTCCCCCGCTGTAACTCACTTGCAGATCAGTCTACAGCCTCCCCGTCGAGATCAACGACGTCGGTGGCGATGAGGGAATGCAAGGCTTCGACTTGATCTTCCTTTATATTTATCATCTTCTCAAATTCTTTTTCATGGGGGATATTCTGGATTGTTTCAATTGTGGTACGCGTCGGCGTCTTCTGTGTCTGTTTGACGGGTTACCATCGTCGAGACGTGAAACTGTACACATTGGAGACTACAATGTATATCGTAATCTAAAATGGCGACAGGATTCTGAAAGCTTTCTGCATGGTCCATTTGCTGTGCCGCAGTGAGTGACACATGCATTTGGCAACAGCTATCTCAAAGGAATATGCAGGCCGTACGGTGCTGTGCCGCAGAGGTTTACGAGCCTGAACAGATCCTGATGAGCAGTCTGCAAGCTCCGTCAGCCTCTGTGCGCATTTTATAACCGGGCTTTCGGTAAGCAAAATCAAACGTTCTTCAGTTTACGTCTTCAGACATCTCATTTCGCCCGGATTCAAGTCACCCAGAATCCCAGAAAGCATTCAGATTCTGACGAGAAAAGTCATGTCGCGGCTGGTTTACACGGAAATATGGCCGAACACGGCTCTCACGACCGAAGTTGACGACTACGCCTTCCAACATGTTCACAAGAGCTCGCCTGGTGCCCAGCCTCCCGTTGACATCCTTGACAAGGTATACGCCAACCAAGTCGCCGCGGGCATGCCAAATATCGCCGTCTCTGAAAACCAAGGTAAATTCCTGCAAGTCCAATGCCGCATCGCGAACGCGAAACATGTGCTGGAGTTCGGGACGCTGGCTGGTTACTCGACGCTCTACATGGTGCATGCAACACCCCAGACAAAAGTCACCACGATCGAGGTCAATCCGGACTTTGCCCAGGTGGCTCGAGCGAACTTCGAGTTGGCGCAAGTCGCCGATAGGATCACAATCCTGGAAGGACGTGGAGTCGACGTGGTTGCCAAACTTCTTGAAGACTTTCACGCTGGAAAGGTGGAGCCATTTGATGTGACGTTCATCGATGCCGACAAGATATCCAACTGGATCTACTTTGACCACGCCGTGCAGATGAGCAGGTCAGGTGCGATCGTTATCGTAGACAACATTGCTAGAGGGGGAGATTCTGGCCCGATCGTTTGGCCAAGCATGCAACAGGAGCCAAGCGTCATTGGCTGCAGAGAAGTCATTGAAAAAGCCGGTGCTGATCCGAGAGTGTCAGCTTCGTTACTGCAGACCGTAGGCGGCAAGAATTATGACGGTATGCTGATATGTGTGAAATTATGATATGATTCAGTGTGCTTGAAGCGGGGAATTAATAGATCAATTTAGCCATATGTCTACAATCTCAGCATTGAGCCTCTCCCAAGCTGTCTTCCAAACTCGCCCGACACCTTTTCTGGACGCAATACCTGTTGCGTCCCGTTCTATAGCTAAGACATTGTAAAACATGTATGCTTTTGTGCCTTCGAGCTCCGCAATTTTCTTTACCTCCAAAAAAATGGAGTCCAAACTCTTACCTTTTGCGACTCCTTCCGATATGATTATCACTTCACATTGCAGAGGTGCCTGAGTTGATTTCGAAGCTTTGGTGCTGTCTGAACTCAAAATGCCAATCCTTTTGCTGGCGAAGTCGAGAAGATCTACCATACACGTGCTGTGGTGTTTGAAGGCCTTTCCAATCACTCCACCTGTCCGAACAATTGCGCGATAGGTTGATAGTGAAAGGTACTGCTTGCAATGCTCCTGACAGCTCAGTTCGTGTGTTGAATCCGTAGCGGAGCCGATAGGGACCGGATAACGAAACTCGTAGCCTTTCTCCACCAGCGATGTCTTGGTCCAGCTATTATCCCACATCTTGTCCCAACCGGCGATTTCATCTGAATCAATTTCAGCTTTTGCGCGCCAAACGTGGTACGAGTTATCTATTCGGAGTACTTCAAAGTCATCATTAGGGAAGCACCGCGAAGTCCGGTACCAAGTTACGCATGGGTAGATCAACAAATCATCATTAGCAACTCGAGTGGAATATCTCGACGTGGGGAAATAAAAGCTCGCGTACGGCTGATGGCTGATGGCACCGTTTTTCCACCCAAGCCAAGACCAGCTGGGAAATTCGGGACGTCGCTCCAGCGGCTTGATTAGAATCCATAGCATCGTGATATCGAAAAAGAATTCTGGGAGTCCAAAATGGAAGCCTCCAGGCCAGGAAGGCCGCAGACGAGCTAGAATGGCGCTGCACGCATTGAGAGCATCGGTATCAAGTCCAATCTGTCTTGTGCAGTACTCCTCAACCAGGTCACAGTATTGCTGCAGATCTGGAAACGGGTTGTCTTCAATCACCCCGCTAGTGGCATCTGCAAGCGAACGAAAGTAGAAGTTGTCAACCGTCTGGTCGTCTGCCTCAGCGGCGATGTCTTCGGTCCAGTGCGTCAGGCCACATTCCCAGAAATACGTGTTCTCGAAGAAACATAACTTTCGGCTAGACAACAGGCGTTCCTGATAGGTCCACGCTCTTGCATGCCATGTCATCTTGTTAAAGGGTTGCTCTCGGATAGGTGCACCAAGAACTTGAACCTCCGATGTAAGATCTAAGATGAATTGGCGGTGGCGGCGTGGCGAAGATATACCAGGTATGCCATGGTCGGCGTGCTCTCCGTCCATGCAGACGATGGTCAAGCTTGCGTTCTTATAAATCTCACCCATGAGCCTGATTTCGTTTATCTTGTCGTTATCATCGTCCTGTATCTTTCAACGTATCAGCTACTAGACACAAAACGTGTACGAGATAAATTACAATGCAGACTCTGTCCACCCAAGCATGTTTGAAACCGAGTCGCTTGGTCAGGAGCATGAAATCCTGAACTGTTGATGCTAAGAACGAGCCATTGGATCCTGAAAAGAGTGCTCCGGGCTGGCTCAATTCCCAAATATTAGACCGGATTGCTGCCAAACCTGGCGCCGTCTTACCCCAGACGTAGCTCATAGCCGCATAACTTGGCCAACCAGTGTTTTCGACGATGCATTGTTGCACGACATCAATCATCCTTGCAGGCCCTGGATAGACGTTATTAGAAGTTGAAATGCATTCTTTGCCATGCTCAGTTTCGCAATGCTTGAGCCACCGTTGGATGCGCGCTATGTCTGGCCAGTTCGGATCCGATTCCATAAAATACTCCCCGAAACCGCTGAAACGATGCTTTATCGACGGGTAAATCTCGAGAAGTGAATGTGCACTGTGGCAAATGTGCTCTGGATACTCGTCTGAGTTGCAGAAGGACGTGCTCGTGATGGCGAAGCGACCTTCCGAGAAACTAAACATCATCGCACATTCTGGTGATCGCGGCTCAACATTATCTCTGGTGACAGCTGAAAGATGCTGCACAACGGATTGACAGGTCTTGCAATTCTTCCGGTCCAAATACCCCTGTCATGTCTCAAGATATTTGCTAGACGAGTCGAAATGTCCAGAGCAACTGGACTGTGATTTTTCTATGACCGCAGACGCGATCACATCACAAGTCGAGCATAACATAGCTACACGAATGTTTGACTCTCTTCCTTTCTACTCCACTCGCTACCTCTTGTTCTAGCCTCACTTTTTGTGCACAAGCTAAGCTCTTCAAAAATTAAAGAAATCTCCTGCGGTATTTCCTTATTGTTGCGGCCTGGTGGAGATTATATCCGTGATCGGATGAGGTGTACAATTACGAGTACAAGCTCCAGTCGTTCAACATGTACTCTTCAAGTACGACATTAATGCCAATATAGTTATGGAATACTGAGAGGCTATGTAATACTCATACGATTTTTAAGTTACACTGCATCACAGTGACAAGCTTAACACAAGGTTCTCGGCAGGACACGTGATTTGATGTCCTCCAATTACCAACGTACAACGCGGGTTCGTGTAAAACTTTTGGCTATGACTTCAATTCACGTTATGGAATTTAGAAATATCCTCTGGAAATATTTCACAACTAGAGTTCCTATATCTGGTCTGATTTGCGTGTTTATTAGTGGACTCTTGCTTGAATGGAATGTCGTGGTGCCGCCGATGTGATTCATAATGGGCGCGACTGAGACATTAATCTTTGCTAAAGGTATCGCGAAAGCATGAGGATTGACTTGTCTGGTATTATGCCCCATACTGTTCTCGTATTGCCTAAGCTGATTGGTTCTGTGCCCCAGCTTCTATGCTGGATACTGAGGTTAAACATTCCTATTCCATCATTGGACGCAGCCTTGATCTTGCCATCGAATCTGCGTACGGTCTTTGCTATTAATTCGAACCTGCTGTTAGAATTTTGGTCATACGTTGCCACGTGGCATCCCCTTCTTTGAAATCCTGCCAATTATCGGAGGAGCCCTACGTCGAAGTTCTCGCGCCCCGGTGCGAACCCACAGGGCTGAAGGTAGCTTTTGTATTCCGCATTTTTCCCGAGTTACTCCGGTTGGGCGCTCTGCCCTTAGATGTCACTTCTTCATCCAGGCCAGGGGAATTCGCGGAAAAGAAGCTTCGATCCCCATTCGTGCTCTTATCAATGTATTCAGGCTTTGGCTCCACAAACGCGCGTTGAAAGTAGTCTCCCGTCCCCATGGGCATCTCCATTTGTGCTGTCAAATTCAGCTTAACGGACCACATAAGGTGGGTCAGCGGGTCCGAAAGGAGTTCCTCGACCTTTTCCCGTCCTAGTGGAACCCCTTCCCTGTCTCGAATCGAGCGGGCAATATGGAGGAGGTACTCTACGCGTTCTTCTCGAGCATCTTCGACATCATTGCACAACATATCTACACGATCTTCGAATTTGCCGTGAAAATAGCCTTCGTTACGATCATCGTTTGGTGCGGTAAAGAATGGGCCACGACGACGGGGTGCTAGTGAGTCGTAGAGGGCCATGTCGTCGTCAATGGGTTGCCAGGTATTCCATATTGGAACCTGGCGCTCTTCCCACTCAGCGTCAGGCTCGCTGAGACCAATTGTCGAGATAGAGCGATGTGAAGGTTCGTGATCTGTATCCGGACTGGTTTGCTGAGAATCTGTAGTGGCAAGTGCTTCTGGACGATTATCTCCCAAACGCTTGCTCAGAATATCATCCCAGGAGCGCACTTCTTTTATCTTCTGCGGAATCGCTGGTGCTTGAGACGCGCGTTTTAAATTCGTCCGTCTAGCGACATCGCCGGGCTTGTCTCGACGCTGCAGTGCTTGTTGCGTTTGGTGGGCAAGAACTCCTAGCCTGCCAGATCCTGGGGTCAGGGGTTTGTGGAATGGATCCAGCGAGACGAGTTCATTTGAAGTGTCCTTGTCGCGGTAGTATGGTTCCCGTGAAGCATCGACGCCGGCTTGCTGTCGCAGTTGGAGCTTTCCTTCATGCCACAGATGAGTCTGGTGATCTTGCTCCAGTTTGAAGACTGGTAACACCCCCGCATTTGAACTTTGCGATGGACTCGGGACAAAGCTAGACGAATTATATGTATATCGAGTCGTTTCCAGGCCCGTGGGCTCGGTTGACGCGATCGAGAAGCGTTGATCAAGTTGGCTGTAGTTATGAGAATCTGTCGGCGAAGAATACTGGGACTCAGTGAGCGGTGCTAGAAATGTAGAAGTCTCTTTTAATAAATCTCTGTCGTCAGTCGTATTAGTCGCAGTGCGCTGCAGCGAAGGCACGAGATGTGTATTGGCCGATGAGACAAATGACTTCACATTTGGAGGAGCCGCTTGTTTGGAGTCACGGTCACTTAGGTCAAATTGTGTGTTGAGCTTAGTGCTTGAGTTGAATGAGATTACAGCACTTTGTGGCCGAGGTGAGTGCAGTGGTAGTGCTACCGGAGTTGGCTTCTGAGTACGCAATGCGGAGGCCTCAAAAGCACTTGGAGATAGAGAAACGATCGAACTCTCTTCCTCAAACTGCTTGGCTAGAGCAATGAACATCTCGATTTGATTGCGAGGCATAACGCTGCCAATCTTCTGACCTTTGAGCTGACGCACGCCAAGGGCACCTTCGATAGCCTTTCGCCGGTATGAGAACAGACCGACATTGACCCATTGCAAATGGGCTGCAGACCAAGCATGTGCCTGGATGTCGCCTCCTCCATCGATGGTGAACTGGATTTCACCATCTCGCTGGCCCTCGTTTTCATGGAGATGACTAGCAGATGGGAGCTCACGACCGAATGCTTGCCTAACAAGAGCGAAGTGCTGACCAAGCGCGTCAAAGGGATGTGCCGTTTGCAAGAGCTGGACATTATTTTGCACCTTGCAGGTGTCTAGAAACAGTAAGTCAATCATATCTGCTATAGAGCTTAATAATTTTCGTTCATTACCTGTCTTGTACAGAGTTTCTGAATTTTCATCGGTCATGCTGCTGAGTACACGACAGTTACCGAGTACGAGAGATGTGTCAGGTGGAGCAGCTTTCAAGTTTATTTAGTCAGCTTGATGCAGTGACTCGCAGTGATAGATTGTGTTAACTTACTTCCTAGCTCCTCCTCTAACGGTGAATATCCTCTGCGACCGCGAGGCTTTTTGAATTTCATATAGTGATGTAAAGGAACGGGCTCCTGGGACGCCATGTGATCAGGCCGGAAGTCGCGAGGGGGGCCCAGCCCAACACGCGCCATGTCTGCAAACGTAGCCTGACGTGATTCCTGGTCTGTCTGCGAGCTTGGATGATGAAGATCACGTCCTGTGTCGGTCTCTGCGAGGTACGAAGGGTTGGTGCGAACAAGCTTTTCGGATTTGTCGCTTCCACAGGTGGAAGTCTCGTCCTCGTCCGTTGGTCTCGATATAACAGTGATGTGAGGTGTGAGAGTGGAATTAGACGAGGGCGGTAGGGAAGTTACTGGCTGACGGCCCCTAGGAGCTGAAGATGGTGGAGGGCGGCGACCGCGGCGAGCTGGAGAGCGTTGTCAGAGACACGGTAGCAGAGGCGGACAGATAATGAGCAACATGAGAAACTCACTTCGGCGGCGGCGTACAGGAGGGTCGGAGGCACTGGCTGGTGCCATGGAAAACTCTCCTGCGGGAGCTTTAGAACTCGCCACAGGCAACGCTGGGTCAATATTGCTGGTCTCAGGCGTCGACTGCAGAAGGTGCTTTCTTCGCTCTCGCTAGGGCATGAACAGGGACAAAAACCAACAGCGAGGCCACTCACCGATGGATACAAAACGACTTTGAGAACGAAGCTCGCTACCAGTGTATTGACGACAGACTGTGTAGGCACTTCTATGTTGCAGTGAGGAGGACGACGAGCCAGCACTGAGAGTTGGATATGGAGCTGTCGATCGGGCGGTGGCGACGGAGCCGGGAGGAGAGCGCGACGGAGGATTTTCACGGCCGTTCAACGGTAGCGGCTGCCTCAAGCAGTATGATTATAGCGGAGGGAAGGTGGAGCAGAGTCGAGGCGACTTCCTTTTCCGATCTTCTGACCCAGAAGTCGTGAAAAGTCAAGGCCAGAGGGCGACGAGGAGAGAGCAGCAGCGAGCGGGTTTGCCGTCGCGTTCAATTGACTTCAGCTTATCTCTTCATTCCGCAACAGCAACGACACGGCCGGTACCGACGTGCCCCTTCACTGGCTTGTACACAGGACGTTAATAATGCAGGGTCAAGACAACGCCGGTTCCGTCATGCGCAGAGCCCAAACATTGCTACTATCTAGGCCTACTCCCGTACAAACCTCAGTCGCGACTCTGCAGATCGGCTGTAACTCAGGCGACCATGTAGACTCAGAAGTCCGTAGCCTAGCTTGGATCGTTCATACTGTTCTGTAGCAGGCCTCTAAACATCTCCAGTTGATCACCCAAAAAATTGTGTTCTCAATATCTCCATATCGTCGCCAACGAGCTGGCATGGGATTCAAGGAAACTGCGTACATGACTAATTTGCTCCATTTACAGGCCTGCGAGGTTTTAGAGACGCTGAAGATAATCGTTAGCATGTTGAATATCTACAGGTGCCGTCGTCGCCGGCGCTGATGATTCTCAAAACAATCGTAAAGTGCGTCTGGCTAAGTCATAGGCAATTACCCCCGAAATGTCTGAGGCGCCTCATTTACTAGAACAGGCCTTTCTCCTGCTACTGCATAAGCAAGTCTTTGATAAAGGTAGCAGTTAGCGCCTGCACTTTAATGGCCACGAGCTTAGCACATGTAATGTACGGAGACGAATATTGTGATGTGGCAGGCTTTCCTTCCACTGTTGGAATTTCTCCTCAGGAGTCCATACGAATATTTATGCCACTTTCCCTCGCGGTCGTCTGGGTTTTTGAAGTCGAACGCGTCGGTGATATGCCCAGGGCTGTTCATATAATGTTTAGGACCAATGATGCGGCTGTAGTGACTGAAATGCGAAACGGGTGATCATTATTGAGACGACTCTGGATACGAGGAGCGGAGAACGTATTCCATTAAAGTCCTAGAAAGTTACCTAGGTCTCTTCCGTTGTTGCCACCCACGCAGATCCATTCAGTTTGAGCTGTCCTGTTGAGGGAAAATTTGAAGGCGGCATTTGCTAACATCAGAGCGGATTGGTTGTTGGGAAACTCGTGCGATGAGTGTTAACATGCAGGGATTTTTCTTGAAGTCTCTCGAATCGAAGGGGCAACGCGTTATATTTAGTCTCTGCTTGTTAGCCTAACTACACCGTTATGGGGCGAACGCGGATGGCTGACACGGAGAGCTCATGCGTGGTTGACTGTCGCGCAAACCCTGACTGTGCTGCAAAGACGTTCCCAGCTACTCCGGAAACGGAACCCTTCGGAGAAACTTCACAACAGCATATGTCTTACAATGTTGGCCAAATTGAGAAGGCCTGGATATCAACTTGATGTCGTCTGAATGCCGACTTCGAACAAGTTCGGCTCTGTGGAGCCTACGTTTGTTGCAAAGGTGCCAGGCTACACATCTCCGAAGTTCTCATTCGTAACAATCACCAATCCCGGCGATCTGACGGACAAAGAAAAGAAGAGAAAGATCCGCCAACACGCCAAACGACAATTTGATCGATCGAAGGCTAGAACATATCGAGCACGCTTCGAGAATGAAGGAGCACACGCCAAATCTGTACAACGTACGCCAGCTGTTGTGCCGCTGAGTAATGCATCACCTGAGCCCATTACAGTGGACCAGACGGGCGCACAAGATCGAAGACTCGAACTCATCCCTTCAGTACCCGTTGCTAGATCCGTGTTGACAACTGCGCCCTTGATACCCATGAGCTATCTAAGACCTCTCGGTGCTGGCCGGGGTTACGAACCGTTTAAGGCATACCCAGTTCCAGCAACACCTAGAATGATCCAGTTGCTGGATTTTAGTAAGCAAGAACAGACAGATATTCTTTGGAGAAGTCGAGTTGACAAATTGTTAGTGGTGCAACACCGAAGTTTGTATCAGCGCCCAATGGCATCGATTTGGCTAAGTATCGGCATGGCTGACAAGGATTGTTTCTACATCACTTTGGCCCAGGCATCGAATTCGTTATCAAGATTCCAGGGCAACCCTTATCCTGAGACTCCCGAGTCAATAAGGTTTTATTCCAAGGCGGTTAAAGCGCTGAATAAGCGCATATCTTGCGACGCTGACAGAACAAGCGATGGCGTTGTTGGCACGATTCTCGGCCTCGCTTATCTTGACGTGAGCCTAAACATGGGTACCATTATCATATTTGGCACTGATGCGGGAACAGATGACTTATAACAAATGGGAACGATGGAGAGTGCATATGAACGGTCTTAAGAGGGTCCTTGAACTTCGTGGTGGAGCGAACACGCTGCAATCTTCCTACGAATTGCAAATGACTACTTTTTGGTAATGACAAGCGACCTGAAGCACAAGAATGAACGGGCTGACTGGACATTTTAGGAATGATATTAGTGGCTCATTGACACTTGACAGTACGCCTTGGTTCCCGCTTCCGGGCTTTGCGGCAGCTCGAAAACAACCAAGTTATGATCATCGCCTACGTAAATTTGAGCCTGAATTCAAAGACGGCACATCACTCGCGGACGGGCTGAGAAGAGCCATTTACGATCTTGCAGACGTTGCAGATTACGTCGAAGGAAACGGTCTGAGCAGCGACGAATCACAGCGCGAACTTTTCGTTGCACAACAGTTGAATCCAGTCATACATGGCCTTCTATCTCTTCCCCGCGTTTCGCCCGAGAATGCAATCAACGAGGGGTGTACTCATCTTCGAGACGCTGAGATGTTGCGCCTATCTGCTCTGCTTTTGTGCGGGTTTATTAGAAGGCACGCGCAAAGCGGCTTGCCAGCTATTGTTGAAAATCGATGCAGGCTTAGAAACCTGCTACATGACACGGCAGGCAGCTCGGGTTTGCACTTAACCCTGAGACTGTGGATTTTAACCATGTCTGCACTAGCTGACCCGTATGATCGAGCCGATGATGTGGCACAACTGGCTTTGACGATGGAATTGCTTCAGTTGCGAAGCTGGTCCGCGGCACTTGCGCTCCTGAGAAGCTTCATTTGGATCAGTGAGATGCTGGATGAAATGGTGCATGTCTTGGGAGACGAAGTCGCTACGTACCGCGCGATGTATGCAACCGGAATCCGGTTGGTAAGTGGCTTGAACGCTATCGATTCTTAGGTTCCACCCCGCAAGCTAATCAAGCGGTAACGGTGTCATAATAGCGCTTTGGAGTGTTACAATTTAAATGGCCATTTTTCTTTGCGTGCCGAAAACTGATGCGAGGATTCTAACTTGCTCGTCCAGCTAGACTAGATGGGGCAGATGTGACATTCCAATTTGGAAATGATCGACGCATTTAGTTCTAGACTTGTTCTCGTCATTAAGACGAGGCTTCAGCCTCGTTCTTTCACCCTCGGAAATATTTAATTCCTCATTGCGTCTTCACAACTACCCACAAAGGAAACCTAGCCATATTACGCTGGCGCAAAGGGCTCAATCCTAGTGTCAGAATCGCATGAACACCGCGAACTGCCCTGTTCCCACGAACTGCGCACCTACCTTTATTTAGCAAGTGCTTTCAAGCTGGATGGCTCGCTGTCGACGCCGGCTCATGAACGAAACTACAAGAAAAGATGGCTATAAATACTGCACCGCGCAGCTTATGAGATCTGTCTAGATCAATCGGCTTCGCAAAGTCCAGACGTGCGAACACTGCAGATTCTTCAAGCGGAGCGACAAGTTACAGACAATTTACCTCCTTATGGCAGCAGACAATCTCTCCCTCGCTGGCAAGACTGCCATTGTCACTGGTTCAGGCCGCGAGAATGGCATTGGTGCCGCAATCGCAACTGCGCTGGCTCAAAACGGAGCGGCTGTGACGATTAACTACGTCTCCGACGCGTCGGAGCCTCGTTCTGCTAATGTAGTCAAAACCATACGTGACCTGGGCGGCAAGGCTATTGCAGTTCGGGCCGACGTGAGCGTGCCGGACGAAGCCAAGCGGCTCGTCTCTGAAACTCTCAAAGCATTCGGGACGGATCACATCGACATCTTAGGTACTTTGAACACGCTAATATAGTCTTTTGATCAGTTCGTACCCTAACCCATCACAGTCAACAACGCGGGCTCCGGATGGCCTCATTCAACGTTGGACATCTCAAAGGCGGAACTGGAGGCCATGTTCACGTCCAACGTCTTCGGGGCGATCTTCCAGACACAAGCCACGGTGCCGCACATGCCCAAGGGTGGCCGAATTGTCAACATCACGTCGATAGCGTCGAAAATGGGTATGGCAGCGTCACCGATGTACGGCGCGAGTAAGGCAGCGCTAGATAGCCTTACGTTCACGTGGGCTAGAGAGGTCAGTTCAAATCGTACTGCAGGTCTCGAAGCCACGCTCACGCCAGACCAGTTCGGCCTCAGTAAAGGCATCACGGTGAACGCGGTCGCTCCCGGGCCAGTCATGACAGACTTTGTGTCCGCGGGCGAAGTTGAGATGGACTTCACCGCTTTCCTAGATATGACGAGAGCGGAACGGCGCGTTGGCACTGCGCAAGACATCGCTGACATTGTACTCTTGATTGTGCAGGAAAAGGCTCGATGGATGACCGGGCAGTACGTCTCGGCCAGCGGCGGAATTACCGGGCAGTAGGGTCCAGAATTGCATGATCCTGATAGGATGGAACGTACTTTTTTTTTTTTTTTTAAAAAAAAAAATTCAATTCATCGTTTCTGATGGCGATCTTGACACAGATTCCTTGTCACTTTGGCTCTTTCAAGCCCCACTGGCTTGTGGACATGGAGCGGCGAAGCAGTGATGTAGCTTTACGAGCCTGGGCAGAGGCTGGAACAGACCCAACGCAAGCTGCACCTTGCTTGGAGCAAAATTCTTGACGATGAGATCAACCGGCGCGCCAGAACATGTAAGCTGCGGAGATCGAGAGCGGTGCTACGGCATCTCACGTTCGGGCCCGACCGTGCACGGCGGTCTCGGGACTAAACCATGATTCCCATGAAAAATTGGCGCGATAGCGGAGACGTGACAGAAACGCGGCCCCCCGCCCTCCTTTAAACTTAGGCCCTCCACTTCGCAATCTCGCCATTGTGAATCGTCCGCCCCGGTGACCGCAGCTGCAACCTGGAGCGTTCTCACTGCCGTCTTGGATCTCACATCCGTATAGGGTTGTATTTATAGGGAAGGTCTGCCAAGCGGACATCTAACGGGTTGGTCATTCTCCACGTCAAAAGCACAGTCACTTCAAGAGCCAAGCTGAATCACAATTATGCCAGTCCACGATGTTGTTTCTGAGCTCGAGGCGCCGTTCACGGGGGACACCATTCTCCAGATTAGGACGGGGAAGGTGAAGTCTGTGTTCGGGCTCGGAATACAGTCCGCCATCTACAAGACGGAGCGGAAGGAGGGCGTGAAAGTCGAAAAGCTCGGCTTCGAAGGCGACGAACATGCCTTTCACGCGCACGGCGGGCCAGAAAAGGCCCTGATGCAGTACTGCAGCCGGCATTACGACACGTGGAAGCGGGAGCTTCCCCAGTCGGAGCACCTGTTCACGCTGGGCGGGTTCGGCGAGAACATCGTCGCGCCGTCCGCCAACGAGCGCAACATCTGCATTGGCGACATTATCGCGTTTGGGGACGAGGTGCTGGCGCAAGTTACCTTACCGCGCGCTCCCTGCGCGAAGCTGAACCACCGCTTCGAAGTGAAGGACATGTCGCGAAGGTCGCAAAGCTTGGCCCGCACAGGCTGGTACTACCGAATCCTAGGGGAAGGGATCATTCGGGCGGGTGACACACGATCAGGCTTGTCGAGAGGCCAAACCCGGGCTGGACAGTGGCCCGCGTCCAGCACTACCTCTACTTGGACAAGTCCAACGTCCAGGCCATGCAGGAAATCGTTGCACTGGAGGGCCTTGGCAAGGAGGTGTTCAATATCTTTCAGAAGCGTCTGGAGAAGAACGAGGTCGAGGACCAGGAAGCGCGGCTGACGGGTGGAAGCGCCGCACTCGCTATGAAGAAGTGGGCAGACTACAGGATTGCGAGCCGCCGCATGGAGACACCTCGGATCGTGGGGTTGACATTCCAAGCCGTCGAGCCGGAGCAAGCCCCTGCACCAGTTGAGCCTGGCTCTCATGTCCGCCTAAAGCTTGGGGGGAAGCTCGTGCGAGCATACTCGGTGGTCGGCGGCGACAGTAACTGCTTCGAGCTGGGCGTCGCACTGGACGCATACAGCCGCGGTGGCTCCAAGTACCTGCACGAAGTGGCCAAAGAAGGCGACGTGCTGCAGGTCGGCAGGATCACCGCCTCGTTCCCACTGTCGAAGGAGGCCGATCACCACGTGATTTTTGCCGGTGGGATCGGCATCACCGCTTTCGTGGAGGCGGCCCACGCGCTGCAGAAGTCCGGCGAGAGCTTCGAGGTGCACTTTGCCGTGCGCTCGGCCGAGGACGTCCCGTTCCACCGCTACCTTGACTGCGTCGAGAATCTCACCATCTACAGCAAGGCTGCGGGCCAGCGGATGGACGTGCGGAGCATACTGAGTCGGACGAAGGCGAACACGCACGTGTACTGCTGCGGTCCGCAGCGACTCATGGACGGCGTCGCGGAGGCCGCAAAGGCGTGCGACATCGACGCGGCCAACGTGCACTTCGAGACGTTCGAAGTCACGGCCGGCGGGCGGCCTTTCACGGCCGAGCTCTCGCTCAGCAAGCGCACCGTCGAGGTCGACTCCGAGCACAGCTTGCTGGAGGCGCTTAGAAGCGCAGGGTTCGATATCGACAGCTCGTGCGAGGTGGGCAACTGCGGCACCTGCAAGGTCACGTATTGTGCCGGAAGCGTGCAGCACCGAGGCACGGCGCTGGTGGAGCAAGAAAAGGAAAAAGAGATGCTGACGTGCGTCAGTAGGGGAATAGAAAGGACTGTGCTGGAGCTGTAGAGATCGCTGCGCGTTTCGCCCGTCCTATTTCCTCCACCGAAGCTGAATCTTTTCTCTCAAACGACGGAGGTTCATTCACACCTTAGAAGATAGTTAAGCTGCTGTACTTTGCTCTTCGGACAAGGCCCTGTGCCCACACGGCCAGACGTAGAGCCACGCGTGCGTTCACCAAGAAGAGCAGGTGGACCTTTTTTTTTTTTTTTTTTTTTAATTTTTTCCTCTCCAACGCCGACGTTCGTCAGTCGTCTCCCGGAAAAACAAAGTATAGAAAGAGCAAGAGAGAAAGCGATGTGGCACGTCATGATTTCAATGTAAACTGAGAAAATTTGGTTCAGACTGAAATAGAAGATAGGTGGTTCGCTATTCTGTCGTTACTCGACGGCAGAGCTATGCGTTTTAACTCGAGCAATGCTTCGATCCACACCGTGTCAATTCCCCTCCGCAGCGTGAAGATCCATAGCCAGCTCGGCAAGCCGGGGATGTTTTCCGTGAAGGCTCTGGCCTGGTCAAAAGAAACTTCCCTTCTTTTTCTCTCTGCTCAAACTGAATAAAACGGCGACGCTCCCCTTGTCGTGAGTCACGCGTGATCGTTGCGGATGTTGAAGAAAGGCGAACGACGACAGCTAAAGCAAGCCGGCCAGGTCTGCGCTCTTGATGACCGTGGCCTGCTTGGGCAGCACCTTTTGGACCAGCACGTTGTGCACGTCTTGGTCGTAGTCGGCGCAGCAGTCTTCCAGAACAAAGAGGCGGAAGTCCAGGTCGGCCAGCTGCCTGACGGCGCTGAGCACCGCGCCGGAGGTGACAATGCCGCCGAGGATCACCGTGTCGATGCCGCGAGCGCGGAAGTCGTCCAGGATCGCCGTGGACGGGCCCGTCATGAAGGTACCGTACCTGATCTTGCGGTGCAGGCGCTCGCCGGGCGCGGGCGCAAGCGCCGCGTGGATCTGCGTCGCGGCCGCGTCTGGAGCCATGGCCGCACTGATCTCGCTGCTGGCCTTTATGGCTGCGAAGGTGGCGTTGTGATCTGGGATAGCCGCAATCTCGTCCGCTGTCAGCGCAGCGTGAACGTACGTCACCGTAATGCCATGCTGGCGTGCCGTCGAAGTTGTGGATGCCGTGCTGGCGACGACCGCCGCCGAGGCGTCCGCGGGGAGACGACTGAGGAAGCCGTTCTGCAAGTCGAGAAGAAGGAGACTGGTCTTCTTGGCATCGATCTTTGTCGCCATGGTGTGTGGCTTAAATTTGTAGCAGAGGTTGGCGTCCCCCAAAGCTTAGATGATCGATATGGTTAGGTGGGATCTATAGGTTTTGCGGTCGTCGTGTATGATGCTTCCTTGGTAAAACGCTGCAGAAACTCAAGGCCTTGCATGGCCAGCTTAAATATGTATTTTGCCATGGCGGTTGAAACGCAGTTATCGGACTTTTGATGAACACTGCCGAACGAGACACTAAAGTCCGGCAGATTTCTCCACTGACCGTAAGATGTTTGGAGTAGCAACCTGGTATTCAGGGTCGGTGCAATTGTATCTTCTCAAGAGTCGGCCAGCCGGCATCGGCTGGGAACGGCCAAATCGGCCATGCACTGCCGATAGCGGCAGGTTTACTTCCATAGATGAAATCAAGAGTCAAAACACTCAGTAGCAAAGAAAATGTGTGTTCAAAAGGACCACAGCATGAATTGAGACATGCACACTCACACACAAGTAAAAGTGGTTGAATCTCGAATATAAACTGTATGTCTGTGTATGCATCTACGCTGCAGCGACTGTGGCAAAAAGCGGAAGCAAGGCTCAGTACAGCCGTCCCAGCTCGTCTAACAAGCTGTCTGCCCATCTTCAACAAGCACGCTTTCACCCGGCTCAGCATGCGCGTTCGCAGTTCAAGATGCTCGTTTCTTACCATCTATGTCAAGAAGATCCTGTGTGGTGGACGGATTCGAGGTGGATCTTGTTGTTTATTGGCAGTCGGCACAGCACGTTTCTCACAGTCGTGCCAAAGCTTTCTTCTGCGTCCCCTGCGTCCAACTGAGTGTCTGGAGCGGTGCGCAGTGCCGCACTACGAAAGGGAGAGCTGACGGTCTACGCAGACAGAAGCCATGCGAACGGACGAGGCGTCTTTGAGAAAACGGCCGTCGGCCGACGATCCAGAGACGAATCTCGCAATGTTCGGTTCGGAGCGGAGAGAGCTTGCCATCTCAGACGCCTGGTAAGGGTCCCGCACTGGAAACGGGTCGGCCACTGCGTCCAGCTAACACTCCAAAAGAGCCGCCTCAGGGAAGATGAAGTGCGGTTCGAGGAAGCTGCGTTTCCGCAAGACGGACGTAGGAGCATCTGCCGAGTTGCAGGGTCCAACGAGCATGATTGATGGGAGTTTGGACGAAGAAGTTCCTGTGCGCGTTCGGGAAGACATGAGAGATGACCGCGAATCGCGTAGAGGAATCTGACTCGATTTTGTTTCGAAGGCAATAGTCTGGGTCTGGCTGTGCCAGTAGCTGAAGCTATTCGGCACAATATGCAAGCAGTCTGGAGCCAGTGAGAGATATGTTGGCCCTGGGGGATTTTATACAGTCGGTGGCATTTGGATCAACTACTTCATCGCCGGAGTAGCGGTATTGCTGATGTACACATCCATGCGTGCCAGCTAGTCAGATATCAGGATATTCACGTCGGCTACGAGAGGATAGCAGCAGGATTGCATTGTGGCCGCAGTGGCTGGTTCACCGCCGTATATATGAGGATGCTACAACTGGACGAGCGTGTTAAGTGTGATCACGACCGCAGGCTCGGACCTTCCTTGTACTGTGGTTTGATGTAAGATGCTGCGTTGCGTGCGTGCGTGTGTGTGTGCGTGTGACTGCCAGCCTGGAATTTGTGGAAGTTACGACCGGATCCGTTACTACAGTGGCAACGGACATTATTTTGCGCCGAAGAAACTGGCCATGCTCCTGTCCTTCTATCTTGTTGCTGCGCAATTACCTCTTCACCAAGATCCAAGCATTCCCTTTGCGGAATTTCAGCACTGTTGGGAGTAACTTATTAAGCGGTGCGAGCTAGTTAAACGTGACGCAACGGAAGTGCAGTAACGGGCGCTTGCAATTGGTGGTGGCAAAGCTGCAGTTAACTTAACAGCGGAGCAAGGCTGACGATCACGTCTTGGCAGGGGCACATGTCGGGCCGTGGTCCAATGAAGTGGCTCGCACGTTCGCAGGTGGCGCTTCTGCAGTGGGCAGCGCAGGAGCGCGTACTCGGCGCATTATCACGGAGAGATAGGCATGCGCCTGCCACGCGTTTCATGTCTGCGAAAGACCAGCGAAGGGAGCAGGGGAGCACAGACGAGGCGAGTCTGGACATGCAGCAGAGGACGCGCTGCTTCAGTGGGTAGGACTAAGTTCGGGTCAAGCGTTGGGGAAAACAGCTGGGTGGAGCAGGTGTGTGAATGCAGTGGCGCCGAACCGCTGTGCTTCGTCCTACTCTCGAATTTTTTTGGTGGAGCATGTGAAAAGTGGATTCTCAGTGACGACTGTGTGGACAGCATACAGTCAAGGCAGGGACGTAAATGCGGCGACAGTGCCAAGCAGAGCGTGCGTGCAGAACGGACGCTGATCGCGGAAGCACGGGAAGATTGGTGGGGGACGAGTGGAGAGGGCGAGGAGAAGAGGAAGAGGAGGAGTAAAAAGGCGTCGGCATGGGAAGTCCATGGTCGAGCAGGCGCACGTGTGTAGAGAGAGCGGAGAAGGGTGATGGCTGATGGAGGACAGCAAGAAAGGCGTGAGAGGAATCACGACGGTCCGAACAGGAACATGATCACTCAGGCTCAACTTCACCTAGGCGATGTGAGCTGGATGCACGCATAAGCTCATGTCGCGGTGTGTTTACAATGGCAGATGCACGACATGTGATGCAACACGCCAACCAAATGCACAAAGAGCTCCTGCTCACACTGCACATGGGGCGTGATGAGGGAGTGCGTGCGCGTTTGTGTGTGCGCGCGCGTCCCGGTTGGGCGTTCCTTCCCGCGACGATCGCCGCAAGTGACGTCGTTGGCTCTGAGCATCGCCCTTTCCTGTCCAGCACGCTGCTTTACAAGGCAGCCGCTGGGTGCAAAACGCCAAGTCGGACGTCCCGTCTTCGCTGGTCGAGCCCTTGCCGCTTTAACGGGCGGCACAAAGGACGACGGGCACTGCAGGGCGTCTGCGGGTGTCTGCGCTCGCTCTGCACCTGCGAGCCCCCACACTCTCTGCGACTCCTTCGCCTTGGACCTGTCGGATCGACTTCTGTTGCTCCTCTCCCCTTCTTCGTCCTGCCCCTGCGATCAGCCCCAAGGCCTCTCTCCTCTCTCTCTCTCCTCTCTCCTCTCAGCAGCCGGCCCTGGCCTGAGGCGGACGTCGCGTCCAAGTGTCGCACCCAACGTGCGAGAGCTGGCCCTTTCTCGCCCTCGATCGCCCGCGTCTCTCCATCCTTATCGTTGAGCCCGCACCAGCCCTCGCCCTTCCATCATGATCGTTTAATCTTAATTAGCCTTTCCAGATCTGCTCTTCCTAATTTTCGATTGATATTGAGCACCTGTTCGTCTCTTTCTCGCCTTTTTCCTTTCCACCTACCATCTCGCCGTCGTTGTGCACCGCTTTCTTCTGCGCGGGCCTTGCCTGGAGATACTGATGATTCGGCCTTTGCTTCAGCTCCATCAGTCGCGTATCCAATAATTGTTGAGCTTTAGCTTTCTCGTTTCTCCTCTTTTCTTCTCCCCGCTCTCTGGCCTCGCTGCCGCTCGTTTTCTTTCGCCGCATGTTAGCCGACTTGGGTCGCATAGCGAGCGCCCGCCCGTCCTTTCACTCCACCCCGGCCCGGAGCCTCAACGTCATACCTGGTGGGCCAATACATGCACAAAACCCACACCCACTGCGCGTTCGTGTGAATCTCCTCTCTTGCTCGTCATTCTTAACCTTGCGGGCCCCAATCGCTGCCTGAGCACTTCTCTCAACCCATATTCTTTCTCTTCGGGGTTCAGTTTCGTGCGCTGAACCGTCCAGAACTTGGCCCTATGCCTTTCCACCTTTCAGTTCCGTAAAATCCACCTCCATACCGCGTTCCTGCACACACACACACACTCACTCACACCCTCCCAAGCTGCCCACAAACACACTCGCGCCTACATATACATATACATATACGCCTATACACCGGCGCGGCCTGTTCGCTGACCCAATTGGCCCTCACCACAATCACTTTCTTTGGTCCGGAATAGCCACTGATCGCTTTCGGGGCCGAGTCGCCCGTTTCCTATTCATTTGCTACACGCAGATCGTTACCTCTAATTGAGGGAGGGGCGTCCACTCCCCGCTGCCCATCATGACCACACCGGTCGACGAGAAGACGCAGCCGAACTATCCAGTCCACGATGCCGGTGGCCCATCCGTAAATAGTAAACATGAGAAGTCGTCCGAAGACGAAGGCACCGTCGTTGGCGACGGATCGCTCAGAAATGAATCACCTGGACGCGTCCATCGCCTGGGTAGCCACCTCACCGTCGAACCCGTACACGATATGGATGCCGAGAATATGAAGAGCATACAGTCGCCCAGTCGTACTCGCGCCGAAGAGACGCAGCTGACCGACGAGTTGCAGCTGCTGCAAATCGAGCAGCAGGTCTCAAACGAGAACCACGAGCTGAGTGCCTCCAAGAGCCTGCGACGGTCGCGGTCGCGCAGGCCCGAGCCCGTCGACGAGTTCGACGCTGCCACCAATCCGCTGCATGAGAAGACGCAGATTTACAAGCCGCCCGAGAAGCCAAATACAAGCATCGGCAAGATCTTCAAGCGCATCCACGAGTCGAGCGTGATTGTCCGTTGGGCCTTCTACATCACCCCCGTTACTGGCATCCTGCTCATTCCCTTACTTGTAGGCGCCCTCAAGTTCAAGACCGCCAACGTCGGCGGCGTCAAGCTCATCTGGTTCAGCATCTGGCTCGAGATCGTCTGGCTCACCTTGTGGGCCGGCCGTCTGCTCTCAAAGTGTCTGCCCTGGCCCATTGGCCTCATCTCCGGCATCTTCACAAACAACAGCAAGAAGTGGCGCGATATGGCCAAGCAGCTCGAGCTGCCCGCTACGTTGTTCTTCTGGTGGCTGGCCATCGAGATCTCCTTTCTGCCCACCATGATCAATCACCACATCGACGGCGACAAAACCGTCAAAAGCTGGGAAAGGACTACCAACAAGGTCTGGGTCGCCTTTCTCGTCGCCGCCGTGCTCAACTTTGTTGAGAAGATAATCATCCAGCTCATCGCCATCTCGTTCCACCTGCGCCAGTACGCCGACCGGATCGATCTCAACAAGTTCCAGATCGCGTCCCTCACGAAGTTGTACAAGTACTCCAAGGAGAAGATTGCCATGGAGGATCGTGAATTCGAGCCGCCGTCGGCCGGCCCAGGCTCAGGAGCGCGCACGCCCGGAGCCCTGGTCTCCGCCGCGCAAAAGAACACCAAGGAGGCTCTCAACAAGTTTGGCGACGTTGCCGGCAAGATCGCCGGCGACTTTACCGGCCGGCAGGTCGCCAAGAGCACTCACCCTCATCAAGTTGTCCTAACCTTGCTGTCCACCACCACAGGAAGCCAGGTCTTGGCACGCCGTCTGTACCGCACTTTCTATCGCGAGGAGACCGAGACCGTGCTCGCTGATGATCTTCGCAACGCCTTCGACAATGATGAGGAGGCCGACGCCGCCTTCACCATGTTCGATAAGGACATGAATGGTGACATATCGATGGAGGAGCTCGAAGCTGTCTGCGTTGAGATAGGACGTGAACGAAAGGCCATCACCGCCTCCCTCAAGGATCTCGACTCGGTCGTCGGCCGTCTTGATGACGTCTTCATGTTCATCGTCTTCATCATTGCCGTCCTGGTCCTCATCTCGCTCATATCCACCTCAGCCGCTGGCGTACTTACGTCCGCCGGCTCCACCGTCCTGGCTCTTTCCTGGCTCTTCTCCGCGACTGCGCAGGAGCTGCTCCAGTCCATCATCTTCGTCTTCGTCAAGCATCCATTCGACGTTGGCGACCGCGTCGGCATCTACGGCAACACGGGCTCGCAGCTGAAGGGCGACGACTACTTTGTCAAGAAGATATCATTGTTATACACCGAGTTCAAGAAGATGGAGGGCCACATCGTGCAGGCGCCCAACAGCTATCTCAACACGCTCTTCATCCTCAATCAGCGTCGCTCGGGCGGCCTGGCCGAGGCCGTGCCCATCGTCATCAAGTTCGGCACTACGCTCGAGCAGATCGAAGGTCTCCGCAACAAGCTGCTCGAGTTCGTCCGTGCCGAGAAGCGCGAGTACCAGGGCAACATTCTCACGGAGCTGCGCGACGTCACCGAGGCGCACTCTCTTACGCTCAACGTCGTCTTTTTTTACAAGTCAAATTGGCAAAACGAATTGCTTCGTTTGCAGCGCCGGAACAAGTTCATTTGCGCCCTCATGGTGTCCATGCAGGAATTGGGTATTGAAGGCCCACGCATGCGCTTCCCCGGCCAGAAACAGTCCTTCCCCATCTACATGTCCAACATTCCGCACATCAACGTCCCCGGCACAGGCCACGGTGGTACCCCGGACAACCCTCAAGGTTACACGAACGACGGTCCAATCGACCCGCCGTTTGTCGAGAGCCTGGATCAATCGGTCGAGCGTACACAGTCGCACGGCACTCACCAACCGCCGTTTTCCACATCTCGTCCACGTGGTGGCTCCATCTTGAAAGATCCTCTGCACCCTCACACGCGACCGCGAGGCGAGTCCCTCGCGGCCATGTCCCGCCGAGTCGACTTCTCGCTGGGTATGAAGGACGTGGCTGCTGCCGACATGGCAGGCGACGTTTTCGAAGACGACGAACGTTCCCGCGAGCGACAGCGTGCAGTCATCAACGTCACGTCTCCCTCGCGCGAACGCAGCTCAACCGAGCGCGTCCGCGGCTCCAACGACATTGGCCGCTCAACATCTATCAGCAGTGGTCAGAGCGCCCCAGGCCAGCGGCTCCAGCACCGCAGCACGGATTTGAACGAGGACGGCAGTCGCACACGTAGCATCCACAGAAACCGTTTCTTCGGCCGCAGTCGGAACGGTGATGGGGACGTTGAAGCCGGTATGGCCGACATACCTGAAAACGGCCGCCTCGACTCAAGAACGGGCATCGTCAGCCCGCAGGCGTGGCGGCCAAGTTTAGACAGCATGCGTGAGAAGGCCGACGAGCACGGGTCCATTGCAGAGGCTCTGAGAAACGTCCCGTCAAATCAGAGCACCAGCCCTAGACGGCTCTAGTCGGACCCCTCGCTTCTCACTTCCAACCTCTACTCTTCTTTTTCCGCCTTTCCTTTATTTTTTTTCCACTTATAGACTTCATACATGAGTTTCAGGGACTAATTAGACTTTTTTGTATGCTCGGACTGGTTCGACACAGCGACGAAAGTGCTTCTGTCTGTGCGTACGGCGAGCTATGGATCTTGTGAATGTGCGAGATGTGCTATTTCCCAATTCAATCACTCCTTTACTTCTGTCATCTAAATGAAAGCAGGATACTTCTTGGATTTCGAAGTGCCCATATGCCTTTCCTTGATTTTATTAGATGCAGCTAAAAGCGCTTTTGAACGCGCAAAAAAAAAAAAAAAATTGTTGGACTGAGCTGTTAAGCTCCTCATTTTTATCTTAGACGTAGAAGAACGAAGGCCCAAGCAGTCTTTGCAATTATAAAGAAAAATTTGATTGGCTTTGCGAAGATACGCCGCTAAATCCTCTTGCATTTTTCTGTTCAGCTGAAGACATGAAGTGAGGACGTTATGCACGAGTGCACAAGTTTACTGACTGGATGCCAGGAAGTGTGAAAGTGTCATGGAGAGGCAATTGATCAGCAGAGCACGCAATGCCAAAGCCGAAGAATATCTGATATCGATGGCTTATTGACTCGACGGGTATTCCGAGCGATGTTTTAGCCATGTATCAACGCTTCCTGTACACAGCTTGTAATCAAGCGCTTCATGCGTTTTGGCGTTGGAAAACGTCCCAAACAGCACGGTATCGCTTGCTTCATGATTGAGGGTCGTAGTCAGGCCAGTCGCGTAGCCTGTCAGCCACACAATCCAGGCGATCTCTGCCGTCAAGACAACAGCATCAACAAATGTTCGCATGTCTTTTGCCGAAACGACGTTCCAGTGACTAGACCCAGCGGATAGGCGTCTGACAGAGTGAAGAATAGCAGTACAAAATAAGATGATCCTTCCTCATCATGCTATACACAAGGTTGCCAAAGCCTTGAGCAACGAGTCGTCACGGAAAAAGTTGGAAAGAGATGGCCGAAGCGGAGCCGGACAAGTGAATCGAAAGAGAAGAGGGAAAGAAACAAAGTCTGCACAGAGAAGATCATGCCGACTGCACGTCACATGTTTATCTGCGCCATCCTGCTCGGATGGATGTCGCCATGGCCGTCCTCTTTGGCCTTCTTGGCCGCCTCCTCTAGCTCCTTTCGTCGCTCGGCGTATCGCTTACGGTCTTCATTCAGTTTTTCGTTCTTGCTCTTGATCTTCTCCTTCCTGTGTTGGCTCTTGTTGCCACCTCCGCCGGCTCTGAATCCTCTAGTTAGCTCCACGATGGGTATCAATATCAAGGGTCGTTGCTCCCGCGGGGGTAGAACTCACGTGATTTCGACATTGATCTTTCTTTTCGTCTTTCCGCCGTCGGTGCTGATCTCCGTGTGGTGATACAGTTGGAAGGCCGTCTGCAGCCTGTCCCAATCGTCCCATTCCACAAAGGCGAAGCCTCTCGGCTTCGACGTGTCTTTGGAATGAGGCATGCGGATCGACTTTGGAGGGATCTTCTTGAAGTGCTCTTCCAGAGCTTTCCGCGTGATGTCGTACGGAAGATTGCCTGCATCTTTGTCAGCCTACCACGCACGGTCGAAAGAGATTGGAGGGGGGAAGACGTGCCAACAAACGCAATGAATCGTGATTTCGACCCGTCAGTCGACTTTGCCTTGCTTTTCTTCGCGGTGGCATCCGCGTCTGCCGGATTGCTCCCGCCTTCGGCCGCTGCGTTCGTCTCCACAGCGGCATCGCTTGCCTCGGTCTCTGCGGCAGCTTCGGTATTCCGAGAAGTCCCTTTACCTTTCTTCTCGGCCTTGGACTTTTTCTTCGCCGGTGGATCTCCGCTTGCAACGGCACCGTCGGTCGTGCCGTGAGCACCACCTTCGTCGTCCTTGGACTTCTTGGACTTCTTCGTCTCCGCGTCATCGGTGTCGCTACGTTCCAGGCCTGCGTCCTCCGTATCCTTGGACTTCTTTGACTTCTTCTTTGGTTTCTCGTGAGCAAGATTCACAACATCGGCGTTTTCTGCGAAGTCATCCTTGTCTGCTTCAGAAGATTTTGCTTTCTTCTCTTTCTTCGCTGGCTCGTTCTTGTTCTGCGACGCCGCATCCTCGATCACAGCGTCTGGGCCTTTTCCATCGGCACCATCGATAGATGTAGAGATGTCTTTCGATTTCTTGGCCTTCTTAGACTTTTTCTCTCCTTCAGGTTTGGGTTGATCCGCCGCTACCACAGCTTCGTCCTTCGCAGCCTTTTCTTCTTTAACCTTTTTTCTTTCTTTGTCTTTCTTCACCTTAGCCTCCGGAGCAGCATCTTCAGATTCCCTGTTGGATTTGGATTTGGACTTCTTGATCTTGCGCTCGGATTTTTCGACGCCTTGCGGCTCCTCGGCGTCTTCGAGCTTTCGCTTCTTAGACTTTTCCTTATCCTTCTTCATGCTGGCCGAGACAGCTGATGACGCTTCAGAAGACATATTCGGACTTTTGGGGCAATCCAGCCGCGGTGCCCTAATGTCTCAAGAGACTTACTGAACCCGGGAGTAGATTCAGAGGGATTGAGAGCGGGAATGAAATTTTCAGATTCGTAGGATTGAAAACTTGCTGAGATAGGCTTAGCGCATTGTGCTTCTACCACGACCCCTGGCGGATAATAAGCCATCAACGGGAACTCGAGAAGGTTGGTCCCGCCGCTCCTCAAAACATGAACAGCTATCAGCGCCTTGGATGGCGCTGTCTACGCTGTCAATTGGGCGCTCAAAGCTCATGGCTGATAGAAACTAATGCGCGTAGACAATGGACTGCGCGGTGGCAACAACTCTCGAGATCCCCATCAAAACGACACTATGCGAATCCCGCGGACTCGCCGGGCTTTCACTCCATCGTTGACGACCCTCCCAAGCTCGTCCGCGCCGGTCGCAAACGTCACGGGCCTGGCATAATTCTCCTAGCTCTCATACCTGTCACTGCCTTCGCGCTAGGGACGTGGCAGGTCCAGCGTCTGGGATGGAAGACGGACTTGATCGCAAAGTACGAGGACCGCCTGACGAGACCGCCTCTGCCGCTTCCCCCCTTTGTGGATCCGGAAGCGGTGAAAGAGTTTGACTACAGGAGAGTGATCGCTACAGGCAAATACAGGCACGACCAAGAGATGCTTGTGGGTCCTCGGATGATGGAAGGGGAGAACGGTTTCACTGTAATCACGCCGCTGGAGCGTCCCAATGGATCTACCATCCTCATATCTCGCGGGTGGATTGCAAGTAGATTCAAGGATCAGAAAACGCGAGATCCCTCAGCGCTGCCTACGGGCGAAGTCCAGGTGCAAGGCTTACTTCGAGAGCCCTTCAAAAAGAACATGTTCACACCTGAAAACAACCTGGAGAAGAAGGAATTTTATTTCCCAGACATTCCGCAGATGGCGAAGCTAGTGGGTGCGCAGCCCGTGTGGGTGGAGGAGACTATGGAGCCGGAGCTCATGGAAACGATGAGGAGGCAAGAGAGGGGCATACCTGTTGGAAGGTCGCCTGAGGTTGCACTGAAGAACAATCACGCGCAGTACATTTTCACATGGTACGTATGAGTTGTGCCGTGATGATTGATGGATCATCTCAGGTTTCGTACTAACGTTTCGGGTTACCAGGTATTCATTATCTCTGGCCACTTCCATAATGCTTTGGATGATTCTCAAAAAGAAACCGTCGTCCGTCACGCAGCGGGTGACGAGGAACAGAGAGTGGTAGGACATGCTCCTCCAATCTCAAGCGTACGCACGCACAGGGCGTGGTTTGCAAAATCTACTCCTCTTCGTCCTCTTCGATGGTCTCCATCTTCTGTGTCGTTTGTTTTCTCTTCCGTTTCTTGCCCTTAGCCTGTTGCACGGGCATGCGCACCTCTCTCAGTAATTCTGGAGGGAGATGCTTTGACGCAAGAGAAAATAACGTGGTATTTTGGTTCAGTACCCGCTGCCTGTAACAAGTACTGTGTAAGCACGTGTATCAAGTAAAGTAAATGGATCGAAGAAAGGTGGAGCGATCATCTTACCTTTTCATTGCAGTTATGACGTCTGCTTCTTCAATGGTTTTTCGCCCTGCATGATCGGCATAAGCGACTAAATCTTCCGACAGTTGCTCGAAAAACCAGTCGCTAGTTTGCTGTATAGTGACCAAAGTATCTTTGCTAAGCTTGCCGCTGCCGCCATATGACCGGGAAAAGGTACTTGCAAGCCGTTTGACGACGGAAAGTGGGAAGGAGGGGTATTCGATGCCGAAGCGCGATACTTTTACGTTTCTAGTTGGACGTTTCCGTGCACCCTTCCTGTTGACAGGCTTTGCGCTCTCATCCGCTGAGAGCTCGTGATCTGGAAGCGGAACGGAAGACTTTCGCGCATTGTTGTCGATACCATCAAAGTCCGCGTTCGGATCATTGTCTTCGTCGACGATATCCTCAAAGCCATCGTCTTCGTCGTACGCTCCTTGCCCGTCTGGAGTAGGCGAGTTTGTCGGAGCAAGGGATAATCTACTCCTGTCCGGGATTCTAAACAAGAACGTGGGCTCGCCGTCCGTTAGCTCGGTCACGTTGCCGGTCTGGCCGGATTGCCTTCTCGCCTCGAGCATAGCGCGTAACTCCGCCGTCTCGCCGTCCTCGTCATTTGCTTCCATATTTATACTCGTATCCTGTTCCATTAACCGTCTCTGCTCTGTCATATCTTCGTAATCACCCGCGGCAAGGTCATTCAGCTCGGCGAAGGAGGGATCCGCAAGAGTGCCAAGAGACTGTCGTTCGCGGCCTGAGACAGCAGCACGCCGCTGTGTCTCGATTTCATCTTCCTCCTCGTCGAGTGGATAGGACAGCCGTGGGGGTTGCTCGTGGAAGCTGTCATCCTCGAGTGCGTCGAGTGGGAGAGATAGACGTGGAGCTTGGCCAACAGCTGGACTGTCTTCCTGGTCCACGAGACTACTCCGTCTTCGTTGTGGTCTCTGCTCAATTGGTGAAGAGCGTGGCTTTGGCTTCTTAGCAAGGACTATCATCCATGTCAGACCTGCTGAGGCAAGACCGGTATCAGAAAATGCATACTTCTACTTAGCGCCCTAAGATCGTCTCTAGGCGTCTCCCTTTGCATCCGCCCGCTTTGTCTCCTTCTGTTTCCCCCAGACGCCAGCACTGCATTTCGTCGCTGCTGCAAAGCACGGATAGCATGCGGTGTTGTTGGCACGGCGCGCCTAGCGGATCCCACTCTGCGCGCTCGCGCACTAGCTGTTGGGGTTCTTGTAGTAGGAGTCCTGACAGAAGACGCTTGTTGAGCCGCTGCAGATCCAGGAGTCCGTACAAGGATCCTACTTGCGCCTGTAGAGGTGTTTTCTCCCCTCCTGGGTGATCTTTGCGTGGGTGTGTTGGGTTGGTGTATGATGCGACCGAGCGCATGTAGCTATCGCGCGCTATTAGCAGATGTTCAAGGAGCGATTGAAGTAGTGCATACGTCTTCGGTGATCCTGGGCTTCTTGCGAGCGGGCTCGGACATGGTAGCGAAGGCGCGGCGGCGAAGAAGTCGGTTTTGTTTGTTCGTTGAAGTCGAGCTGCGGCGCGTTCACGGCGAAGTCGCGTCGTTCTTACTGTGTTAAGTGCGGGACGAGCCGCTTGATCCCTGTCGCTCAAAACGTCATCACGTGTTAAGACCCGCTAAAATTTCTTGAAACTCTTTCGCGGTCCGTTTTGGACGACTCTTGTGTCGTGTCAGAGGGAAGATGTCGGACTCTGATAACGAGGGCGGAGTACCTCTAATCGAACCGCAGTTCTCAGGTGCGAAGAAGCGGAAACGCAACAATGACTCTGAAGCACGAAAGGAAAAGAAGCGTCGGAGAAACAAGAAGCCAAATGACATCCACGAGGATGACCTGGACGAAGAGCTCGGCGTCAACCTAGCGATCGGCAGAATGGACGGTGACTTGATGGTGAACTATGTTGCGAGACGTACGAAGAAGTTTGAGCCAGATTTGAGCCCCGTGGAGTTAGACGAGCTCTACCTGCCCGGTTAGTCTCTTCACGTTGTCCACGCTGCGGGTCAATGCGATTTTAACATAGACGCATAGCAAAGTCAGTACGAGACACAAGCTCGTGGGACAAGCCGCGGACGCTGGACAACCTGCCGAGTTTCGTGCGTGAGTTTGCCGACAAGGACGAGAATCTTGAGTTGGCGAAACAAGATCCAGGCTGCCCGCACACCATTGTTGTTGCAGCAGCTGGGATCCGCGCCGCGGACCTGACGCGTGCGCTACGGGTTTTCCAGTCCAAGAAGGAGAGTGGAGGAAAGGTCACCAAGCTTTTTGCGAAACACATCAAGCTCAAAGAGGCCATCGAAGAATGCCGAAAAACACGGTAAGCTTCACAATTTGACAGAACCCAATCCACTACGTTGACAAATATTTCAACAGAATTTCTCTAGGTGTTGGAACTCCGCAGCGCATTCACGACTTGCTTGAAGATGGTGCTTTGTCCGCAAAACACTTGAAGCGCATCATCATTGATGCCAGCTACATCGATCAGAAAAAGCGCGGTATTCTAGATATGAAGGAGACAGAGATACCGCTCGTGAAACTGTTGACGAGGAAAGATTTACGAGAGAGGTATGAAGATGCTACCTCACCAGTCAAGCTGTTGTTCTATTGAAGCATGGATCAAACATATTTTTGTTTTGGCCTAAATCAGGTTCACGCTTTTTTATTTGTATAGAATTGTATCCACATTTGTGCGAATTAAAAAATTGCCAGATGTTGACCCCACGAAGACCGTCGTCCAAAATTGAGTGAGATTGTCAGCCTATGGAAAACCTTACTATCAACCATGGCATGTTTGAAGAAGCACGTATCAGATGGTTTCAGCTTTCGCGTAACCTTTCAGTAATATTTGCTGCCAGTTGACTCCTGGCCGCCAAGAGCTATCTGTTTAAAGTTGTCTGGTAGACGCCACCCATGTGCGTTGCAAGCGCGAACGTACGCCTCGATGGCCTCGCCGATTCCATACTCGGTTCTTCCGGGAGGTTCGAGCTGCGCCGGCCGCGGCTCTGTGCTTGAGATGGCCAGACGAACCTGCAACAGAACAGATTCTATGGACGAAACAGCACTCCATCCGCTGTTCGTCAAAAGCTCCATACAGATGGAGCCGCCGGCCGTAACGTGTCCTCCTCCACCGGCCATGAAACTTAGGAACCGCGGCTTAATGACACGGATAAAGGGAGGGGACATTGGATAGTCTGGACCGAAACGCATTTCCATCACAACACTCATTATGCCCCTCTCTTTCATTTGTTTCGCCAACGGCAGCGTTGACTCAAAGGAATGGAGCTCGATGATCCATTGGTACATGTTGTTGAACTGCTCCGGGTTCGTGTACCAGCCAAGCTCGTGTAGTGGTGTGGAGTTCTGAACCTTTAATAGAGCCTGGAAGTCTTTCTGCAAGCGCCTCGATGCTGAAGGGGTGGCAAATGCTGGCTCGGCAAGCAGTGGTAGTGTGTTGTAGTCGAGTGAGCCGGGCTCGAAATCGGTCAATGGCTTTGGAGAAAAGGAGGATTTTGACGACAACTTCGGCTTCAGGCTATTGAAGAGTCCGGAGAGCTTGCTCTTGCCCTTTGATAGACTGGACTGTGAGGAAGCACTTTCTTGGATGGCCGCAGCCACAAAGTCTTCGTCGTTCTCAATCAATATGTTTATGTCTTCAACATCAGTGTCTATGCTTGTGGCATCGCTGTTATCACCGTCAAGAGCGATAGGGTCAGCGGCTGTGCCCGATGGTCGCACTTTCCTGCTTCTTCGACCGTGCTCGAACCTTGTACATCTTGACTTTGGCATGGTGGACATTGGTATCACGACCTTCCCCTTGATTCCAGTCGGTGTCATGTTGGGGTCCTGCGGGAACACTTCGCTGGGTGTGCCATGATCAGAGAACCTAGTGCCGACATTAGTTTGCATGCAATAAGGAGATGAGAGGATTCCAAATCCGAGAGTTTTAACAGTTCATCCAGACTCTTTTTGGAACTGTATGAGAAGCTTTCGGATCTGGACAATCACTCATATGAGATCGGGTATCATACTTAAGTTCGCTAGATACTTGCACGAACAAATACCGTGTCTGTATCCAATCAAGTTGGGCAACAACTAGATGAGGGTTTCGGCTGACAAACTCCGCAGGGGCGTTTACGATTTCGTTAAGCGCCATCGCAGAAGTTATCTTGAGTGCTGAAGCAGGCCATGTATTGGCGGCGCTTTGGCCGGCTGAGTAATTGTGGTAGTTGCTTGAATAGCTGAACGAAGTGTGGTAGTCTAAAGAATGATAACAGCCATTGCCATATGCACGCCCATGTGAGATCTCACGGAAGTGAAGACCTTCTCGAATAATGCTATGCCAGTTTTGGATTGGCGAGCCATGCCATGCAAAGATGGTTGGATGGGTAAGATTGAGCCTGGACTGCGTTTTCTGCATCTCGTTAATGAATCGGCGCTCTTTGTCCGGCGCGCCCATTGCAAACCTAAACTGCATCCAACCTTCCATTCCCCGAACTCGTTCATCTTGGACAACATTAGTTTGGTCTGGTTTATCGACTTCCACAATACAAGCTCGATTGGAAGCAATGATCCACCGAAGAATTCCGCAAGCAGTTGGTGATATCCTCTCCGTCCAATTAGCGAGGGTAGCGGTTCGATTGCTGAGTAGGTACTCTTTTAACTCCGTGACAGGAGGAAGTAATTCTAACTGGGCAACTATGGCACCACGTTTCTGGCCCTCAGTCAAATTGTCGAAATTAGTGTCGTACTTATAAAAGATTATCTCATCGACTGTCGATTGCTTTCTAGATTTCGGCGCGCTAGTGCTCGGGCTCTGTGCTTTCAATGAAGTTCCGGTTTCTGGGACGAATTTCGAAATAGGTTTTGTGACTTTAATCACGGGAAAAAATTGTGTCTCGCTCACTCTACAATGTTTCCAAATATCCAAGCCGTCTGGACCGGGTAGGCTGAAGCAGATCCAATCGCCCACCTTCAAGGGAAGAGATGTGCCTTTTTCAAAAATCATCTCAGACCTTAGCACAATTAGCACGCTTGTCAAGAGATAAGAGATGAACTCGTGCGATAGAACCTACTTCTCGCGATTTAGCCTAGCCTTGTATCCTTGTAGCTGTTCGGGGCTGGGAGTAATAGCTGGTGTAGGCTGCTGTGGGTTGCGATGGCTTGCATAGTAGCCTACAGTACTGGTGGCGAAGTTTGAGAAGAGTTGAGGAGGAGGCACAAGGAGACTTAAGCCGTCGGGAAACATGCCGAGCTTTCCTCCTTGCGCACTATGATAGCAGAAGCTGATGAGTAAGTCCACCACATAGGGCTGGGAGATGATTTCATGCTCAATTGAGGGGCCAAAACCGAGTGACATGTATCTAAACCATGTTAGAATGATAAGAGTTAAGCCGGAGTGGGTTTGACTTGAAGCAAATATCTTAAAAATTGGAGGAAAATCGCCGTCAGAGCGAGGCGCAGGAGTCAACAAAAAAGGGCAGGCTTACTGATAAAGACAAAGCGGCTTATCGCACACGTAGGGCTTCAGCGCTTCCAAATTGTCGTTCAATTTGCAGTGGCAAACCAAACAAAACTCTGTGCATCGCACAAAGTGCCGAAGTAAGAACTGCATCGCCAGTAAAGGAAGCGAATGCGGGAACCCCGGCTTAGAATCAATGAGGTGATCAGATGTCACGATACGAGGATAGGCCGGATGGCCTAGCTCTTCGTTCATGTACTTGTTGTCCATATAGTCGAGGCCAGTCATTGTAAATGCTTTACCCTGGAAGTCGTTGTAGAATTCCTCTGCCCCAGTCCAATGCATTCCGATAAGTCTGTACTTCAGGATGGTCGCTAACCTGTCGTTAAGCAAGTCGTTGAGAGGACGCGAGATGAACGTTTCTCGAAAACTCTGGGAGCGATAATCCGTTTTTGCTTGTTCAATCTGCTGCCGCCGGTGCTTAGCCTCTTCCTCTACCGACAGCTTGGTGAACGCTTGAATCGCTTCTTGCAAGGTTGGCTTGTACTGGCTGCTCATTCCTACACGGAAAGAGATGACCTTCCGTACACCCGCAGCATCGTATCCCTGAATATCCTGCAGTGACTGGTAACCGTCGGGATACTGAATAAGCAAGATCAGATAGGATGAAGGCTCAAGTTGCCATGCTTGCATAGCCTCTTCCGAGATGCCAAGCTTCGACATGCGGATGGAAATGCTAACATAGGCATTTTGTCCCTCCAGAAGCGGACCTTGGTGACCGACTTTGAAGCCCGCTGATTTCGCCTCCCTCAAATCAGAACGTATTCGGTCGCCTAGCTTGGCCGAGTTAATCGAGGCTGTCGCAAAGCCTGATGTAGAAGATAACTGCGCCGATGTTTGCTGGTTGATACTGCCAAACATCTCGTCCTCCGAGAATCCGGCGTCCTGATCGTCGTCATCTTCCGAGTAGCCTCCGTCATACTGAGAGTCGTGCATAAGCGCGTCGCCATCCTGGCTCTCTGCAAAGGCGCGACAAACAACGTCAAGAAGGTCTGCAAGAGGCAGTCCCATAGTATTTGGGAGGTTGCTCAAGAGCTCACCGACATACGAGGGTGCGGCATCATCGCCAAAGAGGTGATACTCGTGACCGGAAGGATACTCCGAGACGTCCGGTATCAAGGCTGAAATCTCATAACTGACCTTCTCGCCAACAGGTGTGATGGAGAAGCGAAGCTCGCCGTCTTCATCGCCTGCACGAACGCTGGATATGCCTTGGATGCCAGAGTCTTTGCTGAGTCGCTGGAGATCTGAGAGGTAGGCTTTTCGCGGCATGTTGGCTTGGAACTGCCAACGCACACCGGTCAAATGCCTTGGCAGTGCGTACTGCTCGATTCCGGGCTCTGTTTTGTGAACTCGAGGACTAGATTTTTGATTGAGCCAGAGGGAAGAAATAGAGTGGCCTCAGCTGCGGGAAACATGTAAATATATATATGAGAGCGTGGTTGCGTAGGGTCCGCTGTGACTTGAAGCAGAGTGAGTAGGCTGTGCACGGGATAGAGCCCTGGTTCGATGAGACGAGCAAGGCTGAGAAGACCAGAGCCTCTGCCGCTCCACGGTGTGAGGGCTTTAACGGTTCAAGAGGCGCCGCAAACTCGCTGGATACCACGAGGTTTGGCCTTTGGACGTTTTCTATCCTCTTGAAATGACATTTGCAAAGAATGTGGGATTTGTGGTCGGCGCGGTTGGACATGGTCAGTCTGCCTTGTAGCAAGGCAGCGATGTGCACGGACCCCGCGCACCGCGGTCAGAGCCACCGTCAAATGCTGCGCGACGCCGACGACGGTGACTTTGCGACTGATTGTGCTTGCGCTTGTAGCCTAAGCCTGTGTCTGTGACAAGTGTCTGTGCCTGTTCCGGTCCTCGTGTCGACAGCATCGTGGCCTTCGAGAGTCGCTTTCTCTGCTCTCGACCACTTCTGGCCTATCTTCAAGCCAAAGGGGCGCAATCTCAGCCATTCTTTCGATCGCGATCTTGCGAGCTGCTGAAGAACATCATTTAAAACGCACTCTCACACATTGTTGGTCATTCGCCTGACTATTCTCCTCCACGACTTGTGTGGGAAAGCTGGGATCTGAGCGGCGTCGAAGGGAATCGAGGTGCCAGTCGTGTATGGGCAGAAGTCCGTGTATAACGCTTCGAGATCTTTGGGCCCCTAAATTTGGCCTCTCCTAAATCCAGCGCAAGGAAAAAGGGGAACTGGACCGGAAAAAATTACGATCAGGCGGCGTGCCTACATACATCTATCGCCAGTCACGAGGACAGAACGCTGTGCTGACCATATTCTCCCTTGCGATCCAGCTGCTCCGGCCTCCCACCCTTCAGCCAAACGGAGCAAAAAGAGATGACCGTCTCAGATGCCGATGCGCCTCCGAAAGTCTCAAGCCATGTTTCAGATCCGCTGCTCCAACCATTGCTCCAGCCAAGTTTTGATCCCGCTGATTATTTGAACTCGACATTGCCCACGTTAGCGATTGGGTCCCAAGGCACCGCCGGACGAAATACTTCGTTGGCGAAGACGGGCAGCTTGGCTGATGTTTCTTCCCACGCCCAAACGCTTCTCTCTCAACTCAATGCGCAAATTTCGAGACTCAGCACAGTCCTCACGCAGTTGACAGATGACATCATACGCAGTGGCAGCAGACTTGCGTATGAAGTTGATTTGTTGCGAGGTGAGAGTCTCAATCTATCCGAACTCGTCGATGACAAGTTGAAAACCCACATACAACTCTTCACTTCGACAGGATCCACGGACCAGGCGACTAAAGATGCAGAGGAACAAACAGAGCCGTCTGACCAGTCTGAACCACAGTACATCTCGCAACTACGCGTGCTGACCAAAGTTCGACAACGCTTAGACGGCGTCATCAAGATATTTGGGGAAGCTATGAAATGGACTCTCCCGCCATCTGACATATCAATAGCATCCTCCTTCATTACAGTGTCCGCGCCAGATCCTGGTTCCGACAGTCAGAGCAGAGAGCAGAAGGGTAAAGAATTCGCCGAGAGACTTCGCACGGAGATTGCGGATTTGGTGCTAAATGCTGAGGACCCGAAGACCGGACTTGCTGCGGCACAGGCGCGTATTGATGCTCTTCGTGATTTGGCGCAGGTGTGGAAGGGAACGGCCGAGGAGAAAGCGCGGATCAGGTTCGTGGACAACTTGACGAAGCTGGCCGAGGAGCGACTTCGCGAGCTGGAACGAGGAGGCCGCTTTGCAACCAACAAGACTTCGTCACCGAGGAAATCCACAGGGAGCACTCGCGCAGGTTCTAGAGAGGATAAGGAGGTTGGTTTTTTGGAAAATTTGTATAGACTAAAAAATTGCGAATAGCATGTCACAACCTCGATTTGGTTGAAGTCAGTCGCTCGCGTTGTCGAGACCGCCCAGCCCTCCCTCTGCTCTCCAATCCGCATGGCTTGTGGAAAGTTGCCTCATTCACGACTTCAGCTGAGTTCACCAGAGGTTTCTTGTCTCTCTGCGTGGTTCGTGTTCGCAAAGGTCGAGAAATCCGCTGAGCTGATCCACGTCTACCGTCCACCTTCACTCGATCTGGTCCATGCTGCGTGCCATTCGTCTTGAAATTTACTTGTCCCGACCCATCTTCACTCGAATTAAGAACGACATTGACTCATTGCAGCGAGCTGGCTATGTCTAGATACTAAAGCCCTGCTTGCGGCTTCGGAACTCGAGAGAACAACGGCGATAAGAACCCCGCCTTGCACAAATGTGGATGCTTAAGAATCACTCGCTCACCATAAATTAAATTATCGCATAACAATTTCCTTCAAGCTAATAATTTCTCTGTCGTTCCCTCAGTTTGAAGTAATGGAGGGGCCAAAACAAACGTTCCACAAGGTAAATACGAACCACGCCGTCATCAACGTGCGCGACAGCATTCCGCCCGTCGACAATCCCGCGACACCATTGATTCTCTTGCTTCACGGAAACTCTTTTTGCCTGAAGATCTGGAAGCACATATTTTCAAGCGATCTTGCTCGAACTCATCGCATTGTTGCGATTGACTACCCTGGTCATGGGGATAGCTCGGATGCTTACGACGCGAGGCGGTCTTATAACCAAGCCGCGTATGCAGACGCAGCACTCCAAGTTCTCAAACAGTTAGCTGCCCCAAAGTACGTGCCACCTCCTATCGGGGACGGGATCGTGAAAGGCTCTGAGATGAGCTGGGCTCAGAGCTGTACAATTCCAATATTTCGTCAGCCATTTATTCTTTCTGGCCGTTGATAAATTCTAACATAACCTTGTTCAGAAACATCATAGTCGTCGGCTGGAGTCTAGGAGGACACGTCGCCATTGAGATAGTGCTACGATGTAGCCGGGTCAAGGGTATAGTGATCACAGGCACCCCGCCTGTTGACGTAGAAGAAGAGGTTGATAGAGCTTTCAATCTCGGCCCTACTGGGTGGAGAGACGCCGCTCCTGCGCGAAATATTCTCACAGAAGCCGAAATGGATACTTTTGCCCATCATTGCGCAGACCCTCCCTACGAGGACTGGATGCTAGACTGCGTCAAAAGAACAGATGGCCGGGCGCGAGAATACATGTATGAACCCGCGTTTAAGATAACTATCTTGACATGTCCTTTAACATCCACGCTAGGTTTCAGGCATTTGCGGATGGCAACAGAGACGCAGAGGACCTCGAATTCCAAGCATTCTCCTCCACCCTACCTGGTGGCAAATGGGGTCAAAAGAAATGCGTCGAGACTAGCGAGGTATTCCAACGCTGCTACGCGCATAAATGAACCATGTTCGTAATATGCTCAGCATCTAACTTACTCACCAGGTCCCGGTCGCCGTCATAAACGGTGACGACCCGTTCTTGAAGATGGATTGGTTCGACCAAATCAAGTGGAAGAACCTATGGGGAGGAAAGTGCATCAAAATGGATGGCTGCCTGCATGCTCCTTTCTGGGGCAAACCACAAGAATATCAGCGATTTCTGGAAGCGTTCGTCCGCGACGTCTCCTAGAAGAAACCTAGGGTGAATGGTATAGACTGTCGGCTGAGAAAGACGGGAATATCAGACGTAAAGAGACACGATCCAAATTCATACTACAATCCATCCTTGTTGGTCCAATGAAGTTTAAAACAGAGCTATTTAACACGTGCACAAGACTTAATCGAGCAAACTAAATGTTCGTGGTCATAGCTTGATTGTGGCAAAGCATCACTAAGGTGCATCTTCTATGTCCCTGTTTCTCACCAAACGACTTAACTTACTGAATCTGCACCAGTCGAGGCTGTTCTTTCTATGATCTCGCAGTGGCAGATTCGGGACTTCGGACCGCAAGGCCACATTGCAGCTACTTATTCACAGATTACTAACAGATATATGCATTTTTTATGTCTTTCATTGGCGTCGCTGCTTACCTTATTCGGAAATTTCTCTTTTAAAGGACAAAAATGGGGGAAGAAACTTTGACGGGTGCGAGAAGGCGACCGGAAACTCGACCAGAATTCCTGTCTAGTTCGAGAACTTCAGACCCATTTTTAACCCTTTTCGCTGGGGCCGGGTAAACACAAATACTAGCCCAAGGAACAGCTGGATACTCTCCGAAACGGGCACATTATCGAAAGAGTAACCTGAAGCATTTCCTACGAATGTTCTCTTGGACTTAAGTCTTTCTTGATGTAAGATATCATGACCATCTGTACCACAGAATTTCAGAACAAGCAATTTTCCAAATCAGGACAAGTTTTCTTGCGCTTACTAAATTCGAACAGTAAACAGTCATAACGTTAACGTATCTGCATTGCCTTGTTCTGATTGTTCGACCACTGCCATTAGACCTTCCATGAAATATAAGTAATTATTTCCAATCCATTTCACTCTGCAGTTGCTTATGTGTGCATTTTGAATAACCGCTTGCGATGTTCCGGATGTCGCCCAATCGCGCAAAGGCCCATGTTCAGCCACCTTCAGGAGAAACCGTACTGCCTATTCTTTACAATGCACTTCCATATTCCGCCCCGCTCTATGGGCGATTGAGGTTCCATCATAGAAGTCCTTCAAGTCATGTCTTTGCTTCCTTTCCCCCATCATTACAGTCGGTCAATCTGGACAATTCTATGATTCCAAGATGCTACGCAATCGCCTTCCTCGATCGTACGAGAAGACCAGAAACGGAATGCTGGCTATTCACAAGTGGTGAAGTTCCAAATCGATGCTCGCTGAGCTCACAAGCGAAGCACTGCGATGATTGCAAGGCTGCCCTCGTCGCTGTGCTGGACGCTGTTTTTTCGTCAAACGTTCCGGAAAGTAACCACAGCGCTGAAACAATGAAGCAGGCAAGCCCAGAAATGCAACGGGCTCTCAAAGGCGAAATTATGCTCCTGGGCGCTGTCAATGAGGTGACGGCGAAGATTGTATGGGAGGCTACCGCAAACACGTCCACTTCAGCGCCTGCTGATAGGGCTGAAGTCCCTTACCTGAAGTATCTCTTCCGACCAGAGGCTCTACCCCGGAGTCAAGACTTACCCACAGGCTTTAAATGGGGAAAAGTGCGCAGAGAAGAATTTGCGCTTGTTCGTAGCCGTACGTCAATACCTCGTCAGGACCAGACGCTAACGCTGCTGCCTTCAATGGCCATATTCCCTGACGATGGTGAAAATCATGCTCCAATCGCGTGGGCATTTCTAGGCCCAGATGGGAGTTTGATCAGTTTGCACACGGAGCCGGAATTTAGAGGAAAAGGCTTTGCGAAGTCTCTGGCTAGCAAGTTGTTTAGGGAAGGTGATTTTGTGACACAGACGAAATCGAATCCGGCTTATTCTACCGTCTGGTACCATGCCGACGTGGCTCTGGACAACAACTCAAGCCGCCGGGTGTGCAAGGGACTTGGCGGCGAGGAAGCATGGATTGTTTATTGGATCCGAGTTGATTTAAAAGCATTGAAAGACCCGATATGCTGAATTACACAAAATAGGAGTCATAAAAGCAAGGCTTCGCATATGCTCGACAGTATTACTCACAATCGTGTGATTATATGACCATGTGTGTATTTTTCTTCCTCCATATCCTGGTAGATGCTTCTAAAGATAGCTGAAACTGGTTGAATTTGTGAGCCAGTCCATCGGCTACCACTACTTGTCAAGTAGTTCATTCTTGGCCTGTTGACATCTTTCCTGCTCACAGGCTTCGATTTGCTATCACGTTCATAATATTCCAGCTGTGATATAGTTACAAAGACTCTGATGGAGGCAATAACGTGGTCCAAGTGGATTTAGTGCAATGACGGTATGACGAAATAAAATGGCAATCTTCAGTTTGCCTTGAATTCCAAGCAAGTTTAAGCAACCGTACTAGACTTCTTTATCCAATCCAGGCAACCAGAAAAACCACGCTGCGTGGAACGATGGCTGTGAACGCGTCGATGTTTGCAGGCAATAGGGATCGACGTTGATGAGAGTCGATTCTCACCGATCGCTTTAGCCTTATTGCGAACGTCGTGCAGGAACCAGGTCTCGTGCCTCTCTTCTCCAGCAAGAGTGGTGTATGCAGTTGTACATTACATGGCAAAACTTGAAAGTTGGGGTCCGCATGGGATCTAGGAATCTAGAATGGGCGAGGTATGACGAAGGATGGCCAGATTCGGACTTTCGACAACGCACTCCAGAAGCCTTCGTCGATCAGTGTGGCTGAAAGCACGCGCTCTTGGCGAAGGAAATGCCACGAGTTTGCGGATCAATAGATTGTTTCGTCATAGAATAGGCAATTTTCCCCTCCCGTCCTCTTCGTCTAAAGGCCACTGCTGATGCGTGATTCACAGTGCGGAGCAGACCAAGGGAGCGAACATTAAGCTACGGTAGTCCAGGTTACTATTTCAATCAAAATTCGATATCACAGTGGCGAAAAACCAGGTTCTGAATGTAAGCCGAGTCCGTGTCTGCGATTCGATTCAATCGACTTTGGTTTGTTCCCCACTGTTGAGCCACAGAATAAGTGGTAACCTTGACGTCAAGGCTACATGCAGCGGCTAATGCGCCACATGGCCTGGGTTGACTGAAACAAGTATTGGCAAGTATTCTTGCGCATCGAGCTCGTCTGTGTGCTCACAAGATGTGATTCGTGCATGTGTGATGGAACTATGACGGACTTCAGGGCACTCAGGATGAAATTTCCTTGCTCAACTCTGCCAATGACATGACTAGTCGAACGCACATACTGTGCCACGGACAAACAGTTTTGGGGCTCCAGATGTGTCTACTACTTGGCAGGAATGTTGAAGAACCTGCGCTATATTGTGTGAAATCCTTTTTGATTCAGTCAAAGGGTATGATGTAATGGTTTCGCAACTTGCTTGAGTACTTGCAGCACATATATAAAAGTCATCTAGTTCCCAAGCATAGTACAACCATAGTAAAACCAGATACCATACATTCAATCACCAACACGATTAAATAACACTTTTTCAATCCCATTAGCACAAACTCAAAATGGAGAAAGTCAAGCAAGTTGTTGACAAGGTCGTGCACCCAAAGGAACACCACTCCACTACGAGCGACTCCCACGTAACGGGAACACACTACAACACAACTTCAGGAGTGACTGGCACGCATGGCACCGCAGGGCCTCATGACAGCAACCTAATGAACAAGGCCGACCCGCGGGTCGACTCCGACATGGACGGCTCTCGCAACATGGGAGCTGCTTCGTACGGACCCGGTGGCCGAACAACAGGCACTGGTCTCGCTGGTTCCAATGACACTGCTGGTCCCCACAGTAGCAACTTGGCCAACAAAATGGATCCTCGTGTCGATTCAGACATGGACGGCAGCCGCAACATGGGTGCTTCTCAGTACGGCTCGGGCGCGCATCAGACCACCACCGGTTCAACCAATGCCGGCCCTCACAATTCGAACCTGATGAACAAGCTGGATCCTCGCGTCGATTCAGACATGGACGGTAGCCGCAACATGGGTGCTTCTCAGTACGGCTCGGGCGCACATCAGACCACCACCGGTTCAACCAATGCTGGCCCTTACAACTCGAATTTGATGAACAAGATGGACCCTCGCGTCGATTCTGACATGGACGGTAGCCGCAACATGGGCGCCGCTCAGTATGGCTCCGGATCGTACCAGACCAACACCGGTTCAACCAACGCCGGCCCTCACAACTCGAACTTGATGAACAAGATGGACCCACGCGTCGATTCTGACATGGACGGTAGCCGCAACATGGGTGCTGCTGAATATGGATCCGGCGCACACCACACAACAGGTTCAACCAACCACGGTCCACACAACTCGAATCTGATGAATAAGTTAGACCCTCGCGTTGATTCCGACCGTGATGGAAGCAGCACGCTTGGTGGTCAACAACGCTACTAAATGCATAAGATGGAGCTGCGTATGACGGAGGTAAAACTCTGTAGGATTTATGACGGCATCGTGTAGTATTAGTATGAAGATGATATTCCCCTTAATTGAATGATGATAAAATTGATCAGCACCATAATCCTCCTCGCCTCCACTATATTTGACATCATTGCGATACTTTTTCCATTCCCAATTTATCAAAGTAGTACGATAAATCCCCGGGTCGTTTGCAACTTAAAGGCGAGGTCGTTTGCAACTTAAAGGCGAAAATTTGTAAACTTTTCATCCGTGGTCAAAATCCTCGCAAGAACCAATCGTAGTCTTGTTGAGACCAAATGCGAATTCTTGACCCAAAAAATGCATGCGTTGTCAATGTGATTGCTTTGAGCCATGGCCGCCGCTGATTTCGCAACGAATATCGTCGAGTACGTTCCTTCTCAGAACCTGTTCTGCAGGTACGTCGTGTCTGGAGTCGGTTTGCTGTCGATGCAGTCGAGCATTGCATTTGCTTCTGAAATGGCCATATCCCTACACGCCATTTACTAATGGCGCTGCAGATGACGCCCCTTCCACCGAGAAATCTTTCACGCTTTCCTGCCAATCTGAGATCCGTCCATCCCGTATCTTCACAACCACAACCCTGACCTCCTGACCCTCGATGTACGAGCCAGCTCCGGCGTCCCCGCTAATGCCAAAAGGGTCCGATTGCACATTCTCGCCAAACGCGTTGCTCTCCCTGTGACGAGCTTTGCACCATTCTTCCTCCTCGCTTCCTGGCTCTAGGAACTGCGCGGTTCCGTTTAGAGAGACAGAAATACGGGATATCGAGGCGGAATTAAATCCCATTAGCAAGTTTGCCAGGCTCGAGCGCTCCGGGCTGCGAGCCTGGTCTGGCGAGGACGAGAGTGTGGGGGGACGGTGAGAGACCCAGTCGTGCACAAGTAATGACACCTTGGGATTTGCTTCTAAGTTCAGTGTTTTCCGGGAAGAAGGAGGCGTTGTCATTATTATGGTGGGAGACGAAGAAAAGGGTGTGCTGGGAAGGTAGGTGTATTTCATCAGTGATACGTGAGGGACGTCGTTGTGAGAGGTGGCCAGGTGGAGCTACATTCACGGCATGAGCTATAGAGCAACACAATCAGCATGCACGGGAGATGTAACATACGAAACGAGCATTGTCAAGACATGTTACGACTTCCTCTGGCAGACCTGACGAGCTACGGCCTGGTATGTCCATTGTCGTGAGAATCGTGGAAAGATGGATCGCGTGAGAGGCCGATCAGTGTGCTCACACAGATCGCAATGGGTGTTCGAATAGCTATGGATTAAATCTCAACTTGCCCCTGTTTGTCTATCGAAAAGGACGGTGTGTTCGCAACAATTCGCGTCAGAATTTGTGTTTGCATCTTCGACGCCACCAGGAGGGAACTGTGATGCGGGATGTATTTGCAGCCTTGGGGCCTCGACAACAAGGCAACGAACTTGGCAGCCTTACGAATTGGGTTACCATGGTTACTTTCGTTAGCAGGGACCGATCCGTTATGTCATTGCTGGCTTGATTCGAGTCTTCGCAATGAGAAGTAAATCATCCTAAGGATGTATCAAATCGGATCACGGTCTTATTTCGTCAGGTTGATCTCTCACACATGCATTTGTAGAGCACTTGGAATGCCGCTGCAGGATCCAAGCCACAAACTACGTTCATCGCTTCGCCGCGAGTCATTGCTCGAGTGCAGCACACCTTGCTTCTCGACACGCCCTGCGCGCCGAAAGGGTAGGAGTGTGTCAGCTGAAGGAGAAGTGAGTGCCTATTGAGAGGTCAGCGCCAATCATCGCCATGTGTTTTCTTTACTTGAGCAATAATATTGGGGACTTAATACTCACGCAAGGGCAGCCATGATGGGAGCCGGACAGGCCGCGGCGTCAAGCCACATCTTCCCATGCACGTATGCGGCAAGCGGCGCATCCTCAGCCACATCATCTTGCGCGGACCTTGACCTTGACCTTGACCTCGCCCTTGTTCCGGGCATGTCATTGCCGTACAGCTGCTGAGCTTAAACCTTTCTCCGCATCCGCCTTTGTTTCGGTCCCCCCTTCTCTCCCTCAATTTCCGACCACTGGAGTCTCCTGTCGCTGCACGAAGCAATGCAAGAACCAGACAACAACGTCGAGAATGGCGCACCTGCGTCGCCGGTCTCCCCTATACATGAAGCGCTACCTACAGCGCATGTTCCGCCCTCCGACCCGTCCCCAGCACCAGCAAGACAGTCCATCGATGAGGCTGCTAAGAAAGCTGTCGACAGCGTCCTCTACTCAGATATAGGAGTGAGCACACTGCTGAACAGACTCAAGCAGAGCATTGCATCAGTTAAGGTACGCGCCGCTTCACCTCCACCTGTACTCTTAGTCTAGAAGCGACGCGCAATTTAGCAGTCGAACAGACATCCGTAGACGTATTATTCTGACTATGCGCTCATAAGGACTTTTCGAGCTTCTTGAAGAAGCGATCTACGATTGAGGATGAACATGCGAAGGAGTTGCGTCGACTGTGCAAGACTACACACCAGGACATTAGAAAAGCCGATTCAAGACAAGGATCGTATGCTCGTCAGTTCGAAGCTGTCACGAACTTGCACGAACGCATGGCCGAGAACGGTCTGCAGTTCGCACTCAATTTGCACCAAATGCACGAAGATCTCAACACACTGGCCTTTGAAATGGAAAAAGGTCGCAAGAATTGGAAGCAAATCGGCCTGAGTGCCGAGCAGAAGGCAACGGACGCAGAGAAGCAGATGGAAAAGGCAAAGCAAAAATATGACCAATTTGCTGAGCAGTACGATCACGCTAGAACCGGTGATGGAGGCAAACACTTCGGTTTGCGTGGCATGAAATCGGCAGAGCAGCGTGAGGAAGAACTTAAAGCGAAGGTGGAAATGTCCGACAAAGATTACCAGGCCAAGGTCCAATATGCGCGACAGCAACGCCAGGAGTTGCTTAACACTACGAGGCCCCAGGCGATTAAGGCATTGGAGGATCTGATCACTGAATGCGATGCAGGCCTCACATTGCAAATGCAGAAATTCGCAACGTTCAATGAGCGCTTGATGCTGGCAAATGGCTTGCTTGTCAGCCCATTGAACGAGCCAAATGCGCCCCACCAGCCGAGCATGCGAGAGCTGATCATGCAAATCGACAATTTGCAAGATTTCCAGGTCTACGTCCGTAGCTTCGGAGCGAAGATCCCACCGCGAGGTGGCGAAATCGAATACAAGCAACACCCTGTAAGTCCTTGATCTATGGGATGCCTTTACTCATTCTTTTGCAATAACTATCTTCGCCTCCTGCTAATTACCTTATGCAGTCCCTGGCCCCAAAAGGCCAGCCATACAAGCCGCCCGAGCAGCAACAGCCATCATTCCAGCCTGCTGCTCCGCCAAAGGATCAGTCGCCTACACAGTATTCACCAGCGTATGCACCTGGTCCCGTTCAGCCGCCGCCAGCTCAGGCGCCTTCCTCTTTCCCGATGCAGCAATATGGAGCCTCAGTTCCAGAAAACCAAGCAGCACCTTCTAGCCCTAAACATGGCTTCAATAGTTACAACAATGCACGCAACTCTTATGACCGCGGTGATTTATACGGTGCTCCAGCCCATCCACCTGCGCCTGCGCAGGTCCAAGCACCCCCTCCAGGATCAACTCTCCAGCAGGCATCCGCCGCCAGCGGGTATGGACCACCCCCTAACCCTGCCTATCCAGGACAACAGCCATATGGTCGTTCACCATATCCATCCGGTCCATCGGGCCCGCCAGTCTTACCCCCTGTTGCAGTTGGACCACCAGCTTCCGCGCCTCGGCCATCAACGCGAGAAGGTCGTAGTGGTGGTGCGCCCGCAAAACCCGTGTTTGGTCTTAGCCTTGATGAACTTTTCCGTCGCGATCAGTCACCCGTGCCACTGATTGTCTATCAATGCATTCAAGCCGTTGACTTGTTTGGCCTAGATCATGAGGGTATCTATCGTATTCCTGGTAACATGAATCAAGTTGCTGAGCTGAAGTCGCAATTTGACCACAACGCCGAGCGTGTAAACTTCCAGAACCCAGAGGCTTTCTTCCACGACGTCAATAATGCGGCCCATCTGTTGAAAATGTTCTTCCGTGAGCTAAGTGATCCGCTTTTTACGAGCGAGCATTATAACGAGCTCATTGAAGCTGCCAAAGTGCAAGATGATATCGTAAGGCGAGACAGTCTTCACGCAATCATCAACGCTCTACCGGATCCAAATTATGCCACTCTTCGGGCGTTGACACTGCATCTTCATAGAGTAGTAGAGCATGGGGAGGCGAATCGCATGACCAGTAGTACGCTAGCCGTAATTTTCGCGTGAGTATTCTCCCCACGTTTTCCGTTGCCCCCCTGTACTTCGAATCGATGAGAAAAACCGCTGACGACAACTCGCAGGCCAACACTAATGGGACCGCACCATGGGCCTATGGCTGACGCATCTATGCAACCAAAAGTTATCGAGACGGTGATACAAAATGCATTGCAAATTTTTGACGAGGATTGACACTTCCAAGTCAAATAATGCTCTTGTTACAGTTGTGGAAGCAATGATCGGTTGTGAATCTGTTTTAATCAATTTTCAGTCATGTTTCTGCTCTTCGCTGTACCTTGCAGAGATGAGCAGTGATTGGAGACTATGATACCATGTCATCCGAAGCGATAAAGTCATGTATTACTAAGATGTTAGTCGGTGAAACAGTCCTTTCTTATCCAAAAAAAAAAAAAAAAAAAAAAAAACGGTGATCGCACCCAAAATCCCGTCCACCCCTTCATCCTCTTACTAGTGGTATGCCATACATGTCTTACTCCGAAATTACTCCCAAGGATTGGAGGCATTGTCTGAAGTGAACAAATGTGTGCCAACATGAATGCTGACACGTCGTTCACAAAGTTAGGCTTCTGATTTGGGCATGGCAATCGTAGGCATTTGAACATCGCAGAAACCAATTCATTTCAACTGTCATTTGGGCCAAGAGTACAATTAGGGTATCACCGCTACAACAGCAAAGCTCACAGTTCCGGAATCGTGTCTGTCATATCTTTCCAATGCTGCCCAGCAAGCCTGTATCGAAATTGCGTCAAGTCGCGTCTCACACGTCTGCCCTCATTCTCGTCTTCCCGAATCAGCTCTCCCGCTACAACAGCGAAGAGTTTCACCAGCACATCCCACTCTGTAATCCTTCCGCATCGATACGCGCAGTCGCACGTCACTTCTAATGTTTTTCCGTACATGCTGATGTACTCTTTCTCGCTGGGTAAAACGAGCAGCTGCATGAACAAAATAGCGAGAACAATATGGCTATCCTCAAGTTTAACTCGGTATCCCCAATGATCGAAAATTACGCCCACAAACTTTTTCCAGGTTGGCGTGATGACATTTCTGTTGTCAGGATGTGCTGAGCGTGAGGGAGAAAAGTGATGGGGTTTGCGTTTGTAGTATTGGTACAAGTTGTCCAGTGTTTGCCAATGTGCAAGAGACCAAGGTTGGATGCGCGGAAGTTGTGGAAAAGCCGCGGAGCGACCAGAGAGGATAGGATGGTCGGGACGTGGGGGAGGAGTGTAAGGTTGCGAGAACGTAACTGCATTCCAGATGAAGGAGAATATACCGCGGACTGAAATCGACGATGAGGCTGCCGAAGCTTGATTAGACTGCTGCAGCAGCACATCGCTTGAATTGGCTGACGAATCTGCACCTCGTCTATCAGAACTGTGTCTGAAAAGTGAACGAGCCGGTCGACGCAAACCCGTGAAAGAGGTGACGGATTGTTGTTCCTCAATAACTCGGCCACTGGCGTCCAGCTCGGTTGTCTTCAGTAGGTCCTCATCGGCTTTAGTAGTCCATGTATCATCAACCGACTTTAGCTTCGTTGGCACTGTCGTGGTCGTACCCCGCTGCATCAAAGGAAACGGGGGCTGTCTTCTGGCTTGCATCGCCTCGTTGTGTAGTTGGCGAACATCAGAGAGCGCAGAAATATCCGTTGTATCAACTCGTGAAACATCATATGATTGACTCATTCGACTCGCCTCTACCGTCGGTGCTTGAACGGATTGCTTGACACGCTCATCGCTCTGGTTCCGGTTGCCCAAGCGATCGAAGATTGCGGATATGTCGGATTTTGTTTTGGCGCGGCGATGAACACTACTAATACCTTCTTCAGTGTTAAAGGATTTTTTGGGCGTGAAAAGTGCCTCTCCATCTTCTACCGATTTCAATGAAGAAGCGTTCTGCCTCTGTGCAGTACGAGCGGCCTTTGACGGACGCTCCAGAATCGCCAGTCTCGACTCTGCTGAACGATATTTGCGCTTTGACACGATATTAGGTGGCTCCTCATATGATGCACTGATGTCCTGCCATATATCCGCAGTCTCGTTCTGAATTGAAAGAACACTTGGCGAAAGTTCATTTATTGCAGGCGTGTATGCGCCATCTCCAGCTGTTGATTCCGCATCACTTTCGACATGCACAACGTCTCCTTTTGCCGAAGCCAGAGTACGTTTGACATTATCACGCTCCTCCTGCCATTTTCTCTCCAAAGAAATTATTCGAGAGGATTTCAACCCACTAATTAACGATCTCCTTGAGCTCGATGATGAGGGTCTCATCTCTCGCTGGCCGCTGGCATTTGGCGACTTATCAGTCTGTGGAGTTGCAGGAGGGGTACTCATATCAGCTTCGCTCTTCGTCGGCGTATCTTGGATCTTCCCATGATGTTCCGAGTTGACTAGCTCTGGGTAAATGACGTCGGACCAAGCGTTCATACCAGGATACTCAGGCGTTGGTGATAGCTTCTCACCCGAACTAGGAGTCGGAAAGCGATTATCTCCGTTGTCAGGCCTTTGCTGGGGAGGTTTGCCTGATCCTGTGGTACGCAGGTCTTGCCTCAGGGAAGGATTATCGGAAGCGTGTGTCAGTCTACTACCATCAATGATAGGGTTGAAGTGGTAAGATAGCGAAGACTTGTGCTGAGTCTCTGGGCGCAAATCGGACTCTGGCGAGGCGTCTTTTGTGGCCTGTGGATTCTTAGAATCTGCGCCAATGAATTCGACCGCTCCTTCGGCCATCTGGTGTGTTGTTTGTGACTGAATAACCTGACTAAGTGGAGGTGAAAATGCTATGACTTTCGCAAGTCTTGACTGCTCTGCTGATGAGGTTTTGCCTGTTGTCGCTCTCTCACTTTGCTCAAAAATGCTGCTATGAATATCTTTGGCACTGGGGAGTGAACTGAGAGAAACCATACTGAAGTCTTCACTTTGCATCATTGTCGTATCACCCATTATTTGCGTGTTGTTTTCGGGCATCTCTTCCTCATAATCACCCCCAAACTCAGGTTGCTCAAAAGCCGTTGCTATCTGGTTCGTTGATGATATGACCCGATGTGGGCTTTTGCGATGTTGACCAGAAATCATGCTGCGCCACATAGAAGCATCACTTTCTGAAGTCGGCGTTGAACTGGGATTGCTTTGCGGCAGTAATGACTTTCCAGGCGAGTCACGTTGTGGAAGCGGTGTGAAACGATGCTTCCAGCGGTCCAGAGGGTCGTTGGACGCTCCATTATGTGCATTCTTTCCAGAGATATGTTGACGTACCGAAGTCTGCTCCTTTTGTGTGGGAGGAAGAGGGTGCTTCAAGTGTAGCGGTGTTAGTGACGTGAAATCGAATGATTTCTGATTAAGATTTTGTTCTGTGACAGGAGTAGTCTTCCGGATACGGGCCTCTTTCGCTTGCATTTCTTTTTGTTCTCCATTATTCTTTAGATCAATATTCACCAAAAGCAGCTGCCCGTTCGCATGTGCATCATCCTCGAAATTGTCAACGTGAATAGCATCTTCGTGCTCCTGCTGATTTCCTTGTCTGACTTTCTTTTGGTCTTGACTCATCTTGATAACTCGATCACGTATCAGATCTGGTGATGATCGCTGCATGGGCTCCGTATCAACTTCAGATGGGAGTTCATGCTGTTGTCCTTGGGCAATGTTAAGCTCCTTCGGAGGCATATCCTTCCTTGGTCTGCCTCTTCGCCGTTTCAGGGCCTTTGACAATTCGATTGGTGTGTCTTCCTCATGTATACTGTCGTCCTGCTTGAGCCCATTTGAAAGCCTAGTTGATCGCCTCTTCATGGGAGTTCCCTTTCTGTTTTTGACGGCAGAGTTTGCTTCAGATTTCCGCTTCCTTCCAACCGCAGATTTTTGACCCGCAGGAGATACGTCAGCATCCTTGAGTGGGACACGTACAGTTCTGATCCGAGGAGCAGGAGATTTCGACACGGAAGAACCGTGACGTGGTTCTGCCTGAACCGTAACCTTGATACGCCATGGACTCTCTGCAACATCCTGCTCGGGATCCGGATCAAAGAACATAGACTTGGAAGGCGAGGTTCGACGTAGGAGCGATGAGGTAACATCCAAATTTAGATTTTCCTGTTTTCGAGGGGACAAATTCGGCGATCGTGGCGCCAGAGGGGTTGGGACAAGATCGCGTCTGCGAAGTGCGACATTCGTTCTCGCACGCGCAGGAGAGGGATATCTTACGCCCAAAGAAGCGGCGAGCTCATCCGGAGTATCTGGACTGAGCCCGCTCATTCTTAGACATAGAATGGCTTGCTCAGAACACGCGGGGTTTGCAGTGAGGCTCTTTGGAGTTAAGATGGACTCCGCTCAAAGTTCGCTGCGGCAGGATGGTGTTGTTGACTTTTGGCTGTAAACAAATGCATGCCAAGTCTTTCTCCGAGCCAATCAGCATCCGCGTATGGCTTTCCTTGTGCGGCAAGAGGATCTTGGCTACTCTTGAAAACAAACAACCGTGAGGAATCATGGCTTCCCAACCCTTTATTAGGGAATGCTGAAGCACTAAGTAGACTAGAAATGGCCCTGTGGGAGCGAGATTAAATAGAGGCTATGGGGATCCATGGGTAAGCGCTTTAATTTCCAAACACTAAACAAGTATGCTAAATCAGCTCGCAGCATTTACAAGGAAATCGGCCCCGGCCGACGTATAGCCCTTTCTAAGGTCGCTGTTGAGCATTTTGAGAAGACTGGTCGACCGCTGCGCATTGCTATCGACATCTCTATCTGGCTATTTCAGATTCAATCCAGCAAGGGTAAACACACGTATCTCGGCAATCTCATTTGACAGTGCTCACATTACAGCCAGGCGGGTCAAACCCAGCCCTCCGTACGTTCTATTATCGACTACTTCGCCTAATTTCCCTGTCTATACACCCCCTCTTCGTCTTCGATGGGCCTAATAAACCGCCTTTCAAGCGCAATAAACGCACTGGCCCAAATGTCGCGTCTGTTCCCGAATTTCTCGCAAAACAGTTGCTAAAGCAATTTGGTTTGCCTTTCCACTTAGCCCCTGGAGAGGCGGAAGCAGAATGCGCTCTCCTACAGAGGGAAGGTGTCGTAGACGCCGTGCTTAGTGAAGATGTGGATACGCTCATGTTCGGAAGCGGCTTGACTTTTCGAAACTGGACGCCCGAGGCTAACAAGAGTAAAGTGCCTACTCATGTCAATCTTTATGATGCGTGTACAACCAAGGATATCTCAGGCATGGATAGAGAAGGAATGATCTTAGTCGCACTCATGAGTGGTGGCGATTACGTACCGGAAGGAATCCCAGGCTGCGGACCAAAAACCGCATGCGAAGCTGCGAGAGCAGGATTTGGTCACGAATTGTGTCAGATTTCTAGGAGGGATGTCGACAGGCTCAGAGACTGGAAAGAGAGATTGGCCCATGAGCTCCATACAAACGAGAATAAATTTTTCAGTCGCAAACATGGAAAACTGGCCATACCGGATGATTTTCCCAACCCAGAGGTACTTGGCTATTATACACATCCTGTCGTATCTTCCATGGACAAAATTAGAAAATTGGAAGCGGAATTGAAGTGGGATATGGATATTGATTTCAGGAAATTACGCTCTTTCACTGCAGATGCTTTCGACTGGACAAACCTTAGCGGCGCAAAGAAATTTATTCGAAACCTGGCACCGGCCCTTTTAGTTCGAGAGCTAAGAATGAAAGGCGAAGCTTTAGCAAGAAGTCTTCATGAACCCGCTAAACCAACTACAAATGAGGAGCCATATATCAAAGCTATACATGGCAGGAGGAACCATGTTTCCGCCGATCATGTTGCCGAGTTGCGTATCACGTTCACGCCTCATGAGCTTGTACCGATTGATCTGGCCGTGGAGGAGCCAGACGATGAGATTAGTAATGAAAGTTCTGATGAAGAGGGCCGGACAGGCTATGGAGACAGGGAAGCTCCAGGCAGTCCAACAAAGAAGAAAGCACCGTCACGTTATGATCCAACCGAGGTTGAAAAGCTATGGGTATTGGAGTCATACGTGAGGGCTGGGGCTCCCTTAACCGTCAGAGAATGGGAACGTAGCAGGAAGGAGAGCATATCAGCGGAATGCAAGAATACAACCCGAGAAGCAAGAAGAACAGCAAGACAGAAGAACAAAAACTCTGCAAGTATCGGAGACACGCGGGAAGGTGCGCTAGATCGGTTCGCTACTGTAATGAGCACTCCGACGCCCACTAAATCTCCGCGAAGCACATCTCAATTGGCGAGATCATCAAAGGAGCCGAGAAGAACGCGTGCAAGCAAAAATAAAGCACCCTCGACTTCAATACAGCACTTCACAAAAGTCTTGAAACCAGGTGTCTCTTCGAACATTCCTGAAAACTCTTCAGATCGGCCCTCGCCGAGAGCATTAGGTCATCGTTGGTTAGGGAATGGCAAGCTAGCTATATTTCCGCTGGAAGAGCCCTGTCTTCCAGATGACGAAATCGAAGTCGTCAATTTAATATCAACACCACAGCCGTACCGGTCTGTGTCCAATGGCTTGTCACATGATCTTCCAGATTTTGTTCCGTCGCCTGGAGCTAAGCGTGGACTTTCCCCTCTGCGGGGACTCCCTACGGATGTCATGGCATCGAGCGCACAAATGGAGAACGAAAGGTCCGAGACTACAATGAAGAATCTATTCCAATCAAATTCTGAATCTCCAATATCGCTACCATCGCCATCGCAACTGCTTCCCGTATCTAAACGTCCGAAGCTTCCAAACACTCGCTCAATACACGTCAATGATCAAGATGCGAGAACAACTCCACGGCGACACAAGAAGAAAGACGCGATTATTCTCTCTTCTTCGCCGATTAGACAGGCTAGCATATATGATTATTATTCACCAAGGAGACGCGACGTCCAAAGCCCATCAAAAATGATTTCAGACGAGGGCGGGTCACAACTTCCAATGTCCACTATTGCCACAAGAAGAGTGGGGCACCGATGCCCGCGACTAGATATTACGGACATGATCGATCACGTAGATCTTACCGGAACCCCAGCAGACGTAACGATTCAAGATTTAACCAAAATGCCCGAACTTGACGTCGCTACGGAGCCGGTTCTTCAAGCTCTGCAGCAGCATGAGGTCGACGATAGCCCAACGTCCCTGGGACAATTATCGTCGAAAGACTCTTCCTCGGTGTCCAGCTTGGCGTGTCTCACAGACGAAGTGCGACTTTCGCGCGCGAATATACAGGAAAAGCATCTTCAAAGCGTGTATCGTGTACGCGAGAGCCTGCCTGGTAGTTTTGCGATTGACACAATTGATATGACAAATGACATTGGAACGATTAATGTTAGCCTACCTAAAATGGGTAGACGATTTCGAATGAGTGAGGTGAGTGTTTTGGACTTGACTGGCGAATGAAAATAGCATCTGGGTTTTCTTCTAGCTCTTGATATAGTAAGATAGGAGACTATTCGCTAGGCACGATCGAAAGGCGTTTGAAATTACCGGATGCCAGGGGGGCTGTCCTGTTCCAAAATCGATCACGCGCCTGCATGATGTTCAATTATACGAATATAAATGTATTCATTCAGCAAAACAGGAAAGTAAGCTTTGGCTGCTCCCTTTTGAAGCTGTAAACAGCTGATTCTTTCCTTCGTTTCTTCATCTGCGATCTATACGTACAGAACCAGCTGAAACGATTCTCCGAATGATCGTCTATGCGCAGCTTTACTCTTGGCATTATATTACTATCCATTCCCCGATACCCGCCCATTGAGGGAGACATCGCCTTGTTACCATGCTGCAATTTGGTGAAGAAAGACATCGTCATAAGGAACTTTTTGAATGGAGTGAGGTCAGTAATTTGTGACACGGCGAGGATGTTATACTTACGAGATATATCAACTATATGTGGATTGCATTCGTTCTAGGACGTTGGAAGCAACAAAGTTCAATTGAATAAACAAGTTATGATGTGGATTTCAAAGCAGAAGAAGCGCACAAAAAACTCTGGGCAGTGAAAACGAAGGCTGTGATGTCGCCAAACTGAACAAGCAAGGCAAAGAGCTATCGCAACATGATCTAATATTGCGCCTAATGCAACTTATTGTCTTAAAAAATTTTCAATCCACGTGCGGAAAGAACCCAACAGCTGAAATGCATGTCCCTTTTGGCTCTTCATTCCATATTTCAACTCCTGTGAGACTCAAACCCGCCCGCCATCCCCAGGACTTGACCTGTTTGCTAGTGTATGCCTTCTGATTAAGAACTAGCACGTTATGTCCAATGGGAGCATTATGGGCCTTTCGCATGAATTTGTCTGCATGAATTTGTCCCAAGGAGTGACTCTAGCGCGAACCGCAGTTCGACTAGTCCAACATTCACTTTACATTCCCTCATTTCCGACTTCAGTGCTTCATTTGCCGGTTTCGAACCACGAGGCGGCTAACCACAAGCCAAAACATCCCAAGAGTGCCGCGGCACCCGCAATCTGCTTGCTCAAAGTTTCTTCTGCAGCTACTTTTGCCGCCCTCTCACCTCTAATCGGAATGTGTTGTTCGGTTATAGCAATCTCCGACTCCGGGTTCACACTGCTATTGTATCTCTTTTTCGCCTGGTCAATCATCCTCTGCAGTTGCACCAGATCTTCTCTCCAAGCTGTCTCGTTCCACTTGTTCTGAGTCTCTTCATTTATCTCCACATTCTGCACATTGCCGAAAAAATCCATAACGAGTTTTTTCCGTCCTTCAACCTCCCCGCCGGGGAAAAGATCCCACCGTACACCTGGGTGACTGTGTATTTTGCTCTCATCGTAACTGTCGAAAAGATCTCCAATAGTCTTCTTGGACGAGGGCTCACGAACTTCAGTCTCCAGGAAGTCAAGGTTGTAATACGTGTAGCGGTCGATAACGGCAACACCGACGTCATTGTCCGCGTGGTGAGAATACGACGATTGATCGATCTCGGACGACCCGGTGGCTATAATGTTAGGAGAGTAGAATTTGGAGTACATGGTGTTGGCTTGACAAGTGTCGATCATGAAGAGTATCTCATGATATCTACATGACCACAATTAGTATAAACCAGAGGGCTATGGCAGATAAATGGGACATACCGCTTCTTCTCCCACATCTGTGCGAAGGCATCTGCAAGATCGAAAGCGCTGATCTCCTCCGCGTCTTGAAATTTGAGAAACTCGTTGCCGCCGTGGCCCGTCATGTAGACCAAGATATTGCTCCGGTCATCTGTCAGCAGTCTTTTACTCCGCGGCATGTCCTCTCCAACTCGGTCCGTCATGAGGCGAATGAAGTTCTCAACTGTCACTTCGTAGCCTCTGTAATCAACTTCGATATTGTCGCCATATAGGTCAAGAGCACGATCTGCATTGTTGTACACTGTGCCAGGGAACGCGTTGCGTGGGTTACATGCCATATCGTCAGGAAGCATTAGGATGATTTGTGAGTCTGGAATTCCCAGACGTTTAACAGTGCGGTATAGCGAAAGAACATTGGCAAGATGGCGATAGTTGAACCAAAAGCGCGACGTGGACACAAGAACAGCCCAGTTAGAGGTGTGCTCGGCGAAGCCAAAGGCGAATATGAAGAATACCAGCGATAGAAATCGCAGCATTGCTCGTGCTTGGTATCTGATCGTGGACTCATGTATGGAGGCTCCTGGATCTAGGGACATCCGCGATGTCCAAAGGACACCAGGACCGAGGAAATGACGATCAGGCCACAAGGCATTCAGCCTCACACTTTCTATCCGTATGGTCCCACCGTGTCATTGAAACGACACTGTGCTCTTAGCAATGAGTTGAGTATTTTGCATGGTACATAGAATATATATTATTCAATTTATTTTTCAGACTCAAGTGATGTCCAAGCTTTCTCTTTATTTCGATTTCAGACATCCTGCGAATGCCGCCGCCTAGATGTTCTGGCTTTGAGACTAATGCTAAGCATATTATCGTAGTAAAAGGAAGAAAACTGAAAGAAGGAGAATACAGTTGAGAATACACACCGAGCAATGCAGACATCAGATGCATCAAGTATGCTTAATGCGCTCAAATCCATCTTTGCCAAATATTCCTTACCCAGCCAAGGTAGATTTCGAGCCTCCAAGTACTGCCGTAAATTACTCATCGATGGTTTTGGCAGGGCAAAAATAGCATCACCGGAATTTCCCTCACGCCACAACCGCAACACGAGTTCGCCATCTAATGGAAAGACGAACTTGCCTGTTCCTCCCCTTATTCAAAAAAATCTCTTTTGGATGAAAGAGCAGCAACACCGATTCTGTTCTCAGTTAAGCCCCCCAACTTCAAGATACGACTGATGAGTCTATCATCTTTAAACCCGACGCCAATATTCGCGAATAAACGTGCAAATGTACAGTTCAAGTTTCGATGCGTTTACCACCGTAGTTCTCTAAGAATCCGAAAGGGAGGTAGCTTTAAAACTACTCCTGAAGCTCTCCCTAGGAGTCCTGAAGCTTCAAGTAATTTGCTATGAAAATCTTGAGCCACCTGGACGATTGAGCACTGAATGCTGGAGTTTATCCTCGATTACCACGCGAGAATGCATCACCTTACCACGATAGTTCTTGTGTGGGCGTCTATACTGACCTCTACCAAGTAACAACATCGGGGTCCGCATGGTAAAATCGACAGAACCTTTCCGACTCAATGATCATAATCTATATCCAGTGGCGTAATGCTTTCAGTGGTAATCTTGCACTGCTCTAAGGAGTCATAGCGATCAGCGAACAAACGGAGGCAATCCACAACTCGCATCTTTGACGACTCAGATTTTCACACGAAATCAACTCAAAACTTGTAAGTTGCTACTCTATTCAAATCAAGACAACGCACGTATTGATGAGTTGTAGACTGGGAGGCATGCGAAACAAGAATTTGTCGAGTATCGAGAACTTAAATCGGGTGGTATGGCACCCATTGGCATCCAATTCGCCCTTATTCGATCGTAAATTTTGCCTCGGCTAACTTCTCAGCCTTTATTCACGCCCGCCATTGGGCTAAAGCGTCTCAAGTGTTGAACTTGGAACGCTCCTCAACTAATGGCTATTGAAGCGCCATGATTGAATCGTCGCTTACAAGAGTTACATCAAATGCAGCCAGAGTTACGGTCTCGACGGAAAAATATGATGCCGATTCAACTTAGGCATTAGAGCCGACGGTACCAAGCTTTCGAACGGAAAGCTTGGATTTACTATGATGCGAACAGAGGTCATTGGTCAGCCGACACTGGTTTTCGGTATTATGGACTCAGTCCATTATAACACTGCCGATCCACCGCTATATCATCTGCATGAAACTCATGACACCTTCCATAAAGTCATCAGCATCTGTCTTCGATGTCCTTTCACTAAGCTCATGCGCTATTGAAGCCGTGGACATCATCCCTTCCTAAAGTCGAGATGCTTGCTTAGATTTGGCCAAGATCGGACGTGGCTTCGAAGAGCCAGGAACTAGCGTTTCGGAATGACAGGGTGAAAGAGATTAGAGTCTTAATCGATGTGCTGGGATTCCTCCATGCTACTATCTTATTGAAGAAGGTCTTTGATTGTCGCTCAGATCCAGAACTGCGGTGGAATGGACCGTTCCGCTGATGTTGTTGCTCTGGTTGGTTGTCCGACGACGTGCGGGCGCCATGTGATCTTCCTAACCTTGCACGGTCCGCAAAATGACCTACCTATCTTTTGAGATCCGCATTAAGCTTCAGCGGCGTGAATGCTAGGAAGCTTGTAGATAGTGTTGCTGATGGGACATCCTCTTGCCGACGTGACCCGCGTCATGCAAGACTGTTCTCGTCGCGCACTTCTCTTTATTCTAGTTCTTTCCAGTATCGGCCTAGTTAAAACAAGTATGCTACGCTACGGATAGAAGATTAGAGCGGGAATTAGAATTGAAAGGACAATTCAAGTACCTGAACTGGAAGGTGAACGACCTCGATATCTTTCATCCGATATGATACTGGGTGTATCAGCTCTTATCGCTGGCGAACGGGGTAGTTCCTCATGAGGAAGTTCACGATCTGCTGACTCTACTTGCTTCAGATGACGGCGCGTAATCGATCATAGGAGATGCATATAAGGTCGTTGATGTCGGCCACGTCGCTTTCATGGTCAGCAGTCCAAGAAGCTTGTCTTTCATTTATGTCTGCGATTTTCAACTTCATCCTGTTCTCATATTCATCATGCATACTATAAGCTCTGTGACCCTTTTGGCTGGCTTTGTCGGCTTTACTGGCTTCTCTTTTGCTGCCCCGTTCGATGCCAATGCTAATAGTGCAGGTGCGTTCCGTGTCGAACAAGTCCAAGGATCCACGGTCTTGAAAAACGGCGCTGCGGCGATTCAAAAGGCATATGTCAAATACAACAAGCAGACACCTGCAAATGTCGCAAAGGCCGCAGCTTCGGGTACTGTAACGGCTAATCCTGAGCAATATGATTCGGAGTATCTCTGTCCAGTAACCGTGGGTTCGACCACTCTGAATCTTGATTTTGATACGGGTTCGGCGGATCTGTGGGTTTCAAACAACAGTGATATCTAAAACGCCGTACTGAACTCATCTAGATGGGTTTTTTCCGATAAGCTACCGGCGAGAGAGCAAGGTCAGCACGACCTATACTCAACATCCAGCGGCAAAAGGCTCTCTGGCGAGACCTGGTCAATCACCTATGGAGACGGTAGTGGAGCAAGCGGTATTGTGTATGCTGATAAAGTCGTCATTGGTACGATGCTTTTCTTTTCTTTAAGAAATTATGAACATTTGCTCAAGTTTGCGTAGGTGGCGTGACTGCAACATCTCAAGCTGTAGAAGCCGCCACTTCGGTCTCATCGCAGTTCGTTCAAGATACTGCCAATGATGGCCTAGTGGGTCTCGCATTCAGCAGCATCAACACTGTCCGACCAAACCCAGCTACCACGTTCTTCGACACAGTGAAGTCATCTTTACAGACGCAACTCTTCGCGGCCGATCTCAAGAAAGGCGCAGCAGGATACTATGACTTTGGAGTTCGTTTGTTCTTTCTGAATTTGAGGCAGCTTTGTTGATGTTTATCTAGTATATTGACACCTCGAAGTTCACAGGCGATCTTGTATACGCCGACGTTGATGACAGTCAGGGATTTTGGATGTTCAATGCTGATGGCTACGCAATTGGCGGTAGTCAACAGAACTCCCAAATGACTGGTATTGCAGACACAGGAACCACATTACTTCTGATAGACAGCGATGTTGTCGATGCATATTGTAGTAAGTTGCATGGTACAAGATCGTAAAACAAAGATTTGAAACTCACGTTGGGTTCTAGCGTATTATAAGTCATCTTGACCCACCTCTAATATTAAGAAAAAGCCCTTGTCAGTGCTTAGCTCTTTTTGATCATTATAGGGATTGGGTCCCTATCAATGACCATGCGAGGCATTGATAAGTGAAATTGACCTTGACAATAAAGGACAGCCATGGCTAAAGATAAACAGATCAGCAGGTCGACGGATCAGTCAACGATAGCAGCCAAGGAGGCTACACATTCCCTTGTAGCGCATCCCTTCCTGATTTTTCTCTGATTATTGGCGGAGAAACTCGGACGGGTTAGTACGATTCAGCGAGAATCTGCTCAGATGCTGACATAAATTAATCCTAGTTCCGGGAAGTTATATGAATTACGCACCAGTAGATTCAAGTGGAATCACTTGCTTTGGTGGTATTCAGTCCAACACGGGCATCGGCTTTTCAATTTTTGGTGACATATTTTTGAAGAGCCAGTACGTCGTTTTCGATGTCTCTCAAGGCTCGCCAAGACTTGGATTCGGTCAACAGAGCTAACGGAATTCGATATAATTCCATCTGAGCTAAGAATCCAAGAGGGATAAGCAGGAGCTGGAAATGCTTCTTTATGCGTTACGAATGTATTTTCTTCTTACCTTCTTTTTTTACACAGTCTGGTACGAACGTATCATGTTCGGTGAATGCGGATTTCACAAGTTGAAATTTGGTATCGCTCTCATTTATGGAGAAGAACACTAGTTTCCTTTTATACAGAAATCAATGAGCATTAGGTATTCAATTGCTATCAACACAAATTGCAGCATAACCCTTCTGAATTATATGAGTAATCGTGAGCGAACTCTTAGACAGAACAGTTTATCAGTATCGCGATTTGGAGGGACTACCGGACATGAAACAAAATAGATCAAAGTGTAAGTCTTAAAATGGGGCGAATGGGACGACAAGGTGGAAGAAAATTCCAGAGCAGTTAATCGGCTTTCGAAGCTTGCAAGACCAGGCGATGCTGGTGTTTATGCAGACATGTAGTGAGGAAAAACAAATTGAAACATATATTGTAGGGACTACTGTATCAACAGCAGCACGGTCAATACTACGCTTCCATGTTTCCTTGAGACGGTCTTTTCATAAATTTTGGCCACAAAATAACATTCAAAGAAGCCCGGTAGTGAATTTGATTATTGATGAATACGTCTCAAGCATTTAGTCATAGCATCTCGTTATCATGTAATCATTTTTAATTTAGTTTAACTATGAACTTTCTGCTTCAGCAGAGATTTAAAGAAATAAGAACCACAGGAAAGCCAAGACCATGACCCTTAGCTATGGTGGTGGTTGACAGCGAACATGCAAAATCCATGTGGTTACGCATTAAACACAACATTGAAAGGTAGCATTTATCATTCACATGTCTGATCATTTAAATTATGGGATTTAGCTACAGCTTCAAGCGATTTTGTACGTCGGTTGTCTACTGTAAGCTCTCGACAACCAAAGCGCTGGCGCCGCCGCCGCCGTTACAGATACCGACGCATCCAATTTTCAGTTTCTTCTCTCTTAGCACACCAAGCAACGTTGTGACAATTCTGGCTCCGCTGGCGCCGAGGGGGTGACCCAGAGCAACAGCTCCGCCATGTAAGTTGACTTTGTCCTCACTTAGGCCGAGCAGCTTCATGTTCGCAAGCGCCACAACGCTAAACGCCTCGTTGATTTCGTATGCATCAACTTGGTCCTCTGTAATGCCGGCGTGCTTGATCGCCTTGGGAATGGCAAGGGCTGGTGCAGTAGTGAATTTGGACGGGTTCTGGGCTGCGTCACCCCAGCCGAGAATCTTTGCCAGTGGTTTCAGTCCACGTTTTTTGACCTCTTCTTCCGACGCAAGAACAACTGCTGCGGCGCCGTCGTTGAGAGGAGACGCATTAGCCGCTGTAACTGTGCCATCCTTTTTGAAACTCGGGCGAAGAGTCCTCGTCTTCTCCTCATTCAAGTTCTTTGGCTCGTCATCCTTATCCACGATAACACCTGGTTTTCCTCTCACTCCTGGCAACTCTATAGGCGCAATCTCCTCTCTGAACCATCCAGCTTCCTGCGCCTTCTGCGCCTTCTTGTAGCTGCGTATGCAGTAATCGTCCTGCTGTTCTCTGTTGAACCCATGATCCTGCGCACACTCTTCGCCTTGCAAGCCCATATGCTCGTTCTTGTACACGTCGGTTAAGCCATCCTTCAGCAGGCCATCGACGAGAGATTGGTCGCCAAACTTGGCGCCTGTGCGCATATTGGGGAGGTAGTGCGGGGTGTTGGACATGGACTCAGTACCACCAGCGACGACAATGCTCGCAGTGCCAGTCATGATGGTTTGTGCACCGAGGATGATGGCTTTTACCGACGAAGCGCATACTTTGTTGACAGTTGTGCAGACGGTGGCTTCGGAGAGGCCCGCGCCTAAAGCGCATTGTCGAGCTGGGTTCTGGCCAAGGCTGTGTGATGGACGTTAGGATTTTTGACGCTGAAAATTGCAGACAAAAAGGTTCGTCAACGTGCATACTTTGCAGACAGAACATTGCCAAAGAAGACCTCCTCAACATCCTCAGGCTTTATGCCTGCGCGCTCAACAGCGGCTGTTCAGACGTTAGTAAGAGTTGATCTTCTGCGAGAGAGGTAGACACACCCTTGATGGCGTGCGAGCCAAGCTTCGGCGCAGAGAGAGCAGAGAGCGAGCTGTTGTGAATGTGTTACCCGGAGCCCTGAAGATTCCGTTACAGATGGCCGGGGCCTCAACATACCCTAAGAACTGGCCGACGGGCGTGCGGGCTGCGGAAACAATGTAGACGGGAGGAAATTGAGACATGCTGACACCAATTGCTGGGAAAGCTTTCCTTGGGGAGATATGAATACACTGCACGGAGTAGGCGGCGAGTGGTAGGAGGAAGGGGGAGAGCTTTTAGCGAGCAGTAGCAGCGGTCTCTGATACGCACACCGCAAAATGGTTTTCTTTTATGGTTGAGGCGATCCCTGCGTTAAAGTGGCGCTGCTTTGGGTGGTGAGCGCAGAGGAAGCTTGGGCCAAGGTACACGCACTGGAGTACGTTCCCCTTGGCGTAGATTAAACTCTGGCAGCCGCCAGCCGATTGCGGAGCCTCGAGAGTCGAAAAGCAAATTCGAACGGTCACCTGAGACAAATCCAGCTAGATTACATGATGTGCTCGGAGACTGACGTGACTAGCATTACATGAGGTAAAAGCCCCATCCCTTTGTGTTCACACATCAAAATGCGACCCACAGCCTGGGGGATCACTGCTCGAGGCTGAGCGCCTTGTTGCCTGGGGCCGCAACACGTGGCGGACTTCGGTTGCGCTTCGAAAATGTTTGCAAGATTGCACGGCCTTGCGCGAGACCATCAGATCAGTAATTGAACTCTGCGACCACGCTGCGGAGTCCTTCTGTTGGCTTCTACCACTTAGCTCTTCCTACTCGGTGTCCAAACGCCCCTTGGTCTATTTTGATCTCACCGTCTGCGAGAGGCTTGCGGCATCTTTACTTCACTTGTGCAGCTACGCGTCAGCGTGTGCACTCTCGACTTGCAGGCCAGTGTTGGCTAACTCGCTCGACATTAGTAAATATGGAGGATGATTTGTATGACGAGTTCGGAAATTACATTGGTGAAGATGTATCAGAAGAGGAAGAGGAGGAAGCCCTGCCGACCCAAGCAGGCGACGCATATCTAGACGACGTTGACGATGCGCACACAGAGGCACATGATGGCACGGTCATGGAGGTTGATGACGGGCCGTCTAACGCCGTTATTTTACATGAAGACAAGCAATACTACCCCACAGCGCAGCAGGTCTACGGTCGCGATGTCGAGACGATGGTTCAAGAGGAGGATACACAGGCTCTGTCACAGCCCATTGTAGAGCCTATAGTGGTCAAGAAGTTCGCTGTTGAAGAGTCAGATTTGCCACCAGTCTATTATTCACGTGAGTTCATGACCGATCTCATGAACTTTCCGGACAAGGTTCGCAATATCTCTCTCGCCGGTCACTTGCACCATGGCAAGACCGCGTTGATGGACATGCTTGTACTCGAGACGCACAATATCCAAGACCGGTTGGACAAAAAGCAAGGCAAGTCAAGGGAGGACCAGCTGAGGTACACAGATACTCACGTACTGGAGAGGGAAAGAGGTTTATCAATAAAAACCGCCCCCATGAGCTTAGTTCTGGAAAACAACAAAGGTGTTTCTCATCTGCTTCACATCCTAGACACTCCTGGGCATGTCAATTTTGCAGATGAGGTTGCTTCGTCGTTGCGACTGTCGGACGGCGTAGTTCTTGTGGTTGATGTCGTTGAGGGCGTTCAGTCGATGACTGAAATGGTCATCAAACACGCGGTTCTCGATGACCTGCCCGTGGTTCTAGTTATCAACAAAATGGACCGGCTAATCTTGGAGTTGAAATTACCTCCCCAAGATGCATACCACAAGCTCAAATATGTTGTGGAAGAAGTCAACACAATCATAGAGAATACAATTCCGGGCCGAGGAGAATCGCGGAGACTGAGCCCGGAGAAAGGCAATGTCGCCTTCGCCTGCAGCAGCATGGGTTGGTGCTTCACGCTACGCTCTTTTGCAAAGATGTACACAGAGGCATATCCTAAGACAAAGGTGCATCCAGAGGACTTTGCGCGACGATTATGGGGAGACATTTATTACAACCCATCAAGCGGAAAATTTTCGCGCAAAGGAGTCGAGGAGGGATCGAGACGATCCTTTGTCAACTTCGTTCTTGACCCTATCTACAAGCTGTACTCCCACACCATTTCGGAAGGTCCACACGACCTTGATGAGACACTGCAGAGTCTGGGCATAAAGTTGAAGCCATCTGAACTGCGGTGTGATGCGCGTGTCTTGCTTAAGAAAGTGTGTGAGCAGTTCTTTGGTCCCTCTCGAGGGTTTGTAGACATGGTTGCGGAACACATCCCTTCTCCAGAACAAGGCGCAAAAAGATTTATCGAAAAGTACTACACGGGTTCTATGGATACGAAGACGGCTAAGTCGATGCAACAATGCCACCAGGACGGACCACTAGTCGTGCATATCACCAAGCTGTTTAATACAGTTGACGCGAAACGCTTCAATGCATTTGGAAGGGTGCTAAGTGGCGTTGCAAGGCCTGGTGATCAAGTTCGCGTGTTGGGAGAGGGATACACTGTTGAGGATGAAGAGGATATGGTCAATGCTACAATATCAGACACGTGGATCGCTGAATCAAGGTACAATGTACCAGTCTCTGGAGTTCCAGCTGGAAACTGGGTCTTACTCGGCGGCGTAGACAATTCTATTGTAAAAACCGCTACTATTCTGCCGGAGACTCTACCGGATGGTGACGAAGCTTACATCTTCAAACCAATACGCCACTGGTTTGAGTCAGTGTTCAAAGTTGCAGTTGAGCCAATCAATCCCTCAGAGCTGCCGAAGATGCTAGATGGATTAAGACGAATCAACAAAAGCTATCCGCTTATCACGACCAAAGTAGAGGAGTCTGGCGAGCATATCATTCTTGGCACAGGAGAGTTGTACATGGATTGTGTACTGCACGACTTGCGAAGAATGTATGCAGAGATGGAGATCAAAGTATCAGATCCTGTGACGCGATTCTGCGAGACGATTGTGGAGACCTCGGCTATGAAGTGCTATGCGCTCACCCCAAACAAAAAGAACAAAATCACTATGGTCGCGGAACCTTTAGATCCTGGCATTGCTGAGGACATAGAATCTGGCGCAGTAAACATCAAAGATCCTGTGCGAGTTGTTGGAAAATTCTTCGAAGAGAAGTATGAGTACGACCTTCTTGCGAGTAGAAACATTTGGGCATTTGGCCCTGATGACATGGGTCCTAACATTCTGCAAAACGACACACTTCCTTCAGAAGTTGATGCTAAGTTGCTCCGCTCTGTGCGGGACACGATTAAACAGGGGTTCAGCTGGGCGACTCGAGAAGGACCGCTGTGTGAGGAACCTATTCGAAACTCAAAGTTTAGACTCACAGACATATCTCTTGCTCCGGAAGCCATTTTCAGAGGTGGAGGCCAGATCATCCCTACTGCGCGACGAGCCTGCTACTCATCTTTCCTCATGGCATCACCACGGCTTATGGAACCTGTGTACGAGTGCACAGTCATCGGTCCAATAGATGCTGTATCTTCTCTCTACACCGTGCTTCAGCGACGGCGTGGACATGTATTGCAGGATGCACCTATTGCAGGTACCCCGTTGTATCGTGCCAAAGGTCTTATTCCTGTGATTGACTCGTTCGGCTTCGAAACCGACCTCAGGATACACACACAAGGTCAAGCTACTGTGTCTCTGGTATTTGACCGATGGAGCATAGTGCCTGGAGACCCACTTGATCGTGACATTAAACTCAGACCATTGGAGGCGGCGAGTGCAATGGCAACAGCTCGAGATTTTGTTCTCAAAACGAGACGCAGAAAAGGCTTGTCAGAAGATGTAACGATAGGTAAATTCTTAGAACCGGAACTTTTCGCACAATTGAAAGAGAGTGGCGTATTGGAGATATAAATTATCATGACCAAAGGGATTGTTTTTAGGGTTTGCAAAGTAATGAAGGCATGGAAAAATCTATGTTTTAAAGATAATGGCTATGTGCCACATATCATGCTAAAGCAAAAATTAGGAGCATTAATATAGCCACTTTGATCTAGTAAAGCTCTTCTATATTAAGTGTCTGACTAAGCTTTTACAGTGCTACTACTTATGAAGGTCAATTTTCATCATACCTTTTCGTTCTGACTATTTATCTTCTTGCTCAGTTCATGCTGTAGGTAACTAAATAATGCCTTCTCTACCTGATAAAATAATATGAGATTTACGCCATTTTTTTTTCGGAGATCCTAGCTTAGAAGTGCTTCAGTGCAAGATTATACAATATTCATGCTTGGTAACGGAAACATTTAGCTTCAAAATATTGAAGTCATGCGAAGAGCAATTATACATAATATTAAGTCATTCTTTAGTATGGATTATATGATAATATAATATACTGTTGCTTTTTATATTATATTAACCTATTTAGTATAGCTAAATGATCCTAGAGAACTCTCAGATGTAATGGATAGTGCGTGTAGAAAAGAAAAGTGATGCATTATATACAAATCCTTGCAAAGTCTCTCTTAAGCAAGCAATCAGCAAATGGTCGATTAGCTCAGTTGGTTAGAGCGTGGTGCTAATAACGCCAAGGTGTAAGTTAACGACAGACTCCGTCACATGGAAAGCAATCTAACATTCATAATAGCGCGGGTTCGACCCCCGTATTGACCAAGCAATTCTTTTTGGCATTTTTTTGTTATCTAATCTGACGTATATATTTATAAGTATACATTAGTTATTCTTTTACTAGATTAAATAAACAGCATTTAATATAGCTATCTATAATATAATTTTTACTGTTATTAGTCTCCATTTCATTTATACAGGTGTTAGGAATACTTTCCCGATACCGACTAGCTTCACTAATGTAAGCCACTTCGGAAGGGTTCAGCTTCCTAGAGCAAGGGAACAATGTATAACCAGAGCTTATTAAGGAAGGAATATAATAAGATAGTTATGTTTATGGCTTAGAATAGTATGAGCTTCAGGAGTATGAGAATGTATTCAAACTAACTACTA